CATTACAATTATATAAACAACTATATTACACAAACATTATCTGCTGCTAACCACTCGAAATAATACTTCCTCTAACAAATGTTGTTTTGGATAGTCACAACGGCACAAAGTTCGACGTTGATGGCTAGCGGTGAGTGGTCGACCGGAGGCAGGCCGACGAACAACTAGGCGTTTATTTCAATTCCTTAGAGAAGATAAAATAAGTGAAAATAAATTGATTTTTTATTCAGAATAGTCGGAAGAGAGTCGATGAATAAATTTTTATAAACGGTATTCCTTTTGTTTACGTCTTTGGGCAAATGAATTCAAAGTAATCTAACATGAATGAAGCAGCAAATGAAAGAATGAGTATAAAAGTGACTTCAGTTCGAAGCCAGTTAGATTGAGATCTAAGTGAGAGCGTTTATCTACTAGTTTTCTGATACTTTCAGAAAAGGGCCAGCGAATCCAACGGATGAGCGCTACTTGTTCATCAACGGCGATGATAACGAGACTACAGCGTAGATAGTAATCATGCAAGTAATATCTTTAGTTTAACGGAACTTCTTTTTTCCAAATGTCTGATATATTACATTGCTCCCATGGCATATCTTCACTGTTTGCTCTTTCAAATATATTTCAAATTATACTCATTCACGTGTCGTCTTTTACTATGACACTATATAGTGACGATTTCTGATGAAAGAGATGTATGCGCTGATGGAACTATGCCTATATTTATCTCTTCCTCATAAATCGAATCGTTCTGATAAAAGGCACGGGTTTATATACTCGTCCATACAGAAGATAATGCAAGAAAACATCATATCAAAGTACATCAGAATATACCAAATAAGGAAAATCCATTAGATGAGAAAAACCATATCACGCATACAGCACATGTCAGAGAGATTGCCACAGGTAGAAAACATTAAGCACTGAACCTTTCTATAAATGAATAATCAAGATTCGGTAGCCAAGATTTTATATGAAGCCATCTGTCAAAATGGTTTAGCAGGATTTACACCGAACCTTGTGTACGAAACCATTTGATGCCATGATCGAAAAGGTTTCGGACAGAACCTTTGCCACAAAGCCTTTATTCTCGCCTTGTCCAAATAGGTTCTGTATGGAATCCATTTTTCTACTAAACCAAAAAAGGATCGTTCCGTGTATCGGTGGGAAGAGCCCTTTTTAATTCGGTAAAGTTCCTTTTTTTTACAGTGTACATCTTGGTTTGCTTTGACTCACCCACACCCTCACTCAAATTCTTTTATTGAATCGCGTTTTCATGAGAAATCCATTCAATCATAAGCAATAATGGAAAGATATTATATACTGTTTTATTTAGTTAAATATGTAATTACGAATTTAGAAACAAACAACAGAGAACTATATAATTCGATAGTTTTTGTACAAAATTATATTCGATGAAAATTGAGACAATTTGTTATTCTGACAGATAATATGTTCAAATTTCGAGCTTTCATATTCACACAAAGTAGACAAAATCAGGATCAAAAGGACTTTAACAAAGTTTATTATGGCGTTGGAGCCGATAATAATGGCAAACACAGTATTTCACATCCTCCAAGACCCAGTGGAGGAAGGGCAACTGAACAGTTAGCAATACATACAAGGTAAGCAGCAATTCCAGCATTTGCGACTACAACAATCGATAATAATAATAATGTTGTTACTGCAAAATTTTGAGTGTACATTGTTTCTGCAATTCAAATGTTATTATGGAATTAAGAAAACCACTGAATTATATTCATCAACTTACATCGTTTTGTTTCTTTTTGTACAAATTAGGCTGATGTTCGAAACGAGTTTTCGACAGCAGAAGATCGATAGTTTTTATAGGATTTTTGAAGGGTGGTTTCCCACACATCTTTACTTATCACTGAAACTTTCCACATTTCGTAATGTGAATAGAAATTTCTCAAAAGCATCATAAGAGTACGTATGTATCATTCCAAATATAGTATAATCATGAGTAATAATTTACATTGCCGCTTACGCAACGAAATATTGTTGGAATAAAACAGTTTTTCATTCTTGCGAAACTTTTCTTTTTCCACAATAGGAAAAGACCAATTAAAAACATGAAAAAACAAATACTGCATTTTTTGCCATAAGTACGTGCCTCTCTGCGTCTATCTTTTAATCGTCTAAGGGGAAAAAGTAAATGTAATAGGTTTTTTCCTTTTTCTCTGTCGTTAGGGTAAAAGCCAACAAAGATATTCTTTTCGATATCAAGAATGATATATACGTATATTAAGAGCAAGCATTATTTTACATCAAAACATTTGATTTCATCGTTATCAACGATCGTCGAATACGAGTAAGTGTATGCTGTACCAAACAGTCTTTCATCAATTTATCTTCCCTACTGTTTTTTTTTGTAGATACTAGATACCCGCACATATAATGGCAAATTCCATTGCAAGCTTGTTACTTTTTCTACTGATTGCTAGTGTTCTACCAACAGCAATAATGTCTATGCCTATTTTATGGGTTATTTGTATGGCAGGATGTACAACTTTGTCTGGGCCAGCCTTCATAGCTTGTATTGCAACGTGTGCACCACTATTACCGGCTCCAACGCCATAAAAAACAAGCGATATGTTGGCCAAAGTAGAATTGATAATGATACAAATTGGATCCAGATTTTTTCTAGATTTCGTCAGCAATTCAAACAAACAGATGTCTTCTCTTTACACAATATAAATCAAAACTATACGAACATTGCTCTATTTCAGAATACGCTTTATTTAAATCCGATTTGTTTGTTTTATGTACATTCTTTATATAAAAAAAACTTATCAACAGAACTACTTCGGAGTTAAATTAAGGAAATAACTCTCTAAATCTAACTTCATAAACTCTGAAAAAAAATAAAGGAGCTTTTCAGAACCCCCCCAAAATGGTTCTGAAGTGATTCAAAAGCTTCCTTTTGAGCTGAAAGTTCCAAAAAAGAGTAAAAAATTTAGAAAATAAAGATAAGACTGCTGCAAAGATCATAATTAAAGTTTTATCTCAAACAGAAATAGAAGAGAGGATTCGAGCTTTCATGTTCAACTGAACACACCATCAGGAATTGCTTTGTGATTTTATTTATCTAGTTAAGTGAAATTATTTACAGAAATTCAGATAGATGTGAATGAAATCAAATATAAAAAATATTCAAGTGGTGCTTGAGCCAACAAGTACAATGTTGAAGATTTTATCATTGTATCTGTTCGTCCTTCACCTCTTTCTTTCAATCTTTCTTCTTCGTTGTATCGTCTATATAAGGCAATGTTCAGTATGATATGAGACACAACTGGGGTGTAGAACGATGTAATGAACATCATTTACATATGAAGAATAACGATAACGTTATTCTTCCATTTTGTCATTGTGATCACCAGAAATAAAATAAATAAAATGCTGCAGCAAATAACAACATAGCATTCATTAATATTTTCCCGTTACAATGTTGATATTCCCTTTTTCTGAAAGAAAGGGTTATACAGCGGTTAAATCTTGGGCTCAAAAAGCTTAAAATTTGTCTGTCATTCTGTCTGTCTAAGCCAATCAGATTGCAGCGTTCAATAACTCATAGAAAACTTGATGATGGCCGTATGCAAATGCTTGACCGAAGGGTAATCGAGGATCACGAATCCGGGGTTAGTTTCTTAAAATTCCAATTAGCTCATTAGCTAATTAAGTAGTGAAAAATTTTTCGGTTGTGGAGTAAGGCCTGACCGAAGGGTTATCGATATCAAAGAATTCAAATTTGAGGTTAGTTTTTCGTTACTCAACAAGACGCGTCTTGTACTCTTCTATTTCTAGTGCAGATATTTATTTCTACATTATCTAAAATCTTCTGTAGAGGGTGGTGGATGAAACGCCATTCCTAGACATGATATATGCGAAGATAGTAGCTTATGTCTTTACGCAAAAAGATTTAGCATATCTTACATTATAATATTTGTAATTGAAGCAATAAAAAAACACTACCTATTTAATATCGTATTTGCCTTGTGGACTCCGATAATCAGATCTTTTGATAGAATTTTTTGGAAAATAAGCCTCCAAAAGGTATGCTCGTCAGTGCAATTCCATCTGATTAACTATAGAAACAACTGCTAGGTAAATAGTAAAATAGTATTGTAAACATATGAAGCATTATGACTGAATCATTCCGCATCGATATTCCACAGTCAGCACTTGATGATCTGAAACATCGCCTCGAATGGACACATTGGCCTGATCAAGAAATAGTCGATGATTGGAAACAAGATGTACCTCTCGAAACGGCTAAATCGCTCGTCGACTACTGGCGTCTGTACTACGATTGGCGTCGCTTCGAAAATCGAGCAACAATTAATGGTGTGGGTATTCATTTCATTCACGTCAGATCAGAACATGCCAATGTACTACCCATCATTCTTACCTATGGATGGCCTGGTTCCTTCATTGAACTTCTTCACGGCATTTGGAGGCAAGGCTGAAGATGATTTCCATGTTGTTGGTGTACCATCAATTCCTGGTTACGGATTTAGTGACAAACCAATAGAAGCCGAATGGAATACGGCACGTATTGCGAGAGCATGGGTAATACTTCTGCAACGTTTAGGATATCAAAAATGGGTTGCTCCAAGTGGTGATTGGGGAGCTGATGTAGCAACAATACTGGGTTTTATACGGCCTATAGGACTTATCGGTATTCATCTCAACTTCCAATACGTTTTCCCGGACGATCAATCCGATAACTTCTCATCTGATAAATAACGAGCGATAGACGCAGCGCGCCACTATGTCTCCGATGGATGAGGACTTTTTAAGCAACAAAGTACACGACCTCAAACGATCAGGTATGGATTGAGGGTGTACATGAAAGGAAGACGTAAGGTTCATATCATCATATCTCTCCTTCCATTGATGAAAATCAATCATAACATTTTCACTTCACAGATTGTAACACTCATCTTTTTCATATCGCGCAAGAATACTACTCAGGCATTCTATTTTACTGATGAAAGTAGGAAAAACTATTCATCGTCATTCTATGAGTGAAGAGTGTCTATTCTACGTTTATTTTTATTGATATTTGTATTGTTCTATTGAAATACTCTGTACATGACTTCATTTTTACCGGTATACCTTGACTTGCACGAAATTTAAGATTGACAGCTCGATTGTGTTAATAGCGAAGACGAAGGTATTTGTCAATTAATGAAATTAAATAAATATTTTAATCATCTTAGAGCAGAAATTCTCAATTACTCATCTTTGATAATAATCAGCTTATAAAAAGATACATTGCGTGCCAAACACATGCTGAAGAGAAGAACTTATAACAGTGCAATTTGAAAGAGCGTCTAAAAACAAAACAAGAATCATCTGCGTTTACAATAACACACAGCTAATTCATTCCTCAGATGCACAAGTCATACATCGACAAAATATCATATGAAAAGCAATAAGTTGTTCATAATTTCCACAAATACACCAAATCGATTCATAGTACCGGAAAACAACTTTAACACGATAATAACTACCATTACTCAGAACTGGCACATGCAATAGAAAAGACCGTTCGTATTGGAGCGTAAGCAATTGCTAATTATGAATGTCAGTGTCAAATTTAGGCTAACAAAGTCTGCCATTAAGCATGCATGGGCGAAAAGTTCAAAATTCTTTTTTCGCCGACGACTTCGACTATTTGATCAACAAGTACTAAGCATTAATATGCATGGCAAGTACACTAAAGTTAATTAAACGCAATCGATAGCTTCACGACAGAGAAATCATCCAATTAAAGACGAGTTAATTTCAATATTGATTGAGTTTAAGTCAATTAGAACGCATGGTGACTATATGAATATGTTTTCTCATGAACGCTAATGTATTTTGAAGACAGAAAGAAACGAACTTCATGAATAGATTATATTTTTATATCAGGAAAACAACAGCAAAGAAAACGATATGTATTTGATATAGATGAAAGAGAGAAGACACAGAAAAAGAAACGAAAAAGATGCAAACATCTTATTATTCTAAAATGACTTTCAAGTAATGTGCTAAGAAAACGGATTTGTGTATTTTAACACATAGGTGGGTTGACAAAACCGAAAACATTCAGCTCAATTGATAAGGAAAAAATCACGAATACTCCATAAATGCCAAGGAAAAATATACCGAGATTTTTATCCAAATACCATTGGCGACGATGAAAACTAATCACCTAATAGACAAGAAAAACATCATCAATACAATCCTATCTTGTCTATTTATTGACTTCTTACTGTTAAAGCGACAATACCAAGTAAAAGAACGGAATCATACATCAATCCATTGGAATTAATGTGCACTGCTTCTCCACTAATTAATGTTTTAAAAAACCATGGCAATGCAAGACCAACAAGTAGATCAAACACATTTGAACCAAATGTGTTCGATACACCCATATCAACCAAACCTAACCATACAAATTGGTTCGAACAACTAGTAAATTGTTATCCATAATCTTCTTACCTTGACGAACAACCAGAACACTGCTCATGGCATCTGGTACGCTGCTACCTGCAGCTAAAAACGTGATACCCATGACACTATCTGGTATACCAAAAGTGAAACCAATAATAGTAACCATCCAGACCATCAAATAAGTCAGTAGACATAACCAAACAATGGACATGACAAACGTACATGGATACCACTTAAACCATCTGTTCAAAAGAAAGCATTTTTATTGGTGTAATAAAGTTTATTTACTTACCTTGGATTACGACAATCGGGAATGGTAAAATGAAAAATAATTTTAATCGGTGCTGTAACTGCCCATTTCGCGAAATTGACGGGATCATAGTTGTAATTCGGAATATTCTTCCAGTCATCATAGTTCTCGTCGGCAGCTAGTAGGCTGAAAAGTAAAATATATTTTTCCGTTGATGAAATACCTCATTTTGTATTGAATAGAAGAGATTTTACCTCGGTGTTCGACCTTGATAAAACGAGAATCGTCTCTCGTTTGCTGGTTTTTGTGGACGTATTACTCCTTGACCATGTTGAGTTCGTAGCTATAAACACCGAGATAACTAGGCGTTCTTCTACTGATTTGATTTATCTCACGTGACTAATAACGAACCGCACAGCCATTCGGAATCGAGTACGATTTCGAAAATATCTTGACATCATGATTTTCAATGCTGCCGTTTCGAAATCAATCGGTATGCGTGAGCGAGCAATAACTTCATCGACTGGTGCTTGTCTCTGTTGCATTGGTGTACTATTATAATTTTGACCTTCATCGTCATCAAATCGTTCTAGAACAAGCATCAATTCGATTCAGAATGAAAACTCCAAAGAACTAACCGTAAGTATTTTTCGCTCCGTATGTTTTTTGGACATTAGCTGGATTGATGATTGGCTCATCTGAGTAGCCAAACGTTTGGAAAACTTGCCATCGACTAAGAATTGATTGTCTCATACGTTGATTATTACTAAACAAAGGGCATTTTTCGTCTTTTCATAGCAAACAAAGTTATAATCCATTCTCACCACATGATAGCAATATAGCCTGCGTACATGAGAAGAAGAAAAGTCGATTCAAATAATGTAATGCGTCCATCAGATAAACACTACAACATGAATAGAATCTCATTTAACGGCATTCAATCAGTTTAGTGACATTCACCATGATTAAAACTAAGATCGACAATGAGTAGTAAATTGAATCACGACATAATGGCCTGAAATAGATCATGTAGATACATAGATTCATGGAATGCTTTCTTCAATAAACATGATCATGACATACCACCAAGTCAGTCGGATAGCCTGTTGAAAACAAATGATGAAATTAGAAAATCATCGTTTATTTTTAGACTTACTGCATTCACAAATAGACCGCATACACCAATTACACAAACGATGTTAAAAACAGCCGAACCGACAATTGTTCCAACCCCCACGTCACCTTTGGCAACAAAGATTCCTAGAAAGCACGTCGTTTAGTTTTCTTCAACAAAATCTTTCTTGATAATCAAAAATTGATCTACCGATAATAGCAGTAAACAGTTCTGGCGACGACGATCCACCGGCCATAAATGTTGCACCGGCGACGTCTTCATCGAGACCCAATGTCTGTGCAAAAAAAGTTTCTATTAAATATTCACATTTCAAACTCAACCACCTCCTTACCGCACATAATTTGTCTAATGCAGATATAAAATAATCGTCAACGACAACAGCGATAGCAATGAATATGTAAAGACAAGCTATAAAATGGAATACTATCGCTCCCTGGACAGAAAGAAAAGTGATTTAGTTTTGATTTGTGAAATCGAATTGACTTACACTACGGCGTTGTGATTGGGTAAAAAGGTCTTCGGGAAATTCATCAATAGCTGCAATAAAGACAAACGAAAATAAGAAATGTTATTTTGTGAGTCATTTATGCTTTTTGGAAAATCTCCTTTTAACAAGATAGAGAGTGAGAGAAAGAAAGAAAGAAGCATGTAGAGATTAGATTATGAGACTTCTTTATTTGATAATTTAATTTGACATAAATTATTGAAGGAGAAAGAAGATTCCTTTTATTTTCTCTGTTTATAAGCAGACTAGATAAACAGGAGGAAAAATGTTTTGAGAAGGAAAAAATCAAATCATACGCACCTGGTTCCGTACAATTTTTCAGTTGACCAGGCTGCCAACTGGCACTGTTGGATAGAACAGTGGTACTGATGACGATAGTTGTCGTTTTCTCGTCATCATCGCGATCTAAATAAATAAAATGTCACCTTCATATTCTTGTCATATTCAATAAATGGAGAAGGAATTCAACCGCAATTCTCCGGAGAGATTATCTAATAAAGTATCATGCTAGGTTTTGTTGATATAACTAGCGTTCTTCGACGATATCCTATGTTGATTGTCGTCTTTTCCGGTGTTAGTAAACAGATCGAACATGATTATTGTCAATAGGAGAAAATAAGGAAAACTAAATCATTTACCATTTGATGGAGTTGTTGATTGTGTTTTTTGCGGTCGATATTTCCAATTTGATTTCGTACTACTGGGTGCGGCATCACTCGGTCGAACGCGTTGCCCGATGACATGTGCCAAAGCGAGACCAACGAGAATACGAATAAAGAACTTGACGTTATGTCGATTGATAAACTGACCCCTCGTGGAATGTTGTTTGTGCAACAACGAAATCGGTGAATTTTGCATGTCGATGAGAAGAGGATGTACTCGACGATTACCAGTCAAGTCATCGTTTGGTCTTCTCTTTTTTCGGATTGTTGTGTTATTGTTGTCATTGTGATGAACCTTGACTAAAGATATGTTGTAGTGTGTCACTCAATTCTTTCAACTATTTTTGCATTTGCTCAGCGCATCTTACGCTCTCGAGTTTTTTTTGTGTTTCTTTATCAAGTATTGCAAAGAGCGCGACTTCTCTTAGTGGAAGAGAGAACCGGAAAATTTTCTGTCGAACTAAGAAGAAGAGCATAGAGAAAGAGAAACAGAGACAGAGAGTAACTGCTCGGAAAGAGATAAAGAAAAAAGACCGCTATACAATTAATTATCGCAAATAGAGGGGGCGAACGAGAAGGGAGACAGAATGCATTTCAACGGAAAACTAGAGAGAAACGAGGATCGTATTGTTGATAATTCATAAGGAAAAGACAGGAAAAACGCCAGTGACACGGAGCAGATATACAAAACTTGAACGAGTTAATGTGACGAAAGAGAGAAAAAGAAAAAGAAAAAAAAAGAGAAGAAATGTCGATGTCGATCGACATGTTTACGCGAAATCAGTAAAAGTCGCTTCTTGAATATTATCGAAAGGAAACGGGGGGAGAGATAGAGAGGGAGAGGGATGAAAAGAAAGCACAAAAGTTAGATATGTTCACATACTCAGTACCCTCCTTCTAGTCTCGTTACTTTCTTTTCGGTCGTGTTGTGACAAGAAAATTGTGCTTTTTCCGTCTCTTGGTCTCGGTTTCATTGCTGTCAAATTTCTAGCCGAGCGATTCAACATGAATGATGAACGTGCATGCAACCGAGCAAGAAAGTCGCAATAAGAAATGTATACAAAAGACGGCGTTAGGATAGAATTGTAGTCGGATGTCAATACTGTTTCTACTTCGAAGCAAATATAAAATTTAATCAAATTTCTACGATGATTTCTTTGAAAATAATTCGCGCTTGTTATGCACTGTGATTGTACTTTTCATCTTTGTTCATGCTCACATTATCATCGACAACGGGACAGCAGAATAATTCGATGAGTGTTCAAGAAAAACAATCGAAAAGATTCAATCGAGAGTTTAAATATCCTTCACAGATACCGAAATTAGTTCAAACACAATTCGCACAATTTCTCAATAATCTTTTAGAATATTCCAGTGAGTTGGCTTATTTTGCAATCAATGCATTTCAAACATCATCATTGCGACGCGTGCAAGTGAATACAATGGTAATGTGAAACTAGAAAGTCGAATCTTTTTTATGAGTTTGTCTTTTCCAGCAACGTTTTTCTGGTTTTTGTCTACCTCGAACATGTGTGTTTTATTACAATCTTGACACAGAATTTGATAATTTCGTTCAAAACATGCGCACGCTTTGTGCACTAGGTAGAAACAGCGAAGCTATCATTTCTAACAAGAATTGTTTTTCAAAATCTAGCCAAACGAACATTTTTGGATATACGAGTCACAAGAATTCACGCTTCCGACAGTAAAATGATGAGTTTACCAATCATCCGTCGGTCTATAGAGATCTTCAAATGTAATATTAATCGGTTACGTGATTTGAAGCGACTCCATGAGAACATTGACCATGATCTTCTGTTGCCCAATGATCAACTGTATCTTGCTCTTGATTTGCTTCTAACCGATTTCGAATTGTTAAACTGTGAACTAGATGCTGAAGTATGATTACATACAATATTGCTCGTCTCATTTTTTGTTTCATTGTAAGGTCAAATTCGCTGATGCAATGATTTTGCAAACTATTATTAAAGGTACGAGTGATTTTCTCGATGGAAAACTGCCAGAAAAATTAAGTTCTCTAAAACAGTATTAGAAAAAGTATTATCTTATTGTTAATGCACGACTTATTCTTTTATGTTCTAAAGAATCGTTTTCGTAAAAGATTACGTTTGTTCGATCGACAGACGAGAACTGATTGAATCTAATGGAAATGGACGTTCTATAGACTACAGATGATTTCTTGTTGTCTAGATATATTTCTCCAATTTCGTCTTGCATTGTCGTGGATTTATCCTGCTATACAACATGCTGCTTATCGCCCCGGAGATCCAAATCCGGAACATGAAGTGAAAAAATGTGATCAACAAGCGACTATTCGGCACGTGGATAATTTCTGCGGGAAACGGAAGGAAAAAAGATCGAATGAATCTGATCTTCGTTCGTTGACACATTTGAAAAGAGATAGAAATGAAAATTGTGTTAAGGAAACAACTAAAGATATAGAAAATGAAAAGAAAAAAAAGAAATATTCAAGAAAAATACCTGTCATACCCACTATTAATAACGATTTTCATCGATATTTACATAAGAAAAAGCTCCATAGCACAGGCATAATACATTTAAAACGATCGCAATCAAATCCAAATATACTTTCTATGGTATGCATTCATGTAAAAATGAACTGAATATGAAATTATCAATTTTAGATTAAAAATATATCAGAAATGAATTATAAGTGATCGTCAGCGAAATTCCCCTACGTCTGCACTTACAAATCTGATTGCATTTTGCAACGGATACATGTATTGGCTTGTTCTTTGTCTTCTTATTTTCTCTGTGATGTGCACTTCACATCTGCTTGTTATATTTACATTCTCTCAGTGCATGCGTGTGAGAAAAAAAATCTTTTTTTTTCTTAATGCATCTCAACAATGGTTTCAATGCGAAATAAACAGTACTTGTTCAACATTGATACTAACTTCCTTTTGTTTGAACGGAAACGTTGTTATTAAGAAAGAAAGAGCGCCGAACAAATAGCGCGATATTCAAATATTGGGTTTTTATCGGAAAAAGTTTTTTTTAACACAAATTGTTACAGTAAGATTTTTTTCCTGTATTTATTTGTTGATTGAAAAGAAGAAACTTTTGTCATTGTCAAAAGTGTAAATTGATGATTCAAGAGCTAGAATACCAGTGCTAGTTGCTAACATGAGTTTTGTGAGTAATCAACATTGACAAGAGTTTGTAATTAAACGTATGACACGTGTCCATCCTTCTGACTTACAGCAAGGAAATAACCATGGCTGTGCCAATTTCTCAAGTTGATTCGGAACAGAAATCAACGTGGCTCGATGTTCCTGCAAGGCAAGATCCATACTCGATAAAATAGTAGAATATTTTTCAACATCTAACGGCGACTCTTCCGCAGGATCCGCTTCAATATCGAACAATAATGGAGGCGAATGTTGTGTGCTAAGACATGGACATATAGTCACACTAGGACAAGCACGAAGGTCTTCATCCCATTTCGGAGTCCAATAGTGTGCTTTATACTTACCTTGGCGTATAGCTGTTACAGTCGAACCACAATAATGAAACAAAGTATTTCGTTCATTTGATGAAGACGACGATGATGTAATAGAAGTTGTCAATTCCAATTGTGGCCATAGACTGACGCCGTCAAGAGGACGATTTGCATCTGATTTCAAATTCCATAAATCCAACAGTGAGGGATAAAAGTCTAATAGAGAAGAAACATGCCCGATGGTCTGATTAGCAATGACATGTCCTGGCCAACGAATTATACCAGGTACACGAATGCCACATTCCCATGTTTGTCCTTTGGCACCTCGTAATGGTTCACTCCGTTGACCCGTTGCTGTTACAGCACGTCCACAAAAGCCAGCTTCGATGCCGCGTTCAAGAAACGGTCCATTGTCAGAAGAAAAGAAAACCAAAGTATCGTTTTCAATATTCAAATTTTTCAACGCTTGAAGAATCTGTCCAACGCTCCAATCCAATTCTTCAACATTATCACCATAAGCACCATGACGGCTACGTCCGGCATTTTCAGGCAAAGTAAACAGTGCTGTGTGCACTTTGATGTATGCCATGTAGAGAAAGAATGGTTTCTTATGATTGAGAATGGTTTCATTCATAAATGCGATTGCTTGATTTGTATTACGAAGTGTCAAATCTGCGAGATGTACAGGCTGCTCAATGATGGTTTCGTTTTGATACAGCAAACATGAAGAACGACTAAGCAATGTAAACGAAAGTGTGTACCACATCCCACCGAAAAACCCAATAGCACCGCAAAATAATATCATTAGAGCCAGTTTGTGGGAATACAATAGCCATGTTGCCAGCGCAATACCAATAAATGCTAACCACGCCTTAAGAAGATAAGAAATGAAAAAATATGCTACAAGTCAAAGGATAGTAAATGATGGATAATTTACTTTGCCAGTCAATGCCAACCAATATGTTAGAAAAGATCGTTCGAGAACTTGTCCATGTCCACCGATTAAGTCGTAGATCTTTTTATTTCCACATGTCTGAACATTGGTTACAGGCATGCCGAAGAATGTATCAAAACCATGACGCGTTGGTAAATGTTCGCCATCTCGTCCTAAACCCAAATGCCATTTTCCGACTAAACCAGTACGGTAACCGACTTGTTGAGCAACTTCAGCAATAGTTGTCTCATCGTGTGGCAAACCACCCGGTTGACCTGGAGAATTGAACGTCCGAAATCGATTATCGTTTGAGGTTAAACCTAAACGAATTGGATAACGTCCTGTTAAGAATCCTCCACGAGATGGTGTGCATATTGGAGCTGCCGAATACATTTGTGTATATCGTGCACCATCACGTGCTAATGAATTAATATGTGGCGAGGCAATGGTTGAATTTCCATAACAACCTAAATCTCCATAGCCTAAATCATCCACAAGGAATATTAGGACATTCGGAGTTGTTGATTGAGAAAGATGAATGAAATATAAGAGAATCGCATAGATTTCAGATAGAAATTTCATTAGTATCTAGATATATTTCGTAAAGCAAGCTCTGCTTATGATACGAAGAGTGTAGAAGTCTTGATAAATATATCGTGGCGTGATCACTACAACGTCACTATTTATTTTTCTGCTTCTTCTTTACTTCGTAATCAGTGGCCGATCTTTGGCATCGACGAAGAATATTCCTCGAGAGAGAAAGTCTTTTATCGAAGAGATCTAGAGATTGTGCATTTCAAATTTAATGAAGACAATAATTAAAAAATGTCCTTATGAAACGAGAAGCCAAGAAGAACACGCAAAATGTGTCCTTCAGTATCAAAGTCAGAATGAGATATCTTATCATCAAATTTATGCGAATCTGATATGTATGTTACAAACGTTCGTTCTCCATGTATGTATCAGATGACTTTGATTGAGTACTGATTGAGTTGAATCCGTTCCTTCAACTCAAAGATGTAGTAAAGTTCACGTACACAGGAACTAAGACGCACAAAAAAATCCTTATTTTCAGGTGGATATTTTTGATTAAATTCGAGATTATCTTTATAACAAAAGAACTCATTGGTATCTACCGAAACTGTACAATGCAAGAGTTACTTTGTAAGATCGTTACTCGAAAACAAATAACTTTCAATAGAGGTCACTAATACATTCTTCATCTCTCTCTTGTGATTTCTTTAGGACATCCACCAATTGTTAAAAGAGTGTCAAAAAATGATGATTATTTAGCTCGTCGTACTATTATATGTGTACCTTTTCTTCTTATCATCATACATACTGTATTCAATGTCATCTCCGATTACGACTGAATCGGTAAAACTTCGCAATACGATTGTTTCACGTGACTAACACATTTCAGTTTAGAAACTAGCATTCACTTCGCTACGAATCTGGCCGGCTTATGGTGCCTTACCTTCGTTCGATCCTGAGTGTCTTTGCGTTCTAGTAAGATTTCATTTATTTATCTGCGAGTGTTTCTCATATTTCTTCTAGGCACATCTTGCTTTTTCTCGGTTAAACGTCCATATAAAATCAAATCTAAGTCGATTTATATTCGCCAAAGGTAATATTTGTATGTTTTTGTAACAATTTCATTCATCACTCATTTTTCAATGCATTATATAGAACGTCTACCACTTTTACTCGGTGATAATGATAAAATCTCTCTCGCGGTCGGCTACGAAGCGATCGTTGATCATTGTAGAAAATCAGTAAATCATTGTTTACTTGTCCAAAACATATACGTTGCTCTTCTATTTAGCATATCGATATCGATGAACAATCTTCCGTCGATGTTGCTGATTTATTAGCATTAAATGCCTTAATTAAATCAACATTTGTACCTGCTGTCGTACGTTTGATCAATGAATTGTCCGTTGAAATTCAAAGCAAGTTTGTTTGTTTAGTTGGACACATTTTGGTTGGATGATACCTATCGAAGTTCGATCATTAATGTTTACGCTCGACCATTAGGTGGATTTCCTCTTGCATTCATCTATGGTAAACAGACAACAGAAAAGATAAAAGATCAATTCAATATTACTTATGGTGATAAGAATTTTGAGCAAACACGAAAAATGGTACGGGAGATTATTTCGGATTGTCGAGAATCGATCTGATTTATTTAGATATTTGAAAAAGGTAAAAAAGCTATAGATCATTTGACGTCTGTACTTGGTAAAAAACCATTTCTGTTTGGTGCTAGGTAAATATATATTCAGATTTCCCGTACTATTGATGACTTCGCCGTTTTAGTCCTACAAGTGTTGATGCATACGTTTTCGGATATCTAGCTCCATTGATTCACGGTCCAGCATCGAATAGTGGCTTAGCACGATACGCATCTGGCCGGCAAAATCTTCGTGACTTTGTTGATCGAATATTAACTGTATATCTTGGTGATTTAGGTAAATACTTTCAATGAAAGAAATCTGTTTTAATCGAAAGTTTCTCGTTTTCTAGCAAGAGATAGTTCGCCAAGTGAACCCGTTTCTACAACAGTACCTGCCATGCCGAAAGAAGATCGTCTTCGAGATAAGATCGCTGTCATTGGCGTTGGAATATTAACTATGTGTGCCTATGCATATTTTTCTGGGCTTATTCGCATTGAGATCAATCAAGTCGAATGACATGTGTGTGCGTGCGCGTGCGTGTGCGTGATAGTTATATTAAAAAAAAAAGAAAGAAAACAACGCAACAGTTCCTATTCTTTAGGCAATGATATTTAGATTGATTTTCTTTTTTTTGTAGAAGAAATTTTTCGTGTCTCCTATGGAAGATTTAGTCTTAGCCAGCTTAGATTCCGTAAGCATGTTTTGAAAATGAGATGTTGTCTCTAGTTATGGAATCTTCTAGGCAGTTTTTGACGTGGACAATTTGATTGAGAATATTGCCTATAAATCAACCGATGGAAATGTCATCAATGAAAACTTTGATCCATACGTCTTAGAAGGGAAATTTCGTCAAGCAATGTCGATTTTACAAGTAATTGATCGCTTACATTCAGTTTTTGTATTCTGGTTTTGCTCTTTCAGGATTGTCAAGTCCAAACCGAACAAAATATCAAACATCTCGAAGAAGCATGCGAGAAAGAACGAAATACCTGGGCCAATAGTGTTGCACAACTTGAAGAACTATACCAAGTAGATTATTCTCTAGTTTGTGCTGAAATTCATAGTGAAACATTTAGTCCACATACACTGGTCAACAAGAACTCGAGATGCGAATTAGTGTAATTTCAACAAAAGTCATTCAAATAGGTCATCAACTTGAAAGCAAAAGCAATCCACGTCAACAACTGGTTGATGCAAGAACAACCGCTAAATATTTAGAACGTTTTCTCGATGCCAACGACGATGTTAGTCTAATGTTTCAAGATGCATCGAAACTTGAACAAGCTGCACATATCATTCATCAGTTATACAATGTGTTGCAAGAATTACCTGATGAAGCGAAGTAAGAGATTGTTTTGGAGAGATGAATCGAAGGCAAAGGTTCATTTTAGGTTTACCGATGCAAAAAACAAAGTCAAAGAGCGTTACATGGCAATTGAAGAAGATCTACTCTTGGAGTTTTCTCGAGCACAAGTTCGAAACGATAAAAAGGCTATGAAGAAATATATCAAACTACTTTCGAAATTTAAAGTATAAATAAAGAGATTTCAATGAATATTTAGGCATATTAATCTTTTTCATTTTAGGGACACAATGATTGCATACAAAATTTTATTACAGATTGTCTAAAAGTAACGTTATTTGACTTTCAATCGAGGAAATAATATATCTTGTTGATATTCAGGGCTATTTCGACAATCCAAATATTGATATATTCAATTCGATTCCACAATTATTTGTCAAAGTTTCGGAACTCATTAATGAACTATTCGATCAACCCGAAAAAGTCACCGAACGATTAATAATTACTGTTTACATGGAAAAATTAGCGGTTAGGCATCATTCTCCTTTGAGAGAACTTTCACTTCGATTAATCTTTCTTTCAGCCTTATGTTCGTGATCAGCTCGAACCATATCTACGTGATCCTGGCCTGGAAAACATGGAAAAATATCTTCAGACGTTGTACACATTGCATAAAAAGTAAAGAGACCATCCTTGTTGATCTATACTCACTGATTTCAAACCATAGAGCAACGAAACTATCTCATGATTTACAAACTCAAAAGATTAGCGACGATCCAGCATTTTTGCACAAGCTCAATCAATATGTTTTCAAAACTTATTTGAAAACCTATAGCGAGTAAGAAGTAGTTTTGCTATTGGATGGATTACATGTGTTTCATTCGCCTTTTTTTTTAAGATATGAATTGAGTTGTTTAGAAGAAAAATTTCAAGTACATCTGGAAAGATTAGAATTAACTGGTGGACAGCGTCGAATGAAACCAACTGGGCTCAGGTAATCCGATATAGTTCATCGTGTTTGATTGACATTTTTGTTTATTTAGCATCACCGATATCATTCAACAACGACTTTTGAATACGGATCAAGTAGATGAATCTCGATTTTCACCTGATCTAGCTGCAGCTCTCTTGAACGATTGTCGAACAGCGATGACTCGAATCACTACTGTTAGTGCTCAAATTCTTCTAGCAAGCCGTTATTTTTCCTTTCCAATCTTTAGTTATCCGAAGGAACGGAGGCGTCGGAAAATATTCTTCAATGTTTTCGACGTTTACTCAATGCTTTGGGTAGTCAACATATTGATACTGAATTACAATATAGTTTACAAGCCATACCTGGTCCAGAACCAAAACAAGAGCCAGACATACGTTTCTTCCAGGCTATACTTCAAACGAACAATAGCATTCAATTGATTGAACGCTATTTCGTCATGGATATTGCCCCGTTGCTTTTGTAAGAGAGTCGAAACCAAGGAATACACACACATGATCGATTTTGTTTTAGAGGTACACAACAGCAAACCGTACTTTTACAATCAAAAGAAAAAGTCTTTGGTCAATTAGAAGAATTAATCAATGTTGGTGTAGACAAGTGAGTTTATTCTTTCCCGAGAGCTTGTCTTCATTAAACTTCTTTGAAGATCTTTATCATGTATTATCGGCTATGCTCGAAATATTCTCAATGAACAAAAACGATCCGATTTCAAACCAGAAAGTGACCTGTCTATATATGAATGTTCACCGGTGAGCACGAAATTCGATTTCTGACAATCGTCATCGCTCGAATTCGATTCGTCTAGATATGTAAACGTGTTGTTCGTTCGATTGACACCCAAATAACTCGACTCGAGCAAAATGTTGATGGAAAAAATTTAATAGGTATTTTAAACGAATTCGGTCTTCGTTTTCATCGCTTAATTATCGATCATGTTTTTAAATTCGAATATAATATCTCAGGTTAGAACTAAGACTCGCAAACGTCATTTGATTTAATTGAAATTTGATTTAGGCGGTTTAATGATGCTGCAAGATGTGAGTGAATATAAAAAATGTTCGAAAAAATTTCGTAGCTCAACCGTTGAACAACTATTCTCCATTCTACATGCACTCGTCAACCTATTGGTTGTTGTACCTGATAATCTTCGTCAAGTTATCACCGAAGGACATCTCGTATGTATATTTTTCGTTGATTTAATTAACTTTTAATTCGACCAACTAATTTGTTTACGTTTTGCTTATTTTTCGTTTAGGCATCATTAACTCGCGATATCATTGAGTCATTTGTACAACTGCGTACGGATTATAAATCAGCTCGATTACACACCATGATTAGTAGCGAGCAATAAATAGACATATCTTTTACATTTCGTTTTTCTTTCGTTATCTTTTATTTAATAAACGTAATTTGTAAGCTATGGAATCACAATTGATTCGAATAAGGAACGTGTACACGATGACTTTTGTGTTATTTTTTTTATGATTTTCACCTTGGTAATATTATATGAAGGCTGACGAATGAGAATGAGGATATTTCACATTCAATAACAAGACAACTGACTGAAGCTATAAAATCTCGTTTCTTAATAACTATAAAGTCTTATCAGAATACTCGGTCCATATAAATTCTGGCTTTTTTGTACAAAAATGCGAAGATTAACGGGTGAAAGCCAATTTTATTGTTTTGAAAAATAACTCAATCTAACGACAATGGAACAAAATACGTTTCTATTATTGTTGACAAGTATTCTAGCTGCAATTGCAACTATTTTCTCGATTGTTGGTGTAGCAACCGATGGCTGGTTTGGTAGTTCCAATCTCTTCGCAAATTCAAATACTGATCGAACAGCGGCTGGTGCTTTGGTCATTATAAGTATTGTCTTTTTGACTGTATCTAACGTATTGAACTTAGTGTTCTGGCGAGGCCTGATCAGTAATTCTGCTGATAAAATTAAAAGTATCGTCCTAGGACTGTTAGTTGGCGCGAGTATCCTTATTATCATTGCCTGTTCGCGTACGATTGCTGCTGCTGCTACTGCTATACAGGTGAAGGACTTTAGTTATCATCTAGCAACTACAAGTGGTATTCTTGCCTTTTTATCAGCAATCGTTTTTGCTCATTGGCTTGGACGTACTTCAACACCGTTTGTTTACTAGGTCAATGCTCGATCGTTTTTAAATAAGTTCATTTTAATTCGTTCTGTCAGTTTTGAAAATGTATACGTTCATTATCTTTTTTTTTAATAAATGTGATTCGATCAGTGATTAAAGAATTCAACAACAACCAGATTCATTCTATCACTCAAAGTTGAATAGATCTATACACCTATCAATATCAAATGTATCAAGAGTGAAAAGCAAGCTCATTGTCTATATCTTTTTGTATTGTCTCCTCCTTATTTCAATTTTTAACCTGAATTAGGACCTGACCGCAAATATCGAACTTTCACCGAGCAACTATATGTGATCGCTCAACCGTAGCTATTTCGTTGGGACATATCAAATGGAGAAGAAGAAGAAGAAGACAACGACGACGACGAAGAAGAAGAAAAGATATGCACAGACAAGGAGGGAGAGGGAAATAAACGAAGAGACTCAACTATGAATATAGAGAAAATAACAAGGTATAGTCAATAACATATAACGATCAACCATTCATCAAATTGAACATTCACCCTGTGTGACCTACGTACAGGAATATACGTTTTTATTCGTTTTGGTACACTATTTTTCCTACGGTTAACTTTCGTTGTACGTTGTCGTTCCTTCGTTAAAACTTTTTCTTAATGTCATATTCGAATAAACGGAAGAAGAGATAACTTGTTTAATTAGTAAATGGACACTTTTTTCTCGTTTCTTCTTATGCTGTACATTTTTTATGTTTATTAGAAGAGAAAAAATTGATGATGAAGGTAGATAACCATCTCCCATATCATCGTTACTGTGCAGTCTTCCTTTAGTTGCTTATTCTGTACCAAAGTGCAAAACGAGGGACAGAAAGAGAGAGAGAGAGAAAGATACGCTCATTTTCTTTCTCGAATAATTAAATGTACGATGATGAATGTATATGCTCACCAATCTATTTCTTCCTTTTTGAATATACTATAGACTTACTTTATATTTCCCTTATATTTCACAAACGAAGAATACGTGATCAGATAGGTATCTGTCTTTCTTTCACTTTCTCTCTCTCTCTCTCTCTCTCTCTCTCTTTCTGCCCCTTTTCAACTCATCACCGTCGTCTTCTTTTCTCGTGTAACTTCAAATAAATTTCGTCTTTTTCTCTTTTGTCGTGTATCTTGCGATCACTAGAGACTAAAAAACTAGTAAGTTCACTGTTGATTTGTGTCATAGCCACTTAACGAAAGACAATTGTATGTGTGAAGAAGTAAGTAGAGATCGTGATAAGTGAAAGGTGACGTCGAAGACATGGGTGTTTTCATCTTCGATCTGAATTGACAATATTCAAGGTTTTAATAACGGAAAAATATCGATATAAATAATATTTCTATTTATATTTCATTTACTTTTGACGCTACTCGTTAGTAAGTGATATCAGTGGAAAAAACCTAAAAATAGGTCCTGATGCGCTTCTCGAAGAGACAAGCATCTTTTCAATTACCAGGGAAAGCGATTTTTTCTGTAGCAAATGTTCACCTGCGGTTATTACATCGAGGCAGAGAAAAGAGACGACGAAAGAGAAAAAGGGTGCGGGTGAAAATAAAAACCATAACGGCACAACTCTGGCTATTTTAATTATTCAGTATATAGATGTGTTTCTCTGCATTTACATAGTTGCTCTGATGATATCGTTTTTTAAGGTAATATAAAATATTGTAGTTTTAAATGATATTTTGCTCGATATTATCAAGGTTATAAATTTTCCAATATACTTTTAGATTTGAAATTTGCCTTTGTTATTTATTAATTTCATGTATCCGACAAGTGCGTTTAGTCAACCTCCGCTAGGTTATCCCTACCCTGGCCAACAACAACCACCAGGCTCAATTTATCAATCTCAATATGGGGGCGTAGGCGGTTTTAATCACCAAGTGCCACCACCTTTTCAACCAGGCTCGCAGCCACGCGGCCAATCGTTGCCAGCATCTGGCAGACAATATGCACCCACTGGCAATTTTGCCCCACCACCTACATCAACGTCATCATCTCGTCGTCATCAACATGGTCCATATCCTCCGCCAGCTCCATCTCAACATTATGAATATCGCAGTACCCAAGGATCGAAAAGTGAGGCACTTTAATTAAATGTGAGGTGAAGGTGAAATGTACTTCTGCCATTGAATTAATTAGGTAAAAAGCATCACAAACGACGAAGTGTTTCACCAAGTGCCGTTGAACAAGGTCTATACTCAGATCAAGAACAACCGCGAAAAGAACGAACGGAACCAGCGGAAGCACCACAAAATCGTAGTCGTAGTGCATCACCTGCACTAGCAAGCCGTTCGAAACATGAAGGAACAACTGATAATAGTCAACCACAGCAGCAGCAGCAGCAGCAGCAACAACAATCAGCACAAAATTCAGCACAGCAATCTCAAGGTGCTGAAGGTGCTCCCAATGAACCAATACCAGCAGGCGTAGCCCGATCAGAAGAAGAACAGGCCGTGGGAGATCCTGAAAAACGTAGATCGTCGTCAAAGAAAAAAAGGCATCATCGCCGTGATCGTTATGAAAATTATTGTGCTCCACCACCGCCAGATGCTGCGCATGATCTCAGTCCAAATAATCTCTTTCATCCACAACCACAGTCAGCATATTTCGGAGAGTACCAAAACGAATTACCTCCACAACTAAAGGTAATTATTTGCAAGGAAAAATACAACATCTTGTAAGATGCTATTCAATTTTCATAGGTTCATCGTCAACCATTGTACAATGGTTACAATCAAGCTTATGAAGAATCAATTCGTCGTGGTGACGTTTATCGAAAACAAGCCAAACGTTCTACACGTTTACCACCGGAAGTGAAACAACAGCTACTGCCTCATGAAGATGATCAACAAAATCATTCGTTACCCATAACTCAGCCACCACCCACACAACAACAATATCCGTATGGTCCTGCTTCAGGTTATCCACCAGCGCCACCTCCACAACAGCCGCCTGCATCTGGACCACCTTCCTTACAACCCTTCGGTACTACTCGTACAACGTATAATCCCTATCAACCCTATGCTCCTCCACATGCGCAAACGAGTTACTATAGTACTATGCCAGCATCTCTACCATACAACACTCTACCACCATGGTCCAACGTTAGTCCCATTAGTGGACCAGCTGAACAAGAAATTCAACGTCTACGTAGTCACATTCATACATTAGAAGGTGAATTACATAAGTTACAACGAAAACTTAATAAGGCAACATTAAATAATAATGAAGCAGCTGGAGGACAAGGTGATCGTAGTCAAGATGAGGGTACGCGTTCGCATCGACGATCAAAACGCGATGGTATTGGTTCACCAAGACAAACGCCGGTCATTGTAGAATTGAATAATGCTACGGGTGAAGCTATTCGGGATTCTTCATCGAAAAAACATCGACATCGCACACCAAGTAGTACAAGTGCTCAACAAGGACAACATGGCTCTGCTCAACAAGATGTATCAACAGCTCAGCGTACAGTTGACAGTGCTGTAGGCCAAGAAAAATTAGCGTCCACTACTGCAGGATCTGAACAGCAGGCGAATCAACAAGCAGTCGATGCACGTGATCGGTATGCCAATCTAATAAAAAAGCAAAATAAATTGTAAATTCAATTTATATTTTTTTCTTTCTCCTAGCTCACGTTCGGGCGGTAATCAAATACCTGAAGCAGACAAAGCTGTTGCTTCCAAACAACCACGTGAAGAAGCTGCCGCCCAATTAGCACATGCAGCTGCTGCTCACGTGAATAGCCGTCCAGGAGTAGTTGCTGGAGGTCCTGCGCCACCTCCACCACCGCCTGTTCAACAAAATCCGCGTCCACAAGTACCTAACCCTCAACAACAACCGCCCCAACCGCCCCAGCAGCAACAACAACAGCCACCACCACCGCAACATCAACAACAACAACAACAATTTTTGTTCCAACAAGGCGTTATACAAGGTCCAGGACAACAAATTCGTGGTCCAGCTCCACGCCTGCCAGGTCCAGGTAACATTCGTTTTCCAGCAGATCCATATCAACAGCAACAACAACAACAACAACGTAATTTACCGAATCCAAATTATAATCAATCGAATAACAATGAATTATTTGATTATATGGATGACGATGAAGAACGACGTAAACAAGATGAACAAAGTCGATCAGCGGAAAAGATCCTCGATGCTTTTGAACGTTTCTATGTTAATCGAGGTAAAGCAACGACAGTTCCCATGAAAGTAAAATATATTCCCGAAGACGATAACATTGGCACCAAACGCTCGCATCATCACTATCAACAACGAAATACCAATAATAATAATCGATATCGCTCAACAAGTCGACAAACTCAAAGCAATAGCTCATCAGAATCGGAATCTGATTCTGAATCGATTTATTCGCATTCACCATCTTCCTCACGTCGTTCGTTATATGACAATCAAAATCAAAAAACGGTAAATACATGCACTGAAAGCGAAAAAAAAGAACGAGGTCGATATCAATTTCTTTCTTTTAGACGATCGGCCCGTTTATATGATGACCAAACTCGATATTTTCATCATCTAACTGATCGTGAGAATGGAAGTCTAGGACATCAAATGTGTGTTGTTTTCTGTCAATACAGAGACGAATAAATCGCTCCTACATATAACAAAAAATAAGGCGTCTAGGCGATCTTATTTGTCAATCTTCTCTTTCTCATTCTTCATCTTTTGCACTTTCAATTACTATTTCCTTTATTCATAAGTAAAATCATGAAAAAAAATAAAAAGTGTTCCGTCTCTTTTTATTGTTTGTATAATTGTCTTCTTTCTCTTTCTGTCTGTTTCTCTCCTATTTCTTATCCGTTTTTAGTTTTACTCGTTTGGTCTTTAGAATTAGACGTTTATTCGTCTTCTTTTGAATATTATTCCCGTACAACATTTTTTTTTGTCAATCTTTTTTCGATTTTTTTGCTTTTTATTTATTCCATTCTCAATAGATTACAGGTCGTCTTTTTTTTCCTTTTCTTTTGCACATCAATTTATTTATTCATCTGGGTGCATCTGTCCAATCTGACAGCTTGTCGTGATTTATACATTAGATATTCGTTATGAAAGTCGACCGATCGATTTATAAGTATCAAATAAAAGAAAATGGGTGGGAAAGAAGATACACATATGTAGACGTTTGGGCGTATCACAAAAGATCAAATCACTGTTGTCCTTAAGATGTGCCGTCAAGTAGATTAGATTGAAATAACTGATTGGTATTGTTTGTCATTTGGAATCACTGATAATTGTTTGTTTTCAACATATCTGTTGAACTCACGTTGACATATTCTTGTGATTTTATTAATAAACCATATCGACTCGGTGGTTTCTTCTTATTTTGATATGTTGATATCAGCGATGGCAAAATACATAAACATAAGAAGACGATGAACAATATTTGGGTTAACTTCATGTTAAATAAATGATTCGAGTCTTGTTGTTGATTATTTATAGAATACGATAAGGAGAAAGCGAAGTCTTTTATGAGTGTCGTAAAATCAACGAGAAGTTTATTATCCTTATTCATCTTTGAGATAATGAGCAAGCATTATTTGACTTCGTGACGAAATTTTCGGTGTGCATTGAGAAACCGAATCTGTCCGAAGCATTGTCCTCACACGGATTTTTCATTGATCTATTTGCAGATTGTTAATAAACGCGACGATTTTTATCTGATTTCAATCCCGATAGGTCGCTTATCTGATTGACACTTCAATTATTTGATTAAACGCGAAAAACGAAATTTCAAATTGACTTTTGAACATTCATTTTGTCATCCTCCGATATTCGCCTGAATAAGACAAAAAAAAACTCTTCTCTATTTTCGATTATTGTCAATCACCAGATGGCCTTTGATAGTGAGAATTAGAAAAATATTGACAAAGTCTTCTTTTCCACGGCAAACAAATGTTTCATGTCAATATGTTTACGATGACGAAAATGAGTCATTTAATGTTTGTCATCGAGAAAGATTCAATCTAACAATTAGAACGTTTGCCTGTGTGGATGTCTACGTCATTGTACACATATGGAAGAGAAAGAAATAGGAAGAATCATCGAGAGAAAGAGAGAGAAAGTCGATGTCGTCTAGCACTTATTGCGAACTTGTTTTTGTTTGTTGTTGTATTAAGAAGAATCCTGGAGTCATTCGTCATTATTGATCGGATGAGAAGTTTTCACTGTCGCGAAAATGTGGCTAATAGCGATTAACTTCTTGATTTTCTTGCATATTAATATTTTTCTTCACGGCGAAGAAATCGACTGTGGAACACCATCAATTTCGAATTTTGTTCGAGATTCTCTCCCAAGAATATGCTTTGGCCAAGATTCTGCCGGCTTTCTCAATTATTCCATGGATCATGTCGATTTTTACAATGCACATTGTCGATTGTATCAAGACGTGAAGGAATGTTTAGAAACGAAAGTCAAGCGTTGTGACAGTATCCAAGCTGGCTTTACGCGACATGCATTGAGTTTAGTTGAAAGTTATCAATTGCCTATCGAATATTTTGATTTCGATGCGAAAATCTATGATGACAATCATTATCTACAAAATTTAATTCCATTTTGTGATGGAGACAAACTTTCGCGTAAGATCGTTTGTCCGAGTCAATAGAATATCTTGATCGATTTCGTCTTCTCTAGATCATTTCAGTCGACAGTTCGATAGCTCTTTATTAAGTTGTCTGTCCAATTCCACTTTAACGAAACATAAACAATGCTTAGCAACATTCAAGAATAATATTCAAACGATTCTTCAAACAAAAGCTTCATTGAACGAAATCACAAAATGGTCCGAAGATTTCCTTCGATGTATTTACAATTCGATCCCGACGACTTGTCCAACAGCAACAAAAGAAGTATTCGTCTTTCGAGAACTATTAGCTGTTCCTGAGAAACATACTAATGCCACGACGCAAACATTGAATATAAATAAAATCGTCAAACAAAAACTACCAAGTCAAAATGTACACGATTTTGCACAATCTAAACGAGCAACATCATCAATTCATGGTAGGAATTATCTCTGATGAGTCAGACTGTATATTAATGAGAATTATGATCGATAGATCCGCGACATTGGCAGGATGATTTATGTTACAGTAGAAGAAAGAATATTATCAGTAACGAAACCATCTGTTTGTCTGTCTGAGAAATATTAGACTTTCGACATGTACAATAATATAATCCTTATGTGTATTGTCTTTCATCGATTCCTTTTTTCACCATATACACAATGAATCACTCGTTTCAGGAGCATTAGTAACCCATTAAACGACCGATAGTATGAATCAACATGAATAGAATGCGTACTGAGCTAGGAGAATAGCGACGGAAATAGTCGGCGAATGATCGTGCTCTCAAATATATTATTGATAAACAAATATCAATAGATGATGTTTATTATTATAACTAATAGTCGCAGAACTGTTTCAATAAAATCTGAGGTTCTTATCAATTAGAAAGATTTACGAACATCTTCATCGAAGTAAAGATAAGTCAATCGTTCTTATGCAAAGGACAAGCAAATAAGTAAAGAATGTTATTCTATCGATAATCTACATTCTTTTCGTACAAAGAAAACATGTTGTTAAAGAAAACTGATCTTCGATTTTAGGCGATCCGCATATTGTTCAATTACATACGGCAAAAGCGATAACATGTCGATTATTACATAATCGTACTTATATATCAAATCCCCATTTTAAAATATCGGGTATATCGAAACATGTAGGTGATCCACAACTGACTGCAACTGCTATCACATCATTAAGAATTGAGTTCTACAATACTCACGGAGATGTCTTAGCTTACTATCACGCATCGAATGGTAAACTGCCATTAGATTTGAACTACTTAGATACTTTAGCATCATCAATCATTAAAATCGATCATGGTGAACAACGGGCAACAGAAGGACATTTAACTTTTACGCATATTCCGACAGCCACTCAGATAACAGTGAATAAATGGTCGACATTTTATTATTTCCTTGTACGATCATCAGAACTCTTATTGAATAATTCCAATGGATATTTAATAACTGGCTGTCCTCATAATGAAATTATCGATCGGCAAGCCATAATTGCACGTTTAAAAGAGCGTTTTGCTCAAAGTCAACGACGAATTATGGTTGTCGCAAATCGACAACGTCGACAAACATCGATATATGAATCGGAACTACCTCAGCAATGTGAAAAGATTTGTTCAATGAAAGAAAATGATTTCGTTGAAGAGTGTTTATTCGATTGTTTAGCATTCGCGGTAACTAACCCAAAAGAAGCATTACGAATACATGAGATGCATGTTTCTACCAGTCAACAACGACAGCATTTGGCTGACAACGATGTTCAAACAGTAGAGAAATTTCAAGAATGTTATAAAAAGGGATTAGTGTGCAAAAAAATGCCCGATCCAGATGATTTCACTAACAGGAGCTTGACAACATCAGTATCAATTCTTATGATTGTTTTCGTATTCATGTTCAACTTCATATAAAAGATAGTTTTAGATAGTATTGATTGTATTGTAGAATTCTTTTTTTCTTCTTCCAAATAAACAAGAGCAATGCATAGATTGACTGCGTAAAATTATATAATGCTGAGAAGGCTATTTCGAGATGATTGGGAAAGATAAACATGTACTGATATTTATTTTCACAGTTGCTGATAATGAGAAATGTCATCTCATGTTGATTCGACATCTTCAACAAATAAGTTACGACCGAAAACTCGAAATGAAATGTATTTATCTTAGTTTTTGAAAATGCTCTGTCATCATAGCATGTAGACAAAAAGTTATACCTCGTGCATTTTTTCTTATCTATTGTATTTGGCTAAAATGATTTGATTTATTTTACTCTCACTCAGTACGTTACCAGAGGTGTCATTTCTGTTACAAGAAAAGAAAGAAAAAGAAAGTATATGCCTGGTAAGGTTATCAATCATTTAAAAACGAATCGTAAGGACGACACGTGTTAAAGATAAGCACGAGAAATAGACAAGCGACGGCGAACATTGTACAGAGCTATTAACCTGCTCGAACTGTCTTACGTATGTTGATTAGTGTCGGATGATCTATATCTTTCGTCTTTTTTGCCAATAAAACGCTTGCTTTGATAGCTGTTTGATGTATGTACATTCGTTCTTTCGAATTTCTCGTATCATCAACTAAGCAAGCATTATATATCTGCCGAATAGAATTCGATAAACGATTCCAAGGTAGATTATCGAGTGTGATTTGTTTTTTTTGGACGCTTTTTAGTGCTTGCTGTGTTTGTTTTAACAACCAATAGTTATTATTTAGCAAAATACTATGACCACAGCGTTCTTTCAATTGAATTGATCCTGATCGAGTAAATATATTCCAAAAAGTTTCGATACGATATATACAGACTAATGAATAGATAGTGAAATAATAAAGGACAAACATAATCTTGATACATTCGTAGGCGCTCATTCCTCTACTATTAATGAACATGAGATTGCAAGGAAACCTTTGTGAAATAACAAAGAAAAAGGTAACGAGTAAGCGCAGAGCGATCATTAGAAGGCGAAAGGCAAAGAATGACTGTCATGTAATCGATGGCTGAAATCTGAGTAATCATAATGCGTAATCTATTAGACTTTTAAATGAGACGTCCGTTTTGACGTCTCGTGATTAGAAATGAATGTTTAATCAGAAGAATGACGCTCAACGGAAGAAAATATAAAAAAACAATGACTGTAGCTCTGCTGTGCATCAATCATTATTGAACTGCGACAATCAGAGGCGGCATTTCCTTTTCTTTTGCTTTTCCTGCTTTTGTGAATCAATCGATTTGTTCCATTTAAACGATCAATAGTCATCTTAGAATAATACCATAAGAAAAAAAAATCTTTCTCGCTGTGAAAATTGACTTTATCTGAAAGTTTTATTCAATTATTCCTTCATTTTTCTCGTTACTGTTCATTTTTGACTTCTAGAAAAAACAGCAAACCATGGATGCTGATGCACTTATATCATGTGGAGCGATGACTCTTCAATTCGTTGCCGAATACTGGCGTTCAATCGGAAAACGTCCAGTTGTTGCGAATATTCAACCAGGTTATCTACGTCAGTTGCTACCATTGGAAGCACCAGAGCAAGCCGAATCATTTACATCGATTATCAAGGATTTGGAATCAACAATCATGCCTGGTGTGACACATTGGCATAGTCCGAATTTCTATGCTTATTTTCCAACAGCGAATTCTTATCCAGCTATTTGTGCGGATATTTTATCAGGTGGAATCGCTTGTATCGGTTTCTCGTGGATTGCCTCACCGGCGTGTACAGAGCTTGAGGCAATCGTTATGGATTGGCTAGCAAAAGCAATGGGTTTACCGGAGTTTTTCCTTTCATCAGGAAATGGAGGTGGAATCATTCAAGGTACGTTAGAAATTGCCAAGAATATTAATCAAAATAAAATGAACTACATTTAATTCAAAATAGGTACAGCTAGTGAAGCTACGTTGGTTGCTTTGCTTGCGGCTCGTTCGAGAATTTTCAAAGAAAGAAAAGTTGAAGATCCAACTTTGACTTTGGGCCGATTGTTGGATCAGTTAGTAGTCTACTGCTCTGATCAAGCACATTCATCCGTCGACAAAGCTGCGCTGATCGTTGGTTGTCGATTGCGTAAGATTGCTTCGGATGCTGATTGTATCATGCGTGGTGAACAAGTTCAAGCAGCTATTGCTGAAGATCGAGCTGAAGGCTTAATTCCGTTCTTCATTATTGCTACTCTTGGCACAACCCCAACTGTAAATAGCTAAGAAAACCAATTATTTTATATGTATATGTAGCTTTCTTTGTTTTGTTGTAGTGTGCTTTCGACGATTTGGTTAGCGTTGGTCGTGTTTGTGAAAAAGAACATTTATGGATGCATATAGATGCTGCTTATGCTGGTAATGCTTTCATTTGTCCTGAGTATCGACATTTATTGAATGGAATCGAATATGCTGAATCATTTGATTTTAATCCTCATAAATGGATGTTAGTCAATTTTGATTGTTCAGCCATGTATTTAAAGGATCGAACACACTTCGTTGACGCTTTCAACGTCGATCCGCTCTATTTAAAGCACGCATTCCAATCATCAGCACCTGATTATAGACATTGGCAAATTCCATTGGGACGACGATTTCGTTCACTGAAACTATGGTAAGAAATTCTTCGGAAGTATTGCTTTTGCTTCAATTCGATATCTGTTCATGTATAGGTTTGTTTTCCGTGCGATGGGTTTAGATGGTCTACGAGCGTATATTCGCAAACATATTGAATTGGCTAAATATTTTATAAGTTTAATTAAACCAGATGATCGCTTTGAAATCGTCTTTCCAGCTGCCGAACAACTTGGTTTAGTTTGCTTTCGACTAAAAGATAGTCCAAATGAATTGAACGAACGTTTATTGAAAGCTTTGAATGAAGACAAACGTATCTATCTGGTTCCATCGATGGTCAAACAAAAATATATTCTACGTCTGGCTATATGTTCGTGGTTAACAGAAGAAAAACATGTTCGATTCGCTTGGGACATCATTAGTGAAGTAACAGCAAAACTTCTTTCCAAATAATCATTAATATTCTGATTTAAAACATATTATTTCGTGTTTTATATGTGATTTCGTTTTGTCCTCTAAATATACTTACTATTCTTCGAACTGAATCGTCACTTATCAAATCTGCAAACCTTCACCTGGAAATAGAGGGAGAGGAGAGAATAAAAACAATCATAGCTGAATTTGTATTTTATTGGTAAAGATTTTCGACGATGTAAAAAGAACAATCGAAGAACGAAGTACACAGACAAAGACAAAGCGAAAACATGAATGTGTTTATTGTTTCAAGAGAATTTTCGAAGATGATGATGTTCGGATGATGACGAAAATGATCGTGAACTTGTCGATGTTTGACTATTACGATTATTGGCGCGTCGTTGAGAAGTTGCACGTAGATTATTTTTCAAAACATCTCGATGGGTCTTATTTATGTGTAATGACATCAGATTAGCATCGCAATAAGTCAGTGAACATAATGGACAACGGAACCATGAACCACACGAAGCAAGAACGTTCAATTCGAGACATCTACAGAGATTTGTAAGCATTGTTGAATAGAAAGAAGAAAGTATTTTATAGAGTAGCGTACTGGCCGTTTTGGTGTTCTTCAAGGGATGTCTGGCTAACAAATGGCATATTGCATTTTTCGCAAACATAATCGTAATCTTGCAATGCGTCAGGAATATTTGTGCGATTCGTCGATGTTGATGTACCTTCCGAACTGTGTTTATAGAGAAAAAGTTATCAGCTAGAAACTGTTGACGGTAAATTTACCAATCTATTGAATCTTCATTATCGTTGGCTGGTTTCCATGACTGTCGTGTAGAAGTTGATAAAGATTGTTTCAATGATGAACTTGATCGTGATCGCTCAGAAGTAGAATTGGTAGACTGAAAGGAAAACAATCATAGAGTTTATGTTTATTTGTAGATGAAAATGTTGCTTGATCATACGCGTTCAGTTGAAACTGGTCGACTTTTTCTTGTTGAAGATTGCTTTCGACTGTTTCCATCGTCATGTTCAATTGATGTGATAGTATTGGTTGAGGAAGCATATTCGGAGTCGTATCTTCGCTTAACCAGTGTTTTTTCAGGTTCTGGTCGTTCTTGTTTCGTAGTCGGTTTAACTTCTGGTTTATCCTTAGTTTTCTTTTCGTCGGCGTCATCATTATCTTCCATTTCGTCTTCATCTGAACTAATACCAAATGTATCGAATGAACGTGGGGTGGGGATACTTTTTACAATAGATTCGTTTGTCCAGTTATCATTCGAGCGTGATGAACGATTTGATGCTGATTTCGACGGTGATGGTCGCTGTTGATAAATGTATTCTTCACTTGAATTAGTAGTATTAAATGTCGATTGTTGTTGAAATTGTTGACGAAGATCTTTCACGGTTATTGGTCGATTAACGGAACTCATCCGTATGGGTTTACCGTTGATAACATAGGTGCGTGAATCTTCATTACTTTTGGAGAAAAAAATTGACTCCTTCTTACGTGAATTGGTCGATGTATCAGGCGAATCGGAAGTTGACGTGTCGTTTGCCGAGTTAGTCGGCAATTGTTCAAGTATGTCTTCGTTAGCAAAAAACGATGGATCATGAATAACATTGAAACGTTGATCTTCGCCAACGCATTGACGATAATGAGATTCAGTATAGAGAGAGATTAGATTGAGATAGATTTTAGAACACTTTGTACACCAGTAGTGACGTTTGTCTGTTTTGACAGTGATCTGATTTGGATTGTTCACCTCTTTTACGGATGCTGTCGACGATGCCGATGCTGACGGACCTGCTCGTTTCATTGTTGTGAGAAGTTCTTTTTTTACGGGAGTCGATTCCGATGATTCTTCAGGTGAAAGAGGTGGTGGACTGATGTTTGATTTACGTAGACGTTTCGATTTGCGTTGACCAGATTTTGGTTCTTCTTTTACAACAGGTTTAGTATCAAGAACAGGACATGTATTTGATCGATGAATTTCACGTCGAATGCGTTTTGCAGGCGCTTTTGGCGAAGCTGGCTTTATATCTAGAGGAGAAGTATGTGATTAATCAAATGTAATCAACAATGATTGCTTTACCTTCTTGTTTAATCGCTGATACTCGATCATTTGAAGATGTCGAACGTTGTCGAATTGCCTATCAATAGATATTCAATGATCAATTTGATCTTCAGTCTATATGAAAAGAACGTTAGTACCTTTTTTCTCAAACCCGTATTTGACATTAAAAAACTTGGCAAATCTGTTTTCGTTCGTTCGTGCTGTTGTTTCAAGTCATTTTCTAATTCTAATATGAAGGCATAAGGATTTGATTGAAGAAAACCAATCGAATTCCATCCCCAGTCGTATGGGGAAATATTTTTCTCATGCTGACTTTTCTCATGTTCAATCAACTCCAATGGTGATGAGAATCGTTCAGTACATAGCAGACAAGTATAGCGATTCATGATAAAACGTCGTTCAGGAATCGATTTTTGTCTTTGATAATATTTACTCATGTCAATATTCTGATTCTTCGGATGATCAAAGTAATCATCGGATAGATGTTGCACGACAACATCATGTCGACGTCGTGGTCCCAGTAAATCTCGAACAAGTGGATATTGACTGAGAAAATGTTCGATAGATGTTAATTTTGCGTTGACATTCTCATCGTCCATCTGTTGGCGACATAATGCCTCGTTTTGTTTGATGTCTTCCAAAGTTCCATCGATACAATTCGTTATATTGTAAGCATTCTGTTCGCCAATCGTGTATAATTGTTGACAATCACGATCTGAACATTATATTTCTTATCATTATTTCAAAAGTTTTCTCTTTTACCTGTTAAAGGGTCAGGTAAACCGATAGGTATTGGTAAGCGTGGTGATGAATCATGACTATTACTCGATTGAAGAACATTCGATGAACTACGATGACGATCTTGATGCAACGTTGAAGAAAAATTGGAATTCAAATTATCTAAACTCAATAAATTCCCTCATTGAATTCTCTATCCATGAAAATCTTACTTTCATCTTGTTCATTATCACGAGATCTCTTTCCTCGAGGTTGACTCGAGTTGTTTTGTAACATATTTGCTTGTGTAGCAAGAAGTGCTTGTAATAAACGGTAATGTTTGGAACGAACATGTTGAGATAACTGTTTCGCTGTATTATAATGAGCATCAATTGGCGCACACCAATGACACCGATAAATGTGTAAACGAGGGTAGCGATTTTCTTCCAGACGTTCACCACCAGCCACAACTAAACTCAATGTTTTAGTGAAGAAGATCAACATGCGATTTTCAGTTACTTTCAAGTAAATCGACCATAACACTCTTCACATCATTAGCAATAAAAGAATATCGACAAATATTACAACTATCTCGAACTTTTGTACGCGGACGGTTTGCTGGAGATAGATATTGTGGTGTGATGTGATAAGTATGGTAATGGAACTAAAGAAAACGTAAAGAAACCTTCGTCCAAAATGGATTTTTTAGTATGCTCACCTTGAAAGCAACGTTGGACATGAAGACTGAAACGATAGTTGACATAAATAAAAAGGAAAGAACAATTGAAAATTATTTACTTTGATGACATATATCACATTTCAAACATGTCTGCTTGATTCCATCGCTGATTAATGTTTCTGATAGAAATTTCTTTGTTATTTGTAATTCGAATTCTAAGGAGCGATTGTTCATAACCAAATGTACATTATCATCATCGACAAATTCTTTGCCAGGTTCTTGTTCAAGTATTTTGATTGCTGGATTGTCTTGGTGTTGAGTCGATTGTTGTTGTCGCGTTTCTCGACGTGTTCGACCGTTTTCTCGTTTATCTATCAAATAAGAAACGTTCGTTGATATTCGCTTTCGACAATCACTAATTACCTTTCTTTTTGGATTTTTGCCGTTCAATATATGTCAATAACTCCTCATCTGGCTGAATTGCCTGCGAAAAACGAACAAAATCATGAAAATTTACTTGGTAAGACTTACTCGCATCGAAAAGTAATGAATTTGTTGATTTTGTTGCATGCAAACAACATTTTGCTGAGACTTGTCATGTGTCCATCGAATAAAACGAAGGATATTACCATCACTAGGATTGGTCGCATCAATATAATGAATAGGTACACCACGAGCACTTAGAATCTGCAGGAAATGTACGAAATAGTTTAATAATAACGAAAAGAAATTGACATACCGCCCAAACATATTCTTCATCGGCTGTTTGCGGTAAACTCCGACGAATTTTTCCACGATATACTCCCAATGGTTCATTCGGTTTCAGAGCACGTGTAGTAAACAGACCTAAACAACGATAAGTTGTCACCTCGAATGCATTTATTCTACTCAATTTTCTCAAAATACCATTTTGCCCTGTTTTTGCTTTCGACGGTTTGAAACAAAGATAATCAGGCAATTGTATACTATCTTCGGACATATCTGAAAAACAAAAAAACAATTTTCAAAAAGTCCAATGACAATCAAGGTACAAGGTAATTGATTTCGTTTATTTATTCATCTTACATGCCGTCTGGAGAATCACATCGGTGATCTCCGAAGAGAAAAACCTCGATGAAGAGTGACAACTGTTGAATTAAGCTAGCGGAAGAGTATCGATCATCTCAGTAGAGTTCAATATACTTCATTGATGTAGATTAAATATATCAAGACTGATATTCAAATTAAAATAGAACGAACACTAGAAAATTAACGTTCAGCATTGCATGTGCATCTATCATCATCTCATTCCTATTCCATTGTTTTTTATGAAAGGAGAGGCTCATTATGAGCGTCGAAAGATGTCGCTCAATCGTTGTCTGTAGGAGAAATAGATGCACACATATATAAATTGTTTCTTTCGTCGAGTGACATTTCACAGTTACGATACCAATATGACAGTTTCTCTTCTTTCTTGCGCGCGATTGACCTGGTGTACGTTTTTTGAAATCGAAAGTAACAAATATCGTTGACAATTTGATACACTATTAATTTTTTTCGTTCTACTGCTCTAAGAAAAGGTAGGATAGGAGCAAGGGCGAGGTGATTACACTGCGGTTGGTTGTATCTATGCCAAATTCAAAAATCGCCACGAAAACATGCACTCTAATAGTCATTTGTTTATGAATAAATAACTCATCAATATAATTACATCTTCATTCAAATCTGATAGCACCCGTATTTAGAGATGTACTCAATTCGAACTTATAAACCGAAAGTGTCGAACTCAGTGTATCCCTCGACACTTTGCCGCCTTAACGATCAGTGCAATCTTTGGATCTTGAATCATACTTGTACTCGTGTTCATAAATGGACGAAAATTGCTGTTTTTCAGTTGCATTAGTTAACCTATGAATGCTTTGGAAGATGATTTGATTGTCATGACTAGAAGGTTTTTATTCTCTGACAAAACTATTCATTTAATAGCTCACAACAGATAAAAATAAAACAAAAAATATTGAGATTGCACAAAAAAAACTGACTGACATATGATACACGGATCACAAAAGAAATAATCATGAAGATTCACATATGATCATGATGATGTTCGTGATGATGTGAATGCGAATGCGAATGAGAATGCGAATGCTGACATTCGCCTTCGGGTGCTTTAAATCGGACACGTTGTCGCACCGATGCTCCTGTATTTTTACATGAATGAAGAATTCCATTTGAGGGTGTTGTTGATAGCAAAGAAGTCACTTCAGATTTGGATTCATCGGATAAATGTTTCGCAGCTTGACAGTCATCGTGTTCATCCAATCTAAAACGATCGATCAGATATTATATAAGAGTTAACTTTGAAGTTAAAGCATACTTCCAATCTGAATGTGTCACCACTCCGATTCCTACTAAACACATGCCGATGAAAATCACCAGCCAGAAAACAAGTGTGAAATTGACTAGAGGTTTCTATTATAGAATTAACTTTAAAATGATCGAAAAGATAAGACTAAGACAAACTTACACGATATGTAGGTAATTCAAAATACCTTGTCGTTGTTAAATAAGCACAGACTTCAGCATACATTTGATCTGAACAGAAGAGAAACTATCTAATTTATGTCAGTATTGACAATATCGAAACTTACGTTGTAATCTTATCCGTAAGTCACGAGGTATACCATGTGGAATACATTGACTTACCAGAGACTGAAACATAGCACAATTGAAAGATGAAAAGTTCTCGACAAAACTTAATTGATAACGTACAGAACACTGAGAACGCAACACAATGAGTTGTTGTTCATTGATGACTCGTTTTGGCCTCTTCTTCGTTACATGAATGTTACGTGCGAACGGATTAAGAGATTTCAACGAGCGTTTTGGGCGTTTCAAAGCGTCACATCGAAATATAGAACAGTAATTTGATAAGCATATTGATTGTTCGCCCTAAATATTCATTTACTATTACAATGGAAAGCAGATCAATCATTCTTACTGGTAACAATGTGTTATTATGTCGGTTAACGAAATGCATATCAAGATAATATTCCGAATAGAATGTTTTATTACAATATTTACACAACCATTTATCATTGGAAACTTTCACTTTATGTAATTCTTGTCGATAATAGAGATCTCGCATAGGCGACAGGACACATTCAAGTGGAATTGCCAGTTGATTTTTTTCATAGATAGGTCCTAATGCCTGAAGTGAGAAAGTACATGGATGACGAGAAAATGCGAAGTTCGAATTGGTATTACTCGTGTAAAATAATCACGAACAATTCGACTGCCTTCACGTGAACATGGTTTGTTAGTAGAGCTGAACTGAATGATCGCGAGTAGAATGAGAATTAAAATTGAATTAATCATCGTTTTAACATTCTTTCTAGAACATAAACGAAAAAGATAGAATTGGGTTAATATCATAATGGTAAATATAGGAAAATTATATTCATAAAAACGAAAAACGTTGTAAGCATAACAATAAATAAATTATCACATCGAGCATCAGTGTTGAGATTTACATCAGTCACTATTTAGTTCGGGTCGGTCGGTTTTTTGGACGAAAAGGCAAAATTCTGACTGTTGAATTGATCACGTTCATTTCACACGAGTTTCATTTGCGACGTAGGTAAAGACACTGAAAATAAAATACTTTAAATATCTTCAAAATAAAAGAAATCAACTTGGTTCAAACAAATTTTTCGTGAGAAAGTTTTCATCAAACAATTTGAAATAGGAAAACAAACTTTTGAGAATTTGTTGTTAGATCTTGTGTATTAGATGTCGAATTTAGGAGTTGGTGAGACTGTTGTCCACGATCAGTATTGTGCGTACTTGTAACTGACTTGTTTTTCTTTGTTGTATATTCCAAATAACTGAATATTGTACCGCCAATTAGCGATAAGGCAATGCCGATCACGGTATTTGTATTGATAGAAAATCGATCGAAAACAAATAAACCAAAGAAGACTTGAAGGATACTTTTCAGCACACCAACAACACTAAATGAAAAGATACATTTCGATGACGAAAAAGAAAGCGAAGGATCACGATGGAAACCTTGTTGTTAATGCAGAATTTCTCATTGTGCACCAAAATGTTGCACCATTGAGTAGTCCACCACCAAATGTTGATGCTAAGAAATATAACCAAAATGTAGATGTATGATAATTGTTATACATTTGAACACTGGATAATTCATCTGTGAATAAAATCATTAAAACAAATACCATTGGTAAAGACAGTAAACTGTTGATATAGAGAACTTCGCTGGATGTTTTCTGTTCACTAGCGCGTTGAATAGTTAAAAGATAAAGTGTTTGAAAGACAACACTTAGGCCACCAATGATGTATGACTCGAGATGAAACGTTAAATCTCCAGCTGATGTTATGACAGCACCAATGGTGATCGTAAACACGCAAAAGCCCACTTTGATATTCAATTTCTGTTTACGTAGGACGAGTGCTTGCATAACAAATGTCAATGCGGGCGTACATCGCTGAAAAACCAGTAGATAATTAGCATGATATAGAAACCTAGGCAAGTGAATTTACCTTTATTACAACATAGATAGCTACATTCAGTTTCATTAAGGCTTGTAAAGATAATATTGTACTTAAACTATAGAAAATCGACGGAACCAGAAATATATAAGTATCATTTTTTGTCATCGATGGCACAGACATTAATCGGAGATGGCCAAGTACGTGAAAGGATAGCAGTACGAACAAGAGTTGTACAAGTATGACAAATAAACTATTTCGGAAGTCGGATATTTCGAAGAGTGCTTTATTAAGGAATGCCATGGAGAAAGAGAGAAATCCATAGATGAGCATCGATGGTAGATGCAACATTTTTGAAATCTTAAAACAAAGAGGAGAAGTATGTGACAAAACATTTGTTTTGTATTATAAGAAATTTCAGGTTTTATTATTCAAAATACATGTAATTACAAAAAGACATATAGCAGAGCAAAATATTGAAGTGTAAAATAAATCGACGAGAGTTCTTTGAAGTCAAACAATCACTAAACAAATAAGTATGCAATGATCAAATGAGAATAAATATGAAAAAAATCTTCGCTAACAAATCTGTTTTGTCTCATGTTTATTTTTGTATCAACGAGATCAGTCCTAACTAAGTCCCAATGTTGTTCTAACTAGATAAAAAGAAAAAGAAACATGATTATAAATTAAGAAAATGTTCAAATATCTTGCCTCTTTTCTTTATTTTCAAAGAGAGCAGAGCTTAATTCTTGATTAAGCGTTTTCTTTATTTTTCTCTGACAGATATCGTCATTCCAAAACTTTCCTTTTACTTTTATATAATGACAAGCGTGCTTTTCAAATTTAGTTTTCTTCTCTGTATCATTGTCCATAGATCCTTAAAGTAAATGAAGAAGAGAAAAGAATAAGATTCACAGAACAGAAAAAAGAAAAGAAAAATCAAATGATATATGTCTATATTAGTAGAATTGTACACGACGAAGACGCAAAACAAAATGAACGAAAAAAAAACGAATGAAGTTTGATAATAAATGATGGGTTTTCTTAGTAGCCCTGGACAAGTTTTTAAAGAAAGAGAAAATCCTACATTTTCATTTGTATTTCACTGTCGTTCTTGAATGAATGGATGTTCAAATGATTGTTTAATATTCAGACGCTTTTGAGGATCAAACATGAGAATTTTGTCTAGGAAATCACGTAGTTGCAACACTTTCTTCATTTGATCTTCAGGTAAACGTTGATGTCCGATCAGAAGTGATAATAAATCTCGGCATGGATTGATATTTGTTATAGTCGATATTTTATCCTAAGAAGAAAGAAATGGATGAGAAGATTCTTGAAAGAATTTCAACATACGCGTTCGGTGACTTTATCAACTTCGTGATAAAGAAAATTGCAATCACGATCGAAGTGTTTGTCTTTTATTAATCCTTTACGAATAATACGATTTGGTATTTTGCCTTTCAAATCCATCATTAATTTTAACATTTCGTTATTTGATTTACCCGGAAACATGACTCGACCGGTGTATAATTCATAGATGGTCACTGCAACAGACCAAAGGTCAATAGAAAAATCATATCGCATTCCTAGGACTGTAAATAACAACGATAGACATGTTGATTATAACGTTCTCGATTACTTACTGATTTCCGGTGCACGATAGAATCGACTAACTAGATATGGTGTTATTTCACAGTCCGACGCGTATGATGCTGAACCAAAATCACATAATTTCAGCGCTAGTTTTGTGTCGTTTACTAAAATATTATCAGGTTTTATGTCTGCATGTAGAATGTTGCATTTTTTCATATGTTTCAGCGCTAACATCAATTGAAGGGTGTATGAACGAACAGCTTTGATACTTAACCCAACATCTTTGCCGTACTTTTTAAGTACTTCACGTAAGTTCATACTAGAAAAGAAAATATATTAGTTTAGAGGGAATACTTTTTGTTTAGGAAAGTGTACCTGAGTGGTTCAAAAACCAGACAAAGATGATTTCGATGATTGAAATGACTTAATAGTCGGAGACAATGGTAGCGATCATCAGGATCGTTTTCGTTCAATTTTCGTAGATATTCTAGTTCTTTCCAACCAGTTTTATTCCTAGAAAAGATGTTTGTGTCGGGAAGCTCAGCAATTCGATCATTACACTCACATGAGTTCATTATTTCGAATGATTTTAATTGCGACTTCGGTTATACGTCCATTGACTTCCTCGCGAGCTCGAACAACATTGGAGAACACTCCTTGGCCTGTTGATCCGAATACCTCAAAACGACCGTTTAAGATTTCTCCAATATGTACACCTGAACAGAAACATTCGTCATCTATTTTCAGTAATGAGATTCAATACTTACGATAGTATCCTTCGGAATCATCCCAATTATCAGTTAAGTGTGGATTTTCACTTTCTCGTATATTTCCTTGACGACGACGCGCACCGGGACTCTATAGAAAAAGAAACGCAATCTGTTTGAGAACAAAATTTTCTCCTGCTTACATTATTATCGAGATAATCCGCATCGTCGGCAAACATATCATAATTATTCGCAACAGCTCTTCTTCGTTCCAATTCCTCATTACGTAATTGATTCATGATGGATGGAGAATTAGCATCGTTGCCTGGCATTGGTTCATCTAGAAATGAAAGAGAATACATCAAGAGATGATAGTTTTCCTTTGAAGTGAATGCTTACCATTAATCGTAGCCGCACGTTTACTTTGTGCGCTTGTTTCGAAATCAATGCGTTCTTGTTCAATGCAATGATTAAGAAATGCTGCTTGAGCATCTTCATCTTCAACATTGATGACTTCGTTCGCATCATTCTGAGTTGGTGTCGATTGTTGAACTTGCATTGCATCGCTATCTACAGATGATTCGTCGACAGCTTCTTTCTGGATCAATTTCTGTGGAAAAAAGTAAAATTACAAGAGAAAATGGCAAGAAGAAACGGGTCATACTTGTTTCAATTGTTCACGGCGAAGTCGTTGCTGTCGAATGATTTCTTCTTCATTTTCTTCATCGGGAATTTCGATATCATCGCTAGAGAATTCGAACGACAGTATGCACACATAAATTTTACATATAGGTTCAACTTACATCTCTTCATCACTTGATTTTGCTTTTTCTTCAAGATGTCTATGATGATTTGATCGTTTTGAATCGTTGCTATGTCTTAGAAATAAAAAGATTTTCAATTGAAACATTCACTGATTTGTTACATACTTATTCGATGAATCGGAATCGAGCTGAAAAATAAATTCTTTCGAACTGTCGCCAAATCTGATACAATCGTTTTCTTCTAATCTATAATAGCGATTTGAATCCATACGACGTCGATTGAGATATGTTCCATGAGCTGAATCTAAATCCATCAAATAAGGATGTATATGATGTCCATGAGAATCACTGCGAAGACGATACTGTAGAACAGCATGAAAATTCGAACATGATGAATGATGTAAATGAATATCGCAATGATCTTTATCACGGCCGAATACATATTTGGATTGCCGATAAACACGATAGTTTGATGAATCATCGTCATCTTTCGAAACGGTTAAACGCCAGCGTTGGTCTGGCGTACGAGCTTCCGATGGTTCTTTGTACGAGAATTTCAATCCATTGCGTGATGAGACCGGTCGGCGCTGCGAAGTATCATTCTCATCGTCGGAATAGGTACTTTCTAAATAGAGAAAAACACATTCTACTCAGTTTATTTCTCACCATATGTACTCTGAAGAGTTTCCTTCGATGTAATTGATATCACATTGTCAAATATTCTTCTCAAATGAGCGAAAAACAGAAGAAAACATACCTGAACGCTTGAAACTTTTATGATTACGTGATGATTTGGGCTCGTCGTCCGATGGTGAACGATCATATTTCTTCTTTCGCGTACTGGTTTCTTGTCTTGGCGATCGAGGCATTGTATCTGAAAGACAAAACAGATCAAGTTAATTCTTATCCTCAGACATCGATCATCATGAAGTGCATGTGTGAGAGAGAAAAGCTAAAAGTAGTTTTTCTGTTTCATTTTTTTTTCTAACATACGATTAGACTGCTTTTTTGATCATCACAGTTCATATCATAGGAAGTAGATACACTTTTTCACAATCATCCATTCTGTTGGTCAAGTGATATGATTCGATGATGAAAAGTAGACCATCTGAAAAACACACAATCAACAGTAATCTTAAACTAATCTTTTCCAAAGAAAGCAAAGAGAAACAACGGTGAGGAACATCTTGCCAAATTGAACTATTTCGATTCCTCGTCATTATCTGAAGTATCGTTGGCTGATGAACTTGGCAGCAGAGATTCGTCATTGAATGGTGATAAGATAGATAGAAGCATGGCTTGAGCTTTCTCTTTTTGTTTCAGTGCACGTTTCGCTTCTTTAGCTTTTTGTGTTTCCTCTTTTTCGTGATCAATTGCACGCAATTCACTTTGTAATTGTTTCAATTCAACATCAGGTACATAACGAAATTCATCATCAGCTGGATTGGGTAAGTCGATTTTCAATTCTACACCTTCCGGAATATTTAAACGAATACATTCGAATAGAATCGGTGCGATGGTTGCTTTGACTTTCGCAAACTAAATTCAAATCAACTGACAATTGTCTTGTCTTGCTCGTACTGATATTCTCACCTTAACTATACGATGATACAGGTTTAAATGATGTTCAACATCGATTTGTGCACTACGCGGTTTAAGAATTGTCACACGAGATGATTTAGCTGGAATTGCAACACTGGAAATAATGAAAACTACAACGAATCATCTATAGAAATGATCACATACGCTTCAGGAACTTTAATATCTAGTGTGTTGGCAAGTTTTTGTATATATCGAAAATAACCTTCGAGTACAACGTAATCATATCCTCGTATAGAGACAGCCAACGATGAATAGTTTGGATAAAGGTCAGTTTCGAATAGATAAGGCGGTTCGTAGATGATACCTCGATTCGTTGTTGGATCGGGAACTGCGCATATCGTTTCTACTTTGTCATTCCTTGATTTGATGGTTTGTATTCGTTCACCGGATCTGAATGTATGTACAAAGTAAGACAGATATGGCAAGAGAAAGATGTGAAATTACTTGTTAAAACGTACGAAAAGACATGGACGATATGTGGATGGCGTTAAAAGAGGTTTTACACGAGCTAATATACTGCTCATTGTGATATATTTCTAAGAATGTGCCACTCAAAATTGAGTTATTCGAAATGCAATATCTGTCGCAAGAAATGAAATAAATAAACAAATAACCGAAATCACCAATCAAAATCCGTCATTATCCTCTGCAGTAAGATTGGACAGATGTCGTTAAAAGATGTAAAAATATCACGTTTCAATTTTCCATCGACAATGATGCAAGCGAATACGTGAATATTTTATTTTATTTCGTATCATTCGATTTCAGTCGAAGGACTCATTTTTCCCCTATCTACGAATATCTAATTATTTTAGTTTAATAAAGTTTGTTACGATTTTTGTGAAATCTGCGATATGGAAAAAGCAATTTCCGTAAGTGGAGTCAAAATATGAAAACAATAAGTTAAGGGAAATGAGAAATCTTCCTGCTTGCTTTGTGTGACACTGACTTTAAGCGAATTTTTGTTCAAGTTTCTTTTCTTGCATGTCTGATTAGAAAGTGCACTCCATACTTGGAGCCGTGATAGTATAGGTATCAGTCGTTATTCAAAATGAAAAGCTACGAGAGAAATTAGGTATCATATAATAGTTAGATTTATTTTTGAAATGATTAAAATGATGTATTCTTTATAATATAGTTTCTAGATTGAATGCTATGAATGAATGCGGCTTCGTGTTTATGATCGAACGGCAAATTGTTTAGTTTTTGTAATTACGTGGATTGAGAGCATCAAGAACTTGATTAAGATCGCCTTTTTTCGATTTGATCAGTTCGCTCAAAACGCCGTTGGAATCGACGAAGCCCATTGCAGTCATTCGCTCGATGCATTCATCAATTTTCTTCTGCTCTTCTGCTTGTTTATCATCAGTTGCAGCAGCTGTTGTTGCAGGCGGCACTTGAAACATCGGGTTGAACATGGTCTGAAGTTGATCGAGAAGGTTGCCGAACGATGGTGCGCCAGCAGCACCTCCATTTGATGGAGGAGCGGTAGGTTTTGGTTCAGTACTAGCACTAGCGCTCGCACTGTCGCCCGTTGCTGCTGTTGCTGAAGCTTCTTCAGGCGTTTGTTTCGTTTCAGATTGTTCAGCTGGTTTTTGGCCTTGTTGTTGATCAACGAAGTAATCGCAATCAATGCCAAACGGTGAGAGGATTTCTTGAAGAAATTTACCAACGTTTTCCAAAAGGGTATGTTGATCGACAGGTTTATTTGCTTGTTCACCAGTTTTGAATTGGTTAAGCATTTCGTTGATTTTTTCTGTACGAAAAGCTTCGGGTAAATGAGCTTCAACTAATTCAGCTAATTCTTTGCCATTAAATTGGCTAAGAAAGGCAGCCATATCAGGTGGCATAGGAAAACCGGCTGAGGCACCGGCAGCTTGTTGGTTCATGAACTGACGCCAGAAACGAGGACCACAACCATATCGACCAGCACCAAATGGTCCACCACCGCATCGACCGGGACCGAATGAGCCGCGACCACATCGACGATGTCCACCAAAGAATCGTTGAGATGGACGGGTCATTTTGATCATGTTATGTTCTGGATGAAGTTTTTTATCCGAGCATCCTTGGCATAAATCATAATCCGGGCATTCAACACATCTAAGCATACGAATACATAGAACATATGAAAACATTATCATGTTTCTATTGAAACTTACTTGTAACGATTTCCGATGACAGGACCTTGACAACCATCACAAGTTACACCTGCGTGGAGAGTTGCGTTTTCAGTTGTTTCTTCGGATTTTTTCACTTTCGGTTTAACATAGATTTTCATTACGCCACCTGCCGGAACGGTGCTCAAAGCCGATCGCAATTCATTATTCGATGAAAATGTAATACGGTCATTATCTTCATCGACATATTGCAATGTAAATTGCCCTTGAGGATAATCACTATTTAATTGCGTAATCGTTGTTTCCAATGCTTGGTAAACATCATTGCTTGATGATACATCGATCTATTAATAGCAACAACAATCATTCACTTAGTTCAATGAGTTTTAAGAGATTATCTTACGGCAAATCGACGAATTTCTGGTTGACTTTCAACCAAATCGTTGTAATAAGCTTTAACGATAACTTGTTGTTGTGCAGACGACATAGTGCAAATACTGTTTTACTTTAGTTGATTTAAATGAACAGCATAGTATTACAGACGTCCTTTTATATGCTATTGTGAGCGATGAGTAATCGTAGAAAAGTGTAGAAGAAAAATAAGCGTTACTTAAGAACGAAAGAGAACGGGTCGACGTGTCGTGCCCTAAAAAGCTAGAGAATGATAGAAAGATGTTTCACGTGCTTGTTACTCATTGTCGAATAGTGCCTCGTAATGCTTACACTGCATGTTTTTCTATATATTTTCTCGAGAGAAGATATCTGTGAATTACAAAACATTTTTCTTCTCGACTTTTCACTTCTTGTGAAATATCAGCGGCTACAGAATATTCAAGAATGTTCCACACCCGATTATGCAATCACTAGAGGTTTTCTATTATTAACAAATACGAAAAGAAATCGTCGACGAGAAAGCGAGCTAGATATTTTTTAAATTGACAGAACAAAAAATCATGCGAACGGCGCAGAGAAAAGTGTTGATTTTGTATCAATTTGTCATATTTAAGTACGCAACTGTCAATTCGGAAACAAATTCAGTGCAAAACTGCCAGTTCCAATAAAGCAGCACTTTGACAGATGAAAGTCGACAAGTAGTAAACATAACATACCACAGATATCTTGTTCGATTTATTAACTATGCCCTCGATGACTGTGTGGAATCTGTAGTAATCTCAATAATACATGTTCTGATTAAATTAGTATGTAGAACCACAGCGTGAGAGCTTTGTGTGGGGTAAAGAGTCTGAAATTGATGCAATCATGCTTCAAGTTTAGTTGTTCATCTCAATCTAGATTTGAAAAGCGTCGTGCACAGCAACTTTTTGCACTTGTGAGATAAGTATGTATGTCTTTGTCACCTAATTATATATCCGACAGATATTTGACATGATTTTACAGTAAAAAAACAGGTCATCAAGGATGTTTTACTTTTTTTTCACGTTTACTTTTCTTCAACAAGCGCTATACATATTATTTGCACACGCAAATATCACATAACGAACAATTTTTCAGACATAATTATGCCAAGTTGATTCCCTTTATTTGATCTAGTACGAAATAAACAAGGTCGGCGCACGTATAACTAGCAGATTAATAAGAATATATGACATACAAATCTATAAATGTCAGTGTTTATTTCCAAGACAGTCTATCAGAGCAGTTTGACGAATGAATAATCCTCCCTAATAAGAATAAACCCAATGAACGCATATTCTTTTGATGTATCACTTGCCACATCAAGATTTTCTTCCTTCCTTTTTTTTATCTCCTTATTCAAAAAGCAATCTTATCAAAAGAAAAGCCTTCATCCTACCCGGAGAGATCAGATTATTATTCTCGAAGTCATTTTCACAGTGACACTAGTTTATATAGAATTTCCTAAATACTTCCTCATCCTATTACCATCAAACTGTGAGGGTCACTAAGTCCAACAGAAAGTTGTATTTTAAATCAATAAGGTGACTTTTTTTGACAAAATCAACAGAGAAGCTAGTTTGTTGACTTATATATTTGTCCTTCATAATAAAAATTTCCATGACATTTCGAGTGAAGTGAAATTGCTTTTTCTCTCTTATCAAATTCTTTTCAACGAAGTACTCTTTTGTATGCTTAAGTAGAAAAGTCTTTATTGTCAGAGAAAAAAAAGTAGTGTCCATAATTAAAGCCTAATTCCATTTCTGTGATGATCATGAGCAGCCGAGAGAGACTCATCTTCTGCGATTTTCGACGAAATGAGAAAAATCCTGAAAATTGAAATGTGAGTATAGAGAATAACCAGAAATCAAACGGCAAAATCTTACGATCAAAAACAGAGCACCGAGAGCGACTGCCTTCATTCGAACACTAAGATCCACGGGCACTGAAAAGCAAAATTTTCACTTTCACGCAAATCACATCATATTTTCCTACTTTGAAGTGTAAATGTATCAGAACTAGTCATCGATTCGGCAATAAATCCAGCGTATTTTTTATAAATTGCCCCTACCTCAGTCGCACCGTCTGTTCCATAGACCTAAACAAATCGATGACGATATCGAAATTCACTAGAGACTATTATTCGCAACCAACCGTAAATTTATTCTCACAGCAACATGCATACGGTCCATCGCACATACAACCAGGTCCGACGATTTTTAATACTGGATTATCTCGTTCATCCTTGAGTGTATAATGTATACGCCAACAGCTGCATCTGAATGAAAGAATAAGATCGAAATTCGTTTTATCATTTTCTAAACTCTTTATCATACTCTTGAGTAACTGAACCGATAACAGTACCCGGTGGTGACTCAACCATAATCTCTTGACTACAGCCGCCACAACATGCAAACCAACAACATCCAGAACAACATTTAAACTCTCGCCGAAGACGAATCAGTTCCTGCACGATACAGTAAGTCAAAAATTGATTGCAGGTTTTTTTTTCTAAATATTTGTTTTGAACCAACCTGATTTGCACTATCAACGATATGAAGATCAAATCGACGAGTTTGTGGACAATATGCTCGTTGACATAAATCCGATTCTAGAATGAAATAATAACTCTTCGATATTCAAAGTAGCTCTTATCATAATATTCTTTACCTTCGAATGCATAGTATACTTGTTCATTTTTATTATTGAATATTCCGTATTTAGCACTTCCGGGTATTCCTACCATCACTAGACGAAATGACATTCGTTTTATTCCCCCACAATAAACGACAAAACTTTCATACATTCTGTCAAGGATAATGTTTGTTTGACTACTAGCGAATCTAAAGGTTTTAAATAAGCTAAACCACTTGGGTCACCTGCTGGTTTGTCCATCCATCTTATTTGTTGAGGATTCAAAATATTATTATTGAGCATTTGATTAGCTTGAGCGATCAGTCCTGCCCGATTCATTTTGATTTTTTCCGTCTGTTTATGTGAAACTAATATAATTCTCTTTTGCTTTTAAATGCAGATTCCAATGACGTGAGCAACGAGAGAGAAGTTTTTATTTTGTTCTCGTCAACAACATTTCAATCGCTTCTGCACGTCACGACAATTCATTCGGTGACGTGCAACCATTTCGATAGAAAGCTAACAAGTGTACACCTCGACATTGTAAACTACATCGATAAAAATAGCATATTTTGTATAAGATTAGTGAATTTGAATCAGCTGAAAATCAATTCCTTTGTAATTAACATGAAAGTCTTATCTGTGGACGTATTCTACGTGACTGGGTCCTTTCTTAACGACTGAATTAAATTGCATCCTGCTGACGTAAACAAAAACTATGAGAGCGACCATGCAAATGTCCAGGTCGTCGATTGTGCCTTTGTTTAAAAGATCAGCATATAAGTCTAGCGCATAGATCACACTTCATGTACTAGAACAAGTCTGTACGAAGAGAGTAAAAAGCGTCTAATGGGCAGGTGAAAATATAATGATATACGAGCATAAAACTCGCCGAACGTATTACTTCACTGTCGGCAAAAGCAAAAACTTTATTTGCTGTTATTTTTATAACTAATAAAAGTCTTCTGTTGTGTCTAGATTCATATCATAAACGTTGCTTTTTTTCTTCCCTAGTCGGTTGAAATGATCCATTCTGTTGAATGTATAGCATTTTTGTGAGTGAAGAGAAACAACGATATAAGATGCTTTTCATAATTATTCATTACGTTTGATACCAAGATATTTAGAACTTTTATAGGAACATGAAGGAAAAAACTTGTCATTCTAACTGTCACTCCTCAGACACATTAGCATTACAAAACATAAATCCGCTTTACGGATATATCGTTGCTCGTTTTTTTTTCTTTCTTTGAAGATTTTCTCTCCTGCTTCTCCTTATCATTATGTTACTTTTCATCCGACTTCACATTTGTTTTCCTACGGTTGAGCATCATTTATTCCTATATTAAGATGCACAACTCGAAACTGACATGTCCGACTTCATTAGCGTACAATTTTGAGATCTATTAGTTCGAGCTGCTATTTAAACAATCTTTAATGATAAACATACTGCAAGTAACACCATCATTAGCGCCAGTCTTTTGTCCTAACGAGTGTTGTTTTCCTGATTTTTTCTCTGCGTAAGATAAACACGCTTTTTAGTCTCACATGCTGATCGATATATGTATATATACAAAGTTTAATTGCGGAAGTACGAAACATGTAAACCTACTTGATCAAACATTGAGTTTTTCTTTCTGCTTATTTCTCATTAGAGGAGAGTTTATGAGCTGATCAAGAGACTTGACTTTAGTCGAATATATTTCCAAACTGAACTGATTGATGCCAGTCATCAAAATTTGTTTCTTTCTCATTCTTTTCATCTGCAAGTGCCAAATATCGCGTACGTTTACATAACATTTCCGAAAAGAAAGAAAACTATTAGTTGAGACAGAGTATCCTTTGTAGAAGAGAAGATATACATCGTGCTATATATTTTAACATACTGACGTCATTTGGTTCATATTCTAAGAATATTAATTCTTTTCTAGATTACAACAAAAGAATAATCTGCTTAACATTTCTTCTTTAATCATGAATTCGTCGCAACAATCTGTAAATATGCTTCAAATTCTTGGCTTAGGTACCTGTCAAGATATAGAAGATTTCCTCAAAGAATTGAATACTGGCGAGTATGAATTACGCAATATGACGCGTGATGAATATATCGATTCATTACGTTCGCCGCATTGTCAACCGAAACCGTATCCAATTCCATATGGTATGAAAAGATGGATTATAGCATTTGTCTTAATCGCATTTCTTGTTTCTGGTCTTATTGGGAATCTCCTCTCAGCAACCATCATGTTTCGTCGTTCACGTCGTGGACTTTCTGCTTATTTTTATCTGGGCTTATTAGCTATTATTGACATTTGTGTGCTTTATAGTAGTTGTCTCCTCTATCTACTGGAAATCACATTCGATTATCACCCTCAGACACATTCGGGATTCCATTGTCGTTTGAGCTTCTATATCCAACATTTATTCACTTATATATCTGCATGGCTGATCGTTGCCGTCACATTCGAACGCTTTATTGTCGTTCGATATCCATTTCAATCGATTCGCATATGTCGACTGAGCGTTGCATACACGATCGCAAGCATCATATTCGGTTTCTTTTCAATCTACACCGCGCATTGCTTCTTTACAATGAATCTCATCAAATTGAATCTGCAAACCGATGCAGGCTATCATCCACAGCACGCCATTTGTGATGTGGAAATCTATCGACAGTTATTGTCTGTGGTTGATCTATGTTTCTATAGTGTCATACCATCAGTATTGATTCTTATATTCAATGTTTTGATCATAATTACAATGTTCTATACAATCAAGAAACAACGTGATTATCTACAAGCAAATAGTTATGCGCCTGGAAATGTATCGAACCGAAATAAAAACAAAAGTCAGTCTACAGCGCGTACACAATTCATTCGCAGTCGATCAGCAGGTAAAATCTTCGCTCTGGCGTATGAATCTCTAGCAATTATAGGGCAAAACGTCCTTTTGGATCTCCTTCTACATATATTAAAATAGATCAGTAATTAATCCTTATTAATTATATCTAGTGAAATACCTTCTGAGGAAAAGGTTGAGATAATTTGAAAATCAGGTATTCTCTAATGAATTTGTTACTGTTTTTTAAAAACTTCTGGCATCATTCGATATGGCCTTTTCTCATACGCACGAATGCCGTTCTCGACATCTACATAAATATCTCTTTAATTTTAGTCGTTCTATTATTGACTAGAACTCTTCAATAATAAATTAGAAATGCACCATTATTGATGATGAATAACTATTTTAATTGAATACTTCCAAAAAGTCTGTTATAATAATTAACGAAAGATGAATAAGTGGCTAATGACTAACAATTCTCCTTTAGCACGCTCTATAATAATTCATAGAAAGTTTAACAGATAGAAAGAAAACTATTTGTTTTCTCATTGATTGTTTATTTTAGAATCAAGTCCAGCTATGCGTTCTTATAGTCAAATAAATAAACAACGCATCGAACAAGGTCCTGGAAATAACAAATTCCTCGATCAGAGCATCAAACCTAAGACATCATTCGATCCAACAAGTGCAACAGGAATACGTTTAACATGTTTATTACTAATTATCTCGTTCATATTTGTTCTTTGTACACTGCCAATTTCGATACGTTCATTAGTTTCTGAGTATTTACCTTCACAAAAGTCGACAATGCGTTGGCAAATGACTCAAGTATGCTTAACATTATTAATGTTTTTGAATCATACGGTAGGCGAAGACAAATGTCGATAGTTCTTTGTTGTCTCATCCATTTCGATATTTTTAGATCAACTTTGTACTCTACTGTTTAACAGGTCGTACTTTTCGTACCGAATGTCATAAACTCATCTGCAGTATGTGGATGTTCAACAATTTTCCTTTATCATGCACAGTCGAACGAGATTCGGATAAAAACCAGACTTATCCTCACCATCAACTTCTTCTGATTGAAAGGAATCGACTCGCGACTCCTAATCAATACCAACAACATCAACGACTCAGTCCAAGCATGAAAGGATGCTATGTATGAAATAATCATATTTTATTTTATTGTTTGATTAAATATGAGTAAGACAAGATTGATTTCTCAAACACCGATTGTCCATCCAACGCGTTTCTCTCGCTGTTCCTCCGGTGGTCGAATATGTGATGAGCAATATTTTTTTGTTATTTCTATTGGATATCGTTTGTGCCGTTGACATAAATATGAAATAAATGAAGATGACGTGCGTTCAGTATCTGGTAGATGCATTTTTGAAAGATAAATTTCCGTTTTATCGTTTGTGTCTGCTGATTGAGCAGAACAGTAAAGATTGAGAATGAATAAACACACACATAGCATCATGTAACGTGCGATCATATTCATCTAATGAACGTTTTCGCGTATGCACTACAAAGAAAAGATTGTCATTCGAAACATTGAGTTTGACATGTTTTTAATAAAGAATAGTCGTTGCTCATCGTATTTTGAAGCATTTAGAACATATTTAACAGAGACTATTACGGAAAGGATGTCAACAAATCATTCGAGTGAATGTGTACCACAAAATAAATACTGGTAGCTCTAAGAACAACTAATCATGTCGAATAGCTCAACTATGTTTGAATTCTATTTATAACTACAATCAACAGACGTCTAGTCTGCTTGATTAACTCAATCTGATCTTTGAATCAAACTTTCTCTGATAAACATTCATTGTTCCAGATATCCGATTGATGCAGAATGACTTTACCCCACGGAAATTAATCTAGCACTCACTTTGTTTGCCCTTCGTTTTACGTACCTGTATCTAACGATGTGGATGGAAAGTAAACCTACTGCAAAAATGATCACGTATTTATATAGACAAGGTGTTGCTAGTTTCATCCTTACACTTAATCCTTTTCACCACGTAAACATACATAGAGATCAATCTGATCTCCTTCACATCGCTCCTCCGTGAACATTTCGAAATGACTAGGATTTTCTAGAGAGAAGGTGGGATGGAATTGGTTGTTCGTAATCTTGTTGCGGCATAACTAAGCATAGGTTTCAGCGAGATTTATACATTCATTTATTTAATTATCAACTACGCATACAAATATACAATATCTGACAAACATCGCAAATGACATGATTTCTACTATACAAACGTAATAGAACACGTATGGAAGAAAACGAAGAATATCTTGCCCAATCGTCGTTTTCATTAATTACCATTACCAAGTGGTAACATTTGTAATTCACCGACCAGATACGTTTTTGTTCGTGAGCTGTCCAAGGCAGACTAAAAGAACACATAAAATCTCAGAATCGGACTTGACATACATTTCAATATTAATTAGATGATACACTAGTCAAGGTCTGAACTTCTCAGCTTAGGATATGATGTCTTCTGAATGTTTCTTTAACCAGCTGTCATCTCATCCTATCCACCTACTGTATTCATAAGATCCGTTGTTTTGTTTAGCAACTCTTGACATTGAGGAATAGCAGCGTTGTTTGTTTGTTGTTGATGATTGAGCCGTGTTATAGCTTGTTCGAGTGAACGAGCGAGTTTTGCCTGAGATTCATGAGTTTGTAAATATTTCTCAAATTCTCGATGGACCAGAGCTAATTTTTCTTGAATTTGGCTTTCACGATGTTTATGTTCTTTTTGATAGTTATCTTCGAATATCTCGAGATTTTGATTCTAAAAATAAACAAAGTCTGAGCGGGTGTTGATGAAGTTTGAAAATCTTACAATGATTGGTTGAATGGATATGGGCTCGAGTTTGCCATTCGTTGCATTTTCATCTGTATTTTCTTTATTATTTACTTGTCGACGTTTTTTCGGTGCCATCTAGAAAAAAAAATAGTAATAAGTTATGCACGTTATGGTTTGCTGTAGTCAGATGATAGCTTAGATCAAATTGCATGGAAACCATCCATACCTGACTTCAAAAGTCATGAGCAAAAGATCAGTTATCCGATATAATGAAGAATGAATTTTCTATTTATCTGTTTGTTGAAAAAAACAAAAATAAATAAAAATACAACACAATTCTTTTTTATCGCGTTCTTACTCCTCACTCTCATGTTCACGATATGAAAACAACAATAAAATCCGTAACAACATTAAAATCAGTCTTGAATAGCTGTTTGTTTTTCATTGACAGTCAGATTACTTCTTCTTTGCTGGTGTTGTCGGCGTTTTCTTCTGTTGATTAGCAGCAGTTGACGATGATGATAGTACTGGTGATGATGGAATATTACTATTTGGATTCGTAGTAGATGCTTGACCTGCTGTTTTACTTTCCTTAGCCTTCTTTTTCAATGTATCCATGTTAGCTTTTAATAAATTCGAGTATGCCAATTGAAAACGATTGATGTCCTTGGCGGAAACGACGGTCGATAACTTTTTCGAACCAAATCCCGCACGCACAAGACATTTGTATTCTACCGGTTCATTCGTTGTTGGGGAATGTGCTGAAGTTGTTGCCGTTGGTGTCGAGGCATTTTTCTGTTCCAATCGTTGCTTTTTGGTTAGTTGTGGTTTGGGCTTTGTCTGTCCACTGTACCGCTTCATGGTTAAACATAATGATCCAGAGTTTTTCACACGCTGCTGTTGGAATAGTTTGGTCAATTCCAGTAGAAAATGATCGTTATCTAGCAGCATAGTTCGTTTCTAAACTGATTTTGATTCAAAAGAAATTTATCTTAAAAAAAGATAAGAAAGATCTAACTGAGTATTGAAGCTATATCTTGCATTCGTTTGTTTCATGTCTACCAAAGCTTATCATGCATAAATAATACAGAAAGAGGAGGAAAATAAGTGTGTTGCATATAGAGAGAATTTGTATAGCACAGCATCAGAAGCTCCAGTCGAAAAAAATGAGCAAAAAATAATAATAAGATGACAGAAAAAATTGGTCAAACGTTTATCAGTTCGAGATTCCAAAAGAAATTTCAGCAAAAGATTTCACGAAGATTTCCTATTGCCAATCTTTTCCAATGACAAGATTCCATTCCCATTCAGCGTAAACATGCTTATCATCATCGGTTAATTTTGATTTCACTAGAAATGTACCACGTGAGAGCACGCCACTTGGTGCTTGTTCCACATCACTAATGTAAGTTTGAATTTCTGCACTCGGTGCTCGAGAACCTATTGAAATGGCACCGAGCTACTTAGTTAATCTTCATCTCTTCGAAGTTCTTCTTACCGATCATATATTTTGATCTGTCCACTGTAATTGTTCGTGCTTTTAACACTTTACTTTGTAATTTCAGTCCAGTAACGATATCACGTTGAACATAATATTCTAATTGGGTACGATAATATTCACCTTCTTTGATCGTCACCGAACGTTTTGAATGCAAATCACGTAGTTGCTCTAAAGAACCTTTTAATTCAAAAACTACGTCGGGTTTGTGATTATCGAAGATTAATGTTATACGAATAGGTAAAACAGTACGCGGATCATTCGGGTCGACCAACTGGCTGTGAATTTGTTTACCATCGCTTGAATCACCCAACAAAAGTTTTTTGTAACGTGTTAACGATTCGTCATTCCCATCTTTAGCTACGATTGAACCAATGTCCATCTTTTGTGGTGCTTTGTAACCATTTCCAATATGATTTTCATCATCGGAGTCCACTTCATCGCGATGTATTTGCTTGTCTTGTTCACCCGAAGCCATTTTTGTAAAATGGAGGAAAAAAATACAGTTTTTAGCTATGTGGTCTAGAATAGAAGAAAAAGAAAAAAGACTTGTTTTGTACAAAGTTTGTTTTTCTTTGAAAGCAAGGAAGTGGCAAGAAAAAAAAACGATTTCACTGTTCTTCGAGGCGTTTTATTATCATCAGGAACTCCGAAGTATCGATTGCTTTTAGCGTAAGAAAAACATAAGAGAGCGAGAGAGAGAGCAACGTCTGGGACAAGCAAAATAAAAGAACCCAATGATAAATCACTCCAGTTCACCGGAGAAAAATGAAAGAAGGCAAGAAGAAAATGTGTTTTTTATACAAACTCAATGAGGAAATATGAAACTGAAAAATTTACATAAATAGAAAAGGAATATGTTCGAAAGAAAAGAATCAATCAGCAGATTTGGTTTATTTCTTTTGTATATTAGTGCGAAGTTGTTTGATAACTCCATCTAATTTATTAAGTCCTTCTTCAGCATGTTGAATGGTCTTTTTCGTTGTGCCACGAATTTTGTTTATGAATGTTTTGTTTGGATTATCGCCAGTGTCATCATCTTCACCTCCAGGCTGCGTTGTTTGTTGATGAATATGGTACGGACGATTATTATTTGTTGTAATCGGATCATTTGAGCTAGTACGTTCATGTCGAACAGGAGCGGATATTGCTGGTGGGTAATGATCGTCAGGTATCGGAAAGGTAGGCGTGCCAGTAAGTTCGCGAATGTTTTTATAGACAACTGTTCGAAGGTTATCAATCATTTCGACGTAATTCATGATGTCTTCACATTGTTTGTCGTAGGATTGTTGGATACGTTCGAAATCGCGAATCATATTTGAACGTTGCTTGATCCATTCGTTGTAATCATGAAAAATTTGAACGAGATTCGGATAACATTCATCCGTTGCAAAACGAACGTATTTATCATGTAATTGCTCGAGGTTTTTTCGGCGACGAAAGTGTGAGTCACTTTGTAAACGATTGTAGGTACTTAACAAGCGATCCTGAAAAAAAAAGATCATACTGAGTTATGTGGAGAAAAGAAGCAAAATCGAATCTTTACCTTACGAAAACTTTCATGAAGATCATTGAGATCTTTGAGCTGTTTGTCAATGCGATGAATCCATGAGGAATACGTTTTCGTACGATGTGATAACCAAAGTGTATTGACATATGGTTGCTTATCATCAATCATACCTAACTGTCCACCGAACTCTTTTTCGATCATTTGTAAAATATCCTGTTCGCATTTCTTCAATTGTTCATAGGGTTGAAGATACGAACGAAGATAAATTCGAATACTTTGTTGAATGAGTTGCATAGGAGACGTTGATGATTGACGACGGCCTGAAACTGATCAGAAAACCATCGATAGATATTTTCATTGTGAAAAAGAAAATTACCTGGCGATAAACTGCTATCAGCTGATGCTGGATTATTTAATAGATGCGAGAAGCCAATTGCGGGCGTTTCGCCACTATTGGCCGAGTGTCCTCTTCCACCTGAAACATTTGTACCATTATAATTTAATGATAAACCACTTGTTGGTGTCACTTGGCCACTCGTATTATTATCGATTTGATCAAGAATGTTTTTCAATTCTTCAATTGCACGAAACACGATTAATTTCGAACGAATTGAGCAGAGAAATTCCAATAATTTTGATTTCAAATGCTGTTGCATGATGGTTGTTGAACATTGAGCTGTTTGAAGAATATGTTGATATTCGATCAGTTGCGTTTTTACGTAGAAAAACAAGCCAACAATATCTTTACTCCACTCGCATGCAGCAGCAACGTCGTTATATTGTCGAATAGGTTTAACATCAGGAATGTGAACTTTAGGTGAATGTGAATCACCATTTTTGATTGGTGAGAATGTATAAAACACTAATGGAGTTTCGCGTGATGTAGGAATTGGTAATTGTTCACAGAATGTTCTTATTGACATTGGTTTACTCTTCGATATTGGATATGGTACACTAAGATAAACAAGATATCCGATATTACATAGTTATGTCAATGTCACTACTAGAATTCTGAATTCTCTCTCTCGAAATGGAAAATGATCCCAAAACATCTATATTACGTCATTGGGAATGTAAGCTATGACTTCATGTTAGTTGATCTTTTACTCATTCTTATCTTCTGATGAAAATGTCGTACTTTTGAAATAGACAGTAGTAATCTTCGTTATTTTCATCTCCATTTTGTTGTTGTAATTCATCGTATAACTTGGTTATCGATTGTGACGGTTCAAAATAACCACAGGACAATTTGAAAAGCTTTAAGTTTAAGTAATAGATTGGTATTAGATTGAGAATACGATCTGTCTCCGTAAAAAATTCTCTGAAGGTCATTAGTTTACTTCGTTCAGATTCTAATAGACGTTGTAATAAGGTTTCTAAACGATGTTTTAAGTTCGGTGACAGACGACAAGACGCTGGTAATGTCTTTGACCATTGAATTTCTCCGCCTGGAGTGTTTTCCACACCTAATGCATCATAAATCAAAAATAGAGTTCTCTTAGGATAATGATCATGTTTCTTACCAGAGATACAGCCTGTTGGTTTAGAGTCTAGGATGCGTTTCATCACTGTTCGATCTTTACGTGTGCCAGCAAATGGTTGAAATGGAAGTTCGCCTAGAAAAGTATGGAAAACGAAAGGTCTGGTAGGGATGAATCAATCAGTTGAACAAACCAGTGGCACATTGATAGAGTGTAACACCAAGTGACCATAAATCAACTTCGAACGGAAAATCAACACGCGTTTGTAGAGCTGTTCGTAAAACATTTGTTTTATTGTCACGGACGGCAGCACTAGGAACGACGAATTTCGCTTGAAAATGAAATGCAATTCAAACTTACCGATACAGATCAGGGTGAATATATTCTTCAGTGCCAACTAATGACGTAAAGGCGTTTTCACCTTCGTTGATAAGACGAGCAACACCTAAATCTGCTAATTTGTATGTACGTTCACCATTGATATTGATTGAAAGCATAATATTATCTGGTTTGATATCACGGTGAATCTAAAAATAACAAAGTTGGAATTTTCCCTGTTTTCCTTTCGTTGTCTCAAGACTCTTACAGTATTTTTATCATGTAAATACTTGAGGGCGTTTGTCAAGTGTTTGAAAACCAGCATAAAGTCGTCTTCCATGAGACCGTAACGATTTTCAGGCAGTTCAAGAACATTATGTAAACTTCCGCCATTACAATATTCGATTAATAAAGCTTCACGGCTGCCTGATGCATGCGTTGAATCTGATGAAATAACAGGTTCAAGTGCAATATATCGAACAATATTTTCATGGTCAGCAGCTTTCAATATATCCATCTCGCGATCCAGTATCGGACGAAAATCTTTCTCTCGAGCATAATTTTGATGGCCTCCATGAGGTGCACGTTGATTTGATGAGACCTGATAGACTTTAGCAGCGACTAGTTCGCCTGTTGATTTGTTATATGCTTTGTAAACTTGTGATGTGGCACCATGTCCGAGTATATCTTGCGTTGCCCAAAGATAATTATGGGTTTCTTCACACATATTCGTGCTTGAACCAAAGAACAGCACGGATGTCTGAAAAAGAGAGAAGGAAATGAATATCACTTTAGTGTGAATTTTCCAGAACGAATCGTTTCGTTGACCTTAAGAGTAAATGTTAATAGTTACAAAAATATGTAATGTTTAGTCACTATTTCGTTTTCACGTCATGTAGCGAGTAGATTTATGGAGATTATTCATCACAGAATGAGAAAATTTACGATAAGTAAAAAGTGAAAATTCTACAATGACGAAAAAGCATTGCTATCGACCCTGTAGATAAAAAAAAAGTGGGAGGAGAGAAGGGGGCTGATGGGTGACTAACTAGTCTGCATGATGATGGTTTTTTTCCTTTCTTTCTTCGTTCGTACGTATATTCGGGAAAAAAGCAACAATAACAGGTGACATAGAGGCGACCAGTAACGCTTCGATTGGCTTATTCGGCATCTACAGATGTCATTAATTTTCTTCTAAAATAATTCTATAAAAAATGTAAACGATTCGTTTCATTCATTGACGTTTATCTGGAAAAACTAAATGTTGAATTAATTTTCGACATTAAAATGATCTGAAACAATCATTAGTTCGTTGAGAAACCAATGAGTGATTATTGAGCGAGTGAAAGTTTTTGTACTATTATAGTCAATCATTAATCGTGATGGTGAGTGAATCTCAGTTGGTGAAACGTTTCGCTGAACTTTCCACGTCGCAGCAAAGCGTGGAAACGTTATCGCTGTTTTTTATGCATCATCGTCGACAATCTCAAACGATTGTTCACGTTTGGGCGAAGGAATTAGTTAGTGCTTCTCCAGATAAAAAGATTGGTACGATTGCCATTTTGTTCCATGAATCTTCGATCGATTTCATTTGTTTTCCTAGCATTTCTTTACGTGGCTAATGATGTTATACAGCACGACAAACGAAAAGGTGGTGAATTTGTAAAAAATTTCCTACCAATACTGCCTTCAGCTATACAGCATATCGTCAGCCAACTCAACGATGAAAATATTCACAAAACAGTAAGGCGAATCATCAACATATGGGGTGAACGACAAATCTACGAACCTGATGCGATTAAACTATTGAAAACAAGTTTCGAGAGTGGGGTAAGATTCGATGATTCATTATGTACATATAACTGTTCTGTTACCGGTAAACAGGGGTTTTGTTTATTGAGAATGATCTTTGTAACTTTTGCTTCGAAGTACTTGGTAAAATCCGAGTTTGTTTCTATTAGATTGACAAAAAGATCTCAGATGATGAGGACGATGAAGAACAAACTAATGGTAGTGGCAAACGTAAACTGAATGATCCATCGTCTTCTGGAAGTAATTCCAAACGACGTCGAAAAGCCAAACGTAAACTATCACTTCGCGAAGAGATTCGGCGTGATCTAACGATCAGTCCTATTCCTGTCCCGCTCGTCGATGAATTAGTCAAAATGTTACAGGAACTAGAAAATTCTCCATCTTCAGATGCTGATGTAAGTGTGGTCGATGCATTTCCGTTCCGAAAAAACCATTCGATGACTTTCTAAGGTACGTGAGAAGATCGCTGCATTACCGATCGAAGTTAGCGATTCGAATCTATTAAAAAATCTTCGCGATAAACAAGAAGCAACTGATTTGTATAAACTCGTTCAAATGGCACACGGTCTACTCGATGAATACAATCTTCGCTTGGAAAGTGAATTACGTTCACGTCGTCATACCGCCAAAATATTACAAGCCTACATCCAAGCCCAGGAACGACAAATCGAATATGAAGAGAAGAACTTAGAAGAACATAAAAGTAAGCTCGTGAAATTGCAAACAATTGGCGAAGAAATCGAGAAACACCGAAAAAATATGCCACAAGATGTAAATAATATTGACATGGCACCCTTACCAAGTGCAGGAGATCTGTTTGCAAGATAATATTTTGATACCTTTGTTTCTTGTTTGTCTTTTTCTGTTGTGTATCAAACGCATGTTCTAACTGTGTCATTTGTTTTATGTATATTTCGAACAAAAACCGAAATAAATGAAACTTTTCAGAATTGATCAACTGAATCTTGTTAACAGAACGGAAGATTCCTTGTCGGTGGTCGTTTTCACGCATTAGTTCTAACAATTTAATTAACTAGAGTTATTTCATACAAAAAACAGACGGGTTTAAAAATAATGCATATGTATATATAATCAAATTAATAGTTAAATAATCTTTGAAGCACACGAATATACATGGAAGAAAAAACGAGAAAAGAAATCATAACAATTCGCAAAGAATTGCACTAGAAAAAGATTTTGTTCTGTTCAAATCAACGAATCTTTAGGAATTATCATTCATTAAAGGTCGTAGTTTATTTGCAACTGTTTCCAACATTTTGATGTTCTCTTTTTCCATTGCGGGTCGATTGAATTTCGAGAGCAACGGTCGTTTTAGCCCGTCCCGTAATCTAGAAAATAACATGAATTAGCAGATGCATATGGTATTGTCTTTTTTTAAACTTACTTTTCGACAACTATCAAAGCTGTGCGTGGGGCCACACGGGCGAATGGTGAATCTGGGTTACCATAATTGTCAAAGAAAACTGACCACCGTTTATCCATAATGAGATCCAACAGCTAGAAGAAATACTTTCGATATCGATTTTCGCTTTTGAGAAATCTTACTTGGCGTAAATCTTGAAAACAGAGTAACAAAGTTTCACTATCTAGATTTGCAATATTAATTTTCGATGCGAACACTACAAATCAAGGAAATAGAATGCAAGAATCCGTATTTAACAAAAAATGATCATACCTTCGCATTGCATCAGATCCAAACTCATTTGTTCGAGTGCTCCGAATGATATAGCTTTCACATCTTGACTAAGAAGGATATTTGTTAGTGAGTTTGAGATATGTTTGCATGCTGATAGACATGTTGTTTGAGATAATTGGGTCTAAAAGTACGGAATATTGTCGAATGAAACAAGTTTCGAAGAACTAAATTATGTGAAAAATGGATTAAGGTATTAGCAGTACATAATCTTTTAGATATCCCATCTAGATTCAAACGAGCAAATCAGCTTTAATATTTCGGTGTTTTTTAATAGACCGATATCTATAAGTGAGAAGGAATGTGTTAACTGAACTTACTTTTCTCTAGAAAAGAAATAGAAATTCGTTTAATAAAAAGAAAGAAGTAATGAGAAAATCGATCTTGCAAACGAAAAGACAATCTCTTACAGGCAGATGTGTAAATGCACGGAAGGTATTTTCGAGAAATTGGATTGTTGTAGTGATATAATCACTGGCAACACCAAATGCTTCTGGCATCATCCAATCGTAGGAAGCTAGAATAAAGTTTCAATTAGAAATATGTCTAATTAGTGAATGAATTCAGTTACCGATATCTAAACACTCATCAATTTTATCGTTTAATTTATCATAGATACGATCTTCGACAAGACTGCGAATATCTTTGAGCATCGATGCACCTTGAAGTCGAAGTCCAAGTTGTTTCGCGCCTCCACTACAATCAAATGTTGTTTATACATTTCAAAAACGAACATCACTCACTGTACTAAAGCAACGATATAATCCTCCAGAAAAGGCATAGCATTCTCTAAATGCAAGGTATTGATGCAGATTTGCACAAGCTGAAAGTTAGATCATGGTTCGTTTTATCGAAAAGAAAATTGTTCGAAAGTTTACTTGTGAGAAATTCAGTTGTCTTCTTGATTCAGCTGCTGTTAGTTCTATGAGAGCCGTTTTCAATGTTTTTGTTAAGAGTAAATTACTAGGTTTGCGTATCATATCATCAATTTCGGTTTTACTGAAACGAAATATTCATACGTATACGAATCATTTTCCAATGTTGCATACCTAACGTTTAGACCTTTGGCAAATTTAGCACAAACAGCGACGAAATCTTTGATTTCCAAAAAGATTTTTGGTACTGATTCACTATACGGTAGTTGACGTGGGAATGGTAACTGAAAAGAAGAAACACCTTTATCGAAATGGAAATTCAAGTGTTGAGTCAACGAACTTTTTCCGTTGCTTCAATTCTCAATGGAAATTGTCTCTGTAAAAGTTGATATTTGGTTTCATCTTCAATAACCATTGGTGTATAATTATCATTGTTGAGAATTTCAGTGAATTTCTGACTCCACTGTGTTAATAACAATTGTTGATAGCTTTCACTAAACAAAACAAGAAAGAAATCAATTGATCTCTCTTCGAAATTGTGACAAACCGTAATTCCATAAGAACATCTAGAAGTGGTGTAGCAGGAAAGCCCGATTCTTTAATCGCTGCACAGAACAGGACAACGACAATTTTCATATCTAACATCAAATCTGGATTGTAGGAAGTTAACTAAAAAGAAAACAAACTTCTGTTTATCGTAGTCAATAACACACAATCGAGCAGCGAATCTTGAAAATTATTAATTCTCCTATCATAAAATTACCCCGTCGATGGAGACTGGTTTTAAACAAAAGTCCTAGAGATATGTATTCATAGTAGCAAACTAGTTTCAAAGAAAGGAGGACAGTCAAGATGGATTATTTACCACTGCACGTCGAAGGACAGCTAATAATTGTTGAGTTGCACGTTCACATAATTCATAGTAGAATCGCTGATCAATCAATCCTTCAGTGGTGTTCATAACATGATCTTCGACAATGAAAAATCCTGTTACACGTTGGAGATATTTTTTGAATGCATCGAATGACTCGTGCATCTTAGGTGGAACGTCCAGAATGACAGGCGCTTGCTTTTGTTTTTCTCGTTGGTAATGCTTGGAAAATTCTTCTTTACAGTTGAGAAATAGGTTTATATGCAGACTTTTGTAAATCGGAGAGAAATCAATCAATTCCGTGATATTCATATTGATTAAAGCTGAATCAACCGAGCCATCAGCTTGTTGCTTTTGGTCCTTTTTACGGTCTTCTTCTAATGTGTAGTAACGTCTATCGATGTCAAGACGAACAGCAGCCTGAAACGAAATGCAATGATAGAAGATTATATCCATAAATCGAACACGCACTTGAGCGAAGGCACTCTTGCCGATTTTATCTGCATGAGTTGCAACATTTTCGAGAAAATTCTTCAACTCGTTATGCGACTCATTACGAATCTGACTTCGAAATTTGGCGATGTTGTTTTGAATTAGTTCTGACCAACGATGTTCCTTGACAAGCACGAGGTGTTTGGTCTCCAATTGTTCAAGTAATTTCAAGGCAGGATAGAGTCTATGATGAAATATTTTCTTCACTTCAATAGCAAATAACTATGAAATTCTTACTTTTTTTCTTCCATGCATTCTTGCAATTTTCGATAGGTTTCGAAAACTAAAATTCGCGAATGAATTTCGAAAGAAAGAAAGCCGAACTTTAAGATAGTCATACCTGGAAATGCTTGTGATAGGACATCGATCGTTTGTTGTATGTTACTCTGTCGATGATATTCTTTGATTAAAGCCTCAGTCTTCTTTGCTAAACTTTGTCCAGCTACTTGCATCATCTGATTGTTCTTCACCAATTCGTTCTAAACATATCGAATCTTCTATTTCGTTCAATCTCATGCTAAATTTTTGCATACTTTCATACTGGTTGTATCCTTTCGTACTTGTAATAGTTCATGAAATGCCTTAACGAAACTTTGATATTGAAAATTACATAATTTTTCGATTTCATTATCATAATGTTTGATCCGTTCGTCAAGCTTCTTCAGGAATGTTCCAGCGTCATTACGAACGAATACCGAACTAAAAAGAAATCAGACATATAGATGGAATATTTGCCTTCATTTTGTTCACACATACCGAACACACGCAGTTGCTTGCGAACCATCGGATATTTCGAGTTGTTTTATAATATTATCCAAATAGGTATCCGACAGTTGTCCGTCATTATACTCCCCATTCATCATATCTAACTGAAATATAACCACAAAGGAAAAATCAACATTTCTATCAAATAAGATATAGATATCTTTGCTTTTTTTCTCATTTCAATCATAAAAGAGACAGACAAAGTGATGCGTAAATTAAAAAGAAAAAAGACAGGACATTTGAATAGAAAACCGAGAGAAGCAGACGAAAAAGACGAAAGTGTTGGTGGTAAAATGAACAAAGCAGACTAATAGGACAAACTGTCACCACGATGGAATGATTTGTTATATGTATATGTATAGAATTATGAAAATTAATTTGTTTAAGCATTTTTAAGTTCGGATCCGATTTTATAGGCAGTAATTTTTGTCCAGTCAATTTTTGCCTTCGTTATTGGTAATTGACGACGCAGTGCTTTGAATGTCGAATCGGACATAACTTGATAGTTTTCGTTAACCGCTTGCTGAAAATGATAGATAATACATAAGAAGAGAAGAGAATTGTTCGAATTGTTTACTTACTTGGTAATTGTCTTCTGATTGACGGATAATTCGAATAATTTCCTTAGCAGTTGCTGCTTCGTCCTTCAAGATCGAACGGACATTCGAAATTTAAATGAAAAACTGTTAAGAGATGTCTTACTTGGATTGAAATCGTTTCGGTAATATCTTTGCTACTGACTAATTGTACATTACCATCTTCAAAATAGTGAACCTATGAAATAATTTAAATTAAGGTTACGTAAGAATACGTCGACTCAGTTTTGAACTTACTTGCGCTTTGATAAGTCCCGTAAGTTCACATTCGTTTTGACCTTTTGCAAAAGCCAATGACCATTTTGAACGCCAGCGTCCATTCCTACATCGAATACAGACGAAAACATTCGATCAAATGACAATCCGGTGAATTTTACCAGAAATTTTTCGGTTCGAACTTGTGGCTTTCAATAAAAGCAGCTAACGTTATTGTATCTGCATCACTTCCACCGATGACCATGCAAGCACCATATGTATAACGTTCCTTGATATATTCCGTAAGTTCTTTTTCAAATGCAGACCGCCATGGTTCAGCTTGTTCATCAATCGAATGCGGTTGATATTCCGATGCTTCACGACGTAGATGATCAAATCTTCATTTACAATCGCTATGAACAACCGGTGATTATTAATAAAAAGTCAAGCATACTTGAAAGTTTGTCGTGTGCGAGGATCATAAAATCGTCCGTCGCCTAAATCATTAGTATCGGTAACCAGACATTCCTCTTCAGAGCCTTGCACTTTCGTAGGTATATATTGATCACGATTATATTCAGCAAATGCTCTGAAATATACAATCAGGCCGTCAACATTAGCTGTTAGATACTAATTCTATGCTTTTACTTTGAAACTGATCGTCGAACTAACGCATCGTCATTCAATAACGTTCGAACATCTAGTAAAATTAAAAAAAAAGAGTAAACATCCTTATGTCTGTAGAATAGTCGTACCGTTAAAAACTTCGTTGAATTCACCCGGTGGTGCATGAGCAATGAAACGTCGAGCAATCGTTGCCTTTTCTTCATCAGTTAAATTTTCACCCATGATGCGCTTCGCTCGTGTTCAACCAAAGACAAACGCAGCTAGATAGACAAATTAATATATCTGAAAACAGAACAGAACACAAACTAAGTATCTTTCGATGTTATTGCATATGATTTCTGTACGATATCTTCGTAATATTTTCTCAATTCAACCAAAACAACACTCAACGCAATACCAACGTTTAAACTTTCCACATCATTCAGTAGTGGTATATAGACCATCTTTCCATCGCGTTCAATGGTTAGTTTTCTTGCTTGAAGACTAACACCTTCTGTTTCTCCGCCGACAATGACTGTTGAATGATCAGTTGGTTTTATGTTTGCAAATGCGGACCACAAGGATTGACACTCGATAGGAATATTTTTGTACAATGGGAGAAAACGATTACTCGCCGATGAATACGAACGATCTTCAGTAGGTTCAGATGGTTTCATTTGTTTACGTTTTTCTAACATTTCTTCGAACATTTGTTTCGATGCTATAAGAAAAACGAATTCAATGTCGGTTCTATTGATTATTAGTTCATCTACTTACGATTGTCATCGGCTAATACTTTATTTTCAAATGAATATATACGATCTGCAAGATAAACTTTACTATTCTCAGGTAGATGGCCAACAATTGTTTCCCATCCAACATCATTCACAATCGGTAAACGAAAATGTGCTCCCATGCCGGAACGAATCACTTTCGGATCCCAAATATCTACGCAACCCTTGATGGCTAGTAGACGATCACAGCCAACGGCCGCACATGTCCGAATGATAGTTCCCATGTTGCCCGGATCACGAACATTATCACAAATAACAGTTATCGGAAGAGTGATACGTTGCTGAAATGGACATGTATCTGGCTGTGGCATGGCAAATATAGCTAAATTAATACAATATTTAAGAATCGTTCTATACATAAATCCATTGTTTTTTTTTTCATACCCACCCATAATACCTTGACTCGTTTGGACATCAGACCAAGTACGAAATGCATTGGCGGAAACTTGATAGACATTAAAGTTAAGATCTGTCGTTGAGAAATCGATTGTCTAAACAAAAGATAAGACAAGTTCATTGAGTATAATACTGTTTCATATGATCTGTACGACTCAATATTCTTTTCTCTTCTAATGATTTATATCCATCTTATGATTGCTACAGTTAATACATGAGAATACTAATCTAGAATCGTATCAGTTGTCGATATTTATTTACATAGGTCTTTTTTTTCTCTTCTCCTGATATTTGTCAATATAAGCAAACTACGTAGACAATGAGAATTCTTTTTCTCGGTAGAAACTTACATCGAGAATTTTTCGATCAGTGGTAAATATTGTAAGAAGGTCAGCACCAGCTTGAATTGCATCGGCAATCAGCCGTTTTCCTTCCAACAAGATGTAACCTTTCTTGTAACGTTCTTGTCGATTTTTTGCTTTGATGATACGATTACTAGAATCAAAACATCGATTGCATTCGCAATGAAACGAATCTCTTGTTTTACCTAAATCGAATGTCGTTATCTTTCAATTGAATAATATTTTGCAATGGATTTTTCACTGTTGCTATTTCGTCGAGAAAGGCTGGATCTTTTGACATATTTTCTCGTAAGGGATCGAAACGGTTATATATTGCTTCCAAATTTTCATTGGAAAGTATCTTGGCTAAAGATATAGTCGATTTCAAATGTGTTGACAAAAAAACTTAGACAAATCCATCCTGCCTGCTTTGTCGCCTAAGTTCTTGATTTGTGCGATGGGATTGACAGTATTCTTTCGTGGTTTGACATTGGAACCGGTTTGTTTCACTTTTCGTGAACGAATTTCCGTAGCATGACGAACGACGACCGACGACAGACTTGTCGGCGTTATCAATCGTGATCGTGTTGATAATAATAACAGACGATTATATCGAATGAGAGACATTGTCGAACGAAACTAAACTGGTCAAAATCAAAATGAGTGCAAAGTAAATAAATAACAAAAATGTGTGATTCATCGTCAATATGAAGAACATAGTCAGGTATTGTTAATGGACGAATAGAAAAATATATGAGATGATATATGATCTTGACCGCTCTCTCCCTCTGTCGACGAATTGAATGTGAACGAAACAGAAAGCGGAGTGTTACTGTAGTAGATAGTAGAACTCGTCTTTTATCATTGAAATATCTTGAAAAATAAACTTAAAGCTAAAATAAAAGTGAGATAAATATGTTTTACAAAGTCTATTGATATTAGAAACGAACGAGAGCCGAAGAATAGAAAGACTTCTTTCCTGTGATAATAAAAATGCTCGTTCTTTGTTGTTATTCTTCCAAACTGAGCAGAAATGACAAATCACTCGTCAATTAATCAAACTAAGATAACTGAAACCCTACGTGGAAGAATATATTGACAGAGTATAGGATATGATTACAACTCTTTAACAAAGGTATATCATACGGTGAATCATCGGCGTTTATTTATTTCTTGAATAATTTCGGCTACCTTAAGTGAAAGACTAAAGTTTGAGCGTGTCTGTTTTACCAAACGAATGTTTTGCTTGTACTTATGATAAAAACCTAATAGATTTCTTTATTATTTCGACACACATATATATCGCACACACATACACGCATTTCGATTTTGATGAAAGGAAAAAAATGTAGTTAATTTCATCTACATGCTCACAGCGATATACAAGAAAAGAAGAAAATAGGAAAAAGAACATCTAAGACATATACAAATCCATTTATACGTAAAGAGAAAAGAAAAGTGAACGAAACAGATGCATTAGAAAAGAAAAATTTTTGTTTCATTTTTGAAGTTAAGAATGTCGATGATTATTGATTGGAATTGACACGACTTCGCAGTTTGTAGCGTCTTTTGGGAGTTTGTTTTCTCATAGCTAATGACGGTTTTTGTAGAATAGTTATAGGACTAGCGGGTAGGGGTGACGATGGACCACATGCGATACCGGCCGAAGTTGTTTTCAGTTGATTGATAATACGATTGGATGCTAAAAGAGAGAGATTTTAGATCGAGATGGAAGTTTGAAAAATATATCGAACGGCTCTTACGAGGTGTATGACGAAAGAATGATTGAATACGTTGAATAGTTGATGGTTTTGGACTCATTGTAGTTGAAATCGCCGGTGAAGGTTGAACAAGTGGGTGAAGGTCAACTGGTGATGTTGTTGAATTGGTACCTGACTTGGCTGTTAGCATAGGAGAATCAGCACTATTCGAGGGTGCCAATGGTCGTTTTTTCAAAATTGAAGCGCTCTTTGTTTTAACTAATTGAAAGGAAAAATATCGATTGAAAATTTGAGGGCGTGGAAACGTCGACATTCTTACCATCTTTAGCAAGAGTAGGCGGCGTCGGTTTACGTTCATCGTCAAGCTATAAGAATAAAACCCAGTTTCAGTATAATATCGAATAATAGAATGGCAAAGATTATATGGATGCTTACATTCGTTCTCGACGGTATTTTTCTCGTACTCGGCTTACTAGCCAAACCACTATTGCCTGCTGGTCGATCTGGTGTTCCATGTTTGGGCTTCTTGTTATCTTGTGTATCCTATATAAAATTCAAGGAATTTAGTTAAAACAGAGAAGCAAATTTGTGCCACCTCTTCATGAGCACTTCGTTTTGATCGAATCAATCTTGTTGTGGTTGTGGCGGGTACGGGTGTTGGCGCGGGTGGATGGGAGGGTAAAGGTTCGATAACCACAATAGGTTCTTTGGTTTTTTCTTCGCGTAATTGCAGTAGTTCCATTTGTAATGTATCATACTTAGCGTGAATAACTTTTAAATCTTGTTTCAGTTGTGTTGATTCTTGTTGAATCTTTTCGTTTTGGTTTTGTTCGGAGCGAATTTTTTCGTTTAATTGTTCGATAAGTTTATCTTTTTGAAGTTTATCCAGTCTTTCTTGTTCGTATTCATGTTTCAAATGTTTGATTTTTTCGTTATGTTGAGTTTTAGCATTGAATTGCTCTTGTTCATGTTGACGATTTTGCTCAAGGATGGTATTGTATTCAGTGTTTAGACTATCGAACTTTTGTTGCAGAGTTTTCAGACGTGAACGTAATGTGTCGTTATCTTGATTAGTTTGAGTGAACTTCTTCGACAGATCATGATATTTTTTCTCAGTTTCTTGAGATTTCACTTTCACCTGTTTCGTATTTTCTTGTTCAGAACGAATTATTTTATTCAATGAATCTATTTGTTGATTAGCCTAAGATGAAAATTTAGAAAAAACGACGAGATGTCGAGCAGGGGCAGGTGTGTGGATATTTACTGCTTGTTTCTCTGTATTTAATTGAGCAATTTGCGTACGTTGGCAAAGAATATGTTCGATAGCCTTGGTACGTTCCTCACTAGAAAACAAAAAAGACACAAAAATGAAGATTTTTAAGTATAATTGTTTGGAAACATACTGTCGTTGAACAAGAAACAAGCGTCGATTATTTGCTTGTTTTTGCAAAAGGTCCATTGCTTTCTTTGTACAATATTTCCAATAGTAAATCTATGAAAAATGTGAGAGCGATATGGTCGAGTTTAGAAGTTCAGTATGTACTAAAATGTGCGAAATGCATTTAATACAATTAAACTTACGGATTGAACATCAACTGGTATGCCTGCTTCGTCAAGTACCACACCTAAATGAAACCTTCCTGTAAACAAATAATTTCATTTTTCAATCAATCCTCACCATCTTGATCTTCGATATCTTCACTATCTAGGGATTGATGATGCTTCTTTTTGCCTATACCAATTGGACGTCCACCTTGACCCAGTCGTTTTGGTCCTTTGATCTTCGATTCAACGACGACTTTTTTCTGTGGTGGTTCCACTGGTACAATGATTGTCTATAAGAGTCATTTTCATTTAATATAATTTCTCGTTCGTACGAATGAAATCAAATCTACATACCTTTTGCGCAAGTGCACTGAATTTCAACAGATCATTCGTTTGCGAGATAAATGTAGCACATGGATTAACGTTACAACAGATTATAGTTCGACCTCGACCAATAAAGAACGGTCGAAAGATACTTGTCAATACACTATTTCGATATGGTAGTAACATTTGCTTTCTGAAAAAGTCAACTGTGATTCATCTGCAGTTATTAATTATTGTATCTTACTTTGCAGTTTGATTTTCGTTAAGCACTCGAATACAATCTTTGAATGTCATCAAGGATGTATTGATGTTGCATGTTTCTGCTAGTTGTTTTCCAGTACCCGTCGACGGTTCATTGCCCGCCAGATCGCAAATGTCTAGATAAAAAGAAGTCGATTGAAAACGACTTCAATCAATGAAATAATCTTACACATATGACTCATAGTTGGTTCTTCTTCGAATTCATCGAATGTAATCAATGTAATGCAAAGTACTGCATGTGAACGTGATGATGCTTCGTTTAGATCCGTTTTTGATGTTGCACGATTTGCATAACCAAATCGAATGGTGTCTTCAGCTTCTTTCAAATCAAAAACAGGTATTTGAACGAGATCTTTAATGACTGTAGATTCGCTGTTCTGCATCAAACGCAATGGTTTGCGTTTTTTCATTGCACTTGGTTTAACCAGTAGATCGAGAACATTTTCATTGTACAACTCGAAAAATGATATCCAAACAGAATAATGCTCGTCTAAATCACAAATTCTAAAGAAATCATTCGCGAAAGTTGTTTTGTTTTACCTTCAACTGAATGGTCATCAAGAATAGATTGTTGATCTTGAATGATATTTTGCAGATGATTTCGTCGCTATATTACCAATAAAAGTAGTTCTTATGATCATATGAATAGATTACTTACACGATCGTCTTTATCATCTTTGAAAATATATTTTCGATAATTAATTTCATCTTGAAGATTATTCATGTTTGTTTGAACTAAATTTTCTAGACCATCTGGTTTGAAGAGAACTTTCGTATCGATATTATAACCAACATGTAAAAAGATGCGCTGCAAACATTGAGGAATGAGACCAGGATCTTTTGGTGTGCCAAACATGGTATGTGTTTTACCTACCAAAACAGAACATACATTACCGATCAGATACTCGTTTTCTCACTTACCACTATTCGTAAGACCAAGTGTGCACAAGAGCCAATTTGAGCCGGTAAAAATTTCATCTGTTGGTTGTTCAAGAATTTGTTCGAATAGTTCTTGTTGTGTACAATTATGATCGAAGATTCGTGTTACCTATATAATAACAACAAATAGATTTCTTCAAAAAAGTTCTTTCGAATTTGCAATCAGACTTCATATTCATTGTAGGAGGTTTGGGCGGGTCGTATATTGTTCGTCGCGGTCGGATAGAGTTTAACTGCAATGCGTTTTTCATCACGAATACAAAGCATATTTTGATTTTCACCACGAGTAAGTTCATCGCCAATAAATGGTCGAATACGAACGTAGACATTTACCGGTGGTTCAGCACGACGAACGTTGGTCGTCTCATTAGCATTTCCTATTGCTGTTGTGTCTGTCGACATCTAGATAGAGAATGAATAGTACAGAGAAGAAAACGTGAAGTAGAAAAATTCTTCGTTTATTTGTAGAACTGTTAAAACGAAAAATGAAAATGAAATGTATACTCGTCCATCTTCGTCTGTGGTGTAAATATTCTGATATGATCTATGTTTCTTTCGTTCTCCTCTCGATTGCCGCCATTGTGTTCAGAAGAAAAATGATCAAATGGGTAAACGGCATTAGTTTGACAAAAAAAGATAACTAAGGACAAATGTGCTGTCTTAGCGCCTAACAATCAGTTTTTTTACACGCTATTAAACTGTATACAAACTTGCTACTCAAGAATATGTATTGGGGAGAAAATAATCACGTTGGTTCGATTGATTTTGTAAAGAAATTCATTAAAACGATCGATTGTATCCATGAGCCGCTCATTTCGGTACAAAAGCAAAAACCAATGCATGATGGACTTCTTCATATCGTCAAATGTAAATCAAACTATACTGTATGATATTATACTTGTTTTTGCTAATGTATGAATGAATTATAATTTGTACACACAGGATAAATGCTATGCAGGTAGCTCATTCATCTGATTTTCGATGTATTCGATAAATTCTTGTCTCTTAGATTATAACGTAAGTGGCCTCCGTCGAGGATTCGGACGTCTCAAAGATATTCGATACGAAAAAGTGGAACCAGGCAAACCGTCTTTGATAGTGAATTCGTCGAATTTTGACAAGAGCGAAGAGGCAATATTTACTTCGACAAATCACGTACTAAAAGAATTAAATAAAGTGGAACTGAGAAAACGATTCGTCATTGTTCATACAGAAAAATATATTTATATCATTGGTGGTATACAGCAAATCATATTTTTCATAAGATCTTATTTATTTCCTAGGGTATATTTATGATCATCGTGTTCCAGCAAGAATGAGACCTTCAAGGTACGAGAATTTCTTACATTAGAAGAAATCATATGACAGCATTTGTATGTAGTGATTATAAGTACGATATTCAAACTTGTAAATTGATTTCTACAACGGCTCTGCCGAATGGAGTATGACATTCTGTAATAAAAGAAATCAATCTTTTGTGTCTTGTGTAGGCTATTGGTTTTGGATTATGTGCTGATACAGATTGCATCTATGTCGGTAGGAAAGATGGACGGATAAGTACGCGAATATGTCTATTCATTCTCTAGTTGGTGGCAATGATCTCACAAATAAGCCATTATGTGATTGTTACCGTTTAGTTGTACAGAATAGTGGCGAAACATGGACGAAGTTATCTGATCTTCCAGTAGGTATTGGTTAGAGAATCCTCAATGTAGAATAAAGTATATTGTCACCTAGGCACCTACAAGTGGACCTGGTGTCGGTGTATACAATGGTGAATTGCATTGTATCGGAGGTAGTTAGCTATTGTTTTTTATTGGATAAAACTCTGTCTACGCAGGATATGATGTTCTCGGAAATGAATTTCTTCCTCATGGTGAATATCTGGTACTCCGTTACTTACAAAATGAACCATGGCAATATAGGCCTGAGATGGAACAAAGTCGTGCTCGACCGTTAGTTTTCATTCTTCCTGATAGTACTACAGCTCAATACAATGTTTACGTCGCCGGTGGTTTCAAAATCAATTCAATCACTCAGAAGCCGTATTTAATACCTGATGTACAAGTATTCACTCAACAAACACAACGTTGGCAAGGTATAACAACAATCCCAGACTTAGAAATAACACACGAATTATCATTTGATAAGAATATGTTACATGTCACTGAAACAATCGAAATGCCCAATGCAACACCTAAAACAAATCTTTTAAGAAGTTTTGACATTATAAACCGCGTTTGGACTGATAAACCGAATGAAAGTGTTCACCGACAACTTCAAGAACAAGATCCAAAGTCGATGACTTCGTCAACTATCATTAAATCAAATACAGTCAAAATGGGTAAGAAAATCCAGGTGAGAGATCAATTTTAATTATATTATCTTAATTACTAAATATTCCATTATTATTCACATAGGTGAAGAAATCAAACATCAAGATGTCGAACTTAAAGTTTGTTTCCCTGATTAACTAAACTATCTAAGGAATGATTCATTCAATAGATCGTCGAATATAAAAATCAAACCGGATAGTATGAAGTCCGGTACGTATTGATGCATCTTAATTTAAAAATATTATTAGTCGCTATGTTTCGTAGGCCACAATATTATACCAAAAACTAAGGCAAACAAAACGATTCAAAAGATCGATACTTCTCGAAACAAAAACAAAACTTTTCAGTAGTGTAAATTCTAACAATCAATTAATTTAGATACCCGAAAAGACGAGAAATATCTAGATTTCCTCGCCGCAACCGTCGAAGACACTATTAAAAAAGTCCCAAACAGCATCGAGGTAAAGCAATGCTACGCAAAAACAAAACTTCGTCAAAAAAGCTGCCCTGTTGTGTTCTTTTACCCGAGAAAAATTCTTAGTTTTCATCAAAAACAAACCTACAAAAAGAATATTTTATTTGCAAATAAAAGAGAATTCTAAAGCATGGTTAACTTCGATCGACTCGAGTCGTCTTCACAGGTGGTTAAGTAGCCTATTGCATGTCCAAATTCTGAGTGAGAGAGAACCTATTCTAAGAATCGTATGTCGATTACTGTTCGATATTTCAGCGCCAGCACTAATTGCTAGATAAATATTCAGTGGTTCATTTTCTTGGCAATTATGTAGGCGAAGACTAGCGTGTATGAATAAATTGTCTCGAAAAAGAATAGAAAAAAGGAAAAAAAAAATCAACTATCAATTACATTTCACAAATCTTACAATTAGGACGAACAGCATCATGCAGAATCTCACTAGTAACAGAGACCATTCAACAATTTATTTAATCTTCTTCTCATTTCCTTAGTTCTCATCCTGTTTCTTGCATTTGTATTAATTCAATGCATCACATCCTTACCTTCAACACCATTGGAAGAAAAAGATCCCGCATGTATAGCCAAAAAATGGTTGTCAAACACGATGGATCGTAATCGACGTGCATCCATATCCCGCCCGTACTTTCAACATTGGCGAGGTTCTCGAGAAGATATTCGTTTCGGGTTGAAACCAATGATAGCATATTCACCTCGTTTAGGTAAACGTTCCTATGATTATCAACCAGCTACAGTATCAGCCGATGTTCCATCTTTACTCACGGATGTTGTTGATCATATTACAGAAGAACCAGCCGAAGTTGTCTATGAAGATTCAACAATAATCTGCTTTTCGTCACCGATTAGCGACGCATTGATGCAAGAATTACTTGGAAAACATCATGTAAACCAACGCCGATGAATTGTAAAGTCATTGATGATCTTTTGAATAAGCGTGGATATTTCGTTTCTCTTACCTTAAAAATAAATCAAATCTCAACATAAAATTCTTTTATTAGCATTCTTGTTCGAAACAAAACACGATCGAATTGCTGAATCAATATATATCTATCATAATGAGAGGATAACATTTCAGTGAGTTCTATCAGCGTACATTTTCATCAAACAAATCGATTTAAATCTATTGCTATCAAAAGTATAGTCATTTTAGTGTACATAAAATTCCACTATTTCCGCTCCTTGAATCTAATCAAGCATCTTTAGTATTCTTCCGTCTATAACCACTTGATGATTAAAATGTAATCTAAAGTGATGTCATACTATCAATGCATTTTCATCTGACACTTTTTGTGAGTGAATGTATGACGCAAGAAATATGTATATAAGCGCCATTGATGCTGCTGATGATGTCGCTGTGACGAGAAGAGAAGAACAGAGGCTGCTGCTTAGTAAATATAGTTTTTTCAATCATGGATCAGCTTTTCGTTTCGAGTGATTCGATTTTTGTTTGTCTTGAAACAATGACAAGGTAAAATCAATACAATATTTACTTTCTAAACTATTGATTTTATCGACTACTCACATTCGATTCATTTCTTTCCTCGTCATTTCTATGCGCTTCCAGATCGCACGTCATATTGCATGATACTCTAGCCGAAGTAAAGAAGAAACGTAAAACTTATTACTTATTAAACTTATACTTCAAATGTCGTCACGCCGAGCATCAATGGACACATTCTCAACACCCGCAAATGCTGTCAATGAGAATTCTCTCAACGCCAATTCATTCATTGCTAATGAGGAGAAACAATTAAATGAACATGAACGTGCACGTATCAAAGAGTTTGGTCAATTATTCAATCGACACAGTTCGATCAATCGTGAATTACTCGAAGAGCTCTTTCGTAAAGAACCGTCGGAATATACTCAAACGGTGTACCGCTATGCCAGTCGAATTTATCATTGCCTGAAAGAGGAACAAGTCAATCCAATTCTCAGAGCATTATCAAATACAAATGAAGAACAAACACAAATGAAAAAATCAACAGTGGATGTGCCGAGAATCGAATATGCGAGTGATAAACAAAAACGAAGAACGCTAAAACTCGCATTTTCTGTTCTAAGATGTGCGTCAGTGCTAGGAAAGGTTCGCAAAAAGAAACAATACTATGTTTTTCATTTAGATCAAAAGGTAGTCGAAGAACTTTTGGAAGAAACTCAATTCTTTTCGAATTTTCCTGAGGTAGAGTATTGTGGTTTTGTAAACTGAAATATATCGACTGATTTTTAGTTGAAAGACGAATTAAGTCTCGTTTCAACTGTTCTGTACGATTATTTAAGTCGTAAATTTCAACCACGAGATGATCCAGTTGATATCGACGATAACGAAGATCTATCAAACAATGATCAATTAGTTTCAACCATTGAAAACGCTATTCTTCAGGAACGCACTCATCTTGCTGCTGCATTAGCTCGAAACAGGTATTCTCGGGGACAACCATATCGAGCTTGATTCTGAAATAATAGAAATTCTTTAGGATTAAATCGCAAGCTTTATCATTGGAAGATTTATTACCCGAAAATGTTCGTGAAGTTCAACAACATTCAGCGGAATTACCAGTCTATGCTTGGGTGAACTTAGTCAAAACCGAGTACGTTCGAAGTGAATGTCTTTTTGCAAAGATTTTCTTTCACTTTTCAGTATGGAAACGGTCATTGAAATATTTGAAAATGATGAAAATATGAAACGAGTGAAATCGATCAGTGATATGGATAAACGAACATTCTGTACCGATTATCATTGCTCAAATTTGTTAATATTTCATTACACGCAAAAGCATCGCCTTGCCAGTCATCCTCTCGTTCGAGACCATCATTTATACTTACAAGACAAATCGAGCTGTATTGCAGCTCATACTGTCAGAAAATTGATTACAAGAAAAGATAATATTTGTTTAGCATATGTTAGTGGAGGTAGGAAATGAATTGTGAAGCATTGGTAGACGTAATCGAGGTTTGCATTGTTTAGGTTTATTACTCCAGTTATTATTAGTGCTTACAGAAGAGCTTGAATCGAAAATCTATGCATTTGGTGCTCGTACAGAGGAGAACGTTCGAGAAATCTTAGTGAAAATCAAGACGTTGGGAGTGTCAGAAAAACGTAAGTGATGCTTGGTCAAGGTTTTTCTCTCAACATTTTAATAATTGATTACACCAGGTGTGAAGATAATCAAAGATCGGTTCGTCGACGTTAGTTTCGATGAAATTAATATGGAAAATTGTAAAGTGATCTTATGCAATCCGCCGGATACACGTTCTGCTCTTATTCAACCACTGGAATTTTTGTATAACGAAGGCGAAGGTAAGACAGTTGGATTTTCTTCAAAAACCAAATGTATTTGAATGGTTATAGATGTAACGTTGTTGAAACAATTTTCCCAACCAAAGGAAAACAAAGGTTACATCAGAGAATGTATCCAACGCGAAGCAGCATATATGCGACAAGCTATTCGATGTAAAGTTTCCTAGTAAGAATTCAATGGATTTTTATTTTTCGATGTCCTGTATAGATACATTGGCTCGAGCAATTGTTTATGTAACATTTTCAAAGAATAGATCAGAGAATGATGATATTGTTTATTCAACAGTGAACGAACAGAATGAACTACGTGCACAGATCAAGAAAGAAAATGGCGTTTACAAGTGAGTATTTCACTGGGAACAAAAAATGGGTAATCGAACTTGATACTTGTAGGATATCACCACCTGTACTTCCAATTCAATTTGGTATTCGAAATGAACATACGTCTATTCTTCGTCATGGCACTTTTATTCAGTTCGAATCGTCGCAGAAAATGAATGGCGTTTTTGTCGCTGTTCTTTTACGTGAAGTGAGATTTTGCATATTAGAATAGTGCTTCTCAATTGATGAATCGTTTTCTAGCGCGAACGACGTCGTCCAATAATCACGAAAAAGAAAGTGGATGATCAGGATTCCGATCTCGAAAATGATCGCAAGTCGAAAAAAGAATCGCAAGGCTTTCAATTCGAAACCGAAGCTCGTGCTGCTCAACGTCGACAGCAACAAACAGGAAAATCCCAACGTAAAAGCATATCGACGAATCGACGATCGAAATCGAGTGCAACTCTAACACGTGAGCTTGCTATTTCATCAACGAACCAACCGGAGAGCAAATCTGTTCAACCTGTCAAAACCGAACCGAAACAGATGACCTTATCCGAACGTTTGGCATCGATTGGACGGATTACCAGTACATTAGATACAAGTCAAGATGAACCAAACGCAGAGAGCGAGTTTGTACACACAAGAAAATGAACATTTGCTTTGGTTTTGTGTTTACTTTCGTATATTGTGATCTCATCGAGCTATTTGTATAGTCAAGCTTTGCATGATAGTTTGCTTTCGTTTTGCTTTGTGAATACCGTAGAGCTTCAAGAAAATTTTCACTTTGATGCGAAAATATACAATCGATGAAGTCAAATTATATACCATTCCTACAAAAAAAACATTCATTCTAGTTTGAGCAAATCTTCATATCAACAGAATTCTGATTTAAACCTTCCACGGTTTGTGTCTGTTTCTCATGAATAACTCTCTTTCTGGAATGATACTGTCACAAGCAGGTTGATTGAGAAGCAACACCAAAGTCTACCAATGCCACCATTCAATAGGTCAATTTGGGGTATCACAGCAACAGTTTCCACGAATAAAAAGCCTCAAGCGATCATTCGTCGGTACTATTATCCTCGACAAACTCATGCAAGTGATACCATTCCTATCGAGCAGCATCAATCAGTAACCAATAATGTAAATATTTCTTCGAATGAACTCAAAGTTTCTTTCGCATAGAATTACGTTACAAAATCCGAAAGATCTTGTTCACCGCTGTCATACGTGCAAACTTACTTATCGATCACAATGTACGCACTATGACGAAACTTCTAGCATAGACTGTTTTCTTCGTAAGATCATGTCAAAACTAAGAGTTCGATCTTCAATACACAAAAGAGAATAGCACTACTTCAACAATCCATCGATATCTTTTTCGTGAGTTTTTTTCTCATTTCGTCGGTTATTTAAACAACCAATAGGATTAATGCATTTGACTGTTTTTTTTTATATGGCGACGATCTTTTGATTCAAGACCAATGCTATTTTTTCATACAAAAGACTTTCATTTTTTAATGAGTTAATTTAAAACGTGACACATTCTGCTGTCGGTCGATTTTATTTCATAACCAAACAAATTTCTCTTCTAGCACGTATACTAATTATCAAAAGAAAGAGTGAAACAGCACACCTGCTTGCTTTCTTTTGTCAATGATCCTAATTGACACATCATGTGCCTTAAGCCAACAATCATTAGTATACATACGTATATGTATATATTCTCTATTGAACAGCCCCACCCACACCTGTGTATGTGTATAAATAAAATTGTTTGTTTGATGCTACGGCATTAAAAAACGAAGGCAAATTCGGATATCATTTAGTTTATTCTCACACCTACATGTTTCATTTTTTTCTGTAAAGAAGAAGAAACACACACGCACACACAAGAAAAACGAAAACAAGAGATGGCTATAGACGTTTACAAGTACAAATAAGCAAAAAATTCAATTGTTTTTTTTTCTGAATAATTCATTATCTTCTGAGGGAGCGTTTATTGTACAACACCAATAACAGGAGTTGATTTTGGCGATGATAAGTCATGTTGTTTACTCGAATGTTCATGGGCTTTGAGTCGAAGTGCAGCGATACTACTTGTTCGACGAGTTTCATCATGATCAGCACGTGTAACAAAACTTGTGATCGAAGATGTTGGCTGATCAGACGATGTTTCGTTGGAACTACTTACAGAACGCTTCCGTTTTTTGCTGGGCGATGTTGTCGTGCTGCTATTGTTGCTACTGCTAGCGCTGTTATTATGGCTACTGTTCACATCATTGTTGGAAAGTTTTGTATCGATCATCGATGATTTTTCACTTTCGCAAGATGTTGTGGATACCAAGGAAGCAGCAGCCATTTGTGCTAATTGTTGTAAGATTGCAAAGTTTGGATAGGTCGATCCCAATTGATTTGTCGATGGCCAAAACGGTGTTGTTGGTGGAAACATTGGTAAACATGCAGCTGTTGCATTAAGGAATGATGATGTTATGGAGGAATAGGATGACAGGATTTCAGCTTGAGAAAACGAACTGAGACGATTAAGAAGACTTGCTGGCGGAGCAAATAATGGATGCGTATGGGTGTTTGGAAGTAGTGGATGAGTTGCTGGTATTGTTGGTGTGTTTAGGACGCATGTTGGATTCATTTTTTCACGCTTGCGCCACTTGGCACGACGATTTTGAAACCATACCTGTACGCGTGCTTCAGTGAGATCAATTCGCATGGCTAATTCTTCTCTAAAAAAAAAACGAGAAAAACAAAGAAAAACGAATGAATTGTTGTTTAATTAATTGATGATAACAAAAAGCTTAAAGCGAATATTTTACATAATAAAGCTTCATAATCTGATGATTCAGTTCGCTTAGTCTTCTTTCTTTTTCAATCAATTCAAAACGTGTGTAAACAAGTGTAGAAAACATCAACACCACATGATTTATCCCTTTTTGTGTATTAATACGATGTGATGATTCTTTCGTTCATTCATTTTCTTTCTTTTCATTTTTAATCTATTGTCTTCGTTTTATCACAGAAGTACGCGAAAGAGTCTTTCTTTAAATAAATAAAACTCATCAAAACGATCAGAGGTGTCTAATCGAAGTTTATCACCAAAACAATCTCCTCGCTGCTTCGTGTGATAAGTGTCTATAACAACAATTTCCAACTGTGAAACGATGAAACACATAAGTGTTGACATAGGTATTTAATAAATGATTGGTTGATGAGGAAGAAATAAATCGGGATAGGCAAACATCATTGCATCGAATTTTCTATTGAGATGGGAGGTGCATGAAGCTCTTAACAATAAGTACCTCTACGTTTTTTTTCTTCTTTTCTCTCTCTCTCTCGCTTACTGTACAGTACATATAATTGTTAATCAAAGATAAGTGGCTAGAGAGAAGATTGTGTATACAAGTAACAAGGAGGGCAGAACATTTTTCTTGCAAATTCTCATAAGAGAATGAGCTGAGAGAAAGTGACTATTGCTATTTCGTTTAGCTTTAAGTGATTGACGATTATTGAAGTAAACGGATGCCAAACAACTGCGCGAGTAACGAATTTTATGAAGAAGAAAAAATTGATTTGAATCGCTCGATGCGCTTCGTTGTTTCTTTTTGAAAAATGTTTACATTCATTTCTTCAAATATATTATAATAAGAAAAAAAACATTTCTAATGAGGTTTTCTTTTTCTACCAATAAGCAAACAAAAACGTTGTTTAATGATGTAATACTAGTTAAATGTCTCGAAATCAATCGAATTCGTTTCGTTTTATCTTACCTCATAAAAACATCTGGATAGTGTGTACGTTGAAAAGCCTTTTCTAATTCTTCTAATTGAAACGATGTGAATGTAGTTCTAAACATTTTCAAGAGAAATCTTTCATACGAATTCGATTTCAGTCGTATTTACCTGTAACGACGTTGTTTTCGTTTGTGATTTTCATCGTCACTATAACCACTTAGGCTATCACTTTCTTCCTTGTCTAAGTTTTCGGAAGCAATCGGTGCTGTCGAAGATATACCAACCATTTTTGTTAAACGATCTTTAACTGGACTCGTCACTAGTTGTTGAGCGTAAAGATTGATCGAATGATGAGAATGTTGTGAATAAGCTTCATTTTTCCAGTTAATCTCGTGTCTCTCTTTATCTTGGCTATGTTTAATATCTGTCATCTTCATTGAACGATCAAACGAATGTGTATTTATGTTTCTATTTCTCTGCTTGCTTGCTTCTTTTCTTTCTCTCTCTCTCTCCCTTCCTTCCGAGAATATGTTAGTTAATTTTTCTCGTGTCGAGACATATATGACAATCACTAGGTGCAAAATTGGCTTCGTGTCGATTGTATGACAATTGATTGGTAGAGAAGAAAAAGAGAGAAAAATAACAAACCAGAGAGAAGACTTTTTTCTTCTCCTTTTCAATTGCTGTTGTTCGCTTATGATTGGATGTATTATATTAAAATCAGAGGTAAAAAAAAAAGAAAAAGAAAAGATTTCTCTAGATTGATTTGTTGTTTACATAGCTTAAAACGAGAAGAAAGAGGAAGCAGGCTTATTTTCTTCATATAGAAAGAAAAACGAAAGAGAGAGAGACGACGTTCTCTCGTCCAATTAAAACGAAGATTGATGGCTTTCGATTAATGTTATATATACCTATCATCAGACATATATAAACATATTAATTATTGAATGAATTAGGTATTAGAAGTCTTGACAATTAGTGAATATTAACTTTCAATTATATGTGTACGACGGGAAAGAAGTACGAATGATTGAGATTTTTGTATTATAATTGCGTCGTTAGATTTCAGATATTTTCGATTGAGAAAAGCGTTCGAGTATCCCTCGAGCGAAATTCTATTTTCTTGTACTTTTGCATTCTTTCTCAATTTCGGTTGATCGGATTTTTTTCATGAAAAGAAATCTATTTTGTTTCTTCACATTCTTTAAAATAATTCAATCATTTCCCATCGTCATTAACGTGTGTTTTACTTGCTAGAGGATGATGATGTTGTTTGTATAATCCAACGCCCGATGATCAAACGTTTCTGTGTGTACTCGCGCGCACTTTTATATAGTGTGATACTTCGTTCAGCGAAAAGGAATTAGTATAATAGTGTAAACGGTTATGTATTTAAATACGATTCAATATTGTCTCGTCTCATGTGTTTGTCTATGTGTTTGATCATCATAATGAAGCACTTACCGTGTGATTGACTTTTATCTTTGCTGAAATATTCTTGTGGACATATTCATGCAATGCAATTTCTATCTGTGGACTGACTGTTATTCTTTTCTTTAAAGAGACCACGTTCATAAACATGTTTTGATGGAATTAGATGTATCGTCGGAGTGGAAGTATCGACCAATCGAGAGATAGTAGAAGAATGTATGTTTTATGACTTTTCTTGACATAGTTTTGATTGATAATTGTCAAGAGTTTGCTTCGAATCATTGAAATTTACTGAATGGCTTCTTAGTAAGGATTCTTGTATGAATAACAAAACTTTCTCTCTTTTGCTGCTGTCTCAATCGTCATTCTTGCGAATCAGACCAAGTTTTGCTTCTCTTTTGAATAGAATACATAAATAAACATGATTAATGTTCATAAAATCATTAGTAACATTTCAATAGCCAGTTTTGTCGTGTTCTATTGTCTGAAATCAAAAGTTAAGTTAGTAGAAAACGATTTCTACCAATTAAACTTCGAACAGATAACATTAATATCTGTTTCAATACTGTCCAACAGTGCCATCTTTCTCATAAACGTTTTCGACGTATTAAACTATTGACCAATCATATTGCGGTTCCTTATTTGATGTACTTTCAGTTTCTGTCGGTTTGGTTTTTCGTATTTGTGATATTATATCTTGTTTTCGTTGAAAGGAAAGAGCATATCTTATGGATAATTCTGCCAAAAATCAAGCAACAGGATCAGATGATCGTTTTCTTGGTGAATCTATGCTCCGTCGGATAGCTAGTTTTGCTGTTGATCGAAACGCGAATCAAACCAAACACTGGATGCCTGATAGTGCTGGTATAACATGAGGCACTTACTTATTAACTTTATCTACCTGTGTATTTCTTCTAGGTAAAGAGTGTTATGACTGTCAAGAAAAGTTTACTCATTTCCGTCGACGGCATCACTGTAAATGCTTCATTTCGCCTGTTTTTTCTCGTTTTCATTTGAAGTTTCTTTGCAGGTCGTATTTGCGGTCTACTCTTTTGCAATCGATGTTGTTCTTATGATCCTCAAGTAAAATTAGCTGGTTTTAGTGAATCAAATGTTCGCCTGTGTTCCTACTGTTCGTCAACCTTAGCCAAACTTCCTAAGACGGCAGCGTTACCAATCGCATCGTCAAATCAATCATATCCTTCTTCCGCATCCGTCGTTGATTCGCCGCAACATCCGCAGCAACAATCTCAAGATCTAAGTACTTCAGATAGTACATTCAATCCAGATCATTTTTCGCTATCGAAGACTCCAAACGATCATCTATTTTCCAATGTCGATCCTGAGCAACCCGCCAACCCGAATGAACAAACTCTAGCGGATATCGAATCAAATTGTAAAATTACCCAACAATCATCACAGCCACGAACAACTTCGAATTTTAGCTTGAAGACTCTCTTCAATGAAATCTTTCGCACATCACAAGGTTTGCAAATGCAAAAACAGAGGATTCGCCTTCGAACAATTGAATGTATACCCGGGAAAGATATTGTTGATTGGCTCATGAAGAATCAACGTGCTAGTGTGTTGTCCGAAGCAAAATTATTGTGTCAATGTTTTGTCAATGAATCATATTTGGAACCAGTCGTTGCACCACAAACATCGTTCATTGAATTCAAAGAAGATCAAACGTATAAATTAGGAAAAGTACGAGTGAATCGAGTGTCAATCATTGCAATTCTTTGAATTTCATTGATAGCGTGGATTGGAACGCGATCCTCCGGTAGAAAGACCTCCAATTCGATCCGGAAGTGTCGTATCAACGTCTTCAGCTGATTCCACTAATACGGGTATATTTCATCTAACAAATCACATTGTCTTGCTATAGCCAGAATCTTTAGATACATATCAACAAAAGCTTGCTAAAACAACTGGTGTGCTAATCGGCAACGATTTCAACTATGTGCAATTCAATTCCCAAGTAGGAAACACCACATCAGACGATACAACTTCTGTTAATAGTAAAAAAGAAACGAGTGATTTTAATATGCCTACTGATGGTACTGAACAAAGTTAGGATATAATCTTTTAAGTTCGATTTTCAAATGAACCAAATCCATTTTGATTTAGTTGATGAAACTGACGGAAATTCTACGAGTAAACAAACATCACCGAGTGATGCCATAGCAGCATTGTACAATGAATATGAAGAAGTATTATTGAGACAAATTCTGATTCAGTTCCATGTTGATCAAGAATGGTTTCCGATTATTTTAAATATTTGTCGAATATTAGTTAAACGAGTGCGTGTCTCATCCATAACGAATGATTCCACGCCAAACAATGACATTCGACGGAATGTAAAGTTTAAAAAGTTACCAGGCGGTTCGAAAAACGAAAGTCAAATCATCAATGGATGTGTATTTACTAAAAATGTTATCCATCGCAACATGTCATCGAGAATTGACGGACCACGTGTTCTCTTACTCAAATCTCAAATTGAATATCAACGTAGTGATGATCATCGTCTAACTACACTTGAGCCTGTACTTAACCAAGAACAACATTATCTTTCATCATACGTTGATAAAATTAACTCCCATTTCAAACCTGATATTCTCGTCGTAGAAAAAACTGTCAGCAGGTAATCCAATCACAATCGTTGGTATTGACATGCAAAAACAAACGTTTTCTGTTTAGATTAGCGCAGGATTTTATCATTGCCAATGGTCTTATCCTGATCTATAATGTTAAAGAAAGTATTATGCAACGATTAGCGAAATGTTTGTGCACAACAATCATGACATCGATTGATAGTCGTCTTCCATCTCATATTCGACCGCCATTAGGTCGGTGTGAATACTTTGAAATCAAAGAATTCGAACTCAATGATAGTTATAAAAAACGTCTGATGTTCTTCGCTGGTTGTCCACCTGAACAGGGTTGTACAGTGTTGATACGTGGTGGAACATTACAGCAGCTCAAAGTTGTCAAATCGATTATGAGATTATTTCTACTGATCACCTATAGTACACAATTAGAACAAGCATTTTTGAATGACTGTTATGCACAAATCATTGTGAATAATCAAAATGATTTATCCATAGTAAAACAATTTGATTTAGAACAATATATCGACACGATCGTGACAAATAAACAAGCTATAATCGATCTAATATCCAATCGTCTTCTCCTATCGACCTCGCCATATGTTCGATATAATTCACCATATATCTTAACATGTACAAATCAACAATATATACCAAATGAATTACTCTATCAAAGTATCTATAATAATAAATACCAACAACGACAAGACAATAGTATAAGCTCTACGGATGACGACAATCAGACAAAGAATACGAATATATACAGCTGGTTTTATAATTCACCGTATAATCATGAAATTATTCATGTACAAGATAAACATCCATTCATAAGAGATAATACATTATTGCCTGGAATTAATCAGGACACCAAGGTAAATCTTTCGAATAAAACCTAACAAAAACTTTTCGTTATTTGCAGGCTGCTTATGCTCATTATCGAGCATCCGGTGGTCGTTGTCATTTTCGACGACGTCGATGGTACGATTGGTTAACACTCTACCAGCAACAACAGCCGCGTGATCAACCATTAGAGTCTATTTTTGCACTTTATCTTGATTTGCGTCTGCATCTACAAATCGCCATTCTCTATAGTGCGCACTGCACAGTTCAAAACAAATTGCTCACTTGTCGGCAACCTGAGATTCTGGAGATGCCAGCATACTCTATCCATGACACAACATTAGGTTCATTTCTTGAGCAACATTGCTTTTCAACTAATAATGCACCTTGTAAAACATGTCAACAGCCATTACAAGACCACGTTCGACAGTAAATTTTGTGTGCCTTTTAAAAATCATTGATAAATCATGTCTATGTTTAGAATTGTTCACGGCGAAATGAAATTAGTCATTCGCATTAAACATATCGACCGAACAACATCAAATCTACAGAAACTTTCAACATCCAACGGAATCTATATGTGGAGCTATTGCGAACACTGTCGTGAAGTAAAATCAACCCGATCATCTTGTACATCTATACCCTTTCGTTTAAATTTTAGTCTTCAGCAAAACGTTTAATGTCTGCTCGTACATGGTCACTATCGTTCACAAAATTTCTTGAGTTATTATTCCATCTCGAATCATTTTGTGTGGCATCCACACGTTCCTGTCATCACCACGTTTTCCGTGATCATTATCATTATTTTCATTCCCAGCAATTCATTGCATCATTCCGTTTATTCCGAATTAAACTAAAAGAATTCTTTCTTCCAACACCGACGATGAGTTTGAAACCATACGTGCACGAACGAGACTATTACATCGAATTGACCAAGACATTGTCTGTTAATGGTTACAATATCTTCTCGACAATTGTTGAACGATTGGTCGACTTGAAAAACTTAACATCTATGCCGGAGTTTTTTATATCAAAAACTGATCAGTATTTAGCACAGGAAAGGTTCGAGCAACAAACATTTCGTGCCTTGATGGATGAAATTCAATTGAAAATGACAGCGGGAAGTGGAAACGAACAAAAACGACAATTAGGTAAGAAAGTTAATTTTTTGATATTCAATTTTCATAGGTCCATATCTAGATGCCGATAGCTATGTATGCATCGATGACCAGATATGTGAAGCAAAGAAATTCATTACCAAAATAGTTCACAATTGGAATACAACTCTTCTAGAATTAGAACAGTTCATTAAGAAGTATGAGAAACAGCAACGAGAAGCATCAAAAAAGGTGCCGATCAAATCTGTTTCATCGGGTGAACCAGCGAATGACACGAGTAGTTCTATGCAAAACGATTCCGAAGCAACGGCGATACTCGAAGTAGCGCCGACACCCCTTCTACCCTCAACTACTTCTATTGATATCGATGAAGGCAATTTGGAAAACGGCCCAAAACCAATGTTGAATACAGATGATGAAACATCTCGACGTAGTGGAGTTTTGAAATTCTTCTCCACATTCTTACCAACATCAGATAATGATTCTCTTCAGCTGAAATCTCCGTTTAGCGAAGATGAACACTTGCAATTACCAGGAAAATATATCGTCAATCATCGAGAATTGAGTTCAATTATAGCACACGCTCTGTCCATGTCTGAATACGAACAACGTTTGAATGAGGAGCTGACTTTCGCATCAAATACAAATCAGGAGCAAAATATTGAAATCAAACAGTTTGATGAAAGTAACACCAATAGTAATTCCATAGACGATCATCGACATGTTGAATTACATTTTCATGATTCCATAACGAAATTTACGGTGAAGATTTTCTACGCAGCTAAATTTCATCAACTTCGACAAATTATCTTCTCTAATACTGATCAAACATCTTACATTCGCTCTTTATCACGGTGTAAAAAATGGCAACCACGTGGTGGAAAATCGAAGTCAGAATTTTGGCAAACATGCGATGATTTTTTTGTTTTAAAAGATCTCAATCAAAAAGAATCCGATTCGTTTTCCTCATTTGCACCGTCCTATGTTGATTATCTCTCGAATGCATTGAAATATCATCTTCCAACGACATTAACAAAAATCCTTGGCATTTATCATATACAGTATCGTCATAATGGTACAGGTGAAAACTTCAAGCGGGATATTTTAGTTCTCGAAAATCTACTCAATCAGCCGAATATGTCGATTCCATCCGTTATCTATGATTTGAAAGGTTCGATGAGAAATCGATTAGCCACTGTCGACGAAGGACAGACTAATGCGGTTTTACTCGACGAAAATTTCTTAACCCAAACACAGGAAAATCCCTTTTATGTGCGTTTGCATACGAAATGGACATTGATGAAAGCATTATATGCCGACACGCAGTTTCTCGCTAAACATGGTATTGTGGATTATTCGCTTTTAGTATCGTGTTACAACGACGAACAACAATCGGTAGTCTATGTTGGTATTATCGATTACATCCGAACGTACACGTGGGACAAAAAAATGGAAACTATTTTGAAGTCCATGAGTGGTCAAGGACAATCGCCAACTGTCATTTCACCTGAACATTATCGCACGAGATTTTTGCGCCGTATGGATCAATACTTTCCAGTCGTACCGGATGAATGGCATGCATACGAGAAGAAATTTTTAGATTTATCATTATTTCAAACTGAAACTATGTCAACCAATCTGTCACCTAATGAATTGCCTACTCAATAATTTAGGTTTCTTTCTTTTTTTATTCATATTTTATCCGATATTTATTGTACAAACCAAAAAAACCCAGAACCATGATTGTTATATAAAATTTCAAATAAATACGTATTTTTTATTTTCAGATGGATCTACCGGAGAATTCATTGAACTCTCTTTCGATTAAAAATGATAGTATTGAGTCAACTGTACCTTTACCCCTGACTCAAACTTCTTCAGCTGGTAATACAGGTGTCGTACACGATAAACCGATCACAGATTTAGCATTGAAAACTCCTATTAGTTTTCTCCAAGAAATCTGCTTTCGCATCCATGCAACTACAACCTACAGTCTATGCCCAAGTGAAGCTCAATGCACTTCAAGTGAACCGTCATTTCTCTATCGGGTTGTTGTTGACGATATGATTGCATTTGGCAAAGGTAAATACATGTTCCATCAAGAGTTTTTTTTCCTAAGTAATTCCCATTCAGGCTCAAGTAAAAAACGGGCCAAACACAAAGCTGCTTGGTGTATGATTGAACAATGCTATGTGAAATTAAAAACCATAGCCGATCCACTAGTTAAAACGATCGAACAGTATTTGTATGTTTTGTGAAAAACTTCTTCTCGTTTGTCTATCGAAATATCTGTAGTTTATTGAAACCATTGCAAACTAGTAATACAAATGATGATCCAACGACCAATGGTGAAAAGTGCAATCCGATTGGTAAATTACAAGAGTTAACACAAAAGAATTGGATTCGACCACCCGAGTATGAGTTTTCTGATCAGGAAAATGCGTCGACAACTACTTCAAAAATGTATTCATGTCGGGCTAAAGTAGCAACTTATACTGCCGAGGGTTTGTTCAAATATTCATCTCGATTATTCTTATTTTCTATTTGACATCAAAGGCACTGGTCTATCGAAAAAGATAGCTAAACGACAAGCGGCAACAAATTTACTGAGTATACTAGAGAATCTTGACGCTGAAGAAAAGAAAGCTTTGCTAAACCGCGCCGAAGGACAGGTTACTTTTAAAATCGTGTCAAAAATCTGTTTTCTTCAACCCTTGCATTCTATAGAATGATTCTGAATATACACAATCGCATTCAAAATTCCGACGATCACGTCGTAAAATCAATGATTCGAGTGTAAGTGTCGATGTAGAAAGCAACGATCATAAATGCCTTATTACTATAGTTACTTGATACAAGTGGGGTACGTGGCACTGGTTCAGCACGATCAAATCGTTTGTATGATAAGAGTTCATTTCAATTATGGAAAAATAGCGATCTTCCTCAAATAAAAAAGCTTCTCGCTGATGAATATGTTCAAGATTTATCTCAATCTCATGATATGTTTGAGTTACTCGCACAAGAACAAAATTTTGCATATGAATTTATTCAATTACCAACGATGGATGAAGGTAAGATGACAGATGTTGTTTCATTTGAAGTAATCTTCTTTTCCAAGGGTCAATTCAATTGTTACTTGAAGTTCGTCTCACTCCGGTTTCAGTTTTTCATGGTTATGGACAAACAATTGAACAAGCTCGACAACAGTCAACCAACTTGGCATTGAAATACATTCGGTGCCTCTCAAAACAACAACAACAACAGCAACATTCAACCTCGACCATTATCACTACGCCTTTGATGCCGTCAACTGCCTAATCATAAAAGTGACGTATGGATCGATTTTTCTCTCTATCTCTCTATCAGATGTCAAAAGGAAGATATTTTTAGTAAACTTTTTTTCTAATGTAAATATGGATATGTGATATTTGTTTTTTTGTTTTTAACGCAACGAAGGAAAAAACCCTGTTAAACATCGATATCTTGCCCGTGAAACGTCCGTTTAATTGTTACGAACTGTTTCGTATTTATGTAACCAACTGTTGTATGGTTGCTTCGATTATCCATTGGAATATTGACTTGATAGATTTTTGGATGCCTTGAACTTCTCGAACCACCACTTACAGAAAGTATAATCGTCACTGAGTATGCCGTTGCCGGACAATTATCTGATGATCGCAGAGTATCATCTAAACTATCCAATTCATTCGTTTGTGTTGCGACATCTTTTTGCCCGTAGCGACGTCCGCGATATTGATAGAATGGAATCGAATAGAATTCATTTCGGCCCAAGATATTCGTATCAATCTGACGTGAATATTTGTGACGTTGTAGTAAGTGAGATACACGATGTTGTATTGTCCCACCAGCCGTGATTATCGAAGCCGCATCATCGTCATCTTCTGTAACCGACGATGCCATTGACAAACATCGATTTCGGTTCTGATAACATTTTCTACTGGTAGATTTCACCGATCCATCCAGTAAATAATCGCTGCTTCTTGTTCGGTGTAAAGTACTATCGTTTAAAGATGTTAAATTGTCTGAGCTTTGACTACGAGGACGGTCGAGGCCGTTCCATTGCACGCATACATCACGAACAATGATCGGTGGCTCACGTTCATGCACTGCACCTTGCTGGTAAATAATCATTTTGCACATTAATGGCAAACGAGTAGATGCTCCATTGATATCGAAGGTGATTGTTTCAGCAATATCAAAATTCTTTCTTTCGGTGCCAATAGTTGGTACTTCCATTTCTTCGTCGAATAAAGTTCTTTCGTAATGATGATCTTCTTTCATTGACGAATAGCCATTGGTATAGAAAACTTGACTGAACGATGGTACAAGAAATTTGCTCGAATCAGATTTGAATGGTATTGCATTTGATATCGACGGAACGAATGTTTGACGATGTTGTAACTGTTCATCATGCTTCCAAAGTGTGTACAAGTCGGTCGAATCCATTGTCGTTCCCATTCTAATCCAGTTTTACATGAGCAAAAAACAAAAATAAAACTCTTATCTGAAGAAAAAATATCAGGATAAAAAAACGAAAGATAAATACCAACGGAAAGAGGTTTTATCAAACTGAGAAAAACCGCATTCTTTCTCGTCGGTCGCATTGACGGGCGTAATATTCAAAACAGAGAATGATAATTCAGAATACAGAGCGAATAGAAAAGAGGAACGAAGATTTGTACACGTGTATTCTCTTCTCAAATCTCCTGACATTCGATTCGTTTTGTATTGTGTAAAACATTTGTCTATTGACACAAACACTAACAGATATATAACTCATATTTACGTCTTATCTCATTTCAACACAANCCGCATTCTTTCTCGTCGGTCGCATTGACGGGCGTAATATTCAAAACAGAGAATGATAATTCAGAATACAGAGCGAATAGAAAAGAGGAACGAACATTTGTCCACGTGTATTCTCTTCTCAAATCTCCTGACATTCGATTCGTTTTGTATTGTGTAAAACATTTGTCTATTGACACAAACACTAACAGATATATAACTCATATTTACGTCTTATCTCATTTCGACACAAAAGTGTTCAATCGGAGTTCAAGTTCGTTTTTTTTTCTTTCGCGTGGGAGGACCGAAACAGCAAGACATTTTGTTTTTATGCATTCAAAGATTAAATCCTATCCAGATGGGAACCATAAAAGACTAACAAGTAGGTTGATAAATGATTCTTTCTTCTATTCGATTGGCTCATGAACAACGAGTTTATATACACTCGACTAGGATGATATGGAGATGATGAGTAGTAATTCGTTTTACATATTCATCTATTCACCTGATTGAGTGATCAAGTCTTTTATATTTGTCATACATGTAAATTGACCATGTAAAAAGAGTTGAGTATGTTTTATTTATAGAATAAAAAACGTATCCTCAACCTTTTTTTTGTTGTAGATCATTTCAATGAAGTAAATGTCGGTAGAGGATATGTGTGTAGGTTAACCTATGTCAAAAAAGAGCTTAATACCAATTTTGAATATGGCAAGTCGAACGTGTTGAAGGAATTTGAAATATTCATATTTGTAAACTTCAGCTCTAATTCAATGTTTGCTCATATGTAATCGATTGCCATTGGATATTCGATACTTGTGTTCAGTGGATTTTTTATTGGGATTTAATTATATGATAAAAAAATAATACAAACATATGCGATTTATTGCGATTATAATTTAGCTCATTATCTATTTACAATAGAGAGAGACGAATCCATTATAGATAGAAAGAGTTGGTTTCTGTGTGTGACGTTTCTAAATCCAAATGTAAATCGAACTAGTGCGTACTTCTCGAAAGAAATATCCATGTTGACCACTGATCCTCAATTGTTACATGTTCCTCAACAATCAGCTAATCGAAAGCGAAACTTTAATGCTGATAATCACGTGTCTATTCCACGTGCACATTCTCCTTCGTCGAAGAAAAGCGTCCTGATATCTCGACGACGGCATTCAACTCCTCAAGTATCAACATTGCGATTCGTCGAGTTGAAATCGCCGCAATTGCATCCATTTGTGAAACAATATTATGTTAATGCACGAACTACACGTACGATGCATAAGGATCCGAATGGGAAATCGGATCTGATGAAATCTCCACCACGTCCTGCAACACTTGTCAAACCACGTTATCCTGAGGAACGCACTGCTCGATTACTACCAACTCCGACGAGTCTTTGTTTAAATAATGATATTGTTTTACCAGTAGCGAAAAAGAATCGTTCGACTATTGTTGAAACACCAAGTCCTGCTACGTGTGACTTGCAAACTATCAATCATAGTGAAGTCTCTAAAAAACGATGGAACAGACGTGAAAAAGCATTTTCACTCGATTTGGACAGCGATGTTTTCAGATCGAATGAAGAATCGATAGAGAATTACGTGAGTTTAGCATTTCGACTGTAGAAATACTCGTTAAAAAACTAGTTCATCATGTTTGTTTTTCTCTCTATTTTAGACTAATACCAGAGATACTGCCAAACGCTGTAAATGTTGTTTCGGAAAATGTTTTTGTCGATTTTCTTATTGCAATTTACAACAATGTCACTACAGTTGTACACTTTCGTGTTGGGTTGTTTGTGTTCTTCTCGCATCGGCATTACTTATCGGTACATTTCTATTTATCGAATATTCATTTCGTTAGCGTTCTTTCCATTGTATGGAAACGAACAATTTTCATGGTAAAATCTTCAGTACAAACGAACTTTAAATACGTGTACAGGTATTGTTGCTACTTGTTCGTATTCAATTAAGTATTCTAGAAGAAATCCACTATTGAAATCATAGGAACACATACTGAATAGAATTTATGTACATTTTCTTGTTTGTATATTATTAAAAATCAGTATAAGCTGTACTTGTATGGGTTTTCTTTCTTTATTGTTTGATTCGATTCGAAAATAAAGTATTTCTTTTCATTACAATACAGAAGTACATTAGTTGGAATGACAAGTGTCCGACCATTCAGCCATACCTCATCTCCCTCTACTCCCGTCGAACGACCAGGTTCTTTGCTTCGTTTTAATTCTACTCGAGTATTTCCAGAAAAAGTCGAGGATATCGAAGAAGATCGAAGCGAAGCACGGCCTACATCGCCAATCGATATTCATATTGACTATGGTCTATTTCAAGCAAGCGACTCTCCAGCTCACTCACCTCTGATTAAAAGTACAGTTCAACCCGCCATATGCAAAACAGATGACAATCATAAAAACCGTGTAGTAAAAATCTCTGAATACCGTACCCCTGAAAATACACCATTCGAACCAATCACACCAAATCGATCGCCGAAGAAATTACATCGTTATATTCTTGTTACTCCTCGGACGATTTGTTCTCTCACGTTATTTTCAATTGTATCAATAGGCATCGTTCTCATTGGCTTTGGTGCTGCTCTAGCACATCGTCAATCTCAGTTAGACTATCGATGTCCATTAATATCATATTGTCCAAGAAATACTAGTTATACACTTCTATGCAATATAACAAATGAATATTGTGTATGTTATGATACAAATGATGAACCTATCGGTTGTATGAAACAACGGAAGTATGGAGATGGTTGCTACCGATCGCAAGAATGCTCTTCATACTATAGTCTTCAATGTAATATAAGTGCATATCAATGTCAATGTCTTGATCATTATCATTTTAATGGAAATTCTTGTATACCGATGCTAACTTATGGTGAGACGTGCTCAATAGGAAATGATACCTGTGATTATTTCCTAAATTTAAAATGTTTGACGGGAAGTATTTGTACTTGTAATACGAATACGACATTTTGGAATGGAGAGTATTGTGAAGATTATCGTTCTGTTAACAGCCCATGTGATCCATACAAAAATATATCGGGTTGTTCAATGACATTTTCATGTGACAATTCGACAGCTACATGTCAATGTCCGTCATCTGCGTACTATGATGGTGCAGTATGTTTAACGTACAGTTCGTATCTCGAGCCATGCTATGATACTTCATCTTGTTTACCCGGCACATATCTAGTATGTTCATGGGGTTTGTGCCAATGTGATGATGTGTATTTTTATTGGTCACCAACGAATTTGACATGTATGTATCCAAAGCACATACAGTATAATAGTTCATGTGATTATCAGACAAGCTGTGAAAGTGATTTTGGTTTACGTTGTATTGGTGGTCAATGTTTATGTGAAGTCAATTCATATTGGACACCGGGTAATTATTGTGATTTTCAATCAATGTACAACGAACAATGTTTAACGGCTCCGTGTATGAGTAATACAGGTCTTATATGTTCGTCGAACACATCGACATGCACTTGCTTAAAACGTGAGAGTCTTGTTTTTGTTTTCTTCAGAATCTAATAGAGGAGTGTATTTAGATTATTATTGGGACGGTTATGTATGTCAATATGAACGTTCATACCAATCGTACTGTTTGAGTGATACATGGTGTCGTACGGATCTCGGTTTGCGTTGTCGAAATTTTACATGTACATGTTCATTATGTACAACGTGTTTTTGGGATGGTGTACGTTGTCGTGATTGTCCGACGTCGTGGCAAATAGTCACGTCCAGTGGCCCAATAAAACCACGAGTATATTGCTATCTAAAAGTTGACTCGTACGTCAATTGGAATGAATCAGCAGTCAGTTGTCCAACACTAGCCACCTCATTCTTTGGTGGCTCAAGTCACTTGATTTATATTGATGATGCACAAGAATTAAAGGATGTTAGCGTATTCGCTACAAACAGTTATTATGATATTCTCATCGGCCATACGAACAGTTTCAATAACAGTCAATGGTTTCTTGTTAATGGAACAGTTTCACCGACACTCACGTGGTGCTCAGGTGTGGCAACAACATTTTCGTCAACGAGATGTGCTCGTTTGTTGATTGCCTCTATCTGTGCAACTGATATTTCATGTTATGGATGGTCTTCGAGATATATTTGTGAACTTGATTAGAGAACAAAAGGATCAGACGCTTCACACACAAGCTCATGTTTTGTATTAAATAAACTCTCTTTTACGGTTTTTCTAACTTCGTGACTATATCTTTTTTTCATTTATGCAATAAATTACGGGAAACACAACAATTTCAATTCTTTAATAGACTCCAGGACAATATCTAGTTCTTGTTGCATAATTTCATGCGGTGTGTCTTCAGCAATCATTGCTCGAAGATCATCAAATTGAAAACGAAGTTTATCAATTTGTTTATGTATTTCTTCTAAATACAGCATTGTACTCGTTGGATCTCGTCGATATTCAAGAAACTTAATTAGACCCAATGCACTTGAACCAGATAACAACGTTGCCGTGCCCACAATGTAAAAAACTGTACTCCAGGCCGTATCCGGTATTAGAACAGCTAATACCCATCCGAAGATGATCAACGCTCCACCGACAATCGAAAGAATGATACCCCACTTATTTACTTCACACCAGAAGTATGTTGAATGAAATTTTGTCAATTTATTTTGTAAAGCTTGAGATTGTTCGGTCAGCTTCTTGAATATTTGTTCTTCTGCTTTTGTACTCAAATGTTCGATTAAAACCGTTGTTGGTTGTAATTTGAATTTTCGGTAACGTACTTCCATTGTTCCTGCTGCTTGATAAGTCGAATGACGCACATCAGTAAAATCATTTTTAATCGCAAATAACGCGTCTTTCTCGCTGCCAGTCAATTGTGGGGACAAATTTTCAAAGTAACGATCGAATTTACTAATTGCTGAACTGGCCAATTGAATCGATTGTGAAAAATCAATGGAAGCTCCTGGACGATCGTACCGCGCTTCGAATAATTGTGTGATTGCTGCCCATTGTTCAGGAGTAAATAGGGGACTAGTCATCTTTCAATGGTGATACTAAAAGTGTAATCTGATTTACTCATTACCATTATTTGTTTTGAAAACAAGTTCAGAAAAAAGGAGCATTCTTACCTTTAGTAACAACAGAAAATAGTGCTGCAATTCACTTTTATATGTGATTAATGCAACACGTCCCGTTGACGTGGAAAATTTCGCAATTCTTCTGCAATGACAATTATACTTCGCTGTTCTGTTATTTTTTTTGCTTATTCTATTTGAGTGTCACCACTGAATATACAGCAAGGAAAGCGAGTAAAATGGGAACATGACAAAAGAAGAAAAACATGATATGATGAAATTTCTATTAATCTATTGTTCATGAAACGCATGTTAGTTTAATGTGATGATGCTGATGGTGTTATCGCTGGTTGTGTTCCCGGCTTTGAAAGATGTTGATGACCTTCATCAAATGATTCTAAAATTTGAAGTTATATTTTTGTTTTAGAAGAGATCGATTTTTATGCACGAACTTGTTTTCGATGTTTCATGAAAATCCACTGGTGTTGAATTCGAATGTGATGGACGTCCGCTAATGTTTCCACGATTTGAACTGAACGTTCCATATTCTTGATGTTTAATTAAGCGTGAGGTTTTGAAAGCTTGCTGTTGAATATCCCATTGTCTCATTTGTCTAAATGGAAAGATGACGAGATGTTTTCAATGAGATCTCCCGAAATACATACGAACGAAAATCTTTGTTTTGATTACGTTCCCAATTTTCCATACGTAAATCGAAATGAGCACCAGCAAGACGGCCTTTGGCAGCATTCTTATCGCTCTAAAAAAAGAACTTATTCATCTAGCAGAAACATTCGATAATCCAATGCATACTTTAGGTTCAAAAGCTGTGGGTGAATGAGGATCAACACCGCTTAAAAGCCGACTTTTTTTTTCTATTACAAAAAGGAAATTCATTATGAGTATGACACTCTCGAACAAGATCAACCTGCTGGGGAAACAACATCAGGTATTTCATAGACAACTGCACGTGTACTTTTATCCCATGGTCGATCGCCAGTAGCTGAATCGGATTGTAGACGAACAGCAACAGCGGGAATTCCTGGTGATCGAAGTTGAAGTACACGCTTTATAAAATCAACTCGAATGAAGATCTTTTTCTACAGTATAAGAAAAACTCACTCGTGCACTTTGAAGTATTTGAAGATTATTCATATTAATCTGGAATAATACCAAAAAAAGAAGCGTCATATACCGTCTAAGATCATATTACGAGTTTAGAGAAAAAAAAATAAGAAGAACATCATATGAACAAAAAAGGAAATGCTAGCTTTTTTCACGATTTAGATGCTTTTCCGTATGATGGATCATTTCCAACAACTTTATTTGGTTGACTCCAATCTTTGCGTGTTGTACCTAAATGAAAACAACCATCAATTTATCATTATACATATGTACATCTATCCATACCAGGCTGTTTCGTATCATCTGTTACTGGTGTCTTTTGCTTCTTTTGATCACCTTGCGTTTTGTTCAAATCACTACCTTCTGCAGAACTCGATTGACCCAAACCTAGAAAACCAGATATGTTTATGGATTAGTTACTTATGTATAATTTAACCTCGATGTTTTTCTGGTTTTGTTGACGATCGTGGATCACTGCCTTCAAATCGAATTTGTCGAACAAGAACTGTCGGTCGTTGCTAGAAACGAAATCATACAAGCTTTCGATTCGATTCTCATCAAAACGTGAATAAACATACAATAGCATTGATGAACGTTTGTCGTAAGACTTGCATGATGATTAAAAAAAAAGATTTCTGAAAAATGAACAAAGTTTGATTTCAGATTCTTCAAAAAAAAAACGAAGAAATGAAAGAAGTATCTTTTTTATTTCATCGAAGAACACGAACATATTTTACAGCTGAGTTATTCTGACAAATGACTGAAAGAATCGATGGTATTTTCTGTTCGTTCTACCATTGAGATCGTCGTGAATGTTGCTGCGGTAACTGTTCTTGTTCTTGGTTCCAAAAATTATTTACAAAAGTAAAGATTTGTTGCTGTTCAGGTAATTGAAAATGAAGGTATTTGGCTGTCATAATCAAAGCAAACACGAAAAATAGAAAATTAAAATGATTGATGATTAAATGTAAAATTAAAATCAGTAAATTAAATAGAACAATAACTAAACAGATAATTATTGTCAACAGGTTGATGTCCGATGGACGTCGCTTGTAACAGATGAGAAAAAAGTACAGTGCGATGAAGATCACGCGAAATAAGGTGATTAATGGCGAGAAATCGAATAGGAATCTGGTTAATGTTTCGATGAACGATGGAATCCACTGAGTGAAAACGACAGAGAGAAACGAAAAGATGATGTAGGAAAAAATTGTGCCGAAAAACGCGACTGTTGCGATTGTACAAAGTACGAATAAACAAATGTATATAGCTTTCTTCAATTCGAACAGTTCTGTTTCTAATTTGTGAATACGCCGGTATAAATTCGACAAATGTTTTTCGATTTGTTGTTCTTCTAATGGTGTTCGTACTGTTGAGTTGTTCAAATTAATTGATGACGCTGAACGATTCATTAACGACTCTTCTTCTTCGGGAGTAATTGGAGATTGTTCGAGACAGTTATTTCGAATATGAATAGAAAAGTTTCCACGATGAATGGTTTGTTTGCAAACATTACATTGAACCTGAAAAGAAATCGATAAGCACAAGATTTGATCTAGACAAGCTCTCACTTCAAGTTCATCGAGAATGTTTCGTATCACATGACTGGCCATTTTCAAATCATTGGGATTAACAATCGGCGCCCGGCAGCATGGACACTGTCGTAGTTTTCTGATACAACGATTGCAGAATGAATTTTCGCATAACGTATGAGTTTGTGGATCGATCAATGGATCTAAACAAATCGGACAGATCAGCGACCGAGAGATTTTATCTTCGTTGATATATGTGTAATTATTCGCCAAGGCTAATTCACGATTAGATGTAGTCGTACGAAACATCATCCGTAATTGATTCAGTAATGTTGCCGGCATTGTGCTCATTTAATCTAAAAGAATTGAGAAAAACAATAAGTCTTATGTACAAAATAAAACATTCACGATTGTTTTATTTCAAACTGTTTGACGTATACTTCGGTAGATTGAAGCTAAACAATTCACATCAATCCACATGTATAAAAAAATATCACTCGGCAGTCTTTGTTTGAAATATAAGTTCAAGCACACTGACAGAGCAATGGTCAAAATTTTCATAAAAAAGAAAACAAAACGATATGGTAGACCGTGACTTGTACCCAAACCGTACATATAAATCGAATAACTTCCAAAGATCAATATTGCCATGTTGCATAGAAAATTTGCATAGTCAAGGATTTGCTTTTGTTCATTGTATGATAAACAAAGTTGACCAGAGAGTTTCTTCGGATAGGTTAAATCAGATTGATTATAATCGTGTGCAGCTGTCAATCGAGATATAATGGTTTGATTTGAATAACTGTTTCTTATATATGCTAATTCACCTTTCATTTTGCTCATTTCTTTACTCAGGTAGACAACATCAGAAAAACACAGAAGGAAAACAGTTGTGTAAAAACCGGCTATAACACCCAAAACGATCGATGCTAAGTTAGTTTCATTCATAGACTAAAGAGAAAAGAATTGTCGTTGTCTAAAAGAAAAATAACATTAATCTCCATCGTAAAACAAATTCACATTTGTCATCTTCCGATTCTCTTATCTATTCCATACCCACACAACAGCAAATGAAACAATATACCACAACAAATATACAATAGTAAAGGGTTTTAAATATCCCAATAGATAATATTCCATCAGCATTCTGATTACTATCGACAGAATAGCAAGGATAAATACACAGAAATAATAGAAAACAAAATCTACTTCAATCGACTCTTGCTCGCTCGGTGTTTCCTCGTCATTCGAAAACAATTCATTGGAACTCTTAAAGCGTTGATTAAATATGAATATAATCAGTGATAAGACGAAACAAATATAAATTATCCATGAAAATAAATTGTACCAAGACTCGATCGTATAACAACTGTACAGCTTTCTCGGCAGGATTGAATTTGTATTATGCGTTGAAGAAAATAAATCATGACTTAGATTGAAACGTTGAGCAACATCTTCAGACCAATTCAAGGCGAGTAACAAAGATGATGAAACGAATTCCAAGAGATTTGTTAAACTTTCCGGTCGGATAATATAAACAACGGACAAAGGAATGATCGAACCAGCTGTTAAGCCATACATAAACATTGGACAGCTCATAATAGCAAAAGTTCTCGTATTCTCAAATCTGAAATAACAAAAAGACAACTAATGAATGTAGATACGAACAAATAATAAAACAAGAAGTAGCCAGGCTAAATTGGAATAATGACAATGTTGCAATGATGTGTATAGTATTGATATCAATGAATAAGAGATGATATTGATAACATGTAATAATTTAATTGTTTGCGTCGTTGATGGATTGAATGCACATAGATGGAAAAGATAGAGAAAGAATGAATACAGTATAAAAGATGATGAGAGTGATGTGAGACGAGAAACGATTGTTTGTACACATGGAAGAATTGTAGACAATAATGTTGAGGATGTCAATGTTTGTTCGATGTGAGCAATCTTTTTCTTTAAGATATTTAAATCATGGCGAAGTTCGGAAAGCTCTTTCGAATATTTCGATAGATCATCAGAAGAATCGTGCGAACAGGATGAAGTGCTCGAGGTAAAAAGTGTTGTTCGGTTATAAATATAAATTAACAATGTACAAACAACTGTGATGACACCTGTTTTTGTTCGAATTTGATTTAACATCTGACTCAATAGGTAAAAGAGAAGAACGCAATGATGAAGTTTTCTAATAGTCAATTATAATAACTTCGAGAATGATACGCATGTTTATGTTGTTGTTCTACACATACAAGATCATTCGAATGAATTGGCCAATCGATAGAAGTACACAGATGGCGCTAATGACAGTGAAACTTAATGTGTCGTAGTCTTTCGTTTTCTTGCTATAAAATATTTTCAAAAGAACTATCCGCATGAGGAGAATGAATAAAGAACCTCGAGTTTGCCTTACTGACAAAATGTGAATGTATTATCTGATATGTTAGTGATAGACAACAAGTATCAAAGTGATTCTGATATGTGAACCTGCAAACTTTGAATTGAGATATTCATCGGGTGCAATTGTGCTCGCAGATGAAGAAAATTTCCGGGGTTTAGAGCAATTAGTTGGAAAATTTTAAATTTTATACTTCTAGCTTTTATTTATGATTGGTGTAAAAGACTTACAAATCGAATTTTGTATATTTCTTATCTGATAACAGAACGAATATTCTATTTTTGATGCTCACTTATATTATTTATCTTGAATGATACTTTCAATTATCTTCATCTCGATTATACTTATTCTGAATCTAGTCTGGTTGAAATACCGTCGTAAGATTCAGAATAAATTCACCATACCAGGTTTATCAGCATCGAATCCCGAACTTGGCAATCTCGATGACATTGGACGATCTGGCAGTTTGCATGAATTTCTAACTAAATTACATAAAAAGTTCGGGCCGATTGCTTCGTTCTATTGGGGTAAACAACGGGTTGTTAGTATCGCATCACCCGAAGCTTTTCACGAGACGCGTCGATTATTTGATCGTCCAGTTTCATTGTTCGCTCCATTTGAACCCTTGATTGGTGCTAACAGTATTCAATATGCGAATGGTGACATTGGACGGTATCGTCGGAAAAATCATTATGATGTTGCTTTGTCTCCCATAGCACTTCGAGGACATTTTTTTGACATATTTCAACGTGTTTTACGAGACAAAATGGTTACATGGCAATCAAATGAAGGAAAACCTTTAGCATTACATGCTGAAATGTTGTCAATGGCGATTCGATCGATAACTTTAGCTGCTTTCGGATCGACCATAGTATTCGGAGATGAAAAGCGCATTGAAGAAGCTTATAATACATGTTGGCATGAAATGGAAATGCGTATTCAAGGTCATAAGATGGATTCGAAGCGTGAAGTTCAATTTAACGAAGCACGAAATTATTTTCTGGAAAAAGTTAAAGAAATTATAGCGGAATGTCGTCAACAATCAGGTGATAAAGAGAAATGTTTCATTGATTACTTGCTTGCCGACGAAGAACATGTACTTAGTGAGGAACATATCTGTGATGAAGTTATTACTATGTTCGTTGGTGGATTTCATACGACTGGAAATTTACTGACTTGGATTTTATATTACTTGGCCGAAAATCAAAGTGTACAACAACGTCTTTATGAAGAACTTGTAGAAACTTATGAAGCAGAGTTTCCATCATTTGAACAAATTGATCAAATGACGTATTTGACTAATATAATTAACGAATCATTACGTTTATCCGTTCTAGCACCGTGGGCTGCACGAGTTTCACCCAATGAAGAAGTTATTGTATGCGGACAGATTATACCTGCTGGTACACCAATCATTCAAGCACTTGGTGTTGTTTTAAAAGATGAAAAGATTTGGACGGACCCGTCAGTATTCAATCCTGATCGATTTAACGATGCCAATAAGAAGAAAATTTCTTCGTTAGCTTTTGCACCATTCGGATTTGCTGGTAAACGTATCTGCCCTGGCTATCGATTCGCTCAATATGAAGCCAGTTTATTTATCGCTGGTATCATCCGAACCTACAAAGTGACTCTAGCTAACCCAACAAGTCCCGTTATCCCAGTACATGGTTTAGTCACTACTCCTAAAGACGAAACTTTCATAGTATTCACTCAAAGAAATGGACTGAAATGATTTGAAATAAATTGCTTTTGATCTATATGAAATATACCTAATGTAACTAGATAGTTTATATGATTACCTGGTAAAGCACAAACGACAAAATTTTGTCGTTCTGTCAATCGTATCTGAATAAACGAAACAATATGATTACATTTACTGATTGGTGAATATCTCTTACGAATAACAAACACAAAGAGGTTAATCTGTATACAAACACAGATTAAATAAAACCCAATCACAAAAGCCAATGGGCTTTCGTCTGATGAAATGTCGGTTTTTACATCAGCATTTTCGATTCTAAAAATATGCTTCCATTAATAAAGTCCCTACTTTCATACTATAAAAAACGCAATCGATCATTCTGTGCTACTACAGCTATTGATTTCTAAACAAGACAACCTACTTCTTATATATAAGTCTATCGTGACAAATGAGAGCATGCTTACCTGTAAGGCACACACTGTCAGTACGTATCATCAGATGATGAATACGTCTCGACATTGTACAATTATGCTTAGTGAAAGTGCCATTTTGTAACTTTGTTTATTGTAGATCAGAAATGGTTGATACTAGCAATTCGCTACGAATGTACACACCCGAACAAACGAGTCGTTTGCAAGGTCTAAAGAGTCGTCGCCGAAGTATTTCCATAAGTTTACATGAAACAACTACACCTGCACTCAAATCAATCTCGTCATTAGACCATGCAGACTGTCCCGATACCAATACTTTATTGACTCCACATGAAAACTCAGATTTATTATCTGCCTATGACAAACTAACAACATGGAAACGAACCGTCGAAAAGCATCTAAACCGCATTTATTTACATAAACTCAAAGAAATCGATAACTTGGTAGCAAATGGTCAGACCCAAGTCGACGTTACCTTCGGCACTATTCCATCGTTCGAACAATTGGCCAAAGTGACGTCGCGACAGCAAATCGCTGATCATACATATGATAACATAGAATTCAATCATGATCTATCTCAATCATTTGATTTATTTAGTAATAATATTTTACTCTGTACATCAGACCATGAAGTACTGGTCTATGATGATATTAAATCCAAAATGATCTTATACAACGAACGATCTTTTCTAAATTCATTCGACTGGGATACAGATGAATATGGCGATCCATGTGATTTAAGCTATTCGGATTATCTTGATGTTTACTGTATCATAACTAATCGTGGTCTATTTACATGGTCAACTGAAGATTCATCTGTTCCATTACATATTGACTCGATTAAACCCATAGCAGCAAATCGTCTATGGACTATGGCATCGACAGATAATCGTGCCGATGTATTTGTTCTATTTAAATTAGGTAGTTATATCGAAAGATGGAATTCTATCATCGGTACGAAGTCCTGGCAGCCGATTCATCGTTGGTCAAATCATGATCTATTCGAACGTAATGATCAGCGTATCAGAAGCATACGAATGACATCGACTTATGTGGCATGGACTGTTGAATCGACGAAAACATCCGAATGGCGTGTTGATCTTCTTGATTACCACCTACAAGTTATACGTCACGGTGTGAATATTGATCATCTAGATAAATATTCCTCGTGTTTACTATCAAATTTTGGACCGGAACACTTTCTTATTACTGACAGCAATTGTCATTTATTATTCTTACTTGATTCGCAAGGTCGAACGACATTAAAAACAGATTCCATATTAGCTAAACGTATTCGAAACTCCGTTTTAATGAACAACAACAATCAACAGTGGCTTGTTGTACGATTAGAACGACCGAATCAATTGTATTTCATTGCATTAACAGACCGAAAAGAAACTCTAGACAAAATTATTTAGACTTACCATTGTGATATAATACATATACATATATCAACCCAAAATTTTATCAAGCAGTTTTTCCTTTATGGCCTTTTTTTATTTAATTATTTTTATCCCTATATGTTGTTATGTGATTTTGATTCAGTTAGAGAAAACAAGCTAGAAGAGTAACCTAGATAAGAGGAATACTAGGTGTGTCCTTTTGGCATAAGATACGATTTGATCTCTTGATATTTACTTCCATGCAAAAACATTCAAGCAACATTTAAATCTGACAGAGAAAAGTGTTAATCTTTTGTGAAATTCTATCGAATTTGTTTTTGCTTGATAAACTTTATACAGGATCTATTGGACAGGTGCAGATGACAACATATAAAAATCGGATGAATTTTATTGATGCTTTCAGAATACAAAACGTAAATTTGAGAACAAGTTTAGTAAGTTGAAAGTGGTTGGTAGGATTTTTTTGTTGAGGTTTGTATTGCAGAGTTGAAAATGCGTTGGTACTGTTGGATTATCTTTTGTGTTATTGCCTGTTGGTCAGCATGGGCACTTCCAGCTGCTGATGATGTCAGCGAGAAGAATTTAATGACAATCGACAACGAAATGGCAGAGAATATTGTTGCTGAAAACGGACTTACAAATAACGATGATGATGATGATGATGATGATGACGATGATGATGAAGATGTCTTGGCTATTACCGATCGTCATCTCCGAAAACGTAAACCACAAAAAGGAAAAGGAAAAGATGATAAAGACGACGATGATTCTTCGGACAGTGATAAAAAAGAAGGAAAGAAATTAAAAAAGAAAAAATGCATCTGCTTCCGACGAAAACCATCCCGAAACCATCATAAGAGACGCCCGCATTGGTCAGGTATTGAATTAGTTCGACATTCATAAGCAGTGAAACATGATAAACCTTTCTCCTTCATTTAGGAAAACCACAACGCCGTCCTCCAGCAAAAGATGAACAAAAGAAACGACCAGCTGGACCATCTTCATCGGAAAATGGTCAAGGTAAGCCAGATGACAACGGATGTAAGACAGCAACTAACAATTGTATTTCATCGATTAAAAATATCCTACTGAATTTTATAGCCAAACCAAAACCACGCCCGTAAATATCCAATGGAACCTGAATTGAACACAGTTTTCCTCTACATGGACGTTCCATACGCTCTTTTTCCTCTAACTTAGAATATCAATTAGATTTGACTTAATAAATAAAATATCCAACCCATCTATCGAAATTTAAATATCTTCATTTGCTTGTTTGTTTCTTTCACATTTGTACTATGATTACATGACTATATTTTGATGATTTCAAAAAGATGAACAACAAATCTGTTTAAGAAAAAAGCAAAACTGACATCAACACTGCTGTACACAACGAAAAGATCTATTTCATATAGAAGGGAAACTACTTTACAATCTAAGTTTCGATAATTCATAAAACTACTTTCAATACTGAGTTCAATTGGAATAAACACACACATAAGAAAATTAATCTTTGATTCGAATTAACTGTTTATCAAGGATTAATGGTAACATCAAAATGGTAGGTATCATATAACGTTTAACTTTTCGAATATTGTCTTTCAAATCATCGATTTTCCACTTGATCAAATCGATATCCTGATCATTTCCGTCGTGTGTGACAATTAATTCATCGATACGAGACTGTAATTGATCGATCTCTTGACGGTGTTGATTAAATTTCTCGTAGATATGTCGATTGAATTCCTGACACTTGTCTTCCGACAATCGATCGATTGTTGTATAACTATCCACACGCCATTGCAACATTTGCTGTCGAAAATTCGTGATAATGCTTTCGATATCGAGTGTTTTCAATTGTGAGTTAATTTCTTCGACTTCAACTTTCAATGGATTCAATTGGGAATCGATCGAATTCATATGTTGCCATAGATGTTCGAGACAAAACTCTTTCTTACAACATTTACATACGGCTCGTGATGAACGGATACATCGGTCTGCAAAACACATTTGAGACATCGTTGAACTGACACGTTCGATGAAAGTCTTCGTTTGATGTTGGAGAAAGAACGCGACTCACCGGTGAATTTATTTACATGTTTTGCCCTAATCATTTGTCATCGAAATAAATGATGTCGATGTCAATATTTAGTTTTGAATAGGTGGCATTCGATGAAGAATAATGAGAGAAACAGGTCAAAGGAAAGACAACTTATTTATTCATAACTTTTGACATAGCAATCTCGTAGCACGCGAACGACGTTCAAACGGAATTTCTCTACGTAAAGCAATTCGATTTTGTAAATTTGAAATCGATTCACATCGGATCAAGAATGTGTTGTTTGATCATTCACAATTAAAACTATGTTTATTTTTTTCAAAAATAGAACGTTATATGCTTTTCCTTTATTTCAAAAGCAATTAACAAAAATATTTAACAATGAACAAACAATTTTCTTTGTTGCCTTTCATAATAATCCTGATCAAATAAACTAAGCACGGAACTTTGAGTATCGAGATCGATTTCTTCCAAATACCACTGCTGTTTCTTACTCAAAATCATCTTCCAACGATTATGATACAATAACATGCAATTGATGAATAATCGTTCATCATGCGTCATCAAACGTTCGGATACACTTTCCGCAGGTATCCACGTTCGACAAAGTGCTTCTTGTTTACCCGTACGTATGTAGGGTAAATCGTCATCAATGAAACCACATTGACGTGAACTATCACCAATAACAAATTGCCGGCCGAATTGATTCTTGTAAGTTGTTGTCAAGTAGTCCAATGAGGATTTTTCGAACAATTGGACAAAACACATTCCTTTCGCTTTAAGAAATATATCTAACGAGAGAAATTTCAGTTCGAAATCTTGACTTGCAGGATTGGGTAAACGTTTCGCCATGTAGACTGTGCCATGAATTGAATTCCAAAAATAATTCTCTCGTGCTTGTTCGCTGATGATACTGTAAGAATGTGCTTGCGAGGAATTCGATGGAAATCGGTGAATGTAATATGATGGTAAAAGTAAATATTGATGATAACGACTGTGAATATCGTTTAGATTAATATATATTCTATTCGTTTTCAAGCATTTGATGTATGGAAAAATATACGAATCAAGTTGAACAAAGCCACCGGATTCATCGACGATCGAGAGATCTAACTAGAATAGAAGAGATGTTACGTACGGATGGATATTAAAAAGTGGAAGAAATATACGCGTTTTTCAAAAAATAATCGTCGTTGGGCGATATTGGTCGAAGATACACATAATGAATCCAGTTCATTATTTGATTGTCGACTTTGTCTAGAGGAAATTAAGAATTAGCGTGTATGAATGGTATACCAACAGAAAGTTTCTATAGATCGATACAGAACGCGTATAGAAATAGATTTTCGATTCAACGGGCAGTCTCAATTCAACGGAATTCAATAGATGCGTGTAGTTTATTGTTACCACGGATAGGTATTTCTTCTCTAATATTCTGCTGTTTCATGTCTTCATCGATTATCAGTATGTCAAGCCAGAGTTCCAAATATTCTTTCGTCTAGGGGAAGAAGAAATGTTTCTAGAATTCTATATGGTAAACATGTTTTTTCGTGTGTCATCGTATCAAACGAAAACCCATATCGACATACTTTTCGATCTGATTGATAACTAGTTTTTCTTCGATTGTCCATCTTGATTTGACTTCTTGTCTCATTGTTTCGAGAATTTGTTCCCATTTTTCAGTATTGATATAATTTGTTTGAAAAAACGACGTTGAACAATCCAAAATACCGAGAAGACAATCAAGCAATGCCACACTTAACAATCGATTCGACCATTCAGGATGATTTTCAGGTATGATATCAATGCTTGCCGATAAAGAATTGATCACTCGATCGTAATAAACGGTTTCAATCGACGTCATTTCCAGTATAGGTAAATTTTTTACCATGTCCAATATTGGGCTTATGCGATTTGATTGATGCTGATCAAGAACATTCAACGCATAAGAAAATCGAATATATGGCACGTAATAATTGTTCGACAAACTAAAAAAACTAGTTAGATGAAGATGCAACTTGGATTGAAATTCTGAACGAACCGAAAAAGTATTGGAATACGATATCTATAAAATGTCAGAAGACCATAATGTTTTCGATGTGATGGTAAATCAATTGGACGTAACAGCGACGGTTGAGTCTGAGAAATACTTGGAGCTCTATTCAATAAAATATCATTTAATTCATCGTCTAGATTTCCGTCAGCCATTGTTTCCGATGGGGGAAACTGCCCTTGACACTCAATGAAATCAAAAGGATCATCAATCAGATTACATAGATCCATTTGTGATGATGATTATGATGACCTTCGACTAGTCGATAGTTCACTAATAAATCTTCTCAAATGAGAATTCGATGTAAGCTGACCGATATATAGACGAAAAGAGAAAAAGAAGACAAATGCACATGGTTCATGAAGAATGAAAAGAGAAAAAACCATGTTCGATAGGAATTCAAAAGAACAGACAATCCACTGTTCACACATCAATCGGTACGAATTTTATTTGTTTAAATCTCATATAAAAACAGAGAATAGTTTACAAAACCCCAAGCTTTGTTTCTTTATTGTTCCTTTGCTTTGAAATAGTCGCCTAGAATACAAACGAAAATGTTCGATCGGTTTTGCTAATTTAATATGTTACCTAGTTTTTCCATTGCTTCGATTGCTATCGCTGGATTCATCCGGTCATTAAACGTGCCAAATAGGATGTAAATATTCGTTTTCACAACAATCAATCCTCGATTATTCTATGAAATATTACATGATAAGTTCAATACGTCGTACGGAAACTTCTACTCACATCTTTAGCATAAATCGATTCGTTATCAGTTCGAATACAACTATAATAGACTTCATTGAAATAAAGACCTTTCTTGCGTAAAAGTGTTGGTTGATTAAATGCATTGACCAATGTATCCACATCAGCTTGTTCGAGCTAGAGAGAAACAAAAAGTGATTGCAACATTCTCATTGAAGTCAACGACTCGTCACACTTTATAACCAACAGATGTTGTTTTTATTTGACTAGTATCACGGATAAGTAAGCCGCATTTTTCAATATGACCTGAATCAATCAAAGCTGTGTGTAGTAATACTTGAAGTTGATTCATGCTAATGATCGCTTTGTTGACTTACAATCGTTTCTACTTTCTTTCTTTTACTTTCAGCCATACCTATGGAAGTTGCGCTGACTTCGCCCTCCGTATTTTTTCTTCTTATTTTTCCGTTCGATACACATCTTTCAGGCATCAAGGACAAAGGCTAGGCGTAGATCAACTCTTTTTCATCAAATCCTCCGTTTCGAAACTATGCTGCTTATTGAGGAGAAGAAATTATTTTCTCTACACATAGAATATAGGTGACAGTATACAATCTATGCACACAAATCATGAATGACGATATACATAAATGTTGAAAAACCACAAGAAAAGAAGTGTTAAGCTAACACGAAAATGTGTTGCTGAACGAGAAACAAACTGAAAATTTGCTTGCGATAGTAAAATGTTCAATATATAATTTCGAATACAAATCAGACAGGTCAAACGAGAAAGAGAAACCACAAGCTAAAAGTAATGAATAAAATTACCAATAATGAAGACGCCACACAAGACAAGTAAATTAGTCCTAGTTTCTATTCATCGTCTCGAACAATCATGCATCTATTTGCTCGTTTTCTGCGCACGACCACCTGTACGTTTTCGGCCAGTTGTACTCTTTTTCGTGCTACCAGTCGTTCGTTTTATGTATGCTTTTCCTTCCTTTAAAGCAAACAACGTGAAGAGATAACGAGGAGAAAAGAGGATTTACTTTAGCAGTATTTGCCATTGTGCCGAGTCTTTTCAATGCTGGCTTTCGTCCGCCTGTTGATTTAGTTACTTCTTGAAGCGCTTCTTTGGCTTTAATAGCGGCCTGTCGTCGTTTAGTTTCTGTACGTGTATCTCCGAATGATTGCGTGCCAAGAATGGCTTTCGCTTCCTTGAAAATCAATTCTCGGTATAATCAATAACAGATTTTCTCAATGAATCCGACATACCTTTGCTGTAGCTTTCATTGTGGTTGCTTTGGATAGTTTTGGTTTGGATTTTGTTTTCTTTGCAGCGCTGGAGGACACAGCTGTCGATGGAGGTGATGATATTTCATCATCAGAACTTGTATCTGAATTATCACGTGCATTTAACATTGCATTGACTTGTTTTAGTTTATCTTCACCCCACGATTGTTTCAAAAATGCTTGACCAGCCTGTAGAACGGTGTTTCAAAGCTACAGAATGTTAACAAACAATTCATCTTACCGCAGCAGTAGCAGCCATAGTGTTAGATTTTTTCAACATCGCTTTCGTGGTTTTACTTTTCTTGGGACTCATCGGTTTACTCTAATGATGTTTATGTGTGCGCACGTATAGGTGGAAAATAGTTAAGCGAAGAATGAGAAAAAGAAATAAAATTTGATAAAAACGAGTAAGTATATCTGAAATAGTTTTAACGAACACTTAATATTGATGAACAACTTTCTTTGCTGAATATACACTTAGGATAATACTCAGGGGAAGTTCACAAAAAGATCACAATATATATATATATACATGACTATTGAAAAGATGTTATTACACATATCCAAGCGCTGTATGTGCAATACTTCGCCATAGTCAATGCAGGCAAGTGTGTGTGCGCTTATGTGTATGTGGGCATTGATAAAGTCAATATAGAAAAAAGAAAGAAAGAAAAAAAACGTCAAAGTGGTAGCCATCGTCAAAATTCTTTTCGACTTGGCCCTCTATATTGCTGTTATATGAAAATAGTTAATTGTGTATTGATTGCAGAAGAATCGAAATACTAATTATACTAGACATTTTCGTCGAACAAATATCGAGCGTTGTTGTTGGTCGATGATTTGTAAGGAACCTACGAATAGACGAAAAAGTTACGCTTAGTTTTCCTATATTATTCCTTAAAATCCGTATCGTTATGGTGGGAATACCATGCAGAAATTTAGCAATAGTTCAGAGTGAATGATGAACTCAGCAGGAGTCGATAATATGTATATTAGATAAGTTTAACAATCTGTTTACTCGAAGAGAGAGAGGAAAGTAAATAGCAAAATATCGAGCAGATCTTAATCCAGATCAAATATTGTGTTTGATAAGAACGCTCTTAAAAATATACAAAAGCGCTGTAGTCATGCAAATTGCTAATGCGTATTCTATACTTTATTCGATTGAGGACAACAGGGATCTTAAATTATGTAACAGCAGCTCGTGGCAAGTAAGAGAACAGAGAAAAAAGTCAAGTACATTAAAACTACGTGCAATGTATCACATAAAAATGTGCACTGTCACTATCGTCATCCGTAGAACACATTAAACGTAATATTCTCCTTTCATATCTACATATTTCGTTTGAAATTGTTTAGATAAGATGAGTGACACCGAAAATAAAGCTATTACTTCAAACAGTCCATCGATAGTTGTCTATTGGCTGGCTGATAGTCGAGCTGATCGGATACTGTTGTTGCTTGAAGAATTAGAATTACCGTACGTGATCCAAAAATTCGAACGGGGTCCGGATAAACTGGCACCAGCAGAATTAAAAAAGATCCATCCATTAGGAAAGAGTCCAGTAATCAAAGATGGCGACAAAGTTGTAGCCGAATCAGGTTTTATTATTGATTATTTAATTAGTAAATATGGAAAAGAAAAACATCTAAAACCAACAAATGAAGAAGATTTATTTCAATATAATTATGTATGTTTTCTTCGTACTTGAAGTATATAAAGAAACAAACCGTTTGCTTTTCTAGTTCTTACACTATATCGAAGGCAGTCTGATGCCTATTCTAGTTATGAAATATATTTTCCTAAATTTACAAAAACAAGCTCCATGGTTGGTGAAGCCTGTGGTGAATGGCATTTGCAATAAAATCGATCAGTTATATTTAGGACCAAATATTCGAGCACATCTGGATTTTCTCGAAGGAGAACTCAAACAACGCAAATGGCTCGCCGGTGAACAATTTTCCGGTGCTGATATTCAGGTATTTTTTCTGATTTCTGTTTATGCATAGATTTAGTTTTTGTTCAGGCAAGTTTTACATTGGAAATGTTATTGAAACGATCGAATGCAAATGAAGAAAATGTGCCTAATTTAAGCCGATACGTTGCAGCAATGCGTGAACGACCTGCATACAAACGTGCAATGGAGAAAGTGGGCAAAAGCTGCATTGCTGAATGAAGCAGGAAAACTTGCGTGAAACAAGATTTATCTGACAATACAAACGTACCTGATTATCCTTTCTTTTTTCTTTTTTCTAAAGAACAAAAATCTACCGAGTTGAAATCAGTACATCAAATTCAAGACGGAACTACTGTTTTCTTTAACTTAATACGGTTGCTTCAGAAACAAGATTAGGCATTAGAGATGGTAAAACACGTACCTGGTCGAAACCAAGTTCAGCCTTTTTAGACGACACACTATTTACCATAGAAGAATATCGAGAAAATGTTTTGTCCGATCAATAGTGACATCTATATATCTTTTTTTATAATATTGCAAACGTGCGTACGCTATTGCCCTTTATAACCTTCCTTTTCAACTACGCTCGCTCCTTTCTATTCGTTCTCTTCCAATCATATATGTTTTTTTTTTGTAAAAAAACATCAAAATCTATGTCAAAAATAATTAAAGTCTAGGCTAATTCTAATCTTCGTTAATTCATTTGTGTGTGCATCAATTCAAATAAAATGTCTCGAAAACATTCTCCTAATGACAAATCCAAAGCTAAGAATCCTTCATCACCAACTGACGCGAACGATGAACCAAGGTACTGCATCTGTCAAAAACGCGAAGATGAACTAAACGATCAAGATAATGATTTTATGATTGAATGCGATGGATGTAACGGATGGTTTCATGGTAAATGCATCGGATTAGCTGATCGTATTGCTGGTAAATGATCTTTTTCTCATACAAGTCTTTTTTGTGAGTATTTGTTTTTCTTCGGATAGATGACATTGAAAAATATTTTTGTCCGGAATGCTCCACGCAATTTGGTCCTTCAGTTTGTAAGAAAACGCGAACCTTCTCGAAACTTATTGATATTTTACAATTTGTTTGACATAGTTAAACAACGGAGGAATCAACATCGGCGAGATTACAGCGATCCGAATGCTGAAAATAAAGTGAGTGATGATCGACGAAAAAGCGAAGCTTTTATTGATAAATTTGGACTTGATTATTTAGACAACAGAAAGTGGCACAATGGATTTCATCAATAAATTGAAGCGAAGAGTATTTCCGAGGTAATATAAATATGACATACCCTGGAAAAACTAACGTTACCCTGGATTTTTTTCCTTTCAGTTGTGCGCCAGTTATAACTCGAATGAAAGGCAATCAAGTAACTGCGGAGTATCTAATCAATAATGGTTTCACCAAACCAATCTTAGTAACGAATCGTGACGGATTAGAATTGACTTTACCTAGTCGGACGATTACGTTAAATGAAATTAATGAACTTATCGGTAGATGAGATCGAATTGACCTTTTATCTCGGAAGAAAGTTCTTTCTTGTTTAGGACCTGGTCGTTATATTGACATAATTGACTGTGAGAAACAAGTGACTTACAAAATGGCATTAGAAGAATACGTCGACTATTTCGAAAGTATCGATCGAAGCAAAATCTATAATGTTCTCAGTTTAGAAATTTCGAATACTAAGTACGTATAGTAAATCGCAATAAGAACGAAATCGCATGTGTTTAATTTTCATCTCTCTTTAAGACTGGGTGAGCAAGTGATCACACCGCGAATTGTTCGGGATCTTTCATGGGCGACTGTTGGTATTTGGCCACTGAAAAAAGACGGAGAGAAAAACGATGACAACGACAATGATGAAGTTTCGAATGGGACGGAAAAGAAAGCAACATGGCCATCGCAATCAATGTCGTCGAAGAAGAAACGTCGAACAGTTTCATCAACAGACACTGATCAGAGCGACGATGATCAATTCGAAGTTGTTGATGCAAATCATTTCGAAAATTTCGAACGGCCTGATGTAGCTAAATATTGTTTGATGAGTCCACAGTCATCGTATACAGATTTTCATGTGGATTTTGGTGGTTCAAGTGTTTGGTATTCCGTTGTTCGAGTGAGTTGAATTGCTTCCATTGATATTTTCATTTCAACTTCAAACATTAATTTGTCTATTCAGGGAGAGAAGATCTTCTATCTAATTGAACCAACCGACGAGAATCTTCAAAAATACGCTGAATGGTCAAGGTCACAAACAGAGTCCGAAACATTTCTAGGTGATTGTGTCACAAATTGTTACAAAATGCATCTACGCGAAGAGAACACTGTTTTCATACCAGCAGGGTTAGACGACACTTGATTCGATCTTTTCGGAAAATTTCAATCTTATTTTCTTTAGTTGGATCCATGCAGTTTATACAGTTACAGATTCATTAGTTTTTGGTGGCAACTTTCTTCAATCGATGGGAGTTGATATGCAACTTCGGTAAGTAAAGATTCATACGCTTGCCTGTCATACATCAATATAAACTATGAATTCTTTTTAGTATCTACGAGCTTGAACGTCTTGCACAAGTTCCGCATAAATTTCAGTTCCCACTGTTCGAAACATTTCATTGGTACGCTGCGAAAGCTTTCTATGAAGAATTAAAAGGTAACGTTTTTATCGTTTTACGGCTTGTTCTTTTATTCATCTACCAATGCACTCTTCCCTCTCATCTATTTCTAGAATGTAACGATTCTGGTTCGTTGACTGTCAATCCTATCACTCAACAAGCTTGCGAGTCAATTCTGCACTATATGGGTAAATGGTTATCAGCTGATAAACGGGTATGAATAGGCTTGTTCATCTAACGTCTCTTCTAAATGTACTAACAGCTCAGTCTACATCACAGATTAAAGTAGTTCATCAAAGTACAACTTAACAAAGATTATTCTCAGTTATGTTATTCTCTTCTGAACAATGGATAGAATCTATCTGTGTGGTAATTCGTGATATCGATCTTTAATTGTTTGCATACTTTCTTCTGTGAACAAAAGGAAAAAGATAAAATTCTTCTCTTGCTTTATAATACTCTTATTTCATTTGATGCTTTGAATCAATACGATCGTGGGAGATGATCATTTGGAAAATTTTCTATTTAGTATCAAACACGTAACCGTTTGATCATACCAAAAGGATTCAACTGTGAAAAACTTCTACGCGATCTTGCACGAGAACTTGAACAAGTTAAAGTATGTGGTTTAGATTAACTAGATCTTTTCGTAGACTTTGTATTTGTTTTTCGTTTTAGATACGCTGTGAATCAGGAAGATTTTCTAAACCACCTTCAAGTAGTATTATTGCTAGTCCTATCAAAGTCGTGCTTCCAATCGATGCAAAACATGAGCTTGTTCAACTGAATAATACTAAAGTTTGTATTTTTTTCGATTTGAAGAATCTTCATATTGAATTGATTGTTCAATTTGTTGAATTAGATTAAAGTTAAATGTCGTCGTTTATCATCGGAATCAGAAAATCAGAAAAACAAAGATTCGTCCGCTGGCAGTGGCATGAAATTGACGATTAAAACATCGTTAAGTGGTTGTAGAAAGCCAAGTAGCAGCAGGGATTTATCTCCAGTAATGAACAAGAAAAAAGTTTCACGAACCTCGTCATCTGTTAAACAACAAAAAAAGTAAGTTAAACGCTCTATGACGAGGTCGTTTTCCTAGTGAAACTTTTATTCTAGTTCAAATTCAACTGATATTCCAATTAAACAGGAAGAACCACCGAAAATTACTTATACACTTGGTAAGAATTTCATAGAAATGCACCTGACAGTTGAAAATGTCTATCTTGCTTTCTACAGACCTTGAGGCAAAACGACAACGTTTTATTGAACCTACAATTACTCAGTAAGTTTCTATAGGATGGTTGGTATAACTTACAAGTTTTGTTTTCGTTTAGGGCAACTCATGATGAGTCTGATAATGATACTAATACTTCTTCAAGTGATACGAACTTCTCATCCATTCCTCCCGAATCGCACGCAGATATAAATGAAAGTCATGACAATAACGAATCCTTAGGTGGCATAGTCGATGGAGGTTTAGCATCATTTGTGAAGAGTTCATCGATAAACGATGACTATTGTAAGTGTCATCAGTTTTCGGTTTCATATTCTGAAACAATATCTTCTATGTAGATCATCCAAGTAAAGAAAGTAAAATAAAACGAGAGCGTAGCAGTTCGGAGAAGAAACATTCTTCAAGTAAATATGGAGATGTCGTCTTTGACCTATATTATGACAATTATTTATCTTTGTAGAAAAACTAAAATCAAAATCATCAACAGAAACAGATAAAGCTCAGGTATGTTTATTGTTCTTTCTAATAATAAATACATTCTACTTTTACTTTAATAGAAATCATCGAAAAAGGCCAAATCGGAAGGTATTCTATCACTTATTTCTATTTCTTTTTCATTGCGATCATTTATTATTTAGATTCATTGTCATCGACTCCTAATCGAAAGAAACTATTGACAGCTACAGCATCGACGCCAGGGTCTTCATTACCTTCGAATCCAACTTCTACGCCAACCCAGAAGAAACGCATATTGCCCTCTACACCGAAAAAAGTCAATCCAAAAGACCGTCTAGGAAAAATTCTTAAAATAGCAAATAGCATCAAATCGCGGGGAGGAGTTCTAACTTAACTTTTTCTTTTTTCTACGCTTTCTATCATAAGGACATCTCAGGGATCACATACTTGTTCTTTGTTTGGCTCAATATTTATATACGATATTCGTTGTGTATCATTATCGTTCTCTATCTTTTGAACTTTCTTATTCTTAGATATATCGAGTTTCCGTTCTTTTTTTCCCTTGTTCTGCTCTCAGTCGTTTTCGCATTATGAAATATCCTTATGATTAGATTAGTTTTCATGTGTACATAAGTGTTGTTCTTCCTTTTATGATTCCTCTCTGTACTATCGATTGTAACGATACAAAAACACTAAAGAACTGAAAAGAAAATTTTTGTCATTGATGACAGTATTGCACAACAACGATGTCAATGTTTTCTTTTTGCATATATTGATGATCATTTGCAAGTTTGTTTGTCGAACGATGGCCACAAATGCAATGACAAAGTCGAATCTGATCGATATCGGAGCTAATCTTACGCATAAGTCATTCAGACAGAACCTTTCGCAAGTGTTGGAACGAGCAGGAAAAGCTCAAGTTTCGGATATTATTATCACAGGCACAAGTTTATCGGGAAGTCGGGAAGCTAGTCGTCTAACAGTGAAATACAATCAAGAACAGCAGCTTGTGAGGCTTTATTCGACAGTTGGTATTCATCCACATGATGCAACCCGCCATTCGGCGTACAATTATCGTGAACAACTTGTTGATATCGTACAGAATAATAAAACTGTAGTCGCTCTAGGTGAATGTGGTCTTGATTACGATCGTAATTTCTCAACACACGATGATCAAAAACGTGTCTTTGATACGCAATTACAACTTGCTTGCGATTATAATCTTCCATTATTCATGCATGAACGATCAGCTTCGACAGATATGTTATCTATGCTAGCTAATTATTCTCAGCACAAGAATTTCCGCGGTGTGATACATTGTTTTACACATGGATCGCTTGACATTCTCCAGAAGTATCTTGCACTTAATCTCTACATTGGAATTACCGGATGGGTATGCGATGAACGACGCGGTAAAGACTTAGCTAAATTGGTTCCACACATTCCATTAGATCGTCTTTTAATTGAAACCGACGCACCGTTTCTGTTGCCGAGGAACTTACCAAAACCTTGGCCACATGAAAACGAGCCCAGCTGCTTGCCTTATGTTGTGAAGAAATTAGCCGAATGTTACTCTGTTTCAACCGATGAAATTGCACAACGTTCAACGGAGAATGCGAAAAAACTATTTAATATATGAACTATAAAAATAAAAGTCTGTATAAGAAATACACTGAAATAAAATTTATTCGAATCATTTACAAGTAAAACGAGATACAAAACAACAGAGATTGAATCGGAAAGGTTGACAATATCAAAAGTAATGAATATTGCTTAGACTATTGGAAAAAGGAATATTGACTAGCATTGATTTTGACTCTTACATAGCTTTGACTTTCATTTGTTTCATTTTTGGCTGTCGCCGTTTCATTTCACGTTTATGCTCTTTTTCTTCCCATTTACGTTGTCGTTCGGGATCATCTGACTGCATGATTTTTTCTTTTTCAGCACGACGTTTTTCTTCTCGTCTTTGCTGTGCTTGTTCTTGTCTCTGCTGATAAACGTTCTTTAAGAATTGCTCTTCGATTCGTTGACGATTTTTAATCGCTTTGTTCTTCGATTCCTTCAGCGTAAACCGAAATGAATTGACGCGGTCAATCAGTTGCAAGACAAAACGTAAATAATCACTACCAACAGTCTCTGTTGTAATCTCCAACGACCGACTATTGCGAGCAACTAGATTAAATGCAATGATAAGCACATGGCGAACGGATCGTTCGGACGTGTTCGAAGCATCTTGCTGTTGAGCTGTACTACCAGCATTGGGTGTAGTATTCGGTGATGATTGTTGAGTATCATTTTGTATTTTCATACCTGTGTACTGATCACTTATATGTATATATTCCAAAACATCAGGATATCTAAATAAAGCATCGAAAGGGAAAGAAAACAATCAGACGCTATTCATCGATTTTGTATTGAGACTGCTGTGTACAAAAATGCTGCTTACTTTTCAATGAAGTCGACTACACGATTATCGATAATTGCGCTTGATACTTCACCGATTTCACTCAGTATCTGGTAGTTTCCATTATTGAGACCGCGTTTATCTGACGTTTTTCTTTCTGAACAAAACTGACTAAGATCATTCATATCACGATGTAATTTTGCTGCACAATGTTTTTTGGCCAAACAAAATACAAACGTTTCCATATCTTCTTTACTATAATCTGCCGTGTAGATAAGCATATCATTACTAGATTTGATCATTGCTGCCAATGAATTGAATAAGCATTGTCGTTTGGCAAGACGTACTTCCATCAGCATACTTTCAATTGCTGTTCGTCCACTGCACCAGAGTATGTATAAACTTTCGGACTCCTTTTGCATTTTATTCGTTGTTGAATCATTGACGGTGGAATCATCTGCCGATTGAGTGGTGCGCGTTTGACCATTGTCACCAACAAGACAGAAATTTCTTTCGAGTAGATCACGTTGTGAACGATAGACAATATCGGCGAGTCGAGCATTCTTCGAACGACCAAGGAGAAAGTTGATAAGATAACCCAGAAGTAAAAGAAGCATGATTGCTTCGCAATGGTACGCTTCCCAATGATTGCTTGTTAGATTAGCAGGAATTTCCGTGATTTTTAGGTCAGGAATTGTGGATGTAGCTGGTGATGATGATGAATATCCATCGGACTAAAGCGAATGAAGTGATCATTACAGGAGTTTATTTCAACAAACGATTTATTTACTGTTTCAAATTCTTCTTCGTCAAACATCAGATCATCGTCTTCATCGTCGATAGTCACTTCGTCATTAACTTTGATATCTGCACTCTTGCTTGATAGTGATTGAAATGAATCATCTACTTTGGCTACTTCAGGTTTATTTGATTGCGTTTTGGATGACAATTGATTGGCACCCGGTGAATACGGAGGTTCTGAAATATAGAGAGAGGACGTAAACGTTGTTTTCTACAAGGATCGATCTTACATACCAACAACAAATTCATCCTCGTCAAAATCATCAAATTCCGAGAAATCCTCATCTTTGATCTTCTTTGCAACTGACCATGTGAAATAAGAGAGAAGATTGAATAGAATAAATAAAATAGTCATCGATGAACGCATATCGCCAGAATTGTCTTGCTGTTTTTAATTATGCTTTTAGAGATATATTTTGACATCGACAGACAGAAAAGAACTTCGTTATTTCCTGGAATTCGATTGGTTGATAATGTTTATCCAATAGATACTATTTGGAACAACTCCGTCGAATATATATAAAAATTTTGCATTTAAAAAAGAAGTTCAAATGATTTTTTGTTTATTCATCTGTGTATTTCTATGTGTTAAGATAGATAGATGGAAGCATACAATGGGAGATAATAACCAATGAGATATCACAACGTTTTTTTGTCTTCATTTAATCACAACAACGGACAATCACTTTCTTCCTTCGTTGTCCAGCTCGATCGACCTTTTCGATAAACAAAATGGCAAAATATATCAAACATGCTCATTTTTCTCTATTTTCTAGATCTGAACATTGATAACACACTTCTCTTTGTCTCTCTAAGATGATTTGTAACAACAGTTAAAACATATTCTTTCCTAGTAATCCGTTCTTCGAGTAAGGTAATTTTATTTTATATGATGGCACGATAAGACCTTCTAGAGGTGCTGTAAAAGTACGTCAATCTTCCGTTAGAAATCTGTTTGACAGAGTAGTGCTTGGATTCGCTCTGGTTTTTTTTTACTTGTATATGATTGTCATGAAGTCAATGATGAATTACGAGAGAAGAGCAAATGACAAGCTTTCCTTTTTCTTTCTATCAGCTCCCAGCATCATATTCATTACTATATACGGAAAGAGAGAGATGATATGTGTCATTGGATTTGTTTTCCAGAGAAGATGTCGCAACAATTGCTTGCTTAACATCTATATGTACTAACATATTCTATAAACTTCTTTATTTCTATCAACAGCTACCCCATACTGTGTTAGTAGAGGGCACGGAAAGAAGAAGCAGGAAGGAAAAAGTCTTGAAACACAGAGAGGATGATAACTGTATGTTTATTTCAGGTTGCTGTTGTTATTGTCGTCATCATCTTATAGAATCTTCGTCAACGTATAACATTACAAATCTCTACTTCTGTTCTCCATGGCTCGCGTTGTTCGTAATAGCAAGTTTCGGTAAGTTTATACTTAAACATCAAACTTTCTTTTGTAAAGGATTGTATCATCTAGCCATGTTTTTGGTCAAGCAGCTAAAAAGCAAGATTGTTATGAAAACATTCGTATTACTAAAAGCGCTTGGGATTCCACATTCTGTTCAGTAAATCCAAAATTTCTGGCAATCATAACAGAATCCGCTGGTGGTGGAGCTTTTCTTGTTTTACCACTTGACAAAATCGGCCGTATTGATCGTGATGTTCCATTGGTAACCGGACACAAAGCTGCCGTACTCGACATTGCCTGGTGTCCACATAATGATAATGTTATCGCTAGTGGCTCAGAAGATTGTACGGTCAAAGTTTGGCAAATACCTGATGGAGGTTTAACATCAAGTAATCTAACCCAAGCGGCTGTCGATCTTGTTGCGCATCAACGACGTGTTGGACAAGTACTTTGGCATCCGAGTGCTTTGAATGTTTTACTTAGTGCTGGTAGGTTTTTCATCATTAGAAGTTACGAGGACCACACATTTGATTTTGTTTGCTCACTTGTCAGGTGGTGATATGAAAATTTTCATTTGGAATGTCGGTAAAGCGACTATCTTATCAACAATTGATTGCCATCCGGAAGTTATATTGAGTGTTTCATGGAATTATAATGGTTCACGTATTGTTACATCATGTAAAGATAAAATCTTTCGTATTATTAATCCACGTAATGGTCATGTTATCAAGGTTAGATCGAAAGCAATGAATATTGATTTGGATTATCTTTTCCTTTACTCTTCTGTAGTCAGCAATGGGTCATCAAGGAGCAAAACCAGCGCGAGCTATCTATTTACGCGATGGTCGTATCTTTTCAACTGGATTTTCGAGAATGTCTGAGAGACAATACGCTCTTTGGGACGGGGTTTGTAATCTTTTCATACATTCATTATAAATAGAGTCCATTCATTGTTTATTTTATTAAAAGGATCTGGGTAATGCATTGACAATGGAAGAGCTCGATTCATCCAATGGTATTCTATTTCCATTCTACGATGAAGATACCGGCCTAATTTTTCTCTGTGGAAAAGTAATTATCATTGTTTAGTATGTCACTTTTATAATATACAAGATTTTCTTCTAGGGTGATTCGACAATTCGATATTTTGAATATACATCTGAAGCACCCTATATTCATTATATAAATACTTATTCATCATCGGATCCTCAACGCGGTATGGGTGTTATGCCAAAACGTGGAATGAATATTGCGACATGTGAAATCGCTCGGTATGTACTGATAAGAAGAATTCGTAAATAGTCATCGACATGAATTCTGTTTAGTTTCTATAAATTGCTCAATAATGGTCTCTGTGAAGTAATCAGTTTTACTGTACCTCGAAAAGTATGTTCTGAGAAACAACTTATCAGAATTGTTCAACCATGTGTGAAATCTACGTTTATTTCTAGTCTGAGTTATTTCAAGAAGATCTCTACCCAGACACAACAGCGGAAGAACATGCAATAACTGCTGATGAATGGATTGATGGCAAAGATGCCAATCCTCGTTTGGTATGAACAACGAATAGATTTTTATGGAAAGATTCGTATTTTAATAATCATAGGTATCTGTTCGTGATCTTAATTCGGGTTCAAAATCTCAATCAAACACGAGTAGCGGTGGTTTAGGTGCGATCAATGGTAATCAAAAGCAAGAAGTTGTTTTTGGCAAATCATCATCGAATCAAAAGACATCACCAAACTCAACACAAAATTCATCACCACAAAAGAGTGCTAATGGTGGCAGCGGTGGTCTTCAACAAGGACAGGTACACATTCAATATTTCGTTCGAATAAAAAGACGATTCGTATCTTTCTTCTTTCAGCACGTGGATAACGAATTCATCGAAAAACTTGTTGAAGAAATGCGTCGAGTCAAAATCATTGTCAAGGGACATGAACGACGTATCAAAACTTTGGAGGAACGTCTATCACAATATGAAGCACCAGTGGATGATCTTGATGATTAATGTTTCCTACAAAAATTCAACAACAATATCTTCCTTTTTCTTTCTCATCTTCGTCCCTTCCCCCTTCTCATTTATTTATTTTTCAATTTATCTGCCACATGCATATACACACATGCATACAAAACCAAACGCCAACATCAATCTCGAAACTCAGTAAGATATTCGTCGTTCGCATCCGTAAATGAAACATGTTCTGTGTTGTTTTGTTTAGAGAAATCTCCATTGTCGTACGAATAATTCTCAAATCTCATCGCAAAGATCTTCGGCACAATGAGAATAAATCCAGTCATTTCTGTGGCGATTCTCATCTTTAATCAGGCTAACGAAAAAGAACCACAATTACATGTGTGTGCGTGTTATGCGTATTCTCACCATTTTTTTTTCGATATCTGCTTTCATTTTTTTTTCTTCTTCTTTCTCTGTATGATAGTGTGTTCTTTTTTCGCGGCTATTCCCGTCCAATGTTGAATATTTTTCTCTTGAGCATTTAAACATATGCCGAAACATATCTACAACGGCAAGTTATCCCTGTACCTTCTCTTCACTTTTATCTCTACCCGGTGCTATGATGCGTTGTGTGCAAATCACATTTTACTCTCTTCCGTGTTTCTTCCTCTTCGGTTTTCTCCATCTCAATTCTCTTCTTTCTCTTTTCTATTAGGATCACCACTGTACACTTTTGAGAATCAAAGATTTGAAAGAAAAACGATCAAAAGACAATCTGCTTCTTACTTTCTTCTGTATTTAAGCAAAACAATACTTCATGCGTTCTTAAAAACCAATAAATTCTTTTCGAACAAAAAAATATTTTAGATGAAAGTCAATTGCAACATCTATTTATTCGCATTCGTATGCTTCACATGTGCAATCGATCTTGTTCTCACTGGGTGCGTAGTTGAATGTCGAAAAACGAAACGTGTCATTCGTATTCTTTATTCTTAGACGGGACTTTTATAAGATCTTGAAATTACCAAGAACGGCAACGTTAAACCAAATCAAGAAATCTTATCGAACATTAGCCAAAGAATTGCATCCAGATAAGAATAAAAATGATCCAAAAGCACAAGAACGTTTTCAAGATCTAGGAGCTGCTTATGAAGTAAAATAATTCACTTGTTTTCGATAGAACTTTCAATGTTCATGTATTATAGGTATTATCCGATGCGGACAAACGAAAAACTTATGACAGACATGGTGAAGAAGGTTTGAAACGGCAAGGAAACGATGATTCGTTTCATGATCCATTCTCTAGGTAATCGATTCAGTCTGGTTGGCTATGAAAAGAATATTTCTGATATTTTCTAGTTTTTTTGGTGATTTTTTTGGTGGATCAAGAGATGACGAACATCGTCATGTACCACGTGGTGGAGATTTAGTCATGGATCTGCATGTTACACTTGAAGAAGTGTACAATGGAAATTTTATTGAAGTACATCAGAAAATATATCTTCCTTTCTCCTTGTCTTAATTTCGATGCTTAGGTCGTTCGAGTAAAACCTGTTGCAAAGGAAACATCTGGATCAAGACGATGCAATTGTCGAATGGAAATGCGAACCATTCAAATGGGCCCCGGACGGGTAAGAAAATAGATTGTAGCCAAATCCTATTCGATCTCGTCGCATACTATCTATATTTAATTAAGATACATCCGATAAAAATACACCTACAAGATAGAAAAGGGCATATAGTACTCAAGTAGACAACTAATTGAAAAACGACTGCTATTTTTGTACTTAGTAATAAAAACAAAGGAAATATTCCGATGGGTGTACACCTACACATGGGTGCATTAATATCTAGAAAATGTCTATTTGTATCTAACAGAAGATACTTGATTGTTTAGTTTCAAATGATGCAAGATCAAGTCTGTGATGAATGTCCAAATATAAAGTGAGAAAATACCACTCAAGCGAAAGAATTCACTTGATATTCTTCGATAGATTCGTTACTGAAGAGAAAGTTTTGGAAATCGAGGTTGAACTCGGTGTTCCTGATGGCTATCAGATTCCATTTCTCGCTGAAGGTTTGTGTACGACTTTAATGATAGTGAAGTCAGTTGTAACTTATTCATATTTAACACAGGAGAGCCACATATCGAAGGTGAACCGGGTGATTTGAAATTCATTATTCGAGTTCAAAAGTAAATCGAAATCAGTTTAATTGATTCGATATTTTATGAATTTGTTGTTCAAAGACATACAAGATTTGAACGTCGAAACAATGATTTACACACAAATTTAACCATTACATTGCAAGATGCTTTGAACGGTTTTGATGTTACACTTCCACATCTTGATGGACATAATGTAAGAATAAGAAAAACGATAATATTTCCTCTATTGACTTCATCGATAGGTAACAATCAAACGTGAGAAAATCACTTGGCCAGGTGCTCGAATAAAGAAGAAAGGAGAAGGTCTCCCCCAACACGACCAAAATAACATTGTTGGTGATCTTTATGTGACAGTCGACATCGATTTTCCAAAAGGGGAATTGACTGGTGAGCAACGTGAAGGTAATTCCAACATCTGATCCTTTTCACATACGAATGAATTGTCGTTTTGTTTTAGCCGTGAAAACTCTTTTAAATCAAGAATCTAAACATCGATTGTACAATGGCATCTAATCACACTTAGGTCAATATTTATCTATTCTCATCGTATTCTATTTTTTGTTGTGACGGTTTATTCGTGACGAAATTTGTCAATGTATTCGTTTTTTCTTCTCGTGTATTTGTCGCTTAATTACTGCGAATGTTACAAGATGGTGCATCGATGTGATTTTTTGCTTTCCATTGTTTTTCTTCTCCGCCCTCGTTTGATCTGATAATCGAGAACAGTTCTTGTCATGCAAAACTTTTTAGTATTCATTCATTTACTAAATTATCGATTTCGATGTGCAAGGAAACGTCTAGTTTCGAATTTGTTCTATTTATTTGTCTGCTCTCTGGCTTTTGTGATAATCAGAATAAAAGTATTGAATGTATTTCGAATTGCTTGTGTAATTTGAATTCGATAATTATCAGTCGTTTAGTAATAATCTTGTTTTCTTTTTCGGAAGACTCGATTTGCATTTTTTTTGCTATTCTCCTCGAAGTAACTATCTGATCAAAAATAAATTATCATATTTTATTGCTGACCTGACAATCTAAATCAATAAAATTGTCCGATGAATCAATACTTCGATGATAGAAAACTGTCATCGATCTACGATCATTCTTTATTTTAATTTATTATGTTTCTCGTCAACAGCCATTCGATTGTTGTTGCAGAACATAATATTCAATGTCGACATGCATAAAGATGCATGTTAATTTTCTCAAGAGAACCAACTTGTATTACAGGAAATACACAAGAGCTTTTTTCACTAGACATTATGAAGTTAGAGGGTGTGCTGCTTTTTTTCTCGTAGATCATGATTAATATTCCTCACCCTACTGTCTAGAACAATCCCGCTGACTAGTCCTTGCTATAGAATCCGGTTCGATGGATTGTATAGTCGCAGAACAATGTTCATCAAATAATACTTTCATCATAGAATATGTTAATTTACCCGACCCTTGGCTTATTCTTAAAAGGATTCTTTCCGTTAAAAGGTGCTCCTCGTGCTCAAATAAAACCGAAACCCTGGAAAGGAAATTTCGCATTCAGTATGGTTTCTTTCTTTTTTTTTTATTAGAATAATAAATATCAGTTAGCCATAGTTATCATTGATTTTGACATTAAAAGTAGATAAACACCGTCTTTTAGAATTGAATACTACCAGTAAACCATATATGAAGATTATCTATTGTTATTTATCTAGGCCCATTAAATGCTGAACATAAGACTCCCAAGTCGATTCAGAAAGATTGATTTGACTACAAATATCCCCGTATTTTTCACGTGTGTCAATCACATATTTTACTGCTGATTCACCCTTGTCAATATAAGTTTGCACGATGGGATCATCTTTGCAACAGAACTAATGAACGAACATTTTCCGAATAGGTCAAACAAGAGAGAGATGGAGAATCTTTACTTACACTTTCTAATTCTGCACGAGCATTTGATACGAATTGTTTAATAGCGTTGATATCCACAGGAAAGTTTGTTTTCTGGCTGTGATATAGAAAGTAGAATAGAATGGAAGCAGTTGAGATGAGACGAAGAATTTCGTCGGAAACTGAAAGAGATGAAAATCCAATCGAAAAGATAAACTTTTCAAGATAAATTCGAAATACTTGATGGATTCAAGCCTTTGCTAATCAAATCACGTTTTATGTTTTCGAAATCAACATTGAATAAATCACCTAATCTGTTTGTTGCTGGAAATGATCCATCCTAACGGTAAACAAAGATAAATATGAATCTTAAAGCATTCGATTTGTTTACGTTATTTTGCTGCTGAAAGATTTCATTGACAAGTGAATCAGTTAGCGGAGTTGCAATAATCGACTGTAATGGAGTGTCTAAAAATATATACAAAGATTCATATTGATGCGAAAAGAGAGAATGATTTATTCACCATATACATCAGAATCATTTGCTCGTCCCTAATAACAATAAATCAGTAGAATGAATATCAGCTTACCAATTAGATTATCTCAGAAGATTACTTACTGCTGTCTCATGTGCCATAATGTTAGTTCACGTGAATGACTAGTTGCTGGTAGTTAGATCGATAACGACGATACAATGAGTGAATTGAAGCTGTGTATTTCCTTTCTCTTTTGTTGTCTATCCGTTCTTTCTTCGTTTTTCTACTACTCCCGACTTCTTTTTTTTCTCTTCTCGCTTGGCGGGCGAATAGTGACTGACAATATTATAGTCATAGTCATAGCCTTTGCCTTCATCATCACAACGGCGCATCATCAATAACAAAAAAAGGAGAAAAAATATATATATTTGAAATTATTCTTTCTTGTCTATTCTCTACATCGACACTTCTCTTTCACATTGGTACGCATCGGCAGTCTAGGTCAAAGTCTCTCATAGCTAGAGAAGATGCGTGGGGATTTCGTAATTGATGAGCAATTTCTTCTTTTTCCATACTGATGCAACTATGTGGATAGTTCGCCCTTGTGTTTTTGTTCTTCAAAAACAAAAGACTAACGTACGAATGGATCTAAATCAATCATCGACAAAACTTACTTATTTAATGAATTTTACTTTTTATTTTCTTTTTTTGCGAAAAGAGAAAAAGAAAAAAAAACGGATACCAAGAGGGAATAAGTGAAAGTGTGTGAATCAGCAAGAAAAGCACACACACACATACACACACAGTTATTAAGAGAAAAAAAAAGGAGAAAAAAAGAAAACCGACATCAAAAATTACAAGAGACAATATTTGTGTCATCGCTCTCGTGTTCAGGTGTACACACATAATAATATGTATAAATAAAAATGTTGTTCGCGAGTCAGTTACTGTTACGGTTCATTGAATTTAAATATGCGGTGTACACTTGTGTTTTCCCCCCCGCACCGAGCAGGTATATGTAGCAAGAAAAAGAAACAACACGAAGAGGAAATGAGAGGCGTTTGGGCAAACTTCTCTGTGTATGTGTGTACATGTAAATCCTCTCATGAATAGATCTTCCGTTAAGAACCTGAATATATAAATGATGTAAAAAGAAAATGAAGAAACGAAAAAAAGATGAAAATAAGAAGGTTGACATCAACGAAACGAAAGAGAAACTCGCTGTCAGAAAGTAGACAATACGCTAGTATGTATGTGTGTGTGTGAGTCTGTGATAGAAGAAGAAAAAGACAGGTATATGTTAGAGTGTTAGATAGTAAATAAATTTTGAACAAAAAAAAGAATAAAATGAAAAGAAAACGAAAATAGCTTACACGCACACAACAACGATGACAAAGAAAAGAAAATTAGTGTAATATGTATTGATGAATGATACGTCCTTGGTCACAATTATTTCGAAGTCATCATAGTAACGAATTCTTCGTAGTTGACCTGACCGTCTGGAAGAAAGAGAACAGGTTCAATTGCAAAACAATGACTAGATGAAAGTAAATGAATATACCTCCATCGATATCTGCTTCACGAATCATTTCATCAACTTCTTCGTCCGTCAGTTTTTCTCCCAAATTTGTCATTACATGACTAGAATTAAAATTGTTTCATTTAAAATAATCGCTTTCAGAGACGAGTAACAAACCGAAGTTCAGCTGCTGATATGAATCCATTTCCATCTTTGTCAAATACACGGAATGCTTCGCGAATTTCTTCTTCACTATCAGTATCTTTCATTTTACGCGCCATCATCGTCAAAAATTCAGGAAAATCGATCGTACCATTACCTAGACGTTACATCGAATTCAATCATCAAGATTTTCTACAACTGAGTATGAAACATACCATCCGCATCTACTTCATTGATCATATCTTGCAATTCAGCCTCAGTTGGATTTTGCCCTAAACTTCGCATGACCGTGCCTACGAACAAACAACGACAGATCATCAGTTTAGATCATTCTCTGTTCATCGTTGTAATTGAACAAACCTAATTCTTTGGTAGTAATGGTTCCATCTCCATCTTTGTCGAAAAGCGAAAACGCTTCTTTAAATTCAGCAATTTGTTCTTCCGTTAATTGGTCGGCCATTTTACTTCAATCTTTTGGATTAATATTATACACTCCTACACTCAAAAAAAATCTGAAGAAAAACAGATAGTACTGACAAAAAACAACAACAATAACAACAACATTCACTTGACAACATTAACTAAAACAAAACAATAAGGATGGCAAAAAATGTAAAACCCATAAAGATGTCGCTGAAAAAATGAAATTTTTTCTCGGAAAATTTTTCAATAAAAATCATTTCTAAACTCGAAGAAATTCATCGGGATTTATTTTCAGCGAGGAAATAAACGAGAACCATAGGACTTGTCTAAACAACCTCTATGAACCAATCATTTGTCAATATATAACTGATTATTCTATTTCAGCTGGAAGAGAACGAACAAAACAAAGAGAAAGAACGAGAAAATGAGTATTATTTCAGCGGTGAAAGAGCTGGCTGCTTGGTTAGTTAGTGGGTGTATAGGTGTTGCAATTGCACCCTGTCCAACCGCACGACAGATAGGAAAGCACAAGCAAATATTCACTTTTGGGTATTTTCAGATCGCCGAGAATTAAGAATCATCTGTCGGCGATAGGACGCCAACTTTTGGGAGTGTGAGTGAGAGAGATCTTGGTTTTCTGAAAACAAAAACAAAGAAACTTCGAACGGCACGCGTCATATTATTTTTTTTCTTTTGAACTTATCCAACACTCACAATGGCAGAAGGAGGATACAACATTCAATCGACTAATAACAATACCAGTTATCTCGACCGAATGCAACAGTCACAACAAGGTTAACACATTTTTTCATCCATGTTTTATTTAAGCTAGACACATTTCTTCACGAATTAGGTGCGTCAGCCGGCGAAGAAGAGCTAGCAACTAAAACGCTTCATATTCAATCGAAACGTTTTTATCTGGATGTAAAACAAAATCGACGTGGTCGATTTATAAAAATAGCTGAAGTAAATATTAATCAAATTTGTTTGTGTCTTGAATCGATTTCGAAATGTATTTCAGGTTAGTGCCGGTGGACGAAAAAGTCGTATATTGATGTCAATGAGTGTTGCAAGTGAATTGCGCGATCAATTAGACGCATTCGATCAATTTCTTCGAACCCTAGGTAAATAAGCTCTTTTGGCTGCAAGAATGATCTACTTATGTTATAATTCAGCTGAACATGATCCGAACAATCTACAGACAAATGAAGATGGTTGTCTTCGTTCGGGACTTATTACTCGTGATGATCGGAAATATTATCTTGATTTAAAAGAAAATGACCGCGGGAGATTTTTACGTGTATGTTTTGTTTGTTTGTTTGATTGATTTTATAGTTTAGATCAATAATTAATCATTTAGATATCAATGGTTGGTCTCAATACACCACGTACACAAGTAGCATTACCTGCACAAGGTGTACAAGAATTGCGAGATGTGTTGACTGGTCTACTTGAAGAATTTGGTAATGAAGATGACAAAGGTATGTTCGAGCGACATCTATACGCATCGTCATATTTCGAAGAGCACTAGTTAATTCAAGTAAATTTTCCAAGTGTTCAAATCTTTGAGGATCATTCTCAGCTTTAGTGATGACTTTGTTCGGAGTCTTCTTATTGGATTATCAACTAGATAGGTTTCTATAGGTAGTCATCTAATGGCCAGGCTTTTTTCGAATTGCAAATCTGGAAAAAAGAAGTAATTTCATGAATCATTTGCAATGTAAAGATGAAGCTGATAGTATTTCTATTCCTATCACAAATGTTAACCAGTCATTTATTTTCATTTGTTTTTTAGACAGTATTGAGTCACCACCAGCAATAGGTATGTCATATAAACAACTTGTTACGACTAATGTCTATCTACATGAAAAATCTTCGTTAGAACCAGCTGAGTTACCTGAAAGTAAATATATTCATGTGGGAAACAAAAACTTTTATTTTGATATCGGTTCAAATAATCGTGGCGTGTTTCTTCGCATCTCTGAAGTAAGTGTAGTCTCGCAAATTCGGATTTACGTCTACAATTGCATCATCTATTAGGTTCGTGCAAACTTTCGAACAGCTATAACAATACCGGAAAAGGCATGGTCTCGTTTTCGCGATAATATTAATGATTTCATTCTTGCAATGGATAAAGAACGTCAAAATACATCGACAACAGCCGACAATTCCCGGTCAAATTCTGGTAATGCCGATAAAGCACCAGTCATGCGAAGCGATACTGGGGGAAAATAAGAAATAACCGTGCATACCTTGATAGACACTCTTAGAATTATTTTAAAGCAAAAAATTATTGCGTTGATCGGTAGCTTTAGCGTCATCCTTTTTTTCTTCTTCTTCTACAACTACAACTTCTACTACTTACTCTTCATCGTTTCTCTCTCTCTCTCTTTTGTTTCAAACACATAGACAAATTAATCTTTATCCTATCGTTTGACTCTTTAAAAGAGCCCGGTGTGTAACAGTATGTGTATAGCAAAGAACACGTTGCATTGTAAATGTCGGTACGGGGCGTTCTTCTTTCCCGCTATGTGTTAAACAAACGTTTATTGATTTACATTTAACACAAAACTACGGTGTTTCCCGGTTTCGTTTTATCTTTTTTTTTCGCTTCTCTTCTAATCGGAATGGAAAAACAACAAACAACAGTTTTTTTTTAGAAAGATTTATTTTCAACAGTAATGTCTCTCGTCAAGTCTTATTTACAGTAACCTATTTTTCTTCTTGTTTTTGTCGGTCGTCGTATATATATATATATTTCGTTTTACTACTTTTTTTTTGTATGTGTATATGTCTATAATGAGTTATTCGTTTTCATTTTATTATTTATTGACGAAACTAATTTTGTTCATTTTATCTGTAGAATAGTGTCTGGCCTCTTCGAGAAAGGAAAAAAAAACCATTTTCTGCTTTGTTTGTATCTAATCTTTCTATTCCAAATCCGGTATCATTAATACAATTAATATTTTATCTGTGAGTGTGTCTTTATCATCCGGTCTATTCTCCTCTTCTTCTTCTTTTGGTTCTTCATCTAGTTCTAGCCACTTTTGTGTCATGATTTCGATTGATACATTGAGAGAAACACAAATATTGAAACGAATATAATAAATGTCATAACAATCAATTGTCTTGCATCGTTTTTTCGTTTTGATTCATTTTTTTTTCTTTCAGATTATCAATATGAATTAACTTGATATTTTTGTTATCTTTACTTGTTTTCTTTCTGTTTTTGGTATCTGAATGCCTCTTTTCGGTCGACGGTTATTTCATCTAAATGAAGATGATAAAACTGAAAATGAAGAAGTCTTCACCATTGAACATACCGGAGAAACATTTCACAGTAGATCATTGTATGAAAAAATTAAGAAAGTCTACGAACTCGAACGATGGACATGCGAATGTACCTGGAGAGCAAGTTTAACACATCGAGACGCGTACGAATCAGAAATTGAAACAAGAAAATCTTTGAAAACCATCGTACCGGAATATTTCCATAAAACAATATTTGAAATTATTCATCACAGTAAGTGTTCGTTTGTTCTCTCATTTCACTTTTGTTAATATTCTCGATAGATGTCAAACCATTGGAAAAACTAGCTGAAGAAGTATCCATTTTACTCGGGTAGGACGTTTGTCTTAGAAGCAATAACGATGATAAGTAGAACATGTTTTTTGTTTAGTCAATCTTTTGTTTTCGGTGAACCAGTCCAATTTAAAAAACGAAAGGATACTACAGTGTAAATAGCTTGTTTAAATTGAGAAACTAGAATAAACGTTTGCTTGCAATTAGTGTGAAAGGTACGGTGGAACGAATCGAAGAAAATGATGAACGTAAACGCATATCAGAACGAGCATCAGCTCAAATTAAAGCATTATCAGATAAAGTAAATGAGCGATGATTTTGTATTCGTATATGTTTCTCTTTCATTTAATAGCAAATAAAAAATGTCAAATATGCGATTCGACTAGCGGATGAAAATCGCGTCATTAGTAATGTTCAACCGAATGAATTGCAGTAAGAATATTGATAGAAATTCGACAAAGTAACATGATTATGCTTGCTTTTAGACGAACTAATTTCGTGCCAAACCGTGAAAAATTGAAAACATTTATTCGTTCGTACGCAATTCGTCTTGGCAATCGAGCAGATAGTCCATGGATATTCTATGATGATTCCATCCCAGAAAAATATCAAATCAAAGATCGAATATCGCCTACAGATATTGACAAATCTAAAAAAGCAATGACAATTACACTTGATGTAACTATTGCTAGAATTGGCGACTCAATCATTCGTCTTCTTTGCTTTTCAGGAAATTCTTCGTGAACAAGAACGAATCGTACGTAAACAAACTGAAGAGCAAGCTGCTTTGACTGGTGAAACTAAAAAGACAAATGAAAATAATACTAATGGTAAATCATTTCTGACATTGCTCGTTTTAACAACGAATATTTTACTTTTCCAGCCTCATCGCAAAACGGACATCATAACGATGAACGTATCGTCTTATCAGATGATGAAGACAAGGCAAAAAGTCCCAAGAAGAAAGTAAGATCAACTCCAACTACGCCGAAAAAGTCTTCTCAATCAACAACAACCACTCCAACAAAAAAACCTCGGACATCAACAAAACAAAAAACACCAACAAAGACGAAGAAACAATTAACATTACACGATATGAAATTCGCCAAGAATTCCACGTCAAATTCCAATAATCTTCTCCTACAGAAGTCTTCTTCGACATCCGTTACAACTTATAACATCGCCGTGCCTTATTCACTTCTGCAGAAACTAGACAAAACTCGTCGCGATCGTGGCATCGATTCTCGAGTATTTCAACGTTTAGTTCTTCATTGTGCACGAACATTGAATGATAAGCAACGTCTACGTTTACCGGATGAATATCGTTCGTTAATTCAAAGTAAATATGAAGAATTAGAATTAAAACAGCGATTATCAGAAATGACTGAGCAAGAGAAGAAATCTTTTCTTCAGACCAAACAAAAACAGAAACAGTTCGAAAAGAAGCCATTAGAAGATCTGGATATCACATCTTCGAAAATGTTACCACAACCGAAACAACTACAACCATTAATGACTATGCCGTCGCATTACACTGGTGATCTACTTGTTATCTGCACATTTTTCACTTCGTGTCATTCATTATTTTTCTCAACATTAACTGATGATTTACCCAAAACAACGCAACAATTCTTACGTTCATTCAAACATGAGTCTTTGTTACAAGCTTATCTGACATCGTCAACAACGCTGTTTTTTAATCATTTTATTGAACTTTTACAAATCCTAATGAAACTATTGTTCAAAGAAGATGAAAGTCGTTCGAATCGTGATGACAATAATAATAATAATAATGAAGAGGATGATAAACAACAGCAACAGCAGCAGCAGCAGATAACCATTGATCAACAAGATATGGAAACAAATTCTGGTGAACAAATTGTTATTGACGATGATATCGAACAAGCCTACGATGTTAAATTGAATGATATACCACTAACACAATTTACTTGTCAAGAATTAACACGATTATATTTATTGAAAGGGAAAGATGACAATCATCGCAATCTTTTAGATAAATTAGCCAATTCAGAGTCGAAAGATTTTTCTATTTTGGAACAAATCGATCTTCTCATGTTATTGGTGAATTCCATTACGAATGACAGTGAAATTATGTCGGATTATTTCGAATACTTAACTCGAACAATGACGGAAACATATCGTGAACGTAATCAATTACTCGCCGAACGTCGTAAAGCACAAGAAGAAGAAAGTAAACAGAAGAAACTTCAATTACAAAACGGTGAACATGCAAAAGTCAGTTCCAAGAAGACTGGACCATTATTAACTCCTAAAAATAGTAGTGGAATAGCAAATGATGAAAATCATCAATCATCACCATCAATACTTCATGATGATACTGGAGATATTGAAAGTGGTGGTGATGATGATCTCAAAACTGTTATACAAAGAAGACGGCAAATGGTTGCCATGTCGAAAGAACTGAAAGAAAAACGTGAATTAGAAGTACAAAAATTACATAATGAACAAAAACGTGAATTGGCAATACAAAAGGCGGAACAAGCTTACCAAGAAGCACTTCTCAACCTTCAATTTGGTTTTCGTATCAAACCATTAGGCTTCGATCGAAATTATAGTCGATATTGGTTTTTCAAAGGTCATCCTGGTTTGTTCGTTGAAAAGGGTTGGATTGGTTCCGAAATCAGTTACTCGACTCGTCTCTCCTCTTCGTCATCATCATCACAGGATATTTCTTCTCCTCGCTCAAGTTCTGCTGTCAATGGTGAAAAATTGATTCCTAAAGACGAAGTAAATCTTTGGTGGACGTACGACAACGAAACAGTTATAGAACAAGTTCTTCAATCTTTGAACAATCGTGGCATCCGTGAACATGATCTATTGGAAAATCTCAAGAAAATTATGCCACTTCTTCGTTCAGAATTCGAACAGGTGAAAAAACAAAAAGCATTTGAGGAAAATCCACCGGAAGAATCCGTATTGAATAATGAAGCATCCAACGATCAACAACAACAGCAACAACAATCGAATGACATCATCAGTTCGTTTAAAAATGACCTCGAAGATATCGAACAACGTTTACGTCTTGGCTCATTGGGTGGTTTTATTGTCAATGATAATCTCATCGAATGGCAAACAAAATTAAAACAATCAAATGAACGAGCCGATCTAGCTGAATTACTTATACAGCTACAGCAAACAATAGCGGAAAAACATGCATCAGGAATCTTTGGTACACATGAAAATCGTTCAAAAAGCTCGAAAAACACTTCGAAAAAGAAGGCTCTAGCCAATAAATCTTCGTTAACCAATCAACATAATCTACAAATGTGGATGAACGATTGTCGAACATGTAAAACATATTCACGTTTGTATGTCTTGATGATGATCTTCGAAAATTCCATTGCTTGGAGTAAATCAACGATCGGCATCAAATGTAAAATATGTCGACGAAAGCACAAAGATGAATACATTGTTGTTTGTGATCAATGCTGTCAAGGGTATCATTTCGAATGTTTACGTGGATATACATTTGATGATGTGAAGAATTCTACGAATGATTTATGGTACTGTCCAGCATGCCGTCCACAATCTGTTTCGAGACGACGGAATGATAAGAAATCCGAAAAGAAAGCGAAAATGGATTATTACGATGCAGATATTTATGATATGGATGTTGATACTCGATCAAACCAAAGTAGTCATGACAATAATCAAGATTTGTCAGATCTCAATAGTGAACAAAGTCATCAGAATCATCATGCAAATCCTAATGATGATGACGACGATGGAGAAGAATCTAATATCGAAGTATTATGCTGTGTTTGTGGAGGAGAAGCAGGCGATGACAATGAATTAATCCAATGCATCCAATGTCGAAGTTTATTTCATTGTCAATGTCACGAACCACCATTGAGATGTGCACCAAGATCGACTACATGGATGTGTACTAGTTGTCGGAATGGTGTGAATAATGAAACAAATCTTTCGACTCGTCGATCACAAACACGTCGACAAATGGCGATTAAAAAACGGAATCAAACAATGAGAGTGCCATCACACAGACAGAATGAAACACGTAGAAGTACGTAGAAACACTGAATACAGAGCAAACCCAATCGAGTGTAGCCTTCATTATAAATCTGTGATTAAGATTGTAACATAGTAAAATTTTGTTTTTCTTTTGCATAGCAACACGTAAAAATTATCGTGAACTTGACGAAGACGAATACGACGATGAAGAAGATGTTGATTTCGACAAAGATGACGAAAGTGATTATGAACAGGAATCAAGAAATCAACGACGTTCAAAACGCTTACGTCGATCAAGTCCATCTTTAGCAATCGACGATAGTTATGATACTCGACGAAGTACACGTCGACGAGTACGTATTGCACGATCATCTTCATCCTCAGCGTCGTCATCGGCGGTATCAGACGAAGAAGAAATCTTGGCTAATCTTAATGATGATGATAACGGTGACGGCGACGATGATGATGAAATAAGTGGTATAGAAGAAGACGAATATGTGGAAGAACAAGAGAATGGAAATATCGAAGCTATTTCACCGTCCTCACAATAGTCAACACAGTAACGGAAATTGTTATACATGTTTGAATTCATGCTCATACGTTTTCATTTTCATTCATAGAAATCCTGTCTCAGTGATATTGATACTTCGAACTGTATATAAATCTGTTTTGGTGTAAGAAGAATCAACTCTGTTCTTCTTCGCATCAACTGCATCTCGTATTTTTCCATGTAAATGTTTACTTTTTTTTTTCTGTACTGCATATGTAGTCAACTTCGATCTTTTCCTCCTTTATTCATGAATTTTTCCTTCTGTAATGTTGAGACTGTCTGTTGTTCTCGGGATTGTTTATTTTCATTGATGATTGACATTAAGGAAATAGAAAATATGCGCGTGTTTATGACATTCATTGTGTATGTACTTCAGAGCACTATATTCAGTGTACACTCAACAATTCTTTTATGTCGCGAAAAAAAAACCAAATGTATATCGATTGATCGTGTATCGGTTTATTCCTTGAACTAATGTGATGTTTGTGGTTCTTATGCATGTGTTCTTTTTTCTATGTCTTGACAGATGATTTATGTATGTACGATCGGTTTATGTGGGAGAAAGATCGAAAAGACAGAGGTCTAAATAAATGAAGTGTTTACCATTTGAAATACATAAAATGAACGGTTATATATTATAAACATTATCTCCTCCCGCATCTGTTGCTTATCTTCATCTATTCACTGAATCGATCGCTAAATTTGTTATTAACTTGAATTTGAATTCCAGGATTTTATATTTTGATAGAATTTGTATATTTACACAACTTCATCGTAGTTTCTTTCTGACTTGATCTATTATAGTACAGAAATTCAGTTGCTAAAACTCGTCGCGAGGTATATGTCGATGTTCTTTCCATCTCACTCATGAAAGTTCTACGGTTCGAAGGAAGTTTATTAAAAGATATGACACAAATAAATATGAAATACGTCAACGTATAATGAGTCTTATTGAGAAAAAAAATTAGTAGAAAGTTTATAGTAAACATCCGAGCGGAAATCGAATTGCTAAGTCTGCAGTTAATATAAAAACATCATAAACGTAAGCACGATGGTAAGAAATAATGCTGAGAGTGTTGGTTTATTCATTAAACCATTCGATGATGCTAATTTAATAAGACCACAAGCAACTCGTCCACCAGCATTTCTATACCAAAACAGAAAGTTCAACAACAATAATGAAAGTTTGAAATCATACCCGGTAGTTGCACTATCTTTGATGCCAGTGCTTCCACCATCATCCATGCCATAATGCACGACGATTGAAAGGTTGATGATAGATTGATTCGAAGTGTAAAGTTGTACAATTTTATCTTCAATATTAATAATAGCGGTACCATTGGCGAGTGTGACTATGTTTCCAAGATCACCAACATGTCGACTGGTTATATTAGCCTCCCGAGGACCGTGACTGGTATCTAAATATATTTGCATTATTGATTAATAGAAACAGAACAAAGCTTATTTGGAATTTACTGTATGGATTGAAATGTGAACCAGCTGCCGTGCAGTTTGGCATACTTTCCGACACTCCCAAAGCGTGTACATGAAAACCCTGAAGAGAAAATCGAATTACATCAGCATTGAATTAACTATGAGTGCTATTTGGACGTACTAGATTACTGCTGATATTCGATAAGGTCAGTGCACCTGTAATTTTCACAGCTGAACTAGGATCACTCTGATAAAATTGCAATGTACCAATGGATTGTGAAGTGCCATCGAGTCGTACATTAGCTGTAGCTTGCATAGCGCATTGTCCATGATGAATGAACAATAGAGATATAGTTGCTAATAGCACAAAAATCATAGTTGATGAAAAACGAAGATCTAGTACATATAGAGAAAAAACGTTGAATGAGTCGCTTTACTAAAACACTTCGTAAATAAGGCATGCGCAATGTCTTTTTGCGTAACGAATGAGTGTATCGAGTACTGAGTGAGGTAAAAAAAGTGATGAATGCATCATCTGGCAGACACAAAAGCGTATTAAAGTCAATCATAAGATTTTGTCCTTTACGTTCTAAGATTGGTTTCTCCTTTGTGAAGGTTTTTCAAGGTGACTAAGAGAGTCATTGATGCGCTTGATTGATTCGAACGATAATAATGTCCATGAAGAACATATTATCTGTGATTCATGTACCACGCTAATCAACCTTCGTGGAAAGTAGCTGAGACTGACATGTCTGTATCGATGTCTCATTTGATGGTATATCCAAGAGTGAGGAAATATATCTCAGATCGCAAGATTTTGATAGAATTCGATTCATGACGAAACAGTTAATACTTTTATGTTGGTGAAAATGTTCAACGAAGAAAAATGGATTCCGTCGGATTAGTAATGCGAAAGACATCAGATTGAATCGAATGCAGTTAAATCAAACTAGCATCTTCTATTTCATTCAAATTATGTACTGAACTCGAGAGTTCAATCAATACAAACTATAACAATAGACGTTTATAGTACCCGAGTAATAGTTAATTACCTATTTGTCAAACGTAAACGATCAGACAAAAAGCAGACCGTATAATATCTATGTAAGTCTATATACTCTTTCGAGCTAATAATAGCGACACTTGTTATCTTAGTTAAAACCCTCCTCTTTTCTTGATGCTTTAATTACTTTTCTCATTTCATCAGTTTTTCTTTTAATAAGCCAAACAAGTGTAACAGTTTCACATCCGTGTGCAGATTTCAATTAAACACAATCTTCTCTGGAAAAAAGAACTAATTAGGTCGCAGTAATAAGCAAAGAATTGCTTTACACTAGCTTGACTCTGCCATAAGGAATAAAAACAACGTAAAAAGATAATTGAGATAAGAGGTTGAAGTCCATATGTATTTCTATAATGACAGTACACAAAGTTGTAGTGACTTCATCTAGTATATTGAACTACTTATATTCATTAATTTTCGATATCGTTACGATTACAAATATTTTATTACAGAAGCAAAAGAAACTTATGCATACATATAAAAACTATATTTCCTTGGAACTCTGTGTTGCACACGTATGATATACATTTATATTACAGGCTGTTACTAATCAAATGTCAATTTTTCTTTCCCGATCGTTTGATTCCAAGAAATTTTGCATTGAATGTTCGATCACATTTGAAAATCTTCAAATCACATTTGTAATGTTGTGGACAACAGTGGATATGATCTGCACAGCAAACACCCTTCTCAACCGGACAACAAGAGTAGTCACCATCTTGACCTATACAACAGGTACTGGTTGATGGACATATCGATTCTCCATCTGGACAGACAATAACTCGATCTAAATCTGGATTCCTGTCAATACTTTTGCATGACAGAACAACAAATATTGAGCATAGTAGAATGAATGTAAGGACTCGCATCGTACAAAATCGAAAAGAAGATATACCAAGAGATTGTTTTCTTTATATATTCCTTTTTATTTAAAGATAAGAGAGATATGAGAAGCGTCTCTTGAAAGAAAAATCAACAAGAAGGAGAAAAAAAAATCATCATACATAACAGAAAACGTACAGACGGATTTGATTTATACAGACAGATTTTCATAAACATAAGAGCAAGACGAATATATATAATCTAAGATCGGCATCGCCGTCTTGGGCGTTTATTCGATTCGGATGGTGGTGATGGAGATGATGATGCATTTTGTACAAGTAAGCGTTTCGATGGCGTATTACCAGCACTTGGTAAAATCCACATTGGATTGATATAAAAATTCGACGGTGCCCATATACGTGTGGAACGACGTTGTGGTGTGGATAGCGATTGTAGTTGCGGTGAAATACTTGTTTGAATACGTAATGGGGATGAATAACGCGTATTCATTGATTCACTGCCACGCATGTATTCGGTTGAACTTGAATTGTGCGACGATGAACGTGAAACTGTCGTCGTCGGCGACGGTGACGCGTGTTCAATCGAAGATGATGATGTGATCGATGTGTTACTGTCATTTTGCGATGATGATGATGATGAGGATGATGATGAATTCTTGTGCTCTGAAGGTTCTGGAAAGAAGAAAATATCATTTCGGAACAGACTGGGATCAAAGAGTAGTAGTCAGACTCCTGCAAATGAAATATTGATATATTTTCGTAAATAATATACGAGACAATGATAAATTATGAATGCGATCGTTTCAAGTTCTTGACAGATTACTCAACAATATCAATACGCTAAATGTCAATTATTTGATTTCGTGAGCGAGTTGAATTTCATGTTATCAGTCTAATCTCACATAGTGCTCCCATACTTTGACATTTTCTTCCAAGAAAAGCCGATCGGCTCGTCGTGTATTCAATCATCTGAAAGCTGTCTGCAATACTTTGAAGATGTTTTGTATGAAATATTAATAAGAAACACCATTGAATCCATTAGTCGTTTTGGATCGTAGTATATCATTCAGCTAGGTCTTGTTTATTACCTTGATTTTCTACACTGTTCATACGTCGTCGGCGTCGTAGACCATTTTGGGGAGTTTTTTTCTTGCACAGCATCTGCTGTCTTCTCGTTGTCACAACTGATGATGGTTGTTTCAATGATTTTGTTTTGTTTGTATTCAATAACGAATTCTGTTCGATTGGATCTTTTTTGATCGAAATATTCAATGGAATCGACAAATCAGTCATTGATACAGATGAATGGATGGGAGAAATATTCGTTTCCCGTTTGGTTCTATGCAACGATTCACTCGAACGATTTCTCGTTTTCACACGTTGTTCTACTGTTGGACTTATTGACAATGAAGACGACAGCAATGGCCATGATTGGTCTGATCGCGCATACATTTGTAGATTACAACGTTGTTTACGATGTACTTGCTGATGAAAATGTGGAGGTGACATAGACGAATTATTTTCCATAGTAATTTTTTCAGATTTTTCTAAATATTCTTTGTATAAATCCGTTTGCTTTAACCACGATGGCGGATTATCTACAAATATGACAAGTGACACTCATTGACAAATGAACACGCCAATAAAAACCTTTATAAATAACAAATGACATTAGTTCATGTACGCTAGCAACAGTTGATAGAAGCGAATGATTATTTATTGATGAGCGTTTTGGTCGACGTCGATGACTCGGTGAACTATAAAGACAAAATAAGCCTACTCATGAATACGATGTTTCCTTCCTACGTATTTCCATTTGCTTTATATCCTGTCGGCGATAATTTATCATTCTAGAAATAAATAGTACAAAATATAAAATATTTCATTGAGAAAACAGCATACATCTAATTTATTATCATTATCATCAGTTTCGATTTTCACTGCTAGATTTGTCGACGAGGGTTTTTTCTTCGACGGAGTCTATACAGAAATATACGAAGTCCATTGATCAAATCAAGTCTTGAACTTACCGAGGGATTGGATGCTGATTTGGACTTTCGGATTGATCGATTTGCATCATCGCATTCGATTGGTGCTGCGGTTTTATTATGCATATGTTATGGCTAGGAACTCTAGAAGGAAAAGAAAACATGCCGGAGTCATCATATACTCTTTAAGCATTTCATGAGAAAACCTCGTTTCTTTTTTTTCTTCCTTCCTTCATATTGTTATTCATTCATTCGATGAAAGAACGCGAACTTCACTGTTATACTATTTCTCTTGGCAATTTCCTTCGCGTTTCTACATCTCTTTTTCTTTCAGTCCTTTTTGCATTCTACTCTTTGTTCATTCACGAATTTTCTTTTCTCCTCTTCTTCTGCTTCTTATTGTTATTAGTAGAGCTTCTATTAGTTCAATGAATGTCTTGACTCAAATCGCCACACAGTTTCTTATTACCAAGAACAATCTTATTCAGCTATTGCGAACGTTGAACTTTTCGAATGAATTTTTGGAGCAACTACGTCATGATCGAATCACCATCGATGAAGGTATGATCCGACGTCGTATCAAATTATTATGTGAGATAAGTAAAGATCAATCCTTTCAAGATCTCTTCTGTCATGAAGATGGAATCCGTCTAGTATTTCACACAAAATTATACGAATCTCGATTTATACGTTTCCGTACTAGTTTCGACGTTAAAATTATCGCACTGATATTAAATGATCATCATCAAACGATACAATTTATGATCAATAATATTCAAATTAAATCTCTCAATCGACTATCGAAACCATTTCGGTTTTGTATTCAGGTAAAACTAACGGGGTCTTTTCTGCAAAAACAAGCACTCTTGAGGAAAAACATAGTGCAAGTGCGTGTCCTGTAGGTAACTATTATCAACCGGTAATAATATTTTCGAGCTGAATGTCACAATTTCCTGGAGAACTAACATTTTTACTTCGCCGAAAGATATGATTTTGAACTTTACATCACAGAAATAGACGATTGTTACTAAACCGGAGCCGATGCATTTTTACTGCGTAGGAAGGAAATCATATGCGAGTCTAGTAACATCGACTACTTAGACGGATAGTATGATATCTAATCGAATAAAATAAAACGAATTGTAAGCCAAATTAGAGATATTCTATTTTTTAGTCGAAAGCTCGATCATTGGTGACTGGAGAACTTGAACGAATCTTTGCCGAACAAAATATTCCTTATGAACGATTATTTAGTGATATAAAACGTCCTATCACGTATGAAATCAATCTATCATCGATGAAAGAACTCGATCAATTTCGCGAACGATATTTGATTATTGGCAACCGTTCGATTCTTGACTTAATTCAGATCACCTATGTTGAACACTGTGAACAAGCTATTGTCTTAGGTTATCGTTTAAACACAACAGTCAACGAAGAATCAACTATACAATTCATTGATTGCTAGAATAGGAAGAATTTTACTTACGTATTCTTGTTTGCAAATGATACTGGTTTTATCGATGTCAAGGATAAGGTTTTTTTTTATACTTGTCAGAAGAGAAAAAAGAATGAATGAATGACTGACGAGGTGAATGCTGTGCGAATGGCTTAATCAATAGGACAAATGGATGAACTATTGAGCAAGATGTCGCTGTTGTTTGATATAGATACAACTGTCTCTCCGTTGCAAGACAAACAATGTCTTATTCACTAATTCGAACGCCATTAACGTGTCTTCGAAATTCGTTTATTTCGGTGCTTTTATTATTTTTTCCTGCCTTATTCAATTTCCCAATTACTTTAATCATAATCCTATCCATTTAGCCGATACGACGATGTGAATTTCTTATTCTTGATAACATTTGATGTATTCATCTCATAATTTATTTTCAAACAAGCTAAATTATGCAATTGAACAAAATCTGTTGATCATAAAGCATAGAGAGATCAACAAGAACTCTACGGAAACACATAAAAATTTTGTTAGGACTTTTTTAAGACTAATTTCATTAATAAAATTTTTTATAGCAAATCTCATCAATTCTTGCGATATAGAAATTGTTCGACGTCTTAGAAGCACCAGTGTCCTTTTCTTCTATGAAAAAAAAAACATTTTCGTCGATTTTTTAATTCAAATAAGTGAATATCAATGAGACAATGTTTCAATTTTATGACAATGTACCGCACAGATATGTCTACCGATTGAAGATTTCGATGTGTGGCGAAGTTCAAAACATAGATTTGATTACATCAACTGATATCCATTACAGTAGAGACAGACGTATATGTAATCGATGATTTTAGGTACGTTATATCGTGTTTGGTGTTTAACAATTAATCATCAATAAGATTTTCGTGTGCGTTGATGTCAAAAGAAGGTTGATAAAATCAATGAACTACACGAAATGCTCAATGTATTCAAATAATTGGGCTACAAAGCTTTGAATAAAAGAATGCAAATGAGCTCTTGACTTGTCAAGCATAAAACCTATCGTACACTATATGGATCATCTTTATTAGTACTATAAAAGTGGTTAAGAATAGAAAATAAGTACTCGTCATTCTATTTACTAACTGTGTACTTTCATTTGGGTATTTGCGGCAGTATATTTTTTTGTTGTTATCAAGCTTATCGAGGCTGCCTTTGCTTTCTCTTGCGTATGCCCTTCCGTTGTGCTGTAATTCACTTTCTTTCGGTGGCTGCGGTTTATTGTAAAAGAATAAAAACGCAGAATAACCAAGAAGCGTTAACCAAAATGTTATTCAGTACACTATTCGATTCTCTGTGATTTTCGATTGTAACTATCTCCTACACATATATCATATAGGATAGAAACAAATGTGTGCAAAACAACTCTGTACTGACACTGATAAACTGATAAAGTACGATGTGCATGCATCGTCATCGATATGGTATCTTGTGTTGCTTATCGGTGTTTTCGTCTATAAATAGTCGCTTCATACTAATGTACATCATGCATTTTTCAATCATTACTGGTCGATCTCGTTCGGAAGATGGCAGCAACGAATTTGAATAAGTTCACAGATACTATTAACGAAGGAGCAGTGCAGAAGATGCTCGATTCACGTTTGAATCTCAAGAAATATGTGTTAGAAAATAGTCGTCAAGGTGATATTCAAAATGTTATTGATACAATCGATAAATTTGGTTGGACACAACAATGGTTAATGAATATCGGCGACACGAAAGGGAAGATTCTCGATCAAGCGATTCAAACAAAGAAACCTAAAACAGTTCTCGAATTAGGTGAGATTTTTCTCGGCAAAATATTTTGTTATGCCATCTGTTCAAGTAGGTACTTTTCTTGGATATAGTGGATTGAGAATAATCACTCAATTATCTCCAGATACTGTATTTCTTTCTGTTGAAGCTGATACTCAATCAGCTGAGATTGCTCGTTCAATATTTGAACACGCTGGAGTTACCGATCGTATCCAAGTTATCAATGAGTATACAGACAAGGTGATTCCACGTTTGAGCAAAGATTTCAATATTGATTCATTCGATTTGATATTTATCGATCACTACAAAGATGTGTATTTACGTGATTTGAAATTACTAGAAGAAAACGGTTTGATCAAATCTGGAACAATGATTGTAGCGGATAATGTTATTTGTCCCGGTGCACCTGATTATTTAAATTACATTCGAGGCAATCCAAATTATACAACTACATTTCATGAAACTACTCTCGAGTATAGAAATGATATTGTCGATGGAGTTGAAATATCTGTTCGAAAATAAATCTTTTGTTTGCATATGAATAAAATAAGATAAGAAAAGAAATGTTTTTCATACACTTGCCAACCTTGATAAATAATCGCTGATTATCTATCACAAAGATTAACATCTGACAAAAGTATACAAATAAATTCAAAATTATAGTATGATCAAATTATATGTTCTGTACTTTGAATATATACTCCGCCTATTGTTTGTAAGATTTCTATGTATATATATCGTATAATCCCTCAAATGAGCATGATCATTAAGATCTAGCTAACAACATAGATTTATCTTGTTATGAAAGGAGACATTAGCGTTATGGTTGAATACTTTTCATGACCTATCTCCTAAGCATATAATAGTGCGTCTATGTCTATGTATGTATATGTAAAGTCTACGTCATGCAACAGAAGAACGTGTGGATTGAATGTTGTTTTTCATCGCCTATCTCTCTTTCTGTGTCTTGTTCAATAGACGGACGTTTTGTTTTTGTCCAAGAGAAAAACAAGCGAACACTGTAGAAACTTGACAACTAACCGTCTCATCTTATTTTATCTTTGAACCGTATTGAATCACCATGTCGAAAACAACAGCATCAAAGAGGAAAACAGCATTCATAGAGCCACTACCTGTTCTACCTGAAACTCGTACGATTCAGCCACTTGTGCAATGCGGTATTCTTTATCTCGGAACATGTCCGACACCGAATAGCCGTCGTGGTCTGGATGCCATACAAGAACCATTCTCGTACCAATATCCTGTCGATGGAACAAATACAGCCCGAGGTAATTGATCAGATTTCAAACGAGTTTCCTTTCCAAAGATTTCATGCATGCGATTTTCATTTCAAGGTGTCGACGGTGTGCTCTCTGTTTTCGAGAATGGCGTTCAGTTAACTTTCACACGCCAATCAGAAGCTGCAGTGTTCTTTCCAATATCATCTCTCGTCTACTGTGCGAGTCTTCGTTTTACGGTCGTTAGAAATGATCGAACAAAGCCTAAAGGAAGTGTTTACTGGCGTTTTATGCCGTTGGATACGACATCCACTGATGAAAATAAACATCCACCTCTATTTTGTGCTGTTTTTCAACGTACTCATATCTTGCCAGGTGACGAATGTCATTGTTTTATAACGAAGACGGCGGAGTCGGCATTAGCACTTGTACGAACTATATCGCGCATTTATAAAAGCATGCAATCAGATTTCAAAAGTTCGAAGAATCCAATATTCTATCAGGTTTAGAATTGAGTTTTCTAAAAACTTTTCAAGAATTTGTATCCTTGATGTTAATAGCTAGATCATCTTGGAAGAAAAATCAAAGAGATAACCAATACGATTTATTTATCGCCAGCTAACGATGAAGATGGTCAGTTAAATCGTGCAAATCCAATTCGATTGAAAGATGAACATACTGCCCGGAAATATTTACTTAATCCATCCTATGGTGGTTATTACTATCGAACTGATGCTAGTCTTATCGAACAATGGCAATTATGGGATGACAATGATGTCAGAGGATGTCGACCTCATCCACCTGACTCGCCATTTGGCTTACATGAAGGTCTTTATCACGATGATACAACGCAAGAAATTCGACGATGCTTACGTCATATGGATAGCGAAGAAAATTTGCGTTCGTGCAGTTGTTCAAGCGATAAATCTTGTTCATCGAGTTCGGTGTCGACCGAATATTCTCGGCGAAAAAGCCGACAACGGCGCTCCAAAAGGCAATCATCGCCGACTGATACCGATCAGTTCGACATGTCATTTTCCCAATTAGTTGCAAGTACATTCGAACCAATTCGACCGAACAATACTTCCAAGTCGAAGAGAAAACGTCGTAAACCAATTATTATTGAAAAAGTCCTACCAAAACCAGTTCCATGCACATCTGATGTGAACATGAGATCATCGGAGCAACCAGGGGATCCTTCAAGCTCTCATCCCAAATCGGAATTAGTTTACATTCCATCTTCGGATACATCCTGTTTTGCCTATGACGTAAATGAATATGGTGAGAAAATAACAAACGAAGGCAATCGTATTATCTTCATGGATGTTGTTCGACCGAGTCGAAAGATTAAATTCACAGATCCGCCATCATATATTCCAGTTACACCTGATAAACCACGACGACGACGTCGACCGAAATCAGCACGTCATATACCAGTCATTGATCTTCAACAGTTAGATAAATTAATCAACGAGCAACAATCGAAAGTTCAACGACCGACCAGTTTACACAGTGAGCATACGGTCAGCCATGATCTCCATCATGAAAATTATCTAGCCACACCAGATATGTTGGATATCTTGAATAAATTTTTTGGATTGAATTTCGAGAGTAGATTCTATTCCAACGACAAAGAAATCCAAACAACCATAGACTATGTCGCCTTGCACGGAGAGAAAGAACAAGAAGAAAGACGAAAAAGTACTTCTATGTCATCGACAGCCAGCTCTAAAAGTGGAACTCGGCCGCATCATAATCGATCAACGATTACGCCTGCTACGAGAGAACACTCTATCCATTCGGTGCAAGAACAACTGACGATTTCATCTCCACTTCACAGTCAATTATCATCAATCAATAAACAAAAATCACCTCCAGCACCATCAATACTAACTGATCAAAAACTTGATCAATATATAACAGATATATACGGTACGCCTGACTCTACCAATTCAATAACATCTTCGAGCCATCATCCAGAACAGCAAGCAGCTAATCAAGCTGCGGTTCTGAACGCAAGTTATATCTCAGCATTTCGATATATGCAAAGCAGTATGAATGCTAACTATCTAAACAGCTTTTATCATGCTTATTAACTACAATTTCAAACAAAATTACTAAATTATGTTATAACATTTTTTCATTTATAGCCATGTTGTTACACAATCGTTTTTTGTTTTGTTTTCAAGTAATAAATAGATAGGCAATTGAATAACATTATTTTAAGCCATTCTATATCTTTCTAATGGTGGTAATAGATGATGCGAAGTTCTTCTCGACAGTGGTTGATTTTGTGTCCTCTCCGAGATTGTGTAAACGGGATCAACAGTTATAGTTAGTTCTGATGATGGAATTATATCCGAAGAATCAGTGGCTGCTCTCGATCGTTGTTCAAATGAATGCTCACGAGATCTGATTAAATTATTCTTCCATTGTTGTAACCGTCTCGGCTTTTGAGCACGATGATCACGTGTTGACACACGATATCGAAATGCTCGATCGTGTGCCCATTGACGTATAGCCGACATACGTGGTTGTTCAATATGACGACGAAATAAATTTCTTACTAATCGATCACGATGTTGTTTTATTGACGTCATTGATAAAACGCTGGATGATCGTGCTCGAGGATTATCGTCTTGGTTGTCATCACGTCTTTTGCGTTTCACCTTTGCTCGTTGAACTACGAGACCGAGAATAAAGAAAAGTACGACACCGCTAGCTAAGGCAATCATTAGTGATGTCGGATCTTGTCTGTATGATTCATGTAACAGATCACGACTTTGGATAACAACACAAGCATTACGAGGTTGGTAAATCCACTTGGTTTTATACAGTTCAAATTCAATACAGATCTCATAGATACCTGATTGAAGATTGAGGATACGGATACTATTGTTGCGATCAGTAATTTCGGTGAAATTTGCTATTGGTTTACTGTTGACAGTTGCATGCGAGAGGATATCGATTGCACGCAAAATAAATCGAAAGAAATTAGGCGTCCGATGCCAACATGATTCGACGGTAAACCAGATAACGTAGGAATGATTCGAACTATCATAGGCATAGCTCACGTAAAGATTATCTGTCAGGCAATCTTCGGCGCAATCAGTCACGTTAGACTTGAATTCATATGCCTGTATGTGTAGACAATGAAATAGAACAGAGAATGTAAGATGAATAAAAACGACTAATAGATAATTAAACATAAATCTCTGCCAAATACCTTTCTCAATGTGAAGAAGAAAAAGTTCGATAAATATGTTGTACGAAGAAATTGGACAGTTAATCATTTTTTTTAGTTGACATTTAGCTTAAGAATATTTGCATATCAATGAGTAAAACGAATAATAGTTAAGTAGTGTGATAAAAAATGAAAAAAAGATTTACATCTCTTAGCATAACAAATATGTCAAGTGAAGAGAAGATCTTTGCCTATCAAAGTTTCCCTTAATCAAATACAAGATAACAACTTTCATGAATTCGGTGAAAAAGCACTGGATTTTTCCAGCGCCTACGATGCCGGAATGATTTCGTTAATTACACCCAGTGACTGCGATAAAAATTACATTTCAATAATCAATTGAAATTGAAATTGAAATAAAAGCACTATGCTCAAATAAATGTTGCATTTCAGGAATATTTTCATCAACGGAATATATTTAAACAGTGCAGTAATAATTGAACTTTGGATATAACTAATGGTGGTTATCAACAATTGGGTACACGATTCAAATGATGACATGAATTATCACAAAGCCTGATATTCATCAACTGTTTGGATGAAAGATCATGTCACATGAAATTAAGTTCACATGAGTCTGCGAAAAGAAAAGAAAACAAACAAATTTTCATGTCCGACTTAAAACATCTGCGGAAATGATTACAGAATTGCTTATTGGACTGATTGTAATAATGATACATTATGTCATTGTCAAGGACAAAGCTTTCCTTGTCTAATTGAAGAAGTTCTTGGTCTTAAAATAAAATTGTTTCGATACATGTTATTAACTTTCAAATGGTTACCGTTTGTTAGTCGTTTATTTACTTTTCAGTCGACTACGCCCATTCCGCGAGAATTTTCTTGTCGTGTAATTAGTGACGAAGATTTCTTTCAGAAAATGAAATACTAGTCTCACGACGCAAGAATAACGATTTATAATAAATTCCCCTAAGCACAAAGCAAATTTTCATTTTCTGTACGAAATGAATGCGTTATATCTTCTCTATTCTATTGAATGACATAAGACAAATGTATTTAAAAGTGTCTTTTTCGTCCGTATCTGTCGTCTACTGTTCATTAGTGTATGTAGGTTCAATTGCACTTTCGACAAAACGAGAGATTTTGTACTTCATGAAACTTTTATAAAATCAACCGCAAACTTCATTTATTCCGGACTGAAAAACTTATATTTGACAAATATTCCCAATTTGGTCACGAGAAAGCCTTGTCTCGACTGTATATACATTAACTTCGTTTTACTTTGTTTTCGCTCAAAAGTGATTATTTCATTGTAGCGAGCAGGAATAAACATGGTCTTATTTCGAAGGCATCTATTATCGGTCTATGGAAACTTTCGCATATTGACTTATGCATCAGGCAGCTGCCTATTATAGATAGAATAATCTTGAGAGATATCTATTTCATTTGTCTTCTATTCGGAACTGAAGGAGCGGAAAACGGAGAGAAATAAAAGAAAAAGAGAGAAATTATAGATTGATCCTTTCTATGTCGCGCTTTTCTCTAGATATAAAAAGGATAAGAATAAAAGCAGAAACACACATCCAACGTGCGATGTTTTGGTATTGATAATAACTTTTTCATACAGCTAATGAATAGCATATGCAAAAAACGAGCGTTTGACTACTCTTGCAATTCGATATTCATTTCAGATAATCTTGCTACGGTAGAACTACAATGGCAGCATCATTCGTCTCGAAGAAAGTCTCCTTAAGCATGATTCAAGTCAGTATCGTTTTACTAGGCCTTTTAGGTAAGTTGTCGGATGAAAATTTTTCTCTTGGCAACTTTGTCTTACCGAAGTTTAATGAATACTTTTGAATTGTCTAGTTTAAACATTATTCCTTGTTCTCCGATAAGGTCCTTTTGGCATGCAAAAGGATCAAGTGAGAAATTACTAGTCATATTAAACAAACGATAAAATAGAGAATTTCTATGAGGATAAGATCATTGTCTTAGATCTCAGTAATCGAGAGAGAAAAAACAACGATTAACATTCATTATACATTCAATATATTCTTTTATTTTATGACGAACTACGCGGTCGAGAGAAAACCAGTGACTTGTATGTGCTAATCAACATACCATAGATGCCTGTTGCACTTAGAAAGCTCAATGTCTATGAATGCAATGAGAAAACTAAATCTGACGAAGGCTGTAATGTTCAAGAACTAGCGTGATACGAGAGAAAACCTTTCGGGTGAAAATGAATAGCTTCCTAATATGGAAAAAAGATGTTTCCATCTCGTTAGAAATTTATAATAAAACCAAACGTAAAAAATAATCTTCCGTTATAATCGCATCAGATCGAGAATATATACAATATGTTACTTAAGAGCAGAGCAGCAGAATGTAAATGGATTATTTAGATGAATGCGATCCTTTTTGCTTGAAAATATCATTAAAAAGATAATAGTTTCATCACACGCATTAAAAACGAATCCGATCAGTTTCTTTAAGTTTTTCTTTTTAATACTTTTCGGATATAATCAGCGACACAAGGCATTTCCTGATTGTGACTTTAGCAGACATCGCCACGTGAGTTGGTTTCCCTTTTTAACTAGGTCGTGTTCCGTCATTAGTGATTAAAATAGAACTCAAAATGCTCTTCGCAGATTCTCGTATTTTGTTAGTACAATCTTCGATGCGAAATGCCTTTAATATACAAATTTTGAGAAATAGTGAGTCGGTTTATCGTTAAGAAGACAAAGCTTCTCATAATATTCTTTATCATAGTCAGGAGATACCCTCTGATGACATTTTGTATTTGACATTCTTTCGTTTTAGTTATCGGTAATTGGGCAGCGCCAGCAGGTGGAGAACTGGAAGAAATTTACTTTGAAACTTGTCAAGAAAGTTGTAGTGTCGTGAAAAATGAAGACGAAGCAAGTGAATGTCGTGAGAAGTTTTGTTCCAGCTATACGAATTATTTACTGACCGGAACGACAATCCCAGACTCGGCAACAAGTCTCGCAACGAGTCATCACAAAGAAGCAGCAGAATTCTGTGCGACATGGATGCTCCATTTAATCCAAGAACTTGGTTGGCAACGACGTAATCGCTTGAATGCCAAAGACTGCATCTGTGCAGCTGGCAATGATTGCTTTGTTTATCACAATCAACCGAAGTATCTTCAATAAAGGAATTACGTATATTTAAAAAATTATTTTATTATATTCATTTTCAAAATCAGACTTATATGTCAAATTCTTCACGATATTGAGGGATATTAAAAATAAAGAATTCTTTTAACTATAGCACAGTCCTGGTCTGTTTCACAAATTCTAGACGATGATTCCATTCTCATGATTTGCGTTAAAACTTCGGTGTATAGAAAAATGAATGCTAGTTGAATCTACTCAAGTAAAGCTGAAGAAAAGAACTTAGGTTTTCCAGCGGCGAGATCTTAGCTATTCGCTTGAACAAATCCATCAACAACAAAAAAATATTGTTCTATATGAAAAGTTTCATGTCTATTTTCTTTTTAATCACCAATTATAGGGCGCATACAATAACGAATGTTTACAGGGAAAAACATGATCAAGAGGAAAAGTTAGGAAAGAAGTGAAGAGAGAAAACTGGTAAATAGGAAATAAAAGTGTTCTTGTTCATTGCTCTGTTGTCGAGTTGATGTCAGTCGTATCTTGAAAAGCAATTGCGGCTGATGGAAGGAAAAGAATGACAAAAGATTATTGTTGACGGTCTAACTTTCCGATGAGGTGGGCTTGATATTCATTGATGGGTATCAGTTTGAAATTGATTTTTTCGAAATAAACATCTTGATTGAAAACTCGGATTGCGCGCTTCATGGATTTGGGATCGTAGAATCCGAGACGTAGTTTTACGTGAAGTTTATTCAATTGAGGAGACACTTGTTCAAGCCAATGATGCCATATGCGACTATCAAGGGCTGATTGTGGTCAAGCTTCGCATTCGAATGCATCTAAAAATCAGGAATTTAAACAGGATTTTTTATCTCAAAAATCAGGATTTTCTAGGAAAATCAGGATATAAGGAAAATTGAAGTTCAGGTCGATCAAAAACCGCTTTCTAAACAGGTCTCAATCCTAGAAGACACCATATGGCCTCCTGAATTGATGTTAGTAGAAAATACAGAACGGAGTATCGAGCTAGATAGAAAAAATAGGGATCTTTGAAAAAATCTTTGTAAATTCCAGGTTTTCTTACTAAAACCTGACAAGATCTAGTAAAACATTTACTAGTAAAGAACGATCAGCTCAGGTGTTTACTATTATGAGCAATAATTACTTAGTTTCAGGAATACCAATGAAAACCCTAATCCTTCCTTTAGTCTTAAGTTCGCTGAGCTGGTTATTTCATTAAAGCTAAATAGGACTTCCTATAAGCTATCTCCAAATAGCGTAAGTTTCTTATAAAAAACTGCTGTGTGTGTTGTGTACTTGCATGGGATATGCATACTAATTGCTTGGTGATAATATCCAATGGTTTTTTGCTATTCGAGGTTAACGATACCATCAAAGAGATTTCTAATAACTGAAAATAAGTATTAAATAAATTATAGAGAGAGTTCTAAGAGTATAAGTATTTCTTCACTCTAATTTGAAGAAGATGTCATTAAACTATCGAAGCAAACCAAATGAGTATCCTTCATAAGACGCTAATTTGTGCTTAATAACACTTATTTGTTATCTATGGCACCTTTTAGTTCAATATCGTCTTGCTAAAACAAAAGCTTGCACAACGAACGTCGTACCGGCCTATTCGTTCTTTGCCTCGTCGATCGATTAATCATTTTAGCCTTCTGATCATCTAGCAGGCCAGTTGCACATGACCGCCGAATTGTCTCATTGTCATCTATAGCCTGTAGTCATTGTTTTCTTGCTATTTAAACCTCTAAAAATAAGATGCTATCATTTGCGTCGTAGACAATTCAGTCGAGACAGGTAATTGCATAATCAAATTCACACTCTCACCAATTACCTTTGAGTGATTTGCGTCCGATCAGTGCACACCAGAAGAATTAACCTCACATACCTAACTTTTCGTAAAATACCCAAAATTCGCTTTTGTTCGAGATGCTATGTCGAAAAGTCAAATTTCCTCTAGTAAAATCAACACCTGACTACAACTCGTACTCGTTCATACAACAAAAGTAAATACGCATCTCGAAAATTATCGTTTCGAAGTCGACAAGTGATATTGTCGTAAAACACGAAAAATCTCCCTTGTCCATATTCGTATTGTAATACTATTTCGCTCTAATCATTGGTTCCAGTTTAGCTTCTGGAGACAAGACTCTTTCGTACTGCAGTCGTCTTCACAACGAAACTCTTGGATTCCTTCTGAATACATCTGATTTGCGAGTATCACTACAAGTACTTTCGTCACCAGACAAATATCTCACCCTTGGTTGTACTGTCGAGCACAACGAATGGCAGATCTCACCAGAAGACATCCTTTTTTCGAGCTCATTCTTGGCTTTCAAGAGTAATGATGGAGGTGAGAACCTTCATTTTATGCAATAAATTATTAATGGAATACGTCTGCATCCTTTGGTCAGCGTACAACATAGAATAACGAGTCAGACAGAGACATTCTTAAAGAATTTATTACTGAACACAACACGCTGTGTTACATACTCTATGCACGTGACAAAACGTAGTAGAATCTCGGATAGATTGTTGAATGGTATACATTAGCACATACAGCTATTTTATTTACTCGTGTTTATTGAACTTTGCGTAGTAACCATATTCGACACACGTGCATCACATATTTATTAGAAAGCAGAGCGTTATCTTTTTTCGCGCGAAAATTGCACTAAGTTCATAAGACTAGTCGATCTCGAACAATGTCGGAAGAACGAGCAGTTCGACATATGCAATCTCGAAATCAAACACTGAAAATTGCTGTTTCTCGAATGGAAAACAGGACAAATCAGGAGAGATAGTGTAAAATCAGGACGAATCAGGATTATCGGTGAAAATCAGGAAAATAGCAGGAAATCAGGATAACTGCGATAGTTGAAGATAAACTATCAGTAATATTAACCAAACGACATTGACGTAATGAACAGGCAGCTACATTTTTCACAAACGAAATCATTTCATCAATGTCCAGATGTTTACAAATGAGATCTAGAGTGTGTAGTTCAGAAAACCGTAGCGGGTTGGGATCCACACGATGCGGATAAAATAATTGATTAGCTTTTAATAATTGTAGATCGGGCATATTAATCAATAAAAATGTATAATCAATAAAACATCGCTGACTATTGAAGATCAATTGCTTAACACTTGACGGTTTGTGTAATGCTTCACTAGATTTACCGAAATGTAAACACGTGGAGTTAAATTCCAACCGTTGAACGCTATCCAGGGCTAAAGCCTTTTCCAACACTTTGTTTCGATGCTTACTTCGAACATGGATAATTAATGATTTTATATTCCGTGGTAAATTTCTTGGCCAATTATGGTCTGTTACGTTATGCAATACTAGTAAACCGAGACATTTGAATTGACTTAGATCAACAGAAGCCATTTGATACATGTTCGGAATACGTATTGATAAGACGTTCTTCGGTTCGATATATGGCAAAATGTGTTTACGAAAATCCGTGTTTACGTTACGAACATGTAATGCAACATTGCATATCGTCAGTAAGGACGAAAAATGATTAATTATTCCATCAAATGCGTAAAACAATTCATCAACATAAAAGTACTGAAATAATTCAAGTAGAACATCCTCACACAAAAAATCACCAGGCACATGTGTTCCTCCTAATGACATAATCTTTAATCAATAGGTAGACTTCGGTTTGCTTGTGATCTTGAGCGAAATCGAGCAGATTGTGACTGCCTTGAAGATAGTACTTGTATGTGTGGACTATAACTAATCGTACTGCATATGAATGATTAGATACACGTGAATGACTGACGAGGAAGAAAACAAAACGCGTACAATGGTCAAAAGGCGTGATCGAGCTGTGATCACAACAGACAAATATCCAAGTGTGCCTACACTACGCGAAACAGTTCTCGAGGGTCGTCGTTCACGTTATGAATTAAGCCAAAGAGATAAGTAACTAGAGGGCATGAAAGAAAAGAAAAACGTTCTCGTCTGATCTTCTAGCCGTCATATGAGCAAAACGTGTTTACCTCGACCAAAGTCGAAAATAAAACCGCGATATTTCACAAATCGCATAAACGCGTGTATCGAGAACTAACCGATTCGAGCACTTATAGTCTAACTTGTTCAGTCCATATGTGTTTCAGTATGTGTATTCATTCAGTAAATGTATATTTATCCATGATTTCTGACGAAAAACTAAGCGTGATAACGAGCAAAACGACTTATTCGCATGTATTGTCTTGCCGAAACAGCGTTATTATGTGAACACCGTCTGGGTGTTTCTCGTGTCGGCTGATTTTGAAATCCTCTCGATACACTGATGCTTTCGTAACCCTATAAGTTGGGTACATTTCTTTTCCATGACACCATGCGGAGTGCCGCTATTGCGCCCTGTACATATTTTTTACTGTATATGAATAAGAAGATCATTATAGTACAATCTTTACTGCTAGAAAAGTAATTCTGAAATACATTAAAATCACGTGTATATCAAGCATATTTCACATCGAGCTTGGTTGAGTACATGATTGCGACATCTGTAAGATTTCACCGGTGAATCGTGAGCTGTACGGCGCAATCTTATATTGCGGTTTCTCTATAATTACAGTGAACAAGGTTCGGACAGTTCTTTAATTTAGTAATGGTTACTATAAGTGAACAAATGAAAGAAAAGATTGTTTCTCAACAGTATTGAGCTAAGTATCGTACACATTTCCACACCAAAGAAACCATCTTCCAAAACGTGTTTTATCGTGTAAATTTAAAGAGTACCACTCTCGTCGTGTATGCACGGACACAAGCACATACACACAAAAGCAGACATATTAAGAAGCGATTATGTGGTAGATTTGGTTCTTACTAGATGTAAAGCGATCTAGGTCAAATAAAAAGAAGTCGCTTACTTCTTCTGCGAATGAGTTGTGGACGAAAATTGCCTATTAACAACAGATGTATAGTTTGGAAGGTTCTTTACGAGTAAGAAGAAATACAAAGGATTTCTTTCATACTATGCTGTCAGAAGTGATTCGCCAAGGATGCCTGTAACGTGAATAGAGAAGTACAGGTTTTAGTGGCAGGCAAAACCGGCGAATACCCGATCTCAATTTTCCTGTTCGGTTTTCGACATGCTCATCGCATGCAAATCATCTACGAGATACACTGAACATAAGAATTGAATAGTATGTGTAACATGATGAATATTATACTGTATGTTACTCTGATAAATAAATGACATTCGGAATAAGTATTTAGTAGACAAGTTTACTTGTTCTGGAGATCGTACGTGCATCAAGGGACAGTCGTTTATAGTGTACGAAGAGACAGTACATAGCGCAGTTTACGGTGACACCAGAAGATAATTCAACCTTTTTCACTTAGAATACTGAGAACTTCTGTCGGTTTCTCGAGGTAAGGAGTAAAAGTACATACGAGATACGAGTATCAAGCACATATTGATTATACGGAGTTTTCGACTTGTCGAAATCGCTCTCTTTCTATTCTACGCACGTATTGTGTGTAAAGTGGAGGATGCATCTCTCCTGGAACTCTAGGATTTACGTTACAGGCTCCTAGGTAAATTCATTGCTTTGGGCGATATTACTCAAGATATTCGTTTTCTCACGTACAGAGTTAATAATCGAGATGAGAATCCTTCGGAAAGGACTCCTATTCGGACATCTTTGATAAACGAGCTCTAACCACAAGAGTAACAAGGACGTAGTATACTTTTCTCCAATAATCAAATTAATTGTGAGCGCTACCATTGCCTGATATGATGCTGTCCTTATGCTCTATGATCACCTATTAAGATTTCTGAAGATCCAATGTCCGCTCTATGTTTCAAAGGTCTCTGGAAAACTACTAACAGTTATCGAAACTGGTACATCCTCAATTTTAGAATCTATCTGGTGTCAAATCGATTGAGATACGTTTTACAGTAAACTTTTTTGGTGTTCGCGTAGAATAGAGATCTTGCCTGTCGACGGGCTGCATCATAGAAACAGTGCGAAGGGTATCTTTTGCTTTATTACCAATTTCTCCATGTAGTATCTAATTTAAATTAAGTATTGATCTACTGTTCTGTTGAAATTAGTAATTGGGTTTTGGAATAGTTCTAGACCATGCACACACCTGTGAATATGTCTAATAGGAACTACTGGACAATCTATTTTAGTGTGACTGCATGTTGTGTACACAGATTTCTTATAAAATCACATTACAAAATCAATGTCTCTCGAAGTTACTACCAAAACTGAAATACCAGGTCTTACTTACTATATAAAAGAAGATCTGCCGGGATATAATTATTTATTCGCGAACCTTGAAAGTCCTGTAAAATAGCTCAAAACGAGCCGTTAATCGAAAGCACAAGAAGTGTCCTTAATAACTTGTTTTGGTTATCCTTAAGTCCCATGTCGTTTCGGTTCTCCATGATCCTGAATCCAAGTTATTGCTCATTATCGATATTTCTTTCTGATTAGTAACGTATGTGGGTGAACTATATGTAAGACGCAATACAAATGACGATGTACACAAGTTTTGTCATGACAACTAATATCCGCATACATGTACATGCAAGTAGCAAGCGATAGCAAACAGATGTTGATTTGTATCAATGGTATGAGGAGAGAAAAAACGAGAAGAAAAAGAAAAAAAACATTACTTTTTAGCAACGGCTATTATATGACGCGAATCGTTGTCATTTTCTCTAGTGGGTTGATTATATCAGGTGAAAGGAAGCAATGAGCAAAGAATAACGAAAAAAATGCGAGAGAGAGAGAGAGAGAGGGAAAAGAGAAAAATATTGGTGACTATGCGAAAAAAGCACTAAAGGCGACAAGTTAAAATCATGTTTATCTGCTGAATCATATTGCACTCGTACTCATACCTTTCGAACACTCTTCCTTCTCATTCGTTCTATGTTATTCTATCATATAATTTTCATGAAACATACTCAGTTGTGTTTATTTGCGTTTTTCTTAAGAAAACTAGTAGTCATTTCGCAGCAGCGCAAAATATTGATATATTGTAAGTGATGTTTTTTTTAAAACTTCGTGTTACAAGGAATTTAAAGCAAGGATTAATCTGTAATGTAAAACGTACATTCAGATTGTGTTCGGCAGATTGCTATCGAGGTAAAAGATGACTGACTCAACGAAAAATTGACTCATTGAGCGGTGGAGTACAGGAAAGAGAAAAATGCTCACACCACAATGGTACCATACTCGTTTGTACATTTATGCTCGATGGGAGAAAAAAAGGTAATGTAGAAAACGGTAAATCGAACTATGACATTTAAATATAAAGATGAGCACATCATATGAAAGAACATGAGTTACCGCTTTCATTTCTAATCTTACTTTCTTGATCCTCAGACGTCCGATTAATCAATTTTGTCTTTAACTAACAGCAAAAACATGTCATTGATAAATTTACTTTGTCAGATGGGCTTTTCATCAAAAAACCGCATAAAACAAAACACATTGTCGACTCTTTTCTTTGATAGTCTGCTACTGCTGTCTTTTCTTTTTCCTTCTATTCATTTTATGTAAGAGTTCACGATCAGATCAATTTCTCTCTATATATATATAGCCATTGTATCGTATTAAAGCAGTGAAGTTTATCCTGTATGACTCGATGTATATACATCAACGCACTTCGTTCCAGTTCACCGAACACATACATTTTGAATTTATAATGCGGTACAAGTGAATACAACGTGCAACACATGGTAGTTTGATTTTTCGCGTTTGCTTCTTTTTTTTTAACAATCTGACACATGCATTCGCGAGTATAATGATACAGTTGAGCAAATTTTGAATCAAATCAAAACGAATTACTCAGAGAAATTATCATTTCCATTGTAGATATCATCATGGGCGCGCGCCTTTCACGTTCAGATTTCCAATGGGTCTATACGGATGAACCACATACAACACGACGAAAAGAAATGCTTCGTGAGTTGATTTTCATTTTAACCGAAACATGTCATTTTGGACGTTCTCAAATAGAAAAATATCCACAAATCAAACAATTAATGGGTCACGATTGGCGTATCGCCGCTCAAGTTGTTGTCACCGTTTTAATTCAACTAATCATGGCAGTTCTAGTACGAGATCTACAATGGAAATACGTTTGGCTTTTCACTTATGTCATCAGTGGTACACTAAATCATTCTTTATCCATAAGCTTTCATGAGAGTACGGACATTTGCAGAAAGATAATGAGTTCTCAACGAGAATAGTCTTTTCCTTTAGTTGGCCATAATTTAGCTTTTGGAAATCATCGACCGTTAGCGAATCGAATTCTCGGTTATATCGCCAATTTGCCATTATGCATTCCATCATCTGTAACGTTCAAGAAGTATCACATCGATCATCATAAGTAAATGAAAGAAAAGATTACATAATGAAATTATCTATCTGATATGCGTTCTATTCAGATTTCAGGGCGACGATCTCTTAGATCCTGACTTACCAACATATTTCGAAGCATGGTTGTTTCAATCACGTATTGGTAAAGTCATTTATATTGCTGCCCAACCATTACTTTATGGTGTTCGACCATTATTACGTGTACCCAAACCATTAACATTACTTGAAGTTGTAAATCTTATTATTGAGTTTGTATTTGATGGCTTGGTGATGTATTTCCTTGGAAGAAAATCATTTGTTTACTTATTCTTCGGTACAGTGCTTGGCCTAGGACTTCATCCAATATCTGGACATTTTATATCTGGTCAGTGAGAATTTGACTGGAGTTTTTCCTTATGAAAATCGTTATCCTATTGTAGAGCACTATATCTTCGTTGAAGGCTACGAAACATACTCATACTATGGTCCTATGAACTATATAACTTACAATGTCGGTTATCATAATGAACGTATGCGACCTTTCTCCATCGAATGAATACGTTTGAAGAAAAATCTTTTTGAATTTAGATCATGACTTTCCCAACATTCCAGGCTATTTATTACCAAAAGTAAGTTATTCTTCTGATCTGGTCATGTTAAACACGAATACCGTTTGATTTAGTTAAAGAAAATTGCACCAGATTATTATGATAATTTGCCATGTCATACTTCCTGGATAAAAGTTATAATCGACTTCGTTCGTAATCCGGACTTAGGACCCAAATCCCGTATACGTCGTACGATGCGTTCGGATGCGTTGAGAGCAAATAATGCAATCGATTTCAAGAGCAAAACAAAAATCAATGAAGTTTTACACGACATCGACAATAATAACAATCATCAAACACCACATTTATCAAAAGAAGAAAGAATTTTAAATTACAAGAAGAAAATTTCTGGGAAAATGTCGGACAGCTCATCAACCGTAGAACATATGAATAACGAACATTCAAAACAGGAATGATAAAACAAATACAAAATATCTCAATCTTTGCATGTCTGTACTTTGTGTGTTGTTTATCGATTTTCTTATAAAACGTTTCCTTTTATTCATTTGAACACTACATGTTCTTTCATTTTGCAAACAATGATGAAATCTTAGAGACTATGCTTACAGTGTAAAGGACAAGAGAAATCATGTTTCGACTCCCGATATTTTATTTACTAAGACTGAGTAGTGTGTAGGAAGCAGATACCTTCAGTTTTAATTAGAAATTAGTCGCTTACGTCATTAACACATGCGTAAATATACAAATTGTTTTTGCGTCTCAAATCTGCAGAAAGTAGCATTAGTTTCTTCTCTTTCTAGGCGATCAACTCACTAATACTTTTATTTTTCTTTTCAAAATTCATTGGAATGAGGTAAAAACAAGATATTGTCTGTCCTTTACATCTTGTAATCATACTTTCCATCTCGAAGATTTCGGAAGCAAATGAACCATCGGTGTGTTCTTTGACATATACGCATAAATCATTTCTTTGTACTTTCTACTGCTTGTCGCTATTTCATCCGTATGTTCGTTGATACTTATACCATCATTCTATTTTCCCTTCTATTCATTCATAATCAAAGCAAAGCGTACTCAATGATGCTATCTTCTTCTATCTGTTGTTTTTCTGAGAAGAATTGTGATTTTATTGGCGTTCTTTTTTTCATTTCTTTCTTTTGCATTAAAGTTATAATTTGATGAAACAATGGAAGATCGACACATTACATGTACAACAAAGTGCGCCATACAAATACGAATCTCACATATTAGGTTACTCTTCATACGAATAGAGAACGAGGAAAAAATAAAACAGAAAAGTAAACAATAGGAGAAAAATCTGACATGACGATATTATTAGTAAGAACAAAGATCACCGATCGTACAAGTTTAACCTTAACATAGCTTCTAAACCGGAAGAAAAAATGAAGTGTCAATCTATTGGCAAATATCTTCTTCAAGACTAACAGTGAAAGTGGATAATAAAATGAAGTAACCTTTTATGTTCTATCCTCGCTTGCTAGCTTGCTTCACGACAGTTTTCATCTGTTGTTCGTATTCTTGTTGAGTTGGAACTTCAACACGACCGACTTTAGTGGGGCGAGTAACACGTGCCCATGGACCAACATTGTCATTCATGACGAAATCGTATAACACCTTAGTCCAACTAAAGCGAAACGAACTGTGATCGTCTATCGAGATTAATGGAGTAAAGCACGTACCTGGTGTAACATGGAAGATTGTCGTAATATTCGGGAGCAATTTTACGTATTTTTGGCAAATTTCGTCCTGGTATATACGGAAAGTCATGATCTAAATGAAACAATAGTCAAGTAGAATTAAATGAAAAGTTCTCTATCCCACTAACGTTCATTATGGTAACCAACATTATATGTGATCGCATTGAGTGGCCCGTAATATGAATATGTTTCATAGCCTTCTTTGAAAACGTAATGCTCGGCAATAAAATGACCAGAAATGGGATGTAATGAAAGACCAAGTGCTGTACTCAAGAGAAAATATGTTAATGTTTTTCCACCAAAAAAATAAAACATCAATCCATCGAACGTAAACGCCAAGATAAAGTTAACGATTTCCAAGACATGTATTGCTTTCGGAAAGACAAACATTGGCCGGAATGAGTAGAGAAATGGCATGATGATTAAAAATATCAATTTACCAATACGAGATGAAAATAAAAAGACTTCTAAACGTGTTGGAATATCTGTATCATAGATAAGATCACCTTGAAATCGATGATGGTCAAGATGATACTTCTTCAATGTGATCGATGCTGGTACACCTAGCGGTAAATTGGCAAAAAAACCTAATAAACGATTGCACATGGGACGTGAATGGCCAAAAGCTAAATTGTGTGTTAATTCATGTAATGCTAACGATAATGTATGGTTAATTGTTCCACCGATAACATATGCACATAAGAATAATGTCCACCAAGAAGAATTTCGCAGAAGTATTGCAACGAAAATCTGTATACAAACTGAAATGGTCACTTGGATTGACATACGCCAATCATGACCCATCAATAGTTTGATTTCGGGATATTTTTCTATGAAAAGAAAATGAATTTAATTTAATTTAACATTCGCAATTTACTGAGCATTTCCTTTCGACGTGTCGCATGAGGTTCATCAGTATAAACATGATAAAACTCATGTGTTGTTATGTATTGTCCCATTTGGTGTTGATCTGAAATTGAAACAACTGTTAATGCGAAATCAATGTATCAAATGATTCAGTTCGATATCGTTCGAGAAAACAAACCCTAATCTCTTCTAATGAAAGAAATGCACGTCGAAAGAATCGACTGGATTCAGCGTTTAGTCTTCGCTCGTTTCGATTGCTATCGAATTGGAGAATAGAAGAAAAGAACGACAGTAGAGACATCTAAACAGTACATCTGAGAAAAGGCATTTCTTCATGTTTTTTATTGGTTTCATCGATAGAAGGATATCGAAAAGGTGGTCTGATCTGTTGCGTACATAAAAGAAGACAATAAAAAAGGTTTTCAGTTACCCTCGATAATCGTTGCCTCAAGCAGTGTATTCAAATGTCAACACTGAAATTTCACTGATCTAGCCCGAGATAAATATCGGAACATGGCAGGTTCTTATTTCAATACATTCTAAATTGTCGTTGATACGAAAGAAGAAAAAAAATGAAAACTTAATCGAACACGATGACTTCCCTGATTCTTTTCTCCTACTATCACAGCTGTTACAAGCGTACTTTTGTCTGTACCATAACGTTAACGATAATATACGCTTACTCTCCAAGATTGAGTAGAACTATTTCCTGAACAAAATACTACTCGACTTCCCATATTGACATGTAGGGGTAAGAAAAACAGAAGTCTAATTACCAGATAGATTAACATATCCGTCGTAAGTTAATTCAAATAAGAAGTACTCGATTTGTTTGTCATTCGAATTTCTATTTTTATAAAAGAATAAGATGTCTACATATCTCTAATAATTGAAAGTGGTAGAATAAATCAAAAATAACAGGACATTTATTTTGAGAAGAGAACGAAGTGCAGAACTTGTCGTGATATGAAAAATTCAGACTATATATGGCGACTCGTTCGAAGTGCTACTGATATCTTCGTAATTAATAAATGAATGTGTTTTTAGGCAAAGTATTCATCTATTCTCTTATCGTTATCATCTCGTAAAAGACGTAATACTGTTGATAAATATTCTTGTTTATTCTCGAAGTTCTTTCACTGTTAGCGAAATTTCACAACGAAAATATCTGTGATGATTGGTGTGGTGTGCTTTGCATTTAGCATAGCTAAACGCATCTGATCGTATTTCAGAATCGAATGGCTACTGGAAAGTCAGTTAACTTGATACAGGATTATTCTTAACTGAGAATTTTAAACTTCTCTGAAACGATCTACGAGATAGAAGAAAAGCTTTGATTTTGAGTAGAAGAATTGAACATGACAGGCAATGCACTTGAACAATGATCTGATATTATGTTAAATTGTCTTTTCTTCTCCGCGATTCTTATCTTTTTTTTTCGATTTTTTTTTTATGAAAAGAAAATAGTAGAATACAGAAGTGGTTAGATAAGGTAAAAGCATGACCTTAGTCAAAGAAGAAGGAGACTACGTTATACTAATATTTATTGTATAAAAGTAAGTCTTTTTGTCTGTAATAAAAAGTTCTCGGATATGTCTAAAGACAGCGCGATACTCAACAGTATTGCCAAGGTTGATATCGTAATGAATGCTTGTAAAAAGATGATTAATTACCTACTTGTTCAACTTATTCATGGGTATTGCATCTCCGGTCGAAAAAAAACCATATGCATAGTTCATTCGATGTTCGATTGCATAGAACAGTTTTCTCTCCTGCCGCAAAACTCATCATATTATCATTTCATTTTTCTGTTCTGTACACACGGAAAGGTCATCACTGAGTCACTAATTCTCTTCTTTCTCCTTTTTTTTCCTGTATTTCTCAAAACGCCTGGCTGAATGAGTACAGTGAACAAGTATTCTCATTTTCTTACATTCATAACAACAGCTTTTCTTTTGTATTGGACGTGATGTGCATTCATGGCATTTATTCGACAAGTACAGTAAGAAGAAAATGACGATGAGCTAACCGTGCTTGTACTTTTCTTTCTTTGCATAGAGAATAGAAAAAAAGAATTCGAAACCTGTGCACCTTTTTTCTCTTTCTGTTATGATGGATAAAACATAAACTAAAAACTCTCCGTATTTATAAATCAATCATGTTCTTTTTTTTTTACTTTCTAGTAGTTGTTAACGGCGAGAATTTCATCAGGATTCAGCAGCACATCTGGTGAGTATTTGATTTGTAGTAAAGCGAAGAGATATCATGTGGTAATGTCAAGATTAGAATGAAACCGTCGATTAATGCTATTGTCGGAAGAAGTGAACAAAGTCTGTCCAGTGCTTTGGATAGTTTAACTGATATTCATGTTCGTTTTGCAACGGATAATGACGATGGAAATGCACTACTTTCTCATAGTGAAAATAAACGAAATAAGAAAGCTGCAAAACGAAGATCGAATACAACGTATGACCTTGATCGACAATTATCAACCACACAGAGTAAGATTGATCAATTTCAGGTAAAACATTTTCGTTTTTCTTCTGGATATTTGTCTCTATGAATGATATTGCTTATTGCAGGCTGCACGATATGGAAATTTAGAACAATTGGAGCACTTGTATGCACAAAATAAGTCGAATGCAAAAATCTTTTTCAGTCGATTAGATCCAGAGACAAAATTATCAGCATTACATTATGCTGCGCGCTTCCATCATTTGAACATATGTCNCTGCACGATATGGAAATTTAGAACAATTGGAGCACTTGTATGCACAAAATAAGTCGAATGCAAAAATCTTTTTCAGTCGATTAGATCCAGAGACAAAATTATCAGCATTACATTATGCTGCGCGCTTCCATCATTTGAACATATGTCGATTCCTTATTGAAAAATGTCATGTCGATAAGAATAAAGCGGGCGAAGATGGTATGACTCCACTTCACTACATTGCTCGATTTCGAGTGGAAAAAGACAGTGAAGTAAATAAAGACTTTCGCAAGAAACTTACAGTAGCGTTTCGATTACGTCAATTTAGACTCGAGAGTACAAAGAAGTGGTAGAATATTTAATCCAGTGCCGGGCTGATATCAATGCTCGAGATGATTTTGCTGCGACGTAAGTTAGAGTTGTTCTATTGAAAAAACCTTCATATGTACGATAGAAGATGTGAGTATCAAATTGAAGGAAAGTAAATATTTATAAAATGTTCTGAAATAAAATAAATTCGTTCAGTAAATATTATTATTATTATTATTATTGCCATTCAGCTTGAGTAAGGATATAACTCTTTACACGAAGTTCTGTTTTAGACCTCTCCATCATGCATGTGAACGTGACAATATTCTCTGTGCTCAGATACTTCTGTCAGCGAATGCAAATATTGAAGTCTGTGTTCAAATACGAATTCGTTTTAGAATTCGAGATGTTATTGATTACTTTGTAGGCAGCTGACCGTCAAGAAATGCATCCATTGCACAGTGCTTCTTTCTATGGCAGTGTTGAAACAGCTTATTTATTATTTCGACACGATGCTGATATCTTAGCTGTTGATAAAACGAACTCGATACCGTTTGCTCACGCTTGTCGTAATTCGCATTATGGAATCTTGGAAAAGTTTTTCACTTTTTTCAGTCAACATGAGAAAGCGAACGAAGTTATCGAACAGAAGGATGCAGAAGGCAACACTCTTCTACATTTAGCTGTTGCTTCAGCAAATGTTCAAATTGTTGATTTACTTCTATCGAAAAATGCGGATCCATCAGCAAAACGAGAAGATGGACAGACTCCTATACATTTATGCGCAAAGAACGATTCCGTGGAAATCCTGGAAAAATTAGTTGAAGCTAAAGGTGATATCAATGATGTGGATGTTGGAGCTGAAACTATTTTGCACAAAGCCGCTTCACATAATAAAGAAAATGTTCTGCGATATGTGCTATCTAAACAGGTAAGAACAAATGAGCATCGATTGACATCCATTTTGCTCGTCCATTTTAGACTAACACCGATCTTATTCAAAAAAAGAACAATGATGGAGCTACTGCACTACTTTCAGCTTCAACATTCGGTCATGCAAAATGTGTTGAACTTCTGCTAGAAGCTGGTGCTGATATGTTCAACGATCGTGATAAACGTGAACGTGGTCCTATCTATTTAGCATCATTCAGTAATCATGTTCAAACACTGGAAATACTTCTTCAATACGCAGAGCAACATGGTAAAACCGATAAAGAAAAACTAAGTGTCAATCAAATTGATCGCTATAGTCGAACGGCTTTACATGCTGCAGCTGAACTCGGCCATGTGGAAATTGTCAACGTTTTGTTGAGACGAGGCGCTTCATTGGCAATGAAGGATGATGATGAATACACACCGTTGATGTTGGCCTGTAAAAAGAATCGTCTAGATGTTTTGAAACTTCTTATTGAATACATCAGTGAACATTATCAAACAGCACGAGATAGACTTAGCTTTTTCGAAGAACGCGACGATGCATCGAATACAGGTAATTCACTAACAAGCCGAGAATTGTGTCACCTTTATTTCTATTTAGCTCTTCACATATCTGCTGCCGAAGGCCATTCTTCTATTATAAAACTTTTACTCGAACAAGGTTGTGATTTACGAGCGAAAAACATCATCTCGTCGTTACCGATTCATTGTGCAGCCGAACGAGGTCGCTATAACAGCGTTCGAACATTAATCGAGCAGCATAGTCAAATCGATCCAAATGACAAAAATGGTCAAACACCATTACATTTAGCTGCACGCAACGGTCATTCTGATGTTGTCAAGCTTTTACTAAAAAATGGTGCCCAAATCAATAAACGCACAACCAACGGTGACAATTGTCTTGATCTAGCAATTAACTATAATCAATACAATGTGGCAGAGATGCTGGTGAATGATCGTGATTGGGCATTGATTTTACGTAATGCTCGATATGATAAACAAACGAATCAATGGGATACACCCTTGCGAAAACTAATTCGTAAAAGGCCCGACATTGCACTTACTGTTCTGGATAAATGTTGCGCGATACGAACTCAAACAAAAGCTGAGCAAGTGTCGTCTGAGAACGATGATCCCAATAGCAAGACGAAGAAGAAGAAGAAACAAAAAAAATCTACTGTAGAAAATATTATCGAACTAGGAGAGCAGATGAATAATCAAGCTGCTGCCCTTGATGCCAGCGGCTTAACCAAAGATGTGAGCCAATTACAAAAAATGAAATTCGTTTACACATATGAGTTTCTCGACGATCAATTTGTAACTAGCTTATGGGAAACAGAGAAACGTAAGTTTTTTTAAATCGAATTATTGCTAATTCAACTTACTAAAATCGAAAAAATTAGAACTAACGGATGACCCTTTCGAACCGGATGGTCGACTATATCCAGGAATAATCGATCAAGTCTTAGATCGCAAAAGCTTGCAGCTCAATCATCCATTCACGTTGATGGTAGAAAAAAATTGTGAACAACTTCTTGATCATCCATTAGTACACTCGTTGTTAAATTACAAATGGACACTCTACGCACGTTATGTATATTACATTAACTTCTTATTCTACCTGTTGTTTGTTGCATCTCTAACAACGTACGTTTTCGTCGCGTTCGCTCCTTATCGTTTTGGTATCACACATGATCAAATGAAAGAATCCAGTTGTTTTGACCTGTGCTCTTTTGTGAAAGAAAATCGCACGGAAGAACTAGCAAATTTGCAAACACATATAACTACCATACATGTATTTCAATGGATTGTTATTGTTTTGGCTGCGATGCAGATTGTGAAAGAACTCTTTCAGGTTGTATCGGAACGTTTAGATTATATTAATCTAGAAAATGCAGTCGAATTATCAGCATTTATCTTAGCTATTATATTCGCTGTTGATTTGAATTCATGCTCGAGGGAGATTGGCTACCGATGCGTGGTTCAATGGCAAGTGGGTGCACTAGGAGTATTCCTAGCGTGGTTTGCATTGGTTTTATTTATACAAAAATTTCCACGATTCGGTATATTTGTTGTCATGTTAACGGATATTCTACGAACATTTTCTCGATTCTTTCTCGTATTCTTCCTGTTTATTATTGGTTTTGCATTGGCTTTTCATATGTTACTACAAAACCACAATCCGTTTCAACATTTCGGAAATAGTCTTTTGAAAACTTGTGTAATGATGATCGGCGAGTTCGAATACGAAGGTTAGTTGTTCGTTGTTCACCTTCTCAACTTCATTTTCTGTTCGATAGGCATCTTTCATGGCGATGACGCCAATTATTTTGGAATAACTTATTTCTTTTTCATAATATTCATCATTGTCATGTCTATCATCATCATGAATTTACTTGTTGGTTTAGCTGTTGATGATATTGCTAGTGTAATGCGCGTGGCCACTGTGAAGCGTTTGGAAATGCGAGTGAAATTAACTTTAGACGTCGAACGACAACTACCATTCAAACGCTTTTTTTCTTCGATTCGTCGGTATAGAACGATTACTTATCATCCAACATCTTGGCAGAAATTCTTCAAGAAAGTATTCCGTGTCGATATTCAAACTGAGTTTGACAAAAACCTTGCTCGTCTGGAAGAGCGTGGTTTAATTCCAACGGCAGGAAGTCAAGATTCAAAGACAACGTCAACGACTGGACCAAAACTTGACGATAGAACCAAATCAACAGCTGCAGCAATTGGTAGCAGTGGAGTTGGATTGCCGGCAGATTGGCTTACAACGATGCATACGCAAATAAATACAAAATATCATGAATTCAATCGACACATGACAGATTTGAAGGCGCAACAAGAGAAAATTAACAATATTCTACAACAATTTCCAGCAGCTACAGCCAGTCGCCAAAGTTCCCGTCTTACATTTGCTCCTACAAGTGTTTAGGTTATTCGAATCGGTTGCTTTTTCTTAATTTCAGAATAAAACTTTATTCTTGATACAATATAGCAGAGATTCTGTTATGGATGAATTGCATCTATGCATTTTCGAGAAAAATATTGCAAAAGTACTCACAGATGAACTCTATTTATAGCAGAAATACATTGTAAGTAAACATTCGACTCGTTTCTCTTCCTTTCGAATACATTATATCGAAAAATTTTCTTTCCAATCAAATATTCCCCAATTGGTTAAAAATAGGAGAAGAAAAAATGGAATCGGATTGATTATATTACATATAAATGTATGTATATTAGATTGAGTTTTTCTTTTGTTTCTATCATAGAAAATTTCATTGACGAAAAAAAGCAACAATGAAAAAATATAAAGCAAGCAAATGCAAAACAAACGACAACAATAAGAGACAGAGAGAGTGAGAAGAGAAAATGATCAGTGTCCTGTCTTTCGTGATTATTTCGCATGATGTCCATTGTTACCATTCATATGTATTCTCATATGTCGATTAAGATTTCCCGATTGTGAAAAACGAAGATGACATAATGAACATTCGTATGGTTTTTCTAGAAGGAAAAATAACAAATTATTGTCCAATGTTTTCTAATAAACAAGATTTTTTGCTTTCTCTTACCTCCACTATGCACTCGCATGTGTTTCGTCAATGTTGAACTATCTGAAAATGCTTTTCGACAATATTTACATTGATATGGTCGTTCACCCGAATGCGTTCGCATGTGTGTGGTTACAGATGAGCTCTGAGAAAATTTCCTACCACATATATCACATGAAAATGGTTTTTCTCCTGAATGTGTACGCAAATGAGCAGTTAAATTGGCTGCTTGTGTAAATGCTTTATGGCATTTATCGCATTTGTATGGCTAAAGATAAGATCATAGTTCTTTGGACAATGTACGATAGAAGATCGAGTTTACCTTCTCGCCGGAATGTGTTCGTAGATGAGTTTTCAATGTACTAGGCCGAGCATAGATTTTACCGCATATACGACAACGATTGACGCGTCCTTCGTTAGTTTTGTTCATTGAAGATTTCGATGTCGATTGAGTTTGTAACCATGAACTATAAAAATAAATAGGACGTGTAAATAAACTACGCCATGATAGAAAACAGGATAAGTTACCTTCGTTTGTCATTCGATCCGGACGATGATGATGATGGTGTTGGGAAAAATTCACAGAATTTCGATAGATCCTTATAATCGTAAGCTGTCGCTGCCGATAGAAGCATGGCTTGTTTAGTGCTGACAGAATCCGAACGACTTTTTATATCTGTTGACATCGAATTATGATGGTAGGATGATGTAACTGGATGATGGCGATTCGATGTATAGAATGGCTCGTATGGTATATTGGCTGAAGTTGTTGCTGACGGTGTGGGAACATTATAACCAGTCGAATATTGAATATTATGTGAATTGAAATTCATGGAAACATTAACATTCATTGGTGTTGATAAACTCAGAGCCGATTGCAATGCTGCAGCCGCTGTAACAGCTGATTCCGGTTTGATTGAAGGTGAACTGGAATTTACCGGTGGTGGTGACGGATGATGGGCCATGTACGGTGAATAGACCGAGGCTGCAGCAGCCGCAGCCGCTGCACTTGATGATGCATAGGAATCCATAGCTGCATCTGTATAATACGATGCTGGATCATAGTAAGGATGATGATGATGATGGTGATGATGTGGATCGGAGAAACGAAATGGAGCATACTCGTGATGTACAACCAAGTCATGCGGATGTGAATGATGATCACGCCAGGGCGAAATAAAACCTCTGTGCAGAAGAAGAGAAAAAAAGAGAGTATGAAAATTAACTGATAAGATTCAAAGACTTTATCTTAATAGGAAAAAAGAGGTATGTCTTTCTTCCTTTGAAGTTCTCTTCTTTTGGTTTAACTTACCCATCAAATGAAGTAGGAGGATCTGTGGCAGCCGCACGCCAAAGTGATGACGAAACATCAACTGAAGACGAATCCATGTTGGTGCGATTTACTGCTGTCATTATGTTTTAGAGATTCGAAGACTAACTTATATTGTCGATACAATTATTACATGAAAACACGACTAATCACAATTGACGAATCGAATCTCGTCTATATGAATGTTTGTATTATGCCTTTTTTTCCTTCTTCTCTCTTGTGCAAGAAGACTTACTACCTATCCAAATGAGATGCATAATCAAGCAGAGGGAGAGAGAGAGAGAGAGAGAGAGAGAGAGAGGAAAAGAGAGAAAGAGAAAGAGAGCGATAGAGAAATTTTCTCACTCTCTTTCTTTTTCGAGTATGATGATGAAGCGCACCTATTAGAATCGAGAGATGTTTTTAATGATGTTGTTCGACACACATGATGAAATGTTATTCTTTCCTTTGCTGTGTCTCTCCCGTCTCCTTCTCTCACTCTCTCCATGTTTGCTTTTGACAATTGGTCCAAAAGGAGAAAAAAATTCAATAANTTCATCAACTCAATTTGATGTATGCCTTCGAGGGTACAAGTATACACCTGACTGTCGGAGAAATGAATACTGATTACTTCGGCTCGTGCTTACAAATTCATATGCATATGATTGTCTTCAGAAAAATAATGAAATGTTCAAAATGATTGTTGTGAGGATTCATCTATATATGATATTTGTCAATATCATTATGATTAACTTTTTTTTTCATGACATATATATTCATCTGCACTACTTTTGCAGTTGATCTTACCGAATAATTAAGAATGACAAGAAAAGAAACCTTATGAGAGCTTCGGGTGGACGGGAGCGAATATATGTATGCGTTATTGAGAAAATTTAATCATCGAAATGCAATATTTCTTCATCCTGCAGAATGGAGACATGAATTGTTCGAAGAACGAATTTGTAAAGTTTTCTATACAATAAGAGTACAACAAGTCCTATCAAGTAGAGAGCTTGTAACGTTTCTCTCACTTGAAGAAGCAGTAAAAACTAGGATGTAAATTATTTTCAATCCACTGGAACTAGAAGTTACGTGTGAGCAATATGCTTTTTTAAAAATATATCTTGAGAACTGTATTAATCTACGTAGAAGTTTTTGTCTCTGGAACAAATATTGAAATGAACACACAGATGTCACTATGATACGTTTGCATACAGTACTTACTTATGATTCAGTGATCGAAGGTACCAATAGAATAATTTCCAATGGTGAACAAAGAGACAAAACCTAGTATAGACAGATATTTGTTTGTTTCATTTCAATAGAAGAAAACTTCAATAATGGGTGCCCAAAAAGAGAATGGAGAAGGTAAACTAGTTGATGATTTGCATTTGACTAAAGCAAAGGTCTATGTTTCTTCCGTTTTAGGTGAATTTGAAGATAATATTGAAGAGAAAACAATCAACGAAGAATATAAAATCTGGAAAAAGAATGCACCTTTCTTATACAATCTCGTCATAACTCATGCACTCGAATGGCCAAGTTTGACCACTCAGTGGTTGCCTCATGTTCGAACGTAGGAAAAAATTCGAAATGGTAGAAAGTCTTCTGAACTAACTTTTCTTTTTTTTTTTAGCGAAGAAGGCCGAGATTTCAGCACACATCGTTTGATACTTGGTACACACACGTCCGATGAACAAAATCATCTCGTCATTGCTAGTATACAATTACCGAAAGAGGATCTTGAATTAGATAGTTCGCACTATGACAATGATAAAGCAGAATTTGGTGGTTTTGGTTTGATCAATGGCCGCATTGAAGTCGATTTGAAAATTAACCATGAAGGCGAAGTCAATCGTGCACGTTATATGCCACAAAACCCTCAAATCATTGCGACGAAAACACCTTTATCCGACGTATTGATATTTAATATTGATACACATCCATTGAATAAAGAGCAACCGGGTGAATGCAATCCGGAATTACGTTTAAAAGGTCATTCCAGAGAAGGCTATGGTCTGTCATGGAACGCCAATGCCAATGGACATTTACTCAGTGCAGCTGATGATCAAACGGTGTGCTTATGGAATATTAACATGCAACCGAAAGAAGGAAAGAATTTAGATGCTCTGTCAATCTATACAGGACACACCATGGTGGTCGAGGTACCGTTGCAAGAATGCCGCTATCACAGCGAGCTTCCATGTGTATATATGTATATGTTTTAGGATGTCGCATGGCATTGTACACATCCAACAATATTCGGTTCGGTTGGTGATGATCAAAAATTGATGATGTAAGTCGATTTTGAATCTGGTGCTGATCTACTTTCTTGATGATCCTAGTTGGGACACACGATCAAATAACTATGCTAAAGCCAGTCATATTGTTGATGCTCATTCAGCTGAAGTTAACTGTGTAAGTAATGAAACTCTTGATTCCAAAAATGTCTCATTAGATCTCGTTATAGATTGCCTTTAATCCATTCTCGGAATACGTACTTCTCACAGGTTCTGCAGATAAAACACTTGCCTTATGGGATCTGAGAAATTTGAAAGTTAAATTAGCGACATTTGAATCGCACAAAGACGAAATCTTTCAAGTAAGCAATTTAGAAAGTTCAAGACTAGTTTTCGTTCATGTGCATTATGTATTCTTCAGGCACAATGGTCACCTCAAAATGAAACAATTTTCGCGTCGAGCGGTTCTGATCGACGACTTCACATATGGGATTTAAGGTAATAGTAAAGATCAAAGATAAAATGCTTATGATGATCGATGAAATTTCTTTGGTAACTGTAGTCGTATTAATCAATCGCAAACGCCAACTGAAGCTGAAGATGGTCCACCGGAACTCTTGGTAATAAAACTTCATTCTTTATCTGTTATAACCTTCGCGTTCTTTTTCTCAACAATAGTTCATTCATGGTGGTCACGCTGCTAAAATATCTGACTTTTCTTGGAATCCCAACGAACCATTCGTCATCTGCTCGGTTTCTGAAGACAACATGGCTCAAGTTTGGCAAATTGTAATATGATTTTTTTTCTCAGAAAAACACAGATCTAACGGATTGCGTCTTTTTGTTTCTTATAGGCTGAACATGTATATAATGATGATGTAGGAATGGAAGCGATATCCGGTGATCGAGGTGAAATTGCTCCACCGGCTACAGCAGCAGCTGCAAATGGATCTTAAAAAACAATAATAGTTTTTCTTTTCTTCTTTGTTGTGTCTAGTATAAATCTGTTTCTCTGTCAATGTGGTTTTTTCTTCTTTATCTGTATTCAAAATACGACAAAACAAGAGATAAATAGAAATCTATTCATTCATCTCCATGCCGATGATTGTTTCGTTTTTCCGAAAGGCATACCGGTTTTCGATATTAACGGCACAATACCACCTCGTGCTTTCTGCTCACGAAAGTCTTTGTCATTCAATTCACACGATGCTTGATCTTCATCATAGAGCACATCAAAGTTACCGAGAGCTTCAGGTGACGATGAGATATTAGAGAATTTCGTGCGTATGTCAGGAATATCGCCATTGGGTACAACGATATTGAGAATATCATTGATAAGTTTAAATTTCATGATACGATCGTTTGCTGTTGTAGACGTCAACGATGGCGATGCATTGACTTCGATCAACCAAGGCTTAAGATTATCATCGATAATGATGTCTATGATTGTATAAAGTCATATTATCTCTTGAAATGAATTCATATTACTTACCGTATCCGTAGCATTCAAAACAATGTCTATCACTGGTAATAACAGCAGCTGCTGCACGTAAAGAATGAACGATAATCCAAGATATTTCATCGAACAATCGATCTGTTAGCTATTTGAACGAGGAAACATGCTTGCAAATTGAAAATTGCTCATTTAAAATTTTCCTTACTTTCTTTCCACGTGTTCCTTCGAGATACAACCGTAGATTGTCAATCGACCATTTTCCTCCATGAATAGAATTATAATCTTCCTAGAATAGACCTGTTCCTGAAAATGTCATCCCATCTATTTCCTTACACTCTGCTTTTGATAGGAAACATTGGTTAAATGTACAAACATATTGTCAATATCGTTGGTTGACGGTATATACTTCACTGTACAAAATCGACCGAACCCCAATCGATATCTAATGTAAAATAAACTTAGAATAGATGCCATAAAATTGTTTTTTGGAAGAGAATTACAAATAACATTTTAGTGGTTTGAAAGACGTCACAAGAACATATAAACGTAGATCAAATTTTTTACCACCGATTAACAGCGGATTATCGATGTATTTCGATATAACGTAAGTTTCTCGCGGTTGTGCAGCTAATTAGAGATTTTGATGAAATAATCGAAAAAATCTTCAAAACTTCTTACCCGATGGTACTGATTTTCCATCACGTGACCATTTTTTAATTTGAGACATTTTATTAATCAAAAATATACCTTTTCCTTGTGCTAAAAATCATCGATAGAGTATTGAAACAAGAAGAATCTAGCAAACCTCGTCCAGCTGGCTTCATAATCCAAGTATGGTTAGGATCACGACGAAAATCATCAGCAAATAAATTGTAATCTGCAGGCATCATATAAGTAACTGGAATGAAATCTAAGAGTATAAAAGGCAAGAAAGATGATGACCGATTATTGATTTGAGTGAATAACAAGCAAAGATTTTATACCTAGATACTTATATGAACCATAATCATCTTTCTCGGCGAGCAGATTTCCATCTTTCTCAAGTTCACGACGATATCGTTTAATATTTTTAACCATCAAATCTTTTCTCGTGAGTTCATAATGATTTGGGAAATGATTGATCACTCTATAGAGAACCAAATTTCTAGCAATTCTACTCAAATTGTTTATTTACTGATTATCAGTTAAACGTGGATGGTCATTCGATGGATTAAATATTGCACGAACAGTAGTAACGGATGCCCTACATTGAAAAATGATTTACTTTCTGACTGAAATCCACATAAAAAAGCTCTAAGAACAAACCAATAGAAATTCCAGTCCTCATCTGAATTCACTGTCATCCAAAAACGCTTGTCAAAATTCTGGGTCAACACAGTCTTATCCAAATCTGTGCAACAGCGAACACGTGCCATTCTTGTTCTGTTTCCCAGTCAAGAAACTTCAGGTGATTCGAAGAAGAAAAAAGTATAATTCATCATTGTGTTGGTTTCTATGGCTATGACCTCCTGATGTTCAAGAAACATGTAAGCGTTACAGATCTTTTATACACGTGTTAAATGCGTAAACTGTCCGAATTGAAATAAAAACGACTTTTTCCTTTGGAAGTGTACACCGTTCTTTCGCCGATAGATAAACCAAATTTTTACAAGTTTATCCACATCATGCTTCAGATAAAAAAAAGTCATGATAGACGTTTGTTATATTGTTAAGTAAAACTATATGGTCTGATCTTTTCCATTGTTAGTTTTACGAAACTCAAACATCCATCTTACACTACAATAATAAATGAAAAAAGCCTCGAAATCTGGCTGTAATCCTATTTTTTGCGACAGGTATTATCTCTAATAATGTATGAAATGATCGATTTTATATGGATAGACACTTGCTGCATGCAAATGTGAGATGCGTTCATGAAGAATTGTAAGATTAGTCGTACGACTGCTAGCGTCATCTATAAGGCATTGTTATAAATGCTTTAGATTGTGTATTCTGCGTCCATATATGATTTTTCTTTCAGATAAAAAGTTTCAGTGATGATTTTTAATTAAACTGCTCTTTCTTCGTATTTCACATCTTGCATCTGAAGAGCTTTTCGAACATATGAATCATTCAATTGACACACTATTTGTTTTTTCTAATCGCTTGTTTCTATCTTTTCTTCTTGTAGAACAATTTAACTGATAAATATCTTTCTGAGTAATTCAAAATGGTAAATTAAAACAAAGCTAAAAACGCTTTTCTTTGTTATATATACGTTCTGTTTATTATAGTTCCGCAACCAATATGATCACGATGTCAGCATTTGGAGTCCTCAAGTAAGAAGATGATGACTTTGTTTCTGCCCATGTTAATCTATGTGTGTGTTCAGGGAAGACTTTATCAAATTGAATACGCCATGGAAGCAGTAAAACAAGGAGCAGCGACCGTCGCTCTTAAATCAAAAACTCATGTTGTTCTCTGTGCGTTGAAAGTAAGATATTCCTACTGGGAATGTTATTCAAACTTTAATCCTTCGACGTTCTTTAGCGTGCACCATCAGAATTATCGGCACATCAAAAAAAGATCATGTTTATCGATGATCATATTGGTGTCTCAATTGCTGGCCTAGCATCAGATGCTCGTATTCTTTGGTATAGTACATCGATGATGATTCACCTAGATAAATTTCAATAAATCATCGCTTCTTTTTTTACTTCTAGCCGCTTCATGCGTACTGAATGTATTAATCATCAATATGGTTTCGATAAACCAATGCCAGTCACTCGGCTCATGGACCACGTTAGTAACAGTAAGTTAAATCATTCGTTTGGTGGTCAAAACCAGTATGTATCCGTCCGATTCAATTAGAATGTCAAGTTCCAACTCAACGTTACGGTCGTCGTCCATTCGGCGTTGGTTTTCTCATGGCTGGTTATGATGTAGGCTTTCTATACAAAACTCCTCTTTTTATCCCCCAACTCTTTTGATTACGTAGGAGAAAGGTACGCACTTGTATCAATTATGTCCATCAGCAAATTATTATTCTTGCAAATCAATGGCCATTGGTGCACGTTCTCAATCTGCACGTACCTATCTCGAAAAGAATCTAGATAAATTTGCTGACAGCAATCAAGATGAACTAATTAAACACTGCATGAGAGCATTGCGTGATACATTACCGAATGAGGTTGAACTTACGGTTAAGGTGAGTTCGATTCGGGAAACAAAATGAATGTTTGTAAACTTTCTCTATTTAGAACTGTGCTGTGGCTGTTGTCGGAAAGGATACACCATTTGCTATCTTAAATGATGTACGCGTTGATACTTATTTGAAAGCCATCGAAGGTGACGAACGTGCTCCTCAAGCACAAGATGACACTTTAGTAAGCAGAATAGCCAATCAACAACTGAAAGAAATACATGTGATCATATCATTTTAGGTTACTGGTGAAGATGACTTACCACCTCCTCCACCTGGTGGCGCTGGTGGAACTGTCGATCCACGGGTAGTTGTTGCAACGGAACGTATGGAATCGTAAACATAATTGAAAAAGAAAAATCTTAGTTGAAATCGTTATTTGTTAAACATGAACATGATTTTTTAAAAACAAAAGAAAAATTCTTTTTTTGTTCTTCTTCTACTTCAACTTCTCTGCCTCTGTTTTTTAGATCGAAAACAGTCTTGTACAATAGGACTATGTCGGTATTGGATACTTTAGCATCACAAATTCCTCAGGAATTGCGTGTTAAACTCATGCAACACTTCGGCATCGCAAAAGAGTATGAAAAAAATCCAGAAACCATATCAATTACATACTATTGTTTAATGTACATTGCTAATGAAGCATTTAAACTTCAAAAGGAAAAACAGTTCGTTTCAAACGTTCTCGATTATCTCGAAAGTGTGAGTATAAAGAAGCGCTGTTCAAGCAAGAAAGTGAGCTCCTTCGTATTTAGACCAAACGAAACAATCCACATGACGAAATCATTAAATCAATGGCCACCGGCCAAGCAACCATCGAAGAGTTAATTACTGTTCTGGTCGGTGAAACCAATGAAGCCGAAGATGAAGAAGTTAGAAGTGCAGAACAGTTACGTTTACTTATGAGAAAACATTATACTGTTGGTGGCCTAACAGATGTTCTATCTGTTTTTGGACCGGTGAAAGATGATGTAAGTCTGGAAAAGAAAATCGCTGCCCATCGTCATGTTTTAAATTAATCTTTTCTATCGGTATAGTTTGCAACACTAGGTAAAATCGCTAAATCACGAGCAGTGGCTATTTTTCGTGAATTGAAAAGTGGTGGAGGTGCTGCAGCCAGTGGTGGCGCTGGTTCATCAGGAATGAAACCACGTAAGAAACCTGTCTGGAGTATGAAAGTCCTTTAGGTAAACTTTAAATTGATTTAGCTGAACATAATACCAGTGCTGGTGCTCGCGCATCTTCACCTTCGAAACCACCATCAGCAACAGCAGCAGCACCACAACCACAAATGCCGCAAGTACCGTCATACTATGACCAAAGTGGTAGTCATAAAAGTAAATACACGCAGATCTTTTAATGAACGATCTGTGAGACATAAGATGTAAACGAATTGAATGCATTTTATTTTCTAGGCGTTCCATTCGATACTATCAGTCAAGCACAGAAACTATGCCGTTATGCTAATTCTGCTCTCGAACATGAAGATGTAGCGACTGCAATAAAAAATTGTGAAGAAGCTATCCGATTACTTCGTCCCTATAATAATTAAGAATATTGATCGACAATTTTGAACTAAAACGATACTATCCATCCTCATTCTGTTTATTCATTCTCTTCATTGTCACTCTTTCTACATTTTTCTTTTCTCCTCTTTTTCTTTGAAATGATGCTTGTATAGCAAAAGAACAACAGTAACCCTGGAACATCGAGCTCTTCTGTCGATTATTAAACGGGCAGATTTTATTTTATTCCTGCTAAAGAACAAAACAAAGAATTTTTCTGTGCCTTATTCGATGCAACCATGTTCTTTATCGGTGAAACATACGAAACACAAAATAAAGCGTTAATTCTCGTAATGACGCATCATGAATGATTCATTCTCGCTCGCCCATCATATTTATATATATATATACATATAAACAAAATATTTTTATTAACAGTTCTGTGTATTTGTAGATCGTCTTTAACGTTAACATTCGAGTAATTATGGAAGAAACTGAATTGTTATTAGATGACGTTCTTTCGCCAGCTGAAATTGAACGCTATCGTGCCGTTTACGAGAAAGCCAAAGAAGCGAATCAAGTAACCGATGAAAACAAATTCTCGTTCGCTTACTGCCTCGTGCGAAGTAAAGCCAAGCCTGATGTCCGTGCTGGTCTTTCGTTACTTCGAGAATTATATGACGGAACGAAAAGCGACGAGATTAAACGTGATTATATCTACTACTTAGCTTTCGGTAAGATCTCTTCGGAAATCGATTCGGCATCAGCTACATTTTACTGTTTAGGCAATGCTCGATTGGGTGAATTCGAAGCAGCATTGAAGTTTCTCGATGCAATTCTTCATCTCGAACCCGGTAATCATCAAGCAAAAAAATTGAAAGACGAAGTTACACGACGTATGGATCGTGACGGATGTATGCCAATAGAATTTGTATAGAATCAAAGAAAGACTAGATGAGTTTTAGATGTTGGCATGGGCATTGCTGCAGGTGCAGGTGCATTACTTATCGGAGGTAAGAGGACGAGTCGTGCGCTTTGTCGTACTAGAATTTGCATTACTCTAGGAGTAGGAGGATTATTATTTGCTGGAGGTAAGAATGAGATTGCAAATTCTAAGAACACTTTCGCAATCAGTTGAATCTGTTCGAATGATAGAATAGAAAATAAATGTGTTCTTTTTAGGTCTAACGGCTGCTGCTATAGCTCTTTTGAAGAAATGATTTATTATTCTGGGCGATTTAAATGTTGTTTGTCGCGCACAAAAATAATTCCGATTGCTTTATATATAAGTGTATACATATAAAATCCTATATTTTATTTAATATCGACGTTTTTTTTCTTTTAATAAAAAACTTTTCTAAATAAAAACAAATACTTTAACAAATTTTATATGGTGCTCTCCATTTCGGGCCAGTTACTTGATGAACACCACGACAATACATATATAGATTCGAATATTCATTCAGTCGTCGATAACTCGCCCATTGACTGAAACCACTCGGAGAGCGAACAAGTACGTCACATTCGCCTAAGAAGTAAAATTCTGCTATCACTTTCAGAAAACCAGCTTGTAGTGTTTTGTCTGATTCTTTTCCTCGGTCATAGCGATCGATATGAATGATCGGACCAAATATACTTAATATGCGCTTGCTGTCATAGTGTCGATAGATATCATTGATAACTTTAAGGGAATCGCTCGTGACAAATATCGAAGAATTGCGCGAGGTTAAATTGCGATCGATAAATTCGATCATATCGCGTCCTAGGGATTGTCGAAAGGGACGTTTTTCGTCTTCGGGTATGGTAGGATTTTGACCAAGACGGACATGCATACATATGATTGACTGACTGGAAATTTGCGCAGCTCTTGCAAATAGTCGATCGATTTGATTAATGACGATTGATGTTGGCTTGAACAGAAGTTCGAAAATGAACGAAAAGAAAGTGTGCGCATTCGAATGATTAGATTGTAGATTAATCTGGGATCTAACTCGTCGAAAAAATGGATTTTGTAAAGTTTGTGTAATATAATCATCATTGGTAGTAAGAAATATTTCATCATGCTTTGCCCACAGTTGACGTAAATCAATCGTTGTAAGTTTTGGATATAATTCATCAGCATAATCGTCATGTATTAGGTCTAACATTAGAGGAGGCTTTCGTGGATTTCTGTGAGAATTTCGTGTCCAATCGATTAGATTGGGTAGAAGAAAGTGTGATAAATCACAAGGATATTGCATATCGATAGTAAAACGACGTTCTAATAAAGCGGCGAGAATGTATGTGGAGACAATTCCACGCACACGGTCACCCCATCCGCCACAATATTTTGAGCAAAAGTAAGTGAGATTTTGAGTGGCTGTTGATTGAATATGACGTAGTTTAGTAATATTAATATAAGAAAATTGTTGACCGAGGTAGATCAGACGTTGATTTAGTCGTGATTTGAATACAGAGGCGTCTTCTTCGTACAAAACTTTGCGTGTACTCGGGCAGATAGTTGGTTTACTGGAAGTTATACCATTGGTATACAAAAATAAATATGCGAGAGCTGATAATGACATTGATATCAAACATAAAAGAGGTAGCGTAAAATAACGTCGTAGCATTTCTTCTCGTATAAAAATGAGCTATTTGATACTGATATGTCTGACACACGCTTGTCATCCGTTGTAACTGATCTAGATCAAAGAATAATCGATTAACTAACAAGAATTGTCTATATCACTACTTGACCACTTAGTGAGAACAGTTCTAAAAATGAAAATAATTATCAGATCAAGGCCATTGATTTAGTGTTGAAAGCAGCGTTGTTATTCATCTAATGAAAAACGACTTAAAATTTACAACGACCATGCAGTTTTATATCTACTTAGTTGTTCTTAAGATATGTTGTTCGAGCGCACGCATAAGATAACAATTTATAGTCAATAAGTGTCACTCAGAAATCAAATTCATCGGCTAGAACGCTAACATATTAAGCTGAAAAAAGAGTTTTTTAAAGTTTGACGACACCTACGCGAATATTAGATTTCCTAGACGAATATTCCCTTTCAGATTAGTTCGTAGCATGACTTAGAGTAAAGTGGCATAACTGTAAAGTATTTTCGTGATTTTTTTAGTACTACCCTCACAAATAATCTTCAAAGTATGTTTTTTACAGGGATACGTGTCACCGATTATAGCTTACGATCTGCTGAATTGGTATGTGCCAGAATTTTTCTCTAATATTATTTCACTAATGAGAGCAGTTAATTATAATTATGCTCAGTAGAAAAACAAGGATTTATCCAATTGCCCTCGATGAAGTACTTGGTAAACAGGTAAAAAATATACACCTGCGAGTTAAATTCAGATTATTCTTGCAAAGACCGGTAGAGCAACAGCTACTGTACCTAAATCTCAAATTTCATGAAAAAATACTCAGATTTAAAAAAGCTATACGAAATACAAAAGCAGCGATGGAAAAAACCTATATAATTATTCGACTTTACTCTACGGGATTCATAGAATAACAGTAAAGAATATTTTTTTCGAAGTCTATAGGTAAACAGCCTTGAGCTGTCGACACTTCCTCATTTGTCAATAGAATCTAAAATAGTCTCAAATTTGAATGTCGAAGCTGTTACCTACCTTCAAAACATATAATCAAAGTCTGCTCGCGCGTAGAAAGGTCACCTATGCATATCACTAAAACATAAGAACATATTTACCGATCATTGAATGATTGTAAAACATACACAAGTATATCCGATTTCTAGACATAAAGATAGAGGGCAGATCCGAGTGTCGGCAAGATTCTAGAAAGTGAGCTTCCGTATAATAACTAAGCGTTTCACTTTTCACTGTTAAAAAAGTTTTACATGAATATGGATACGTCTCGCTTGATAATTGGCGCGAAAATATACGATAGCTCAATTTCGAACTAAGATATGACTAAGTGTTTACGATCAGCTAACATCCTACGAAGAGGTATGCATCAAAAGGCATATTGCGTAAGAAAGTATTTCTTTGACGTATGAAAAGCAAATATTAGCTATATGTATTAATTTCTAAACCAGTTTTAAAATCAACTCAATCTCTCGAATGTATGCGATCTCAATACATCCGTACCGAATTTACACTATTTATTCTGGTAGAGGTAATTAAATTCACGTATGCTTAGGCATTCAAGTAAATTTTACTTTGCATAGATTTTAACATACGCAGAACATGTGATACTTTCGTCATCGGATTGACAGCGTTAAAACGTTGACGAATCACGATAAATACGATCGTGATTATCTCTGTTGAAGTGTCTCTAATTATTTAGTAATACGTATGAGATTTCGTAACTCAGCCATTCTCTTTACTGGCGATAATAGCGGTGATTTGCTTCATGAGAAATTATTTTCTCGTTTCTCTATCCTTGCTCAGCTTTTTTTTAGAACAACAGAGAAAAACAAATTTTTTGCTTCCGTTGCACCATAAACATCATATTAAATAAATTACTCGATTAAATACAAGTTCAAAAATTCATATAAATACTCGCGCATATCTTTTTCGATGCAGTAGAATCCTTTAGACTGATTGTTTTCAGAAAAAAAATCTATTAATTATGTTTTCATTGAAGAAATGAATCTAACGAAATACTATACATTATTCATTATCATCACTTGGTGTACAATTTTACATCTCGTCATCAATGTGTGTGTCTATCGAAGATTTTCTTCTCTAAAACATCAGTTATCATGCGTGATCGTTGGGTTCAATGTTGATCCTATTACTATCCTTATTGAATCACCACACACCTCACTTGTTTGTACTGACATCTTGGTCGGTGCCAAAACAGGAAATAATGAATTTGATCAATTATTACTTGCTACTGTCCTAGATGAACAAAATCAACCGGTGGTCAACGTTTCAGTCCATTACAGTTATTTGATTATTCATCAGTAACGACTGTTCGTTATACAAATCGTTCTGGTCATGTCAAATTTGATTATTTACCACGAGATTCTTGTGGATTTGTCGAAGCAATCTGTCCGATCTCTAAACGTTACACATTCATGGAGATAAACACTCGCCGTGATCGAAGCGTAACTCTCATTTTAAAAGAAAAGGTATCAATTGATTATGAGGAATATGATCCGTTCGATCAGGGTTATTATGCCGTATAATATCGAAGATAGAAAGTGAAATATGTGCTGCGTTATTCTATTTTGATCTGTTTTACAAATAAAATGTTCTGTCATACATGAGAAGCATGCGCAGGTGTTGATCTGTGAATAAGATTATTTGTATCACTTGTTTGCTGTGTTTCGTCAGTTTTCGAAAACGTCGTTTTTCTCTCTAAGCGATCGATCGCTGCTGCATGTGATAAACGACGTATACGTTGTTTTTGTAATGGCCAATAATCCACACTATTGGCTTTTTCATCAAAATCAATTCCAGTTATGGATATTCTTAAATTTCGTCGCATCACTTCACGAATGTTTTCGTTTAAACGATTGGAATCAAGTTTAGCTTTGACTAAAAATTCGAGAAAAGCAATAACCATTGCACTGCCAAGACCAATAATCAACACATAGAACATTCCAGCAACGTTTGCTAAGTTTAATGGAGTGCTTTGTTTGGAATCTTTACTTTTGGAATTTGTACATTCACTTCTTTCATAGTACCATTTCTGTTTCAAACTTGCAAGGAAACCGTTTTCCGTCAATTCTAAAACAGCTATATTGATTGCTTCACGAAGGTCAGAGCCAAGTGGAGTGCCGATACCATAGCCTTTTGCGTCAATATTTTCTCCAATACGCATTGTATCACATGGTAAACGTTCGTTGACATATTCATTTAGTGTTGATTCGAGAAGTAATGCATATTTACCTTTGGATCGACGAACTTTTTCGATTCCTTCACGATTAGATGTCACGAATACATCATTCTCATGTTGTTGCATATAATTCCACATACGTTTGAAAACTGGAATAGTTGATTTATTGAAGAACGACATTGTTGAACCGCCTTTCAATGTACCATAACGAATTTCTGTTTGTTTCGATAGATCTTCTACAGTTTCAATTGGTGTGACTAGTTTTTCAACAGTCAAGAACGCAGCTAAGTTAGCCGTGTACGATGAAACAAGAATTAAACTAAAAAACCACCAAGCACTTGTGACTACGCGACCTAAATCATTTGCAATTAAGAAGAGCTGTTTCAAATTAAAAAATAGCGCAAGTCTACCTGACATTGATCGAGGAAGAAGATCAACACCTTGATGCATAAATGCCGCAAACGAGAAAAATAACGAATTTTGCAATGAAAATTTATTTCGTGGACGCGTATCAGTTTCATTTTCAAAATACCATTCATACGACGAAAACCGACTGACAATGAACAAGATGATACTAATCACTAAATAAGAAAGGATGACGCAAAGCCAAATTTCTGTCGATAGCGGGTCCATAAATGAGAAGACGCCAGGTTTTTGTTTTTCTGGTTTGCGGATCATAATTGATATGCCTAATTCAATGAATGGCTTGGAAAAGTCAACCGCTTTTTCACGTGCACCATTAATTGTCAATGATGCAATGGATAGATCAGCTTCACGATTGACTAATGCACCGACCATACCATTCCAAACACCTTTTTCAACTTCACTGCCATATTTGGTCTCGATGAGAAATTTATAAGGTAAATGCAGCTTTTCATGACATATAGCATAGGCTAAATCAACACAGTAACCTTCCACACGAGACGGATCGAGAATAGTACCACGTGGAACGGTTTTTTCAGTTAGTGTATCATTGAAATTTCGTTTCAACATTATAAATGGCTCGTCGAATATAGTCACTATTATACGCGTTCGATTGTCATAGATTATTCGTGGACGATACGATGTATTATCGGATATCTAGAGAAGGCAAGCTGTCAATCATCCAATTCTTTTCGATGTTTGCAACTTACCTGTAGTGTATTTGGTGACTGGAAGACTCCAATGCGACTCGGTAAGTCATTGGCTGTGACACGATAAACATCGAATGTGTAGTTGACTCTTTGGCCGGTTATATTCGAAAGTTGTATATGTCCTGTTAAACCTCGAAATCGGGTTTGGAGTAAATAATTCAAATAGATATTTCCCGACGACCATGGCTGAATATGCGGACTTCGACAATCAATTCCCGGTGTTAAGTCATTGTAAAACTTTCCTTGCCGATAAACTTTTAGCTTTTCTCGGATTTTATCGGAAGCCACTAACATTTGATTGACCGTACGCAATAACATTTCCCAAGCATCAGCCAAAATTAGTGAATCAATTGAAAGAAGATTCTCCTGTTTCAGTTTTTGAATGTAAGCTTCGCTTGTTCGATTATCGAAATACGATGGTAAAGTGAAGTACGTGACATTAACACCACCGTAGCGAAAATAAGTCATATCGAGATATTCAGCATTCAATGAAAATAAGATATAATGATAATCTGATGTTGTCATACCGCGATGCTTGATTTTGTCCATGAACAGGCGATAGGTGTCGAACGTCTGAAAATCTAGAACAATATAACGACCGATCGATTTTCGATTGGAATTCATGGATGGTTGATGCGTTATCATTTCGATGTTTTGCAATAGATCACAGGAGTCATCTGGATCATCGAGAAATCGACTGAAAATTTTTAAATTCTGCGTTGATGTCAACGTTTGAACGTGCATCAATTGTTTTAAACGATGAGCACCATGTGAACCATCGTAGATATAAACAAGTTTTATTATTTGATAACGACGTATTAATGCTACCAATGCCGGAACCATATCCGGCATTAGCGATATGGAAAAGTTATTCTTTAGAAAATTATAGTTACTAGTTAGACTAAGGAGTGGTATTTGATATGTCGAGCAAAAATCTGATATCCAGCCAAAGTCATCAATGTTTACATAGCCAATTAAAGATATGATTCCATTTGATAGTTGATCGCAGAGCGTTGTCCACGTATCGATGTTTGAATTGTTGAAATCTAATGCATGAAAGATTTCTGTGATATTGTACTGAAAACGCCGTTCGAGTTTGTTGAAAGCATATTGCCGAGCTAGAGAATTCATGCGCATATACACTTCACGATCTGATCCATAAAACATTGAACCTGTGAGAATCAAAATTAGTACATCATATCAGTTGATTAGAAGGGAAATTCGACTTCTTACCAACCGGTATATTCAAAATTGTTTGTATAGTGTGAATGTGTACAAAAGCAAAACATATTACAAAATAAAAATACATAATGGCTGTGTTGAGTACTTTGTTCGTCTTGCTTTGCTCTGGTGTTAACTATTCACTGGTTGAGATGTCGCCAAGAACGTGAAACGCGATCATCGCATGTTTTATTCCGCTCGATTAGTGCTCATCGTCTGACTATGGTTCTTTTCTATGCCGATTTGATGCGATAAGAGAATTCAATACTTATTTTACATTCGTTCTTGTCAACCAATGCATCATCAAGTAACAACATAAGAAGAGAAAATCCAGTTATTATTATTAATATATTTCTTTAAGTAGCTGCTTCGCTCAGCACGCAAAATCCTTTTTCTTCGTTCTCTTTCTCCCCTATACAATCCATTATCATTCAAGTAGAACTCTTATCGAATCGTTGTTACTCTCTCATCTGTCGTCTTCTTCTTTATGTTTAGCCACTCCAATGATTGATCATCAAAGGAACAATATTTTCCTTTGTGAATGAGAGACAAGAAATCCATACATTATTTCTTGCATGCAAACGAACTATCTCCTCTCTCTCGCTCATGCCTCTTGTCTGTTGACATATTCGGAACAGATGTTCAAACGTTCTTAAATCAATGTGACATTAATTTTCGATTCCCCAACGTATAAAAAAAGAGAAAACAATAATCGATTATAACAATAAATATCACGTAAAATCAAAGTCAAGCGGAGATTAATTAACTTGTTCGTTACATCACTGATGACGAATCTGGTGTGATGCCGATAGCAATAGCCGGTGTATTATCATCTACGATTGACGTTCGAGTTTTCATATCAGTTAGCAAGGGTGTGTTGGTTTTACATTGCTTGAAGGCTGCATCATAAATGACACTAATCAAACTATGAATCATTCCTAAAGAAGACATTCGTCTTGAAAACTGATTTGAGCATTCTCGATTCTCCTACCGGATGTTGCATAGACACCACCGAAAATACCAGCAAGTTCCACCAATAACATGAAATACGATCGATGAACTTCTTTGACAGCTATTTTCAATGGACTAATTTCATATCGAATGAAAATGCCGGGAATGCCATGACTACCGCTAGCATGGTCGATCGCTCTAGTCTAAATCCAATCAATCAATATTCAATGTTCGCAGTTGAATTGGTTCATACCTTTTCTGTTACAGCATATTGATATGTTTCGACATTGGCATAACTTGTCTGCACAACTGTGGGAACAACTTCCAGGAAGTATTGAAAGATCTGCGAACCTATATATTGTTTATTCATCAAATTTTTATAGCAAATAGTTGAATGGTTTTAAATTACTTGTATTGGTAAGCTTTAAGTCACCGTTTAACGGTTGAACGAGACCCGGTGTCGGCAATCCGAATGAAAGGTGATCAATTCGATGAGAAAAATTCAATGCTAAAAGAACGAATAGATTTGTTTTGAATTCGTTTATTCGTACAAGCATTCACCAACCCGTATTTTGTGCCCCCATAGGACTTATATGTGCATGTGCGCCAAAAAATGAGAATGCTCTACATGATCAGAAGAAAAAACAATAAATATCAATTACCACAAACAACAAACCAGCAATTATTAACGAGAAATTTATCAAATAATAGAAAAAAAAACATGCCTTTGATATGAGAGAGATATCGGATATTTAGGGAATGTGCATGTTTGGAATCTCCACGAAAACCTCGTTCATCAAATCTATGAATTACAGAACGCGCAGAAATAATGCACTTTTCATTTCAGACAGCACAAGAATTCAGTAGAATAATGACATACTTTCCGAGAATGATGTGAAAATTGCCAGCAAGTTTGTTTACTTCCAGTGTTCCATGTAGACGACATGCATCATGCGGTCGATCCAATTTCACTTCCCTAAAACGAATGATTTTATGTATTTATATGTTTGTCATATGTGTTAATCAACGGAAAAAGTAAAGAAACTCAACTTCGGCAAGTCACTATGGCTGGAGGCTACAGACATTTATGACAAAAAACGATTATCCAATCTTCTCACCGAACGATATTGCTTCTTTTAATTGGGGGGCTCCGTAATCAAATTAGCTACTGTTCACTTTCTCGTCTGTTGAAATTAGAAAAGCAATTATCCATTGTGAGATACAGTTGAGTGTCAATACGATTTTTATGACAGTAGACCAGAACGTACCTTTCAGGTAATTCTTCAATCATGTGACCTTGTAACCAGAGGAGATCATGAATAGCGTGATATTGTTCGCGTATCAGTTTATAACCCATCTGTAAATTATCGAAGACGACCTGTTGTTGAGGCGATAATTCAAACCACGTATCTTCTTCATCTAATTTCCCACTAAAAATCAAATAAGTCATGTAGATTTTACACAGCGAAAGAATAAGACTACCTCTCCATTGGATTTGTATTAGTAACATCAAGTACATCGGAGCCAATTACTAGATAAATCGAAAGAATATTTCAATTATCTTCATTTTCATTATAAAAGGTAAGGATAGCTCAATTTCACAAAATTTACCTTTACAACTCATTGCAACGGTCATATCGATATTAATTTTTAATTTACTATCATGGTCCCAGTCGACATCATAATCATATTTAAGCGTGTGACTTTGGAATGTAGCGATATGTACGACACTCAAACAAATTACCACGATAATTGTAATAATCGAAACTAAGTAGAAAAAAAAGAGTTGTTGATCGAAACTGATACAATAAACTGCACTTCATCTTACTAGTTCCACCTGTAGTTGTTGGTTGTTTAAAATCGTTTTCTACTTTGACGAACGCATCTAAATCGCGGACAATGTCGACAGGTGTAATCGGTTTTCGACGTTGCCTAAGTGTGCTCATCTAAAAAAGAATAAAATTAACATTATCATTCAACTATTACTATTGCTTTATTCGATTCATTCGATGATACATGTATCAACCGTTGGCTAGAATCATGTGAGATTTTGGACGAAAAAGAGGTTAGCTTCTCTTTTTGATTGTTTATATCGAAAAATAGAAGAGTTTTCTGAAAACCAGTGACAAATGTTGTTGTATCTTGAACTGGATATGCTTTCAACAGACGACGATGACTGGGAATGTTTTGTATAAGACAGATTTCATTTGCCGAACGTACGTCCCAGAGAGTAATTCTATCTGACTTTTGTTCACTATTGTGATTGATCGAAACCAAATGATTTCCGTCGGATGTAAATGTCAATTGTTCGACAGGTAACGACGATTTGAAAATTCGTGCCGGTTGTGCTTGTTCGATGGACCATAGAATGGTTAGACCATCATCGGAACCCGATGCTAAGTATTTACCCTTAGGATGAAATGATAAAGTATTGATGTCACTCGAATGATAGATAAACGTTCGCAAAATATCTAATCGTTCCGGTGTCCAAAGACGAACAGTTTGATCCATTGAACCAGATGCGAAACGATCAGATGTCGAATGTGCAGCTAAACACCAAACAGGTGACAAATGCGATCGATAGATGGTGATACAACGAGAAGACTGTGAATGCCATAAGCGTATGTCGTTATCGGCTGAACAGGAAAGGGCATAAGTTCCATTGGAATCGTAGTAGCAGATATCCGAAATAAGTTTTGAATGTCCTAAAAGCAGGATTTTATCAATTGATAATCAATTGAGCATTATGCATACTACAAACCGATCAATTGATTGTATTTACAATTGCTTTTCCCCGATGATGATGATAGTGACGGTTGTGTATGATAGATTACACCTTGATCAGTTCCGCATACAATCTCTTGTTGATTATTAATGTCTGCGCATGTTAACCATTCATTTTGGTTCTGATTCGTTAGATGATGAATGGAAATTTCGAGCTGCATGGTTACGCAGAAAAATAATCTAAAAACTTGAAAATATTCAGTAGGAATAGGGTGAAATCATTTTTACTAGTCCAATAGACATAAAAAAAGAGAAATAAACGTTGACAAATATGTCTAATGACTAAAACTAGGAAAATGTTTCTAATCAGGATCAATTTTCGTCAGCTGCTGCCGATGTTTTAGCCGAGAGTGGATCGACGAAGGTATGCTGTTCAGGCGCTTCTTTCGTATTGGACGATGTATTTCCTTGCGTGTAGAAGATTTTCAATGATTGTTCACGATGTTGTTCAACACATTTCATGAATTTTTCAGCAATCGATGAACATGTTAGAACTTGCTTGGGATTAGCTAAATAGCATTGTTCAATTTCTGCACGTTCTAATTCGCAGATAGGTGAATAGATATATTTGGAAAACTTCTTTTCGACTTTTTCAATTTCAGCAGCTAGATTTTCTTTCGTTAAACTCAATTTCTCACGATTATATCGTTCTTGTTCAGCAAGTTTTTCTTTGTATTCTTGTCTTAGACGTTGTAATTCAGCATCGTTTACGGATGATGCCAAAGCACGCCATGTTTCGACCGTTCCACTTGCATCAATCGTTGGCAATGGTACGTTTGTGCTCGATGGTTTCAAAGGTGTCGATGACGAATCGATACCGGGTGTTCGCGTACTCTTTGCTTGAGGAACATCTTTGCCAACTGATGATTGAAGTTGCTGTAGAGCAGCTTCAGTCATCAAAAGTTGATTTTCAAATGACACATTACGTGGCGGTTCTTTCGTCCCATTTGCTCCCATGATTACTTCTGGAAAACGATCTAGAAAACTTTAAATTAACGATCATAAATTAGAAAATGTCTTCATAAGAACAACGAATAATATTATTTTCTACTTCATAGCAAACCACAGTATTCCAATCATTGTTTATTATACGGTTATTTTTAGGACAACAGCGACATGAGCAGTGCCATCTATACACACGCATATTTCTAGTGTGGTGCGAATGGTTGAAATCATACATACTGATTTCATTACATTACCGATGAAAGACATGCAATTAGAAATTTTGATTTTTAGATTGAAATTATGTCACATAGACATCGACGAGATGAGAAATCATCATCGCATTATGACAGAGCTAAACACAACACTCGGCAAACATTTAACAAACCATTTAAAGATTTTGATAATCGACGAGGGCAATTCAATATAAATCTTTATCAAAATGATCGACAAGAACGTATCAGTGCACTTGCTGATGATGAAGATGGGGATTTAATTGCTGAACGACAACCACAATTCAGTGGTTCTGAGAAAACATCAAGAATTATCGAAGCAAACGATCGACGACATGATGCTGTCATATTCGGCGACAAAACGACAGAAGGTGAGTTATCTACACGAACAAATGAATAAGTTGTTCCATTTTTTTAAACATAGAACAACAGAAGAATCAACTATGGGATAGTTTCAAACAATCATCGAAATATTCGACGACATCGTTAGCTGGTCCTCTTCTCCTAGAAGATCTCGAAAGCAAACGATTGCGATGGAAAACGAAGATGCGTGAGCTATGGATTCAACGACATGGTGCCAAAACAAACGCAGAGATAGAGACTAGTTAACATAGACTTTGTTATGTCATGAATTGTACATGTTTGTTTAATAAAGAAGGATTGTGGTACTTCGAACTCAATTTATCTTTGAAAGAAAAGATAGATTTTTGTTCTTAGTTTTTTTTTAGATGTCATCATCCGAATATTATTGTGTACCAGGCGATCGTTTATGTCCCTGCGATCGCGCTATTGCTGGCCAAGGAACGTACGAAAAGCAAAACTGTATCTATGCGAGTATCGCAGGAACTATTCAACTTACAGCAGTCGATCAATCATCAACCAATCCAGATAAAAAACCGACAATAGCAGTCGTACGTCAAGACCGTTCACTTGCCGTACCTTCCGTTGGTTCATTGGCGTATTGTAAAGTAACAAATGTTACATCTCGATTTGTACGTTGCTTAATTTTTGCTATCAATAACCAACCATTGAAAACACCGTGTCACGGACGAATAACACGAGAAAATATTGAAAGCTTCAATAAAGATTCAATTGTATGTAGCACTAAGTTTCGACCCGACGATATTGTACTTGCACGTAAGTCATTAGCAATCACAACTAAAGAATTTTAAGAGATTCTTTTAGGGATCATATCATTGGGTGATGCAAATGCATATTTATTAAGTACAGCAGAAGAAAATCTTGGCGTTATCGCAGCTCGTTCAATGGCCGGTAAGTGTATGCTCATTGAAAGGATCGCAATTGAAGAACTTCATTAATTTTAGGTGAAAAACTTATACCTTTCTCTGATTGTCAAATGACATGTCCTATAACGAATACGCCTGAACCACGTAAAGTAGCAAAAATTCAATCAGAACTGACCGATGAAGTGTCTAAGCTTGCTTGAAGACAATACTGTTTTTGTTATATGTTGAATGTGATAAAGATTATACTAAACAACGTCTATAGATAGAATCCACAGGTTCTCTTTAAATGTCACGATGAAGAATTTGGTATTTCAAATCGAAGTGAACAAAAAATCTGTTTATTTTTGCAAAACAAATGAAACGATCTTTCTGTTGATGAAGTTTATTAGTTGCTTTTTTCTCTCTATTCTTTTCAAAACTTTGTTTGGCTGTGTGTATTTCTAAAAGAAAACGTAAGAGCAAGATAATGAACGAGTACCTCATATACACACACGAAAGAGAGAAAGAGAACGTCGAAGAAATCAAGTATAACAACAATAACAAAAGTAATAATAAACAGAAATGAACATATCTTTACTTTTGAGAAAGTTCCATGATCTTAGAGATAATAGTGAAGAAGGAAAAAAGAGAAGGAGAAAATAAAAAATTTCTTTTCATAGTTGATAGATAACTTTATTGCCGCCTGCTGTACTTTTCTTTTTATTCATCATAGTTGCCGTTGTTGTTGTTGTTGTTGTTGTTGTTGTACTTGTTTCTTGATTATGAAGCTAGTTGAACAAGAGAAGGTGAGTAATTAGCTTTCAGAAAACGAGTTTTGTTTTGTACTTACTTCGAATAAAATATGAATTTGTCGTGGAATATTGATTAATTCACGCATACGTCGTCTAAAGAAGAAAGCAGAAGCTTAGCGAATAAAGATGGCAAAAGCAACGCTTACCCAATACGAAAGATAAGTTGTTGGTCATGATGAACCGATGTCCACAAGGCAATACGATCGCAACTTTTACGTGCAGAGAGAACAACGCCGTTGACATAATTTGTATCTTGTGCATATTGACCACCGATAAGGGCTAACATCTATTCGTAAATCAGATGGTTGGAAAGTCTTGATAGGAACAAAGAAGGAGTCTTACTGAAGCGAGCCAACAAACATCAAGATTGAGGTAGACCTGTTCTGGTTTGGAAAAATAAAGAACCCATCGGCCACCGCTCGAATTTCGTGGATCTTCCCAGCATGGTAAGATAGAACTTTTAAATAACATATAGTCACAGCTTGGTGGTAATCGTGAAGCAACACGTAAATGATTGAAGAGTCTACATCGAAAAACAGAATCAGATGCTGAATATTCCTAGTGTTGAAGTGAACAGAACGTAGTCGGTTCAATTTATCAAACTGTTGAAAACCGCGCCAACGAAGGAAGAAAAGAAATGTTGATCTATGCATCTTAATCGCTCGGAACTTACGCCCAAAATTCTTCGACATAACCGAATGTTGCTAATTTCATAAGATTTTCTTGCCAATCTTTTCCTTGTTGGTTTTTCAAGTACCAAAACGACCATTGATGTTCCAAGGGATGTATCAATTCGATTTGCTTGTTCATCAAAATCAATGGCATGGGTGATTCACTTGACTCCAATGTTGAACCATTCGATGACGCTGATAAATGTGGTCCATCTTTTCGTTCACCATGAATTAAGAGTTTCTTTTCCAATAAGTTCGTTATGTTTGTCGGTTTAACAGTATTTAATTGAATTTGTTCAGCTAAAACAAATGAGAAAAGTTCACTTGGAAAAATCATTTACGTTCACCATCTACGTACAATTGTCGCTTATTTGAATAATATTTTCTTTGATATCGTCAAGTAATTCATTAACAATATTTGATGTTGATTCTGTAATAAGATTTGTCATTTTTTTTTAAATATGTTATTTGTTTTTACAAGATATATTTAAATACAAACGTCCGACGTGTGTATGTATGTGTATAAAAGAAAATTCTCAACTAACCAGAAGGATAACAATACCTCGAATCGAACTGTGATTCATTACTTAATGATACCGCGCATGATAATGATTTTTCACAAAAAATAATTTCAATTGGGAAAAGATTTCCAAAAAAAAGAGCAAATTAGGAAAAGATTTCTTTTTTTTTGTTTTATTCCAGACAAAGACGATTGAAAAATGCATTAGTGCATTACTGGATTGAATTACCTTGTTTTTATTGGATGATTAACGAATATCCTTTTTGTTTGCATTCAGGGCTGATTAATTGAAAATTTTTCCTACTGAGATGTTTCGATTCTACGTAAATTGCCACAACTGGACGCCATCTCAGAATGAATGGTTGCAGGCAACACGTTGTATAACTCAAACTGAGTTAGAACGTATTCATAAGTTTGTCTTTCAGCGCGATGCGAAATTTGCTCTTGCCGGACAATTATTGATTCGTTATCTTCTGGCTCAAGCTCTACAACGTAAAAGTTCATCGTTCGAAATTCGACGTACGGAATATGGCCGTCCGTTTATAGATTCTCCGGAGAAATTCGATTTCAATCTATCGCATCACTATCATCTAGTTTGTATTGCTGGAACATTTCATGGTTTGATTGGTTGTGACACTATGGAGTATCGCGTGAACACAAAACCGAGAGAATCAATTGAATCATTGACAGATCTACTTCGAAATGAATTCACGAAAAATGAATATGATTATATTTTGAAGAAATCTTCAGATGTAAATGTTCACTTTCGTCACTTTTATCGTATATGGTGCTTGAAAGAAAGTTATGTCAAATGGTTAGGATGTGGCATCGGTTTTACATTAGCACGGATGAATTTTTGCATTCAAACTGATGATTTCGACGAGAGTGATGCTCAACAAGTTCTGTCGGATACAAAATTGGAATTAGATAATGCCCCGCTCAAGGATGACCTTCGATTTGATGAACAAATTATTCCATTAGAAAATAATGAACAACAAATTATTGCCGTGTGTTTATCAAATAAGAATAGTTGTCAGCCGTTCATTGAATTGACTATCGCTGATATCTTGCAAGGATGCTCACCATTAGATGAAACGAAGCAAGCTGACGAAAAGTGGTGGAAAAATTTTCAAACAATGAAAATAAAATGAACTGCGAAGTCTCTTGTTCTGACTGATCTGAGGAAAGTTATTCGTAGAAGTTAATTATTGATGTTAACCAAATATTTTATCCTATTTTTCGGTTTGGATGATACTAATATTTACACTATATTCTTAATTTTTCTATTTTATTAATGCTACCTAGCAAATCTAGACTAAACCGTTTTTGACCAATATAAGTTTATTGATAATTCCACAGCCGTTTGGTTTGCTTCTAGGAGATTGGCATTCTGTATAGAAATCTTTAGTAGATGACTTTTATGAGTAGGTTTCAAGAAATTGTATTATTATGAAAATCGAGAATATTGAAATTAGTAGGAAAAAGAAAGTACTAATGGGATATGAAACAAGAAAGATGAATAACATTAAATCACGGGCTTCATGCAGAAAAAGTTAAGCTTATTATGACTCTTCCAAGTAGATTGAACAACGAAATAAGTGACATCACTTGTATCGTTCGATTGCTAGTATGAAAACTGAGAAAGAGGAGATTAAACTTCATCTGAATGATCTAACATTTGTTGTAGACGATCTTTTTTCGGTTTGCTCGAGCGGTGCACTTGATGTCGTGTTGTTGACGCGTGATGTTTCGATCTCGAATTATCTCGATGTTGTCGATGATGACGTGCAGTCGAAGATGCTGCTGTCGCATGTTTTGATTCACGTGAAGAAGAATGAGCAGAACGATATTGTTTCTTGGGTATGGTACGAGACGGTTGCGTCTCAGTTTCTGGTTCAATAGTAGTATCTGAGATGATATTTGATAAAGCTGAACGCGTTGTTGAACGGTGTTTAGTGGGATTACTTTGCGATCTTCGGTTAGATGTTGATTCACCACCTGATTTCGTCCTTTTCGCAAGATGGTCTTGATCTTCTTCTTCTTCTGCTCCTTGACGTGTACGACTGGTCGAATCTCTGATGTCCGCTGATCTTTTGTACTTTTGGGCCAATAGAACAGGATTGTTGTCGTCACTATCATTATCACTTCTTTGAGTTTTCTCATTTCGTTTTGTTGCCAATGGACTCTTCGTTGTTGGCGCGGTAATGAATACATCATCACTACTATCATTATCTTCTCCATTAACGCTCAACTCTTCGCTTTCTTCTTCACTTTGATTTTCCTCTCCATGTTCTTCTTCACTCTCGTCGCTATCCACTTCTTCAGCGTCATCAGATCTATGTTGAAATCCGTTTGGGGCTTTTCCAGGATTGTGAAATGAATCATAATTCAACGCGGAAATCTTTTTACATGTACAATTAAACAGAAGTCGACGAAGTCTATCCCATGAGTCTCTTTCAACAAATAAAAACGCCATACATTGCAAGATAATACTGGACAAACGTAATAGAAAGCAAATTTTTAACTGCATTGTGAATGTATCTTTTCTCGTAGTAAAATACTTTAATATACCGTATGACATCGAAACGAAGTAGTACGGAAATGACAAGAATAGATTGAGCAGGAGGAATATGACGTATAATACTGTTATATGGCGAGTATTCGATGTTACTTTCTTCCGCTTTCCTATACAACATGTTGGTGTAAAGAATTTGTAAAATATAGAAACAATAATCGATTTGACAATTAATACAATTAGAATAGTAAACGAAATAATGAATATAATCTTAAAAACAGGCGATAATCGTCCATCGATGTTACATCGATATGGTTTGATGAATTTTTTACTAATATCACTTAATATCTGTGGACCTATGCCGTCTATTTTCTCGGATATGGATTTCGCACTGACCTTTTTTTTTAGATACACTACTATAAAGATAACAATACTAAAAATTGCCCAAATACCACATAAGATTGCTTGAGCCATACACGCATTTGTAAATATTTTCATCCATGCTGCTGCTTTGTCACAAAGTTTCGTTATTCGTTCAAGTGAAAGAAAAAGTAGAGCAAAGTACACAACGGGTACCGTTACGTACATACCTAAAACATATAGAGTATCTTTTTCCACAAGAAGATTAAACGTTCTACATAAATCAACAAACCGTAGTTCGCAAAATCACACATGACACTATTCAATTGAAATTGTTGTGCCGTATTAATCATTGAGAGTAAAATATAGATCAAATAGAAAAATTCACATAAAAATATATGAAAAAATACCATCTTGACACCCATGGTTCCATTTGATTTGTTCTTTGATGGCATGAACATTGTTATAAACGTTGGAATAATACAAATCATAGCTATAGTCCATAAGCATAATACCGCTGTCTCCAAGTAAATGTCTTCTGCTGTTTGAGGACTAAATATTGAATCATAAAATCCTTTTGGGTACGTTTCATTTTCTTTCGAGACGAATGTTGTAGGTAAGATCTGCTTCGTTTTATTCACTAGTTTATCAAAACCTGTTCGATTTTTTGCTACGTCCGCATAATCATGATACTTATCACGAAGATCATGATAACTATTACTGGAGTTAAGTCGTTCCCGAATGGATGATGTGAAATTGGATTTGAAAGGTTTTTTAATTTTATCTTTAAAAAAACCGCGAAACGACGGTCGAGATTCCGTTGACATGTATAACAGAAGAGATTCTCGTTGTAGAGTGACTTTTGATCTAGAAAATTTCAAAACGAAAGAAAATAATTTGTATATTTTGACTCATGAATATCAACAAGGGTAATGCAGCTGAAACTTATTCTCAGATCTTCTATCGAAAGTTGACGATAGAGTACGGCCGAGAGCATCATGACAAAAGAAAATAGAATGCATACATGTAAAGGTGAAAGTGAAGTAATAATTGTATTGTTGATTCAATAGAAGTTGTTTTTCTTTCTCTTGGATTCGTTTCAAGATGAAAAAGTCTGGTTTCTTTCAAGAATATCTATAGATAAAAATGCTTGTAGTCGTTGAAGATAAATACTGTACCACTTGATATTATCGAGTGTTGGGTAATACTTGACTCAGGGTTGATTTTTCCCTCTCGCCGTCCTTTTTTCAACATCTCTCTTTCCTTTGAATTTTTTGGCATTTTATTTCGTCTCTTTCATTTATAATTCTCATTTTCTTTCTTTTCTCGCGCAGCTTATATTGCATTTCGTATTACCTTGAAACTTCTTGCACCATACAGAGAAGGCATACGTATAAATATATGTATACACAGGAAAAAAAGAAAATAACGCAAATAATCAGGCATAAGAAATGACAGTATGAAGAAGTCTGCAGTTTATATTATGATCCACCTTGTACAGAACAATAATTCAAACGAATATATACTACAAATGATTCTTTTTCTGTGTAATTTCAACACTGCATGATTAATAGGAAAAGTACAGAATCATATAACGGAAGAATGACAACCATTCTTCTTATCAAAATGAATTTCCCTATGATCTGACATTATCCTTTCTTCTTCATCAATGTATCATGTATACATCTTTGTTTCTTTCAAATTCTAAACTATAGTTTTACCAATGACTAATTCATCAAACAGTGCACAAAGAAGACGAAATCAAACCCGTCTTCATCTTCAAATATTTCGATTAAATATAGACAGATTAAATTATATACAGTTGTTCGAATTTATTCTTTAATTTATGCGAAAGCTTTCAAGTAACATCCAGTTGTGTATGTCCTTAACGAAATCACAACATTGAAAAATACTTTTCCTATCGATTAACAGAAGTTTTCAAGGTAAACTAAAGGTCTTTCATTGCAATTATCGTCGCCGATCGTACGTAAATGATTCAGAAGTACATTAGCAAATGTATATGAATTTTATGACTCCCAGTTCCATAGTTATCATCGCGTACGCTTACTACGAATTTGTTTATACATGGTAAAGAATGTTGTTGCAGACAAAGCTCTAGTTCTCGGATTATTCATTCGTGGTGCAAGAAAAAGATAATTCCCTATTATTCATACCGATACAGATTATAGCATGATAACGACATCTAGCGCAATAGTTTGGATTGACACTCATACATCTCGAAGAAATACGTCATCGATTGGAGACCACCGAACGAGACTTATTAGAAAATTTTCAAGTGAAGGCAATCATTGGAGAAATAGTCATTGTTGAGGTTGTACCTTAGACATTTCGTTTGTCGATGGCAGTTTTGTAAATCTGTCAATAGAGTAATTTCGAAAAAAATTCTTGTCAAACTCAAGTTTTCAGATAAAATTAATTTGACAGCATGTCACTGATTCGTACTAATCGTCCTAAACCACCAGTGAATGTAAGAAAAGATCTAAAAGAATATTTTTCTCTCTTGAAAACAATACTTTCTTCGACAGATTTTGGATAAACGTATTCCACGAAATCCAAGATATGAAAATGTTCAAACCACTATTGATACCGGTTTGTTATGATATGTTTTCTTCGCCAGATCATGTCATTTATTTATATATCCAGGAGACAGTTTAACCAATGCCTTAAAACGAAGCGAAGAATCGCGTGGATGTAAGTTCATTATTACTTGTTATCTTTCATCCGAGAGAAAACTCTACCCTCCTGTCGTCGAATGTCATGTATGACAGCTCTGAGGACAAAGAGTGGAGAATATAGGTAGAAATATTCGAATATCTTTGCAATTGTCATCTATCCATGCATATTTTATTGAAACATTGTGGGCGGTCTGTGGATATAAGTTTATGAAATTCTAACAACTATATGAAAATATAATCATAATTCCTAATCTTTTCTATTAAAAAGAAACAGCCTTTGCTCATATTGAATGTAAGGTGACTTTCCTTCTATGATATTCTACTTATTGCTCAGTTACGACAGAGTTTCCTTTTTTCGCGTTGAAAATAAATACTCTATGGTCTCAAATTAATCGTAAAACTGAATTTTACTGTAGACTGTATCTTTTTTTCATATAGGAAAGTAGGGGGAATATTCCTATTCGTCTATAATCGGCTTTGATCTCATCGCGTCATAGAGACATTTATACTGTGAATATGTCACCCAAAGTTCTAACTGTTATAAAAATTGATGTTGTTTCCAAAAGCCGTTTTGTATGCGTAAACAAAGTGATCTAAGATCTTCAACGGGTCAACCACATACCACCGACGTATTTCGAGACAGCTTTAAGAATGGCTTGATGTCATCTCCACATTCGCAACAAATCTATTAGCAGTACAGAGTACTTCCACATTTTCTTCTATTATTAAAAAAAGTAACTGATAGAATACAGATTAAGTCTTCCAGCGTAGTTGTATATCGTCAACAGCTATAACCTGATACATCGTCGAGATCAACTGAAACATGCTTCGAACGCAATTTATTCTACAGAAGAAATATCCACAGGATATTAATAAACTATCATAATCTTTTATGCTCTAGAATATTCTCAGTTAAGTAAGAATACTTCAATCGTTATGGGTATTGAACCATGTCAGTTCGTAACTATCTGAAATGACTTGCAATATCATACTACTTTCATATCATTTGAAAGAAGCTAATCGATACAATAGTTTCGTCATTGAGTCTGTAAAATTTCAAAGAACATTCTTCTCATTCCGTATGACAGGTGAAAAAAACTAATGAAGCGATGAATTAAATGTATAAATAGTATCTAGAATGTCGTTAGCTTCCCACAGATGCATTATTAATAAACGAGTTCATTTGGAATGTTTGTTGTTTCTCTTATGTGATGTGTGATAAACAGAAGTAGATACTCCGAAAATAAGAACAGTATATTTTTGCGTAAGTTAATCTTTCGCTCGATTGCTGGAATAAGCATATATGTAAAAAAAAAACCGTCCTGCAATAATGTGTGACGCAAATGGATTCACAACGCAACGAAGAACTTTTATGTTCTATCCCTACCAAATCTTTTTAGAAAATTTCTAAATATTAGTCGAGAGAAGTTTATTACATTGAGATTAAAGACTAAATATCTATGGACGTACGGAATGTAGGTGATATTTTTAGATAAAGAACAGCATTATCTTCTCAATGCATTAACTCAATTGCATTCAATGATCTGTTCCGAGAATATTTCTTACTTGATGTACTTTCGCAACAAGAGCACAGGAACATCTAGACAATCTATCCGCGCATTTTACATTCGGATTATCACATAGAACACCTATTTAAAACCTTGTCTCAAACAAACTTATATACCTAGAAATTAATAATAATAAAGAATTTTAAAAGGTTAAAATCTTGTCTATACTATTTTCATAACATGTATAAAGGTAACCAGCGGTTACAAGACGAGTTGTAGAGAAGGTGGTTTATTAGAATAATAATTTTTATCATGGAAAACTAAATAAAAAGCGCTCATTTTGTTTGTAGATGCCAAACCACAAGCGGGAGAATTGTTTAAACGCATGAAAATCTCAACTCTTATCAAATTGGTTCGTCTACAAATACCTGTTGAAAAGAAATCATTTCCATGTTGAAACTTTTTAGATTATTCAAGTTGCTGAAATAAATTCTCTTGAGAACGGTGATTAAAAATTTGATTGATTTAGATGCATGAGAAAAAAAGAATAGCAAAGTTTTCATTGTACAAATAGAGTCAAGAAATACAGATCGACCAGAAACACAAGACAGTCAGATGAGCGCAGAAACGACTCGATCAACATTACAGACGTAAATCTGGCATTGGGTTTTAGATTCGCAATCATTGTCTATTGAAATCTTTTCAGCGTTATTCGTGGTGTGGGAGAAATGGATATCTATAGAGATTATATGAATCGAAATTCGACGATACCAGTAACACCAAAAACAGCCAATAGCGACAACTTGGAATTGGATTTCGACGAACGCCCTTATCTCATTGTTGATCTTCGTGATATTGATGAATTTAATACCAATCATATTGTATCAGGTTCGTTTGTCTTTGTGATCGATCGACAACAGTGAACTAACAAGGAGTTCTTTTTCTCTCTCTTCATTTAGCTCATCATTATCCTGCCGCTATGCTTTCACGTTGTTCGAATAATGAATCCAAAGAATTACTTATCTATGTAAACATTTCTTTTCTCATATATTTAACATGTTCAGTTACAAACAGGAGAATATAACTAAACATCCATATATACATTATGTAACAAAAATGAAACAAAAGGAAATAAACAAAGTTAGTTTAACGTCCAGACGATGTGCACTATAGTGGATGATGAGGATGAGCGTTTAGACAATGAGGTTTACCACAAGAACATGCGAGAGGTATAATAATAGTAATCGCTGTATGCGTCGAGTCGACACAGGTATAGTTTATAGTTTTAAAGTTAGTGACAGTACATGCGGTCGTTCGAGACAGAAATCGATTTAATTTGAAATCCCATCGAGTACCACTTGAGCAGTGTCCAACGCAAACGGGTATGGTGAAAGTAGGCGATCGTTTACAGATTGGAAGGATATAGGTTCGATTTTCAAGTTTACAAGATGGCGTTGCTTGTCCATTAACAAAGAGCAAACTTGCGGTTCGCAGTTGTAAAGGAATGAGTATCGCACAGAGGATTAAGTAGACAATCGAAGCCATCTAGTATAATAGATATGAGAACAAGAAAAGTTATTTAGTATGCGTTTCTTTCACATATTTATAAATCTTGTTTCAATAGTTAGAAGAAGAGATAGAGAGAAAAGAAGAAAAAAAAAGAGAAAGAGAGAACGTGAAAAAGAGAAGAAGACATTGAGTTCATCACGCGACTTAAGTTCTAATTGCTGCTTGACTTACATATTTTTTGAGAAGTTTTCATATGACCAACTGATTCGTCTAATCAGTAAAAGTTCCTTTTGAAACTTTATTTAAAAGCTACTTATTTTGCGTAAGAAATAGTTTCTGACAGTAGTGCAGCGCAGTCAAGTATACTCTTACAATGAAGTTTTTCATTCCGAGTAAGACTAAGCTACAGAATAGTTCTCTCTTTTTCTTGTTAACTGACATGTTCTTCATTGCAGAAAAACAAAAAGGGCAAAATTATTGTTCTCTATGATGAGGACGAACAGATCGCACCACGCGCTGCAACAATCATGTCCGAACGAGGCTACAACAATATCTTTTTACTCTCTGGTGGTAAGTTTCACTTATCCTTCTTGCAACAAGCACCTCGACAGTCTTTGAAAGTGTAACAGTTCTTTATGTTGATGTGAATGTATCCGTAGAAATATCTTCATTCTCTGTATAGTGCAACCATGACTTTTAGTTTATGAAAGATTTTCACATGGTGCATTTTGTTTTATTGCTTTATTTGTGTATGGGTATATGTAGAGAGTCAAAGGATTATCAGAAAAAATTATGCCCGCGAGCAGCTGAAAGATAATTTATTAAACTGGAACATTATTTTCTTGTATTATAATGTAAAAGAATGTCATGTCTTCCCGATATTTATTTTAAAGCAATATCTGAATTAGAAACATCTAGGATTCCCCCTTTTTTCATTCACAGTTATATTGAAGTATTTCATTTGGACCTGGCTTTTTTCTTCTAAGGTCTAAAATATGCTGTTCGAAAGTATCCATGCGGTCTGATAACAGGCAGATGTCCTTTGTCATGGACATTGTCCGAAACGCAAACAAGGCCAGTCAAAGTTCATAATTGTGTACAGCCATCTGACCATACTTCACATCATCATGACGATGCACTGTCAACTCACCGTACAGTTGTTCATTCAACGAAAGCTCTACAAGATGCCATGGTTACATTTGATACTCGAGAACAATTCACAAGCCATGACATCGAAGAATTGAACGAACAATATGAAGCGCATTTATTACCGAAAGATAGTGGCACACGATTATCACGAACACAGACTCATGCATCGAAACAAAGCTCACGAATCTCGAACGCGTCTGATCGATCAAATTTCAGCCATATCTCGGATAAACCGTGGAAACCCTAATGACATTGTCTTCTTTTTCGCTCTTTTACTTTCCGTATTTATCTTTATTTTGTTAATATGATCACGTAGCTACAAAAAAAGTTCTTAAAATGCGTGACGTGAACTAATTAACCTTTTTCAGTACTCCTTTGTTAAACTTCAATACCGACAATGACAGACGGAAATTACAATAAATATCTTTTTCATTTAATTTGCAAATCCTTTCTAAGAAACCTCATAAGTCAGGAGTATTTTTACTCGCAGGATATTCTTTTCTAAAGGATTCGGCTTTCTCTTAACAAAGACATAAATGATAGAGTGTGAGATTCATTATTGTGTCAAACATATAGCCTAGCCGTAGGATACGCGCTGTAAGAAAGTGATAGGCACCATTACCCCTGCGCATGCATCTGTCACAATATAAAACAAGTCTTATGAATGTTTTATCAAATCAGAATAGAACATCGCTGATTATAATATTTCGTTTGAATGATGATTTCGATGAGAGAACTACCAACTATATACTATGGAGTTCTTTTCGATATGTGAAAGAAACTGTATGCCATCGATTTGGCTATTGTTCTGAATAATTGCTACTGTTTCCGTTATGAAAAAAAAAGAAGTTATATTCTAAATTCGTATTCATGATTTGTCTTTAGATAAAGTGCAAGGAGTTGGTCTATCTAAAGATAGACCTTGTTATGCTCTGTTCCTGCAGAAACACATTTAGTTACTTCCTTTGGTTATATTACAACTTATGCACGGTTGCTTTTTATCATTAAATCTTTCTATTGTAATTAGTTCGAACATTTTAACCATACTCTATATTAATAATGTATACAGTTTACTTAGATAAGAGGGTTACTATATGATACACATCATTTTTACATGATAGACTAACTAGCTTATTTGTAATAAAGCATTGTCGAGCCTTTGGCGTCTGTGTAATTTGACTATTAAATGACATTTTCATAATATTATTTACACTGTTTGAAGTGATATGGACAATGAACACGATAATACACTTGCGGATTTTTCCTGAAGACAAATGAATATGATATATGCTGAAATATCATTACCAACAGTTCTCATCTTGAGTTGTTTAGTCATTTTATATAGTTAGTCAAATCATTTTGATAGCACTCTAAGTGGACTCTAATTCATCTCAACCTTTTTTATTAGATTTTCTATATGACATTTCTATGACCCCAGAAGAAAGCTGCACTGACTTCGAGAGCAAGAGCAAGAGTCACAGAGTTAATGGGGTTTTCTCAACCGTAGTTTACTGAATGCCTTTCGCTCAGATGTGTCAAGTTCATGGCTCCCTTCTCAGTCTACTCGCATATTACTTCATTTCTATTATAAAAACGTATGAGTATATCTCCCACTTATTCTTCTTTATTTGGTGCCCTTCAGTTTTATTCGAGCATCAATGTTCATGCATCTATTTAGATTTGGATTAGAATGTGATAATGTAGAAATTCTCCTACGCAAGAGTAAATGACCACAGTACATATTCATTTTTTAAAACGAACATGGTATTGTTGCACGACTCAGTATACTAATAAATCATGCCTTTATTTATGATATTAAAATTATAAAGAATGCAGTGAGTAGTGATAAAAGCTCAACTTCTTATTTATATCACAAGTTAAAACAGTATATTTTGTACCCTCAAACGTCTTTTCAGTCTCATAGGTTGCACTGATGCATTCTTGTCTTGGTTAGACGATCTGCTTCTAACTATGCCTTCAAATAAAATTCTATTTCTTTTTATGAGAAAAGTTGTGCATATGAAGCATGAACGAGCATCCTACAATGATGGTCGAACATTCTTTTCAATTATTGTTTATTAATGTACATCAGACAAAATTACTACAAAAAATGGAAAATATTCACAAAATACAGAAGCAAACACATACTGTGTATCTATATACCTGAGAATCTCACTACTTCAATGAAATTTCGAGAAGAAGTTCTCATGATCTTTCAATCGAATTGTATAAATGCCATCATCCAATGCCAAGAATATTTCATCACTCTCTTTCGCGTGGTGTAAACTATGAACTGTAATAGTATATGATTGAATATACTTCTCGGTTGTTACCAAATGAATGATTTTTGCCGATGCATCATTGACGAAAAAGATGTGCTTGTGCAAGCATCGTATATACACAGAACAGATCGAGAGAGGATTTTCTGCATAGGATAAATATATAAGTCGTCGGCATTGCATTGTTAACTGACTGTGACTCGAGCAGAATATGACAGCATATTGACAACTATCTAACTTGACAAGAAAACCAACTGTTGTATCATTAACACAAATGTGTATAAAGCATTTAACATCGGGAAAAGCTTCGGTTAGATCATAATCAAATAAATTAGACATTGTTTCAAGTTCCAATATTGATAATATCCATCGGGATTTCTCATTATAAGAAATATAATATATATAACCATTGAACACCGTGCCAATGCCATGTGTGACAGCATCATTCTGGACACAATTATCAGTCGTGTGGGATAATAAATAGGAATTGGTTATCAAAAATGAATCAAGTGAATAGATAAGCAATTGATGTCCGGCAAACATATAAAGATGTTTTTCATCGAGCAAACCAATAGATGTAATTGAATGAACATCCCAATCGAGATCTTGGGAAATTCGATTACGACGTACAATCACATTTAGATGCCACCGAGGTAACCTCTCGGATTGTCTTTTGAATAGGATGATGTAATCTTTATTGCAAACCATCATGAGAATAATGTTTCGATCGTGTTTGTAGGAAGCAACTAAAATCAGAAGAAGAAATTCATCGTAATCCACTCATCAGAACAGTTACCAAAGCGTGGATTCAACCCATCATTTCTAGTAGGTGCTGCGATTGATTTAGACTGTTGATTCAACGTCGAAGTCGATGATAGTGATCGAGATGGTATACACGATAGCATGTTTTCTTGCAAATTCATCGAATTGTTCTGTACGGATCGTGGTGTGATTGTCTCACTATCACTTGTCGACAAATTCTTACTACTGGGCGATGGTGGCAATCGTGTACTGAGACGCAATGGTCGAGTTGAAACTGTTGTTGCTGGAGATTTGTCGTTGCGATTTCTAAAAGCAAAAACTTAATCATTATTCATTGATGTTGTTACTCGCATTATACATCAGTTTGGTTCCTGCTGGCATTTGTTGACCGTCAGAATGTCCATCTTCTTGTTTCGATCTTTTTGCATCCTCTGTTGATTGTTGCGCTGATGGCACCGAACTAAGGACTGATTTGTCGAAGGAAAGATATTGATTGATATCTATATCATTCATGTACAATACTGGTATAGTTTGATAAATAGTCGCTCGCTGTTGTAAACATCGCTCGTATTCGTGTAACTTTTCTTTGGCTAGAAAAATAACACAATGTATCTTTATTGTTTTGCACGTTGGGGAAAAAACAAGATTTTTATCCAAACCTTCTTCGTATTTGCCCGACAGAAACAGCTGGTCGATAAGATCACTTTCTTCATCTAATTTCTTCTTATTCTTTTTCGACATCTTAAGATTTTCTTCAGTAATTCGATCAAGTTTCTGTTTTAATTCATTCAACTTCTCCTGAAACTTCATTCCAACGGTTTTTACATATTTTATTGCTGCTTGGTACGTATCATTGATGTCTTTATTACAAAAATCTTCGTCTTCTTGAAGTACACGTTCGATTTCTTCAATTCGACTGGCCAGATATTGCATTAGATCTTCCGCAACATCCGCTGTTTCAAGTTCACTACTCATCGTGTCGGTAGAAGTAAGTGCTCTACTCCGCTCTGGATTCGGGTTTTTCCTTTCGTCCAGTATCTACTTGTGCATTTACCAAACCAATCGTGTAAGAACTACCAGTCGACTATCAGGAAAATGACAGAGATGTTTTAATAAAATCATATTATTTTATGTATTTAAAGGAACCATTTATTTATGCGATACGCACGTTCAAGGGTGAAAAATAATAGAGGTCATTAGTTGACGAAAAATATATCGATTGTCTGATATTGATCTTTCATTCTCTTATGATCTTACTCGCATAAGCCCGTATGGAGAAAAAATAATGAAACAGTTAAAATTCTTGTTCTTATGAATAGTTAATGAAGTACAAAGTCGACTTATTTAATCAATTTATTGTTTTATTTTCCTACAGAGAGTAACAGATTGTTTTATTAGTTTTGATAAGAACACTCCATGTTTTCATATATATATCACCAATATACTCAAATATTGTTGTCCTAGAAAACTGAAAGTCCATAAATGTGTGTATAGTCAGCAAGAAAAGTGAAACACACATGTCGTGTTGCTAAGCGATAGTTCTCTCATTCTTAACTCAGTATTCCGTTGTTATTGTCGTCGTCTATCTCTTTTCTGTTTTACCGGGCACACGTATACATACTTTAACGACTAACTCTAAAAGAAAGACTCAATCCATTTCTTTTTTCTTCTCTCTCCTCTTTTTCACTTTTGGCTTCTTCTCCACAACGCACAACTTCCATTACTCACTCCTTATTTCTTGATTCTACATCTTCTCCTTTCTTCTTTTTCATATAAACATATATATTTAACTTTACTACCATACAGTCAAACGGACAGTGTATAGATCAGCAATTATGACAGACACATTCGCTGTATGTGTGTGAGAACTGAGTGAGTGTTCTGACGTCTTTTCATAGTGTCGAAATAAACTTTCTGCTCAGGAAAAAAAACAAAGAGAAAAGAAAAAAATAGACGAAAAGAGGAATGATGTCATCGAAAATAAATACTAATTTCATTCAGACTTCAAGCTGAAGTTCTTTAGGTTTCGTCAGTAAGTGTCATATAGCTTTTTTCCTTTTCTTCATCGCTGTTTTTATATCCGAATATTAGAAACTTCATGGCAACAACGAGCAGAAAAGAGAGAATCGAGAGCACATGTCAGACGGAAGGAAATCAAATATTGCGCATCTTATACGTCATTTATTGAGAAAAATCCCTGTTTACCGACTCTCTATATGTTTAAGTAATAAGACTTTTGTCATAAAAGAATACTTAAACAACTAATTTCATCCTGTTCCATCTACCGGTAGCATGTATATGATATTATCGCTATTAGACACTTTTCCCTGTTTACTATATATTTGAATACTATTGAAAGGTTATTTTTTCAGATCAATGCTAACTCATAATCGCTCAAATACGTTCAAGCAGCAGTTATCGACCGATCATGATCTGACCGAATTATCGTGGTTAACACGATCCGATATTTTCAGTCGTTCATCGTCGAGTACGAAACGTCCAACGCCAGTACTAAGTCGAAGTTTTCCGACTTACGGAACAAATAAGAGTACTGAAATTCCTCGTCATCACCAACATCATTCGTCATCGACAAGTCTCGTTGATTCATCCGATAGTGAACAAGATAATGATTCATCGTCGTTAAATTCTTCCAGCGAACGTGTAACAGCGAACTTTCCTGATATCGTTTCTCCGCCACATTCCGCTCTATGCTTTTGGATCTTGTTCGCGATCGAAGAGTCAAGAACACGTTCGTTAACATTAAATGAAATATGTGATTGGATTGAACAGCATATTGAACAGCAACAACCTTCGTCATTGTTACATACGAGCACTAGTCCGATATCAGATGAGCAATTAATTCGTAGTACACGTTTGAAAAGTAAAGTACGCTATCATATGACCAAACAAATCTCATTCTTTGTGAAAATCATCAAAGATCCGGTGAATGGTGTCAAATTACGATATCCACTATGGGCAACCGACCCTTCGAAACGTGCCTTACTACTCGACACTCTATTAACAATGAACGTCCGGCAGTTATCTTTGACGACGCAATATACAATGGACATCTATGAACGTTTGTGTTCGGAAAGACGACAGAGTTTATTACGAAATACGAACGATGAGAACAGTTGTCCGATTCTATTATTAAATGAAACGAAACGTGATAAAATTATTCATCGATTGGGTTCCTGTGAAGAATCAAATGCAAATAATAAACGAAAGAAACAACGCTCCAAGCACGATTCATCCACAATGCCAACTCCCAGTGTTGAAGTTGTCGATGCAGCGATGACATTACTACTTTTACGACAAACGAAATGAAACCACTTCTACATCTAAGAAGAAACAAAGGTCTTATCGTTGTGTTTTTCTTTGCTCGATGCTCTTTTTGTTAAATAATACATCTAGATAAAGATTGAAAACAGACGTGTTCAATTCAGACAACCTATTCTTGTTATAAAGTCATGTTTGTTTTCAAGCAAAGCAATTCTTATGCCAGCTATACGTTCTTTTTTATTACCTTACATTCTATGACTCATTTCAAAACAAAGTATTACGCCTTTTTCTTTCTTCCGAAATCAGAACGTGATACATATTTACTGTGAATGAATTCTATATTTACTTTCACATATACGGGAAAGACAAATAAGAAAGAGAACTTCTCGTACTGTGTCTCACTGTTGAAATAACGTCATTTGAATGTCGTAATATACCATCGAATAGGATTTATTGCCAGAAACAAAAAACAAACAAATAAATAAATAAATAACGATAATCTGTCGGTTCCATGTCAAAATAGATGAGATGAAAATAAAAAACAAAAGCCCACACATAATCGATTTAAAAAGTAGAATGAGGTCAGATTTACAATATAGGGAAGGATGTTTGAAAACAACAAGAGAGAGAGATTCACTGCAATACATGGAATATGAGACTGTGAATGTGAAAGACATTATCTAACGATTTGATGGATCGGGCGCATATAAACCAAGTTTATAGCCGTTGACAGCAACGTTTTCATTGAACGATCGAGAAGGAAATGGATTGAATGATGAATATTTTGGAATTTGAACCGATCGGGAAGTCAACAGACGTTCGATGAGATTTGGTGATTCTTTTTTCTCTTTCGTTGTTACTTGAGTTTTTTCTAAATCGTAAAGCGTTCGTGCAACAGTTTCTAGATGCACATTTTCTTCGATTGTCATTTGCTGCTGCTGTGATTGTTGTTCCTGTAGTTGTTCAGTTGGTTCTATGGATGGTAATGGTACCGATGGCTTTTCAAGATTGAGACTAGTTAAAAGCTGATCGATCTCTTCTCGTAATTCAGCTGCTTCCGCAGCTTCTTCTTCCGTAGAACGTTGAGATACTTTCTGAGGACTTGGTGTGGACGTTGATGGTGTATCTACTTTTGATTGTCGATCATTCACTGGGGTTGACGATGGTGGTGATGATGTCGAAGAAGATTTTAGTGACACGGTTCTCTTGAATTGGTTTCGTTTAATATCCGTCGGTTTGATTAACAGATGATTTACCTAACAGCAAGAGAGGAAAAGTCGAAAAAATGTTAGATGAATTTACTTACCAATGGTCCACCAGCGATCGAACAAACAGTTGCTGGTGTTTTCGACGAAGAACATTCAAATGACGATATTGTTGTACGACGAAAATTGTCCGCATTGCTCAATGGAGATGACGGATAAATAGACGGTGCGCGTGCTCGTTGTTTTTGCTCATTTGAAGCTGATAAATGAACAGAATATTATTTTACTACAACATAACAAAGGCAATTTACCTTGAATCATGACTTGCACTTGTTTATTACGTTCTTTCAATTTTTTATACTGCTGTCGTAGTTGACTGATGTCAAGTGATAATGAATCTTCAATTGTCTTCGTTTTGTGTGTCGTTGGCAAGTTCGAATAAGCTCCGGGCGTCAAACGTGAAAGTGCTGTTTGGTGATTATTATTATTATGACTTGTGATTGAATCATTCGCATGGTATTCCACTGAACGAAAACGAAAGAACAAAGACACATAAATTAGATTGAGAAATTTTCAAAGAAGTCAATGCATACGTCGGTTACTACGTGAAGGAGCAGATAATACTGCAAAGCATGACATAAAATTAGCCATATCTTCTTCAGCTGTTGCATTGGTTTCGTCATCGTTAGCTGAATTAACCTTTCCCTTCGATCGTTTATTTTCCTATCGTAAACAATACAACATATCCATCAGAATTAGAAATAATAATTTCCCTCTGTTTCATTCAGAACCGGAACTCCTACGGTGACATGTCCATGGGTTAGAAAGTAAGCCTTATATGACAATAATCTCGAAATAGTACTTTTTACTCAAAAATTCTCCGCTCCATATAAGATAACGACAAGCTTACTTTCGATTTCATGTCGTCACTATTGGTTCGTCCAACAACTCGTTTCGATTTGCTGTCCTCTGTTGAATTCGACATCGCTGCAGCTGGTGTTGCTAACTGTTGAAATGGTGTGATATTAAACGAAAACTTTTGACGTAAGTCCGGAAGAATCGGTGTTGGAAACGCGCCGAAATTGTAAATTTCCTGGAATAGTGATAGAGTCTCCAATTCTTATACCTTTTTCTTTCATCGCCAGTCTTACTTTTATCAGGGTATCTGCATCAATAATCTTTTCGTTCAACAGTTGTACGGATAGCTGTGCCATCACTGAATAGAACTGATCAGCTGAAGACACTTTTAAAACCGAACTAGAAAAAACAAACAAACAGAAACGTCTTTTCAAAATCTATTCAACGTTTTTGAATAAGTTTCTCTCTTACGCAGACAACCTCGACCAGAGTACAAGACCGGTGCGAAATAAAACTTCATTTCCTTCGATCATCAATGCATCCCACACGCGTAAAGCAGCTCGTCGTGATAAACATGTTGCAAATAACGTTAGAAACCATTGGATTGTAAAAACATTCAATAGTGGCGGCTCATAAACTGTTCCAGATCCATCATGTGATGCTGACTGAAGCTTTAGCAAATGCGAATGTAATTTAGTATTGTAAATTCTCAGCCATTCACGAAAGACTGCCATATCGATTGCCAGTGCACGCAAATTATTCTCAAAGAAATTCGGCAAGATACTGTCGACCAAGTAGATCAGTATCATCAACGCGTATTCTTCATTCATTTGGACAACGTCGAGTATGACACCTGCTAGAATATTTAAACCTTGACAGTAACCGATTGATTTATTGTAACGTGCAAAGGCAAGTAAGACACGTTTCAATGTCGCACGATCGTGTTCATTCGATGACCAACTACAACCAGTTCTATGCAAATCCTAAAGAATTCCACAAGTTATTCGATTTCATGAGCAATTCATGAGAGAATTTACTTTAACGATTTGAATACCGAGTTGATCATCATCGGGATTTGAGCAATTGTTAAACGCAAAGCGACATGTTTTATCCCAATCAAGGTGAATTTCTTGGATATAATGCATTGCTAACGATATCCAAAGCTACAAGAAAATATTTCAGTCATGGCCAGCTTGAAAAAAGTTGTTTACCTTCTGACGAATTGATGCTGGTATTCCGCCTGGCATTCGAATAGCGAGCGATATCGCATCCTTCCATTGTTGAAAGCCCTTTTCGCCTGAACATGGCGTTAGCGAGAAGCGCATCGTTGTATCTTCACCTAAACATCAAATAGACACGATTGATAATGGTGATAGCAGTAATAATGAAATACATCGTTTTCTGTTGTACACTTAGACAATAGTTAGGACAAGAAAAAGAAGTGACAACAACATTATTGATATTTATCTTACTGATCAATGAGGAAAGTAATGTGCTGCTTGTTGTTTCCAATGTGATGCCGATCGTCATCTTGAAAAAGTAATGAATAAATGGATACAAGTCAACGAATGTTCTATGCCATTAAGCATAAGCAAAGAAATGCAATTTTTGTTTTCTCTTCATCATAAGAACATTCATAGAATATTAAAAAGGAAACAAGGTAAAGAATGTCGGATGTTAAAGATCGAGGAAAAACTACTTGTGACAACCCCGAACTTGATTTAGCCGTTTTCTGCAAACAATCTCTTTTTTTTGTTTCATTGTCCACACAGAAAACACTGATGAACTCTTTGTAAGTACAATTATCAACCCTTGTCTCTTCTTACAGGCAGTGTTTGCTCATGATTACTAGCAGCTATAGTGATTCTTGTTCGTGCATCGTTTCTTCTTCTTCTTCTTTAATAATAAGACGAAGCGACAAAAAACAGCTAAAAAATAGAGCTCTTTGCTTACAATATTTCTGTTCGCCTGTCAAGTATATAATACGAACATGTCATTCGAAAAATCGATAGTACTGAGCAATTAATCAAAGCAAAATGATTCTGGCTAGTGAGTATAGTTTTGTTTTCTTCTAAAACTTCTTATTTTAGTGAGAACACTTCTTTTTTAATATTCTAATTGATAGTCAAAATGTTATTCGATGATAAATCGTATGTTGTTAGCCTAGTTTTTTTGGGATAAACCGACCTGAGTAAAAATTGTACAATATTTATTTTATTACTTTCTATTTTGACAGAGTATGAAGTCTGTTTTATGACGGAAATCAAGGCCAAAGCAACAGAAATAATTGTTTTAGAAGATTAGTGAATCACTACTTGCTGTAATTTACTATCAAGTGCGTATTCTCACGAGAGATCTTTGATATGATTAAATGTTGATTACTGATGGTACGGTGATGAATTATTTAACGATGGGACAACTAGTTATAGAGGTTAGATTGGGATTATGTACGGTGGAACTTACGTCGTTTTAAAGATGAAGCTTGTAAAATCGCAGTAATGATATCACAATTTCGATGTAATTTCGAAAGACTTTTATCACGATGACGAAGATTTTTCACGAGCAATGCATTGGCTTGACTAATTTGTTGTTGAAGTTGTGAGCATAAATAACGCAAATCTTGTATGTCTAAACAATCAAATCTAAATAGTACTGGTTCGATAGGGTGCATTTTTTGCATGATATAGACTGTAAAAAGACTAATTGGAAACATCTATAGAGTCGAGTCTCGAGAGAAATCATAGTCTATGAAATTTGCTTTGAAAATAGAGTAATTAAATTTACTTTTATTCGTTAGATTTGTTTTGGTAAATCCGACATCATCATGATTGAGAATGGAATCATCACTTAATCGGCGTGTATTCAACGATTGATCAGTAAAATCACCTGTCGTTACCGTATCGCTGTCTTGCGATGATGATAATCCGTAAGTGCTACTATCGCGTTCGTAAATGGCACACAGGAGTGAGTCGATGATTGAATCTTGTTTGGAAATTGAAAAATTAAAAGTTCGTTTGATTAAATCAGTTGAGCCAGCTGAACGTAGTAAATTCTTTGGTGACAATGATGACGATGATGAATCTGTCGAGATTCCCATTGGTAATGGTGAAGATGATGGCGAAGGTAGATAACGGGTTGATATTGTCGGAGTAGTAAAAGATATCGATAGTGAACTACTACTACTGTCAAGAATCGAAAGAGGTGGCGGCGGGGCTGGTGAAAGTAAATCATGAAATGAGTTATTGCGATATATTGATGTATTGTTAATTTGATTTGTCGGCGATGGGGAGTTGGAGATATGTTTCGATGCTAACGAGAAGTTCTTTCGGCGTGCTCGAAGATTTGCCGGTGATTCAACGAATTCAGTCGGTGCTGCATTGTCACTTAAATCGATTTCACTAAATACATCCGACATAATTCTTTGAAGAAGCTAAAACAAAGAGAGAAAACTCAATCGACTATTTTCTATCCAATCGCACAGAAAAAAAAACTACGATTTTCTTCTCAAGGTTAACACTATCAGCGTGATTAGTATACTATTTATTTTAGATATACGTGTGTGTATGTTGTTATTCGTTTTTTTTTTATTCGACAAGTGTACATAATGGTTTCGCTGATATTAAAACAGCTGTTCCCATATAAACCAATAAGAAAAAGAAAATTTACCAGAGGACGCTACTAATATGCAACGAACGAATGACCTAGATCTAATTAATCATTTGTGTCTGCGTTGGACACTGGTTTACTTCGAAAGATGGATTCAAACATTCACACATATCCACAACAAGTAACATCTACTGACGATTTTTAAATGTTAATGATCGATGTATGAAATAAGGTGAATGAAGAGAAAGTTTGCTTAAGCTTATAAAAGATCTCTGATTTCACGATCCAATTCGTCTGACAAATAAATCAAACTGCCATCAATTACATAAAAACATTAGCCAATATTACTTCGTTGATCTCTATAACATAGATTAAGAATACGGAAAAACTCTCGATTTTCTCTTCATTAATCACAATTCAACAATCATCTTTCAATATAGAACTTGATCTCATGTCGACGAAAAAGTGGATGAATCAACTGTGGAGCAGAACATTTTATAATACGTGATCGTCCAATGAAAATGCCTCGAGATATGCTATGAATATATTCCACAATCCTTTTATCATTAGAACTACTTGACGATGTAGAAAAAAAAATTTAGGAGGGCCTGACCGGGGATCGAACCCGGAACCTCGCGCACCCGAAGCGCGAATCATACCACTAGACCATCAGGCCGTTCTCTTATTCGTCTTCAGACGTTAGTACACATTGACTGAGGTGTTGCAGGCAGCGCTTATAGCCACTATGAAAAAAATGATAGAATATCTTCTACTTGATTCTGATTGTTCTTCTCCTTGATGGATGATGGATGATGCAATGTCGTAAGAGACAACCAATTGTCAGTGTTATTTTTTATTATTATCCTGAGCGTGCTTTTCTCTGTCGTTGTAATATCATATTCTCTATCAGATACAAATCGTGAAATCAAAACACATATTAGACTTATACATATGTCAAGAAGAACGTCATGAAATAAATTACAATGTGTATAACACAGGTTGAAATGGTGGGTAGAGAATACGAAGAAATAAACAAAAGAAACTTGAAGGACTAGAAAAACGAAAAGAATGGAGACGGAGCGTATAGAGTTATGTTAATAGAAGTGGTAAGAGTAGTAGTAGTAGTATTAGCAGCAATGTTGATTCACAACTAAAAGGGAAATTTAAATAACCGTCTCTCGGCAACCGTGCATTTCAAGAAACGTATCGATTTTTGTCGTTGTTGTTGGTAACATCAATGCTTTCGGTAAAAATCCCACTTGTCCGTTGTTTTGTTTGCGAACAAGGAAACACGCTCGTCCAACTTGTTTCAAAACTTGAACACAATCTCCACGTTTAACGGAAAACGATGCACGTGAACTGCGATAATCTTTTGTTATTGTAAACAGAGTTTGTTGACTGCTGACGATTGCTTTCGTTTGCTCACCGTTCTTATCAACGACTGGTTGAACGAGAGAATCTTTTTCGATTGCATCTACGTTAAGTTCGCTAAATTGATCGCATAAAATTTCGCTCATTGTGCGTGAAAAATTATTCAACTTCTTCGGTATTGCCGAATCACCGATTGAGCGCGACAAACTATTCGTATTCTTTTGCGGCACCACTGGAATGGGTATGTCACATGACAAGCGTCGTTGCTTCAACAAATGAGATTTCTTTAAATTCGATAGTGATGCTGTTGACGATGATAATGATGTTGACGTCGACGACACTGTTAGTGATGAGGGCATTGAAGGTTCATTTGATGGTGAGTGACCTTCACTTGATGCCCGTTTTGATTTTATGGTCGGTTGTACGGGACGAAATGCGCTGTGTGAGCTGCCGAATTGGTGCTTCTGCTGTTGACGATGATGGTTTAGGATGATACTAGCAGGGATTTGTCGATGGCTTTTGGGTAGATTATGTATGGCTGGCTTAGTTCGTTGATATAGATCATCTTTATCGCGGCGAACAGTACGTATTAAAGCAAAGTCAATTGGACGTGAATTGGTAGAATGTGTCGATTTTGTTAATAATTTATCATAATCATCACTACCATTCAAGTAGAATGCACCAAACGAATGACGTTTGTTTGTATCATTTGTTAACATGTCACTCATAGACTGACCATTGAGGAGAGTATGCCGGTGCACTGCTGAATGGTGCGAACCGATTGTCTGCTGTTGACGACGAAGTGAATTATGATATGTATTCGTAGTATCTGGAGTTTTGAGAAGAGACGAGCGTCGAACAGTTGCATACTGTGGTGACGAAGTTGTGTTCTAGAAAAAATGTCAATGATTTAAAACTGAATTTAAATCAGATCTTAATTATCATAATTAGTTGTTGTTTTTTCTCGGAAGATTGAATTACTTCTTGTGAATACTGTTTACATGCACTTATCGCATGACTATTAAACTATGCATAATAGAATACCCGATGGAGGTTTTTTGAATGAGAGAGAAAACGTTAGATGCGATTACTTACACTTTGTATAAGTCAGTCGGGTTTAGAAGGATGAAAAGATCTTTTGCTCTCGAATGCTTTCCATGCCTCGAGGAGACGCGTGCACTTTCAATACTTTTACTCTCTTCTTGAATACATGGTCGTACACTGATGATAGAAACCATTTAAACTTTTAGAACACCAACATAATACAATGGAAAAGATTGATATTTCACATGTTCTTTCAGGCTGAAAAGAATGAACTAAGGAGTTTGTCGATCATTTAGTCTGTTTTTGGTTGCTTTTCTATCAAAGTCATCTATTTTTCACTTCAGCTTTAGAACTGAAAGCTATTAATCAGATAGGAATTCTACTCATTCATGAATGAAACACCAAAGAAAAAAAACTATTCAGAGTAACGAATTCAAATTGACATCTTTAGTCTTCCGGAAACGATATGCGAAGCTAAAAACATACTTTTGATGCACTGACTACGGTTGGTAGTTGTTCCGTTTCTGGTGTGATTTGATGTACAAGAAAATAAGGTGTTGATTCTGAATATCCTGAATCTTGGGTACTTGATGAATCAGTATCTCTCGGTGGTGGTGGTGGTGGTGCTATCGCTGCAATATCAGTATTGTTGGCTAACAAGATATCAGTGGGTTGGTGAATCGCAGCAGTCTCCGAACCGTTTGTTGCTATTATTGGCCAATTAACTGAATTCAATGTTAATCGACGATCTTTTGCTGATAATGGTGGTGGTTGGGACAAGGTACATGTGTTTCGTCTTTCCCGTTCAGCAAAATTGAGGTTGGTTAAACGTTTTTTCGAATGATCTACTGAGTCGTTTCGATCATAGATAAACGCAGAACTGTGTGATAAATAACGATTCATCGGTTGTTGTTGTTGTTGTTGTTGTTGATATGGTCGAATAATTGACTTATTATTCGATGATAATACAGTTAAATCAAGTTCATCATCTTTGTTCGATGAAGAATCCGTTGATGATAATGATAAATGATGATGATGATAATAGCTTTTATCATTTGTCGGCCGACGGCTTTTATACAGTGAACATATGATTCGTGGAATGTACCCAGTTTGACCAGTCGATTCGATTCGTATGTAAAGCCATGGGCCACGTGCAAACAGTGCTGTGACAATGGTACCTTTGGTAACAGCAATGTGTGCTTGGGCAAATGGCTCGAAATTTTTTCGTACAAGAACACGTATATTAGCTGGGTTCGATTTCGAGTAACCATTTAATAAACTTTCGATCGATCCTTGTCGAACCATTGACGGTACGGGCATTGTTGTTGCAACCGCTGAGTAACATGATGCATAGGATGAGGTACGATTCAACACACTTTGAGACATATAACCTGAATCGTAATCCGTTCGAAATTTGCCAATGGAAGGTGATAGTTGTGATTTAGTTGCTGTCGACTAAAGAAAGAAATACTACATTGTGTGTAGATTATACTTTATTTTTCTTTCTTTGATTTTTCTTGTATATAAATACGCTGTTTACTCCGGATTACCTTTAGTCAATAACTAGAAATGATGAAGGCAAAAAGTAAGAAGGTCGCTGTAGACTAGATGAAGCCTTTTTCCTCTTCTCTCTTCTTTTCTTACTATGTTAAAATGACTTTTCTAACTATGCGTAACTATTTTCCTACTAGAGATTCTATATAATATAAGGAGTGAACTATGAATATTAAGAAGAAAAAGAAAAAAGAAAGAAAGAAAGAGAAGAAACTAAAATCAAGCATGAAATCAACATGATTAGCAAGTATGAAAAAAAAGGAGAGAAGGAAAATCTGAGCTGTGGCTCAAATAATCTTATCATGTAGAGTATTTATTACTTCTGGGTTTTTTTCATTATCATCATCATCTCCTTCTTCTTCTTCTTCTTTCTTTTGTATCCTATGTAAATTCTTAATCATGAATAATTAAGTCTCTGTTGTGCGAGATGAATGAAGACGAGAATAGAGTAAGAAAAGAAAGAAAACGTGTTTAGAGTTTTCATCAAAATCGAAATAAACACTTCGATAGCAACGAGAATAGAATATGCTCTTGAGACTGTTAGATTGAGTCATAATGAGCACAAAATAAATAGGAAAAATGATCATCGTAACTATGAGTATTATTACTCGTATGATTATTTTTGTCTTAGTTGTGATGAGGATAATCCGATGAGAAATGGACGAACGACATATTATATAAATGCGCTTTTTGTTATCTTCTTTCAATAGATAATATTGACTGAGAAAGGATCTAAAGTTTCATTCGTATGTCAGCAAGTCGAGTCACTTGTGAAAATTGACATTGTCGAAAACAAATGTCAACGAGTAGACAGCTGATTATCTCAGAAGGGAAAAAAATAGGAGAAAGGAAGTTGTTCGTATTGAACGCATACGAATATTTGAACGGATTACCGATTGTTAAGTGATAAAAATCGAACGAGATGAAAGTTCTTGATTGAATTTAGAATGGTTTTCTTTTCTTTTCCTCGAAAGAATCATCAGTCAATATAATAAATTTGTCTATACTAATGATGATTATATCATACTTGTTTCCTGTTAAATATTCTTTTGGATGATTACAATTGTATTACATGATAAAGAAAGAAAGAAAAGTCAATTTGTTCTATGGCCTCTCGTTGAAGAACGACAACGCATGCTCTTAATTCTTGTTATGTGTCTATGGCCTGATGATGGATGAAAGAAGTGTCACTAGACAAGTCGAAACAAGATGATGATGCAATAGATCTTTTCCTTATCCGCTCTCTCTCTCTCTCTCTCTCGCTTTGCTCCTTGCTATCTTTTAGTTCGTACTTACAGCATCAGCTCCTTTGCTACTTGAATTTTGTTGATGATGCCGAGGACGCAATGACGTTGGTAAAAGATTAAACAATGAACGGCAATGTTCATCGGTTTTGTTCAAAGTACTTTTGCCTATTATTTTACGATATGGACGACGATGATGATGCTGTTGTTGTTGATGGGGATGATGGAGTGTTTCCGTTCGTCTTGATGACGTCGTTGACAATGGTTTTAGATCAATCACAGAAGCAGATATTGTACTCGGTGTTGTGCCAATTGTAGTTTCATCTTTATAAGCTAAACGACAATGATCAATAGCTATTGCTACTATGCACAACAAAATAAATGAAACCTATCGGATTTCCGTTCATGTAGTATTTATTAATATTGAATACAATATTTATTCTCGCGTGATTTCATTTTTTGACATTGTCAACTATGTATATAACATATAAACATATATGCATGTAGACAGAAAAAAGGCCAAGGCTAGAGAACCTTGTCTTTTAACGAGAACTAATCAAACAAGTTCACTTTCTTTCTTTCTTGTAATGAACATTTCCTTTAGCTAATATTGACCATGCTTTTTACATAAGATATCCATATCTTCTTTAACATTGAAAATCAATACTTATACTATATCTCATCGATGATTGTTTCGTCAAAAGCTTTCGAGTAGAGTATAGACCAAAGGGAATTTCTTATCTTCTCATTTCTCTTTGTCTGCTTTTCTCATTTATCGTATCTATTCTATTGATGATTTGAGGCACTCTATCGACGCTACTCATTAGTATGATTGTCTGTACAAAACACATGTAGTTAATATAAGGTGAAATGATACCAGCTGTGTATATGTACATGTTGATAGATCGACACAAAGAAGAGAAGACATTTCTACGTGCGTTATCGTAGAAAACAACTCTCTACTTGTCTTCGAACGAAAGAACAAAAATAATAAGAAAACTTACCCGTATGCTTACATAAAATCTCTTTGATTTTCTTCCACATCGTCGAATGTAGGAAAAACTGTTTCGATGCTCAATTAATCAATCAAATCAATGTTGCTGTTGTTATTATTGTTTTTGGCATATTCAGAATAGTAGCGATGATAGGGGGGAAAGAAGACAAATACGAAGATGAAAGCGGTAACAATCTGTAATAAATGAAAATCATAGTTAATCAAGGAAGTGTAACATATGAAGTTATTGACATCGTATTGCATCTAGTGTGTTCATGCGACATTACATATACATATATATATATATATAATATATGAATGTAGATGTATGCGTGTGTATGTGTGCGCCTTCTAGACACACACACACACACATATGATTAGAGCTAAGCACAAAGGCGAATAAGAATGAGAAGGAGGGAAGAAGAAGAGAAAGAAACGATTTTCATTTTTCAGCGCCGAACAAGGAAAATGAGTGGTAGAAGTAGAGTCTAAGGAAGCATCAACACACGCAGTCGGGAACAAAGAATAGATGAGAAAACAAACAGAATAAAGCCTAAATCGATGTAAAGCATAACTGAATTTCCTACGAGATTGCACTGCCAATCGGTTCATAGATATAGCATTCGAGCGCAGCTCGTCACAAAGCTGTTCAATGGTCGGGATATAACAAAAAATAAATAAAATCGGTCAGAGAACTGATAAAAGAAAATACTGTCCGCCACTTCATCTATTCCTGTCACACCATGCACTTACATAAACAATCTCACGTCGCCAACGACAAGATTGTCATAGACTGCAAAGTAACTAGCACAAAAAAAAAGAACGAAAGACTAACAGAGAAAGAAGGCACTTTTTATATGTTACGATATTTCTTTCTTTGAAGGTACCCGTCAAATACTCATCATTAGTTTGATGATATGGTGCAATAATGGTGACGACGGCCGTGTTGATATATGTATACATTTTGTACATGCAATGTGTGAGAAAATGAGTCGCTTACCTCGTCACATGCTCTTAATCAAAACGAAAACAAGGTCGAAAATCTTTTTTTTTAAATTGGAAACATTGTCTGTATATCGTATTTCTTCCTATTTATACATTTATATAAGTGCAACGGTAAGAATGTCGATGGAGTATACATTCTACTGTTGTTAATTCTGTTTCTTACTGCCTCGTTTCGTCTTTTTTTCATACTTACTTTTCTCTCTGTACAATTGTTTGTTCAGCGATTAGACATTATATCTGAAGGATACTCTGTTTTATAATAGCTACTGTCGATGCACTACTTCGTATGTTTATATGGGTGTTAAAATCAAGGAAAGAAGCCTTTGTCTTATTGACAGTTTTCTATCAGAAGAAAACGAAGCGATATCGATGATGAATGTGTGCGTGAGAAGAGGGAGAAACATCTTTATGCAATTCAGATCTGTTTGTTCGTATGAGGGACACCTGTTTTGCGCGCCTATATTCAATTTCCGGTCAATTCTCTTATTCTCTCTTTGTGTATTCATCTAGAAGTAATATATACATGCATACCTTGACGTCGATCTGACATGTGTGAGCATTAAGACTAGGGGAGAGAGAGAGCGATGAAGAAAGAGTGAGAGACAGAGACAAAAGAGAAAGAATTTGTTCGCTCAAAGTAATAACCCTACGCATATGAATATATAAGCTGAAAAAGTGACCGAAGTGCTCTTCACTTTATCCGAGAATCTAAGGAAGAAGAATAAAGGAACAAAGAGGAAAAGAAAGGAGTAAACCATCGGTCAGTGAATTGTCGTTCGTTCGCTCGCTCGTTCGCTCGTTCCCTCTTTCTTCTCTCTTCTCACCATGATAATGCGTGCAATATATTATGAAAAGTCTTTCACGATATTTCATCGTATGTGTTCATTATGACAATCTATGACTTAATGTCGTTCATTTGCGAAATGACAATAATTATCCATACAAACAGATCGTCAAGCGCGTTCATTGAAGTTCTTTCAAACTTATCATGTTCCTTCATTTTGTTTTGTTCACCTAAGAGGTTAATCTCTAATTGTTTGAAATAAATGTCGTGCTCGATCTTTTCTAATGAAGATCTTTACCATGTGTAGAGGTGTTATTTTTCTATATTGTCATTATTATAGGTCAAGTAGTTTGACATTCACATATAAGAAATGACCCGATATGTACGTGTGTGTGAATGTAAAATTGATGTCGAAAGTATGTACATATATATATATCCACCAGACAACGTGTTGTTTTCAATATATTATTTCGTTTATATCGACTATGATGAGTACGACTGACTATATATATATAGATGTATGTTCTTTTGTTTTGTTTTTTTTTTATTCTTTTGACTATATGATAAGCGGTCAAGTATACTGAGATGACATTGAACTGATAAGTAATTCATTTTTTATCTTTATGTAGTACTAATGAAGGTCATGTGTCTGTGTATACTCGTTTCTTCTAATTTTAATAGTAATAAAATCGAGATGATTCGATTCATCTGGGGTGTGTTTGTAAAGAAAGATGAACAGCATGTGTCGAGTTAATATTGACGCCAACTGTGCTTACATGTCGATATCGGATGAATGAAATGAACAAATATCGATAATCACCGCCTTTTTTTCGGACACACTCACCATGCGGTCGAATTACAGGAACAAAACATATGCGTCTACTCTTCAATCATACCGTACACATTTACTTTCAAGTCTATTGAATAACTCTTTTGAAATAGATTGAATAGTTTCTTTTGGCACTAACAAGCTACTATGTCATCAACGATTTCAAATCTCAAATATTATTGAATAACATCAAAATATAATTCTAGACTGTTCACATATTGACTCAGAGCAAATAAAATGAGTTTGCCATTTGTGTATTTGAGTATGTTGAAACCAAACGATAACACTAATAGTAGCAATGGATTCCACCAGGAACTAAATTTCACAGTCTGCTGCATACACACTTATTTTAGATTTATCCTTCTTCAGTCAAATCAAAATGAAATTTCTCTAATGAGGTAACCTACAACAAATGTCAATGACTTGTCATTAAGTCACAATATCAATAACAGTCAAAGTCATACGAAAGCAACCAAACGGCAAAGAATCAAATATGAAGCCTGTCAATTGTGCTCTAACACAGCGTTCGTGTACGGCACGATACATTAGTAGTGTCCTTTCATTCAGCGACAGAAATATAAACGTTCATTACATGATATATAAACAGAAGACTCTCCAATTAATTTCAATTCCAGACATACGAACATAATTGAGGTTTCCTTCAAACAGCAGTCTAATAAATCTTCCGTCATAATACATCGCTTCCTTTAACATTTTTCCTATATTTTGATGAAAAGTGTTGCTCTGGCAGATCAGCGTTGCCACCGATCCGCACGTTTTCGTCATCGCAACATGTATTTGATCAGAGTTGATCATTTACCTCTTGGTAAGTTGTAATAAGCAACTTGCCTCGTTGATATCGGGTGCGCAACATTACTCTTGTCTTTCCACATAGCGCTTGAAGGAGAGCGAATGAAAGGGCGATGTGTAGAGACTCGAGAAACGTCGCGCCCTCGCCATCGACGAGGAAAGTTGCTTATTACAACTTACCAAGAGGTAAATGATCAACTCTGATCAAATACATGTTGCGATGACGAAATCGTGCGGGCTGGTAGCAATACTAGCCTGCCAGAGCAACACTTTCAAATTAATCAGAAAGAAAACAAATACGAAATGTTATGATCATCTTATATTTTGAGGCTGACGATGTGACTATGCTGGTCATCAATTATAGGAGCAGACAGCGACTTCTTTTGGCTCATAAAAGAGATCAGCTAAGTGCTTTGCACCTGAGGTTTTCATTAGTTACTTGTGCAGTCCTGTATCGAATGATACTGATTAATGACTCTTTATTATTCATTTCTCCAGTCAACCAGATCCAACCGACTGGAACAGTAAACGAAAGAAGGGACTAGTTTCATTCAGCTGTTGGAGTAGCATTGCTTTTCTTGTATAAACTTTGCCATGTTCAGCTTATTCAGGCAATGGATAAAAATCAACAAAAAATTGTCGTTGATTTTGTTTAGAATGAGGACTATTTTTGTCGTTTGTGACCCTTATGTTTTTTACTACTATTTATACACAACTCTACTCTTAATGTGTGTGATTTCAATGGAAAAGCAATATTTTTGTATTTCTTTTGCACAAATGTCAATCGCTTGTTCATACTAAGATGCAGCAGTCTGTTAATCGTCTTGATCATCTTTTAGAGAATCGGGTCAATAATAATAGTGTGCTCTGTCAATCTTGTCAGACGTTTGTTTGAGTAGCAACACTGCGTAGAGAGCGAGATAAGCAAATTCTAGAGATTTCTCTCGTTAGGTACTGGTAGACAGAGAGTTTTAAAAAGACACAAGACCACCTCCAGTTTTCGCTAACTTTTCGAAATCTGAGTTAAATAGTACTTGCCCACAGTAGACTACAAAAAGTGCACCAGCTGTTGAATTTGTTTGTGTATATCAGGAAGAAAAATCCTATGTTAATGATGACTTCGCCAGTCGAAGTGCGAAGTGCTCGTTTGAGCATTTGATAGGTCAAATACTCAAGATGTATACCACCAAATGGCTTTGTCTAAATGATAGTCACGTTCAAACTCATCAATGGCCCTTTCATCGCACCGATGTTGGATCCAAAGACAGATACAAACTACCACTTTTGAATGAGGATTCTCCTTGTACAATGAATAGTTTGCAGATGCCTAAACAAAACACACTTATCTACTGTCTATTATGTTGACGAGGAGAACTTTTCGGAAATCACTTCACGCTAACGAATTAAATCTTGATTGTGAGAAAAGCGCGTAATCTACAAGCGTTGACTATGTTTACTCACATAGGAAGAAATGAGTATAACTGAACTGATCCATCGGGACTAAGAAAGAGATCGATGAAAGTTGAATTATGATATACAAGCATTTTTATACTTGGCCATTTTCGATTATTTGAATGTGGTTTCAATCACACTTCTTTCCTTTTTCTAGACAACTCTTTATAATTAGATGTAAGGTATCTGCTATTGAATCGATGCTAGTCGATGGATCTACTGACAGTATTTGTTTAAATAGTTTTTCCATTCATTTGGCACTGTTTTCATCTCTATAAAGACGCTCGCAAAGTAACTGACTAATCTGATACAATAGAATTGAATGTCGATATGCATATTCCATGTGAATACACATTCACAGTAAGTACTAAAGTCAACTTCAAATCTTTCCAATGATCTTTTCAACGAAGAATAATCAAGTCGACGCATATATAACATTCTACCAATGACACTTTTTAGAACAGGAATAATCGAAGAAATAGAAAATGCATCAAGAAAAAATTCAGATATAAATAAACCATGAAGATCCTTCGATGTTTTATTACTAAAACATCACCAGCATTTTGAAGGACTACGTATTGAGATAAGATCTTGTTCATATATATTTGGAATCAGGCAAAAAGTATTGGAGGAATGATTATTTTCGATACTGATTCAATAATTCCTCACCCTCAAGATAGAATCTTTTCCATTGATTCAGTAACGTATTTCTTTTATTTAAAGGGAGTGGATGTAGGTTCGATCTTGATGATAAAAACCTATTAGAATGCTCCATAGTTTTCAACGGATATCCTCGCTAGTTCGATTATAAATAAATAGTTCTATAGTCATTAGTAAAACGTTAACATTTGAATAATACGATTCCCGTTCCCGAAGGAACGGGAGTGGACCGAACTCGACGGCACTGCAGTGTCGAGACGATCCGTGGCGCAGGTCCGAGTGAACCCGGGTGATCCTGGCCCATGTCCAAAAATCCGCTTGAAAGAGCCTGGCCCCGATGGGACCAGCGCCGGCTTTCAAACCGACGAGAACAGATACTACACTTTGATCTTAGCCGAAAAGGCCGAGAAGCGATAACTAACATCACAAATTCGATCATCTTTTCTACCTCATGTCTTCACACATTTGATATTTTTCTATCCTTACGAAACAAAGTTTCATCAGTTCATCGCTGAATGACGTCATTTGTGTGACTATAATTTCGGTGAAGAAGTGACGAGAGATGGCAGTTGCTATTTTTCTTATTATATTGGAATTCTTGCCACCAATCAGCTCGTTTTCGTCATCCCACCGCAATATGTATTTGATCTAGTAATTTTTATCAGAGTTAATCTAATACCTACTCCAAAGCATATAACAACTAAATATCCTTTATAAGAGAATTGAAGATTTCAAATGCTACACGAACATTCGGTGTCCGATAATGACCTATTCTGCGCCGACCAGATGCTCCAAATAGTAGATTTCCTCTGGGTTTTCCTCGGATGTTAGTGGAATACTGTTTCCGGAATCGTTGTTCTGGGCTGTGATATTTCTATAGTGTTTTTTCAAATATACAATGTCTTCGAGAGTTGAACCAAGTTGTTTACGGGTCAAGTCTGTAATGACATCTTTTAAATTATGGGCAACACATAAATAAGTGAATTGTTGTTTCTTGGTGGTTACAGAATAGCCATTTTCTTCCATTCTCACTTTTCCCTGTGCGACTTCTTGTATTCAGTCCAAAGGTGACCGATTACATCACACATCGAAGATTCTTTTTGGTAGGTTAATTTCATTCTTAATATTGAAGAACTGGATGTCACTCAAATGCTTTAATCTTTTAATACGTTTCGGCATTCAAAAGATATTATCTTCAATCAATTTCTAGTAGATCAATTTATTCTTTCCTAGGATTGGCCCTGAAGTGCTATCCAACCTTTCCCAAACGTTGTCACGCACATCCTCAAGATTTGTAGCATGGTGATTCGGCAAAAGTATAAAGAGTAAAACAGGAAGGATGAGGACGGTCGTGTTTTTTTCTTTTTATATTTGGATGAAAAGTGTTGCTCTGGCAGGCTAGTATTGCTACCAGCCCGCACGATTTCGTCATCGCAACATGTATTTGATCAGAGTTGATCATTTACCTCTTGGTAAGTTGTAATAAGCAACTTTCCTCGTCGATAGCGAGGGCACGACATCACTATCGTCTTTTCACATAGCGTTTGAGGGAGAGCGAAAGAAAGGGCGATGTGTAGAGACTCGAGAAACGTCGTGATCTCGCCATCGACGAGGAAAGTTGCTTATTACAACTTACCAAGAGGTAAATGATCAACTCTGATCAAATACATGTTGCGATGACGAAAACGTGCGGGCTGGTAGCAATACTAGCCTGCCAGAGCAACACTTTTCATCAAATAAAATAAAGAAGCAATGGAGAGAGAGATAGACATCCGTGGTATGCTGTACACATCACTCATGTGAAAGGAATAGTGGTGAAAAGAGGATGAAGTTATCATTTTGATATTTTATGAAAGAATGGAAGTGGACCCTACTCGACGGCAATGCAGTGTCGAGAAGATCCGTGACTGAGGGCCCGAGTCAACTCGGATGATCCTAGTCGGTATCCAAAAATCCGCTTGAAAGAGCCTGATCCGAGTGGGATCAGCGCCGGCTTTCAAACCGACGAGAACAGATACTACACTTCGATCTTAGCCGTGAGGCGAGAAGCGATAAAGCAAACTGTAGAAATATGAGCTTTAAAAATCGGTCTGTCTTTACTGATGTCGTACACTTTTACTACATGAATGAGTCAACATTACTAACAAGTATTTCACAATTATGATGCAAAGCGAAAGAATGATTTCAGATCAGCGTTGCTACCGATCTGGACGATTTCCTTTTTTTTCTCCGCGGTACGTTTTATTTATACATTTTCATCCATGGCAAAAGACACTAAAAAACAAGCATGGTAGTTTGATTGACTTAATTTGACCGACGTCAAATGGCAACCACTGAACGGCTGTTAAGAAAAGTCAGGTTGCCACGGATAGATCTACTTCGAAGTTGTTGTTGCATTGATGCGTCGCAGTATTTCGGGATTTTCATATGAAATATAGATAATTACCGACCATGAAGACTACGTTCTTTTTAATTGGAGAGGTAGGTGATAGCTGATGGATTTCTTTGAGGCATATTATATCGATCGGTGTTCTTTTGATTTCATTTTTGCAAATTGATTTAATTTTGACACCAGGGCAATCAATCCCGCACCTGGATCCGATCGGATCGGAAACATGAATTTTTCGAGATTTTCTAAGGGCCATCATAGAATATGGCTGGAAAGATTGCTCATAAAATTTGCAATAACCGACGAAACTTCTCCAGTCGGACTCGGTCAGATCCAGCATCGCTTTTGTTGACCGGGGAAGGCATCTCGCGAAGAGATGTACAATGGCTTCAATTTCGTTGCACAGAAGACATTTTCTAGTAGTGTCGTTATGACTAGTACGTGAACGAGCATGAATTCCATAGTTTTCTAGGATCATCCAGAAATCCAGTATACGATGGAGCAAGCTTTCTGTTACCAATTTCAAAAATAGATATCTTTTAGATGCGGAACTCTAAGTTCCGCCATGGGGTTTACGAAAGTAAAATCGGTTAATTAACTGCCAGTAAAAGAATTGTTGATTTTGTTGTATTTTGGGACTTCCATCTGCTTTTAACCACATCCTAGTATTTGCCGCTACTTCATCGAAGAAAGATTCGACCATAAATCTGGAAAATATTCACGCAACTGAACACCGGGTTCTATTAAGGCGCAGAATTTCCATGGAGCTGGGTTTGACGGGTTGATCCGTTACGAGTGACATCTTATGTGTAAAGCCTCGACCATTGCTTGTACATATGGAAAATTGTAACTACCAACGTGTTCGTGACCGGTAATTGTTCCAAGTTTGATTCGTGGAACGACGGTAGACCAGAAGAATTTACCAATCATGTCTTGCAACTGTTCTATTACCTTCTTTGGTATTACTGATAATAATAACTAATATATCAATTGACTCAGAATAAAAACTTTTAACACTGTAACTCGTTCGTTTAAGAAAAGGCTGGTTGATTTCCAGAATTCGATTTACTGCTTGATGACGTTTAGTTTCTTTTCTAATTCAGGTTGCGGTAATTTCCCTGTTGTATCGATTGGGGCGCTCAAGAACGTGCACCAATCCGATATCCATAGTATCTCGATTTTCATACTATTAACTTCAGCACTTGAAGTAACGCTATACAACTCAAATATGTCCATGGTTAATTTTTCTTCTCGAAAATTTCGTACAATTGTGTTAACATCATCGGCATAAGCAATAGTTTTAATTCTAACTTGCTCTACATCTTTTCTTTGATCGTTCTCTGTGAGGAATGTGTTACGGATAGTTTCAAATTGGCCTCCAGGGGGTAATACACCTAAAATTGTGCGATTTGAACGAATGCGATGCAATAGTGGTTCAAGACAAATGATAAATAGTACTCCAGATAAATTGCAACCTTGTCTAACACATGAATTAAAATCTATCGATGTTGAAATGTAGTCGTTCAATTTTATTCTAAAAAGATCCATTGAAGTAGAGGAGTGTAATCCAGTTAATGAAGTTCGTAGTGAGGGTGTGGGTAACGAGGTTTGGGAAAAGATACATAGCGTTTGAGGGAGAGCGAAAGAAAGGGCGATGTCTAAGGACACGAGAGATGTCGTGCTCTTTACTACTTGTCGTACAATTGCTTATTACAACTTACCAAGAGGTAAATGATCAACTCTGATCAAATACATGTTGCGATGACGAAAACGTGCGGGCTGGTAGCAATACTAGCCTGCCAGAGCAACACTTTTCATCAAATACAATAAAAAAAAGCAACGGAGAGAGAGAGATAGATATCAGTGCTATCCTGTACACGTCACTTATGTGAAAAGAATAGTGGTGAAAAGAGGATGAAGTTATCATTTGATATTTTATGAAAGAATGAAAGTGGACCCTACACTGTAAAAAAAATCGGGTCATACTGAACCTTTCTATTGGTTTTAGACGCTAGCTAAAATCTTTTATGGTTCAGTATTGCCCGGTTTTTTTTTAGAGAGCAGATCAGCGTTGTCACCGATCCGGACGATTTCGTCATCGCAACATATGTTTGATCAGAGTTTTTTTGGTTAGACATCTGTTTATTATGTTTTATAAGGGATTCACATTAGATTACATTAAGATCGAGTTTCCAACGATAGAGATGAAAATTTTGTTAGGAATACTTTGGTCTGATACCCGATGCCGTCCAATTGTCAAGTTCCTTGTTGTCCAAACGCTCCAAATATATGCACCGATCGCGAGGACCACCTTTTTTCTTACTTTATTGTTTTTCGGAAAAGCTAGGATCCCTTTCATATATACGATGCTTTCATAGTCTATTCCAAGTTGATGTTCACTCATGTTTCTTATTCTTTTCGCCATTTTGTTTCGACAGTCATCGGAGAAATTGGATGCTATGAAGATATGCTTTGTTGTTTCTTCTTCTTGATTGCATAGGAAACATCTCTTCTTTCCCTCCGTATCGCCTAATCTCGATCTTGTGTAGTAATTTAAAGAAGAGTATATCCTTTAAATGTGGTAATCTTGTAATGCATTTTGGCGTACGAAAAAGCCCATCTTCAATCAAGGCATAATACTGCCATAATGCTGGCTTCTTTCCGGAGACTAGATGACGACCACATTTAATGCGAAGAGAGGCAACCATGGTTTTGATACAGAGTAATGCAAGGCCACCATTGTCCTTCTTTCCTACAAGTGTACTGAAAACGATCGTCGGTTTCTTGTTTTTCCAAAAAAATTTATTAATCATCTTTTGGAGTTTTTTAATTGTTTCCTTTGTTATTTTTCCAAAGATCATTAAGTAAATAATACGGCTTATAGTGAATGTTTTCAGAATCGTACAACGTTAAATGAGTGACAAATCATAATTACTCCACATTGCTATCTGTTGTTTAATAGTTGTTAACATCACATTAATATCTTCCCAGGTATATGTCCATAGCCATCCACCGCTACACCTAGGAAAGTATAGCTATTCTGTTTGACTTTCGCTTCAAAAGCTGGTGAAGGTTGCCCACCGCTGATCCACAGAATTTCTGTTTTTTCCGTGTTCGTTTTGCCACCTGAAGAAGCATTAAATAATTCTAACATTTTCTTCGTTTCGATTTTCTCATTTTGATCTTTCACAATCGTATTGAGATCATCTGCATACCCTAGAACTTTAACCTTCACATTTTCTTATTTGGTTAATTGGTTCGGGTTAATGATACATTGCACTGTGAAGTATCTTGCACCGGGCGGATCCACCTCGGATATCAGCGCATTTGTTCGAATTCGGTGTAACAAAGGTTCTAATGCAATTATAAATAGCGAAGCAAATAGGGCACAGCCTTGTCTTACTCCTGATTTAAAATCTATGGCTCTTGATATACATCCATTTAATCTAATCTCAAAAGTTCCGTTTTTATATAACATAGATATCTATTTAATGAAATTTTCTCCTGGTCCAAATGCACGTAAGGCCGCTTTAAGATAATCATGATTCACACGGTCGAATGCTTTCTCTTGATCCCATAGGATAATTCCTATAGGATCTTTTGTGCGTTGTTGATATTCAATGATTGCTCATATTAGATGAATATTATCATTAATCATTCTTCCTGGAAGACATTAAGTTTGATTTGAATGAATAATTTTTTCCATCACCAATTTTAACATCTTGTAGTCAGTATTCATCAGGGATAACGGTCGATAGCTCTTCATCGAACCATCGATTGCACCTTCCTTCTTTATTAATGCTAATAGTGCATCCTCTCCTGGCGCTTTTCGTTCTGGCATATCACATACAGCATGCTGAAATTCTTGGATTGTAATATCCGCATTTAACTTCTTCTGCTCGTCGTCGTTTAACTGTGGTAGTCCATCGAAGAGACGTCTAAGTCAGACTTTTCAGAAATCCTACCCAACGAGTAGTATGCCACTAATGAAAACCTCGGGTGCAAAGCACTTAGCTGATCTCTTTTATGAGCCAAAAGAAGTCGCTGTCTACTCCTATAATTGATGACCAGCCTAGTCACATCGTCAGCCTCAAAATATAAGATAATCATAACTTTTCGTATTTGTTTTCTTTCTGATTAATTTGAAAGTGTTGCTCTGGCAGGCTAGTATTGCTACCAGCCCGCACGATTTCGTCATCGCAACATGTATTTGATCAGAGTTGATCATTTACCTCTTGGTAAGTTGTAATAAGCAACTTTCCTCGTCGATAAGGAGGGCACGACATTACTCGTGTCTTTTCACATAGCGTTTGAGGGAGAGCGAAAGAAAGGGCGATGTGTAGAGACTCGAGAAACGTCGTGATCTCGCCATCGACGAGGAAAGTTGCTTATTACAACTTACCAAGAGGTAAATGATCAACTCTGATCAAATACATGTTGCGATGACGAAATCGTGCGGGCTGGTAGCAATACTAGCCTGCCAGAGCAACACTTTTCATCAAAATGTAAAAAGAAAAATGTCGGGGAATTCTCTTGTAAGACAGTCTGCTCGATATGGTTTCTTGGTGGAAGAGTAGGAAATGAACATGTGGAGAAAGCGTGCGTTTATATGGTGGGTGATTTGACAGAGTATGTTACAAGGGAAGATGATTCATAGCATATGTCAAGTGAAATATTTGGTGCTTGATATGAAAACAATATATAATAATGTTTGTCGGCAACGTTCATGTTGAAATGGTTAATGTGACAACATTGAGAATGACGTCTATATATACGATTAGTTTGGATGAGGAGGGCGGGAGAAAAAGAAAAGAATAACCAATACAAGAAGTGGTTAGTTCCTCTGTTTGTATTGAGGATTTGGTTTTGTAGAAAAGAGCAATTGACGACATCAATCGGAGTGATTGTCATGGTTGGCGCCTGTTACCATCGGATAACAATGCGAAGAAATAGAAAAGAAAATGACAAAGGATTGAAGATAGGAATGAAAACAGAAAAAAACCGACAAGTGCAATCGCTTGCGAATTGTGTTTTATTAGCAAGGAAATACGCCTATATTAACAAAAAAGAGTCTATATATAGAGTGTGGTCTATACTTCGGGTGCGCGCATTCCTACTCGAATATGACTACGGAAAGTTCAAAATCTGGAGCACCTACGCTGCCTGAGGAGGCAGATGTCGTCCGACCCGTGTCTAATCACAACCGACGATTATCGTTTCAGTCAACGGTACGTTCAACATGTCAGCAATAGAACATTTCGTGACTTGTTTGTCAGCAGCAGTCAATTTTCGCTTGCAACTTTTCTTCCGACCAAACGTTTTTTTTCATCTTCTATTTAAGACCAATTTTATTTAGGTTTTTCGTACTCAACGATTGATGCGCGTTCTCAAAACAATAAATTCCTCGCCTGAAGTGAGAAAAGATAATCAGATCGGATCTACGATGATCGAAGGAACTCAACATCAACGACGTGGTGCTAAAACACTGGAAAAGGTATATAATTGTAGATTAGCATCAATCGATCGACTTGAATCATATCAATCTGCGAGGCAGAAATAATGAAATGCGATCTTATTCAAACATACTTTTTCTTGTGATATTAATCTTGAATTCTAATAAGTTTGACGAATTCACATAGAGAGAACAGTTCTCCGTTCTTTATTTTTCCACCAACAAAAAAAATTGACATTTCCCGTTTGTACTAAAACTATTCATTTGTCTGTCGATCAACAAGAAGTTTGTGAGTGCTTTAAGCTGACAAACAAGGTTGTAGTCTTTCCGATTTTTTTGAACAAAAAAAACAGAGGAGAAGAAGGAAAAAGAATAAAAAAGAGTCAACGAAGAAAAAAATTAAGATCGCGTAACACCAAGTGCGTTAGAAGAAAAAAAAGGCTATTTATTAGATATTTAAATAGAGAAGGAGAAATTGCCGGGAAGAACAATACCGAGAACAACAGCAACGTCACTACTACAACATAATGATCCAACATGTCAATGAGACGACAATCAATATTTTCTACATTTTCTCCTACTGAAACTCGATCGCACGTAAGACTATGATCAAAGTAATATCTACTGATATGATTCTTTCGATTGAGCGAGAGAGAGAGAAAATTTACTACATACAATCAATTATCTTCTTCAATTTCAGGCACCTTCAGGAGAAAGTAGTGAAACATCAAGTGTTAGTCCTGTCTTAGGTCAATCGAACAATGCTACTGCTGCCGCTGCCAGTTCGCGCCGACTCGGTCAACGATTCATTATTCTTCACTATTCGCCATTTAAAGCTGTGTAAGTTCAATTAATTTCAATGCATATATATATGGATTGAATAAGCATGCAATCATTATCTAGATGGGATTGGGTAGTCATTTTGCTTGTCTTATACACTGGTATAATTACGCCGTACACAATTTCATTTCTTTCTGATGAAGATCAGAAACGAACTCATTTAAACACATTCGCAGCCACACGACAATTTAATCGAGAGCGAACCAGTATTCATGTTCTAGTTATTATTGATGTTCTTGTTGATTTCATGTTCATATTTGATATACTGATCAGTTTTCGGTATGATTGAATCTACTGTTGGATTTTATCTGAGATGCGTTCCTTTGATCTTTTCTAGAACAACATTCGTATTGAAAGAAACCAATGAAGTGATTACGAATCCCATTTTAATCGCGAAACACTTCGTAATCGATTCATGGAGACGATTTGCTGCCGATATACTTGGAGCGCTACCGTGGGACATTCTATTTTTTGGAAACGGAAGTCATTCGGTGAGTTGTCTCTTGGTTTGCTTTCACTAATGAATATATCACGGTTTTTCGCTAGACAATGCGTCTTGCAAATTGCTTTAAATTAGCTCGCCTATTACGACTTGTTGCATTCGTCCGAAATTTTCAGAAAACTGAATATCGATCAGCAGTTTTATTTCTTCTCATGCTTCTCTTTGCCATTGCTGCACACTGGTTAGCTTGTATCTTTCATTTTATTGCCATTCTCGAACGGCCTAATCTGCAAGTCAAATATTCATGGTTGGATCATCTTGCCGATAAATATAAAATGCCATATCGTATGTTCATCAAAACTATTTTTAATCTACCAAAAGACGACCAATTTATTCTTTTGTTTCCAAGTGGCGAATGATACACTGAGCGGTCCAGATACGAAATCGAAATATTTAACTGCACTTTTCTTTGCAATGACTTCTTTAACATCAGTCGGTTTTGGAAATGTGGCAGCGGTAAATAATGAATAGCTATTATTTCCAGAAGAAAGAAGTTCGTTCTTTCTTTTGTTTCGTTCATAGAATACAAATGGCGAAAAGTTATTTTCTATACTTTCGATGTTAGCTGGATGTAAGTGATCAATCAATGGAAATGGTAAATCCGATTTGATTTTTTTGTATTCCAGCATTTCTGAGCGCTTCTATTCTTGGAAGCGTAACAACAATCATTATTAAACTATATCAAGGTGCAGAGGAATTAAAGGAAATGAAACAGAGCATCGATGATTTCATTAAACATCATCGCATCAACAAACAACTGGCCAAACAAATGCAAGAATCATTTGATCATGAATGGAAAAATACCAAAGGAATCGATATGAATAGCATTTTGAAAACATTTCCCGAATGCATACAAGCAGATATATGTCTGCACTTGAATCGAGATCTACTAAACCATTGTCCGGTATTTGATGATGCAAGTGAAGGTAAACTTTACGATGATTATTGTTTGAGGAAAACCTCTATGTATGTGCTTTTAGTTACTCTTCGAACATTAGCTATTCTTTTCAAATCTACTCATGTACCACCAGGTGATACACTTATACATCAAGGGGACGTTCTTTACTATATCTACTTCATACGCGGTGGTCAAATGGAAGTTCTACAAAATAATGAATCACAGGCAATAATCGGTCAAAATGATACATTTGGAGAAAATCCATGTAATACAGTAACACCGGGAAAGTCTCGATGCGTTGTTCGTGGTGTGACATATTGTACATTGAATAAAATCCATCGCGATGACCTATTACATGTTTTTCATTTATTCCCTGATTTTGCTAAATCGTTTGCTGAACGTTTCCAAGTTACATTTGATCTTAGACAAGTAGGAGAAAAACGCATCGAATTTATTCTATGCCATGAACATGATTATTTTTTATCTATAGTGTGAACTAAACGAATCCAAACCATTCTACAAGTTAGATGATGAAATACAAGTACTGATTCGGCAGCGGCGTCCGAAATTACAAAGTGAAAAACGATTTAGTATGATGAGCGAGCGTGAAGAAGGTCAATTAGTGCTAAAGAAAAAAACATTTATTTGTATTCTATTCTTGTATATTTCTTTAGAAGAAAATAGATTAGCAATTTTGAGATCGTTTCGCGACGTTCGTATAAGTGCTGACGGTAATGTTCGACGATCAATGAATACTATCGTTGAGTTATCTCCTGATCAAGCCAATCTATGCGATGACAAGATCAAATTTGATCAACAGCCGCGACGAGTCTCGTTGTCACCAATAGTGCATGGTAAATCACAATTGTCGAATGAGCTTTAATATTTTGTTTATGTACGTTTAGGAATTTCCAATATGTCGGTGAAAAAGAAAACCACGCCATACACACTCTGTCTTCCACAAGAACCAGAAGAAAAGAAGTCACTGCTACCAGCTCAGCCACGTTCTCCAATAGATCAAAACACGTAATGTGTTCCCAAACTAAACTTTCAGATTATTTGAAAATCGTCAATTTTAGTCTGAGCATGTCACAAAAATTTGTAACCAACACTATACGCAGTATGGCTGATGTCGATGCCGAATTAGCACTTCTTCAGATGTAAGACTAGTGGCGTATTTTCCACCACAAACACTTGATAAACACTTTTTTAAGGCGATTTGATGGCTTGGAACAATTTATCAACGACAAAATCAAAGTTTTGTTTGATTTTGCTACAGTCGTTTCACAATCAAATGCGAATCAACTACTCACGAGTTCCATTCAAAGAAGCACGACCATTACCAATAAAACTTACACTGTTCTAGATAAACTGGTCTTTTCAACAGAAAAATAAGACAACTCGTGCATGCGAATGTTTCTTAGGCTAGTCACTGATTATGAGAACTCAAAATCTAATCTTTTTCGAAATAAATCCATTGCGGTACATCGAAGAAACTATCTTTGCCTTTTCTTTATTTGATCAGAATTGATCATTTATATCTTGGTAAGTTGCAATAAGCAACTTTCCTCATTGATGCCGACTGCACGACATTACTATCGTCTTTTGATAACAAGTCGGCTCCTTTCTCTTCGTCTTCTTTCATTGATTAATTGATACATTGATTGATCAATCTGCTTATTGTTAAAATTTGATGCATTTCAATGATATTATCTTTGCTTTACAAAGACGACATTGGATGATAGATCTTCGAGGCGTTGACAAAGTTTGCGAAAAGAATCATCGCACTTGAGGGAGAGCGAAAGAAAGGGCGATGTGTAGAGACTCGAGAAACGTCGTGCTCTCGCCATCGACGAGGAAAGTTGCTTATTACAACTTACCAAGAGGTAAATGATCAACTCTGATCAAATACATGTTGCGATGACGAAATCGTGCGGGCTGGTAGCAATACTAGCCTGCCAGAGCAACACTTTTCATCAAAATGTAAAAAATGTTTAAAAGAGCTAGATCATCACTTTATTCGATCTGAAGATATTCTATCTTTCGAAGAAGATACGTGATACTTGTCAGTCCGAGACAGTGTTTAGACATACTCTGCATAATTCATTGCATTTTGCTAGGAAATTCTTTTTTCTCCTCAATCAAATGTAAAATCAACAGTCAGTTTGTCATGAGTCAGCGTACGTGATATCACATGCTATACACATACATAAGTTTGCGATAAAATGAATGAGATTCTATTCTCGAATACATTGTTGCGAACAGAATTGAAACAATGGTATCATCTCAACTGCTCATATCATTTATTCTACTCTCCTGCTGGAATTTGTTTGATTTCAGTCAAGGATACAATCAGTGTAGTATTCGAGAAAGTAAATCACACTTTATTCGTCTTGTGATTCAAATTCGATTTCTATTTTCTCAACTAAGAGTTATGTTCAAGTACAAAAGCAAGATTGTTGGTGTTGACTTGGTGTTGCGAAGGTAGAGAGAGAGAGAGAGTTCGTAGCTTCTTCCATCGCTAATTGTCTTCTTTACAGAAAACGAAAAATGTGCCAATACATATTCGAAGTGTATTCTTCCATCAAACGATCATTCAACAGCTAGAAGTTTTTCGATCACGATTCTTATCGTTTCTATCTGTATCGCCGTATGCACTATTTCATGTTTGCAACGACAATCTCGACGCGTTTTTCTTTCGCGTCAAACAGTGTATGAACCTGTCGTCGCGATTAATTGCATCCTAGCTCCTTCAGTTGCCGAACAATTACCACCATCATACGAAGAAGCTATGAATAGCGGTGCTCAATAACATTTTTTCACTTTCTTTAGAACAAAAAGAATTGTGTCAGTAAATATGTTTATCCTAGTTAATTTAGTTTGAGATATTCACGCGATAAACTACGCCAGCATTATAGAAAGAATTTGTTGATCGATCGGAATAGAATAATTATCATTCTTTTGATGAAAAGTGTTGCTCTGGCAGGCTAGTATTGCTACCAGCCCGCACGATTTCGTCATCGCAACATGTATTTGATCAGAGTTGATCATTTACCTCTTGGTAAGTTGTAATAAGCAACTTTTCTCGTCGATGGCGAGGGCACGACGTCACTATCGTCTTTTCACATAGGATTTGAGGGAGAGCGAAAGAAAGGGCGATGTGTAGAGACTCGAGAAACGTCGCGCTCTCGCCATCGGCGAGGAAAGTTGCTTATTACAACTTACCAAGAGGTAAATGATCAATTCTGATCAAATACATGTTGCGATGACGAAATCGTGCGGGCTGGTAGCAATACTAGCCTGCCAGAGCAACACTTTTCATCAAATATAATAAAGGAAGCCTCTCGTTCAGTGATGCAATATCTATTATTGAATTCATGCTCAAATTTATTAAACAATCACAATATTAGCGAATATACATTAGTTCAATTTTTGACATTTATACAGCTGTGGAAAGAAGTCATTCGTTGGAACTGTTAGCGTTAGACGACCACGACCAGTGGCGAATACTCAAAGAACTGTCTGGTTGGACAGTCTAACTATAGCAGCTGGTTGAATTTCCGGCTCAAAGCTAACATATTGAGAGTAATGGCAGCTGACATCTGGTAAAACAGTTAGCCACACGAAAATTGTCAAAGCTAACTCTGAAGTTAATCTCTCCCATCAATTGAACAATTTGCGAAGCACTACATCGAGCATCAGCTTCGCTAAAAACAACAATTGGTAATCACGGTGTCGTTTTGTTTCGTTAGCACATACCTTGTTGCTCCCATCAGAATAAATTTTCCGATTTAGTATATTTTAGTTCTTTTCAGTAAGTAACTCATACCGATGTGCAATGCTCATATCGAACATTCTCAGCTCTCATTGCTATACGCTGCAACTCTAGTTTACTACCGAGCGAGTCCTGATGAGAAGTAGAGAAAAAATTTGCACTGTGTTTGATGAAAAGTGTTGCTCTGGCAGGCTAGTATTGCTACCAGCCCGCACGATTTCGTCATCGCAACATGTATTTGATCAGAGTTGATCATTTACCTCTTGGTAAGTTGTAATAAGCAACTTTCCTCGTCGATGGCGAGGGCACGACNGACGGCAATGCAGTGTCGAGAAGATCCGTGACTGAGGGCCCGAGTCAACTCGGGTGATCCTAGTCGGTATCCAAAAATCCGCTTGAAAGAGCCTGATCCGAGTGGGATCAGCGCCGGCTTTCAAACCGACGAGAACAGATACTACACTTCGATCTTAGCCGTGAGGCGAGAAGCGATAAAGCAAACTGTAGAAATGTGTGTTTTAAAAATCGGTCTGTCTTTACTGATGTCGTACACTTTTACTACATGAATGAGTCAACATTACTAACAGATATTTCATAATTATGATGCAAGACGATGAAATTTATTTTCTTTCGAATGGCACTGTGAATGTCCTTCATTGAAATATATTTGTTTGATTGATATGATAAATAAAGAGAAAAAGATTCGCAACATAAAGATAAAAATAAAAATATACAAAGTGAAATAAAATGAAGTTCCCTATTAATACGGTACTAAAAAAATTGGACAAGGCATTTGATCATTAATGATGAGCCATTATTTAGATGAATTGTTTGTGTAAATGCAGTAGGCGGCTGAGTAAGAAATTTATCGAGTGAACAGGGCAATATAGCTGATAAGCGTACTGATGCTGAACCAATATTATCTGCGAAGGAAAAAAGAGAAGTGTTTCGTTTCGATCAACGAGGGAAATCATCGTTTTAATTAACAAACCATCGGGCGAAAAATATTTATTGTCATACAGATTAATGCAAATAGTATCTTCAGCAAGATTATGAAGAAGAAATTGCATTGGAATATTCCATTCTGGATTCGCTGTTCGTTTGACAAATGGTGTTTTCAATGTTAACGAACCAACCGTTACCTCACAATAAGGATTAACTGTGCCTAAATTTGCAAAAGAAAAGCCTTGTCGCGCTAGTGAATAAATCTAAATATTACGCACGAAGCCGTTCGAGCGTTGGAATCGATGGCATTAAGTCATGAGCTTCTTGTACAACTAAAATCAGACGAGCCACAGCAGGTTTCGTTTCATATTCATTATCGTCATCAATAGCTAACAACGATTTGTTCGTGCTCAGTAATTTTTCAATTCTTCGGAGTTCTTCGGCGGCATTACTGATGGCTCGCACCCACAGCGTACTAGGAAAACAAGCATACAACATATTTATTAATCGAAACGAAGATATTTTTCGTGCAGTTCTACCGAATATTCGTCTGTTGTGTTTTTAATACAATTGGTTTTTCATGAATTTTTGTGACAATCACGAACGTTAGCTGATCAGTCACGGATTCAGTCGCTGTAATAATATCAGTTAGAAATAGTGGCTAAAACGAAGAGGATCCATAGAAAAGACGAACTTTTCTATTATTAACATACTAATCGGTATAGTTTTAATTGTAAACTTGTTTTTCGTTCAAATAATTGTGATTGCCAATTGTTCAAAGACGTTTTAGCAGTGGAAAAAAGAAGAAAATCATTGAATAAGAACACTAATAGTTCTTTTCCGCTGGGCATCTAAATAGATCAGATAGTTCTGCTCGTTTTCCGAAACCAAAGACAATAAACATGTAGAAAGGACGACTTACCTTCGTCATAAAACCATGGAGAAGTAGCTGACGTTGTGTATGGAATTTCGTATGCTCATTAAATTTCACGAGTTCATCGAAAAGATACCCGTCGGACGGATCTTCATCTGTAGTGAAACTAAAATGACATTGTAGCCAATCTAAACGCACAGTATTCTCCTGTTCACAGATTTGTTTGTTGATTCGTTCGTTTAATTGACGTGCACATTCATATGCTTGTTGAATGAATTGATAGTCGGGATGATTAGGATTTGTATGTTTAAGGATTTTCTCGATTAATAATGGATAACGTGTCACACGTTGAATCGGCTTTGTTAGAAAACCATTTAATGATAAACCACCGGTTTTGTTTTGGAAGATTTTCAAATACGAACGGAATTGTTTGTTTACACTTATTTTCGATTGCAAATATTTATCAGCTTGTCGACGACAATTACAGTATTGGAAATAAGAATCAGCCATGTATGGTAGATATGAGCAGAGAATTTCGCCGATGCGTGTCGATTCATTAATTATCATCTGAGATGAAAAATGCGATGATGATGACGATTGAGGAACAATGTTATCATCTAGGCGTTCTAGTGTTGATGATCGATGAGACAGTTCAGCATCCACAAAGAGCTTCACTGGTGCCTAAAAAGTAATGTCTAGTTCAACAAAAGGTTGTGTGTACTGTTATTAATACGTACATTAGCAAATCGTGCTATATTCGACATTGATGCTGAACGTGGTGTTCGAATGCAAGCATGATCGTCATCATCGAATGTTAGTAGATGTTCCTTGTATTGTACTTGATCTTGTAATGTCGAGAGAAAAACAGTGTTGCATGCAATTAAATTAAACCAATTGCTGAAAAGTTGTTCGATTTCGTAATCTTTCAATACTCGATCATTATTTAATGGCTTGATAAAGTCGTTCGCAACCGTACGTAAATCATTCACATAGCGTTGTTCGGTTTCGATTAATTCGCGCATGGCTGATACGCGGGCAGAGCTATTCAATGGTATACGCTGAGATGAGGAATCAGTTATTAATGCCGATGAATCATCACTCGATGTGATAGTAGATTCATCACAGAGAGGTTGTTGAGATGAATTCGTTGTTGTTGGTGTACATGGAATTATATTGGGAGAAAGATAACAGGATTTAGACGAAGCTGGAATGAACAAAATATGAATTAATAAAACGAAAGTCAGATCATGCAGAAGAACAGGTCGTTCGAGATTAGTAGTCGATAGATCATGCAGCGTTCCGTTTGTGTTTTTTTCTCTTTTGAGTTATTACTATTAACTTACGACAAGGTATAGTAAAAGCTGTTTTGTGGTTATGATGTGAATGACGTTTATGTTTGATCGGCACTGGAGCTGATGTTAGTGTTGGAAAACAACAACAAACAAAAGAAAGCACCTTTTCAAACATATTCTTCTTCTATATCAAATGGAAAACAATATGATAGAGACTTATATCAATTGTATGCATATGAAGTTTATCTAAGTTTTCTTTAATTTAAACCTATGTATTTGGATGGTTCTTTTTCTGCATACGAATGAGACAAAACTAACAGTAGGCCAGTACGAAAAGAGAAAGATAGATGACAAGATATGAATAAGAAAATCACGGTTATGTGAAAGTTTAGAAAAATACTACTGACTGGTGATATATAAATAAAGATTCGGTCAACGGTTCGAATCTATGATATCACCAGGTTGACCGAATTAAACACAAAAATATGAAAGGGAAAATCACTATGGATTGATTGACAGAAAGAAATACGCACACGAGGAAAAGCTTGCTTTCGAGTACATGGTCAATGAGATGAAATATGACTAAAAATATGTAGTCGGAATCAGACAAAACATACGGAAGAAAAACTGAATTACATTGAATAAAATGTGAATGTATATGAATTAATATTTAAAGACGAAAAGAAACACTCTCTGTGAATATATTTACTAAAAATATAATGACGACTAGTAAGTTAACATCGAATGAGAACAGAAAACAGAAGAGAAGATCAGGCGTAGAAATTAAGCGTCCATTTTCTTGTCCTAGAAGAAAAAACATGACGAGACGGAACATTATATTTGGTTTTCATCGGACGTACATTGATGATGAGCATCAATAAGTTGCACGTATGTCGACGGAATTAGACCGACTTGATCGCCGAGACGGGCTTTGAACCAGCCGCTAGTATTTTCGGGATCTGATATTTCTAAGACAGCGTCAGCCGGAAAACTTAATTCATCATCTTGTTGAGCATCGTATGGAAAAATAGCAATGTAATGTTGCGAATCTAAAAACGAAGATAAACATCAATAGTTGTACAATGCAGACGAATGATTGATGTTCACTTGATGCATTCGGATCAGACGGTATCGATGAAACAGGCGTTTGAATCTGAACGTGATCAGAAGGAAACCAACCGACACGTACTGGTTGGTCAGGAAGCTTGTTGAAGGAAAAGAAAAGATGATTATTGCGTTAAAAAAAAAGTAAACTACTTACTCGAATTTCTCCTTGATACCATCCATTTTCATCTTTCTTCGTCAGATGAACTATCTGATCCTTTTCGAGCGTCAGCTGACCTGGTTCCGTACTTTCGAAAGGTACAGTTGCAATTGCAATTTCTTCCAAATTGCTGATTTTTTGCACATAGTTACTTGGAAATACTCCTGTGCGTTCACCAATTTGTCCTGTCCACCACTCACCATCATGTTTGAGAACGACAATACGCTCACCAACATCAAATGATAAATCAGATGGGTCCGTGGCTTCGTATGCATAGACAGCTTCATATATATTATCTACGAAATAGTCAAATGTACGCATGTATTACATCTCGAATGGAAAGATCAGTCTCACCACTATCAACATCATTCGTTGTTATACTTTTCTGAGCAACAATCGAACTGGAAGCTTTTCCACTGATCGGTGAAGTTCTAAAACGATCGTAATAGGATATTCATTCAGGCAATCATCTTTAGTGTAATACTTTGGCGAGCTGTTCCTATTTTCTAGTTCTACTTCTGTGGCTGGTCGAACATAATTTCGTGGAAACCAACCAACCTGAAACGACATTTCTTCTTCCATGTTACAAACATATTTCTGAGAATTTCTATCTTACTTTGCCGTGAAGTTCTCCACTGTACCATGTTGCATCTTTCTGTTCTCGTACAACTATAAACTCATCTTTTTGAAATGATAAATGTTTAGCGACTGTTTTTCCTTGACATTCAGCTAATGTTATCACCCATGAGCCAGACTGAAAATGAGATAGATGAGCACAGAACTGAATTCAGACACCGTAGTCTGAAAATTACCTGTAGTGGTGACGTGGCATCAATAGAGTTATTCATTGTTGTTGACCTACAAATGTAACATAGTTTCACCAGTAAAATGTGGTCTATCGCTTCTTGCACATACGGAATTCGTTCAGCATACGCTAATGGAAAGAACCCTTGTTTATCATTACCAATCCGACCAAACAACCAATGGTCATCTTGTTGTTTTGTTGGATCCACCTAATAGAAATGAGAGAGAATGAACAATCATCAATGCTTGTCTGCTAAAAAGAAAACTTATATTTGATTACTTACGATAATGATGTCTCCGCTTGACATGGCCATCTCGTCCGAACGTTCTGGTGCATAGTCATACAATACCCGATATTGAATGATTTCTGGAGAAAACAAATGAAACATTCTGTGAAATGTTTCATGATGTTGAATAAATCCTCTGACCTGAAGAAGAATTCTCATTGGTTGCAGGTGTTGGCTGAGGCCACTCGTTAGTTGTCCCAAAGGGCGAATTCGATTTATTATTGTTATCGAATTGTGTCCAAGCATTTTCATTATTGTTACTTATTGTCGGCGTTCCCCATGGATCTACAGTGGATGATTGTTTTGAAGTATCTATAAGATAGAGAATAAATTTGTTGCTGAGAAGAATGAATCGAAATCAGACCTTTCAAACTAGGATTTGCTTTTGGTGCTACTTTCTTTACTTTTGGTGATGCTACGACAGGGGCAGTTTCAACCGGTTCAATTTTAGCGACAAATGGATCCACTGCAGCAGAAACTGCAACGCTAGCTGATGGTTGAAACCAGTCGCTATTCTCCGGTGCTGAGCCTAGATCAGAATGAGAAGCAAATGGATCCACTGTTTGAAATGGATCGACGTCAGTAGACAACGACGATGGCGGCGGAGGAGGAGAAGTAGCTTCTGTTGTCGTTGCTACTGCCGCTGTTGCTTCTGCTTCTCCTTCCGCTACTGTTGCTACGGATGCAACAGCGGGTAATGAAGAAGAAACATCAGAAGATTGCATATTTATATCCTCAGAAGGTATATCAGCATTAAATTGATCAAATTTAGCTGAAAATAATAAAATAAGAAAGAGAAGGAGTGAGAACATGAAGGTTCCACTTAAGCTATAAAAGCATCCTTACCGAATTCAGCAGGTGGATTAGTTGGTGAAGCAACCTCACTAAAGAACGACGAACATGGTTATGTTTAGAAAAACTACTAGCAGTTCATTTATTACCTTGGTGGTTTCTTTTCTCTCGCTTCTTGCTCCAGCTGTTCGAGTTGAAGACGAAGTTGCTAAAAGAATAGTAAGGTTTTCATTCAGATCCATTCTCTTGACGAAATATGAAACAAACCTCCATTTGATTTTGTAAATCTTTACATTGATCATTCGCGACTGACATGAGCCCATCGATTGCGATGTATTCTTCATTCATAGCTTCATTTTGACTTTGCAAATAGTGTATCTGATCTTGTTCTCGATTACCGTTACCTTTAATGATGCATACGAAATTAAAAAAACTTCCTTTTATCCAATATTCTCACTGAATTCTTTCGACTGAATAAGTTGATTAACGGATGAGTCAAGCGATTCACGTTCTACTTGTAGAGCATTTAATTGTGCCAGAAGTTCTTTTTTTTGTTGTTCAATATTTTCGAAAATATTTCTCTCAGTTACTATATTCCGTTGTATGTCAGCAATTGTCTCATCAAACGAATGAATATTGGTTTCAAGTTGAGTGATTTTTGTTTGACATGTTTGCATAGTATCATCCATACTTTCTACTTCGAGTCCAAAAGCTTTTTCACGAGACTTCAAATCATTGATTTGTTCGAGTAAACGCGATTTTTGTGACGATAACTCTAGCATACGTTGACGTTCCCATTCCAAACGATTCTTACGCTCTAATTCTTTCCGTGCAGCCTAAATCATAACAAAAAAACAACAACTATTATTGTCTGGACACATAGATATTGATGTTTACACAGATGTGACTGTATATCTTCAACTATGCATCAAAGGAAACTTCGATAGATTCATGCATAACGCATGAGAACGAAATTTAAAGTGTTTATTTTGGCATGGATATGACTCAAACTCGTCTTATTAAATATTAAGACGTGATCTCCTGATCCATGCATCTCTCTTCTTTTCCTGTTGGTATGCCACATTTACCTCTCGTTGTTCATGTAATTTTTTTCGTTCTTCTTCTTTTTGGTGTTCAATCTGTCGTTGCTTTTCGAGTTGCCGTTCGATTTCCATTTGTTTCTTGCGTTCTTGTTCTTCTCGATGTTTTTGTAATTCAAGCTCACGTTTACGTTCTAAACGAGATTCGAACTATTAGCCCTGTGATATACGTACATACAACAGATGTATACGACTATAACAATTCAACTACTTCTATTCGCTTTTTTGAAAGGAAAGAATGCATTGACGATACACGTACCTCGTTCGTCACGTTCTTTCTGTTCTCGATCTTCTTGCTCACGTAATAATTGTCGACGTCGTTCCAATTCTCGATTACCATCCTAACGAGAGTGTATCGATAGATAATGACAAGAAAATAGGTCATTTTACTTCGTAGTTTTTCAATCGTTTCTCTTCGTATGTTATCAAGGCAGATTTTCGTTCCACTTCTTCCAATTCAGCCGAGACATTTGCTGGAGTAGGCTCTGGTGTATTGACTGTTGTCATTGTTTCTTGAAGCTGCTGATTAAGATTAGCATATGTTTGATTTTCAATTGATTTAGATCCTGTATCTGCTCGTTCGCGTTGCATAGAACTGATCTGTAACCAGTCTTCAGGTAGCTGAGGTGGTAATGGTAGGCCAGCACGTGCAATATCGCAACAATGCATTGCGATGACAAACTCGTCAGCTGATAGCCGACCATCTTTATCATAATCTGCTAGATTCCTATGTGAAATTAAAAGATTTCAAAAGTCAGTTCGATCGCAAGCAAAGTTAACTTTGTATCGTACTTACCAAATTTGATGGAGAAGAGCATGTGCCAGGCCCGTTTGTAGAAGTATATTTTTTGCTTGTAAACCAGTGATGTATCCGCCAGTCTTCATTCCCTCAGGTAAGGAATGAAACTGCTGGAGATATTTCGATCGGTTCGCTGGTGTTATTGCAATAGGTGAAACGCTTGTTGCGCCCGTTGGTTTGGTTATTGGTCTGAAACAATTTCATGAGAAATGTTCAACTGTCAATTCTTCCTTATTTACCCAGTCAATTGTTGATTGGAGATATTTGGTCGACCGGCAGCTAAAAGGATGTTTTTTTAAAAAAATATTTATGCACATCATGGAATGCAAAGGAAAAGCGTTAGTTTTCGTTAGAGATGGCAGTGTATTTCTACTCGATCTTACCCCAGGCAGAACAGATTCTTTCGTCTCATGAAAATGATGTCACTGCAATAACTTTAGGATGTTTATATGAAATATGTATATATATTACACAAACAATAACAAGCGGTTAAAACAACTTACGTTTATTTGCTGCAGGTGCGTCAACTGTTGTCACCACTGTTGTATCCGACAGAAGACTAGGTGGAAGAGTTGACGGTAATGGTCCTTTCTTTTGAACCTATTTCCGAGAGTAAAATTGATGAAGAAGGAAAATCTCACAAGGAAAATATTTACTTGAAATGCGATTAGATAACAAGCAATGGCAAATTCGCGTTTATCTAAACGGCCGTCAGTTGTTATATCAGCTAGATCCCTATGAAATAAAACCAAATAGAATAAGAAAGGCAACAGAATAAACATAAGATCATCTCACCAGATTTTCCGTAGTATATCTCCAGGTAGACCTGATTTAACGAAAAAGTCTCTTGCTTGTTCACCTGCAAACGAGAAATTCGATCGTCTTTTACAGATAGCTTTTATTATGAAGACGAACTTACCTGTGAGATAACCTTGCATTGGTCCACATTGCTGAAAGTACGCTTCGTACCTCATACGTTCATCGGCACTCATTCTCCAATCACCTTAAGATATGACGTGATCAGAGCAATCAACAATAAACTGCAATCAATCAATTCTTACCAGCCATGTCAAAACGTCTGCTTATGTCATCGTCTAATGTGATTCTAATTAGAATGAAAACGAAATTCTTATGTATCAATCTGTAAAAGAAAGTTTAACAATGTTATCTAATCCGATAATTGTTTTGATCAGAACGAAGGATCAATAACAATCGTTCACCATCGTGCATCGTTTAGTAAAAAGCACATAAGAAAAAAAAATGGATCAACCATTAATCTATGGGAGGAAACCATTCTCTAGAAAACAATATGGCATAGCGTTCACAGATGTCACTGAAGGTCAACAAAAACTTTTGCTGAACGGAAAATTTGTCTGTCTTATTATTTGCGCGGGTGACTTTAGTCTATCAGTACATTATGTTTTTTCTATAATATGTCAACTTTCGATTATGGGTTGTGTAACCCAAAAGTCTTCGAAAAGGTTTTTTACCAAAGATGATTTACTCGAATTACAAAAACACTCTGAAGAGTTACATGAAAAGCGTGTCAAGATTCTCAAATGGATGGAGGGTGGTGTTCAATATTCAACAAAGATTCCTAATCATACAAAAGTTAAATGGAAAAACACCGAAGAAACTGAACAGCCCCTGTATTGGCAAGAGGCGTGGGGGAGAGAACAACAATTAGTTCAGCATCCTTCATTGATAGATTCATGTAACTCGAAACTATCATGCATAACATTAATTGATGAAAATCTTCGGCTTCCATCTGAAAAAGAAATCGAGTTATTTTGGAGCGAGTTTCATACGAATAATATACTCTGACAAATACATGTAGAAAGACGATGGAATAGAGAATAAGATTTATTTAAATGTTCATTTACCTGACAGTTTAGTATACGACGAAAGATTTCTACGTGACGGAGTATTAGTTATGAGAGATAAAGGTTCAAACTACAGAAAAAGTGAATGAATAGTCAATAACAGATCAGTCTGTTGAATGAGAATTGTCAGAGATATTATTTTTTCCAATAGTAAGGTGACCTAGTGGTGGTTGTATATTGATTTTCATCAAACGCAGCACAACCTGTTTCAGCCGCAAGCGGACTCGCTGTGAAATTGTTATAGAAAACTTCACCGTAGTTGATGTTATCCCAGTAATCATTAATTTTACTTGTGACAGTTGCTGCATTGCTTGTTCCCCAATAGTTACCAGTTGCTAATACGTCATACGTACCTTTGTTATCTATGTTGTATTGTGTGTTCGATTGAAAATTAGTTTGTGAAATATTAACGGCGTAAAGACTGACTGGTCTAACGCGAAGGCCAATATCAAAGTTCTTTATTGTAGAACGCGATAGACTTAAGCCGGCTGCATCGACACCAAGGCTGTTTGCTTGAGCAATTGAACCTGATCGACCAATTGAACTGCATAGTATAGTTGATGCTCCATTGATTGTTAACGGCGAACGTAGTGTAATAGTTGAGTAAACGATCTGGGCTTGATGATAAGGTAGATAGATGACACCATCTGTAAAAGACACATTGCGCATATCGAAAAATCTGATTGCGTAATTAGGACCAAGATCATTTGTGCTGGATGCTGTAATGTTAACTTTCGTCAAGACTGAATTGAAAATTGATACCGAGTGTTCATAGTAGCGCATAGTTAGAGTTAGAGCCAAATTGCCGAGAGTGAATTTACAATTGCGGATGGATATCTTAGGTGACGGGGGGGATGAATACCAGTAATTCGTTTTAATATATGATGTAGTAGCATTGTAAATAGAAGAGTCTTCCAAGATAATTTCTGCAAGCATGAGACTCAAGAAGGAGGTGCCGGCAGCAATGTTCAGATCACGAATTACTGATTGACCAACAACGAATGTCGCTAAATAAGAGAACGCATTTGAGTAGGATATTGTGAGATTTGTGACATCGGAGGTATTCAGTCGAAATATGCTAGGACCACCGGATTCTCGATCGTAGCTGACAGTACTATTTCGCAGTGTGGAATTTTCGATTTGTATACCTTCGTTATTTGCCGGTGGAGAAAATATTCCATAGAAAATTTTACTATTCAAAATACGAATCGGTTCGCTGTCTGCATTTATGCTCGACACAGTCGTTTGGGAAAATGAGCACGAAAGATATTCCATCGATGGAACGGATGAATAATTAGCCCGTGGATAAATACCTAAAATATAAATGCCTCACATAAAAAAGAAGAAATGACCCCCCAACGACCTACCGTTCGCTGAAATCGTTGTGCCATCAGAGAAAATACTGGACTCTATTACCAGTTTGCCAGTATTTTGTTGCAAACCGGGAGCTGCATTAGTTATCTGTACAGCGCTCTTGGGTCCTTTGAACTGTGCGTATCGAATTGATGTCAACGGGAGTCGAGTACTTTGAAACTTCAACATATATTTCAGATCACTTCCAGACCCGCCTTGAAATGTGACCTTTTGTGATGAAGTACCTTCGACTTTCAGATATCCTTTCACCAGAATTTCAAAATCTCCTTGAGTGAAATCGATCACCACACCAGCCTGGATTGTGAGAGTGACATTGCGCGGTACCTGAACATCTTGAGTAAGATAATATGGATTGGCTGAACCAGCACTACTCCAAACGGTATTAGTAAGCAAAACGCCACCGACATACGTAGCTGCTTGACTTGAGCCGCATAAGAGACAAAAGATAATAGCCAAATGTAGATGCATGTTTAAGCAATCGATGCAAAACGTTAAATGGTAGTTGAGAAGGCATTCGATTCGAGTATTTATATGCACCACCTATCCTAGGAAATTTCGCATTTATTTCATGATTTAGATGACTTTGTAGCATAGTCATCCAATTGTAAACACTCAAATCACAGCAATTAATAATGTTCCGAGTATTTGACTATACCTACTACCGACATATTTATCATACAAGGCAACGTAAATAAGAACACATTAACTGTCGTGTATGCGTTAACGTCGTCAGGTATTTGTATAGTCGTTGCGATTCGTCCTTGATTTGCTACTTTACTCCTCGTTTGTTAAAATTTATTTTCATATTGTTGATAATCCAACAAGATAACTTTTCTTTTCAAATATTCAACACACATATCACAAAAACTGAAGAAAAATTAACTTCTAGATCAGAAATTTCAAGTACTTTTTATGACTCGAGCTCAAGTTAGCAAATCTCTTTTCTACCTGCACAAGTAAACAATGTTTCTTCCGAGTGCAGTTCCGAATTTTTAATCGACATATTTGTTTCAATGATAAACATCGATTTTGATTTGCCTCATTAATTTTGTTTAATAAAGTATTAAGTCGGAATAAGATTCGTTTCACAGGACGATATTCATTGGTTTCATGAAAAATTTCTTCCACATAATGGATACATTCATTCAATCGTATCAAATCCGCTTCTACTGGCTCAAACGCACAATGTGTAATCAAATAGGTAAATAATTGTATTTGTTTCTCAATCAGATCATACAATGCTCGTAAAAGGCGTGGATGAAATTTCGTTTGTAAATCAATTAATTGTTTATTGTATAATTGAATCAAATATAGATAAACAGGGTCAAGAATGAGAATAAATGGTGATTGATATGGCAGATCGTCTAGTGCGCTGAAGTCAGTAGATTCAATTAGAAAACGTAAACATTCGATGGAACCACATGGACGAAGAGACTGATGTTTAAACCATTTGATGTTGTATTTGTCAATAGTCACTTGTCGATGTTCAGCTAACAAACAAAGATGGAAGATTTGCTGCTTTTGTTGATGAGTAAGAGTATCCAATGTAAATGATTTGAATTTAACTAAGACTTGTAAAAGATCTACACGATCATTTCGAATGACTGATGCTAAAGGTATCTCATTCTCATATGCTTCAATCTCACGTTGAAGTAAGTGACATGGTTCATGATGTAGAAGATAATGGCAAGATTGTGTTGAATTACTGATACCGTCAAGTGGTGCGCAAGGAAAATGTTCCAAAATCAATTTTAGAATATTTTCATCGCCTAAAGCAGAAATGAATTTGCCAGGTAAAGTGATCACGCCCTCCTAGCTAACCTCTTTCACATGCAACTGGTACAAGTAATTTACCATTATCGGTTGAACGGCTGATAATATCGAAATATTTTGTTAGAACATTTCCGATAAATGTCTCTGTCGATCTTTCGAGAATAATTTGATAGATATTGAAATGATTATAACCAACTGGTATCGGACAATCGACTAGTGAAAGATCATCGTCAAGCAGTCGATTGAATATATCTAAATCGGATTTCATAATTGTTTCCAGTAGAAATCGTCGTTTCTCTGTTTGTTGAGTTAATTGAACGATTTTCAATGCTGCACTTATGTACGACCATTGCTTTTTTAGACGAATCTTTTTTCGATTATATTCAGCGGACATGTTATCTGACGCTAAGTATCTAAAAGTTAAATCTATTGTGGTTTCGAAGGTGATTGAACAGCGTGAGTAATATTTCTATTACATTTTCATTCATTCATTCATTCATGCATAAAAAAGATTTCATCAAAAACCAAAAAGAAACTGACAATGACTACAAAAGAAAACTTGATTAATTGCTACATACAAACGAAATTGACTGAGATTAGTGAATAATGCTGACTGTGAAGGAAAAAAAATATACAGTTATACATCGCCTTCGACTAGCGGTGTAAGAGAGGATGGCTTTCGGGATGTTAATAATCCATAACCATTATTTGTTTTTTCCGTCGCTGTTGATGGACTTGCTGGATGCATCGATGGTGGTGGTGGAACACTGGAAGTTCGACGTCGGATGGATTCGTAACATTCGGTCAAATCGACTGGATCTGAAATCTGCCGTTCTATTTCTTTTCTCACTGGTTCACCACCTAATTCTTGTTTACGTTTACGCTTCATGTGTTTCAAATCTTTTGTGTGAAATGCGTGCCACAATTGGTTGATAACCTAAAAGACACATTTGAGTTAGTCTAACCGTCAACGTTCAGCTAGACTTCATTTGACTTACCTCGGTGCAAACAAAATCGCTTGTATTCGAGGATAGAAGACGAAGCATAAATATTCCATCTGGCTCAAGATACCCGAATATAAACTCACGATACCATCCTTTCATATACTCGGGTGGATGCGAGCTGAAATCTGTATCACGTTTCATCAACTGTAGACGCCGTTTAATATAATTGTATTGTTTGTCGGGGAAAAATCGTGTAACCCATACGATGACATCGAATATTGACTAAATTGGAAGAGAATTATATTTGTTCAAGAGTGATTGTTCAAAAGAATACATACAACAACGAAGACCATCATATACCAGAACCAAATAAAGGTAAAAATCTAAATCGATGATTACATTGAAAATAAATATGATGTTCAATGTGGGAGATTAGTGTTTTACTTGTTGAGAGAAAAGATTCAGTGGGAGAACGCATTGAACTGTATAGCGATGTGAATCTCTTGGGTGAAGTGCTTCCCGAATTTGAAAATCGCACAGAGTCACTTTAGGAAAATAGATCGATTGTGTATCCCATCCTAAATAAACAATGAAGCGAATGATACTTTGCTCTTTTCATTTACCTCGTCCTTGAAGAATTCGTTGAACAACTTGAATTCCGAATAGATGAAATTCTTGTCCAAGAAATAAATTCAACAGAAAGATTTGACATACAGCATTTGTTATAAACAATGCTTTCGTGGTGAAATAGACGATAATCAAGTAATTACCCAAATATTTACCCATAAATATACAAACAGTCATGAAGATGCGTTTTAAATTCATATGTTTGTCACGTTCTTCAGCTTGTCGACGCGGATCATCGACATATTTATCAATTGCTTCAACTATATACTCCATTAATTCACTTTTATGTTTATCGTCTTTCGTGGCCGTATCGACAGATTTGTAATTAATAGCTGCATCAACAATATCACGAACGTCGATACCACTACGACGTGATAGTGAACGCCAAACAATATGTGGAAAATAGAAACAAAATGCTTGGAGAAGAAGTATAAATGGTATCCATTGGTAGTATCGTAATTCATTCTGGCGTCGTTCACGATCGTATTTTGGTACTTTATGATCAAGAGGTATATAATATGTATTCGATACCCAACATATGTCATTGACATATTCCTAAAAGAAAAAGAATTCATTTTTTTACAATGTGAATTGTTTCCGACAATTACCTCGTAGTTTTTCGTAAACTGTGCAGGAACCCAACCTGAAATAAACAAGAATAAAAATGATGGCGTCATTTTTCCTTTTCTTTGGTCTTACATTGAATATGTTTGGTGCCGAATTGCTTATTGGTAACAATAATTGCAAAGAGAACAAGCACTAAAACTGTATATTTATACGACAATCGATCTGCGAAACTATCATCACAACGCGACGCTCCGAAGACGAGCGTCGGTAGACGCGTGACCATACCAACGATATCCATTTTTAACTCTTCTTTTCAATCTGAAAAGGAAAGTATAGCACAATCCTCTTGCAACACACCGAATCATAGTATCAACGCATTACTCAATCATTTGACAGTTAAATCTTGGACTTTGACATACCTACTATCATTAGTGGAAAAGACGAACAGAATGCATTGGCAAACCATTAAGCTAACTATCTCTTGTAGGAAATAAACTAGCTCGATATAATCGATGTACATTAGCAATAATTGTTTTTATCCTGATACGATCTCCATCCAGAACATTACCAGCCAAGGCACTACTCCATCATATGCAAATAAAATAGATTTTGAGAAATGAAATCGAACTGACATAATAGACTGTCGAATGAAGTAGCAAAACGTTTTTTCTTTCTTTCCCGTGTGATTGTGTCTAGAAAATATGAAAAAAAAGGTCTCACGGAAAAGAGGAAGGAGTTAGCGGTCAATGCACTCCGGCAATAGAAAAAACATAAAATAACAAATCATGTTTTCTATTCATTAATCGACTGCTTTTTTTTCTCCAAAATAATTCACGATTTTTGTCATTTTAACTTAATGTGTCTTCGTCGGATTTGATTACGCTTGCAACGTCTCTTACCACTCTACTGATTTCGTTCGCCATGCTAGGAGCAATCGAATAAAAAATAGTCTGACAATAAAAATAAATATACGAGTAATTAACTTATCGTAAATAAATAACTGAACCAACTAACTAACTAACCACCGCTGCCACAGCGCCTCATCGAATCCGGTCGATTTGTCCTTAGGAAACAACCAATGGAAAATACTCATGTGTCGCTAGACATCGACCGAGCGAGGAAATTTTTAGCGTTCTTTCTTTATATACTTCGAAGAGCAGACAATAGAGAAGAACAATTGAAGCTATTTCTTTGCAGATAATCTTCAATGAATAGTGAAGCAATTCCTGTCTCTACGTCTGTTCCATCTTCTTCTTCGTCAATATCCTCAAAAGAAGCTCATCCGCTATCTCTGCCACTCTATCTCACATCTACATCATCCTCATTAAAGCCACTACGCGAACGTAATCGAACAAATCTCAAGCGACGTATTAACTTATCACGCAGTCAAGTATTAAGTAACGATTTCGAAAACGAAGACAATCTTTCCGTAACACCAAAACCAACTACCACAAATAAAACAGCAATAAACATAGCTAGTTCTCAGACAACATTACCATCAACACGTGTGTACTTTACCTTTTTTCTTGTTCACTGGATTTACTTCTTCTTTGTATCTTTTCAGCATCGCTTCACACTTATTCGGAACCCTATTCAAAAACAGTTAGTCCACAAACGCCATCACCTATTCATACAACAGTCACATGCAGTCAAGTATGGGAAAGATTAGCTTCGAACGATGAGCAACAAACGACAACATCGCCGAAATCAACAACATCTATACCAGCATCAACGACAGTCTCTGTTTTACCAACACACATTTCGTTTTCATACGATCTTAGCGATGATGAAGGAGGAGATGAAATAGTAAACGAGGATAAAAATGATTTTCAATATGTACCTGTTAGCAGTCAATCAAAACTTGTTCAATTTCAATTTTTAACATTTGCCAGACAACAAAATCTAGATGTAAATAGTGATAATGATGGCAGTAGTGTCAATGATAGTGACGAGGACGAGGACGAAGACGAAGACGAATATGGAGATGAACATCTATTCATGTTTCATAGTGTTCAGACGAACAAAGAACCAGAACAAGAACAGGAGGTAAGATTCGAAAAGAACGAGACTATAAGGATAGAACGTGCATTTTTGTTTTCCATTAGAATCGAATAACGAAAAAACGAAAACGATCAGTTTCAACGACGGATTCACTCGATGCTATTTCGTCATCCCTAGCCGAAGGTGCTGCCAGCGGCGCAGCAGCATCAACAGTTACCAAACCACCGTGCGCGAAAAAACCCAAGATCAAAGATCCTAATGCTAATTTTCAACGTTTAAATATGCGGAAAAAGAATTTTTCTCATGCAAAAAAGCATCAATTTGGTAAAAATAAACGCAATGCTTTCTATCGACGTATGCGTCATGCCGGTGGACATTAAATAGGAATTCTTACTAATTCATTTTTTTTTCTCAACAAAAAAGTTTTTTTTTGTATGGCGACAAAGTAGCAAAATATATATCTATATGTATTATGTATCATTTTATCCGATTATTCTCATTGTTGATGCCACTGTGGTCGCGTTGACTTGAAAAAAGATCTCCGTTGCTTCGTCAGATAGATTATAAATCTTTGGCATCCAAGTCATGGCAGCAAGAAATATAACCAGAAAACCAATTATATTCATGACAATGCCAGTTTTAATCTAGAATAGGCATGACATAACTTCTTTACAATTCGAGAGTATAACTACCATATCAATAATACGGAGAGCACCACTGCTGAAAACAATAGCGTTGGGTGGTGTCGCTTAAAACGTAAGAAAAATGGAAATATATGTATACTTTCGGTTCAAACACTTACCGATTGGTAACATGAAGGCAAGAGACACAGCTAAGGTGCAAGGAAGTATAAGATATGCTGGATGAATGCCAGACGAACGTGCCTTTCGAAGAAATGGATGTAAATTCAGAGAAATAAACTCAATAACTTACCACAGAGTCCAGCACTGGAAGAAAAATACTTGCTGTGCTGAGATTTGAAGTAACTTCAGTGAATAAGGCACTAATGATAATGACTAAAAGCACCACAACAGCTTTGGGAACATGGGCTAAGAATTTCAATGCATTTGCAACCGTTTTCGATAAGCCTGACATCTTATTTATCAAAAAAAGCAAGTGTCTTTCAATTACATTTATCTTTAGAATAGTATCTCAACTGACTTCGAATGCTGATGCTATTGAGATGCCGGCTCCAAGTAAAAATATCGCATCCCACGAAATATTTTTCACAAGAACATTCCATGAAACAATTGGCTCATATTTCCAATCGCCTTAATAAACAAAAGTAACAAAACATCGTCAATCGGTTCTTTAGTTTTCCGATATACTTTTGAATGGATTAGAATTAGGCATGATCAATGGGAGTACACCACAAAATACTGCAACGGTACTATCACTAATATGTCTATTTGGCAAAAAAGATATTTTACACATTCATCAGTTTTCGGATAGTTATACTTTTAACGTACTTATCTCGAAAAAGAACATCCCATCCTGGTGTACCGCCAAAGTCTCTTGTTATCCAGAGAACAACTGTGAGGACAAAAATGGACGCAACACAGTATTCACTCCAACTAAATATAGACTAGCCGTGTTCAAAATAAAATTTAAATCGAAGCGTTTGCCTTACTTCGGATGTCCAAGCTCTTTGTATTTTTTCACTAACATCGCTTTCAAGTCAGCTTGAATTTCTTGCGTTTCAGCATCCTTCTTGCACTGAAAGAATCTTAATGAATATACGAAATATATTACTGACTATTAGAAAGATAGTATTATCGATTATCTACTCTCTCCTATTGTAATATATTTGTAACCACAGCCAGCAGAATATCAACATAATTGCTGACACTGGTAATGCATACAGAAGAAAGTCCAGGAACTGCACGCGAAAATCTGTGTTTTTATAGCGCCTAATGCATTTATTGATGATAACGATCAACAGCATAGAATACGGGCATGTGCCACAACTTACGCGTCGACAAAAGATTTAACCAAAACGTTGGGCGCCGTACCAACAAGACTTCCTAAGCCGCCGATAGTCGCTGAATAGGCCGTTGCAAGAAGAAAACCTAAACGAGATTGCGAGTTTTAATTGATCGGCTACGTTGAGTTCAACCGCAATGAAATACCTTTTCGAACTTTTTCGTATCTCTTTTGAAGTGGCTGCACTACTTTGACATGACTTTGTCTTCGATGTGACAACGAGAAACGCTGTTTCACTTCAACAACAACTTCTGTTTTTCTAATAGCAAGAACTCATCATAGAATATATCTTTATGTGGAACATTTCTAGTACACATACGGTTCTTCAATTTGAAATGCACCAAGAATAACTTCTTTCGTTATGCGCCCATCTGGCACTTCCGTTTCCGTTAATTCCAACACGTCTACAAGTAATAGCTTCATATTAGTTACGTATTTCATCTTATAAGCTAGTTACCATTGACAGCTGATGTTGCCTCTTTGATTGCTTGAGTCTTATCAAGAAAATTCTTCGCATGACGTTCAAGTTCATCACTAATGGCGAGTGCTACTGGTAACATGATAGACGTAGCAGCAGAATTATTAATCCACATCGAAAGAAATGCTGTCACACCCATGAGGCCAGCCATAGTCCTAGATATGAAAAGAAAATCACGTGTTTTTTCCGAAGTGAAGAACTAAGATGAAACACCGCTACCATTTTACTGATGTACCAACTATACTTAATACAAACAATGCTACGCGGCGATGCAGATTGACAGATTCAACAGCGTATGCAAATGATAGGCTACCAAAGAAAAGTGCAATGGTATTATCGAAATATGATGCTGCCACGACCTTGGGCTCTAGAACACCGGCCTATTCATCAATAAGAATATTACTCAAGAAAAAATAACTGTTAAAGAAACTCATTTTGTTTACCATTGGAAAAAGAAACAATGGTAGTAATGACGTAACTGGCAATGGGATCACTTCAAAGACCCAGAAACTGATTAGAATAAGTACAATATAGCCACATCTTGCTTGCTAGAAAGAACAAAAATTAATAAAGATGATTTTGTATTGTTAAGACGTGCAACATACTGGCGATTGTAGAATGATAGGTAATGGCAAAAAAATCAATGGAATAAGTAAAACTGATAATAGACGCCATCGTTGTTTAATCCAAAGTAACGTAGGATTTTTCATAATAATTATTGTCTGTGTGGTATATAAAATTAGAAAATAAAGATTATGAGTTGCTTTCAAGGTATTAGGGATCACTATATATAATCCTTATTTTTCTGTTGATTTACATCGCTCTTGAGCTATTCCAGTATAAATCTAAAAAATGCAAAGAAACCAACGAGACAACTCCCTTCTTTTCTCTTGTCGTAATCAAAAGGCAAAGAGAAGCGATTTTACTTTATCTATGCAATCGAATTCAATAAAACATGTCAAAGATAATGTAATTCTGTAAGTACTTTGTTTTTTTTTTCAATAGTTAATGTTATATATTCGAACAAAACTTTATGCGTAGGTATATTTTTGTACTTGAGTAAAGACGACGGAAGTAAGAAGTCTGTCTAAGAATAGAAACGTAAATATTGGATTAATTAAAATAACAAGGATTATTGTGATCAACATAGTCTGCAGAGCAATACTTTGACGCGACATTTCATCGAGCTATAAAACTGAGTATAACACTTAGATACGGAAACTTCTTCAAATTGATGATTTCCTCTGTATTTGACACTTTTAGAGGTTGATTATATCTTAGAAATAAATTATGTTTGTCTTAAGGATGTAATAACAAAGTTTAATTCTCGTTTACGGAAGTATTGATACAGCTTTGTAATCGTTAAAAGAAACTGAAAAAGTATTTTTCTTCTTATCTTATTTTTATTTACGACTGACTGTTTTTAATGCAATGATATCTATATGGATTTAACACAACAGAAGGTTCTTTCAAATAGAAGTATCATAAAAACTGTACGCAAAAAAGTACATGGTCACTTATAATGCGTCAAAACTATTGTCGTGCACCAATTTTTGAATAGTATATTAGATTTATACTCATTAACCGAAAATATGATCTGTACGACTGAATAATATTGATCGACATATTGAAATGTTAAAACTTGCTTTTGTGATATTATTTATGTTCTTGCACCAAGAAGTCAAATGTTAGCTCTCGAAACAACTGATCAACAATGTTGATTCAAAAAGATTTCAATGATCCATCGATTTCGCTACTAATGCAGTGCATACTAAATAAAGAAATGATCGATGTTGTGCACTGTATATAAACATATGAAAATAAATGCCTACCTATCACATAAGCAAAATGCAACAACGGTTTCTCATCATCTATCTTCTCGTTACTCTATCATGTGTTTTTCTGCATGCTAGAAGCAATTTCAACAGACATCGACCGCGACCTGAGAGTGAAATTGAAGAACGTGCTGTTACAAGTTTTACAACGGAGCAACGACAAGTACAACATCAACTGCTGGCAGATCACAATGCCTATCGAGCAGCTCACTGTGCGCCAGCATTGAAACTCGATGACAAACTCAGTCGTTCGGCTCAAGAGTATGCAGAAGAGCTAGCAAGAACAAACACATTTGAGCATAGCACTTTGACTGATCTTGGAGAAAATCTATTTTTGATGGAAAGCAGTAGACCGATAACTGATCTCATCGCAGCTAGTATGTATTCTCCTCCTTGTTTAATATTCAGTAGTCTACTATAATGCTTTATATTCACTAGCAAAACAAGCTTCGAAGGGTTGGTATGCCGAAAAAAACGAATATGACTTTGATACAGCCGTGTTCAGTGAAGAAACCGGTCATGTCACTCAGCTTCTCTGGTGGGAAACAACACACGTCGGAGTTGGATATGCAACTAGAAAACACGGATCTAAATATAAAATGTTTCTTGTTGCTCACTATCTTCCACCTGGTAATGTGGATGGCCTCTTCTATGACAATGTCCTTCCAGTTGGATGCAAGCATTAGTAGTCATAAACGACCAATTAACCGTAAAAATGGTAGAACATCAATTCTTTTCGCATATAATAATTGCATGATCAACTCTATGAATGGAATTGTCTTTTGTTTATCATAACATATTAATAAACATATTCATGATATAATCAAACGAACTGAAACAATGAATGCTTGTATAAAGAAGTTAAACGTATCTACTGTTGGGAAACAATATACTTCGACAACATCAAACCTGTAGTTAGCGTTTATTTATGTTGAAAAGAATCAACCTGATAAGAGTTATTACATATTTTCTTGCAACAGTCTGTCAAAACATACAAATATCGAAAGCGACAGTTACCTACTCTTGTGTATACAGCACGCCGTCAACGTACGAGAGAGGTCCGAGTCGCCAGATTCGTGCTGCTCAACCTATGAGCGAAGTTTTCTTTGTTGGTTAGTATTAAAGAATACGCATCGAAACTGCAGAAATTGGCCTGTGATCGATTTCGTCACGTCCGCCGTGAAATACAATCAGTTGATTTAGTCCTAAATACGAAAGAACACGATCAAGAAAAAAATTGTTAAAGACTGCTATTTTTTGTCGTTACGACGTTATGCATTTTGACTAAAGATTTTCATACGATGCACGGATTCGTGTTTCTTATTGCATACTATCTTTTCGTCTAGTAATGTAGATGACATGCCCTATGATAATGTTTTTCCAACTAAACACAAGTCGTACTAACCATAAATAGCTGAAATGCTTGAAGTTCTATCCTTCGTCTAATCATAGAATATTAATCATGATTATTTTGATCACAGACAATATCTATCCTTTCCTTTGCAAGTCATACAATACCAGGGAATAGAGAACTCTAACGATAATGTGCGATTTAGTAAAGTCGAAGCCTATGTGTTTGACTTAACAGTTCGGACCAAGTTTTCTATCGTAACAATGTAAATAAATAGATTTCATAGCAGTACTTTATGACATCTAAAATGACCTATTGGAGCACTGAATATTCGCATTCAAATCTGACACATCAAAAGACTAATGATGTATTTTTATTGAATTGATATGTAAAATACATCAATAAGTGACTTATGAAGAGAAATGTATTAAACTGTTATACATATATATATTTCTTTTATTTTCCTAGTCATCTCAAAACTAAACTAATACTCGAAATATGAAAGAGCAGGTATTATTCATATTCATACTGACAATAGCTGTGGTCACGAAGGCATATTCGAGTAGTGATGATAATGATGAAAATGCACTTGTCTTAGAGCATTTGATTCGATCTTTATTTCGCTATCATGAATCATCAAAACATCCTCCATTAAAACAACGAGGAGAGTCGACATTCAATGAGGCTCAACGACAATTTCAAAATGAATCATTACTGTCACACAATGTTCTTCGCGCTCAGCATTGTTCACCACCACTGGTTTTAGATGATGAAATCAATACAAGGGCTCAAATATATGCCGATATTTTAGCATATAATGACACCGGATTGATTCATAGTAACAATCGACTCGGTCTATTTGGAGAAAATCTTTATTCAGTGCAACGCTCACGTCCCATAGTCAATATCGACGGTATAAACTACTTAATTGATTTGAAAAGTGTAATGACGATGAAGTATTTGTAATTATTAGGCTTCGGCGATAAGGTGACACGTACTTGGTATTCTGAAATTCTTCGATACGATTATACCAAACCAGGCTATGCAAGAAATATCGGGCATTTCTCTCAAGTCGTTTGGAAAAACTCCGAGAGACTTGGCGTAGGATATGCGTTCTCAAAACAAGGGCGTAAAATGTATGTGGTGGCACAATATGGGCCACCTGGTAATTACGATTTCGCATTTGGTTCCAATGTTGTAGACCCAACAACCTGTTCATGGGAACAAGAAAACAAAAGATAAACGCATAATTTTTTTTCTCGCTTTTCATTGGATTTCTTTTTTTTTCCTAACTCGATGAATTCATTAGAAATAAACAGCATGAATCGCAAGACTAATCCGAAATGTTCGTAAAGTGCAACAGTTAGTCATTTCTGTCATTTCTGTCATTTTTCGTAAAGGACATAAGTTCGTTTTTTTGTGCTTTTATTACAATACGCGTCATGAATGCGCAGTTACTTGTGACACGGTAAAGCGAAAATATTAATATCAAACAAATTCAATCACCAAAGAACGTTGACACATTTTCTTTCAGAGATTGCGTTGATTTTTTTCGTAGCTATTTTTATTGTTTTCAATTCAACAAAACAACAACAACAACATTGTTTTAAATGATACGGATATCATTCACAGACGCTGTATGCTGAACATCAACTGGTGTTAATTGATGAGCACCAAACAATGATGAGAATAGATCGGATCTAAACGAAATGCATGAAGAAATGATGATGAAATGCGATAGTTACTTTGCTTGGTCTGTAAGAGAACATCGATCAATTGGTGCCATATAATTGACTAATTTCTTATGAACATTGTAACGGATCTTACGATCTTTACTTGCTTTTGTATCAACGTTTTTCTTTAATTTCGTTCGCAATTTTCTTAATTGTGCCCAATGTCTATTCAGTACGAAAATTCAATAGTATAAAATGTTGGATTTTCAATATCTACAATGACTTACTTGCTTATTTGTTCGGGATCCGTTATTGATGCTGTCTTACGCTCGATATATTCACGTAATAGCTGATGATAAAAATCACTATCATCAAAAAGTTCAAGATTGAGTTTAGCTGCCAAATCTGTTGATGTTTCAGAAGGATCGCTTGGTGACGAAGGTGGACAAATAAAGTCATAATCTAAACGACTAGTTTGGGTACGTTTGATAAGACGATCCGGTAAAGACATGATCTAAGTATTTTCATAAATAAAGTGCTACTATCTGAGAGAACGACAGCTTCGTTTACTTCTTTGATTTGTACTAGTGGTGATTGTTCAATAGTAGTTGTTTTACTCTGTTTCGAAAACGTACGAGTACGTTCAAACCATTTTTGTATAGAAGCATCACTAATTTGAAATATCAATCGATTATTCAGTAAAGTTCAAATGATATTTCTCAACTTACCGTTCTGTCGTGAATTGCTCATAAGTTTGTTTAAGTTCCTCATCAATTGCTTCACTACTTTTCAGCCGTTTAGATAATGTTTTAAAAATCTTGGTTGTATCTGCTTTGTCATTCTGCTCTTCGTTCGCAGCATCTTCAACATCATCGGCTACCTCGTCGCGCGTTCGCTTATTCGAACGCCGATGACTGATTGCTAAGAGTAGAGCAAGCGTTTTTCGGAATAGTGTCGCATCTTGGAAACAAAATCAACGTATAAAATAATATTGAACAAATTTCATGGTTTTACTTTCGTCAATTGCCTCACGTAACTCATTATCTTCCTCGTCGACGTCATCGTCTGGAATGGTTGTTGTTGGTAAGCAATTACATGCTATTGTTGCACGTTGAAGTTTAATACGTAGTTCGAGAAACGAATCCCAAAGAGCTACAACAACAAGAAGAAAATACAATCTAGGGTTCAACAGGAGAACAAAGTACGATATAGGAGACTATCCTTTGTTTTCTTTCTCCAATATAAAAGCTCCGTACACTTAGCGAGATCACATTATTCAGTTTATTCGATTTCGATCATGCGCTTCATACTTTTCACTGTTCTTCTTTTACCGTTAGCAGTCGATTCAAAAGGAATATTTGATTCACTGTTCGGTAAAGGATCATCAAAAGATCAATGTCCAATCAAATTATACGATGTTAAAGATCCCTCGTTTACTGGTATGAAACTTTACGCTAACGTTGATACATTTCATCCATTGCTTCGAACATTATCCAAATATGCCAAAGACTGTCGAGTTAAAATTCAAATCAAACAAGGTTTCATTCAAGAAAATTCAGGTTTAACAACATTGAAAATCAACGATCACAGTGAAATGGCTTTCCGACTCGGTGAAGGCATTGAATTCGAATTAGTCGATCGAGACAATAAACTTTTGTGCAATCGCTTATGTCTTCAAAAAGATCTCTCGAAACTATCGGCATTACCCGATGCCAAATGTTTCTTAGAAAAAGTTTCGAAAAACTCCGACTTTAGACAAGACGCTATCAAACCAAATGTATTAATTAAACGACCGCAACTCAATGAGCCGCTGTCTAAACTCGAAAGCAAACGAAAAGATATACAAGAAAAATGTGCTAAAATAAAAATCGACGCTTAATTTTCCAGTTTTTCATTATATTTCATTTAATAAATTTAATAAAATTCTTCATTACTAAATACATTAACGCTATACAAAGAACTTCTTACGACATCGTCACGCGTGTCAGGCTCCGAACAACTGACGTTCGACCAATCACTTTTTTTTTATAGACTCACATTTTCACATAGAAAAACGACACTCAGTAATCTATAGTCGACAACATGTAACCGGAAAAAGTATCTAGAGACACTTGAAATGCATAACTCACCAATTTGTTTCTTTAATGCTTCAGCTTTTTGCTTGTCTGAATCAGAATTTGATTCTCGTCCACTCTTTGAAGTACCCATTTGTAGTGATGTTTCATCTTCGGCATCTTCACTTGTTATTTCTTCATCATCATATTCTTCATCATCTAATGATAGAACATAATCTGAGAATATTTTATAGTAGAGAAAAATAATAGCTTACCTTCGACATCGTTTTCACTATAATCATCTTCGGAATTCATTTTCTTTTTATTCTACAACTATAGGATAACACAATGAAATAAAATCATTTCTCTTTCCATTTCGACGAATGCGTCTCATCTTATGTTTTTTGTTTATTATTCACATATCAAAAGAAGAGAAAGAAAAAAGAAGATCAACTTTGTTAGTTGAGAAAGAAGAACAACAACAACAAAACCGAAAAATGTTCAAGGGAGAAAAGTAAATGACAATGAAAGAAAAACAAACAAACAAAAACCAAAACCGACATTGTACACACAGTTCTTTTTGTTTTATTTCTTTTTCTTGATGTAAAAAGGAACGAGAAAGAGCAAAGCACGCCACAAACAACAACGAAACACACACAAAACGAAAAGTAAAAAAGGAAAGAAAGAAAGAAAACAGAAAGGAACCGAGCACATGTTTCCTTTAGGACATATGTTCCTTGCAGTTCTATATACATATGCATAACAGGTTCATTCGCCCGAGCAGAAAAATAAAAATGTTTCTGTTTTCAAAATGTAACAATTTCTTATTCCATTATATGCAATGATGCTGATATTGATATTGTAAGACGAACAGACGAACGGACACATATATACGAGCGAAACTCAGAAAAAAGTGGATGTTGGAACGGAGGTTGATAGTGTATATATATGTATGTGTGTGTATCAGAGAGAGAGAGAGAGAGACGTAAGAAAAGGCAGAAGAGGGTATACATAAAGAATAGACATGTACAAAGAATGTTCCATTTAACGTGGCGATGGATCTTGTTGGGACTGTTGTTGTTGTTGTTGCTGCTGCTGCTGCTGCTGTTGCTGAGATGAAAACTGAGGTGGTCGTGCTAGTGTTACATTTAATGGTATTCGCGTTAGATTGGGTGTTGAACCTGTCCGTGTAATATACGTTGTAGTGGTCGGTGGTGTTGAAGAATTGGCTCTTGATGGTGTTATCAATGTATGCGATGTCGGTTGAATAGATCCTTGTTGTTGCTGCATTATAGTTGGATGTCGAGGACGCGTTGTTGTAACATAATTAGGAGGTGGATTTAGCTGAGACTGGGATACTGATGTATGCCATTGTTGTGGTTGGTTGGTTTGTTGAATAAATGTTGTTGTTGTGGCGGCTGCTATTCCTGTCGATGGTAAACGATGAACAGGAGTTTTATTTATTAATGACTGACAAATCAGTTGTTTGGGATCATTCATATCTGAACGTTGTTGCTGAGACTGTTGATCATCTATCGATGGATCTTGTTTTACGCGGCCAATCAATAAACTCAACGAATTCGGTGTCTGCTGGATTGGTTTACCAGTATTTGGTTTTTGTGGTACTGTTATATATGTCGGATTTGGCCATGCTCCTTGTTGTGGAGCACGAATCAATGTGACTGGTGCTGGTTTACCAGATGAACCAAATGAACTTGATGTTATAGGTGTGGTGATTGACACTACAGTAAAACCTTTAAACTATTCCATAGACTTGAATTTTATCACTTACCTGACTGTGACTGTGACTGCTGTTGTTGTTGTTGTTGTTGTTGCTGTTGTTGCTGCTGCTGTTGTGCCTGCATCGCATTCGGTCTTTGTAGCATCATGGCTTGCATACGACGTCGATCCGTTTGCAAACTGGTTGCCCGTTGCTTTTGAATTTTCGTTTTTAGATTGGTGCAAAAAGGTACTTGACAGTTTTGGTCGTTACAGCTCTTGGCATGATACCAGCAAAGAAATATAACTTGTTTACAGACATTACATTGACTATTTTTGCCTTTACATTCTTTTGTATGTTGTATAACACGTTTATAACGAAAACAACTACGATTAACACAATTGGCATTTCGACAATTGACTGCATGTAATAAAGCTTCGATACAACGTTGCATTGATTGTTGCCGTTGTAATTGTGGACTTGCGAGAGACTTATCATTACTATTTAACGAATTGTGTTCACCATCATGACTAACATCAACTATCGATGGAACTGAACGTTCCATTTTATGTTCATGTCTTGGTTCCGTATTGTAACATTTTTCACATAAGTCAAAATCATCACAAACTGTACAATGATAACGAATTTCACATTGTTGACGACATGAATTACAATTGTAAGTGAATTTGTCTGTAGTCGATGTATGAAGTTCATATAGCAATGCCATCGTGGAGAACTTTGCACGACGTAATGAAGAAAATTCGTAATGTTTATCACGAGCAAAATTTAGAAATGCATCACGTGTATCCATTAAATCACATTGAATTAAAGCATCAGTATCATTTACAGGAGGACATGATGCAATTGGATTTCGTAACCGAATAACAAAGAATGCCTAGATATGTAGAGAATTTGATTGTATTTGAAATCTTTCCAAAACGAATCATTTACCTCTTTATGTTTTTCCATTGTCGCAAATATTTTGGATAACAGATCAGTACAATTCGACATTTGTTTCTTCGCTACTTTCCGTTGACTCGCAGTGGTTTTCTTCAAGTTCTTCTTCTTATGTGTATTAGCTGATTTACGTTTATCCGATATCTAAATTACGATTAGCTTATGCAAATCTTATGAGGCCATAGAGATATTTACCTCTGTTGGATCTTCAGGTTCGATAGGATCATCAAAACCTCCATCATCCAACGCTCTCGATGCTTCAAGTTCTTGCTTCTTTCGATCTTCTTCTTCTTGGTCAAGTTCTATGTGAAAACAGTAGTGGTATTTTTCCAACAAAAAACAACATTCAACGCAATTCTCATACCTTTTATGCTCTCTTCGATGATATTTGACCAAAAGTCACCTTCAAAATATGGAATATCTAGCGCAGTCTGTACTTGATTGTCGAGACAATCTTTCATCACATCCTAAAAACGAAAATTCCAATGAAAATTTCTTCTGACATTTCGTTTTATTCATACCTTATAATCAATCACTACACGCTCTAGAATGGCTTTATCCAGCATTTTCTTGTACCAATCTTGTAAGCGTTTTGGTTTTGGTACGCGTTGTTCTGGCGGATGACAATGGAAAATATAATCATCACCTTCACTTGGCGGACATGCCCATATGTGTGCATAGACATAGCCAAGCTTTTTCGCATAATCCAAATATCCAATTAAAATCTCGTGATACACTTCTGTACGATACTCTTTTGGACGAAAAAAATGTACTGAATCCAAATACGATACATAGACACGTCGTGTATTCGGCGCATGGCAGCGTCCATCATATTCCTGAACATGCATACCGAATAAAACAACGTCGACACCTTCAATTTCTTGAAAGGCAAAGACTGCTTTCGTTCGATATGGATAACCATCCGGTACTTGATTTTGATAATATTTCTTCAAGCGTGGCTTCACTTCACATACTTTATCACTCGCCGCTAAGATCCGTATGGACACACGTCCCGTTGCACAACGTTCATTACGCAAATAGTCATTTACACGCTTTTCTAACTGCCGTGCCAGATCGGTCTCTGTTAATTTCAGTGCTGTATATCGACTATCTTTACGTTTAATGTTGTAATCACGTCGACATGTTTCACATATGAAACCTTCTTGCCAAATTTGATCTAAGTGTAACGCACAAACTTGATGCCAACGACGTGCACAGACGATGCAGTCAACAGTTGCTTCAGGTTCTTGAATATCGTTTTTTGCTGATAAAAAAAGACTTTTTGGTAACTCAACGAGAGTTTGAGCTGGATCATCACCGACAAAGATTGATTCACTTTTAACTGAATCAAAACATTTCGAACAAAATGTATATTTATCACCGGACAAATTGAAACGCGACGGTTCCAGATTGTTATAATAATAATAACTACCATCACGTGGAATTTGACAACATAATTGATTTCCATAGCAAAACATAACTTGTGGCAAGTAGACGTATTGTCGACCACAACAATATCCTAATGTACGCATCACAGGATCAATTGCATCCAAAAATACTTCAGACAGCTACAACAAACCAATCGAGATGTGTACACAATCAGAAATACAAGAAGTCACAAGCTGATTTACCTTTGTACACATTTTATACACTTTCGTTGTTTTCTTATTGTATAGCCAGGCATTATTAAACATTAACCAAGCATCATCACAGAACTGTAAGGGATGTTCATATTGTCCTTGGGTTAGTTTATTTTGCATTGTAGATATGTCCATCGGATGTTTAATGATTGTTGGATAGTCGAGTATGCCTAATGCCACAGGATCAACTGGCTGACGAAATGGATGTGAATCTTCGCATGCGATCATTTTTTGCAGGACTGGCTCGAGATGTGTACGTAATTCTTCAGCTGTAAATTTTATGAGGTGTTTCGGTAGTTGTTTACTCGTTGAATCTATTTGCGGCACTTTTGGTTTAGTATCTTCATGTATCATCGCTTCCGACTTAATTATAGCAGTTGATTCTTCCTTTTTAATCATTCCAAATGTCGACGACTGGTGTGAATAGAAAAAGAAACAGCAAATAATCAAAGCTAAAACACAAAAAGCCGTGTAACAAACCTGAAACGACGTTTTAGGCGAGACTAGTTCAGTTTTTATTTGACTTATAGTATCTGTCATATCAATATCATGTGATTGACTTGTGCCGGCTGTATCTCCATTCAGTAGAAAACTCAAATTCTCGTTTGGCGGTACATTAGTGATGGTAAATGTGCTTGCGTTTGTATTGGTATTACCGTTCAGAGATGTTCGATTGGAATTGGTTACTGTTGTCAATGGTTGCTGAAGAACGTTTCCAGCCGCTGATGATATCGATGCGTAATCAGATAAAGGTGCCGTACGGTTCGGTGGGCCACCATCGCCAGCTAAGGTATCGATTGTTGAATGAACTTTACCATTGAAATCATTGGTCGCTGACGGCTGTCCTGTTGTAGAGGATATTTGCGCAGCTAATTGCATATCTTGTAAACGTTTTTTCTCGCGTCGTTCTTCTAATTCTTTCTGGATTTTGTAAATTTTTTCTGCTAGTTTGTGAAAATACTCTTCCTGATTATTGGCAACTTCGAATGTTTCATTTTCGACACGTCGCGCATAATTCGCTAGATTGATAATACGTTTATCACGTACAGCGCCAGTATCAGTGATGGGAATCAGAGCTGTAATTATTTTTTGTACAAGATGGTTACGCATTTCTGATGTGACTCGCCTTTGCCAATCTTTCGTTAAAGGTCGATCATTCGTATTGGACACAAGGTTCGTATTAGCATTAGTTGATGATATTCCAGTTGAACCAGCTGCGGATGCTATTGCTGTTAGTGTGTTATTCGCAGTTCCTTGATGGAGTTTAGCTAATGTTGAAGGAGTTTTCAATGGCTGACAGATTGGACATTGAGAGTTATTACATTGTTTCCAATGTGAAATGATTTGTCGAGATGTAACACAATGAGGTACAGTACAAGTTTTATGATCATTGCATTTTGTCATATGTTGTAAAACGCCTTTCATTGTATTACAATGTGGTAATGTACAAGTAGTTGGACGTGCTGCTTCACCATTGATCGTTTGTTTTTCGCGTTGTTGACATTTATGTGCATGTAGAAGTAAAACAAGTTGTTTCTGAATGAATTGCTTTCGTTGAACTTCTGTGTGTTGAGAAGGATTATTATTCGTTCCTTGCTGCTGTGTTTGTTGAACAAGCATATGGTTTGACTGTTGCGCTTGTTGTTGTTGTTGTTGTTGGGATTGTGGAGTTGAAATGTAATTTGTTGATGACTGATCCGTCATTTGTGTCTAAATGAGCAACAAAGGAAAGGTGAGCAAATATTCAATACGATTGTTTCGCAGGCATACCCGTATAGTTGCAGTGCTATAAGGTTGAGGAGTTTGTTGTTGTTGTTGTTGTTGCATATGGATTTGTTGTGGGTGTTGTTGAATGTGAAACTGATTAATTTGTTGGGATGACAGAGAAGGCAGAACAGTCGAAATTGTTTTATTCATTTGAACTGTTGGTGTTTGTGTCACTGTTTGTTGTAAACCGAGTAGAGTCGACTGTTGTTGTTGTTGTTGTTGTTGGTGCTGCTGTTGCTGGGAGTTTGTAACAAATAAATTATTGTTATTGGGATCACTTGCCTAAAGAAGAAAATAGTTTCAAGGTTTACTTAAAATCAATTCAATTGGTATGACAATTCTCCTACTTTAACAATACTCATTTGTGGTACATTTTGATTCATATTGATCATTCCCGTTGTATTATACGGCTGCCGAATCAATGTCGATTGCATATTTGGTTGTTGTGTTACTGTTGGCATACGTTGGTATAATGGTCGATTTAGTCCACCTGATGTATTAATCATCTGTTGTGCTGGCTGTTGTTGAGTATAGATCGTTGCTTGTTGCTGAACACCATTCGAAATGACATTCGATGGTCGAACAATTGCTGACGTTGGTGTCATTGTCTGTATACGTTGGAGACTTGGCGTTTGATACGTAGACAGTTGTGGACGTGTTTGTGCTATGTATGTGAGTCGAGGTTGTACTTGTTGTTGTGTTTGATAGATATTTGTTGGCTGCTGATTTACTATTGTACTCGCCGATGATGGCACTGCTGACTGTATGGATGTTGACGTTTGTACTTGGGCATTTTCGAGTGTCTCAGTAAAATCCGTGCCAATATCGAATAGATCTTGAGTATTATTTGTATCGGATGTATCAAATTGTGAAATCATTTTGAAACCAAAGTCTAGGTAACAGAAGAGAAAACAAAAGAAACTTGTTATTGACAGAAGAAAAAAAACTGAACTTTCTCCCTACCTGACTCGTTTGAATTTGTATCCGAACGAAATTTCTTTGTTGGCGGTTGTTGAACACCAACAAATTCAGCCATCATCCATCGTTGTGTACAGATGTTTTCGTGTCCTTATTAACTAGTCTAATAATGAAACAAACGTCGATAATCTCTATAAGTACAAAAGAAAAAATTTCAATAACAACGCTCAAAAGAGTATTTCGTCGAATTGTTCATTTCAGACACGAACTCGAAAAACATATTAATCCCAGATGCTCTCGTACATACACAGTCGACCGATCGAGCATGCATAACTTACAGCACAAAGCGGAAGTACTAGCGACAGCTGGCGGACAAATGGTCAACATGACGATCTGATTGGTGAGCGATTTTTCCCTAGTGCATTTCTGTGTTGAACGAAACGTTTCTCAGAAGGACAGAAAAATGATTCTGATTGGCTGAAATGTTTACCTATATTTTATACAAATATATTGCATATTGCCTAACAGCTGATGATATATATACAATAATTAGTTGTGTTGACAGAATTATGAAGTCGGAATTGAATGAAAATCTACTGTGATATATATATAAGTACGTTTACCTATGTCATGGATTTTTCCAGCATGCTACCGTTGCTCTTACTTGCGAAATAGAGAGCCGTCTACAGAAGGTGAGAATGTGAATGTCAGGAAGAATACGAGTGACGAAGAGAATATTTTTAAAAGTGCAGAGTCGAAATGTACCGAGGGTGAAGGAAAAATAAAAATGTTTATTTATTTTGCCCTGTATCTATTTTCCTAGTAGTGCAAAAGAGGTGCAAGACAGCCTGTGTATTTGCTAATTTGATGGTGTAAAGATCGATGACGAGACTTGATTCTTGTATTATTTTCTCTTGCAATGCTAATTGTATGAACAATCCGAATAGATTCATATTCTTCATAAAAACAACACAGTTAAACTTCATTGTTGATATTTTCCTCTCAGACACGAGAACAAGCGGAAGTGATTGTTTTATATTTCAATGGTTTGTTTTGAGGTATCAACAATCGAATTGTTAAGTTTTCATGATGAAAATAATAAAGTTAAAGATACATTTAATTTTCTCTCGTTCGTGACGTTTTAACGCAACCTTCGTGACTTTGAAGGAAAGAAAATTGTAGGTTGTCTTTCCAAAGAAAAACATATTAAAATAGATATGTTCGCGAACTACAAGAAGAAAGTGATTTAGCTTCATACGCTTCGTCCTGCAATGATCGATAAGGAGTTGTGTCGTCGACGACGAAGAAAAATTCTAAAAATTTTTTGAAAGTGTCAATGAATGATTCATTTACATTATGATGACGATGCAAAACCTATGCGTATAATTGAGAATGTTGTTCTCGTTTGGTGTCATTCAAATTCTAGTGAGATCAAATCTAGTTTTCAAAATTTTATAATGCACCTTCAACAAATTCTTAACTCAATTCGATTGTTTCAAAATATTTATCAATACCTTGAATATCTCCATAGTATTTGAAATGAGAAAAAAATACTTTTCGCCATTTCCGGTGCATGTGAAGAACAAATCTCCTCAAATAACTTCACTGGCGCAGCTTGCATGTAAGTTTGGTATCAGAATAAATCTTTTGATGAAGATTTCTTTTGCCTTTAGAGCATTTATGCGTGCAGTCACTGTTCGGCGTAGAACAGCTCGACGAAGTCAACGGAATTTCCATGTTGACCATAAAGAAGCACTGGAGATTGCCGATCGAAATGTGCAACTTATCCAGTTGTTTGATCTCAACCTGTTAGCATTACAAGATGCGTATGATGAGAAGGAAGTGTTCGAAACCCTGAAAGAACGATATGATGAATACGTTGCTTATAATCGTTCGATGAGTTCGTCTGTCGTGAATCAGAGCGTTTACACATATGTTCGAGCACAATTTCGTGAAACAGTCGTCGAATAATCACAAGGTGACAACAGTAATCAACAACAATCTGTCGAAAAATGGGTAAGAGGATCAAATTTTTCCTACGTCTCTACCATTCGATGCTTTCGATATGAATGATGTAATAATACAGTAGGCTTTCATTATTCAATTGACGGACAATCAGTGTGCATTGGGACGACGTGACGAGTTTACCCAGAAGTATTCTCATTAACGATAAGTCATAATGTTCAATTATTATTGCATTTTTATTTCTTGAATTATCAATAAAACATTTTGACTTGAGATTTTTGCCAACAGAGCTGCGAAAACTTAATTGTACAACAAACACATACAAAATGTAAGAAAGAACAATAACAACAAATAGAAGAGATTTTTCCAAAGTAGATTATACAATTAAAAACAGAAATGAACCGTTAAATGCACGATTATGAGTAGTTATAAAACGCCCAGAAGTAGGAAAAAGAAGAAGCTCGCCATAATTGCTGTTTTATCATGAAAACAAAGTGCAGAAAGTATGTTTATTTAACAACAGTTCGATTTCACCGGTATAGTTTGTTGATCTCCATTGGGAAATGGACTATGTGCATTATCAGACACACTTGCACTTGATTCTTTTGCTCTCATTGTTAATTCTTCGGCAATCGTTTGAAATAGTTTCTCGACATTTTCGCTCATTTTCGCGGAAGTTTCGAGATACCACATATCATTCTTTTCCGAGAATTGTTCAGCCACATGTGTTGGAACTTCACGTTCATCGAGGTCACATTTATTACCTTACAATGATTCAAAATAGTCGATGGTGATCTCGAAAATGAACCTACTTACCAACAAGTGTGCATAGAACATCATTGTTGGCATATGCTTTCACTTCACGAACCCAATCGGGAAGACTAGAAAATGTAGCAAGGTTATTTATGTCAAAAACAATGATTAAAGCGTTCGCGGAACGATAATATGATTGTGTTATTGAGCGGAAACGTTCTTGGCCAGCTGTATCCCATATTTGTAGCTAGAATCGTATGTAAAAACTGATAATATAGGAGGAAATGACTTTCTAAAATACACACTTTGATCTTTTCGCCATTGACTTCCACGGTCTTGATTAGAAAATCGACACCGATCGTCGCTGCTTGACCAGCTGGGAAGACATCTTGACAGAATCGACGTACAAGGCACGTTTTTCCAACACTAGCATTACCAATCAGAACGACTTTGAACAGATATTTATAATCATCCATCAACATTTTTGTCGAGGAAAGATGAAGCAAAAAAACAGCAGATAATCTATAAAAATGAAAAGAAAATCAATGTTTATTACATACATATACTCCGTTTTTTTTTCAAACTAATTTATCATTAATGACGAAGACAGAAAATATAAGCATTTATACAAAAAAAAGCAAATTCTTCATAGCCTGAGATAGAAAATAAAGCAAAGACGAAAAAAATTTGTGTTACTCGCATTTGGGACTTTTTTGAAAGTTTAATCACTGTTGAAAGACAAACGATGATTTTGAGGTAAAACGTTGAGGAATACCACGCGAACGACGATTTTGTGTATCGCGATCTTTACATCGATGACCACAGCCGTATGGACATTCATCACGAGTATTGAACCAGGTTCGAATGTGATCATTATGACCACCATGAAAACAGACGCCGCAAAATGAAAATACTCCGCGACATGGAATTCGACTAAAACGTCGACTGTAGGTATACTCAAAACGGGATTCCACTTACCAGATAGAACACATGAAATCTTTTGGTGTTAGAGATGAAGTTTTACTTGAATTCGATATTGCTGACGAATGCGATGAACTGTGGAGACGTCTCAGTGCTGGTGACTGAGCAGAGAGTATGAGGGTACCATCAAAATCGTTTGGCTCGTACGTCAATGGTATTTTCTCCTTTTCGAGACAATGTTTTGTTACTTGTTTGGCTTTCACAAATAAACGCAATTTCTGTAGTAATTCTATCGAGAAAAAAAGAACCATATCAATGAAAATCGAATCGTAAATCAATGTTTCTCAATACCAATGTACATTCCAATCCAGCGAAAATGATCACCGTTAAATAATTCCTTCGCTTTGTTTTCGCCTAATTTCGGATATAGTACAAGCAAGAGATGTACAGCTACTTGAAGTTCATTCTGTATAGATTTACGTAGAAAACAAATTCGGACGGTATTTGCTCATCGAATCTTACATTCTCTACGTAGTACCAAATTGTTTCTCGTATGATATCATCAAAGACCAGCGGATGGTTCTGCATTGTTGGACAATAACTTTCGTCGATAGTAAAAAAATTATCCGAACCATCTGATAACATAACTGGCATTAATTCTTGTATGGCGCTATCGTGTCTACAGAGACAAAGACAAATGCATCGATCTGAATGAGTTGACGAAGCGAACTTACTCATCAAAATCATTTGCAGGCCCAAATTCATTCTCGTACATCATTACGTCGACGTATTGACGCGATAATCGATTGAAAGCAAAACCATTCATATCATTTTCACCATTAATCATTGATGGTGTCTCATTCGACATCACAGGCATACCATCATGCATTGTTTCAATGTCAATCTGTAATAGAAATGAGAAGACAGGCAGGAGTTTGTCGAAATTGGTACAAAGAAAAAGTTTTTCGATCGATGATTTATCATTACCTCGTTGTCATATAACATGTCATAACCATTACTATTATTTAATGCATCTTCGGGTGTGATAAAGATAATATCATCTGTTAAGACATCTCGCATAATGTATGTATCAGTGTCGTCGATTATTTCTAGAGAACAGATGAGAGTTACGAAGAAAAGAAAACAATTGTTTGTTTTGAAGAACCTATTTGAGAATTTGACGGCATGATTTGATCTTGGGATTTAATTCGATTTCTCCCGTTTAACTCATCATTAAAATCAGCATTCTGCTGTTCGACATCGCCACCATTTAGTTTTCCACTTGTTTGTTGCTGAAAATGATGATGATAATGATGGTGGTGGTGGTGATGATGGTGCCGATGGCCACTCAGCGAATCACTAATATGACGAGTTTTTGTTGCCGACGGTGTATTTCTTGATGAACGTGCTCGATAACATTGTAAGCCGTCATAATCGGCATAAATCATTTTGACAACCTGCCATGTTGCTTTTAAATCAGGCCGTTTCAATTGCTCAGCTACGCTGCTATTAATATCACAAATTTGTCCTAATACTTCAGGTGATTTGTCTCCCGTGCCAAATGACCATCGTCTTGCAAACTGATGGAATGCTTCAACTGAATTATCTGCAAGAGAATTCTTATAAATTCCAATGATTGATTTCGCACTGATCTGTTCATTCCATTTGACAAATGTTGACATGATTTCCTGAGAATAGTACTTTTTCAAGCTAGTAAATGTCGTCGGTATATGATGTTCGGCGTACAATGCGCGAACATATTCATTATCAATATTGGGCATAGCGCTGTAGACATGACCTTTCGATGAAACATTCAAAGAAAATAAGGAAACGAATTGGTCAGTTTTGATTGCAGTGGATATGTGAGCATGTATCAGACGTTCATCTCGACCGACTGAAACTAGATTATCGCTATTTGAACGCCATGAAAAATCACAAATTCGATCTGAAGAAATCTCAAGAATGAAATTAATTGTTTCAAAGTTAAAAGAATTATCGGACTTTGATGATGACAGAAAGATGCGTAGGGTAGGTAAGCACGGCGAACATCCCAAACATGAACACGTGGATCAGCGGAGAGTGTTGAACATGCTATATGATAACGACATGCCGGTCGCCAGCTGAGTTTAGCAACTGTGCCGAATGATTGAACTTTAAATAGAGGTTCTTGCCGAGTATTCGAGTCTTGAGCATTCCATACCTTCAATTACAAAACTTTACCTGTTTGCTCATGCTCACATGCCTTAAAGATGACGCTTTACCCGAATGGTTCGATCTCGGCCACCAGTAGCAAGCCAATAGGGTTCATTCACATTCCATGCAAGGCATAGGGTTCTATCTGCTGCTGTTAACACTATTGCAGGCGATTCAATTCGTCGAATATCCCAAAGCTAATGAACAAAAGGCAAGATCAACTAGATAATCGGCGTTTATTTTACGGACTGGCACAATGCATTGGTCGTTCAATGCCGCAGCGAATAAATTTGGATTAGCCGTATTGATGTGTATATCACGAAAACCATCTTCGCTAACGTGACGAAATGACGCCACTACTTTGTTAGTATTATAGGTTCGAAAGTCGATTAACTATTGAAATGAGAATTGAGAGAAAAGTAACTTCAACAAGTTCATTATTATTACCTTTGCATATCCATCTTGGGATGCTGTCAATAGTAATTTTGGATCTGAAACAGTGCGACAACAAATAGCTACATGAAGCGCGATATACAAATATTTTTGATTTACTTGTTGGATGAAACTGTAGACGATTAATTCTTGAGTTGTGAATTTTAATTTGACTTATCATAGCTAATTGACTGACATCCCAAATGTTCAAAAGGCCGGTCGTGCTTCCAGACGCAAAAAAATGTTCTAGCAAATCGGATGCACAAAAACTAGTATTTAGAACTGAATCGCCGTGTTCGTTTACCATCATTTGGATTCCATCCAATGTCAGTCGGTTGTAATACAGTACGCGCTTGTTTTGATGCATTCCGAAAATCATGGAATTCATTAAATTGTTCGGTATCGTCTACTTGATCAATCGTCAGCAATTGAAAATCTATTCAATTGAACAACGAAGAAATAAGCTGAGATTCATTTTCTTATTTCTCTCGATTCATACTTAATTGACCAGCCACGAGCACCCGATTGCCATTGTAATTCAGGCAAACTACAGTGTTAGTGTCCGTGCGTATCTTATGCCAAAATGGAGTTAAATTAGTTGGATCTAAACATATATGAAAAAGAGTGATTTACGAGAAAGAGAGAAGAGGTAAATGGATGTTACTTGTAAAAGTTTTCCCATCCATTCATATATGATTATACAGATGTATGTGTAAATTATATTATTTAGTCTCTTAATTAAAAAAAGAAAATTCATTTTTTAACGAAATAACTAAATAATTGAGTAGAAATTGTCATAGTTTATTTCAGTTATAAAAAATAAAGATATATCATGTTGAAAAACATTTCTTTTTGCCTAAACATACCGAGATTTTAGTAGCTTTCAAGGGAATAAAAAAAGAAGAGAAGGAAAATTTGCCTAGCTGGATTAGAAAGAACGATGTAGAAATGATTGAACGTGCTCATATGTGATGAACAGTGTACCAGTTGCGAAAAAGGTTCGAATTAGTGTTGGCAACAAGCCAGCATATAACGTTGTAAATCCTAAAAGCAAACATTTCTTTTCATTGTCGAAGACTTAGATATTCTAATTAACCTTCATTTCGTATAATATGAAGTGCATATTTGGCTACACTCATATTCGGCTGAAAAACTTGCACACGTGATTTGATCGCGTCAATAGGAAACATAAATATCCAAAAGCAAATACCAGCCATGCCACCTGATAGCCATGTTTTAACAAATCCTATCGATCAACAGAGATTAGAAGCTATCAGAAGAGAAATCGATTGAATTTCTTTTACCGATATCCTTTTTCGCTTCATTTTTCTTTGTCAATAAAGTTCTTGTTAGCTCATAGCCTCCAAAAAAACAACCGTAACCAGGACATTCTCTCAGTAATGTTGCTGTCAATCCACGATATAAGCCACGTGCACCTTCGGTGCGAATGATATTTCGCGTGATCGTCATTGGAGAACTAAAAATAGATACATTTTCTGGTTGACTTTATCGAAGAATATCGCTTTATGTTTACATCGTTTGACGTTTTCGAATATCTTTATTGGTCGTCATTTCATTCATCGTTTGTATACGACATTTAACTAATTCTGTTGGACACAGGGCCAATGAGGCAAACGCCGCCGCTAAGCTTCCCGCTGCCATATTTTCTAAAGAATTTAATTCTTCACTGGTCGCTTTATGATTCAATGAACAGATCAAGTTTTGGCATTGACCATAAGCCATAAATAAAACGCCATTTTCTTCAAAAGAAAAACAACAGGTTAGAAGCATTCTCTCATTTCAAAAGAACGAATCTACCAGCTGCATTTGCGAGTAATGATGGTACCGTGCCTGCATACAGACCATGTATACCGTCTTTGTAGAAAATTTTCTGCGCACAATCGACAAAGTTTCTGTAACGATTGGGAAATGTCTGCAACTTAGTCTTGATCGTATCAAGAGGTTGACCAATATAAACTGAAGCAGTCGCACCTACAGTAGAACAGGTCCTAATCAATCTGAATGATCGATTTCAAGAAAAATCATACCGGCTATGCCGCTAAGGAAATCGTAGAGAGCAGCTGAGTTCATGTTTGACAAATAAATCAGATTGCGCTAGTAAACATTTACTGAACACAATATTTTCATTGGTGGAAAACAATGGTCCAATCGAATCGATTTGTTTATTCCTCCTTGAATTATTAAACATTCGTCGATCCTTGAGCTCACTTTTTTTGACATTAGTTTAATAAGAAATGTTATTTCGAAAAGATCCATGTGGAATAATATGTATTACATTGACATATACAATGCTTATACATTGTCTCTACGCAATTTTATTTGTTATTATTATTCCATTACTAACAGAAAGGTTTGATATCGATTTCAAGCGAGAATGGAATGGTGATCCTTTATTTCATTTAGTTTATTCGGTACATTCAATGCTTTGATCATCTGTACATTTATTACTCTTTCATTCATTTCACACGCTCGTGCAGCTTATTCGGATCCCGGTTTCGTACCATTGCCGAAGAAAGGTATCGATTTCTCAGACGTGAAACAGAATGAAAGCAACAAAGTAAGACTTGTCATACGATCGAATCGTTGTCTTAACATAGTGTTAATTGTATTTCTAGCACAATAACGATGGCTGGACTAGTATGTATTGAGAAATGTCCACAAATCAATTATTTAACATATACCTTGATTTAGTTTGTAATCGATGCGATACATACAGACCAGCTCGTTCTCATCATTGCAGGTAAACGAATGAATTGACAAATCGCCATGGAAAAGTGCAAATTGATTTCTCTTATTTCGTTTAGGATCTGTAAACGATGCGTTAGAAAGTAAGTTTTTCGAACTTTTCACTTCTCGACGTAAATACACGTTTCATAAAGATAGCTTTTCGCTTGATTTGACAGTCAACCTTAATCTGCTTAACAGGTTTTCTGTGATAATCGTATTAATTTAAAGTAGCATAGAATAGTTTTTCGTTTCATCAATGCAAAATAATGTCGCGACTATTCTCTTTTCGTCGAAGGATAAACAACTTCAACTAATAAAATCAAAACATGCGTAAAACTTATATTCATTGACTAAATTCTCTGAATAGCTCTGTTGAAACGAGACATATTCTTTTTGTTGTTACGCTTAACCTTGAAATTCATGGTTGTTATGTATTCTTTTCTTTTTGTCCTATTTTAGATTAGATCATCATTGTCCTTGTGAGTATAATGTTAACTATATTATTCGATAAAAACTTACTTTCCTTTTCTTAGGGATCAACAATTGTGTTGGTGAATTTAATCAAAAATATTTTATCTTATTTCTGTTTTATATCGGTAATAAAAAATAGACCGTAAAAAGAAAATACATGATGAAAATCATTCTTTTCACATAGGCGTGACGAGTGTGTACGTCTTGTCTTTTATTATTTGGACTTTGCTGACTTACCCAAATAAAAGTGATGCTCAAATGTATGTAGACAAGCCTTGTTTCGTGTTTTTCCAACCTTTAGTTGTCTTTTTTTTCGTAGAATTCATTCTATAATTCTGTGTATTGAATCATGTTTGTTCGGTTTATTTGTCGTTGCGATATTTATCGATCAAGTCCAATCTATAACTAGTGATCGAAGTATAATAGATACATTAAAATCAAGTGAAAGTGCTCGTTCATCCCCACAGGCACTGCCACCGGCGAAAGTTTTATTTCGAAGAGTATTCGGTCCTGGTAAGATCGAAAGAAAATTCTTTCGTAAAGAGCCCTTTTGTCTTTCAAGGTCCGATGATATTTTGGTTAATACCGTGCGACTTGAAGAAATCGAATCAAATAACCGATTCCCAAAATATGTACCATGTGTAAAGTGCTCGATTGTGATCTCAAGTGCGAACAAAATACAATTGTCTTTATATACAGAAAAAAAAGCCGAAGAGAATTCACTTCTCGTAGTCAGCAAACAAAAAAGCTTCTATTTGTTTTGTTTTCTTTTAATGATTGATGAATTGTACAAACATTTTATTTATTTTCTTCTGTTTCAAAAACCAACAATTCGTTTTTTGTAGATGAAATAAGATTGGAAACGTTCGATATCTCAATGGCTCAAGCAGCAGCATCGAATTTACGTCGTCGAATTCTCGGTTCACGGCAAGATTCACCTGCAACACTTCCAACTCAATCCACCATCACAACTGATCTTCCATCGACCCTCAGCATAACTATGAATCCGACCATGTCAACAGCGCCGCATCGTTCATTTGCACGCATCGACCGACGTTCGATCGAAAAAGTATGGAAACAAATGGATCGGATTGTGAAATACTGTCAGATGCCGAAGATGAATTTAAAAAATTCACCGCCATACATGTTGGATATTCTTCCTGATCTTTATCAAACTTTGCGCGAAATCATCAACAATTACGACGATCGCCTACATATTCTAAACGATATCGAATACTTTCGAATATTTATTGACAATCTCATTGAACAGTGCACGAAAACAATTGACTGTTTTAAACGTGCTGGTCATCATATGTACGATGAACAATCAACCCATCGAAAATACTTGACGAAATTGTCCTTGTATTTCTCACATAACTTAGCGGAATTGAAATCGCTGTTCAACAGAGGAATTTATGAAGGTGAAAAGTTTCGTTTGACTAAACAGGAAGCCACTGAGTTCTGGAAAAGCAATTTCAATGAACGGTATGAAATAACAAAGAAATCTTGTCTTCGAAAACGATTTTGTATTTTAATGTTTCAGTACTATCGTACCTTGGGAAGAATTTAAAGAGAAATTGAATCGTATACATCCGATTCACACAATCAATGAAGCAACAGCATTACAAAATACAATCGATTTAACTAATAATAATCATGTTTCCATATTTGAATTCGACGTCTTCACTAGGTAATTCATTCATTGATGATTGACTTATCTTTCATGTGTTGACTTGTTCATAATAGATTATTTCATCCATGGTCTTCCTTGTTGACGAATTGGAAACTATTGGCTGTCACTCATCCAGGTTTCATGGCATTTATGACTTACGATGAAGTGAAAGCGATTCTCACCGATTATATTGATAAGCCAGGTAGTTATGTCTTTCGATTGAGTTGCACTCGACTCGGCCAATGGGCGATTGGTTATGTAACGACACAGAATACGATTCTTCAAACAATTCCACAAACAAAACCATTGATTCAATCATTGATCGATGGTGAACGTGAAGGATAGTACGTTAGACATTCGTTCATTTATTTTCATTTATCGTCTTGCTCTTTAGTTACAAATATCCGGATGGTAAAAATATTCATATTGATCTTTCATCGGCATTGAGACCCACTGAATCGGATCGAATTCTCGTCTCTGAAGAACAATATGCAATCTATTGTGATATGGGTACCTGTTTTGAACTGTGTAAGATCTGTTCAGTTAACAATAAAGATTGTAAAATTCAACCGTGCGGACATTTAATTTGTCAAAGTTGTCTAATCGCTTGGCAGGTTAGTTGATCGTTTGCTTTCGTTTTATTTCTATTCTCAAATTGAATTTGTTCTAGAATCAAAATAGCGCTAAACCACCTCCATTGTGTCCTTTCTGTCGTGGAGAAATCAAAGGTTTCGAGTCAGTTGTAATCAGTCCATTTGATAGTTCATCGACAGGGAATCGAAAAGAATCAAGTCCAAATGGATCGAATGAATTCGACGATGTAAATAACTGACAACTTCATCCTCTTTCTCTAAACATATCGGTATTTTTAGCAAACACTAGATGCAAATCCTAACGTTCAAAATCTACAATCACTTGCTACTGCTCGTCCAATATACAATGATACTACTCAACAGGTACACATTCACTTTGAACAGTTCTCCTTTGAACACATTGATTTTTCTATTGACAGACTAATGGTTCCAGTATAATAACAGATAATACAGCTTCCACGCCGCCACCAATCCCACCTCGACCTGTGAATGTAAAAAGCAATGGCATACGCGCATCGAATGACATTGTATCAAAAGGCACACTGCCACAACGTCTTCAGCAGCTTACACCACCTGTTATACCGCCACCATTACATACTAATGATGTTTTATTATTACCACAACGGTCATTTATCAAAGCACAGCGACCACTTTCATCAGCATCATCTAGTGAAAGTTTGAATGACTCACTTGGTAAAATTCTCGAAGACAATAACCTCGAAAAGTTCATTTCGTTTAACAATATTTTCTAGCACTTCTCTCAACTGTATCTACAGATCCCACACTATCACGGCAAGTTAGCTTAACGAATGGTGCCAGTAATCACGCAAAGGCAATCAATCATACAGCTAGGTAGATCATCTCCAATTATATCTAAGTTTCTATTATTGTCTTATTCTCTAGTCCTCTTCCTGATACAACATCGGGCGGTATGGAACAATTTCGTAGCATTGATGATATTCGTTCACGTTTAACTGAAGAATGTTCTCAAATAGAGCAAATTCGTATTGATGCTGTATTAACTCTAACAAATGGTTTACCTTTGACGAAGCAATATGAACTATCGAAAACATTTCTGACACAAATTCAACATGAGCAAATATCAAATACTCCTCCGCCACCCTCCTCGACTAGCAATACATTTGTTAATGGATCTTTTGTAAATGAATTCGATTAAAAAACCTGTGTTTATATTTTATCAATCATTATCGACAGTGAATATACAAAGTTATTATGAGATAATTCTGTAATAAACAAGAGACACATTTCTTCGACTATAAGAGTCTCCTTTTGCTTCGAATGTACGTGTGTATAGACGAAAACATTTCTGTTTTCGACCACGATAGATCGTGTATTCAAAATAAATGTGTTTCTTTTTCTATGTATTATGTTCAGGTGTGTCTTGAATAATAAAATTTAATATGTATGACTTCTAAATCAACTTGAAGCCCTTTTAGTCCTTTACGATAAAATATCGCTGTTCGTGGAATGTCAATTGATGTAAAATCTATTTCCTTGTTTGCTGTTTACATACCATCCTCCCGCAGACGAGCAGTCAACAAATGACGTCACGGTTCTTTTTCTTTCTGTCATTTCTGAGTGGTGATGTAATAACAGCTTCAGTGCAAATTGAACAGCTGTATAGAAAGATATGTATGTATATAAACGTTAGCTTTCACACTATTCGCTATCCAATTTGTATTTTCATCTCTCTCGCTACGCTTTTTTCCACATATTCAGTTTGTCTCGCTTCGCAATTCGTCCAAGATTTGTGAACATAGACAAAGACCAATATTTCCGATTGGTTTATTCAATTTTTCAAACAAACAGAGACAAAATCGTTACAGACACAATAGAGGTTATTGTTTTTCCTCGTATAAATAGGCGACAAATATCAAACAGAATATCATTCAATAGAATTCCACATTGCAAATCATCGACACTAACAGCAACCAATATGCGTGACATCACTATTTCAACAACAAATGGATTAGACAATCTCGAAGCTAAAGTATCAAGCGTAAGTTGTCTTCAACGTGCTCTATACCTGTGTACATTTCAAATCTTGTTCAGACTACAACTAATGATGATGAAGATGTAAATTTATTTGAAAACTATATCGAAACACCTTCGGTTCGTTAATTCTATCCACAACTTCAAACACTTTCGATTTCATTTCTAGAGTGAACATGTCAAATCTATCGAAGAAGATGAACCACTCTTGCGTGAAAATCCATCCCGTTACGTTCTATTTCCAATCAAGTATCATGATATATGGAAATTTTACAAACGTGCGCTAGCATCTATATGGACATGCGAAGAAGTTGACTTAGCTAATGATATGAAAGATTGGCTACGTTTAACGCCCGACGAACAATACTTTATAAAACATGTCTTAGCTTTCTTTGCTGCAAGCGATGGTATTGTTGGTGAAAATCTAGTCGAAAAGTTTTCGGGTGAAGTTCAAGTACCCGAAGCTCGGTGTTTCTATGGATTTCAAATTGCTATTGAAAACATTCATTCAGAAATGTATAGTTTACTTATTGATACATACATCAAAGATCCACGTGAACGGTAAAGGATTTTGAAAATGTTATTCAATTCAATCAATTTATTGTTTGTATTTTGTAGCGATATATTGTTCAATGCCATTGCAACATTACCTTATGTCAAAAAGAAAGCCGATTGGGCTATTCGTTGGATGAATGATAAAATCCCATTTGCTGAACGTCTAGTTGCATTTGCTTGTGTCGAGGGTATCTTCTTCAGTGGTTCATTCGCTTCCATTTTCTGGCTACGTGAACGTGGTGTGATGCCCGGTTTAACATTCAGCAACGAATTAATTAGCCGAGATGAGGTTTGTTGATGAGAAAAGAACTGTTCATACACTCATTCATGTTTTTGTCTTCTAGGGTTTACACACTGATTTTGCTTGTCTACTCTTTGAACATATGGTTCATAAGCCCAGTGTTGCACGCATCGAAGAAATTCTTCGTGATGCTGTAAATATTGAAATTGAATTTCTTACCGATGCGTTACCATGCTCCCTAATCGGAATGAATGCACCAGCGATGGCGCAATACATCAAGTTCGTTGCTGACCGTCTTCTTGTTGAACTCGGTTGCTCCAAAGTAAGTTCTTCTTCAAACGAATTTCATCCAATTCCATTTCGATCTTCTTCTAGATTTATCATTGTGACTGCCCATTTGATTTTATGAATAATATCTCAATTACAGGTAAAACCAATTTCTTTGAAAAACGTGTCGGTGACTATCAACGAGCTGGTGTGATGGCTGCAATGACTGAACATAAGTTAACCCTTGATGCTGATTTTTAAAATCCAAAAAAACGTGTCGTTTTTTGCATCTTTACGATATTTCATTCGATTATGTCTAGTTCTGATCTTCAAATCCTTTGTGTCTGTAATTTTTCTCCTTCTTGTGTTCGGATTTTTTTTCTCTTTTGTATGCACTATGTGTAACAACCTAGCGAAAAGATTAATATATGTAGATGATGAAAAAAAAGAATGAAAAGCAAAAAATTTCTACAAAAATATATGTTCCTTTTTTATTCTTACAAACATCATTCATGATGAAAGCGAAACTCAATGACTTTTTCGTAATTGCGTTTGTGAAAATCATCGATTAGTCATTGCAGTCTTTCGAAGAGAACGTGAGTCAAATGCATTTAATTAGACGACGGTATTTGTTCGCTTATTTCAAACCTATTTGATTGAAACCATCATCAAATACGCATTTCATTCTGTACTCAAAACTAATAACTAATCCATGGATGTATTGATCCACGTATATATACATTATTCATCAAATATCTACCCCACGTTGCATTCTGCTTCTTCCTATTCTTTCATCATACTTCATACGTATAAAAAGAACATCTGTCGTTGATTTTTCTTTCAGATATTAGAGACACAACATGAATACAATGCTTGCAACATTCATCCTAATTTCCTGCTCTGTGATCATCCTAATCAATTCCGATAGGCCAGCCGAATGTGAATTACCGTCGAAAACCGGCCCATGTCGAGCCATGTTTCCATCATTCTATTTCAATTCAACTACAGAACAATGTCACGAATTTGTTTATGGTGGTTGCGATGGTAAGTGCCAAAATCATAACTCGCCAATCAAATGATATCTGTTAAATTTGTTTAGGAAACGGTAATCGTTTTGAAACGAAAGATGAATGTCTTCGACATTGCGTAAACCAAACAACTCGTACGGATTAAAGACAACATATATACATCGTTCGTTTTTGTGAATAACATAATCTCAGTATCATGGTTTTCTGTTTGTTGTACTCATAAACATAATTGAAATAAATTGTACTTCAGGTTTCATCGTACTTTTAATCCAAAAGGGATAATGCCATGTTCGAAAGAGGTCGTTATCTGTGCAATGCTTGAGATTGGTTGAAAAATACTAGTAACATTTTCTTATACATATCGATGATCATTTTCATCCGACCGACCGATGTGCACATAAGTGAAATAGATTATTTGTTTATCATTTTCAAATTTTTCGTTTGGTTTCTCTTCTTTTCGATTATGATCTTTTGAGTTACTAGTAAATCTATCAAACCTATACGTTATGTATTGAATGATTAAACTGAACTCGTTCGATTTAGAATTGTTGACAACATGCCAGAAGAACCAATTCCGTCCTACACAATCAAAGACGTCTGGGCGCATAACGTGGAAGAAGAATTCCGTGCTATCAGAAAATTGATCCTTAAATATCCCTACGTTGCTATGGTAGGTTGACAATTACCGAATAAGATGATGAAAAACAAGTTTTCATTATTAGGATACCGAATTTCCGGGTATTGTCGTACGTCCATTAGGGGAATTTAAAACTACAGCAGAATATCAATACCAATGTTTGAAACTGAACGTTGATTTTTTAAAAATTATTCAATTAGGTCTAACTTTTATGGATAGCCAAGGAAAAAGTCCACCAGGCGTTTGCTCCTATCAATTTAACTTCAATTTCAACTTAACGTAAGAAAGATATTATCTCTTCCGAATAGGATGTTCACATTGTTTCTTTAGTATGGATATGTATGCACAAGATTCAATAGAGTTGTTACAGAAATCTGGCATACAATTTAAAAAGCACGAAGACGAAGGAATTGATCCGCATTTATTTGCTGAATTATTAACAACATCTGGTATTGTATTTATGGAAAATGTAACTTGGCTTTCGTTTCATGCGTACGTATGAAAAGGTATTGATTAGATTTGAATTGAATGAATAATTTTTCTAGGGGTTATGATTTTGGTTATTTATTGAAAATGCTCACAGGAAAATTATTACCCGATACAGAAACCGACTTTTTTGATCTAGTAAAGATATTTTTTCCAACAATCTATGATGTCAAATATTTGATGAAAAGCTGTAAGAATCTAAAAGGTGGTTTAGAAGAAGTTGCCAAGCAACTTGAAGTAAGTCTCTCTGGAAGAAATTCAAGATTTATTCAATGCGAGTTTCCATTTAGATTGAACGCATCGGTCCACAGCATCAAGCCGGTAGTGACAGTTTAATGACTGGTCTGTCGTTTTTCCGCATGAAAGAACTATTTTTCGAAGATTCAATCGATGAAGGCAAATACTCAGGACATTTGTATGGTCTCGGAGCATCCGCATTTCCAGCTGGTGGTTTTGGATATGAAAACGATCCTGTTAATATAGTGGAAAACGAAAGTCCGTAGAATGAGATAGTCATGAAAGATATGTTTTTTTTCTCTTTTGTTTATTCGATAGCGTTATATGTATCATTTTAACTGTTCATTTTCTTTTTCCATTTTGTTCATTGTTACGTGAGGTCATTTGTACAAAAGAAAACAGAAAGTCGCGAAAAAGCACAAAATCTGATTTTATGAACAATCTGCATGAAGTCTGATACATTTTATGTCAAAACAGTTAACACCGTAGTACAATGGCGACATCTACATCAATGATAATTGATTGACAATTAATTAATTTTGCTCGAAATAAAAACAGATCTTTCATACCGAAACATAAATATATTAAGTGACTTATCTTCCGTAGTCAGATGTCGACACATATGATGCATGATAAACCTTCATCCGTTCGTTGCCACTGACTCAATTCAGTTTCCATATCCTACTCAAACAAAAAGGAAGGTATCACATAAACGAAACATAGTCCATGGCTTCCGACGGACAATCTCAACCACCAGTAAATCCACCGGCTAATCCTCCGAAGAAGATTAAGTATAATAACATTTCTCAATCAAAATTCTGAGATGTCTACCTTTTCTTTTATTCCAGTCATACATGGTATCAATCTGATAGTACTGTTGTCGTTGTCATTCCTATCCGTAATGTACAGCGCGAACAAGTAAACGTTGATTCCACAGAAAAAAGCGTATGTTCATTTCAAATTATCGGCTCAGTAGTATTCTTCTCTTCATTTAGTTGAGTGTCACTGTAAAACTACCATCTATAGATAATGAATACAATCTTGAAATCGATCTAGCATATCCAATCAATAGCAGTCGTACGGATTTTAAAATTAATACAGCAAATGTACGTTGAACATTTGAACATTCGAAATTTGTGAGCTAATTAATTTAGATTGAAGTTCGTTTATACAAAGTCGATGCTATTCAATGGACATCACTTGATGCTCAACATAAACCGAATATGCCGCCAAGTAATACAACGATATCATGTGTTTAGCGGACATGAAGTAATAAATTTTGATTTGTAGTTATTATCAATCCAACGGTGGACACGAAAACAGTACCACCGTCATATCCATCGTCGAGTAAAAAAGCAGTAGATTGGAATAAACTTGAAGTTGAGATTACGAAAGAAGAAAAAGAGGAAAAACCTGAAGGCGATGCTGCATTGAATAAGTATATATAATCTCAAATAAAGAACATCATTGAATTCAATTCAAAACATAGATTGTTCCAGCAAATTTACCGTGACGGAACCGACGAACAGAGACGAGCAATGAATAAAAGTTTTGTGAGTTTATCGTTGATGAAAACTTGAAAAGATTGATATATTACCTTTGTTTCTAGTCGGAGTCGGGCGGCACTGTGTTGAGCACGAATTGGGACGAGATTGCAAAGAAAAAAACCGAATGTAAACCACCTGATGTAAGTAACAGGTTTTGATTGAAGTGAAAGATTTGATAACAAGCTATCTATTTATCTAGGGAATGGAATGGAAATCGTATGATTAATTTAATGACTGGATCACCGTAAACTATTGACTGAATAATTATTATCGGCTGCTGTGATTCATGTAGAATTTTGTCTTTTTTTTATTCGTTCTCGATCAAAAAACTCTATTACTCGAAGAAAACGAAACTATTTTGTTGTTGGTTCAGATAATGAATATTAATGTTTGTACGAATTCAAGGTGTAGCTCATACTCCAAATAACAGGAAAGAAAAAAGTAATTATTCATCAATGGGATTCCGAGCATTGATGTAGAAACGAGGAGAACGTCGTTTTGTCTATTCATTAGTCTTCCTAATCTTAAAAGACTGACTAGCTCAACAGTAGAATCATGTTGGAAATGTAATCTATGTTCTAGAGAGCACCAATGAAGAGAACTATTCAGTCGAATAGTGTGATGTTCATCATATTGCTTATTGAATATTGCATTTATTGTTAGATTATCTTATTTACTTTCATCTAGAACGTTGAACTAATTCTGAATCTTTTGGCCTCGATCGAGTGTGTGACTTGTAGTCTCTAATTTGAATCGGAAGCATAATTTCTGACATATCGTTTTGATGATTTACACGTCGGCAAATTTTTCCTTTTCTCAGAAAACTTGCCACTCTATGGGTGGGGAGAATGACTATCTGTGGATTCGACGGCACGGCGATGCGCAATCCTAAACGAATAAGAATCAGCTCCACAGTTAATCTATGAATACACTTTTGAAGAAGGTAAGTCATTTTCCAGCTTTATTTTTCACAATCATCAAGAGAAGGTTTTTCTCTGATAAAATCGCGCTTTTCATGTGTATGTCGTGGAGAACATATCATTTGCTACTAGTGCATTCGATCAAAGATTATTAACTGTCGAAGTACTTTGCTCGCATAAGAAAGCATTCTGTCTGAAAAGCTCTTCAGTTCACACTTACAATAAAGAAGATAATCTCAATAAGAATCAAAAGATTCAATGGAGTACGAGCGCCATCTATGTCCGCCTACGTAGATGAAAGTTGCAATTAATTAACTGCTAACGTATAATATCATTTGAAAATTTTTAATTATTGTTTCATTGATCTTTTCAGAAATCGATTGCAAGTGTTGTTCAAACATTCCAACACCATCATATTTCCAATTGGTTATTTACATAAATCCGATCATGTCGTCGTCGTCATCATAGATGTATGTTTTCATCCATCCATCGTTTGCGACCCACTCCAGACAGTCCTTCATCAATTGATAAATTTCCTTCAATGCTTAGAACAATACGATGTCCTAGATGTGTGCGGTTTATGAATCACTTATCTGTTTCAATTTCTCAAGTTCGTTATCTTGCAACCGCTAACGATCCACTCCCGTTACCGATAAACAATGATGAACTTGAGACCAGTACTGAAATAGACAGAAATGTTTCACGTTTGCCTGAAGATGTCTATCGACATTTCAAAGGTAGGGTAATTCGAGTTTATCTGTCGTATTGTTACGTTTCTATAGGATAGGTGTGCCACCTACGGAAATCAAAGAACAGTATCATACACGAACAAAATTACGTGCACTTTGGGGTAAATATGGCCGTAAGACTGGCATAGATCCCAAACTATGTTGGCCAACTCAAAGCGAAATGGACGAAATTATTGATGATGAGCGTGTATATAATATGGAATTGAGTGAAAAAATCAAAATAGTAAAAGAACGACGTGAAGCTAAACAGAAAGAAGCTGATCAAATGTAAGATCAGGAAGGATTTCTTTATTTTATCATCGTTGATTGACCTTCACCTTGTTTCTCGTCTCGTTTTAGTCAAGCGAAAGTTGAGAAAAATCTGAAAAACATGCCGAAAATGATCGATGATTTCCGAAAGCGAACTGTCGAACGTGAACGTGCGAAGAAAGCCGAAGTCAGAGTCAAGAGTGATCTAGCTGAACAAGCACGTGACTTTTACGGATTTGCTGTTGATCCCGATGACGAACGTATGCAGTTTATGTTATTACAATTAGAAGAAGCACAAAAATCTGAAGATAAGAAGGCACGCAAAGCCGCGAAGAAACTAGAAGCACATCAGCAATTGCAAAAACTAATGGGTATAACACCGGCAGCAGAAGATGCAGCGGAAGATAGTGCCGCTGCCGCACCAGTCGATCCATTGGCACCGGTTCCCGAAGCGAAAGATAAAGAAACTGATATGAAATTATTTGCTAAACTTGTTTCTGAACGTAGTAAACTAGCGAAGGCTGCATCGCGAATGGCAGATGAACAAGCAGCTGCTCAGGCAAAAGGACAGAAGAAGAAATAAAAACTTGTATTTACATACAACCTTAGGTTTGATTTGTTTTTCAGATTTTAATTTTAAAACTCAAAGGATCCTCTATCGCTCAATTAACACATTTACATCGTTGATCAAACCAAGAATTCCGGAAAAGCTCATGTTGGATCTTCACTAACAATGGTCGACATTCACCGAACGTTAAAAGATTGTTGTAATTTATCGGTAAGTAAAATGACATCATCGAAGATATTCATTGACCGCTTTGAGTATGGGAATAAAACACAACTGTGCTTTAGTTACCATAACTTGTATAGAACGAAGAACGAATCTATTTAAAATGCAAGCCAATGAATATTCTCAGTATTCGATTGCTTTTAGATTATGGCTGAACATTACTAAAGTGAACGATGGATGAAGTGGATATAATACCTGAACAAAGTCCAACTGACATTGTACGAACAAATCAATATTCAATCAATGATGACAGTAATGATTTAATACCGACTTATCTTCCACGATTAGCTGAACCGATCATAATCCGGGGTGCTGGCCATGTCACGGTTTTTGCATTGAATAATAAATTCGACGAAGAATATCCGCAAGCACTCACACATAAAGTATCAAGAGATGAATACCAAGAAACGATCAAACGCGTCAATCTCATACTGAGAAAAAACGTTCCGATCAATTTTAAATGGTAAATAATTATTTCCTTCTTATGAAATCTTCTGAATTCCCGTCCTATAGGTTACTTTGCGGTTGCATTTGCTGTTGTTGTACAATCGGCCTGTCATTATGTCCTGTTCTATGTTTGAATAAACGTTCAAAAAACGCTGTAAGTAAAGTTCTCGATTGGGAAAATGCACGGCTCTATCACAAACTTGGCTTGCATTGGCGTTTAACAAAACAGAAATGTCCAAATAATGCTGTACAAGAGTATGTTCTCATGATTGAATTTCGTCCACCTTTATCACTTTCCCATCCGGATTAATTTATTTTCTCTTTTTTTCTTTGTTTAATTATTGTATTTGTAATATGTATAAAAAGACAAGTTGTTTTTCCTTTTCGAATATCACGTGAAAGAAAAACAAATATATAATCTCTATTTTAGATAATATCTATTTGTTTTTTGTTTTCAATTCAACAATGACAACAAATCAACAAGCAACATCAACACCAACAGTACATCATGCAATTGTGAAATCGATCTTCTCCGGTGATACACTTGTTGTTAAACCATTATCACGAGCAGCAGCGAATGAAGCTGAACAACGAATTTCCCTGAATTATATCATCGCACCGAAACTGGCACGACCACCAACGGATACCAGCGCCGGAGGACCATCTGCCGATGAACCTTATGCGTTCGAAACACGCGAATTCTTACGTAAAAAATTAGTTGGCCAAGAAATTTGTTACACAGTCGATTTTCAAATTCCTCAAAGCAATCGATTGATGTGTACGGTCTATCTTGGCAAAGATAAAGAAACAGGTGAAAATATCATCGAATCACTCTTATCCGAAGGTCTCGTCGAATTACGACAACCATCGGGACAACGTGCAAACGACACGAAATATCAACGCCTAGTGATTATCGATGAACAAGCTAAAAGTAACAAACGTGGCCGCTATTCTGACCAACTCGCTGAAGTTCATGTTCGAAATATGAAATGGTCTTTAGAGAATCCAAAACAATTCGTTGATGAGCATAAATCCCAGCCACCATTGGATGCTATTGTTGAATTTGTTCGCGATGGTAACACAGTGCGTTGCCTTCTTCTACCATCGTACTATTTAGTAACCGTTCAAATTGCGGGTATCAAATGTCCGATGTTAAAACGCGAAGGAAGTTCAACAAATGAAACAAACGAACCGTTCGCTGAAGAAGCTAAGCAATACGTTGATACGCGTTTGTTACAGCGACAAGTGAAAGTTATTTTAGATGGTGTTAACAATCAAAATTTAGTCGGCACGCTATTGCATCCCAATGGAAATATTGCTTTACATCTCTTGAAAGAAGGTTTAGCTAAATGTGTTGATTGGAGTTTAACTTTATTACAGCCAGGATGGAGAGAAAAGTATCGCGCAACAGAAAAATATGCCAAAGATAACCGATTGAGAATCTGGAAAAACTACGTTGCACAAGCAGGACATACTGATAATGATAGTCATGCTAGTAATGAAGCAGGTGTTACATCATCCAACGGCAAATCTTCTGATCCATCATTGAAAGGATATCAAGCCAAAGTTTTAGAAGTCATCAATGGTGATGCACTGACCATTCGTGATTTACGTGATAACAAAGTTCGAAAGATTTACCTTTCATCTGTTCGTGCGCCACGTGCTGCTGATCTTCAAAAGAATGATGAAAACAATCCAAATGCCAATCGTCAACAAATCAAACGTCCACTCTACGAAATTCCATACCTATTCGAAGCACGTGAATTATTACGTAAACGTTTGATCGGTAAAACTGTTCGTGTAGTGACTGATTATGTTCAAGCAGCAAGTAATGACTTTCCCGAAAAGATTTGTTGTACTGTTTACGCTGGTAATGTTAATCTTGGTGAAGCCTTAATTTCCAAAGGTTTAGCTAAAACTGTACGTCATCGACAAGACGATGAACAGCGATCATCTCACTACGGTAGAGTTCTTTTTTTTAAAGGAAAAGACACTAATTAAGTTATTCTCTGACGTCTAGATGATCTCCTCACTGCTGAACAACAAGCAGAAAAACGGGCAGTGGGCCTATTTTCAAACGGTAACGGTCTTCAACGTATTGTCGATATGACTGGAGATTCCAATAAAGAACGAGCCAAAGGTTTATTGAATGTTCTTCAACAAAAAGGTCGTATGGAAGGTGTTGTCGAATTCGTTGCTAGTGGCTCCCGATTCCGTGTACATTTACTGAAAGACAACTGGATTATTTCATTCATTTTGTCGTCAATTAGCTGTCCACGAGGTGAACGACGTGTACCTGTAGGTGGAAATTCACAACAGCAAAAAGTGGAACCTGCTGAACCATTTGGTGCCGAAGCTTTAACTTTCTCAAAAGAACATTTCTTACAACGGTAGAATTCTTTTGATTTCAATTAGTTTAAATTATCCACTTCTCTCTCTTTACTTTCAGAGATGTTTTTGTTGAAATCGAAAGTATGGATCGTGGTGGTAGCTTTATTGGTCGTTTAAGTACTGCCGATGGTCATTCAGCTGCTTTGATGCTTGTTCAAGCTGGTCTTGCTAAAGTACATGATTCTGCTTATGGTACACCACTCTACAAACAATTGCTCGAAGCTGAAGACAAATGCCGCAAAGAACGCGTTGGCGTTTGGACTAACTATGAAGAACCAACACCAAAAGACGATGAAGACAATGAAGGAGAAAATAACCCTGAAGGTAATTGGTTATATAGTAATAATTGACTCTTCTTCATCAATACTATTGCGTCTAGGTGGTCAAGAAGAAGCTGTGTTGGGTCCAGCTCCAATCAATTTTAATGATTCACGATTCCGTCGAGTAGTTGTTACCCATGTTACAAGTGACTTGAAACTCTACGTGCAATATTCTGAACAAGGACCGAAAGTTGAACAATTACAATCCGAATTACGCGACATCTTCAGTCAAACGAAACCAGTCGGTGGACACGTAGTGAAGAAAGGAGAATTATTAGCTGCACGCTATACTGCTGATAACGAATGGTATCGTGCACGTGTCGAAAAAATTGAAAACAACAATCGCGTGTCTGTTTACTTTATCGACTATGGAAACCGAGAAGTTATCAGCGATTCAAGTCGATTTACAACACTACCACCTGGTATGTATCTGTCACAGGACAAATTCGAGAAAGCATCGATTGTCTCTTGTAGGCTTTTCACAATTACCGGCACAAGCTCATGAATGCGACATTGCTTATGTCCGACCACCACCAGATGAAGACGATCGTGAAGAAGCTAAAAACGCCTTACTCGGTGAAATCGGCAATGACGAATGTTTAATGAGAGTTGAATATCGCCAAAACAACAGTGAACACGTATCACTCTATCGTGCTAGCAACAAAGAAAATATCATCAAAACTTTAGCTGAACAAGGTCTCATCGTTGTTGGTCAAGGTCGTGGTGGTCGTCCAGCGCGTCCAACGCCTCTATACGACGAGTTACAACAAGCACAAGCAAAAGCAAAATCGTCTCGTGTGGGTCTCTGGCAATATTCGGATCAAATCGAAGATGATGCCACTGAATTCGGCTTCAATGGACGCAAATAAACATCAACAATAAGCAAAAAACAATACTAACACAAATCAAGATTTAATTGCCTTGATTTCATATATATTTACCATCAATTTTAGCCTTGTTTGTTTTGTTTTCAAAAAAAAGATTTTCCATTGTTTTTTTTTCTGTTTGAATATACATACACACATACAAATACACACACAGACATATGGTTATCTATTTATTTATTTATTTTCTGTCGTTATTTCTTGTTGATGTTGATAGAATGCTCAAGAGAATATTCAACAAGAGAAATTAGTAGATCATCTTGTTATCGTTAATTTTACTCCTATATTTTTCTGTCTATTGTTGCTCTCAGATTTATTCGTTCTTTTTCCTTCGATGTGCGTGTCTTAGGTGTTTTACTGGTTTGTTATATCTGTGTATGTGTGTATCTATGTGAAGAACAGTTATCGTTTTGATTTTCGAAGATTATTAAAAAGCGGCACTTGGGAAAGAATCTTTCTATTTTCGATATTGATTGATGAATGTCAATGAAAGAAAAGAATGATACGCTTCAAATATCGGCCTTTCCGCATCAAACCGACAAAAAACAACTCAACTGTATAGACGATCGATTTCAAGCTCTATTTTGATTTCATTGTTAGAATTTCGTCGTGTAAAATTAGATTACTATGAACAAGTCATTAGAGTCACTGAGGAATCCTCAGTGAGGACGAACGACTCATCTTCAATGAATCTTTTGTCCAACTAATTGAATCTCCAATATACATATAGATTATAATCGATACAACGAAAGATAATCAGTTTGTTATTTGTATGTCCGACCTCTAGAAATTGCATTTTTGGAGATAATGTCATCGCTGATCATATTTAAACCATCATCTGTCATTTGCACTCTCGCGACTTAACTGTACATGATGAGGTGGGTATGCATGAGTACCCGCGTACTATGTTAGTACTTCTCGTCAGAGTACTATGAAATCGAGACAAAATATCAATGAATAAAAGGAAAAGAAGAAGAAGAAGGAGGAGAGAGAGAAAAAAAGCAGCGACACAAATAAAAAGACAAACTCTGCAGGCACATACACAACATTTGTTCGTCGTACTTGCCATCGTGATCATTCAGTCATCAACTATTCAATCACATTGCCAATGTCTACAATAACACAACGATCCAATATGGGAACAATCAATTTTAATCAGTTTTTAGCTCATGAAGCTCGCCTTAATAGTCTGCATCGGTTATTTAAAACACATTATAATGTCACTGAACCATCACCGATACTTGAGCCATACTTATTTTTGGGTAATTGTATTTCCGCTCATGATGTTTATCGTCTATCAAAATTAGGTATTCGTTACATACTCAATGTTGCTAAACGCGATGTGGAAATATGCCCATACTATTCAAAAGATACACGCGTTCTAACAATTGATCTTCGTGATGATGATCAAGAGAATATTTTGCGCATATTCGATCAAGCATTTGCCTTTATCGATGAAGCTAGAAAAAATAATTCGCGAGTATTAGTTCATTGCAGTCATGGACAGAGGTATGTTAAATCTAGATAGTGATTTCCACAGAGCAACAAGGTAAATATATCGGATTCTTATTCTCGTAGTCGATCGCCTGCTATCGTTATTGCTTATCTCATGCGCACTTACAATGTTTCATTAGAACAGTGTCTTACTCATGTTGTCAAAGCACGGCCATGCGTTATACCTAACGACGGTTTTTTAAAACAACTTATCCTTTTCGATCGTGTGTTGGTCGATCGACGCCGCCAGCACCAGTTGTATCAACAGCAACTACAACAGCAACAGCAACAGCAACTACAACTACAACAGCAACAACAACAGAGACAGCAGCAAATGCAATTGCAGCAAAAACTTCAGCAACAACAGAAAGCAGCGAGCGTACAAACAGAAAAGGCTAATAAATCAAACGAAATTCCAATCCAACGTGATTCTCCTGTCCCACCCCATCCTATTCCACCTCCAATTCCTTCGACCAACCAATCAAAATTGACGTTGTCCTCCTCATCCTGCAATAGCTTGGCCTCGAATGTTATCAATATTCCATCCAGCAGTTCCTCAAGTGTCCTCTTATCTTCAAAAAAGATCGGCCTCTCATCAATGTCCAGTCTTCAAGCATCCATCAGTTCGAAATCTATGCAATTCGTTCCTATTGAAGTTGCACCTAAGACAGAACATAGTTCGGAAAAAGTAAAATACAGCTCGCTTTTCAATCGCATCATCTGTTGTGATTTGTTTCTTTTTTGCAGATCAAGCGAGTTGCAGTCAAAAAGCCCACACCTGACAATGAAATTGTTCTTGACAAGGTTGTAAGCAAAGCTGACAAATCCTCTCGAAATAAATCACCTTCGAAATCATCCAACAAAACTCGCCTTAAAACTTCTTCCTCGCACAACGAACTACTCGGATCAAAACGTAAATCAAGTTCCAAAAAGTCACCCGACACGAAAGATCATTCTTCACAAATGCATCGGTCTCATACAGATAAAAACTCGCAATCGCATAGCAAACATCACACCAAAGTCTATCCTACTCGACATCATCTCAATTATTACAATACCTTCCCAGCTGATTACTATGGTTCTATCAACCACTTGCATACGAATTATATCACTGAAATTTACGATCGAGTCGCTAAACGGTTCGTTCCAGCAACAGCCTGTTATTAACAAAACGATTCTTTTCTCCTATTTTTTCTAATTGAATTTTTTCAAAAACTTTTTGCACATCAAGTTTTATTAATATAAGTGGAAAAGGGTGCGAAAAAAAAACACGTGTTTTTCTGTCTCTTATGAAATAGGAAGTCATTGGATCCGACGTTTCGCTTGTTTTATTGGCCAGGCATGTGTAATTGCGATAGAATATCGAAGTAATTGGATTCTACAATATTCAAACAGACAGAACGACATGGAAAATGAACTCATTTTGTTGATATGATCTAACCTTGTTCAGGTGTAACAAATCCATGACGAATTAGAAAATCAAGTACAACTGTCGCACAATTCGGTTTGAAGTCATCTTTTATAATAGCTTCTTTGACCTAATTCGGCAACAAAATAACGACAACAAATGGGATTTTAAACTAAGAAGATATACTTCAGGTATTGTCATCAAGTAGAACTTCTCCATTTCGGCGTCAGTGTTCTTCGGTTGAAACGTCGTTGGCAATTCCAGATCGTAGAGAAACTGGCCCTGGATTTTTTCGATAGAGTACAACATTTTGCACTTCAATACATTAACACAAAAACACAGACCTCAGGATGTATACCATCATCATCTTCATAACAATAACTAGATGGAAAGAAAAACAAAACAATGTCTGTGCAAGAGTTTTTCATTGTCAAACTGATCGCAAATCTCGACAATCATAGCGGAAATCAATGAGCTCGTATCTGTTCATTGACTAGAAATAATTGTTCGTCATAGATAATTAATTTGGCTGTCTACATCGATCAAAGCCAGACTTTGATAGATTTCTATCGCTAATATGTTCCTGCTACGAAAATTAGTCTACCGTATGAAATGAATGACATAGGCTGTCATTGTATAATTTGAATATAAGAACAAAAAAATGACCCCAGTATAGTTATATGCTAGACCATACGTACCGTATGATTCTAAATTGTAACTCAATTAACAATAGAACTGTTAGTAGAGAAGGTGAACAGTAGACAGTGAGACAAAAGCAATTTGATGAAGGCCACAACGCCCATTGAAATGAGAAATCATTAGAATATTCTCGTGCTGATACGAAATAGTCTTAATCTTGATATTTGACTTGTGCATTGAACATACCTAATAGCTCCAACGGCTTTCAATTTGCCTTCTATTAATTCCTTTGGTAATTGAGCTTCTTCTCCACACTCTTTTATCATACATTCTGTTGGTGTCAGATCATGACTGAGACCACCTGCTGCCTAAGAAACAAACAGATGATCTCCTATGACACTCAACGAAGTTTGCTAACTTACTAAATTGTCATACATGCCAGGAAATGTTTGTTTGGTTGGTGATCGTTTTCCGATCCACATTCGCCATGTTCCGTCATCATCAATCACATATCCATTCAGATGAGATCCATACTTACGAATGCCGAAGACGCCTTTAAACAAGCATTTTGAACAGAATTAAAGAGAAGAATATTTCTTGCAAATACCTGCAGCAGCTCGTTCAATAGCGAATAATGGCGAATTGTTATAAGCTGATTTGACCAGGTAAAGCTGAGTGAAAGAGAGAACTTTCTTGGCGTACACTATTGACACATTCAACTGACCTCATCTCGCCAACCTCGCAATGGCTTAAGACAATCCTTTGCCCGCATGTCGTTTAAGACATTAGCTACTGCTTCTGTACGGTTGTCGTACGTATTTAAATGATCGGCTAGCACAAATCTACAAAATATATTGTTATTCGAAGAGATATTCATGGATTGATCTACCGGTCTGGATGCTCAATAAAGACCTTTGGATATTGACGAAGTTGAACTGCAGCATCTTCGCGAATCCATCCTATTTGACGTGTCTCACACAAGAATGGTTTACATTTCGATTTACTAGAGCCTAATATATCGAGCCAATGAGCAAGTTACAAGTTTTACTAGAACAAAATTCGAACCTGGATGATAAAATGAATTCAGACGTGCAAGAAGACGTTGAATTCCTAGTGACCAAACGTCGGACATCTACAATATAAACTGATATTTTCAATATACATATATCAATACATTGAAAACACCTATTGTCGTAAAGCGTTTGAAAAAAGCTTATCATAGTATTTATTTAAGAATATAACATCTACCCAAATATGTGGCGACGAGTCGCTGATAACGAATTTTCTTAATCTAAACAAAACTTTACGATAAATCTTGACTTATTTGTTCAGTGTAAATCTCGAGTACAAAAAAAAACAAAATAAATTCCATTCAAGTTCTAACTATTCTCTCTGCTCTTCGTTTTCATATATTCTCGTGGCGAAATTCACTGGAAATAGTCCAATAGTTCCATCGAACTTTTGGGCGTATTTCCAACCGTTGTCACAGACATTGTCGTCTTCATTCTCCCATGATATCACAGAAATCACTGTATCTTTTGTCAAATTGAGTTCATCATTGTTCTCGGCTTTATAATCATGAATAACACGTGCTCGGTGTAGAACTTTGTAATCCGGCCGTTTGATTGCACGTGTAAGTGTACTCGAGCGTTCTTTTTTCGTATGATAATCTGAAATCGATGAATACATGTCCGACTTGGAATCATTTCCAATTTTATGCCCATCGATTGACACATCTCCACGAAAACTTTTAATCAAACGTGAATAGGATTTGTATGTTTTCTTATAAAACTTTCCGTTGATGTAAAATACATCTTTGATGATTTCAATGAATTGATTTTGGAGATTTTGATGAAATTTGGGTAACTCTTGCCGTATATCGTCGTTGGCTAAATCTAAAGCTGATCTCAATTGATCGAGCTCATTTTTATCTTGATCGATTTTCGCTTGGTCTTTATGTTTAATACTTGATTGATATTGTCGGATTTTTTTGTCGTGTCCACGTTGTGCCTCTTTCTGGTTGTGAACATGCGCTTGCATACTTATACAATAATTCATAGCTGTATTGAGAGTTAAGGCAATCTGTCCTTGTAATTGACGTATATGTTCTGTTGAGCTTCGACTTATTTCATGATTTGTTTGAATAAGTTTTTGCTGTTGAGACCATGTTGAAGAATCATTCAATGAGCAAAGAAAATCGAAAAAACGATTGGAAGCATTCTCGAAGAGTAATTTTGCCTGGATGTACTTTTCCAATTCATGTTTAAAGCAATTTACTTTTTCGTTTTCTTCCTCGAAACGTCGAATTGCTTGAGTGATTTGTATATCCGTTGTTTTGTAACTACTACCCATTATCTGATCGGTTACGCTACGAAGAAGGGACTTGGCCATAGCTTTTTTTTTCTTTTGTTCGAAACAGCTACTCGTTCCCTATTTACACAAGGTGAGAAATGAATCAGTCAGTTAACTGCACTATCGACGCATACACGCAATACTTGAAGAGAAAGAAGAGGATAAAAGAAAAGAAATATGACTATGCTGTTGATTACAAATTTCAGAAGAGAAGCTTACGTAGTAACGATATATTTCGGTGTCTGACGAAACGGATCTGTACAAGAAGGTGAATATTTCTACTTGAAGCTACATGGTGTGCCATTTCTAAACTTGTCGATTAAATGAATGTCAAGATCGTGATTGATCAGTGCGCAAAAGATTTCAAACAATTAAGTAAATTCATAATGTTTATTTCATTGAATAGAACAAATAATGTGCTTTGAAAGCAATACAACGAAGAAAAAAACCAAAAAATGACGAATTATGCAAAGAAAAACGAGATTGTATAAGTATGGATACATACAACTCTTGTTTGTGTGTATTTATACGTATAGGAAAACATCAAATAAAATGCTATTTTAATAGATTCAAACTTCAAAAACAACAAATTCATCATCGACATCGATTCTTCCTTCTTTTTGAATCATGATATTCGGAGAAATTTTTTGTCTGAAAACGAAAAGTGAATTGAGTGATTATTCAAAAACAAACAAAGAAACCTCTCTTGACTTACGATCTGTTCATTTTCCAATTTCGATGATTGTTTGTTTAATCGGAATCGTAGATTAAGAAACATTCCATTGGCAATGCATGGAGACACGCAGATTGCTCACCATCGAAACCGAAACATTCCTTTCGTAGTAATATCTATTTACACCAGTATTTTGTAAATGTTTTTCAAAATTCACTTTGAAGAAGGAAAGATCAACAAAGAACGAAAAAAAGAAAAGTAAACAATCAAGCGTTATTCGTTCGTTGTGGACAAGACAACACAGGCACGTACGCAAGCAAAAAAGAAATAGATAAATAACATAATTGAACACCTTTTTCTTCTAACTAATTCTAGAGAAAGCAAACAAGACGAAACCGAAACAAACAAACGAGCTAGTTCAATTTTCTTCGGAAAATCCTGAGAAAGAGAAAGAGAGAGAAGAGAAAATATTGTCTCTGGAAATTTGACAAAACAATATGTATATCTCATATAACTAATCAATGACAATACATGAGTCATTTGAGAGAGATTTGGTTGTCGACTGTCGAATTTCTTTGGAATTGAGAATAAAAACAGTTTTAATCTTTCCTTCCAATAACTGATATTTCGGTGTTCGGAAAAATTCCACAACACGTGTTAAAATCGAATCTATTTCAGAATCGTAAATATTCAATAATAAATTTCCACCGTGTTCAAGCCAATGAGTATGTAAAACATCACTATCGGTTTTATGAGCGTCAACATAGCAACGTTTAGAACACAGGAAACACTTCAGATAAACACGTTGATATTTTAAGGAAGGCGAAGTATCCGATGCCGTCTGCTCATGTAATATGACGCCATCATTCTCAGTTTGTTTCAATCGTTTAGACTGATTTAATACCGTTGTCACAGTCTTGCGTTTCACGATTGTCTTTTCGGTTTGCATTGGCGTGATAGACGGTAGTCGACGTTGAAATTGTGGCGATGTTTGACGTAACGATCGATGTGAAGTCGACTAGAACAAGAGTATCGATGATAAATTTTTCGTTAATGAAAAGGAAAATGACACTACGCACGATGGCTTCGAGTGGATTGTTCATAATCTGTTCAATCGTTGATCGTTCTAAGCGATCCAGAACAACGCGACACTTGAAAGCTGGATGAGTAGGAGCCATGATTGACATTTTGTTGCATTTATAACGAATCGTATCGACACTCATGTTGGTAAAGTCTGTGCAAAATGAAAGAGACATTACTCAGAGCTATATACGATTCATTTATATTTTCCTATTCGAAATAGAAAATACGCTAGTTTTCTCAAGACGATCAAAATAAAGAAAACAATCATGTTTATTTTTCTAGCGACGTGCTAAGTTTTGATTCGTTAGTCAATGAAGTGTGATTACATAACGAATCATGAAATTTATATACCTGTGGTGTAATACGTACATTATCGTACATTAGCTGTGTGTATATATCAAACAAGAACGTTTCGAAATATAATCAAAATCAAGCAAGGAATAGCATGTTAAGTCGAATGTTTACCTGTTTTGGATAGTTTTCGTTTCTTCGGACTTCGGTTCAATGATGAGAGTGCACGTGTCTGCGCGGTAGAACGTGGTAGAAGACTTTGAGCTTTCGCAGTCGCGTCTGTCGAGCAAAAGATCTCCATATTACAAGTTGCTGTTGTCAAAAATTTCAAGAATGGTAGACGAATATATAAAGCTTGACGGACGCGTTCATTATGTTTCGGCAAAGGAAGTAAACAAACGGGAGAAGCTAATCGTTGAGTTAATGGTCGTAGATCCAAATTTGGCACAGTTACTTGTTTAGTTTTAGATCGAAGACCAACAAGCGATAGGAATTCATCTATGTCGACATCATCTCCTACGTCGAGTCTAGCATCATTTGAATCATGATTTGCATCATTTGTATCGATCATCAGAGAAGTTCTATCAATATCTGCCGAAATTGAGTGCTGAGTCTGATCATCAGCTTCGCAGATGTCATTGTTGTTGTTGTTTTCATCACTGATTTTTGCGTTGACAATTAATGATTGATCGATATGTGGCAGGATGGAAGACGTCGAAACAAATGATGATGTCGTTGGTAACGCTGCTCGATGTCGAACAGGTGAAAACTGTGCTCTCGTCGTCGTTAACGAATGCTGATGAAAAACAGTATTTGTTGCACAATATACTGTCGCTGCCATATCAATTTAATTAGTTTCAGTAGCACTATTTGAGAACAAGTATCGATGGATATATTAGTAGAAAATAATCTAAATAAAAATTGTATATTACAATACAGAAAACCAATTTTCATTATCATTAAATGATCTTCGACACGTATATGGTGTTCTTGTTACATGTTTGTATAAATGACAATACGAGTCAAATTAGTAGCACAAAAGATGCACCGTATGTGTGTGTGTGTGAAGGTTGTTACACTTTTAAAACAACCAATCAAAATCGGCCAAAAAATCTTAGCAAATTATGTGAAAAGTTATCTTCTAGACAGTGTTTTTATCATCAAACATTCATTTTGAATATAACTTGATCATAGTTTGAAACAAAGACCGGATTACAAGTTTGAACGTTGTAGTCGATAGTAGCACTCCATTCACTTCGAATGTATTGGTTCGTTTTTTTTCCGAAGGCTAAACTACGAATTTTCGTCATAAAAAAACGCGATTTGAACAATTATATAAAAATGCGCATTCTTAAAGGAAATTTTCTAGCACTCAATATTTACATGGGTTGCCATAACAACTTTTAACAGTTGTAATCGCTGTATGGCGATGTCACTAGTGGGATATGTCAAAAGAAACATATTTACGGCTGTTTCATTACTCAAGACGAATGTTGAAAGTGTTACGTTTTGACTTTTTCTAGATTGAAGTATACAATCGCTACTGATTGTTTTTGTTTTAACATGGCGTCAGCTCGTCAGCAAAAAGAACTCGAAACGAAAGCTAGATTAGCTTTAGCGACAACAAAAGATCCATTAGAGCGTTTGCGTGCAGCGTGCCTTGCTCGAGGAGCTCAAGGTATAAAGGGCTTATCAATGTAAGACTCGACATTCTAGCTGTTTCTCGTTTAAATAAGCGAATGTTTTCATGCTAGTTTGTTTCGTGTCATGGATGATGATGGAAATAGGAAATTAAGTGTTGACGAGTTTAAGAAGGGAGTCGAAGAATATGGTCTGAATTTGTCCAAAACGGAAATTGAAGATCTCTTTCGTGCAATGGATGCCGACAGAAATGGTAGCATCGATTATGAAGAATTTCTTCGTCGATTACGAGTATGTCTTCGATCGATCATTCATAATTTTATTGATATTTTTAGCCACCAATGAACAACTTTCGTTTGGATCTGATTGCTAAAGCATTTGCTAAACTTGACAGGTAAATGTTAACGACAATAGTTTATTTTATCAAGAGATTATTTCTAGAAACCATGATGGTCAAATAACAGTCGAAGATTTGCGTGGCATCTACAATGTTAAAAATCATCCGAAGTACATGAACGGTACGTGGACCGAAGATCAAGTCCTAAGGAATTTCCTCGATTGTTTTGACTATGGCACTCATAAAGATGGCATAGTATGTATCGTTATTTTCAGCATATATAACTGACTATTTTGGTACAATATTCTTTAGGTAACACGTGATGAATTTTTCGATTACTATTCAGGTGTAAGTGCGTCGATTGACAATGATATGTATTTCGATTTAATGATGCGAAATTCATGGAAGATATAATAATTGACTATGTACAATAATCAAAGGCAATATTCACTTTTTTTCTATCTCAAGTGCAAATACAGTAATCAATGCATACGTTGATGTCATTCAATTTTTCTTCTCTTCTCTCGTTGTCTCAAACCTGTCATTGTATTTTTGTTGTTTCTTTGTGATTTCAAGAATAAATCAAATAGACAAGAAGAATATTCCCTCATTTCAATCGGATTAGAAAAGAAAGAAGTTGGCGCGTTCTTTGAATTCTTTTTTCACAATATTCTTCCGAGCTCGAAATCATCTGTTACGTTTGTCTTGAATGTATACACGTCAGTGCAATTGACATTGCTATCGCAACTATGGTCGAACAAATTGTACACTCAAACATTTATTCAACATGAATTACTGGAATGAGGTAAATCAGACAAGAGTTGAATGATAGAAATTAAGTTGAAACACTTTTTTACATTTTAGTGGAAACGACACGAAGGAGCAATAGAAGATGAGACCAAAAGAATCCGGTTAGCAATGGATTCACGTTCATGGTGCAGTAAGTAAGATGATTTGCAGACGAACAGATTCTATATTCATTTTTCTTCTCAATCATAGGGCAAGCCACTCTTTTTTCAATTGGAAAATATAATTTTCGAAACCAGAACGCCGTTGGTTCTCAATCGTTTCCTAATAAAGATGCGTCGTTGCCAGACAACAAGAAAAGTCCTCAATCGACTGATGCATCTTCGTTGATTAATTTTACCAATGCTAGCGCAGTCGAATTACGAATCAATACAAATAACCAATTAGAAAGTAAACAAATGAATAATTAATACTCAAGATGACCTTCTTTCCTCCTAGAAATTGATTCGCATGGACCTGACGAGCCTGTGGTCATCACACGACGGCATTCGAAGCCGAGTCGACATAGTTCTATACAGAAAATCACGTCCGAAATCCGTGAACATCAACTTCAACGATACAGAAATTATCAGAATCGTCTGACTGAACATGCACTCTATTCCTTGATGATTTCAGCCGATGGCATCGAATGTTATAGTACGGAGTGTGAACCATCTGTCTTTACTACATCATATCGATGTCGAATATCAGAATTCGAAGCGTTGCGTTCAATCAATGATCAAGATATAAAACCTAATGCTTCTTACATCTCTTTAAATAATTTATCGGATCTAATTGATCACGAACCTAATGTTTCAAGAAAGAACTCATTCGCACGTTCATCTAGTCATATCCTAATGCACAAACCTTCATTATTCCTTGCCGATATATTTAGTATACAGTCTGATCGACTCTCAATAGATAAATCTGTTGTTTTGTTCATAGATAAAATGACACATGAACAACGTTCCAGATCGATTGTTGAATTGGCTAAACTACATGACCATTTGACTAAATCAAATAGTATGTCACAAGAGTTATCGTTAGAAATTTCTTCCTATTACAGATATCCTTCCTCATAGCTGCGATAAATAAACTACAACGGACTACATCGCTGCCAAATTTAAACAAAACAGCAGCAAGATTACATAGTGTCACATCTTTGGTCACTGAGGAACCGAGCACAGGTTTATCGCTATTAGAAAATATAAGGTTTACTATCAATTTCGACTGTAGATGTGTCATTGAATGAATCTCATTTAAAAACGCCCGTCGATCAGCGTAAAAGCAATTTGAATAAAGAAAATGCGACCGATCACAAGATACGCACATCAAAACAGACTGCTCAACTTGCGCACACGGACAGTTCATCGACAACTTCGTCTATAATTCCATCAACTACAACACACCTGCCAACAGTAAAATCATCTCCAAGTATTTCGCAATCGACTAGTCGATCTCTTTTATACGATCATACAATTGTAGTTTCGACAAAATCACCTGACGTAGCAAAGGTGAATGAGATTCATACACAAAAATTCCCACCGAAAGCAAGTGAATCTACGCCTCACTCTATTTTCTTCTCATCAACGCCGCCATCTTCTCATATTCCTTTGTTAAAGAACGAAGGTACTCTTGAGATGAAGTTAAATGATGTTACTCACCATCTTTCTCAAAAAGGCACTGCCATATCATCAGCAAACGACGAAACAACATTCAGCTTTGCAAGGATGTCTTCAAAGCTAAAAGACGCAACTTTACCTAGCACGTCTGACGAGATAGCAGCAAAGTCCGAAGCATTAGCTGCACCACCAAACACAACTGACGACGATACTTCTAGGACAACTCAATTAACAGCGACATCGACCGTTCGAACAATAACTGAGAATACCAACAATGACGATGAACAATTAAAACGCAGTAGTTTAGGTCTTGCACGCGACTCACTGGAACTTCTTCGCAACAATACACCTCATCATCGAACTAGCGATGAACAACTTCGAAGTCCGCAATCAAATGCCGATCATACTCCTCAAAAGCATAAATCCGTTTTAAAACCGCGAGATATGAGCTCGGATGCTTTGCTAACACCAAAACTCATCTCATACATTGACGTGGACCAATTCAAGGATGATAAATACTCGAGAGAGCAACAAATACAGTAAACTCAATTGAGACATCTCTCGAAATTATTTTAATAGACACTTTAGACGTCGTTCTCTTACCATGGAAGATGGTGGAACCATAATCTCATGCACGAGCCCAAAGCCTAAACGTGACTCGTTGACTCTACTTCAACAGCATCAGTCCGAAACGTTATCTTTTCGCTCTGGTCATTATCATTTATCGAATTATGATGATAAACATGTGGAGTTCATTCGTGAACCAGGCAACACTATCACACCTGTTCTACACGTAGGGAGAGGAGGCAAATCCGTGCGAGAATCTTTTCGCCCATTGAACCATATATTTTATACGTATTACTTTCTAGAAATATGTCCTTCACAAACATGTAAATCCCACATTTTGCAATGGCTACTATCATCATATTCTGTATCCCATCCTTGATGCATCGGAACGATCGAAAAGTGAAACATCACTGATCAACCATCAGTGTAATGTCGATGTCGATAGTCGTAGACGACGTTTGTGTCCGAATACAACTTCTCGACAACATACATCACAAATTTCACTGACATCCATAGCAATACCACGTACAGAGACAAATGAAGGTAAGTTACTCTGTGTTTTACCGTTTATGAAAAACGAAATCAATAACTACTTTTGTAGAAGTGTATTTGACAAAAAAAGACTACGACAGAATGGTTCACTTGATTATAACATCATTATTGAGAAAGAAAAAGTAACGTTTATTACAGCTTTTACTTATGTTTGTTTTTCTTTAAAGAAAAAATCCAATTCAATCTCCAGTACAAATAAACAATCGCTTGGCTACTCTTCAAAATATAATTCTGTTGATTTTCCTAATTTCCTTCTATGTATTCATATTTATTAAAAGTCAATATTGGCAAGAATACAATAAAAACTAATCGTCTTATCAAGCCCCATACACAAACTATCAAATATCCAATTTTATCTCAGTTCTGCTTCATCGCCCATTCGCATGTTTATATCTATAGCGATATCACAATGACCAATGTGATTGTAGCGACTATAAATTAGGATTGGTAGTAAATTAACTAATGTTAAGCTTTTCCCGTTCTCCCTCCCTCTCTTCGTGTATCTGTGGGGGGTGGGTGATGGTATATCCCGCCGTGGTCATATGGTCTATCTGTTCTGTTGCTAGTGCAAAGCTTCGCGGTGATTCTCGATTGTTCGAGTACCTTCTCGAATAGAACTTCTTTTCTTTTCTTCTTACGAAAGAACGACACAGATGAGTGTGTTAGAGAAAAGAAAGAAGTGTGCATCCTATGTATGTTGTTGTCGTCGTTGTAGGTGATACGCAATCATCATATAGAATACAAAATAGCAAGAGAGAGAGAGAGAGAGAAAATGAGTGAATTGCAACATGTTATTCAGTAAGTTCTATAGACCTATATAGTTTTGAGAAGAAAAGAACACAAAAAAATAAAACTATTACTCACGGTTATGAACAAATATGTTTCGTCGTTTATAGATTTATTTTTTGCTCGACTTTTCATATAATATATTTATTCCTGAATACGATATATTATGGGCAAAGATTATTATAAAATCCTGGGTAAGTCATGGTTGATATTAAAGCGAATCGTTTTTCACTGAACATTTGTTTCGTTCTTTTTAGGTTTAAGCAAAGGCGCCACTGATGATGACATCAAAAAAGCTTATCGAAAGCTGTGAGTATAGAGTAAATCTGATTTTAACGTGGAATCTCATCAAGATCTATTTGTTTAGTGCGCTAAAGTATCATCCAGATAAGAATAAAGAAGCAGGTGCCGAAGAAAAATTTAAAGAAGTTGCCGAAGCGTATGAAGTATTATCTGACCCCAAAAAGAAAGAAATTTTTGATAAATACGGTGAAGAGGGTATGATATCGAACGAACTAATCTTTATATATTTGTCAATACGTGTATGTTTACGATATGCATATGTTTAGGTCTGAAAGCCGGTGGAGGTGGCGGTGGCGGTCCCGGTGCAGCTGGTCAACAATTCTTTTATTCCAATGTTGATCCCCATCAAACATTTCGCATGTTTTTTGTATGTGTTCATCGAAAATGGATGACAGTTTTGTTCGAAGTCTATTTTTTTTTATAGAATGGCGCAGATCCATTCGCAATGTTCTTTGGTGGTGAGGGTGACGATGATGATGGACCGGGCGGTGGTTTTGGAGGATTTTCAGGATTGGGAGGATTTCATTTTGGTGGTGCTGGTATGGGCGGACGTGGAGCTCCTCAAAGTCAAATGCAACGGAAGAAAACACAAGATCCGCCTGTTGAACACGAACTATTTGTTTCCCTAGAAGAAATTGCATCTGGTACGACAAAAAAGATGAAAATTTCACGGAAAGTTTTAAATCCAGATAATCGCACGACACGCATGGAAGATAAAGTTTTAACGATTGAAATCAAGCCTGGATGGAAGCAAGGTACTAAGATCACCTTTCCACGCGAAGGCGACCAAAGTCCATCGACCATACCAGCTGATATCGTATTTATCATCAAAGACAAAGTCCATCCAGTTTTTCGACGAGATGGTAGTGATCTTCTCTATACCGCAAAAATTAATCTCAAAGATGTAAGTTTGAAAATAAGAGAATTGACAAGTGATCAATCATTGAATGATTAAATGATTGCATCACTATCGTGAATGTAAAAAGAAGGGGAGAGAGAGGAGAAAAGAACGAGTGTAAAGTATTACTTAATCAAACGAAAAGAAAAGAAACTACACGCAATCGATTAGGTTCATTTTTCGGGATCAGAAAAATAGTAGAATTTAAAAAATGTAAACTTTCCGTCTTGCCGCTCGGAATTAGTTCGTAGAAAGATACTCAATTCCCAATAAACAACAAAACGAACGATTCAATGGCATATTACTCATTGGAACACAATCATACCTGAAGTGATTGTTTGTTTTTCTTTCTTTCTTTCAGGCATTATGCGGTACGACAATAACTGTCCCTACACTTGAACAATCTCGTGTACGTAAATTACAGCTAAATGAAGTGATTAAACCAACTACAGAAAAACGATTGACTGGTGACGGTCTACCATTTCCGAAACAGCCAACGAAACGAGGTGATATTGTTGTGAAGTTCGATATTAAATTTCCTGATACACTTACTAAAGAACAAAAAGAAGTGATCTCGTCCACATTACGTGCCTAAAGAATAAATCAGAAGAAAAAGTATCAATAGATATCTGTCGCATTTCATTCTTTTATTTGTATGTATATTTTCCACCGCATTTACAGCTGATCAACGGCATTTCAACCATATAAATATAAATATCTATGCAGAGTCATCTCTAATGACTTTGTTCTCTGTGCATTGTAGACGATTCTCCTGTTTGTTTGTTCATTCTGTCTCTTTCTTTCACTTTTTTTGTACGTTTCACTTTTTTTTTGTCTGCTCAAAACACAAACACATATTGGAGTGAGCGATTTACTCGCTCGTATGTGTATAATGATCTGTGAGGTATAAAAACTACAACTACGATAACTTTCTGTACTAGAAGAATATTATTTTGTTTTAATATCAAACACAGAAGAAGAAAAAACATCGATTTGTCAAACTTATCCATCGGACAAGTTCATCTTTGACAGATTTCATTGCACGAAGCTTTGTTACACAGCTAAGCTTTTCGTGTAGAGAATTGTGTTATTTGTATTTGTTATTACTTCGTCAATCGCACGATAAGATGATAAACGAGAATTGTCGTCGAAATCCATTCTCATCACAATAGATTACGAACGAAATACCAGTGTGCACTGCTTTCAATAGTTTATTTTTATTCAATAATCAATCGACTGAACATCGATATTGAATTGTTCTGCAAATGCAAATCTCACTACTTGTTGCTTTACGGTGTAATTGTTCTGCTGCATTTCTTTCTTTAATCATGAAGAATGATTATTTAATCAAAAAGGAATGAGTACATAGCTATGAACAATTTTACTGTTGTCCTCTCGATCATATCCGTTCGTTGTCTCTACTACCTATGTTCAACACATATACGTCAAATAGTCTCGATAATTCATCTGCAAACAGAGGAGAAAATGCTTATACCTCATCGGTTTCTTTTCTTTTGTCCACAAAGGAAACCATCGTTTTGTGTTGTTTTCATTATCTCCGATAGTCGATGGTCAGAACAAGAACACAAATAACTTCAACTAAGCTGCGTGATGCAATCTCGTATACATTATCAAATGAATGTCTTTCGACAAGTTAGATTCGATTGAATAAGATGAATTAGTTATGAACACAATTCAAATTCCATGTTTTATCCAAGAGAATCTGTAAGTATGAAAGCGTTGTTAATTGAAACGCATGGTCGTTATTTCTAATGATTATTCACCGGAGAAAAATATTTTGATTCCTAGAGATAAAAGTGTGTTCTGAGAGAAAGAAACGAGCGTGTATAGCATTTCGATAACGTAAAAAAGTCGCAGAGGCATCAATTGATATTAGACAACTAGTGACTTAGTCAAATACTGATAAGAAGATAAAACGAAAAAAAGTATTAATAAATTTGTTAGTGTCAGACGAAAAGTTATATTATGAGAAGAACGATTCTATTTTACGAAATATTTCTACTGAACGCATTAACATAGTGGCTTCTATGGCTATTCAATTGATAGACATGGTAAGAACAAATTTGTCACTTTGAGTTTCTTTGTATGAGAGTGTTTATATAAATATAAGATATTGTTTGAAAGTTAAGTTGTTTTTCATATGCATATTTATGAAACTCGCAACAGATGCTAAACGTAAAATTTTATTTGTGCGTTTGCGATGACACATCAGTTTGACACGGATCGTTTTCAGAGTCATTTAATTCGAAGGTTTCAATGATTTCATCCATTTGTTATTGCGGATATGACCCAGGTAAAATGAATTGTGAGAATATATTCCGACTACGGGTGAAATGATACATCATGTTGTTTAGTTTAATTGAAAGTCTTCGTTATTGGCTTAATTAGGGAAGTGAAAGAATAGGCGCTCCTTTTCTGTAGAATACTCCGGTGTTTATCTATTCTCTAATAATATAAATGACACGATATGTTACGGTGATCGCTTGTAAATATCAAGAATTGAGTGAGAACATCATTAATAGCTACGCATGTATCTAAGCTCTGTGTCAACATGAAAGAACATAATATAGGGGTACACATTTCTTGTTTAATGTACTGACTCAAGGAGAATAGATGTATGTTTGTTCATCGTTTAGAGAATTTAGCTAAGGTTGAAATGTTTGAAAATTAAATGCCAAGGAGCCGTGAGGAAGCTTTTGAAAGAATCTTTGGTGAGCTATTTTGATATAGCAAAAGAAGAGCTTATTTTGTCACTAAAACATTCAGATGCAGTTGATGGTATCAATGAGACATCGATCATACTCTTAGCATGCCGAATATTCAAAGCTAAATTTGAGATTTCTCGAAAACGCCATGGTGTCATCGTGCTGAATAGTTATCTTTTCAGTTGATTGTAACGAGCTAGGAGCTCTCCTTTTCGCGCCTACCCACATTTTGATTGTCTCGAAAATATCGCTCACATCAGTCAGATTTTACCGTTTTTTTTTGTTAACAACGTGTGATATAAAAGATCTGACCAAAAGTTTTCTAACTTCAAAACTTCAGCATCCGGATGATGTTTCTTTCTTTATATCGTCGCGGATTCTAATGTAGACTGAACGATACAGGTAGGAAAGAACATGCAGCAATAAAACGTGAGAAACTCAATGATGGAGTGCTCGGAGCGTGTGGTTTTAATAAACTCCCATGGAGACCGAACCATCTGTATCGCGTTTAACCATCATTGGAATTCGTTTCCATTATCTGAAAGATATTTTTCATTTGTACAGAAACGTTTTATAACAATTGGACTTGCAATCACTAGTCTTACTTTGATCACAATATTTTATATCAGCAATTCTTCAAACAGTAATTATTTCGATTTTCCAAAGTTTCAATTATATAATACCAATAATTACACGCAGTCCATTAACACAACACGTATATGTTGTCTGATACTGACAACACCGAAGAATTTTCTTACTCGAGCTAAAGCAATTCATGATACATGGGGTCCATTGTGTGATCGACATTTTTTCATCACGGAAAACTCATCGGAGTCAAACTCAGTCGAACAAATTAACATCACGAGAGAACTGCCTATCGCTCCAATCACAAATATCATACCTGGTTATGATCATTTGACTCAAAAATCAGTGTCAGCATTTTTGTTTGCATATCAAAATTATATAAATGATTTTGACTGGTTCGTCAAAGCAGATGATGATACATTTATTATCGTGGAAAATCTTCGCGCATTCTTAAGCAAACAAAATACATCTGAACCTGTCACGTTTGGATATAATTTTAAAGTATGTTATTTTCATTTCGAAAGTATTCCTCCTATCGAATGTCATCTACACACATGAATGACGCTGTTTTCACTTTTAGGTTATTGTACCGAAAGGATATCATTCAGGGGGAGCATCTTACGTGCTAAGTAAGGAATCACTTCGACGGTTTTACACGGCGCACACAAATCCGAATTCATCATGTCGAAAAGATGGTGGTGCTGAAGACGTCGAAGTTGCCAAATGTCTTCGAAACGAAGGTGTATATCCCGGCAAGTCACTCGACGATCAAAATCGTGAACTCTTTCATCCACTTCCATTCCATGATCATTTCCGAGGCTCATTTCCCGATTGGATGCTGTCCTACGCAGAAAATCCACTAGAAGCTGTAATATCTCAGCTAAGGCTATCCTATGAATAACTACGATTTTTTCTTCGCTTAGAAATACGGCTGTTGTGGTGATCAAACGATATCGTTTCATTACGTATCGCCCGAAGATCAATATCTAATGCATTTTCTACTTTACAAAATTCGACCAATATCTCCTATCCACAGAAGATCCATCGATAGATTTGCTCGTTCTACAGCACCGGTGACATCATAATTAAAATCGAATACTGATCATTTGCAATATCTACTATGGTTAACAAAAAAATAATGCGGCGACTGAACGTACACGGATGTTCAGATGTGTACTTCTAATATTGTTATTGTTTTGTTGATAATAAATATTTGACTTAATTTCTGTCACGAAAATCAGATGGACTTCAATACAACGTCTGAAAGTCGGGAGTTATCGGTTAACTAACTGCAACATCAGCATATTTATCGGCTTGAAAACCTATATGATTATCTCAAATGATCAGTTGCTTTCATATTTATTTTTATGACGTAACATTCAACATGACATTGGACATACGTTCGTCGCCTACATATTCAAGAGCTTTGAAAACAACAATCAGAGTGACATTAATAGAAGCAGTCAGATGATCATGAATACCGAATAAGCAATCATACGCTAATTGTGATGAGCTTATGTTAAGTATTTCGTGTCGAGACCATTGATGCCAGTAATTAGATCTTCCATCCATTGCCGAAGATGTCTAGCGATAACTATAGCGCGAACAGCATAATAATCGGATAAACAAAGATGTATCATTCTAGCTGAAAAAATCAGTCGATCGTTGATTTCATGAATTGATTTCCATGGTGTGGAAAAAACGTTCATCACATTTCGATACCGACACACCATTTCAAGTTTCAAAACCGTCTGAATATTCGCAAAAGCATGGTCAACACCTTGTCCGTAGTTGTTTTCTAGCCGACGTACATCTCCGATATTGTTTGCAAAATAGATAAGAGCATTGTGCGTTTCGGCCAACAGCTCAACAAGAAACTTCTAAAATAGACCAGTATTAATTAAATATTCGCTTCACTATTATCGACTTACTCGATTGATATTATTTTTTTCGGACAGGTCAACAAGATAGTGTGAAGGAGGAAGGCTTGAACGAGTATAATTCCTCTCTATGGTTATACGCTGAAAGACTTTATCGGTCAGTTTCGATTGGATAATCTAGAAAAAGTTCTGTTTGGTACGCGCAGTGAGATGATCAGTACTAACGCTTTCTTCGATTTCAAGTGTCTTTCGAATGATGTGCTCTGCTTTGCTCGTAATCTCTTTGAACTCGTCTTTGACACATAGGATACTATGATTTATTTGGCACATATGATCATCTTTTGTTCGTTGTTCGCTCTGTAAGATCAGACACATCATTGAAATGTAGATAAAACAGATTCTCGACGTACAAGACATTTGTTAAACTAAAGTAGTAGCCGTAACAATTGCATTGGCTCGACACAGAAATGTTCACTTCACTTACCTCTTTTCCAATGTGTAGTTCTTCTTCCTCTAATTTATGTTACAGTGAATCTAGACCTGATCCCACGATTTTCAGTGAACTAGTTCGATTAAATAGTACCTACAAGCAGCCTACGCGTCTACTATAGCCTCCGCTGAAATCAATATTGTACAACATATTTGACGTGTTTCTAACTACCAAACTTCAATCAGTCTAATACTTCGGATTGTAGACGTCATCAATAGGTGAAAAATAAACTTTCCTTCTTTTTTATGGATCTGTCACTTCTCTGATAATTCAAATAAATGAACAGATGTGATCGCAGATTATTATTATAATAATAACTGCGACGACTGACAATCAATATTATTCCTATAACAATCAACGGATAGTCCTAAATCCAATATTTCAGAGTTCAACATTCTATCATACATGATTACTACTTCACTCCATCATAGAGGAAAACCGGCTATGTATTACTGTTGTTACACTACACTTTTCATTCCTTTACCTAATATCCATTTGCAAGGATATGATCTGAGATTGAACAGATCGTCATCAGTGATATATGCCTGCATGCTTCAACATCAACTATCTTTATTTAAGTTAAATCATTGCATTCTAACAATATAACATCTTTCAACACATCAACAACAATCACGTCACTACTGTAGTTTTCCTTCAAGTTTATCAAGAATCTCGCTGATCAGATCCATCCACTGTCGCAACAATCGAACTGTGATCATCATTTGAGTGTGATGCATCAGTGTGGTCAGCTCACGTTTTCGCATCCTTCCCAACTGAACCCCGATCATGTCGTTCATTGATGCATATCCTTCTGCAAACACATGGAGAATGTTTCGGTAACTACAGATCATCTCTTCTTGCAAGATCACTTGGATCCGATCGAATAGGTCATGCACTTCGTCGTTCTCTGACATGCTTTGCAGATGTCGGATGTTATCCACTGATTTGTATAGATAACTAGCAGCATAGTCTTGCTCCTTCATCAGATGTACCAGATCACTCTGAATGTATAAAGGTGTGATTGACAGAGATGCAGACAGAGAGAAGAAGCGTTCATACTTTATCGATGTTGTTCATGATCATAAACTGTTGATGAGTTTTGGATGATGGTAATGAGTTGTTGATGCTGGATAGTTTGTTGATGATGTGATTTTGTAGAGTGAGTGTATTTGGATCTCGTTGACGCTGCAAGAGAGGGTGATGTATGCGTGTGAAGGAGAGGGGGAGGAGGAGGAGGAAGAGAGTGCACTTACAACGTTTTGTTCGATTTGTATGGTCAGTGTGTGGATGTTCTTGGCTGCTGTAGCTATTTCATCGAGTGTTCGTTGAACACAGATGATGACGGATGGTGGGCCGCCACAGATGGTATTATCGATGTTGACTGGTTCTTCACTATCCACAAGTGAAAACAGATTTACCGTTAGGACACAGATAAGAATGCGAAAATGTACCATAACTCACTATATAGATAAGAAAATAATTCTAGTAGAAGAGTCTTTGAACAACAATGAACTTAAAATCTCGATAATAAGAAGCAACTGCGTAACGATCTCAAAATCTAGATTCAAAAGCAACACGCAGGCATTCGTTAGAAGGTTCTCTCATATGCATTTCGCACGGAGTACATCTCAGACCACTGTCTGGCAGTTTTACTACAATTGAGGTTTGCTATGCCTATTATTTTATCATACACGTTCACATCGCGAACTCCTAAAAACAGTTAAAAAAAGTCATTTTACCGATTTCACGTAGATAGGAAAGCCCAGCCAATGCTACAAATGTGTTTTTCTGTAGCATACCAGCTACATATCACTCTTTTTATATTCCATGAAGTTGTTGTTAACATGGTAAACAGATTTCGGAGAAAGAACACAGTCTATGTCATGATTTTCCAAAGCCAATACTGTGATATTCCAACCTTAAAATCTTTCCATGAACGTCACACACGTTCGAGGTGGAAAATATGAATGAGATCAACGTGGTGGTTGCAAGATTCCGGCAGCAGAAATAGAATGATGGATGATGAACAAATGTTTGCCGATAAATTTGATAAAACGATTGCTATGTTCTTGTTGTCAAAAGAAGAGAGGTAGTTAGAAGTGAAAAACAAATGGTTTTGACGAAGAAGTAGTGGTAAAACCGTAGTATGCTGAAGTTATGAGAAAAAGGTACTCTGTGATATTTCGGCAGCTACAGAAGAAAACTCATGAGGGTATAGGGCAAGTCGACCGGTACCTAGATAGTTTTCCGTTGTCTGTGGTAGAGTACACGAAATGAGAGACAATTTTAATTTCAACAGGAAAGTTGCTTAATTATGAGCCTATAGAAATTGAAAGTGAACATTTGCTATCAAGAATAATATAGATTACATATTGTCATCGATATTACATCAGTGGCTTTCACTTGTTTTGAAAAGATCTTCTATTTGGTTGTATTACCCAAGTGGATCTATCTGTTACACTATATCGCCAAAAAAGAAAAATCTAAGATGAGATCGAGTAATGAAATAAACAACTGAGAGGTCATTACACAAGTCAGAACAGCTATCAAAAGTCGTTAATACTTTTTTTCGACGCCACACATGCGTATTCCATCGAATGCAGCAGTCTGCAGTGTACTTTGATTTCAGGGCTAACTATTCTTGGCCGTCAAAAAAAGCCTACGTCATCAGAATAACGATAACAGATTTGTTTCAAAAGCATATCGTTTCAATCATGATGCACGCATTTGCTTCTGTTGCACTGTCCTAGGCATGTGAGCGCCAATCACACCATAATTCACACTGTTCAAGCTATCTCTTTTCTCTTAAGATATAGCCTACAACTGTATTTGTATAGATATTACATGCATTCAGTGAAAAGATAATATCTATTTCTTAAATTTTTCAATACGTTTATCTTCGCGTTTATTCAATAGACTATAAAAAAACACGCTTACGTTGCATTCACAAAATTTCATTCACAAAAAGCAATCACTTCTTCACTCACGTTACCGATCCTGCAGATCACACCTTCACACTCATCCAGTCAGTTTTCTTTCCAACTGTTGGACCACATCATCCAACAGTTTCATCCACTTTTGAATATATCTTACCATCACTAGCGAACGAACATCGTGCAAACCTGATCGAGAAACACGACTTATCCGCGAGAACTCGATCCGATCCTTCGTCTCGAACACTGGTTCCAGCCGTTCAACATACACATTCAAAATGTTTCGATATCGACACACCATCTTATACTTCAGCTCTTTCTGAATCTCACCCAACACTCTATCACTCGTCTTTTCATATACAACTTTGGGACTGCGCACTTCGTCGATCGAGTTCGCCAAGTGAAGCATAGCATTGTGTGCTTCCCACAGCAGATTAATCAGAACTTTCTAAATCACACCATTCAAAATCACATCGATCCTGTTCATCACTCTCATCAACTCACTTTTCTAATGTTGGGTTGTGCAAGGAAGCGAACATGCCATTCCGACGATGGCTCACTGGACTTAGTGTCGCTCATTTCCATCGCTACGCTCAGATAGAGTGCGTCGATTGTTGTGGTGTCCTTGATCTGAAACACGACAGTTCTGGTCGTTTCCACAATATGAAAGTAACAGTAAAATACTCACATATTCTTCGATAATCTGCGCTTTCCGCTCAATTTCTTTGGCCTCATTCACGATGATGTTGAGTTCGCCTCTGACACACAAAATACCGTCATGAGTTACACAATAAGTCTCGTTGATGGGCTGGTGTTCACTCGGTGAAACCAGATATCCAAATAGAAGAATGCTGACAAAGATCAGCTTGAAGGATGCCACAGACATCGATTCAGCTAAATCACATACAGACCAACATATGATTTCACCTTGAATGTCGCTCATCGCAAACAGTGATGACACTTACCTGTTCAGTACGAATGACGGAATACGAAACACGAAAAAGAGCTGCGTTGTCTTGCTTGGAAGTCGACGGGAAAGCAGACGATCAACGTCGCAGATAGAAAAGAGATGATCTAAATATGATGAACAAATGAGCAAAAACTAAAACTAAAACTAAATCCATGGAGCAATCATTTCAGTCCACAACAACAACAACAACATCAACAGCTGCGGTGGCAGTGGCGGTACTGGCAGCAGAGCACGAGAGAAACAGGAAGATATAGAGAAAGAGGGAGATAGAAGAGACAAGTCCTTCATCTCTCACTACAGCATCTCACACTGTTGTTGTTGTCGTTTGCAAATATGATGATAATGCTGACGACTGAGATGATAAATCACGTTCACTACACATAGCTACATATATATAGAAAAAGTTGATGCCTATAATCATCTGCTCATTCGGCTACTTCTTCTTCTTCTTCTTTCTGTGTCCTGCTCTTATATGATCTGATCAGAAGTGTCTGACGCAGAAAACCACAGTCAATAGCGAATGCTGTCATTGAACTTTGTATGATTTTGACTTTTGATTATGATATGTGAAGAATGATGTCAGAAGTTGGTAGGGGAGATTGTTTGATAGTGTCTGTGTTTGCAGTAGTGAACAAGTTTGGTAGAAGAAAAATCAATATGAGTGATAAGAGTGTTTGAATTGACTCCTAAAATTATGATTGTGATTTTTAACAGTGAGTCAGAGAGGAAGAAAAATATGTAATTGGCCAAAGAAAATGCAAAATCACTTCTGGTGTGCTTTTTTTTCTGCGTAATAGTATCGCCAATTCATCGATGATCGATTAGAGATATTTTGGTTCGCGTCAGCTATGGTTTACATCAACAGATAGACATAAGCATAACTATTTCCGGAAAACATGTTTCAAATAGTCAACAATAAGAAAACACGGAAGCGAAATTCACCTTGAGATATATTCGTGTTTAGATACAAAACAATTTGTGTTAACCATTGTCATTGGCATGTAATGCTATTTGATATACCAAAATATTCTTTTCCTGTGAAAATATTAATTTTCTTATTGATATTTAGTTTCTATCGCTGATTACACACTGAATGCATCTTTCGGAAATTAACCGGTATACGAGTTTGCCACTCTCCTATACACCGCAGCTTCCGTCAATACTAGTCGTATTAATTGCACCTATATACAAGCGATTTATTTGCTTTTTCTTTAACTATCTTTATTTAATTTAAATCATTGCATTCTAACAATATAACATCTTTCAACACATCAACAACAATCACGTCATTACTGTAGTTTCCCTTCAAGTTTATCGAGAATCTCGCTGATCAGATCCATCCATTGTCGCAACAATCGAACTGTGATCATCATTTGAGTGTAATGTAGATGTCGGATGTCATCCACTGATTTGTAGAGATAACTAGCAGCATAGTCTTGCTCCTTCATCAGATGTACCAGATCACTCTGAATGTATAAAGGTGTGATTGACAGAGATGCAGACAGAGAGAAGAAGCGTTCATACTTTATCGATGTTGTTCATGATCATAAACTGTTGATGAGTTTTGGATGATGGTAATGAGTTGTTGATGCTGGATAGTTTGTTGATGATGTGATTTTGTAGAGTGAGTGTATTTGGATCTCGTTGACGCTGCAAGAGAGGGTGATGTATGCGTGTGAAGGAGAGGGGGAGGAGGAGGAGGAAGAGAGTGCACTTACAACGTTTTGTTCGATTTGTATGGTCAGTGAGTGGATGTTCTTGGCTGCTGTAGCTATTTCATCGAGTGTTCGTTGAACACAGATGATGACGGATGGTGGGCCACCACAGATGGTATTATCGATGTTGACTGATTGTTCACTATTGGCAGAGAGATGCAACATTGCTACCACAGTCAGATAGTATATCTTCATGACATATCCCTAAACGCAATTAGATAAGTTACTCTGATCAATGCTTATTAAACGAACCGTGATATATGATTTAGGACACGTAAAGGCGCATGAGATTTTCTATATGCCACAACTAAGACTTGTGTTAGTAGTTGAAACAATTGTCTTCACGTGGAGCTGGAGAGTGACAATAACTGTCAAATTTTGGTGGTTACGTCAGTCAAAATAGTTCATGATCGAGCAACTATTGTCGACGTCGACATTCTTTGTCCATATGAAGAGCATTGTTTTACCATTGTTCCTTAAGGGTACTACCTAATTCGAAACTACGTCTTACCGATTTGGTGTAAATCGCAAAAGCCAAGTCAACGCTGCATATGTGTTTTTCTGCAGCATATCAACTACCTACGACCCTTTTTGTACCCTTTTAATCTGCTGTTAGCGCTATAATTAGATTTTGGACAAAGAATATAGTCTATGTCATGATCTTTCAACTTGGAAACCTTTTCCCATAGACGGCACACAGGCTCAAGCTGGAAAATGTGAATGAGACCGACGTTATTGTGAAAAAAAACCGACGAAAGAAATGAAATGATGGATGGTGAACAAATGTTTGTCGATAAATTTGGCAAAACAGTTAATATTTACTCTTTGTCAAAATAACAAAGGTACTTGCAAATCAAAAAACTAATCGTATAGACGGAGAAGTGATGATAAAATTAAAACCTGTCACAAATTTGAGAAATAATTCTGTTCAGAATATATTGAATAACCGATCGGGAATAATATACCAATCGGTAAATCGATAAGAAATCAGCTTTTTGTACAGATGAGTATGGCTGATTTGATTTTGTGATGATCGTCCCACTTAGTATTCTTAAAACAGCCACCTCAGTAATATTATGCTCATAGGAAAACTGGCCATGCAGTGTGTTGAATGCATTGCATGGAATAAATTTCATATGTTATAAAATTTATACATGATCATAGAACATCAAGATCAAAATACTTGCTAAGCTGTTACAAATAATGAAAGAAGAAACTAGGAACATTTTGCTTAGTTATCTTCTCGATAAACAAATAAAACCAGTGAGCGAAGACCCGTTATTTTCTACACAGTAAACGCACAGTTTAACAGAAATGTTATTTTAAATGGCAAACCAAATGAGCACCATTTATGTTTTTCTTGTAAAGAACATCTTTTACATCGTCAAAATTTTCGTACGTACGGTACACGTGCAAATTTCGTTTTACTTTTCCTTTCTCCATTCGAGAAGAATAAAGTTGTAATTGTGATGCCATACACCAGAAAAATGAAAGACTTTAACTTGATTGAATGATTCTTCACGTAGTAAGTTTCTCGACACGAAATTCCTGTCCAATGAATATGTCTATATTTGTTCTAGATCAAAAAAATATAATTCATATGAATACTATTCAAAAATCTTTGCCTGCTTTCGACAAAAGACACACTATTTTCGTCGGCTTTGCGCTAGTTGGCATCACTTTACTTTTCATCTTACATATCCGTCCTATGAGTGGAGACCAGCCGACAAATGAATTCGAATTCGATTTGTATGATGATTACAGCGATACTCATAGTTTCACAACACGCATCTGTTGTTTTATATTGACAGCACCGAAGTATTTTCTTACTCGCGCAAAAGCTATCAATGAAACATGGGCTCCGCGTTGTGATCGATACTTTTTCGTGTCGGAATATATGGAAGACACAATGACATCTGAACAACTTAATATCACAAGGCATTTACCTATTGCTCCTTTAAAAGAACTGAATGTTGGTTATTCGCATTTAACACAGAAATCAACTCTGTCATTCATTCATGCATATGAGAATTATTTGAACGATTACGAATGGTTTGTTAAAGCGGATGATGACACATATATGATCGTAGAAAATTTGAAAACGTTTCTAAGTGGAAAAAATGCATCGGAACCAATCACGTTTGGATATAATTTTAAGGTGAATATGAGTATTCATTTCGTAAGAGAATCAGTGGGAAGGATACGAGTGTTTGTAGCAACAACTAAATTCGAAAGTTTCTTCATTCAATTTGGGTAAAAATCTCAGACTATAATGCGATTACTGTGAAACATCAAAAAGTTCTCTGAATGAAACGGTTTGTTGAAATCCGTACGATCAGTTCAAGGGCGTTCTTCGTGGAAGTATTTTTTAAATTTGTTATTAGATCTTGGTTTCTAAAGGATATCATTCTGGTGGAGCAGCATACGTACTCAGTCGTGAAGCCGTACGAAGGTTCTACGAGGCTCATCGGAATTCCGATCCAAAGTGTCGCAAGGATGGCGGTGCTGAAGATGTGGAAATAGCAAAATGTTTACGGAAAACGGGTGTCTATCCCGGAAGATCTTTGGATAAGCAAAATCGCGAACTGTTTCATCCACTTCCGTTTGTTGATCATTTCTACGGTTCAGTTCCCAATTGGTTGGAGAAAAATGCTGAGAATCCATTAAAAATTGTGAGTGAATAGCATCCGATCGATTGTTTTATTTCCTTGTCAATACATGTGTTTCTACTAGTATTATGATTGCTGTGGTGATCAGACGATTTCGTTCCACTACATCCCACCTGAAGGCCAATATCTGATGGATTTTCTTATCTACTCGACATAAACAATATCCAGTGTTTTCCGATAAACTATCCCACACTACAAATTGATTCCGAATACAGTTCTGTAAAACTGCTCGGTTTTTTTTCTATATTCGATATTTGATAGAATGAATCGTTTTATTTTATTCGTACGTGTATTTTAAAATTGCTGCATATCGCTTTCGCGCTCATTCGATCAGTTACACAGAAAAATCACATCGCATTCACAAAATTTCATTCACAAAAAGCAATCACTTTTACACTCATGTCGCTGATCCTGCAGATCACACCTTCACACTCATCCAGTCAGTTTTCTTTCCAACTGTTGGACCACATCATCCAACAGTTTCATCCACTTTTGAATATATCTTACCATCACTAGCGAACGAACATCGTGCAAACCTGATCGAGAAACACGACTTATCCGCGAGAACTCGATCCGATCCTTCGTCTCGAACACTGGTTCCAGCCGTTCAACATACACATTCAAAATGTTTCGATATCGACACACCATCTTATACTTCAGCTCTTTCTGAATCTCACCCAACACTCTATCACTCGTCTTTTCATATACAACTTTGGGACTGCGCACTTCGTCGATCGAGTTCGCCAAGTGAAGCATAGCATTGTGTGCTTCCCACAGCAGATTAATCAGAACTTTCTAAATCACACCATTCAAGATCACATCGATCCAATTCATCGCTTTCATCAACTCACTTTTCTAATGTTGGGTTGTGCAAGGAAGCGAACATGCCATTCCGACGATGGCTCAGTGGACTGAGTGTCGCCCATTTCCATCGCCACGTTCAAATAGAGTGAGTCGATTGTTGTGGTGTCCTTGATCTGAAACACGACAGTTCTGATCGTTTCCACAATATGAAAATACCAGTAAAATACTCACATATTCTTCGATAATCTGCGCTTTCCGCTCAATTTCTTTGGCCTCATTCACGATGATGTTGAGTTCGTCTCTGACACACAAAATACCGTCATGAGTTACACAATAAGTCTCGTTGATGGGCAGGTGTTCACTCAGTGAAACCAGATATCCAAATAGAAGAATGCTGATAAAGATCAGCTTGAACGATGCCACAGACATCGATTCAGCTAAAACACATACAGACCAACATATGATTTCACCTTGAATGTCGCTCATCACAAACAGTGATGACACTTACCTGTTCAGTACGAATGACGGAATACGAAACACGAAAAAGAGCTGCGTTGTCTTGCTTGCAAGTGTGACGGGAAAGCAGACGATCAACGTCGCAGATAGAAAAGAGATGATCTAAATGTGATGAACAAATGAGCAAAAACTAAATCCATGGAGCAATAATTTCAATCCACAACAACAACAACAACATCAACAGCTGCGGTGGCAGTGGCGGTACTGGCAGCAGAGCACGAGAGAAACAGGAAGATATAGAGAAAGAGGGGGATAGAAGAGACAAGTCCTTCATCTCTTACTACAGCAGCTCACACCGTTGTTGTTGTTGTTGTCGTTGTTTGCAAATATGATGATAATGCTGACGACTGAGATGATAAATCACGTTCACTACACATGGCTACATATATATAGAAAAAGTTGATGTCTATAATCATCTACTCATTCGGCTACTTCTTCTTCTTCTTCTTTCTATGTCCTGCTCTTATATGATCTGATCAGAAGTGTCTGACGCAGGAAATCACAGTCGATAGCGAATGCTGTCATTGAACTTTGTATGATTTTGACTTTTGATTATGATATGTTAAGAATGATGTCAGAAGTTGGTAGGAGAGATTGTTTGATAGTGTCTGTGTTTGCAGTAGTGAACAAGTTTGATAGAAGAAAAATCAATATGAGTGATAAGAGTGTTTGAATTGACTCCTAAAATTATGATTGTGATTTGGATTACTATCAATATGAAGATCAGATGAACTTTTATCGGATGACATGCCAAGGATTTTTCCCGTAGAATAAAGAAGCTTGGCACTGAATAGTGACGTGTCTGTTTGACAATATATCCAATGTAGCGGAGAGAAATAAATTGATGTTTGAGGATCAAAGTACAAAGTGGATTATGGTGGCTTTTGCGGAATAAAATTGTATTAAATTTCCACTAATATTTGCAGTGAGGTGAGAAGGATAGTATCAATTACTCCGGAAACGTGCTGATTGTTTTCCTACGTGTTAACCTTGTTCGATTAATAACATCTTCAGAGCGTGACACAAGCGAACACAATGTAGATACGTTCTTTATTCGTCAGACATACCTTGGCTATGTCCTATTTTGAAATACTTGTATATATCGGCGGAGAATACAAGAAACCGAACATTCGCAAGCAGCCGAACGGAAAGATACATGATTGTCTCAATTGTACATATTTATTTGAAAACTTTTCTGTTCAAATACGCTTTCTAGAATGCTAGAGCTATGATGGCATCGCGGCTCAAGACAATGAATCAGTTCAGTTTGGTATATTCACGGTATACTCGGTCGATTAACTCATATTAATATTAACGATGGAATAGCTTCTAAATAGATCAGTGGTGATACGTAGTGGAGTATTTAATATCAGCAACTTCCATTTATCCATGATCTAGGAACTATCATATTGTTGAAATGTACTACAGAGTGAACTTTCCAAATAGAAAGCTAATACTTTGCAAATAGTGGGCAGAGATGTTTACCGATGAGAAAAACCAATGAGATGAACTTTTTGAGGTATGATCATGACTTTAATATTGCCTTAACACTACTCTGAATTAGTTCACATTCGTTGACGTCAGCAAGCAGGATATCTACGTAGATGCGCATCTATATTGAATGTATTATCTCATACGTAATTCGGATTTTTAATATTAAAATTGATTGTACATGTCATGTGGTTGAAGAGAAAACACTCGTTCATTTGGCAACTCAATATGTGATCAAAAGACGAAATGTTGTCATGTATTCAATACTTTTTCGAACGCTAACTTCAAAAGAAATTCCATGTGGATGTACATATCTGTGTATATAGCTTCTGATGATTGCGATGTTTTATTCAGAAACAAAACTAATATATTTTCAATTTCCTTCTGCTTTCATACAGCTAATAGATCGATAATTTGAATTAAATATTAGCTTCGCATGGAAATAACATGAAGTTAATTTGTGTGTTCAGGTGAGCTTTATGTTGAAGCTGGTTGATTGGAATTTGGTCCACGACGACGACCGAATCCAGCAACCTTGTTAACGAATCGTTGTTTGTATTGAAGACGACGTTTGGCACGACCAGTTTTCTTCTTGCGCTTTTCTTGTTTAGCTACCTGTTGACATTATGGAAATCTCTTAAATGAATAGCTCATCGAAAACATGCATACCTTTGGCGTTTGTCCTTTGACTTTACCAGCACGCGCTAATGAACCGTGGACTTTACCACCAAAAAGTTTGGCAGTAGCATCGAGTGTTGAACCGGATACAAGACCGAATTGTTCAACAGTTTGTTCGTCATTTAATGGTGTGCCGTTGAAGCTTAAAACAAGCTCATCGATTTCAATATCGTATTCTTCAGCAACATATTCCTAGAGTATCATCGCTCAGTTCAGTCGATGCAGATAGATGACAAAGCTGATGAACTTACGCGAATATCTTGAACGGTATCGTCTTTTTCAAGATCGAGTGGTAAAAGCTCCGCAGCACCACGAACGAAGATTTGCATGATTATTGTTATAAAACAATAGACGAACAATCTAGTAAGAAAACAAATTTACAACACAAGATAAGCATACGAATACTCCGAAAGATCGCTTGATGAACGAGAAAAACTATCTACTATGTACTAATTCAAAAGAGATATTCCATTTCGTAATCTATGGAATAAACAATTATATATATATATATATCGAGAAATTAAATGGTCGGATTTGAAACTGCAAACAGAAGCGACCATAAAATTTGATTGGTTAGACCGCATCATTGTACAAACCAATAGGTATTCACATGCATGATTTTTGCAATTTTTGCACTACCGCGAAACCGGCATAAAAGAAAGGTGGTTTCTGTACACATGTTTCATTAATATATAATTAGCACAGTGGGCTAAGATTTATTATCAAAAATTTGTGTAAAAATTTTCACTGACCAAAATAAATAAAATAGAAAATTCTTCTCATTGCTTGTGCAGTTTTATGCCGTAGTTGGTAGTTGATAGTTGGAATTGGGTCCAACACGAAAGCCGTTTGGTACAGCTACTTTGTTGCTGAATCGATGAGCATATTGTTCTCGGCGGCGAGCACGGCCGGTTTTCTTCTTCGGTTTCTGTTGAGGGGGAACCTTTAAGAAACAAATCGATTATTATCTTAAGAATTTCTAAAATACTAAAACGAAGAAACATACTTTTGGTGTCATATTTTTAACTTTGCCAGCATTGTTCATTCGTCCATGAATTTTACCACCTCGAACTTTAACAGTAGCATCGAGAACAGTGCCCGGAATAGAGATGATTTCTTCAATTGTTTGTTCATTATTTAAAACCATTCCATGGACGCTTAGTAAAAGGTCAGTCATTTCACAGCCTGATTCTTGTGCAACATATTCCTAGAAATAGCAACAATTTTCAAATAACAATCGAAAACCTCAATAGTTCAACCTTACATATACATCTTGGACAGTGTCGTCTTGTTCAACATTGACTGCCAGTAATTTGGCAGAATTGCGAATGAAGATTTGCATGTTATAGAAGCTAAAATAGCGGAATAGAATTTGAAGGCGAGCTTTTCAACACATAATCCCACACTTAAATACTCCCAAAAATTACGTTATGTTATTGAATTCTTACGCAATTTATAATATTTCGAAATTTCCATCCATGATAAATCCCTGCATATTTTGATGTCAGACGTCTGTACGTACGACATCTATACCTTCAGTTTACACATATAAGTGTTCGTGCTCATACTAAACTTATTCTTCATCGGCAAGTGTTTAATTTGATGGCTACTTCACGGATGATTCTAAAAAAGAATCATTCATGGTGGATGTTACTTGGTAACTAAGATGAAAAGACTAGCAGTGAATGTGAAGAGGAAGACAAACAAACTAGAAACAATATCATTTTTCATTGTCTCTTGACAACTAGTTGGCGAGTCTTAGGGAAAAAGAAGACGAAGAATGGAAGGTCTGCCATGTTTACCAGGAAACTCATTCCGTGATCCAACAGTACGTATCGCGATGACGTGACGACATGTTCTCATACGCAAATATTGATATTTTAGCAAACCAACTTCCATGTCAGTCACACGCTTGAAGTTAAAAATGGTCACCGTGTTACCAAATGGCCTCAAGTTGGCTTAGGTAAATCAAAACTCGATTTTCTCATGAAAACTTTATACCCGTTCTCCTAGGTGGTACACGAATTAACTATAACCAAATTGGAGAAGATGAATTGGAACTCCTTCGAAATTATCGTCCCGAACTTACCTATGGTAAACCTGTTGTCGGCGTGCCTGATAAATTTGTTCCAGCTACATTAGCATTCGATAAGAAAGTTCTTCGTTTTTTCGGATATTTCAAACAAACAGTACCTGAAAGTCCAAATGAATTCTATCGCGTTCGACCAGTTAAAATTTTCTACTATCTAGAGGATGATAGTTTAGAAATATTCGAAGAAGCTCAAGAAAACAGCGGCATTCCACAGGGTAAACTCATTCGTCGTCATCGCTTTCCAAAAAATGACCAAGGTGACACATACAATTTTCGTGATATCAATCTTGGTCAGAATCTCGCCGTCTATGGAAAAGTATTTCGTGTTTGCGATTGTGATGCATTTACTCGAGTAGGATAAGAACTTTGTTCTCATAGAGAGAAAATTAGTTCATTTTAGGAATGGCTTGAAAGTGAAGGTATCCATGTTAAACAACCTGAATTAATACCACGCGATCCATATTTAACGAAACGACATCAAGCAGCTGAATTGAAAACATATAAAACCAAGAGTGACTTTGATAAACTTAAACAGTATGTCGAAATGGATCGAAAAGTGTTACGTTTCTATGCTATCTGGGACGATCGCGCACAAATGTTTGGTGAGCAACGGGAATTTATCATCCAATACTATTTAGTTGATGATACAATGGAAGTGCGAGAAGAACACAAAGCAAATGACGGCCGCGATCCATTTCCTATTCTCATCACTCGCCATAAAATTCCCAAAGATCGCTATGATGTCAAAGGTAGAGACGACAAACATGATTGAAACTGGTCTTTTATTAGATGTTTAGGCACATTTCCACACGTCTTTCTTGAATTGAGTGACACTGAAGTATCACAATATTTCAAACCATCGGATCTAATGATCGGAAGAACTGTTCATATCTACGGACGAAATTTTCTCATCTACGATTGTGATATGTTCACAAAAACGTTCTACAGCAAAAATTTCGGCGTAACCAACTTCGAGCCAGTCAACACAGAGATCGTCCGTCGTACACATCCAAAAATGGTAATATTTCATCAGTCTTATTTGGTTTATTCATACGAAATCTATTTCATCGTAGGAAATTCCTCCATACAATGGCTTTGGTACATTGGAAGATTCAATGCAGAACTGTTTACGTCTTCAGCCTGATCGACCAAAGAAAGATTATGTTAAACTGATGGAAAACGATCACCGTATACTTCGCTACGAAGCTGTTCTCGTATGAACGAAACGAATTGCACAGTTGATTTCGAAATCAATGTTTTTTCGTATAGGATAGTCCACGTGAAGATGATAAACTACGCAAGTTTGTCATCAGTTATCACCTTGGCGATGATACAATCAGTATCCATGAGCCACCTCAACGCAATTCGGGTATCATCGGTGGTCGATTTCTCGAACGTACACGTGTATCGAAACCAGGTAGATAAACACAATACTTTCCCTTCAAAATTAGTTCAATATTTGTAGGTACATCAACGGAATATCCCGAATACTATGGTCCATCTGATTTCCATATTGGCGCAACAGTTGAAGTATTTCGTCAACGTTTCATTATTCGTTCAGCCGATTTATACGTCTTGAAATATGCCGAAGAACATCCCGAACAATTCTCTCCAGCTGTTCTTCAGTCTTTACGAGAACATTTGAGCGGCGAGTCTGGCCGGCCAGATGCACGGCTCAGTACAGATATCTATGTTAAACGTAAGCCTGGCGACTTCATTCGTTTGTGTGCCGAAGTTCGGAACAAATTAAAAGCACTGCGTATCACAAATCACGAACAAATCCGACAAATGTTTTTACGTTACGATCGAGACAGAAATGGATATGTCTCTCGAGACAACATCGTGGATCTTTTTCGGCAAATTAATTTACCATTGGAAAATGATATTATCGATGCGGTAGATAGTAACTTTAATGCTGATTTGAAAATTTTCATGCTTTTCATTTTAGATGGTTGGAGAATGTACAACAAACAGTGAAGGGAAAATCAATTTGTACGATTTCTTACGATTCTTTGATAATTGAACCAACTGATAAACTCCTTTCCAACATATATTTGTGATAAACAATAAATATATTCTCTTTTTTCTGTCTAACTTCCGTTTTATCACCATTATTTTATGAATCTTATTTTACTTTGATCATCTTCTGTCTTCTCAATAAATAAATATAGAGAAAACCTATGAATTACAAGAGGTAACATTTTGATTTCGTACCGTCGACGAATGACAACAGTCGAAAGCATATATACAACATCAAAAGGTCTCATAACACCAATTTGCCAGTACGACGATCTCGTAAATATTTCCGAAAAAGATTATGTTTTTTTTTTCGTTCTTATTATTATCCAAAGATGAAGGTACTTTTGATGACAAGAATAACAGGTAGTATGGGTTGTCTGAATGTATGACAGAAAAAAACAAATGGATCTACAAGTTTGGGATGTTTTCAAGATCATGGGAGATAAGTTCATAGCAAAAGAAAACCATGGACTACTCTACTCGTCGAGCTCGGGTTCATATTCGCTCTTCTTGAGTTGACGGTAGTCATTGAGTTTAAGATATTTGGCGTGTTTGAACGAGCCATCATCATTCACTTGGGTTTCCCATGGTCGTTCCGGGTTACGTCGATTCACTTTGACATCCGTTGAAAACGCCAGACTACGGAATGCATGTCCAGCTGCCATTGCCATACCAATTGTGACGATGGAAAACAGCGGTATCAGTGAATAATTCGCCTTCAGCGATTGCCATGACAAACCTTTCAGAATTGCCATTTGATAGATATCTAAAAATCGAGAGATCTTTCAACGACATATCAACCATTGTTTGCTGTTTTGTACTTGTTTTCAAAATACTCCACTACTGTGATTTACTCTTCATGCATTCGCATACGAGATGATGTCCAGAGAACCTATTGCAACGAAGCTGTACAGAAAGATGTCGCCAGATGACATACACAGTATGTACACAGTCGAAAATGGATTTCGTCTCATGGGCAATTCATGTTAGAGAAATAAAGCTGAACCGTTCGTGAATCGGAGAGACTGCTTGCATTCTTCTCCGACGAAATTCTATCGAATACTTCCGCATCATATCAGATGTATTAATAGGAAGCTAGCATGTTATTGCGACACGAACACTAAAGTGTTTGCAATCAATTTCCATTTTTATTTGATAAAATCTTCGAATTTTGTTTTCATTTTCAAAGAAATGCCAATGCAGACTTGCACTTTTTTCTCTTTCATTCTCAAAACTGTCGAAAAATATAACATCGTTATTGTTTATGAGACTAAAAGGCTCCCAAGTTCTAGAAATTCGCTTTCTCTTCACTATAATAATTTTATTAGTAACACATATCTTCGTTATTAATAGCATGAAAGTCTGCACCGCCTTTTATTCTCATTTTACGCGAAAAATCCAACTGAGGCGTGTACATTGTGTTTAAAACGATTATTCTTATCAATAAACTCTGTTTTGATAATATAATTGCATCAAGTAGAAGAAAAATAGCATGATGAATTTTCATTTATTTACTTTTGACTCCCAGATAAAATCGAACGATAAACGACAATGCTATTTTAAATCAATATGAAAGTTAAAATATCCTGGCAAAAAGAAAATGTTCCTCGTTAAAGTAAACATCGCGGCTTGAAATCCATTGAAACTAATTGTTTGATATGCAAGTCAATCATTAACTATTTCGATCCACTATCAATCATTGATCATTGAGAAAAAATCTGGCGCCGAGAATCATTATGTGGACCAAAAGAAAGACGAAGTTTTCATTGAAATTTTATTCTTGTATCTGTAGGCAAAGAAAAAACATCTGCGCAATTCGATTGTTTTATTTAGAAGCAAATAATTATCGTTGATTGTTGGGAGATTTTCATCCAAGAACAAAGCGAGCGGCAAGAGGATGATTTAAGCTTGTCATCATACACATACATGTATATGTATTGATTAGTTCTAATTTCAACATGTATTCAATTATGATTATTATGTTCTTGTGCTTACTCTTAATCTCGTGTATTTGAACAATTTGTCAGATGAAAAATGTCAGTTAAACCATTGAAATTTGATGAAGCGAAAATGAATATCTCTTGTGTTGGATGTGTGTGTGTGTTTTTTGATTCATATTGTGAAGTATCCAACATACACCATCCATTATGCTCATGTCAAAGAGAGAAGGAGAGGTTAGATCAAAAGGTATATTCTAGTTGTTTCACTAATCGCTTTTGTGATGTGTGAACGTGTCGACGAAAATGGACACGAGCTCACGTATACAGTAATCTATTGTAAAAGCAAAATTGAGCAAATTATGACCAGAATAACAGACAAATCAATGGTCGAATGAACAAATTTGTTCTCCGACTGCTGCGACGATGTGTGTGTGTGTTGCTATTTTAATCAATGAGGCGAGAGAAGTAGAGAGAAAAAAACTGCTCATCATTATCTCTTGCTTCGATGTGTGCTTGTCGACACTCTTGAGCTAATCACAACACAGACGAACTGGCAGTAGATCTCTATCGAGAGTTAATGTAGCATGTCGTGTCGTTGACATACTCTCAACAAAATATACATCTCCTTGATAATTTACTCAGCACGATTCAATAACAATCATAACAATGTGATGACAAAGATGAATTTGCGAGCTCTCTCCTCTCGCGGATTTCAAGGTACGATCACGAACGCGAAAAGGATTTTGTTTATTAAGAATGACGTAATACATTGCTTTCAAGAGTCATATGAGTTAAAAAAAGGATGAAAAAGAAAAATCTAAAGGAACATTCTTCACCGAATGCTATCTATCTCTTACTCCCTTGTTGTCATCAGGGTAAGAGTGCAAGTCTGCACGTATACACCCAAAAAAGAGCAAGTCGGAATCGTTTTTTATTTCAAGGCATACAAGCTTTCTCTTTATCATACGCTGTCTTATAACAATAAACTGTCAGAATGATTGACGTTCGTCTTTTTTACGCTTACTTTTTTTTTCGACTCAACATATACAACATTCCAAACTGCGTAAACATCGCCGTGATGCAGGGTGTAGCGCTTCTTAAGACATACAGTTTTTCTTTTTCAATGATTTGTTGTTTTTCTTTGCTCCCGCGACTGTATTTGACTCATTCACATTTTATGATTTTTCTTCTTATATGAGTAGGAAAATTAGATATAATATTTGAGAGTGCAGGTGCTCATTCGAGATCAACTAATTGGAGATGACGAGCGAAATAATGACATGGCCTTTCTCTCTACTCCATTTCATTTCCGGAGTATGCGCATTTTTTTTTATCCCATAATTGTTCGTTTTTTATATACTTTCACCGATAGTGTATGTGTATGTCTGCCTTCCGTTTCTGGTGTCGGAACGTTTTTCTTTTTCCCCTATGAATGTCTATTTGTTTGTTTGCGAGTAACGGAAGCGAAGTCGATCGATTCTTCTGATAACTGCACTACATCATATAAGCAACAACAACATTATCATCATCATCGCGAGAATGGATGATTATCAGTTTGTAACAGCAGTATATCTGGCATATAAACACTTATAAAGAAATTTGCATAGATCATACTCGTTAGATTATCTGTTCTTTCTTCTTAAAATAGACTCGTCATTTCTGCAACGACAATGATCAATCAATATAGTTATACAAAAGAGTATAAACAAAAAAGAAGCTAGGAGTATCCACGACAGCGAAGACGATGACTCGATTGCATCTTGACTCTGGTTTAAATCACTGACAGTTGTCGTTCTTTGAGTTTTTTTTTCTTCGTTAAAGATTGATGCCAATTAGGATGACAATAGAAACGTAAACATCTTTTGAAGATGAATAAATATCAATGAAGTGTATTTAGAAAAAAAGGTCAAACTTTTTTTTTTCTTTCTATTGGTGAAAATAGAGAAGTACTGTTTTACAAACATTGGCTGTTAGGAGAAGGAAAGAACGAGAAGAAAAAAACGAAAGAAAAAGAAGAATTTATTTTCTTCTCTCGTTCCGGCCAACCATGTTAATGGCAAGCTGCATCAACATTGGTCCAAAAAAAGAAGGAAAAATAATGAACACGAACACCTCCTTCTGTATGCAAATAGAAGGAAAAAAAAACGTTCGAAGAGAAGAGATGCGCATCGTCTTTTGTTGATCAAACAGGCTGTTACTTCTGACACGTCGTTGGAGAGACGAGAGAGAAGCAGAAAAAGGGAAGAACTACTACATCATTACTACTTTTTTCAGAATCAAAAAAAGAAAAGAAAATAACGCGATGACAAACGGTGTCGAACAGCAGCAGCAACAACAACAACCAAATGTTTTTCATAGTTCGTTCTCGATTCGAAGCGTTCTTGGCGAAGATGACACGGTAAGATGCGAACAAGAAGCGAAACAATTCGTCTAGCTTATATCTCTTTTTAATTTAGAAAACGAATATTGAAAAATTATCGAAAACAGTCTCATTCTACACATCATTACAACCGATTCATTCATTGAAACGTACACGTGACGAAACCAATGATGAAAATGAACAGGAGATTCCTTCGAAGAAACGTTCCGCGATCGTTCAACAGGAATCCGACGATGATCAAAATCATGATGAAGAAGATGTAGATATTGGCAGTACGTCGCCGGCTATATACAATTCTGAATATGACGAAGATGAAGATATCGAAACTGAAGAGTCGATGTCTCACCTGAAAACACCAACTAAAAAATCCTCCCCATCCATATCGAGCGAATCATCGTCAGGTCATGCATCAGGTTCCGATGGAACAAACAGTCGTACTAACAATGTCAAAGAACAAAAGCAAATTTCATCTTCATCATCATCGTCAGCCTCAACATCCACGTCAGCAACACCAGCTCCCAGAAATAAATACGGCGTCAAACCCGCTTACTCCTACAACGCACTAATCATGATGGCCATACGTTCCTCAGCACATGAACGCTTGACATTAAATGGCATCTATGAATATATCATGAAATCTTTCCCATATTACCGTGAAAATAAACAAGGATGGCAAAATTCAATTCGACACAATCTCTCATTAAACAAATGCTTTGTCAAAGTCCCTCGACATTACGATGACCCCGGTAAGTACACACATACATATAAACATACATCGAACTTATATTTCGCTTCTGTTAGGTAAAGGAAACTATTGGATGCTTGATCCATCTGCAGATGATGTTTTCATTGGAGCCACAACTGGTAAACTTCGACGTCGAACATCAACATCACGAAATCATCGTCTAGCAGCATTTAAACGTTCAGGCTTGACACATCCCAATCCTTTTGTCACACCAGCATTTCTTTCACAACATCCACATACAAATTCCTGGCCATATTCGGCGGCTGTGTATGCTTCAGCAGCCGCTGCTGCAATGTGGTCAGCCTCATCATCGTCAACATCATCAGCCGCCGCCGCTGCAGCAGCGGCTGCATGTCAACAACAACAGCAGCAACAACAACAACAGCAACAATTTTTAAATGTTCTTAATTCTCATTCACATCATCCAACAAATTACGCGTTGGCAGCAGCTGAAGCATTGAGACATCATCATCAACTGCCAACTAATCGTTCAATTCTTGCTGAACATTTGCTATCGACGAGTGCGATTTCGCCTTCTAAAACGAGGTCAGTGTCGTAGTCTGTTGACAGAATACCAGAAAAGTAAATACGATTTCCTTCTTTGTTTCTTCTGTTTCCAGTATCACATATATGTACGGCGGGGAAAGATGACACTTCTTTTTTCGTTTCAATTTTGTTTGTTTGTTTTTTAATTCTTCGTTTTTACCCTTATTTTCTTCTTTAATTGGTCAAAAAAAAAACACTTCGTCTTCACTTTTTTTCTCTCTTTTGAAAAAATAAATCTATCAAGCTGCTTCAGCAGTCGCTGCTGCTCCAGATCAAATCTCATGATGCTTCTCGCTCAGGATTGTTTGTGCTATAACGAAAGAATAATGGAAAAAAAACGAGAAGGACATATTAACTTCTCTTTTTCATCATCAATCCCAGCTGTCGCATACATCATATAAACATACATTTGACATTAGTCTTTCTCAATTTGTCGTCATTTATGTTTTCCTATGAATACAATAGAAGAAAACTATCAACATATACTATCAGTCGTTGCTGCATCATTATTAGCACAAATCGTTGTTTGATTGCCGTCAGCTTGGTCAATCTTTTCATTTCTTCTTCTTGTTCTTCATTTTTTCCTTTGTGTATTCGATTGAGTCTAGTAGATAATGTTTCACTTGCACTAGAAATTGAAATTTACTTTGAATCAATTTTGCTGTTGAAGGATCAACAAATTTTATTTGAGTTTTTGCTCATATCTGATTACAATTGTTCAAATAAAAGCAGCATGTGTCGAGTTTGTTTTATTGAAACAGTTCGTTTGGATTTAGACGAACACATATATCAACATCTCGTCGACTTAATTGTAAAACGAGAAGAAAAACTCAGGTAGAGAGATAGCTAGCAGCAAGAAATGAGATCAAACATGTTCAATGTAATCATCAGCACCCACGGCAGGACCAGGCGGCAATCAAACAACGATTTGTGCTAATAATGATGCAGCAACGACTGATAGTATATGTTGATAGTTTTCTTCTATTGTATTCATAGGAAAACATAAATGACGACAAATTGAGAAAGACTAATGTCAAATGTATGTTTATATGATGTATGCGACAGCTGGGATTGATGATGAAAAAGAGANCGCATCGTCTTTTGTTGATCAAACAGGCTGTTACTTCTGACACGTCGTTGGAGAGACGAGAGAGAAGCAGAAAAAGGGAAGAACTACTACATCATTACTACTTTTTTCAGAATCAAAAAAAAAGAAAAGAAAATAACGCGATGACAAACGGTGTCGACCAGCAACAACAACCAAATGTTTTTCATAGTTCGTTCTCAATTCGAAGCGTTCTTGGCGAAGATGACACGGTAAGATGCGAACAAGAAGCGAAACAATTCGTCTAGCTTATATTTCTTTGTATTTTAGAAAACGAATATTGAAAAATTATCGAAAACAGTCTCATTCTACACATCAATACAACCGATTCATTCATTGAAACGTACACGTGACGAAACCAACGATGAAAATGAACAGGAGATTCCCTCAAAGAAACGTTCCGCAATCGTTCAACAGGAATCCGACGATGATCAAAATCATGATGAAGAAGATGTAGATATTGGCAGTACGTCGCCGGCTATATATAATTCCGAATATGATGAAGACGAAGATATCGAAACTGAAGAGTCGATATCTCACCTGAAAACACCAACTAAAAAATCCTCCCCATCCATATCGAGCGAATCATCGTCAGGTCATGCATCAGGTTCCGATGGTACAAACAGTCGTACTAACAATGTCAAAGAACAAAAGCAAATTTCATCTTCATCATCATCGTCAGCTTCAACATCCACATCAGCAACACCAGCTCCCAGAAATAAATACGGCGTCAAGCCCGCTTACTCCTACAACGCACTAATCATGATGGCCATACGTTCCTCAGCACATGAACGCTTGACATTAAATGGCATTTATGAATATATCATGAAATCTTTTCCATATTACCGTGAAAATAAACAAGGATGGCAAAATTCAATTCGACACAATCTCTCACTAAACAAATGCTTTGTCAAAGTCCCTCGACATTACGATGACCCCGGTAAGTACACACATACGTATAAACATACATCGAACTTATATTTCCCTTCTGCTAGGTAAAGGAAACTATTGGATGCTTGATCCATCTGCAGATGATGTTTTCATTGGAGCCACAACTGGTAAACTTCGACGTCGAACATCAACATCACGAAATCATCGTCTAGCAGCATTTAAACGTTCAGGCCTGACACATCCCAATCCTTTTGTTACACCAGCATTTCTTTCACAACATCCACATACAAATTCCTGGCCATATTCGGCGGCTGTGTACGCCTCAGCAGCCGCTGCTGCAATGTGGTCCGCCTCATCATCGTCAACATCATCAGCCGCCGCCGCCGCAGCAGCGGCTGCATGTCAACAACAACAGCAGCAACAACAACAGCAACAATTTTTAAATGTTCTCAATTCTCATTCACATCATCCAACAAATTACGCGTTGGCAGCAGCTGAAGCATTGAGACATCATCATCAACTGCCAACTAATCGTTCAATTCTTGCTGAACATTTGCTATCGACGAGTACGATTTCGCCTTCTAAAACGAGGTCAGTGTCGTAGTCTGTTGACAGAATACCAGAAAAGTAAATAAGATTTCCTTCTTTGTTTCTTCTGTTTCCAGTATCACATATATGTACGGCGGGGAAAGATGACACTTCTTTTTTCGTTTCAATTTTGTTTGTTTGTTTGTTTTTTAATTCTTCGTTTTTACCCTTATTTTCTTCTTTAATTGGTCAAAAAAAAAACACTTCGTCTTCACTTTTTTTCTCTTTTGAAAAAATAAATCTATCAAGCTGCTTCAGCAGCCGCTGCTGCTTCAGATCAAATCTCATGATGCTTCTCGCTCAGGATTGTTTGTACTATAACGAAAGAATAATGGAAAAAAACGAGAAGGACATATTAACTTCTCTTCTTCATCATCAATCCCAGCTGTCGCATACATCATATAAACATACATTTGACATTAGTCTTTCTCAATTTGTCGTCATTTATGTTTTCCTATGAATACAATAAAAAAAAACTATCAACATATACTATCAGTCGTTGCTGCATCATTATTAGCACAAATCGTTGTTTGATTGCCGTCAGCTTGGTCAATCTTTTCATTTCTTCTTCTTGTTCTTCATTTTTTCCTTTGTGTATTCGATTGAGTCTAGTAGATAATGTTTCACTTGCACTAGAAATTGAAATTTACTTTGAATCAATTTTGCTGTTGAAGGATCAACAAATTTTATTTGNACGTTGATGATTATAAAGTACACGAATACAAGGGAAAATAAACAAAAAGAAAACGTTGTACAAGTCGACAAGTATATCGATTGATTGGCCAACAAATAATTTGTCAAATAATCTACGCCCAGCAGATAAATCTGTTTACGGTGTCACTATGTTGAAGAGCAAGGCAACGGATTTCTTTTTGACTGTTTATTCAATTATATAAATTACTCATTCATTGTAATTGAAAGGCATATCTCGATAAAACTTGTTATTTTCATTTCATATAGGAACGATTTGTGAGCAGATTGACGACAAGGTAATTATTAATTGGAACGTAATCTAACGAAAATGGAGTTTTCCTCGGAAGAAATGTCAAGATCAATTGCATTCGAAATCGATTGGTCGATCGTATTTGTAAACATCTCAAGAATAATATTGCTTTTTTCCTCGTGTTTTCTTTCCGTTTATCTGCACATAGATTTGATATACATATCTGTTATGGATTTGATGTATGCAAAAAAAGAAAAATGCGGCCCGGAAGCAACATTTCGCTCTTGCACGAGGAGATGTCGATTAGCAGAGTGGATGTTGATGATGAAGATATGATCTAATGCGAGCAGACAATGAAATGTTGAGCCAACTCGTGCCAAGTGATGGTTACCAGAACCGAAGTCGAAAGGAAAAGAAACATGTATCAAACATAATAGCAGACACTAATCATTAGTTGTGTCGAGTCGATTAGCACTGCTGTGCATTGAGAGAGAGAGAGAACATTGCTGGCAAGAAAGAAAGTCAGAGTAATTTTAAGAGTAAACAAACAAATAAGACTCCTTTCTATACTGTCAAGTTAGATAGCAATGTAGATAGATCATATTTCGAGATAAGTATGATCGAAGTGGTAGGCAAAGAAAAAGCTCATTTTTTATTCTTGGTTTTATCATTGGACAATATAGTAACAAAAAAAAATGAACATTTCCTATACATATAACGTGACAAAGAAGAGGCAACTACGACACTAAAACGAAAAAAAAAGCCAGATGAGTATTCGATTCGATAGAGTTTAAACGAAGAAGGCTACTTACATAGATAATCGTCCATCAATGTACCAACGGCAAACTAAACATAAAAAGAAAAAGGAAATAGATGGTACGATAGAACTCATTAGAAATGTTATCTTGCGGAAAGAAACGACGACAATACGTACGAATTCATTTGCATCAACTTGAAGTCCAGCTATTTTCACTCGAATACCATCATCTGGTTGAATCATGGAATCCTAGGCGAGCGAAATGTGAACAAAACAATCGTAGAAAATGCAGCAGAATCTCATACATCATCTTTCTTTTTGTAACATGGCGGATTTGCACTTGGATCGTATTCCATATCGCGAGGAATACTCTACAATTAAAGATATTTCGTCGTTTACACTCAAATCGATCTCTCTCAATCAACAGCTTACATGACGTGAGATAAAACACGTTAGAGGACCAATCTTACAAAAAATGCCCATCTAGAAAATAGTTTTTTTTAGAAAAAAAGCTGTTTCAGAACTAAAAAAATCTTTACTTTTGTCACTTGGGTAACAATTGCTTCCACAACTTCGTGTTTAAATGGTCGAAACACGATTGCATGATATTTGACTGGGAAGATAACATAACCTCGTCCTGAAAATCAGAAGTACAAATGATGTTACTCAATTTCATTTTTCCTTTGTATCCTCACCTGGTTGAATTTTTCCTACTCCGATAGTTTCCAACGAAGTCACGGCGATAACATAACCATATCTAAATAGAAATGAATGTAAGTTTAAAGTCGATAAACGATGAGAGTGACTTACTTTCCAATACATTTTCCTTCGACTTCTTTGAATAACATACGTCGAACTGTTTTAAGAAGTTGCGGACCAAAATAACGTGGATGAAGAAGGATCTCATGGTCTAAACTGACCTGAAAATGAACGAGAATAGATCATAATAACAGTCGAAAATGAGATCACTTACGTGAAAAAACATTTTTGACACTTAGTTATCTTGTCCGTTCCTTCTGTTACCAAACAAAAGTGAAATTCGACAGGAGATTTATACTTTTCTCCCCATGATCGCTTCTACTCGTTGGTTAATGAACAATGCATTCCTATGTAATCGAAGTAGAGGACGCTAGTGAACATAATGAACTCTACGTTATCTTCATCATACATGAGGAAACGAAACTTCCATATGATAAAAAACAATCGTTGGTTCAATTCTCAGATGTACGATCGATCTAGTACGCGTTCGTAGTCGATTTACGAAAGACAAGTTAGATTTGATACGATGTGTCTCTTGATGATTAGCGACAACTATAATCGCACTGGAAAAGAACATGATTGGAGGTTTTTACCATATAAACAATGGCTATCGTTCGTCAGCATCTGCAGTAATCATTCATTAGTATGCGAAAATATTTATTTATTTCTTCATCACTACAGAATTGTCGTTTAATCACTCATCTATCGATAATTTTGAACATTTCCATATGTTATCTAACATTCATGCGATTATGCACGTTTAACTCTTTCGAAAAAGAAGGGTGTGTAATAAAGTTCGTCTTCATATTCACTACACTGGTTAATGTGCAAAATGAATAAAATAACAATCGTTCTTCACCGATCGATTCTTCTCTTCATGGATCGAGTCGTTTTGCTTGATTGTACAGATGATTATCTTGTCATTGAACCTCGACTTAAACTTTTGTGCCTTCTATTCTAGATTACGTAGTAAGATAATATACACACATAGTCATGGATTACTATTTAAGTAAATTACCCGGTAAGTGCTTTCATCATGAAAGTTCTTGTTTATCTATTTTTGACTATCGACAGGCTTTGGACGATTTACTGGTCCTCGACATTTTCAAATCTTCAAGAATGTGTACGATGTTCGACTTGCGTGTGCCATAAATATTTTCTTTCTTGTAGTGCACCATCACTAGCAATATTCGGAACATCAGCAGCTATCTACTTTCTTTACATATCCGATTGGAAGGTGACAAATGAGAAAATTCCAATCTATGGACGTAAATTCGGCGAAATGAAACGCGCAGCACTGATCGAAAAGCATGGACAACAAGCTGTTGACGAAGGAACTGCTTCTGACGATTAGAGTTCGTATTCGATACAAAATTCTTCTTACCAATGTTCTTTACTGTCCATTTTATTTAGTTATGTCATCTCAAGAAAATGTATCCATTCGAGCGGTCAATCAATTATAGTGTGTAGAATGACATGCTCATGTAATCCCTAAGATCATTTTTTTCGAAATAGAACACAGTTTGTTTTCTTTCATCCATCCTCTAAACATTATTTTCTTTTCTTTTATATCCGTACAGATTTCGTTTTTCAGATGATCTTAGACTTCTAACGGGATGACTCCAACTGATATATTTAAATTTTGCTATGATTATCCAGCTTTGGTTATAGCTGTTGTCCTTGGTGTCGTACTTTGGTCAATGGTTATCGTGGTTGCTTCAAGTGGTGGCCGAAAAGAAGGCGCAAAAAAAGAATAATACGAAACATTCTGTCATTTTGTAATTTAGTATTCCATTTTTATATAGTAGTTTATGCTTAAAAGCTATGCTACACATTGTGCAATGTGCTTTTTCTAAATGATTAAAACGATTTCTTTTTTTGAAAACAAATGTTTATCTGTTTGTGTTTTTCTCCGCTTGAGCTAATAGCGAGCGTTTCCATATGACATTACGGGAGCAGTATGCTGAGGTGCATAGGCATAGGGTGTGGATGGGGCAATCATTTGATGATTGTCTACTTTTTGTGGTACAAAAGTGTAGGGCGACCCTTGAGGTGCTTGAGGAGTAGGGATCCGAAGTGTTTGCTGAGGATTAAACATAGCATTGGATGGCATCGTTGCATGGAAACAACCAGGTCCATGTACGTGTGTTTGGAAAGGGTAAACCATTGCTGTGCTTGTAGTTGTTGTTGTAGGTTGATGAGGAGGATTGAAAGAAACGGTTGTTGTTTGAATTGGTTGCTGAGGTGCGTATGCACTAGTCACAGCATTTGCTGCTGCTTGCTGTGGATAGCATCCTCCAGACGGGTTACATGTCACTTGTTGAGGTTGAGGCTGAAGATAGGATTGAGCATGAGTAAAAGCTGGTTGAGCTGTTTGTTGCTGTTGTGATTGAGATTGAGCATAGACTTGAGTAGGAGCAACGATCGGTTGTGTTTCTTGTTGTTGTTGTTGTTGTTCTCCTTCTTCCCCTTCTTCTATAATTTGCTGGTCTACTCCTCGATCGCGTTGCTGTGCTTTCAAACGTATTAACCTAAAAGAATTCGAGAGATCTTCGATTGGCAGTTTATTTTTACTACGTGTCATACTTCGATCGTGTGATAGGTTTTGATTTTCCTAGAATTTTTTCTCTGTTTATTATGCGAACTTTTTCTGGTGGTACTTCAATAATATTCTCGATTATTTGTGGCGGAGGACGACGAACGAATACGCGTTCGATCACCTTCGTTTCAGGTGATCGAAGTCGATGGTATACCCGTTTAACCTTGGGTGGTGGTGTTGGCAACCGATAGACTATAAGAAAAAGTTTATATTTTCACCAAGATGATCAATATCGGATAGGATACTTTCTCTTAGATGGCGGTCATTGATTCGTATAACGCCGAGTGGTTTACTTAAACTATCGATTTCGTCACCATCTTCACCGCCACTGGATGAACACGAAACTTCTTCGTAAACTGGCTGATGATTAGATGGTGCTACATGGTGGTATTGATGTCTCGTTTGAGGAAAAACAGAATTTTGATGTGCTGATTTCGATTTCTGTACGATCGGCCGTTCCCGCGTTACCAATCGCCCAACGTATTCATAATCAGATGGTGCAGGAGATCTACAGAGAAATACATCGGTAAACATCTATCAGGAGAGAGCTGCAGGAGACAAACTTCAATTTATTGGATGAACTTTGTTGAGTGGATGCCGATGATGATATCGAAGGCGAGTGGCTCACATATCTTGAGTGTCGCATGATAAGTACCGATGAACAAACTAAATATGACTGATATGTTCAAGTTTTTTTGTGTAGGTATAAATCACAGTAAAAGAAATGGTAGATATCGGAAGGTCATATGTAGATACGGTCGACTGAACAGCATAGCGTATAGTCATTATCGATCGATGGCCTTTTCCACATTTGCTACACGAGCCATGTTTAATTTTCTTTTACAGATATAAACGATTAAAGTATCTATTGAATATATCTATCTATTATCGAATAAAGATGGTCTGATTAATCATCGATGCAGTCGCCTGGGTAGGTCGTCGAATTGGTAACGCCTTTCGATCTACTCCTCAAATAACAGGAGCGGCAGCTGCATCAGAACAACGAACATGACTAATGTCTGGAGGTGGTAATTGTTCAGTGAAGACTAAACCTCGACGTCACGAAGAGAAGCCGTCTACATCAAATTATGCCACAGAAGAAGTTGTTAGTCGTAGTGCTGATGTTCGCCGTCGTCCATCGTAAAGAACAAACATTTGTTAGACATGTCGTAAGACTCGATACATTCAATTTGCTTCTCGATCATGATTATGATATTCTAAGTCATAGACGAATGTCATAGGAATCGAATATCAAAACGCAGGTTGATCCATGTGTCTAATTATTACAACATGTCAGTTCTTTCATTTGATTTTTTTTTGTCATATACGTTCAACCTTCAATTTCACTTTTGCGTTCCTTTTCTATTAAAATAAATATTAAAAAATTCGATTAAATTTTCTTCGTTAATAGAATTTTTCGTCTTCCAGATCGATGTATTCTTCTTGTCTAACAAAGAGACTAATCTCACCACACTATGTAAAACATAAGTAATGATCTTAGTCACCAATGAATGCATACAGGTTAATTCTATTTAAGAAAACGTTTGTTTTCATCGGTACAGCCTTTTTCTGCTGTCGAACCTCCGCCTGAAAATCCACCAACATTTCTGACCACAGATGTATTACGTGATCCAAAACAGAGGTAGACACAACTGTTCACTAACGATTTTCTCAGATGTCGATCTCATCTGCAGTTTTCTTATTTCAGAGCTTTAGAATTGTATATGCCATATCGAAAAATTTCCTACGAGGAAGAATTAAAAGTTTGTTACAATGATTGTGCTGTTAATGAATGTACTCATTGGAGAAAATACTCTGTATAGCTCAAACAACGTCAAATTGAAAGTCGATTTCAAACAGTAGCGAAAACACTGTTCTACGATCGAACGCTGCACCCATCGATACGGAGACTAATTCGAACCAATGACGTCAATTTATGCCCTATTCGAGATATTCAACGAACTGTAATCTTTCGATAAAAGTTTAACTTCTTCATCACTCACTTTCGCTTTTCTTAGTCAGCAATGAGTGAATACCTATCGTCGTGTATTGCTGATCTCGGTAAAACACGAAACGGTGATTTAGCGCTTGGAATTGCTAATCGACCGATGCCAAATGACTACACTCGTAAGATTTCGCGTAGATTTGATTGCATTACTGAATTTCGTTTAGCGTCTACTGGTGAGGATAAGCAGATGATGTTTGTTTTACCCATCGACGATCTTGATATTTATAAAAAGCGTGATCGATTGATCGTTAAAGTAATTATTTAACATGAATATTCTTTTCACCGATTGTATTTTGCTCTTTTTTTTTATAGCATTATAACGATTTTCTCCAAAAAGAAGTCAAAGACATGTCTAATCTTGAATATGTCCTACATCATTGGCGACCAATACGTATCTATACAAATAAGAAGGATGAAAAGATCGTTGTTATCGGTTACCTCGAGCGCAAAAGTTACAAATCTGTAAGAATTTTTCTTTATCTTTCTGATTGACCTTTGTATTTGATTCATTTCAATATAAACAGGACTGTGAAACCGCCAAGGAACGTTTACTTGCATACTTCGAACATGGTCCAGGACGAGAATGTCACATCGAACACTTATATTTCGAACGGCGGTTTGTAATATTCGACGAGCCTTCTCTTCCGATGATATATTTGTCTTTAGCACTCAACGTTGGCCAATCATTGTCAATGAAGCGCACTATGATCACATTCTGGGTGATAAAAATTCAGCATTTACTTATGATCTTTTCGGATTGAAATTCGAACCGAATTTGCAATCTCACGGTATTCCGAATATAGCGGCATATGAAGCAACTTATGCTGAAATCTTAAAACTGTGCAATCTCGATCCGACATCGACAGTGTTTCTTCAATATTTTTCCGATCTTGGTTTGTTATTCTTGTCAAATCTCCAAAAAAAATATTGATATTTTTATAGGTACTCTTCCATTAGTTGCTGCTCAACATGTGGATCAATGCTACGGACTGGATCCGAGTCCATTTGCAATCAAAACTGCCATGAAAAGCCAGGAAAAATACCGTATTAATACATTTTCTAATTGATTTCGATTGTTATTATTATTCATATTTGTTTGTTTATTCTAGCGCATACGCAAGATGTGCAATTCCGAGTTTGTACAACAAAAGACGAGTTTAAAGCGATCTTGACAAACATCGAAAAGACGAAAAAGAAGAATGCATCATTGACATGCGTCTTCGGACCACCGAGAAGCGAACTTGAACGGCAAGATTTACGACAAAGTACAGATAACGAACATAATCGATACCCGCAAGATAATTTTGCTTATCAAATTAGATAAAAACCTTGTCAACGTTCTACGTGAATGCGATTTCATCGATCGATTAATCATTGTCAATCGCGGTATCAGTTCACCAGTGCTACATTTGCTCTACTGGTAAGCGATCGTCGTTTACAGATTAATCATGGGTATATTTGTTTGTGTTACTTTAGTTTGTCCGGTGGAGAAAGTACAACGCATAAAATATCTGGCCCGCCATTCAAACCGGTGCTAATCATTCCGTTTGATGCTCATCCTCGTTCGGGGCTTTTGCCAGATTTTCTCACGATTTATGAACGTGATTAAACAAAAAGAAATGTAGTGATGATGGATGAATAAAATTCATACAAAAAGATTAGATCAATTAGTACTAGCATCGTGATATCCAGCTTTTTCTGATACTTTCTTCATATGGAATCTTCATTTACAGGATAGATTGTCTTTAGTTACAAAATAAACATTTCTTTATAAAAACAATCAACAGGAGACAATAGATCAATTATTGAATACTTTTCTCATATGTGTATTGCACTCGTTAGTGTTGAATATCAAATTGATCCTATTGATCATTGGTGAATATTGACTGAAGTGTTTTCTTTTATACTTTTTTATTGAAAAAAGCGAAAAATAAATTTTCTAAGAGCTAGCCTTATTTTGATCTAAATTAAGTATATCATCCACACTTTGTTGGACACTTTCTCCAGCTGTCTTTTCCTCATTGTCATCTGATATTTTGTCGTTAGCTTCTTCTTCTTCTGACGTGGTACTTTCGACAAGTGTTGGTTGCGTCGTTGTCGTTGTTGTTGTTGTGGTTGTTGTTGTGGTTGTTTCTGTAGGTCTTGTACGTTCTCGAACAATTTCATCTGCTTCTTCTGCTTCTGCTTGAACTTCTTCAGGTGTTCTCGAACCTTTTCGATTTGTTCCTAGAATATTTGCTGCATCTTCTTGAATAATCTCGGAAATTGTTCGAAGTCGCGGAGGCGGAGGACTTGCGGTAGTTGTTTCAGTTTCAACGATCGGTGGAGCGTCTGTTGTAACAGCAGGAGTCGGAGGTGGAACTAATGTGCGTTTATTCTTAGTTTTAACTTCTTTACCGATTATTTGAAATTGTTTCTTATTTTTATTCTTTTTCGAATCAACGCCAATCTTTGGTTTAGTTAGATTTGCGTTATTATTAGGACGTTTTTTTGGTGCTTCATCTGCCGATCGTTTCGGTAAGCTAACATGTTGTTTTAACGGCTTTTCTTCTTCTTCTTCTTCTCCTTCGTCTCTGGATGGCGTAGGGGGTGATGGTGGTACTTGTAAAGGTGGTAATGAGGGTTTTTTATATAAGACTTTCATTGTTTCATCGACACGTCGTTCGGTTGCTTTATCATCTGCGCCTAATTTCGTTACACGACCATGTATAAATTGTTTTGCTTTCTGTTCTTTCTTTGTTTTCAATTTTTTCTTCGAGGGTTTCTTGGCTTTTTTCGACTTTGTCGTCGTCGTCGCTGCCTTTGTTGTTGCTGTCGGTACTATCTGATTGGTATTGTCTTTGTTACAGAAGGAAAATGTGACAGGTAGTGGTAGGAGACAAATAGATTTTTTGGCCGGTGGTATAAGACCGAAAAGAATATACGATGAACCGCGACGAAAGTATTCCATGAATGGTGTTTCGTCAATATCATCGATATTGAGGATCTTTTCAATCGACTCTTCGACTTGTTTGATGATCTTTTCTTTCTTTTTTCCTTTGGATGAGACTTTTTTCGGACGTTTTTCACGCTGACTGTCAACTGAAGACGCATCCTTTGCTGAATCCAATTTTCGTCGAATTCGATAGCTAAAATATGAAAGAAATCCATATTGTTTATGGAAATTATACAACTAACCGATATTTCCATCCGACAGCTCTTTGTTCTGGCGTTAAATGTGCTAGTTTCGGATCGACCTGTTCATGAACTGGTGTTTTATCTGTTTGTTTACCTTTGAACGCTTTCGATTTGTCCTGTTTCTGTGCTTCACGCATCTTCGACAACCGATATCGATATTCCCAACCCGCCGACTTCTTCTTCTCAATAGGCTTTTGTTCAATGGGTTGCGTTCCTTTCTTTTCCACTGGTTTCCTCTTTGAGTCAACGGTTTTCTTCTCACGTTTACCACCTAATGTTGCGATATCGAATGGCTTTCCAGTCACTAAATAGTCATTATAGAAACTGCATCGAATGAAGAAATCTGATGAACAACTTACGTGCTTGTTGGTGTTTCAAATCATCAAGTTTTCGACGGATACGATAACGATACGCCCAACCGACACGCCGACCTTCAGCATTCACTTGCCGTAATTCACTGTCAAGTTCTTCTTCGTTTTCGACCGGTTTACTTATGTTAGCTTGCTTGTGTTTTTCTTCACGGCGTGTTTTGCGTTTTTCTTCTTCATCATTGACGAACTCTCCTCGTCGTTTAGCTTCATTCATCCGACTAATTCGATATCGATAACGCCAACCGACATGAGGCTTATTTTCCTAAAAGCAGATCGGCAATGATATTCTTCCATTCGATCACTTTCATTCTTACTTGTGCAGCTGCTTCTTTTTGTTTCTTCACTTCTTCAGGATCAGGTGCAAATGGTTTGTCTAAAACACGCTTTCGTCTTCCACTCAATTCTTGAGGTGTTTTACGTTTGATCGCCTGTAAACCCAGTTTTAAACGTTCTTGATCTTCGCGAATATTTTCACGTAATGCATCAATGTAACGAGACACACGATAACGAAATTGCCAACCGACGCGAGGTTTGAATAAGCCGCGATCATATGAGTTCACGATAGCAATTGGATCGGTCAGTTCTTCAAATGTTTTCATTTGACGACGTGTATTTGTTTGATGCTGGTGATCATTGCCACTCTCTACTTGAGCGCTTTTCTCTTTATGTTTGCTTTTCGAAGCTAACAGTTGACGTTTAGGAATAAAATTTTCGGTTATTAATACGGAATCGACAATATCTGGATTAGATCTATATGTATAAAGGGGAGGTGAGTATTTACAGACGGGTTATTAATTTTGTTTTCTTTTGGAATTATCTACCTGAAAGACTGAAAATGTTTTGTTTCATGAAAATAAAAAATAAAATGATGTGCAGACATGTATGGACACTGAAACAGCTTTCATTCAGAAGGGAAATTCTACTATATGTTCAATAACGGACTGAGATCGAAAACATATAGCAGAACGTTGACTAGAAGAGTCTACACGAAAGAGATATCTTTTCCAGAGAAGAAAAAGTTAAAATCAAAACTTTCCTCCTCGAGAAAACTGATTAACCATTCGTGTTACAACTACCAATCCACTAAGAAGCAATGGCACATTTCAAGCATCTTATACTTACATTCTCTTGTCGAGTTCGCTGGAATCCTCCGAAGTAGAATATCCAAGCAACTTTCGTTTTGGAACTTTGGCGTTATTCTTTACGTTCGACTTTTTCGACTGTTGTTTCGATTTGTCTTCACTCTTGTTAGCACCTTTGCTTTTCTTACCAGTACGCTTCATTTTTTGAGCATTCAAATAACGTGATATACGATAACGATATGCCCAGCCAACCTTTGGTTTCGCTGCATCTGGCGTGCTTTTTGACTTAGCCTTTTTATCTTTAGCAGTATTCGATTTCGAAGGAGTTATCTGTCTGTTTGTTTTGACAGACAGTAATTGACGTTTTGAAATACTTGCTGCAGCATATGCCCAATTATCATTATTATCAGCTGTTTCAATCGATTGTTCGTCGTTCCAATTCAGATCAAATGCATGGATCTCAGTCTGATTGGAATTCATTTCATCGTCGTCAACAATGGTTAATAATTTTCGAGAATGATGATGATGATGTTGTTGTTGATCTTGGGCTATGTCAATAACGTGATTTTCATCGCGATGTTCATCGTTGAGCGAATCATCAGATAGTTGAAACATATTCTTAACGAAATGCAGAGCTCGGTTAACTACCGATTCAGTATCATTTTCTGCTTGTTCATCATCGATATCGAATGCTTTCGTCGGACGTTCAACAACAGGAGATGATTCCGATTTCTGATCACGTTTCGATTTTGCATTCGTTGCTGATGATGATAGTGGCGGTGGTGATGAAATTTTGATTGGTGTTGCATCAACCGCCGGCGTAAAGGGACGATTGTCATTTGTCTTCGTGTTTACGACTTTGACTGGTTTCTTTTCGGCAAAATTCATTTCTTTTGTTGCCTTTGCCTTCTTCTCATTGATTGGTGAAGACGCATCTCCAGCTGCAGACTTTTTCTTAATATTTCTTGTTTCTTCATCGTTATCGCTCTCAAACTTGGAAAATACTGTTGATTTACTCGATTTCGCTTTCTTGCTCTTCTTTTCATCGATTGTGTCTGTAACAGTATCAAGCTGAAGTAATGCTCGACAGCGATTAAGTTCCTCCTCATCGATAGCTACTAATTCATGACTTTTAGTAGTTGCCGATGATTTATGTTGAGTAGAATCTTTCTTCTTAGCGGATTTTTTGTGTTCTGACGAAGAACGCTTGTGTTTTTTCTTCTCCTTTTCACCATGCAGTTTCGGTTTAAGTAAATGAGTATAAGATCGACCTTTATGAACACGTGGAGTGGATGAATCTGGCCGAATGTAGGAGACGAGACCATTGGATTCACTTGTGCGTGCATATTTAGGTGGCGATGATGGTGGCACAGACACTTTCGAAGATGAAGAAATCTGAGGAGATTTCTTCTCTCCTTTCAACAAATCTGATCCACCAAATAATAATAAACGACGAGACGTTGGACATTGATTATCAAACTAAAGTATGACATTAATCTTGATACTCTTTTTATTATCCAAACGAATTTTACTTACTTCGGTTGGATCAGCTCTGGACAGTAGTATAAATAAAATAAACACAAAATAAAATAGGGAAAGTTCCATGTTATGTTGACTAATAATATCTAGTGATACACATAAATATCTTTCCCTCAATATAAAAAAGCAAAATAAGACGTTGACTACTGTATTTACTGTTATTTATTGTTGACAGAGACTAACAATGATCATATCATCAAGTCTGTTTGATATAACAGCCAACCTTGTTCGCCGGTTGATCGATAAGATAGAAAAGTTTTCTTGCCTTTTCCTTTAGTATCTATACGTCTTTCTTTTCTTCTCTTCTATTCTTGTCTTCTTATTTTCTTTGTACAATAATAATATTTCTGTCCTATAACTGCATATACAATTTCGCCAAGAACTTGATAAATGCGAGAGGAAAATATTGCCAGAATACGTTTTTTATGGTTAATTGGATAAATCTTAGCGTCAATCGATTAAGTGCGTCGGTATGATCAGGAGACAATAATATGATACCTATCGTTCCAACAATAGAAAAATATTTCCTATTGTTCCGATTGCGATTCAAGATAACTACAGATGAAGTCTATTTCTAACACAAGTTGTTGAAAGATTCGAAGAAGCCGAAGAAGAAAAGAAACGAACGAGCGATGAGTGATAATATGACTGAATAAAAAGACAGAAAATCTCAAGTTGGATTATTTTATCTAGTTTTGTTGCTCTTTTCTTTCTCCTACTCTTTGGATATAATTATCGCATATCGTATCAGAAAGAAGAGAAGAAAAAAGAAACCTTGGACGTCAGTGAAGGAAGAGCAAAAGGAGGTCTTGTGGTTTTACCATCATTCTTCCGTCAGTCGCGTATCCTACTACTACTACTACTACTAACAACAACAACAACTGGTTTAGTCTCAGCTGGGAATTCATCAGAACCTGTCTGCAAAGATGTCTCTACGACCTGGAAACCGTATAAAGATTAAAGCAGAGAAAAAGAAGCTAAAAAAACACTTCATAGGATAATAGATGATGCATCCGAACACAAATATTGATATGCACTATATGAGGAGGGAGATGCATTTTCTTTTCGGCGTACGCCACCAATGAATCGATGTATGCATGGTCTATACTAGACACCATTGAAGCGTGGCAAGTAAATTGTACAAATCACTGGTATACTACCTACACGAGCACCTTGTATAGATGCCTGTTATAATAAAAATACGATCATAATTGATAACAGGGGAAAAGTTGTTTTTTGTTATTTTTCACAGTTAAAATGATTAGATATTAATGAATCTTTCAACGTACATACAGTGAGATTTATTTATTTATTTCATAACATACAAAAGCTTATCAGCACTGACATACATGTCGTAAAAGGAAGAAGACGACGAAAAAAATAATGCGAGTGGAAGAATAACTGACATTGATTGACGAAAAAAAAGCCATGGAGATGTAATAGAGTAAAAGATGTAAAATGAAAAGTTAAACTGAACCGAAGTCTTTCATCCATTTATCATACTTTTCAAGCATTTCTTTCGAAACCGATGACGAGATTTTCGATATTGCATTGGTGAAATCTTCCATTTTAGTTGGCAATTGTAGTTGTTCTTTTAGATTCTGTGCAATATTTTGTATTTCGGTCATACTTAAATTTTCTGTTACACGCCGCATTTGCATCATAGCTGCATCTCTAAATGTGTTTCAATCAAAGATACATAAATATTGAAAGATTCGATAATGTTCTCTACGAACCGACAAACGCTTGTAATATCCGAGCCTGAGTATCCTTCCAATTTTTCGGCAATTAGTTGTAAGTCGACATCACCATCCAATGGAACTTCTTTCAAATTGATTTCAAGTAATTGCTTTCGTGTATCAATATCGGGCAATGGTATATAGATACGTTTTTCTAATCGACGACGCATAGCATCGTCGAGATCCCACGGATGATTAGTTGCTCCGAGAACCATAACCATCTTCGAAGGATCATCACTTCCTAGAATTGAAAATTTAGGATGTAGAGGACCAGTGAAAAACGATTTTACCAAGTGCACCGGATACACCATCCATCTGAATGAGCAATTCGGATTTAGCACGTCGGCTTGCTTCATGTTCGTTGGTTTGGCCACGTGATGAACAGAGTGAATCGATTTCATCAATGAAGACAGTTGACGGTGCATAGAATTTAGCCAATTCAAACAATAGTCGTACTAATTTTTCTCCCTCGCCATGATATTTCGATGTCAAATTCGCTGCAGCAACGTTGAAGAACGTCGTTTTACACTCAGTTGCGACTGCTTTAGCTAACATTGTTTTTCCCGTGCCAGGTGGACCGAATAATAGAATGCCCTAAGGAAAATGTCGCATCTATATGTCGACAGTTTTATAATCATATTCATACCTTCCATGGACGACGAATACCTTTGAAAAAATCCGGCATATAAAGCGGTAATACCACTGCTTCTTGTAATAATTTCTTCGCAGCAATGCAACCAGCTACATCTGACCTGAAATAACATGCGAAAACCACGATAACGATCTATTGGAGAAGATATTTCATTGTCTACCATCGAACGTTAGGGTCTTTTTGAACAATGTCACGTTCTAAACCTTCAACTAGATCTTTCTCCGAGCCAATCGGTTGATATTTCTTCTCCTATGAGATAAACGTTTTATTACACAGAATAAAAATCGAGCACGGTTCACGAACTCCATTAGTTGGTTGATTATTGACCCGTTTATTGTCGTGTTGTTTTTGTTTATTATCAGGGCCATTTGATGGTGCCTTTCTTGCTTTCGCGTTATTATTTGATGACTTGACATCGCGGCGAACTTCTTGGAAACGTGCGGCCGGCGTTTGAAATCTAAAATTCCCAACAAACATGTCTATTTCTTTTACGAAAATCTCATCTTTTTCGTGTCGTACGGCGTGGCACCAAAGGGACCATTGCGATTATTGTTAAAACCAAAATCCCGCGTTGGACGTTCGTCCATCACCGCATTAAAAAATCGATCTCCATCACCGAAATCATTAAATGCATCACCGCCCATTCCTCGACCACCAGCACCACCGCTATTCATATACTTTCCCAATAGATTATCATGAATTTCATTGATCGTACGTTCATGTTCAATAGTTGACTGAAGTTCACGTTCTAATTCTGTCAAACACTAGATAGAATATGCACTCAATAACTAAATCCAATCCAGGGTGAATGTACTCACTTCAGTGCCACGTTTTTTTTCAATGGGATTTGATAGTGTTTGACAATAGCGTCGAAGTTTATCGATTGCTAATTTATAAAACGTGATACCTTTACTATAATCACCATCTAAGATAAAAAAAAAGATAAGGAAAATGGAATTGATAAATTTCCTATGCAATTCCAACGAGATATGTCTTACACATATAACATTCGCGAGCTTTTTTTGCTTCTTCTTCGAAATCGGAAGAGTTCGAGGCCACGGATGACATCTGAAAACGAAATGATTATCTTCTGAAACGAAGTAGAGCGAATATTCCAGATCCATAATCTATACTTGATTGTAAACAGACAAAACATTTATTTTTTTTCCTCAACGAATGTTGATCTTCAAATCGGAAAGGTGAAAAAATCATACTTTTTTTTCTCTAAACAACAAAACTGATGAAAATATTCCTAGTCATATATATAGCCTTTGTGAATTAGACTTCTTCTCCGCATTCAAATCGAACAAAATCATTGACGGTCAAGTGATTTTCATTAAGAAAGATTTCAACGGTTTTCTTTTTATCATCGGTATGCATCCATTTTTGGTAGAGTAGGCGATTTTCATCGATTCCTAGTTGTTTTTGTTCATTTAAACCGATTGTTTTCGAACGTGCAGCAACAATGTGTTGAGCGATTAAGCGTCCAAATTGTTTCGTCTAGGGAGAGAGAAAAAAAAGAGATAAATCCTTGAACTTTTTCTCTGGTTATGGTTCGTCAATAATATTGATTAAATTTCATCTTTTTTTCTATTAGATTTGAGATTAGATTGTCTTACATGCACGTAGGATATAGGAAAGGGTGTGTTTAGATAAGGTTATGAATATTCGATATAAACAAAACGAAAAGATTAATCCGTGAAAAGAGAACGCGGAAGAAAGTAGAGCTATATTTTCTCTCCTTTCAATAAATAGGATATTCAACTCAAGTTGTAATCAATCCAAAGGTAATATGACAGAAACACTTAGCAATACGTATACAAACGTTGGCAACGATATTCAATCAGTGCGTGGCAAATATGTTGATAATACGGCACATTTATCAACTGAGCCCAAGTCATTGACTGAACTGATCGAATTGATCTACCAGGCATTCGCAACTAATGAGGTCAATATCGATTATGTTCATACAATAATGCGCAACTACAAAGGTAACATGAGAGAATGGGCGCCGTATTTGAAATTTCAACCAAACAAGTATACAAGAAATTTGGTTGATGCTGGAAATGGTAAATTCAATTTGATGATCTTGTGCTGGGCTGAAAGTCAGGGTTCATCGATACACAACCATACGAACTCGCATTGTTTTATGAAATGTATTCAAGGTTCAATGATTGAAACGAAATATGCTTGGCCAAAGGAAGGAAGCGAGAATGAAGAAGACGCGATGCGTGTCATTAGTCGGTCGGAATTAAAAGAGGGAATGGTTGCTTATATTCACGACTCCATCGGACTCCATCGTGTCGAAAATCCAAGTCATACAGATACAGCTGTTTCATTACATCTGTATGTTCCACCGTATGATCATTGCAATGTATTTGATGAGCGTACTGGTCGAACAAATGAAGCGAATGTTACATTCTATTCTATCGGTGGTCAATTAACAGCAAATGAATAAACTGAGATCTTCTTCCAGTTCCTCTCTGTTCTTTTTAAATATATAATTCTTTAATAAACGAAGCTTCAATCATATTTCAATTGAGATTTTTTTTTCACAGAAGTAATTTGCATCTATTCACACTTGTCCTATGCCAATATCTAATATACGAATATGTTAATCATTTACAGTATCCTATTTGACATCGTTTCTTCGTCATCTATCTAATAAAATCGGCTTATCAAAACTTTCTATGTCGAATGAATGAATTCGAGAGAAAAGTTGTTCGAAATACGAAATAAGAACATTCTGCTAATAGGTGGTGAGTCAAATAACCTATAAAACTAGTTATTTTTAATAACAAATAAATATTGTCTCCTGTTCACCTTTACTTCGAACAACATCAGTCATCTTTGACCCTGTAGCACATGATGTATCAAGAAGCCTAGAATCAACTTACCATAATATCGAAAATATGCCCAAGAGCTAATTCACCATTGCTGAGTGATTGTGGTAATGGAATTTTATTTTGAACACTATAATATTTTCTTGTCCATTTCGATGTTTGCTCATCTCGAAAGTCAACATGGGCTATTTTTAAACTAGGCCAAACATATATAATCTGTTTCAGCGACGGTATTCGTTGATAATTGATTGATTTTTCATGTAATACTAATCGTTCAGTTGTTGGTGTTATAATTTCAACGATAACTACTGGTTCACGTGTGATTGCTTGATCAACTTTAGGTGCTTGGGTGCTAAGACACAAGCCTGGATAGTAAATGTAGACAGGATCGGGTGTTTGAACGCGAATATCCATGGGAAGCACGTGAACATTTTTTAATTGTTGTTGTTCAATTTGTGCGCTGATATTCTTCAATAATAAATCATGTGCATTCTCCCGGGATGGTAGTGCGTAGACATATCCATTGAGATATTCATGCATTAGATTACTTTCATCTTCACTATCTAAGTAAGTACTTAACTCAATCGGTTTTTGAATATTATCTTCACAGATTGTTCGCAGCGGATACGAACGAGTTAGTACACTTGAAGTTAATGATTGACCATTCTGAAGAAAACAGTTATGAGAGGTTGGTTTTGCAGTCCTCAATGAAACAAACGTATGCATACTTCAGATTGACTTGTCGTCGAATCTACTTGTGAGTATTTCACAAGTGCACCGTATTTGCCCATACGGCATGAATCCGAACTTGTACTATTGACTTGTCCATGACAATAGCTAGCTAATAGTTGATTGTTTTCAGTATTGAATACAACACCACGTCGTAAGACGACATTTTCACCAACCGAACCAACACATAAAGCTGTCACATCAGCTAAGGTTTTCGAACGATCATCTAAACTTGGCAATGTCCCAAGAGTCTCTTTATCGAACACGACCTAATATATATTCAAAACAGGCATATTAAGTACAAACGAAAGCAAAACCCCACGAACTTTGTCTTTCGCCTTTTCCGATTGATTAACCAGTAGGCTATTTGCGACTTGAGAAACAAGTTGTTGAAATTTTTCATTCTTAGCGACGAAGTCTGTTTCACAGTTGACCTAACGGGAAATATGTGAAGTTTAAACTGACTTGTATTAGTCATTTCGAACGAACCTCAACCATTGCTGCTGAATTCTTATTCGTAATGATGCCAACTAGACCTTGTAATGCAGCACGGCTCTGCAATTTTGTCGCGCGACTCCAGCCTTCAGTTTGAGCACGTTGATGTAACCACGCTTCAGCCTGTCGCGAAAAACTAATTCAAAAAGAGTGATCGCAAAACAAACGGACATTACTTGTTCTAAATTATCGTTGAATTGCTGAAGAGCCGCTCGGCAATGTGACAAAGAATAGCCAGTCTTCTTTCGTAGTGTGCTTAGTGGTGACGAAGTTGAAGCAACAGCTGATTTAGCTAGATAGCGAGATACACTTGTATGAATAAATCGTCGGCAGACAAGCATGTTGTCAGGAATACTCAAATGAAAAAGAGAGAAAAACGGTTGTTGAAATATTATTCGTGAAAATTTAAAAAAAAAACACACAACAACAGAAAAACGGAAGAACTTCGGTTTATGTAAAAAAAGCAGTTCTTGAAAAAACAAACCCACAAAGATTCACATGCGATTTTGAATTAGAAAATTTATTGATGAAGAAAAACAAAGTCATAGTCGGTAGATGAAGAGATTATCGAAATGGTGAATAGAATGTCTTTGGATCTTCTACTGTTTTTGGACTAAATTTTCTAATTCAAAGAATCGTTCTTTTTTTTGTTCAATTAACTTTTGTCATTTGTCCTATATACGAAGAAGAAAAATCAAACGAAGAACATAGCCTCTAAACACAAGTCATTTCTGCAAGTTGAAAATCGAGCAAAGCTGTACAGTGCAAAAACACATCACAATAAACACTGTCATACATAAAAGAAAAACATACTAATTACTAAACAAAACAGTTAAAACAACATAGATCATATCAAAAGATTCTAATGTGACACAAGATCAGCATCATTATCTGTTGACTGTGTATGATGACTATGACGCTTCGTCCGGGTAGTACTGCTGATTTCTTCTGCAGTTGTTGTGATTGATACAGATGTTTGTGTCGTCAGTGTGGTTGAAGTAGTTGCAGCTGCTTTTTTGCCTTCTAGACGAGCTGAGCGAGCTCGCTGTCCTTTCGCTTCTGGTGCTGAGGATACTGTCGGCCGCTTTTGATTGTTTGTCAGTGTTGCAACAGCAGTGTCGATAGACTTCGAGAGCAAAATCGTATGTTGATCGTTTTGATTTGGTTGTACCGGTGGATTTTGATGATGGTGATGGTGATGATGATGATGATGACTCTTGCGACGACTTTTTATATCACGTCTATTGTCTTGAGATTCTTGAGTATTAGACAATGTATTGGCAATCGAACGTGTTTGTTTGGGTCCGCCCAGATAAGGATGTACATCCATTACAGGTGGAATGTTCAATTGAATCTCGAAAGTCTCATCAGCGTCAACACGTGCTTGTAACGATGGACTTGATGTACGAGCTTGAGGTATATGCGTTACCGAAGCAGGTATATCCGTTTCTGGATCTTCAATTTCAGGCGCAACTGGTAAATAAACAAGTTGATCAGTGGTATCGTCATCGTCACTTGATACTAATGCTTCAATACGTTGATCGGTAACGACGTCTATTTCGATATCATCATTATCATCATCTTTCTTCATACATCCATTTGCATCCAGACGTTGACGTTTGCTTGGTGAGTCATCGCAATCTAGTCCATCTAAACTACGATCTTCATCTTTAATATCAAACTCTGATTCGCGTTCATGATATTCAACGTTTTCTTCTAATTCACGAAAGTCAGGTGCAAATGCTGACCAATTTTCTACTTGAGAATGTGACCATATTGATACAACACCATTGGATATACTTGCGATAATTGGACGCACTGGATGCCAACAAACATCAGCTAATGTTTCACCTTTGGTTCCGTGTAAGATCTTCACTAGATTACCCGATAGCGTTTCCCAAATATAGAGTGAATGTTGCCGAGATGAAGCACCACAAATATATTCACCATCGCCTGACCAAGAACATTTTCGCCACAAAGATTTGTTCACAAGATCTTGCAGTTTTTGTTTAGGTTCGAGATCACGATTGATCCCACAAGATAACATTTCGTTGTAACTATAGATTCGAATGATTCGATCACTTGTATTCACTAGACAATATTGACCTGAACGAAAATGTAGAAAACGAATATGTCTTTCCGTTGGACTTGTTCTATACCTCGTCGCGGAATTTCAATATGTCGTAACACAGTATTTGTATTTGTTCCAGTTGCGATTCGAAACGAAGAAATCGTCTGTAAATCCGGAAAGCTCTTCACCATCATTAAACCCCGACTATTACCTAATATGATATGTTCACCTTTTCTATCAAATGTTGATACGATATCATTTGATTCATCGTCCATGCCAACAATTGTATGTCCACCGTGATTATCAATCAACACAGGTGGATGTTTCATCGGACATATCAGTAAATACGACGAATCACGTGGATGAAATTGAACTTTGAGTATCGGCGATTGAACACATGAAACACGCGTTCGACATCGACCTGTCGATGTATTCCATATACAAACAGTATCATCAGTCGATGATGTAGCAATCAAGTCGGATTTCTTCGACCATGATATACAACAGATTGGTGACCAGTCTGCACCGATAACTTTTGCTATACCGCGTGTTAAAAAGTCCCATATCACCAGACGACCATCTGAACAGCCAACAGCGAGCATTGAGCCTAGATTTTTCAAATCAGCAATCATATATCGAAACTTCCGAACACGCCTACCTATTTTATTAAAAGCACAACAAACCGCGATCGATGAGCAATCCAGTGTGCCATCGAATTCTTCGGGATAATTCTGTTGAAATGTTGACAGCAACTCAATATTCATTTTTCATCTAGAAAAAAAAAGAAAGAAAGAAACTATTCCCTGTTATCTTAGTCATTGATTGCATATCGATACAAATAGAAAGAAAGAGATTTGTTATACGAACAAAGAAAAATAGAAGTATCTGACAAGAATTTAATTGAGTTTATCTAACAATTGTTTGACAATATCCTGTTCGGCAATTAATAATCGCACGATTTCCTGTCCGTCAGTTGCACTTTTACCAAGCTTGACTAGACGATGATCGATGAATTCGATTAATTGTAAACGAAGGTTTTGTTCATTATTAACATAAAAAGAACGTTTACATTGTTCATATAATTCAGTAAATTTCATGCCTTCGTAATCTTTGGCACTAACGTTAGCCAAGAAAGCTTCCACAAGTAACCGGAAGATACGACGAGCGTTCGGTGTTAAACTTTCGATAACATGTTCGACAGCACTAATTGACAATTGACCTAAAGAAGTGCATTGCATCGGAAAAAACATGATCGAAAGCGTTAAAATCTGTTTACTTGTCTTGGACCGGATTGTATTAAGTCTTTCATTGGTTGTTTCATCAATGTAGGGTAACCTAAGTGGCCAATCGATATTTATTTGCAAGAAGATTCTGCTCAACCCTACCACGTGTGGATAGCGTACCATATCCACCGGAAACTGGTAAGACTTTGCTGATTCCAAACTAGATGCATCTTACATGAAGATAGAAAAAGAGAAGCGGAAGAGTTTTACTTAACGGTCCATGTATATGATCAATCGTAGCAAGTATATGAATGTATTGAGATTGCGCTGCTAATTTAAATAAATTTTGGATATTACTATTACGAAAATTGATTCCATCGATATTATTAATCAACAAATAAACATGTAATTCTAAAATAAGAGATATACATTTTCATTTTTCTCGAAGAAAAAGTAGTTCCAAAGAAATTACTCTTCTCTTCCACTCGCTTAATAAAATCTTGCATACACTCGTCGTTATTACTTGCTGCATTGATATTTATCTCTGGACATGAGCACAATGTTTGAAGAACCTACAGAAATATACGTTTTCTCCCCAGAATATCGTTCATATGAACCGAAATACTTGTTTGATGGAAGTGTTTGGCATGAAGCCGTGAATAATGAAGGTGAGATATTCATTCTTCAAGTACTTCTTGAAAAAAAGTGAAAGCAGAGACTTCTTCGAACCAACACCATGAAGGAGAATATTAAATCCCGCTCTAAAAAACGAACACTCATCAACTTCTGAAATCTTGATATCGTTGAATGTTTAACCTTAAGTATCGGAACCATTCTTCGAATTCATTACCATGAAGAATATCCACCATTAAGTATTCACTTGTCTTGCCATGATAGGCTTTCTCTTGGTTTTTCATTGCTGTTAGATGAAGATCATCGGGCGTCAATTGAATCAGACTGCTTTTGAATTTTTTCTTCTTCGCCGAGTCAACCTAAGTCATTTGGATTATTAGTCTTGAAATCAAATAATCAGGTGTTTGCTTACATCGTCATTGGACAGATTTGGTTCGAGAAGGATTTTATCCATGTTTTCTTGTTGCATAATGTTATCCGATGCTACAAAGAGATTTCTAAATGGAACATCCAATTCGAGAAAACGGATATTGATATACTTTTCTCGGTGAGAATCTTCTTCTTTGATGTATGTTTACGTTTGTGTTTGAGAATTCCTTAAAAAGAGAAATCAAGTGAAAATTCGAATTGTATTAACAGATTCTCTCACCGTGGCGAACAGGAAATCGAGGTAAAATATGTGAAATAACATGGAAACGTGTAATTTCATGCTCGTTTATATCATTATTTTCATCCGTTATATTCGGAATTGGTGGAGCACTTTTATCTATTAAATATACGATCGTACGTCACAGAAGCGAAATCTTATAGAATTCGACTTACATTTGATTAACGATCGACCTTTACTTTTTCTTGACGGTGTTGATTCTAATAGAATAAAGAACGACAAATTTAGTTTATGGATTTGATCTTAAACTTACTAAGTGCTGAACAATTCTGTGATAATTCATATTCGATATCATCGATATTACGAATTTTATTTGGAATGTTTTCCGATGAAATGACAACAATGGGCACTGAACGATTTGTTGCCATACTTATTTGAATGGTCGATCGAAGTTTTCGAATGAAATCTTACAGATGAATGAATGAATATATTACTTATATCATCTATATAAAAAAAACTGAAGAATTAACGATTCGTAATCGTAAGCAAGTAAGGTATATATTGAATAGTTCTTGATTCGTACAATTAACCAATAGAACGCACTGTGATCTTTGTCGCTAGTAGACATGATGGTTCTTCAACTATGCAATAGAGACATCCCGCTCGCTCGGTCACACACATAACACCTATACTTGTGACGCATTGACTAAACGTATCATCTCGTCTTTTGATGTATTGCAATCGCGCTGTATCAAATACACTGCTTATGAGTAGGGATACAGTGATCTTTCTGACTTTTTTTTCTTGATTTTATTCTTAAAAATAAATGGAATAAAAACAAGTTTCATTAGTATATTCGCATTGGATCGTTAGGTAACGCTTGGGCAGTATAGTATACGATAGGTTCTGGTAGCGCAATGTCATTTGACTGAAAGGGATTATACAATGCTGTTGCCGGTAAGATTTGATTATTCGGTAGATGCTGAGCAAGTATATTCTGTATACTGTCAGAATTTTGCGCATGAACAACAGTGCTACCTGGCATTTGTAACAGTTGGTCAACGTATTGACTCAACGGAATGTCAGAGTGACTACGATGTCGATTGCGGTTTCGGGATGTTCTGGGATACTGTTCATGAGGTGAAGTAGCAAGCAAATGATCATATTGAGAATTTTGACTATTATGATGAATTTCACGGATGTGCCTAGTACCACTACGATGCTTCGGTCCACCAGAATAACGATCATTGTTAGAATACTGATCATATTGATTTTGGTTATCGTGCGATAGATTTTGTGACGCTGGTTCGTATGTATATCGATGAACATGGTACTTATGACCATAACGATCTTGTTCAACAGCATCATTAATCTTTCGAGCGATTACGGAAGGAATATTAGCATCAATAAGAACATTTTCAATAGGATAATCAAGCTCAAGACGAGAAATAGTATCCTCGTCACGTTGTGGCAACGAGCTTGGCTGCTGTGTGCTCATGTAAGCACTGAAATCATTCGTTGAAGGCATTTGTGAATTACTGCCCGGTTGAAAATTAACGGAGTTTGGCTGCGTATTGGTTGATACTGGATTAGCATTCATTGCAGCGAAAAAATTATTCATTGGTGCTGACGTTGTTGGATTAGTATTGGTGTTCGATGGATTGGTGGCTGCTGGCTGAAATGGTGGAGGTAAAGGTGGTGCTGCTGGTGTAGTTGGATTGGCATTTCGTTCAGCTGGAGCATTACGCTGGGGCGCTGCCGGTGTCGATGGATTGTTGTTTCTTTCAGGCGGAGCGTTGCGTTGAGGTGGAGCTGCTGTTGTGGCTGGATTGTTATTGCGCTCAGGTGGAGCATTACGCTGGGGTGCCGCTGGTGTTGACGGATTGTTATTGCGCTCAGGTGGAGCATTACGCTGGGGTGCCGCTGGTGTTGACGGATTGTTATTGCGCTCAGGTGGACCATTACGCTGGGGTGCGGCTGGCGTTGCCGGATTGTTGTTTCGCGGAGGATTCATATTATTCGTAGGCGGATTTCGTGATGTATTTCCCGGTTGAGCACTTTCGTACGGTGAAGTCGTATTTTGCTATAGAAACAGAAGCGTACATAGTTTCATAATAAGTGTGGTCATGGTTTTCTTTCTAATAAAATTCAAATTCTTTTTACTTGGTCTCTTAGTTGGGTTTGTAACGGTACATTATAATTTCCTTTACTTCCAGCTCCATCATCATCGTCATCATCATCATCCTTGAGCAAACAATATTGATACTCCGACCTTAACTAGATGTTTATCAATTATATAACTCTTACCGTTGGACTTGGCGGTTTTGTTATAGTGCCTATAGGTGCTTGATTGCCTTGACGATTTGGAAACGAGCCAGGCGGCAATGATCGACTATTCCTAGCAGATACATATTATGTATTTGTATATATATACATAAGTGTATTTGATACGACAAAGAAAAACCTTGAATTATCACTCACTTGCTCGTCTTGTTGAGTACACCCTTCACACGTTGAAGGACTCTACTCATTTTTACGTGTAGATATAATGTTATTCGATAATATAAACACCGATATTGAATAAAAATCGAAGAGGATATTCACGGGTTTGTCTTGATTATCAAGAATTATTTAAAACAACATCCTAAAGTATCGAATAAAACAAAATATAGACTATTCGTCAGGCATTTCTAGTATTAAAACTGAAAAATAATCGACGGTAATTAACATAAGGACAAGCATAGTAGCAAGCCGGGCACGTAGAGGCAAAAAATACGTGTCTGAGTTATAAAGTATCAGAGCAAATCACTCGTCCGTAGCCTGACGAACAAGAAAAAATGATATGCTATAATTTTAGAGAAGCACGATAAAAGCATGTCGGATAAGAATGGCAAGTTTAAATGCAATGACTTCGTAGTTTTCTCTTTATTTATATAAAAAAAAACAAGCGAGACTAGAAATATTTGACGTAAAATTTTTTTCAAAAGAAGCGAAAGTTTATTATATCACTGTCTGTGGAATTTTTCGTCGAACACGAGCTACGATTAAACCAGTACAACCAGCAACAGTAGCAATCAGACAGAGTGTTAATAATGTTCGCCGTGTGAATAAATCGTCAAAACTGTTTAATTGAGAAAGAAATGAGCCGGTTTGAACGGTAATGAAAGTATAAGGAGCCATGCCTAGAAGAAGATTTTTCATCGTAAAAACTAAAATTTCAGTGGAATTCATTTACCTAACAAAATCGAAAAGAAAAATATCTTCTTCGGAACATTTAATAATGGACATGTCATGGTTATAAGCGCATTCGGGCTCATAGGCACCATTCGCATAAAAAGTAGGACGAAGAAAAGGTTATCGCGACCGGCTTCTACCTAATGAGTAAGAAAGAGTGACTAATATGCAAATACGTTCACAAATAGCTTTTACTTTTTTCTGTAATAAAATAATTCGTTTGTGGCAATATTGTACAACTAATTTCCGAGCAAAATTAGCAACAATTAAATAACAAAATAGGGCACCGGTCGCTGTTAACAAACAGCAAAGAGGAAAACCAATCCACGTGCCGAACAAAGCACCGCCAAGTAAATTCTGTAAAAAACAAAAGAACAATGTCAAAAATGATTATAGAAAGAGAAAGTTCCAACGACAATACCAATATCGCTGAGCCTGGTAATGAGAATGCTTGCTTATACAGGTATGCTGAACAATAGAGTAGTAAGAGATAAGCCAGATGATTTTCACGATAATGTTGCAATGTATTCGATAAGTTTTTCAAGGCTTCGATACTTCGTGGAAAATGCAGAGTCATTCTAAAAGATCTTTGATATGATATAAATGCAAAGGAATATTGCTTATCTTTCTGTCAATCATCACTCAATATTCAATATCGTAACTAATTTCAAGAGCAAAACCGCGTGCACATATGAGTGAACATTGAACGCTCGTTTACCTGTCAGCTTCGGTGTTTAGTGGTGGAGCATTTGTCGATAAAATATACATGTAAAAAGTAGCTAGTGCAAATATTATTGGAATGAACCAAACTGTCGATGAGCTGTCTGAAAAATCAAAAATAGATTCAGTTGATCTCTATAGGTAACGAAATTTGGCTTTACTCATGAAACCAAATGGTGATTTCGTTGATGACGACGAAGGCGATGATGATGATATTGTTGTTGATGATGAAACAGATGCTGAATCAATTCCAATCGATGTTTGCCTTGGAATTAATTCCATTTCAAGTTCCGATTCATGTTGTTGCCTCATTGTTCACTAATATGAAAATAGACTTGTGCAGTTAATTATCGTGAGTTTTCACTTCTTCATCTAGATAAATACTAAAACAAGAAAAATGAGTCTGTGCATTCTTTCCAATATATTTATTTTATATAAATGCCATATGTTATATGTCGTTTTTCCTTAAACATGTCTAGAATATATGTCTTGTTCTATTGCACACAGTAAGATAGTGTAGATGTAGATATTCCTATCACTGTTTTGTATAAAATAGAGAAAAAAAAGGAAATAGAATGAGAGACGAGAACAAAACATGCAAGAAAAGGCAAAATATCTGAACTTTGTTTTCTGTTGTGTTGGTTTTGTTTTTTTTGAAAAATTCGCGCAGAAATGTTGACCAGACAAAACGACAAGGAACGAAAGAAAGAAAGGAAGAGAGAGACAGAAAAACAGAAGAGAGACATCTGACATAAACTGTTTTCTTTTTTTCGTTCGAAGAATATATGTATATATGTTACAAATCGAGAATAGGAAGATTATCTTCCGGAGAGTAAAAAGGAAGAGTAGACGTGGCTGTTGGCAGACCATTTGATGGCGAATAGTTTGTCATAGGATGAGAAGATGTAGAGATTTGTGAGGGCGGCGCTAGTGCTGACTGTTGTTGTTGTTGATAGAACGATGATGATGTTTGATAAGAATAATTTTGAATACCATAGATATTTGAGCGTTGTTGGGATTGATGATGATTATATCCTGATACGGTAGCTGGATGAGTCGGTGGATAACACATTGTTTGATAGTAGGAATTCTAAACAGATCAAAATTCGTGCATTCTATGGTGAAAATTTGGCGATAGAATGAATGAACCTACCGGATCAGTAGAAGTATCACTTTCAGAAGAGATCTGTGATTGTTGGTAATATTGTCTCGTTGAATTATCAGTGTTATTGTTAGTATTGTACGGAAAATTAGAATACGATGAGGATGAGGATGTTGTCGTTGCTGTTTGCTGTTGATTGTACATGATTCTTTGTTGATGTTGAACTGCCATTTGTTTCAATGTTTGTGCAGCAGCACTTGTTGGTGGTCGATTGGAAATCGGCATTGAATGTGGACTGTAATGAATTGTACTTGAACCGCGCGGCATTGAATTTCGCCGTCGATCTGATGCTAGTGTTGACGAGGTTTGCGATGGTAAAGATAATGATGAATGTCGTTTAGAAATTGAATCGTGTTCTTGACTTGATGAAGTAGAAGATGAAGAGGGTAGATCATCAAATGTCGATAAAAATAAATAATCATCCGTTTTCTGTTTGATTCCATTGAGAAATTCATCGAATAAATCGCGATCAGCCGGTGTGATATCCTGTACAACACGTTGGAAGTCAGCTTCACTCAATAGATCATTGTTGGAAAGTTTTAATTGCGGCTTCGGAGTTGACTTGATATTTATTGTTGAGCTAACTGTTATATCACTTGTTGTCGATTGTTGAATATTGAATTCTTGAATAATTTTCGTCGTCTGTTGGTAATTACTTAATGAATTTGTGTAATTGTTTTTGTTTAGATTATTGTTCGATTGTGGTGAACGGCAACAGAATGATTTTGTGCTCTGATCGTGTTCGATATCGAACGAATAGAAATGTTCGCTGTCGTCATTTGTGCCTAATTTTCGTTTGGGTGGATGCGATGAAGCCTAAAAATAAAACGCAGAATAATAATGTACAAACAAAACCATCGCGATTTGCGATAATCACCTGTTCTATCGATTCCATATTTATACAGAATAAAGAAGAAAAAAAAACTAGTAGATGTATAATATTACTATTATTATCTCTTGTTTTTATTTCCTTATTTCCATTTCGAGGGCATGAATACGTGCCGAAACTAATAAAATGAACTTACCAATAGCCTAGCTAATGATGCAAGGTCATTGGTCCCAGAAACTCTATACATTTATTTATTCAAAATAACTCTTATATAAACAAAAGAGAATTCCAATATCATAGAGATACGATTAGCCGATCAGCGTCACCATTTTGTCGAAGTGACAGCTGTAGTTGTGATTATCTTGAAGAATATATACGTGTGTTCTGTTCTTGCGATAATGCCCAATGATCAACAATAGTCAGAACAGTGTGCCCGATCGATATATATGTGCAAGGGTTCTTTGCTCGTTCGTATTACCTTTTCTCTTTTTTTTTTCTCTTTTCTTTTCTCTGCCCGTTCATTTTTACTCGTCGTTCGTTGTTCACGTCAAAGTGGCCTTGGAGCTGCTCAAATATATACATACGCAAAGAGGGGGAAAAAGAGTATAAGCAGTCTTCTCTTTCCTTTCCATTCCTCTCTTTTTTTCGCGTAACAGTTCAATCGTATATGTATGCTTGCGCGCGATCAATGAATGGATATAACATCGCATATAAACATACGCTCGCATACATACATACACACATTACCAAGAGAGAAAGAGAAGCAAAGTTGAGGCCAGAATAAAAACTTGTTCTAATTTCTTTCTCTCCTTCCCTTCTTTTGTATTCTCTAGCAAGAATAATGACCACAATCTTTCATTGTTTCTTCTCTTTCTGGCAGATTAGTAGAACAAAAGAAGAAGAAAAAAAAACATCGAAGAAAAGAAGAATGACACAGTTCTATGAGAAGAATGAAACTGAGTCAGTGCTTTTCGTACACATCGAAGACTAATATTGTCGTCTGTGGTGTACCTTCATTACTCGGCATAGACATCGAGTCTTCATGTAAATGTCAGACTAATCTACTTCGTTTTAAGTCACATGATTATGTAAAATACAGACATAGGAAAGGAAAATGTTGCGTTTTTGTAAATCTATCGCGAGAGTAATCGTTTTGTACGAACAATCAAACTAGTCTGTTTTTTCTTCGATCGACGATGTTGATAAAAAGAAAACAGGTTAACAGTTTTTTAAAAGAACCAAAAAGTTCTACAAGGTCACGAATACAATACTCAAGTGTACATTTCATTTTGCGATTTTGTATTGAAATAGAATTACGCACAAGTTCATATCGCAAAAAAAAAGAAAGAAACTCTATATTGAAAGTATACTAGGCGACTGAAACTTACCTCGAAAGTATACATGTCTCGGTGGAAACTGAATGTTTATTGTCAATATCCGCTGTTCGACCAACTAAATGCACATATTTCTTGCAGAATTCAATTAAGATTGTGTAGATGCTAACCGTTTAGCGGTGATACATGTTCCACTTCGTTGCACTTGTCGAGGAGACAAAAATCGACAAATAACAATCATTCTGTTACACTTGCAATTCGATAAAACCTTGGAATTTTCCGTGTGACATGAACGATATGATGAAATCTGCATGATAGCTGAAAAAAAGAAGGTTTAGTGTTAGATTGAAAGCATCGTATTTGAAGAAATGTGATGTGTGATCATCTTCGTCCTTAGAAATTCTTTTCCCTTTCGCCTGCCTGCCTGCCTATCAAAATACAAGTGAAGATGATTGGTTCCTTTCATTCTCCATTAGACAGTTGTAAAACCGTCTTAGCGCTCTCTATCTACTCATACAAAAACGAACGATTATTAATGAAATAAAAATTTTGAAACAAAAATAAATACATTCCTTAACAGTCGAGATTGCTAAGAACTCGAAGAATGTTCGAGTTACTTTCTCCTTAGCAACCAAACACAATCATAACTTATAATGGTAACCATTCTCCAAAACTCTCGATTCATTCTTTTCCAATCAATCTCTCGTCATCGTTCTATTAAACAACCATGCCCGAAGAACTAACCGAATCAACTGTTGACAATATGCTTGTTCCAGCCATTTTGACACCATCGTCATTGACTAACACCGAACATATACCTGTTAAACGTGATGAAACACGCTATCCTCGAATGACCAAAGAGTTCATTAAGAAACATTGCAAAGAACATAAACTATATCAAACACCTTATTTAAACGATGTTCTTTATTTGCATTTCAAAGGATTTGGTCGGATTGAGAATTTAGAAGAATATGTTGGATTGAAGTGTCTCTGGTTAGAATCTAATGGCATTCAACGTATCGAAAATCTTGATCATCAATTGGAACTACGTTGTCTTTATTTACACCAAAATTTAGTCAGTCGGATCGAAAATTTGGATCATTTACAACATTTAGACACGATTAATTTATCGAATAACTACATAACTAAAATTGAAAATCTTTGTAAGATCTCTGAGACATAGTTGTACTCGTCATATTCTCTTTACTTTTTCTAGCAATGCTACCCAAATTGAATTCGTTGTATCTATCGCATAATAAGCTTGAAAGTGTGGAAGATATTGAACATTTGAAAGAATGTAAAACATTGAGTGTTGTCGATTTGTCACACAATGCTATTGATGATCCAGATGCTGTGGAAGTTTTCAGTCAAATGGCTAATATCGTAAGTTCGGATGACGATTTCTATTTCGTCTACGCTCGTTTCGTTCTCATAGCGTGTCATCAATTTGATGGGCAATTCATTATTGAAAAATGTAAAAGATTATCGACGAACAATGACACTTGGATGTGTATGTACTTCTCATTAGATATAAGATTTCATTCGAATGTTCGTCTAGGTGAATTTAACTTATCTTGATGATCGTCCAGTCTTTCCAAGAGACCGAGCATGTGCAAATGCATGGTGAGATTCATTTTTTATTTTGAAGTCAGTCCAATTCCAGTTCTAAATAGGGCTCAAGGCGGCCGAGAAGCTGAACGTGAAGAGCGGCAATTATGGGAAACGCCCGAACGTAAACGCAGCACGAAGCCTGTTGGTGGTAAATTATATTATTGAGTTATTTTACAAAGAGTAACATATCTATGTTGTTTTCTTGTAGATGTGATGTACATACGTCGACACTTTCTGGGTGATCGCGGTGAGAGTGAAGTCGATATCGAACAAAGTGAGAAGGAATTACGGGGCGAAACGGATGTGGTCGGTGAGGAAAACGCTGAAGAACCGCCGCCATTGGAAGATATCAGTGAACCGGAATCAGAAAACGAGAATGAAGATGAAAACAACAATGACATTCAACCAGAGAAAGAGAAAGACGAAACTAGTATCAATGATGTATCCACTGAAAAGCCGAAAGAAAATGATATTGGTAAATTTTGACCTGCAAAATCATTTTCTAGCTCCAATAACATCTGGAATCCATTTTTATTTCTCAGATATTCCATTCATTCGGCCACCATTACAAAATATCGAGAGTCGAGAGTCATTTGATACGATATTCGGTGCATCTCAAAGTATGCACTTTTCTATTCCTTTCTTTCTTTTCACGGTAGATCATTCTGTTATAGAATCAAGCACTAATGCAAGTGAAAAACCAGTAAGATTGAAAATAGTCGACATGGACGATATCGATGAAGATGAAGCATCAATCAGTAAGTTAAAGAACAAACTGTTTCCTTCCTTTAGACATTCTTCTTTCTTAGAACCACACGATGATCAACCAATGGAATCGAACCTACCCTCATCATCCGCAACGACAACGACGACGACGACACGAAAATTGATTGAAGAATTATAATATCAATGTATACGCTCGCGTCTTTTTTTTGTTTCGAGATATTCAAATTTCAATAAATAATCTGTTTTTTTTCTCGTCTTCGCTGTTATCTTAATCTCAATTCTTGTTGCATTCTTTAATCGTAAGCGCAAGAGCGACATTCTTACGTCTGCACAATAAAATTCGAAAATGATGATCCATTGGTCTTCGACTAGACAAAGACGTTGTTTACAAAAGTTCGAACGAGTCACACTGAGGTTCTATTCTCATATCGAGGTCGAAACCGAAACGAAAATAAACAAGTAAGAAACAGAATGACGAAACACGTTGAATCGAATTAGAGAAAATAAAATTCGAGCTGTAAAGAAGTGCATCGCATATCATACACATGTCTATATCGATAAACGAGAACCATTGGTTGGTATATTTGTCTGCCGGCAAGTATCTTTCTCTCTTGCCGACGAAAATAATCATTGCACGTCGAACAAAACATACTATTCATACAGTTATACATTACCATTTTAGATGACCATACTGCTTCTCTTTCACGAGCACTAAGAAGAAAAACTCTGACTACACAAGCGCATCTATCCTTGAATATTCGCATTGCATATAAATTGATAAAGAGAAGATAAGTATGGACACGACAAAAGATGAATTCAACATTCCTAATGTTATCATGGATCCACGGACGCGCACCCAATATTCCAAAGGAAAATTTCTTGGAAAAGTTTGTTCATTGTTCTTTGTTCGCCTAGGGCCAACGATTTCTTTCTTCTTTTTCAAGGGTGGTTTTGCTCGATGTTATGAATTGATCGATACTAATACTGGACAAACATTTGCTGGCAAAGTTGTACCTAAATCAATGCTCGTTAAACCACATCAAAAGGAGAAGGTAAGCATGGCATTCTGTCGAGATGGAACTTGTTCATGGAATAGTTTTAGATGCAACAAGAAGTGACCATTCATCAATCGCTTAATCATAAACATATTGTTCAATTTTTTTCATATTTCGAAGATGAAAATAATGTTTACATCATCCTTGAACTTTGTCGTCGACGCGTAAGAAAGGCTATTTGATGGATGAGCGAGGGAATGATTTGACTTTCGATTTAGTCATTGATGGAATTACATCGCCGACGTAAAACCGTAACTGAGCCTGAAACACGCTATTTCGTTAAGCAAATTGTTGAAGCATGTATTTATTTACATGAAAAACGTATTATTCATCGAGATCTCAAATTGGGCAATTTATTTCTGAATGATCAAATGGAAATCAAAATCGGTGATTTCGGTTTAGCAACACGAGTGGAAAGTGAAAGCGATCGAAAAAGGTACCGGCAACATTCGTTCATATTCTAAATCAGACTTCTTCTTTTTAAATACTAAATCATATCTTCTTTTGTTTATTTCAGAACACTCTGTGGAACTCCAAATTATAGTAAGTTTCCTAAACTTTCAGATGCTTCTTTTATACATTTCTGGTTCGCTATTTTAGTTGCACCTGAAGTGATCAATAAGAAAGGTCATAGTTATGAAGTTGACGTATGGAGTTTGGGTTGCATTTTCTATACATTATTACTTGGTAAACCACCCTTCGAAACATCGTCGTTAAAAGATACATATTCAAAAATCCGTAAAAATGATTATTTAATACCAGAGAATCGCATTAGTCGAGAGGTTGTTCTTCTTATTCAACGTTGTCTGAGACATGAACCGTATGATCGACCAACAATGCAGCAAATCTATATGGACCCGTTCTTTTCTGGCTTCACACCGGCAACGTTACCAACATCAGTTTGTACAGTTGCACCACGTTATTCAGTTATGGCACCATTAAATCAAGTTCAACAACAAACAATCATCAATGCTAGTAAAACAATCAATCAAAATCCAATGACAGCATCTATGCAGCAACAACAACAGCAACAGCGTCGACCATTCACTGAACAACAGCAAAATGAACAGGCATTGATAGCATCACGCCATCAACAAGTGGTCACTTTACCAACGCCCATTTTGATGAGCGAACGTCCGAACGATGTACATGGTGTTGGACGGCCTATATCGGCAGCAGCACCGAATCAAACTGATATTGTTCTTTCGTCTCAAATGGCTCGACAACTAACTGGCCTTGATGGCGGTGGATTTGTTCAAGCCGGCGCAACCAACGAAGAGATAAACGATGATCTTCATCTAGCTGTCGATCTTCAAAGACAACTGGAACATTTGATACAAATGAAACCCAACGAAAAACTTGATAAACGGGAAGATGAAGCCGAAGATCCAGCATCAGCACCTATGCTTTGGATATCCAAATGGGTCGATTATTCCGATAAATACGGTTTAGGTTATCAATTATGTGATGATTCCGTCGGAGTATTGTTCAATGATTCGACACGATTAATTATGACAGCTGGTGGTGCTGAAAATCTTCAATATATTGATCGAGAAGGTTTCGAACACTTGTGTACAATGAAAGATTATTCTGATCAATTGAAAAAGAAAGTTACTTTGCTTAAAGTAAATCATTGCTCATTGCGACGCAAGTTTATTATTTTCGTTTGTGTTTCTAGTATTTTACTTCGTATATGGATGAACATTTACTTAAGGTAGGCAAAGTTCGCTTAGAATTATGCATTTATCTTGGTTCGTTTCTTTCCAGGCCGGTGCTGCTCATGCTCCCAGACCAGGAGATGAACTTTCTCGACTTCCATTTGTCAAATCCTGGTTTCGCACACGTAATGCTATTGTTTTCTATCTCTCCAATGGAACATTACAGGTTTGCGCATAATCACCAGTGACACATGACCACAAATCATTGTTTTCTTTCTCTCTCTCTCTTGCAGATAAACTTCTTTCAAGATCATACAAAAGTTATTTTATGCCCATTAATGAGTGCTGTGACCTACATAAACGAACATCGCGAAATTCGTACTTATCGTTTACCAGCCTTAGAACAATGCGGTTGTTCCAAACAATTGTTTACACGTATTAAGTACGCAAAAAGTATGATTGATCGCATTTTGGCTGCTAAAAGTAATCAAAATCGACTTCATTAAAATTCAACATAGAACCATTCTCCTTCCTTCTTTCTTTCTTCTATCTCTCACTCTCACATGTGCAATTTTCTTTATTTTTTTTGTGGCTTGTACTTACGCGGTTTGTATTTTTTCTCTCTTCTTTTCTCTATTAATTCAATTCAGTCGAATGAATATGTTCATCCCTTGAGCTTATATTTTCTTTCTCTCTTTCTTTCACTAGTTCTTATTGTTATTATTACTATTTGTATCTGTGTGTGTGCGCGCGCGCGTTTGTACGAGTCAGACAAACAGCATCAAAATAAACTTGGATTTTTCTTTATTTTCAACTCCAACAGCGCCCGAGAAGAGTGTAGACGAGGTAGCTGTTCTTTCTGCTTTTATGTCTATGTGTATCCACAGCAGACGGTGAGAGAGAAAACGAAGAAATTCAAATAAATGATTAATAAAAAAATAATTGAAAATAACGTAGAAAAGAAAAAGTATAAAATCTTATTAAAGCAACAGAAGACAAGTTTTGCTCGTCGTAGCCTTAAGACGCGCGCTTATCGTATATGTAAGAGTTCACGATCCTCCTCCTCGAGGAGCACTCAATCAAGTGTAGAAAAAACCATACATATTTTCTTGTTATATTCAAGTATAGACATCGATGTCTATAGAATGAAATATATTGATGATTTCTATTTGATATAACGAGGAGCGATGAATAGTGAAGAATAAACGCATTTATAGTAGACGTTCGATGTCATAAAATGAGTCATAGAAAAAACGTGAGATGATCATACTATGAAATTTTTACAAAATAACCAGTCGGTGTTTGATTTATCATTCTTCGGTCACAGTACATCGCTAATGTCACTTGCGATACGTAATTGACCTTAAACTTGCACAATAGTATCGTACAAAGTACATGTCAACAAATGAAAGTCATTTGGAGAGATTTGTTTATTATTATTTAACAAGAAAAAAAAATACAATTTCTATTGAAATTATAATTGTTCACCAATGAATGTACGCATCTAGTTGAATACAAAAGAAAGCATCGAAAATGAAAAAAAAAACAACGCTGAACCGTTTTATGCTCATGATGGAATGCTATCCAAGAAGAATCTACTTTTACTTATAAAATCAATTTCTATACAAACACGCACAAAAGAAAATGAGAAACAAAAAACCTAATTGGCGAAACGATCACTGAACAGATCAACGTTTCTATTTGAAAAGCTTCTATCTATTTGTCTCGCTCTGCCAACTATCATTTAACGAAAAGAAAAAGAAAAGAAACAACGAATACATAAATGATATATGCTTTAAATCATATATAAAGATGAACGGTAGAACTAGTATGTATATATCGATGCTTAAAATGGCGAGTAAGGTAAAATCCATGTGTATATCACGTACAAGTTCACAGAATCAAATTTAAACAAAGCTCTTTCTACTTGTCTTGATTGATCGATGTATTTTCATCGGTATTTGCCCATGTTAGACGGTCTTCATAAAAACGAATTACATGTTGGGGACTTTTGATATTCGCTGAAGAAGAAAAAAACAAGAGATTCTATGCGAGAAGAATGAAAAATGACATACCAATGCGAGCTGGGACCAATTCAGGTTTATCTGTAGCTTGCCATTTGATTCTAAATAGATGGAAAAATGATGAGATGAAACAAATAAAGCAAAGTTCATCGTACAGAAACATTAATTCACCGTAGACGTCGGTTGCTCCGAGAATTTTCTCAATTTCAAGTCCACGTCCATAACCAAATTCGTTGGCTCGTTTATTTCTCTTCGATGCATCGGATATCTCTTGTTGATGATCAATACTTTCGCGTGCAGATCGTTTACTTGAATTGGATTGCGGTGATGATTCGTTTGGGGACTTTTTTGACTGGGCATTGACTCGTTTGTGATAATCAGCAATCAATTCTGGACAATCAAGATTCATTTCAGGCTCCTAAATTAGAGAATATTAAACAAAAAATCAAACTATTGCCTCTTACCCATGTATTCTCCGATTCGTCGAAACCTTTCCATTTTAAAAAATAGTAAACTTCACCGTTGACAACTTTTCGGTCGATAATTCTTTCGACAATGAATTCCGTTTCGTCCAATGCATCAACGTCGACATCCACTAGATTTTCACCATGTTTTCCCATGATCTCGACAACTGAATAAAACTAAACAAATCTAAAATAATAAACACTTTGTCTACTATGTAATAAGCACAATGTGTCGTGTTCACTGTTGCGTGAGAAGATATATTACACACCGAAACGAATATATTAAAAGCTATTTTTTTCTCCTTCTTCTACTTTCTCATTCTTTCGCACGTGGATTATTATCTGACCGATTGCTAATTGATGAGAATGGTTCAATTCGAGAAGAGTTTCGTCCAAGAATAAAACGTATACTATTTCAAAAATAAACGTTAGTAGAAGCTAGAAAGTTTTTTCGTCGTTGTGAAGGACATGTTTGAGCAAGATTGTGTCGCTTGACGTTGATTGGTGTGTGGGTATTCTATGGAATATTTGTATGAAACAAGAAGATCGAGCAGAAGACGCGGATCTTCTTTTTAAAACACAGTTGTTGTGCGACAGTTTCATCACAAGCCGATGAATCTTGATAACTCGAAACTTGCAGAAAAATATTCATAAATATGAAACATAAAGTTATCGTATCAGTTTTTAAAAAGCTCTACACGATCACGAAATACCCTGCGCATCGTCTCAACATTGAGAAGACAACTGATGATAGATATATATATATAGGTTTTCTAATCGCTATATAGTATTAGACTTGGGCACTTAAACGGAAAACATGTTTTGATTTATTCGATTTTCAAATAAAAAAATATAACATGGTAGTTTTCTTGTTTATTTACAAACATCTTTTACATGTCCATGTTATCATTAGTAGTAGTAGGATTTTTGACACTCTTCGCCAAGTAACGTTTGAAGGATTCTTCTTCTTCTTCTTCATAATCATCATTATTGTTCGTTCGATCCTCGTCATCCTCATCATCATCGTCAACATCACTTTCATTATCGTCATACCGAATGCGTTTTTCGCCGATCAGACTCGGTTCTGTATTCAAGTCATTCTTCAACCGTTTTAAATCTTTTTCACGTTTATCCTCTTCACGTTTGCTTCGCTTTTCTTGCCATTTGTTATATTCTACTTTATAAACATGTTCATACTCATGGCATGCATCGTCAACAGCTTCGAAGAATTCTTTACAACCATCACCGGTCATGGAACTAAAACCAACACAACGTAAATTCGCATAGAATTCATCTAAGACAAGACTTAATGATCGGCATAGGTCTGTCGAATACGAATGTTCTTGTTCGATAGCTGATTGAAATAATTCGAAATCCTTCATCCATTCGAGAGCAAAACGATGATGAATGATATCAGTCTTATTCAACACAACTATAAACGGTAAACGATATTTATAAAGTATCGACACGGCATAGAGCATATTCGACATAAATGTAATTGGATTTGCCGATCGTGGTGTATCCATAATGTAAACAATAACGGTTGGATAAGTTGCGCCTAACGCTTCGGTGATAATTGTACCTGATGCTGACCATGTAAATACTTCAATTTGACCGGGTGTGTCGAAGAGAAAATAACGATATTTTGATTGATTTTTATCCAATATTGATAACAATTGATCGAATGTTGTCGAAAATAAATTCAAAGATGTGACAATGGCACCATTAGGACCAAGACTATATTGTTTCATGACTTGTTTATAATTAACTGTATCACGAATGTCCACATTGCAAGGATATGGAAGTTCATGAACGGCTGGATCAAGATTCACGACATACGGTGGAGTTTTTTCACTGTGTAAGTGTGCATTGATACGTTGAAGAAATGTCGTCTTTCCAGAACCGGCCATACCAAGTACTAGGATGCATACCGGAAGTTTCGGTTCTGCACTTGCACTTGCTGTAGTGGTGGGTGACGGTGCGGAAGTTGCTGTCGAATCAGTTTCCATCTAGAAAACCAAGAAGTATCAGTTGAATTCTTTTCTGCGCAAAAGAAAACGATCTCTACTCGTCCATTCATTGAAAATGCTTGTCTTGACTTCGATCCTTACGCATAACATTCATCCTTTTGATCAAAACGAATTCGCTTATTTTTTGGTGGTTCTGATATCTTCTCAATAACCGTTTATTTATGTCTTTTTTGAAGAAAAAAAATCAAACAACGAGATAAAAGAGCGAGCGCAAGTGTGCAAAAAAAAGAAACAAAACAACAATTTCATAACAGTATAATGGTTGAATAGGCTTATAGAGTAATATAAGGATCCTTTAAAAAAACAAAAAAATGAACACATTAAAAGAAAACAGAGTGCGTACAACTAGCATATGTTAAACTTTTATCTCTCGAGGCATACAGACATCCACACACATAGACATATCCATATAATCATTCTCATTTTTTTTTCAAAACAAATAACGATGAAGACCAAGAATATCTTATCGATAAGAGCACGCGGGCACACGATTGATATAAAATGATAGATAGTTTGGTTTAAAACAAAAAGGAAAAACAATCTTCCCTTAAGTGTACACACGAAACACATACAAGAATCGAGTCCAAAACAAAAGATATTGATAGCGATAATCCTTGACAAAACAAATAACAAAAGGCTGAAGATCGCTTGCGCGCATACGTACGTACGGAGGAGTTCAACGGGACAAATGATAAGAGATCGACGGTGTTTTGTTTTAAACTAGTTCGTAAACGATAGACAAGAGAGGAAAAAACCGAAAGAAAGAAAAAAAAAACAGAATAGTTCAACCAAAAAAATGGTATGTACACATAATGAGAAGAGAGAGAAAACAAAAGCAAAACCGAATGAGAGATAACAAAACCAACAAAAAGAAAGTAATATATAGTATTGCATAATGATAACCGATAGTTCACCCATACGAAACAAACAAAAACGCATTCCGCTTTTCATCTTTTCTCGTACACACGTTCTAGTAGGCGTATAGAAATCACAACAAACCCAATAAGAATAAAGAATAATTTGTGTTTTTTTATGAGTAGACGGAGAAAAGCACAAAAGAGAAGAGATATCGGAATAGAAAATAAGAGGGAGCATGAATATAGAGAGAGAGATAGAGGAAGAAGAACAATAATAATAAGGAAGTTTCTGTTTTTTTGGCAAGTTTTAAGAAAGGTCAGATAAGTTGAGCAAACACAAACAGGTATATAAATAATGTGAGGAGAAAAAGAGAGAACAAATCACAGTTTTTCGACGTGACGACAGGGACAAGACAGACGAATATTGTTTCTTTTTTTTTCTTCATCTTGTGTCGCTCTTATTTATTTCGTTTTTGAGGACCCCAGATAACTGGTATGGTATTCACTGTTGATGAATGCACTTGTGATGAGTTATCATCAGCTGCTAATGAGAGTCCATTGCTGAACGATGGATATTCTCCTGAAAGAAAAACTTCGAAATTCATTGTAACTCGATTCAATTTTCTTACCGAGATCGTCTCGATTTGGTGCGGATTTTTTCGGCGAAGCATCATGTCCATTACGTTGTCGTGAAGCATTTTTCTGTTGGTGTTCATTCTCGTGGTGATCACCGTTTGTCCATGGTGCATTTTTCACTTGAAATGGCGCTTGTCGTTGTTTCTTCTCATTGCGTGCTGGTTTCGAATTGCTGGCCGATGGAACTTCTTGAGTATTCGCTAACGTTTGACCTAATGTGAAATCACTTTGATTTTGCGTACCTGTTGCACGATGTGGAAGATCTTGAATGTAATCTTCTTCTAACATCAACAAGTGATCAATACAAGCATCGATCTTATCTTGATCCAAACCAGTAACATGTACTTTATCAGTTTTATTATTAGCTTGAAATCTAATTTCAACACTATAATCCTTCATGATTTGTTGTAGTTTCTGTCCACCTGCACCGATGATACGGGCGTGAATGCGTGGATCGATGTCAATTTCCATGGTTATTTTCGATTCAAAATCTTTAATTAATTGTAAGATTTCATCGCGACATGCAAGTGCCTTGTCTTCGTAGCCGGTGATGACAACCTCAATGTCGGCTAGAGGATTTGAATTGTTTGTTTCACTTGGTAGCGAAAGATTTTCTTGTGGTGTTGCTTGTTGATCGTCATGCTGGTCATCTGCGTTGTTTGCATTATCATGATCAGTTGTTGTCGATGGTGTGGGAACAACAGCTGATGCTGGTGGTTGATTACTTGATACATCGATTTTGACATCGTATTTTTGTCGTAGGCTGTTGATTGTTTTACCACGAACACCGAATATCAGAGAACGATATTCCGGTTTGATTGTAAATCGAATCTCGAATGAACGTGCCTGTCGGTCAGCTTGAAGTTTTTCATAAGATTCGAGTAGTTCCTGTCGGGCACCTTCAACTTGTTCACGTTGACCTTTCAAACTAATTGTATTTTGTGCTGAGTTCATTGGTGGAAATGTGATTTGAACGTCAGGATATTTCTTAATCAATAATTGAAGGTTACTTCCACCTTTGCCAACTAATGAGCCATGAGTATCAGATGGAATATCTACAGTACTTTCAACTGGAATCATTTTTTCTAAATCAACCATCGCTTTCTCAATATCATCAGCACGACCTGAAATGCGAACAATATCTTTTTGAGTATCATCCTCGGCTACTGTTGTTGTGGTTGTTGCTGCACTTTCTTGATCATCTTTTTGCGTGTTTCCATTACGTGGTGGAAATTTGATTTGAACGTTATGTTGTTTTTGTATAGGTTGTATGTACGCACCACCTTGAGCAAGTAAATAACCATGATGACGATGAGGAATTGTCATTTCTTTCGTAACTGTATTCTCCCATGTGTCGATTAATTCTTCTAAACGTTTTCGTACTTGTTCAACGGTTTCCTTCGGACCACGCAATAAGACTTGATCGGAATTAGCATTACGTTCAGGTAATTTAATCAGCATATCACCATATTGTTGCTGTAAATCAGTTAGTAGTTTACGTCGATTTTGAAAGAACTTATTATGCCATTTGGGATCAATTGTCATATGTTGTTCAATGGAGTTCTCCATCGAGGTGTTCAATTGGTTGATATGTTCTTCGAAAACTTTTCGTGCTTTATCAACATCGGCTTTTTTGCCATTCAAACGAATTACTGTCAATTCTTTGGTATCATCAAGTGATGGAACATCGATGCGAACGTCCGGTATTTGGTCACGTAAACGCTGAATGTTAGCGCCACCTTTGCCAATTAACATTGGGTATAAACGTTTGGGTACGTCGATTTCAACCGAATAGAGATCTTTAATCTTTTGTTGAAGAAATTTTGTGCATTTTTCCACATCATCTTTATCACCGTGTAATGTGACTTTATCACTTTTGCCGTTGGCTTCAGGAAATGTGATTTGAATACTATGAAATTTCGAGCGAACCTCTTCTAAATTTTTTCCTTTAGCACCAATGATTTGCGGATAGTATTGAGGATCGATACTCAAGTTTGTTGTAAGTTCATTAGACTAGAAAAAAAAAGAAAAACGCCTTTTGCTTTATGTCCATACAAGTACTACGGAAGAAAATCTTCAAGCTCAATACAAGACAAATGACTGGTCACATCTTTTTCTAATTAACTCCAATCCTTGCTGAGTTTTAATCTGATCTTGTTCTGTGCCTCTTGTCGTGCCGGAAGATTTCCGTTATACTAATCCGTGTTCGATTTGATAAGGACAATTGATCACTCATGGGAAATCTTTTTTCGTAGCATATCGATTTCTCACGCATCCTCAGTCTGGCAAATCTCTTTTCAAAACTTACCAATTTCTTCGCCTTTTCAAGTAGTAATTGTCGTGCTTTTTCAACACTTTCTTTTGTGCCCATTAATTTGACCATGCGTCCTTCGTCGAAAGGAAATTTGACATCGCATCCAGTTTGTTCTTGCATTTCAAGTAATCGCGCTTGATTTTTGCCAATTAATTGTTTATAGTATTGAGGATCGATTTCCACTTCTAAATATGTCGTATTCTTGCTCTTCAATTCGTCGATTGCCGCTTGAATTTGACTTCGGACACGTTCCACTTCTTCGGGTGGTCCTTCCAAAGAAATGTGATCATCGCGAAAGAAGATTTTCACATCTGGATGAGCTTTGCGAAAGTTTTCGAGATGACTATTGCGTTCACCTTTGACAGCACCGTGCATCCAACGTGGCGCAATGATTTGAGCAGCTGTTAGAGCATTTGCCTAAAACAACAAAAACTTAACTGTAACTGAGGAATAAAACGAGCAATTTACCATTTTATAGATCATTGTAATGGCTTCACCAATCTTAGCTGTTTCACCCATGACTTGAATAGTTGGCGAATTGTCTTCTTGATTCGGAATACGAACGATAACATTGGTTTTGTCGAAGATTTCTTTCAAACCAGCGCCTTTCTTGCCCAAAATGAATCGATGTTGTTCACAAGGAATTTCCAATGGAAAAGTCATGATTTTTCCTTCCTGAAAACGAAAATCAACAGCAAGTAGAGTCGCTTATAATCAACAACTGAAATAGACTCATACCAAACTCTTGTAGAATTGCAAAATTCGTGCCTTTGCTTGTTCAACGGGTTCTCGTTCGCCACGGATTGATATTTCATCAGTCTGTTTAATTGGTGGTGGTAAATCAATGATTACCTTCCATTGTTGTTGCAAATCATCCACCAATTGGTAACGAATCCATGGATGATATAAATAAGGAATCGATAAACGTTCAAAACCTTTATTCAATTGCGTATGATATAATTCGAGAATTCGTTGTTCGCATAGCTTAACATTGTCTTTGGCACCTTGAACAACTATGGCATGTGATTGACTGTCTTGGGGTGGTACAGTAATACGTGTCAATGTTTCTTGTTCTAAAAGTTTCAGCGTTGCACCACGTGGACCAATGATGAATCGATGAAAGTCCAATGGAACGTTTACCGATAACTTCACAGGTCTTTGTACTTCACGAAGAAGTTGGACTTGTGCTGCACGAACTTGTTCGGGTCGACCGGTGATTTGCACAATTAAGGTTTCATTTTTATAGAAAAATGTGATATTTGTATCTGAATGAACATCTTCATTAATAATTCATTACTCAAGCAATAATTCTTACTTGTTTCCTTTTGAATGCGCATACAAAGTTTTTGTAATGGTTGTCCATTATTGGTTGTAGCACCAGTATTGCGTGATGATTGATTACCACCACGACGAGAATTATCCATTTTATCCGAAGCGCGCTCATCTGGAGGAATTTCAATCTAAAGAACAAGATTTGTAAAATAAAATGTCAATAACCGGTTTTAATCAAGAAAGAAAAAACAACAATGCCCTTTTTATCACTCAAATGTTGGGTTAGTTGATGCAAACATTTTTGAACTTCCTATCATTTCGAATAGGTCATTGGTTCGCTACGAAACGAAGAAAACTTCGACTCAGGCTCCTAATGTCTCTATGACCTATACCTTGTTTTTTTTTGAAAAACGTACTTGAAAGAAAATAATCTGCGAAACCTTACAAATACCTTCATAAACACAAATAAATATTCTTTTGCCTTATAAGATCGGTAAATATTGAATACTTTCACTGTTAATGAAGAAGAAAGACTAAGAATATTCTGAAGTTGCTTACAATTTTAGTTGTAGCTGATGATGCATGAATAGCCATAGTACGTCGGCGCTCTTCTTCATTTTTCGCCGCTGAATACGCTGATGTTGTAGTATTAGCCATGGCACCTGCTGAACTATTTCCATTTGATGCTGATGGAAACGGTGAAGAGAAGAATGTATTTGAACGATTAGCGTCAACTTTTCCGGCGGATCTTAATTGCGGAAAAGCTTCATTGTAGTCAGGCACATCATCAACATCGGGTTTTTTCGGTGCTGTTGATGAAGCCATAGTCAAGCTAGTCGTATCAGTAAGACCATTTTCTCTGAAATAAGGAGCGTCCATTGGCGCGGCCATGATTTCTTTAGTCCTAGAAAAGAAAACGAAGTCATGATAATTTGCCACTCCTATCGAACTGAAGAATGCCTGAGATGATTTTATTGCAATGAATGTGACTATTTTCGTTCGAGGAGAAGACGAAGACGAAGAAGAAGAAAAAGGAAAGAACAAAGTCAACATAACAACAAATGTGATGTATGTATATAAATACACGGTAGACAAAGACATGAAGGAAGAGAAGAGAAGGGGGAAAACGAAGAGAGAAAGAAAAAATCTCCACGTTCGAGTTTAACATACAATCCGATCGATTGTTCATCCAGTAGACGAACAAATTTTTTGCTTCTCCTTACATGCACACACACACGCATACATACATACATCAGATGTATGCATAAGGTCGATATCATATCAATAAAAGAGAGCGCACGAGTGAAAATGAAGATGCATAGAAAAAGAAAGTACTAAAAAACATCTGTTCGCAGCGACGATGAAGACGACGAATAAGGTGGCGACCGATATTCATTCTGTTTTTGTTCTTTATCTCTATCTGCAAAGAGAACAAAAGAAATGATAATCGAATTTTTTTGTTTCGTTCGTTGTCTCTAAACTTTTTTATATTCTCTACTATTACAAAGCAATTTTTTCATTATTCATTCTTCGAAAATATCTGCTTTACGTAGTTGTCTGTTTAATTGAAACCATCGATTACAGATTCCAATGTCAATAATCCGAGCGTTTCGTTTCAAGTGTAGATACGAACAAACATTTTCGTAAAATCGATGAGAAAAATCAGTTGTTCGATGTTGACTTCGGTAGATAATTAACGAAAAGAGGTAACAGTCAACAAAGTGGATTTGATCGCGTAACAACAACTGTTCGATGCTATTGATATAAGTTTCCACTTGTTTGTTTCGTATGAGACTCGAGGTCAATAACTGCTGGTGACGAAATTGTACGAAATCGTTCTGATAAGATTCAAATGATGGCATCGTACGATAAGCATAGATAAGTGCTGACACCGCTGACGAATAGACGATTGTTTTTATTGGCCGTTGAATCATTTTCTTTCCAGTATCAAGAAGTGCATCGCCATAATCCGATGAGAGTTGCTTCATATATTTATATACAAGTTTGGATGGGCGGCGTATGAAGAGATTATTAGCTTTGACCAAAAAGGCCATGGTGTTTTTCTTTGCTAATTGAATCAATAAAAAGTAAAAACGAACGTCTCACCTGAACAGAGATTAAACTAACAAGTATATTGAATATGTTAGAAAAAAGCGAGAAGGGGCTACAACGAAAGATAAATAGGTGATCTTCTTGCGAAAAGAGAAAGCGACGAGAGAAGAATGTGTGATACGCGTACAACAATTTCTAGCGAATGACGTCACAGATTTTGAGAAGGAAAAAAGCTAAATATACAACAGTGGAGTTTTCAAGAAAAACCAAGATAGATATTTATATTTTTCGTTAATAAGTAGAAATTAATATAAAAGATAATTTTTAGATGCATCATGAAATGCACACTCAAGTGACCTATGCAGATATACCGTTGAGGTTCGCGGACTGATTTCTATTGGTCACGCTCAAGTCAATCATTGATCAGATGTGATCGAGATTAGAGTTTTTGCGAATATCTTGAAAGAGTTCTTTAGAAATCGATGGAAAACAGATATTCAACATGGGAAGATGCCGCACGAAGCATAGTACACAAATGAATCAATTAGTTTATTCGTTCAACAGAATGGTCAATGCCGAATTCATACGTTTCGCGTCATGAAAAGAATATTTTTTGATAAGATAGAAAGCCAACCGCACTACAAGCACCTTTTTCTTTTTGTATGACGACTGAATATAGACACTCGGAATATGTTTTCTTTTCCAAATTGATATCAGAGATATTAAGCTCAATCATTGCCTGTCACGGTTATTGCAGTAGAACTGCATTGTTTTGTCTTATACTTCATTATCCATAATTTTATGGTTATTTTGATTCGAATTACTACCGACAACACTTGGCCAACTATGGAGTGCGCCTTTTCTTTGAATTAACAGTCAGTCACACGTAAGAGATCATCTACGTTAAGTATTTATTCTAACAAACTACTTAAACATAAACATGTTTGCTTATGAAACTATAACTTAATTACTCGCCACTCACTCTTTACCGACTGATCTTCTTGTTGATCGATATTTTTAGATTTGTTAGTATGGACATGGCACTGAATATATTTTCATCGATTCCAGTTTGGTCTCGATCAAAACCATCCGACAACCGAATTGGAGAGGTAGAACTATTGAATCACAAAATCGTTGCTATTCGTTCTTTTCAAAGATTCAATGCATGGATATAAGTAATGATTCAACTCCAATGTCAACTTCATTCGCTTCTCGCATCAACGACCTATATATTGGAACTACTGATGGGTAAGTTATTTCGTTTTGGTTTATTAAATTCACAAGTGTCTTCAAGAAAACCGAAAAAGATATTCGTTGATCGTTTATATGCATAGCCCTATTTGATTTCGAATTTTAATCGATAAGCAACCTTTTAAGGACAAATTCATCTGTACTTGTAATTCTCCTATGAATACGTATTTTGACGAGAAGCAAATGCTTCTTTTCCACAGAGAAATATCTTGCACTTGTATACGTCTTCTATCTATCTCTCTTCTACCATATTTATGAAGATAAATTATACATATGTCTCGATATAATCATCCTATTTCCTTAATGTGTATCTGGCTCTGCTTCTTTCCTATTTGTCCATGGTCGACAGGCGATGAAATATCGGATCAAAAGTCAAACGTCTGTTGGCTACGATGTGTAAGAGAAATGAAAATCAGTATCTTACATAAGAAAGAATAACCTGTTTCTTATACTGGCTCATGGCCATTCGTATACCTCTTACATCTAAGTAAATCTTTGCATATGTATATTTACATATTGAACAATACTTTCGAGTTGCTGACATTTTCGTAAGAGGTATTAAAAAAGAGCAAAAACTTGATTATTTAAATAGTAAATAGAAAAAGAGCTCGAAAGTGAACAAGAACCTTGACGATTGGACTATGTTCGTTTATCTTCTTCGTTTTCGTTATCAGTGATTGAAAGTGTTTATTATTTACGATGACGACGTGATTATCATATAAAATACATATTGATTGACTATAAAAGAGTAGTACTTGACATTTTAATAGCCATTGTTGACGAGAAACGGAAATGACCTATGACAACTTGAGAGATCAAACGATAGTCACTCATAAAATGTGTCATCAACAGAGATAATTAGCGTTTTTTTTAATATAGTAGAAAAACGCAAAATCAATCAACATGAAGAGGACTTATCGTGATAGATATTAATTAAGTTAAGAGAGAAAATGTTTCGATTTGTTAAAAATCACGTTTTCCAATAAATTCGTATGTCATGCTGTGATGTAACGGATTCCCTCCGCCTATTTTCTACACAGAACAAAGAATAACCGTCGCCGTTGGTCATTCATTCATTTATCATAATCACTAGTTAGTATAGTGCAATGCATTCACATATAATCATAACGAACATTTCTTTCTCTCTCTCTCTCTCTTTCCCTCTGCCTCTCTCGAACATTTGAACAGTGCATAGAAAGAAAGAGAGAAAAAGGAAAGAAACAAGCTCTATCATATTTCTACTCAACTATTCTTTATCATCATTGTGTCTCGTCTCGTTTCTCTCTCGACATGCGATGCACTCTTCAGCGATAACGATGTAAATTAGAACTCTTCTTCCTGTACATATAAATATCGACATTCATATACATTTCTTTCTTCAACGTTTTCTGTTCAATTAATTGAATATTCATGTTAATTCGTCGAACAGCCAATTTGATCTCTCAATTCGTTCTTCTGCTAACGATTTTCAAACCGAGTTTTTCCGAACTGGATGAGCATGAACATACATCTAATCAATTATTCAACATTCTCGGTACATTACAACCCTTTCGTTCTCAATTCTGTCAATTCAAATTCGAAAATTGCATCCAAGATTCTTCCTATGCTGATCAACTCGATAATGATTGTAATATATATTCACGTTTACGTGATTGTTTTCGTTCGTTACTCGATGAAACTCAATGTTTAACTATTCAATTAAAACGTCAATACAAAAAAGCCAAACAGAATGAATACGAATCATGCGGGATTGCTCTGTCATATGAATCGATCAATTCATCTATCTATACCCCATCATCGTCAATGAAATTGAATATTAATTATTTAACAGTATTTCTTCTAGCATTATTCTACATTTTAATTTAACATACAGAAGACACAATCGATCTGTTCCGGTGATCTTTTTCTTTCTCTGCTCTCGTCCACTCGATCTCAACGTCAGACGTTCGCTATTCACACTGCTGTATCAATTCAATACATGCGTATATGGACAGATTATGAACACGTTCAATACGTTTAAATGATATTTGTCTAGTGCTCTATGATCAAGATAAATAATCGATGCTGACCAAGTGGTAATTGAACTCAATATATACGTGTGTGTGTGTGTGCGTTCATTTTTTGAACATAGCGAAAGAACTTGTGTCAATAAACTTTCAATCATTCTTAGAAAAAAAAGAAAAAGAAAGCCTTAGCGTAGTACAGTTCGATTAACCGATTATGCAGCTGATTTATATTTTCCTGCAGGGGTGCTGATGTCTCGTTCAGTGCTGTTGCTGCTGCTGTTGTTGTTCTTCTTCTTGTTTGTATTGAAATGATTAATCGATTGTATGATTCAGTCTCGTATGAAAATGGGCGTTCTTTTATATATGTATATATGTACGTATGCGCTAGGAGTGTTTTTCCTGTCTGATGCGATATTATTGATAAAAAAGTATAGATATCGATAACACCTGTGATTGTTTAATTAATCGATCAGAGATCCATTGTTCTAATGAAAATGGTATTTAACCTTTCATACGAATGACATATATTCGATTTAATGGATGGATGTATATATGTGTGTGTGATAGGCGATATTTAAGAGAATCAATCAAATATGAAATGACACGGTGACACCCTCGATTTCATAGACGTGTACATGTTTTATCCGAGAATGAACAAGTCATTCTGAAAGCAAATGACAAGTTTAATCTAATTGATTTCGATGAAGGTTTTTCTCCTTAGTTATTCGTGCGTGTCAATGACGAATATCTTTTTCTTTTTTCTTTTTTTTTGAAAGGATAATTGTCTCCTTTCCGTGCACAGATTAGAATATTGTTCTTTCATATTAAACAAATGTCAACTTGATTTAATAGTCGAATTCTAAAGACGTGTATCATGACATTTATATTGATAATCTTTCTTTCTTTCTTTTCTGTTTAGTTTTGTTCACAAATTTTACCTACGAAAGAGTTCGACAAACTCCGAAACGAAACAATATGATTGTCAATGTGTGAATAGTCTGAATTTGGAGACAGTAAGATGAACTACTAGGTTATCTTTCGAATGTGTATTCATTTGGATTCTGCAGCGCAAACCAATAGTAAAACTGAAAGTGATCGCCTTTTCACTTCAACGCATTATTACATTGAGCGATAATGTTATTCAAGTGCTTAATAGCATCAATTTGCAAGTAGGAATCGATGAGTTAAATCGGAATGAAACATCCGAGTCGGGTTTAGATTATACAAAATAAAAGATTGAAAAATATCGTCACTTTCGCAATTTCCAATCAATCGATTCAAGGCGCATCTGTTGACGTGAGTGTTTTGATAAATATTTCAATAAGTGTAAGTCGATTGAATAGATGTGCACGTCAACTAAACGCAATAAAATACAAATCTATCGACTTGACCGAGCAGATATTAATTTAAAACAAGAAATATCCGTTCCTGATCTAATTATATCTTTGGTATGATTTTTAACCAATTGAACAACTTGACATCAATAAATTGACGATTATTCTAGACTATGGATGAATGCGGTATACTAGCGTGCTCAGAAACAAACTACTATGGTTACATACCTTCAGCGAATAATGAGAGACGATCAACGAATTCTCTACGTACTATATTTACTTTGAATGATGCAAGCATTCGTGCTTGTTTCACAAATATTTCACCAGTAAATATTACAATGATGCATTGAAATTGATCCTACATAGTCATTCTAGGGCGAATATCTTCTGAATGGCCCTAGTATTGGTGTTCCAACTACTCTAGAGGGTACAAGTGAACGTGCACCAATTATGTTTGTTAGTCAGCCGTATAGCTTTACTTATTCCCATCCATATCTAATCGTACTTGTCGATGATCATCTTCAGATCTATAGGTACAATCTTCGGGTTCTGAATGTGTTGAGAAATATCGCCTTTCTCTTTTAGTTATTTAGACGATCAATTAGTACAACAAATTTCCTTGAAAAACTGTCGAACTGTAGTAAACATTCCTGAAGAAAATCGTAATACGTTGTTACTCCATAACAAAGATACAATCTATCTTGTGGAATCTTCCAATATCGAAGAGCAGATCGATCAATTATTAAACTCCTATCGGTTGCAAGAAGCGTTAGCATTAGCTGAGAGTACTTGTCCATCAAACGAAAGCCGTCAAAATAATTCATTAGTACGATCAACTAAAACACGTATCGGCCTCATTGAATTCGCGGCGATGAATGTCATTCGAGCATTGTCTTTATTCGATGAAGTGCGTCTAGATTTTCATGAAATTATGATTAACATTCCGAATTTCTTACCATTGAAATCTGCATGGCCAGAGCTGGATGAAAGTAATCGAAGTCAGTATGTTCAATGGCTCACGGCCTTTTGTGACTTCATGACAAAACGAGCCGACGAATTCTCTCATCAACCTGTAAGTTGACATGAAGATTTGTATGAAGCAAACAATTACTGTTTCTCTTCGCCAGGATTATTATTCATCGTTATTGAAAGCCTATCTAGTCATTAAGTCGCGCGACAAAATCATTCAGTTCCTTGAAACACATGCAGCATCGATTCCTTTGGATTATGATCATCTACTTTTCAACGCCCGACTTTATCATGGCGCAGCAATTGTCTATTCGGCACATGATAAACACGAACAAACGTTGGATATTTGGAGAAAGTAATGAAATTTCTAGCGAGTACTTGTTGAGATAGCCACAAAATGTTTTTTGCATTTAGTGTAGAATTGTGCTGAAAGAATATCCTGTTGATGATGAGACATTTCCAGGCATTTGGATCATAGCTAAATATGTTCTCGAAAGAGATATCGATCGCGCAGTGGAATTCTCTATTGCGAAATGGTTACTCGAACAAAATGAAGAAGAGTCAGCAATCAAAGTAAAACTGATTGGATCTTGAACTAATCACCTGTTCATATCGATTTAGATCTTTATTGCCAAACATGAAAATGAATCGAATAGTGATATTTTTTGCTCAGATCGAGTGATTAGTTTATTAAAATCGTATCCAACGGCGTTGAGGAGTTATCTCGAACAAGCAGCATTTAAATTAATGATTGAAGTAAGTTAGCTGGCTCGTATCATTGCTTGATGCTGAAACAAACAAGAATTTAGAGCAATGATATTCATACTGCATTGGTGAATATTTATCTGGATCAGTTGTTATCAAAATCTCAGGACAATAATGAATATACACGGTTTGTTTGCCTATTTCTTTGACTTTTATCTGAAGTTAGAAGTTGTACGTAGATCGAAGCTACAAGAGTTTCTTATCAAGTCCAATTCCTATCGTATCCAATCTGTGCTCAGTCGCATCAATCAAACGAACAAATTAAAGCGCGAAGTAGCTCTACTCTATGGAAAAGTATGTCATTCCCAAATGCCGCTCCTCCGTGATCGTACATTTCCGATTCCTAGATGAACAATTTCGAACAAGCATTTCAAATTCTTGTCAATGAACTAGAAGATTTTGAATATGCAGAAAAATATTGCATTGCTTTGTCGAATGGTAAATGCAGTGAAGATCGAAAAATAGTTGCACATGTCCTATTTCGAATCTTCCTTACATCATTAGACAAGTAAGACTTCACTATGTTAGATTTGATTATTAATCTATTGATTATTTAGAAATCCTGAACAAATAACAGTCGTGCTTCTTCGTCTTCTTTGTAATAACGAAATCGAATTCGATTTTCTCGAAGTTTTAAAACGCTTACCATCAAATTGGTCGATAGCATCGATCACCGATATTCTCATACGTGCCGTTCGAACCTATTCTTACACTCAACGCTCAACGAAACTCGAATTAGCTTTAAATCGCGTACAAAACGAGAACCTATCAGTCAAATTAACGAAATTAAAGTGCGCGAATATCACTGTGAACGAATATCGACGATGTAAACATTGTCTACATCAATTTTACGAAACCTCGTGTGTAGTCTATCCCGATGGCAGCCAAGTTCATGTTCACTGTGCCAAACAAATGCATAACTAATATTCGATTTTTAAGTCTTTGTGTGTTGTGTTTCGGGAGAAGACAACTTTTGATTGATTCGTTTTTCCAAATGTTTTCTTAATTTATTTATTTCTGCGATTAATGATATAAATGTGATTGATAATTACAAAAGACAATACTGCCATCTGTGTAGTTTTACTTGTCGCTTTTGAATACTTCTGAATAATCCACTAAATACCAAGGCTAAATTCGTGCATTTAGATATCGCAAAACGAAAGAAATTATTAGTTTTGGTTACGTTGATGACTGTGATGAATAATTAGTATTCAGCAAATTAACCGGTTATTAGACTATGCTAGACACAACATCCGTAAATTAATTTAGCAAAATACAGGTACACGAATGACATCGACAGAAATCATATTTTCTTTTCTTCATATTTCATAGATCATGAAACAAACTGGAGTTCAAGATGTTAGTCGACAATTACAATCCGCTGTTTTCTCTTCGGGATTGACGACAAAGTTAATATGTCTCTTTTGTATTATCGGATATTTCCTTTCCTACAGTCCTCAATGTGTCCGCATCCTTGCTGTCATACCAGGTCGTGTCATGCCGCCTAACTTCTGGATTTGGTTCGTTAATTACAATTTTCGTCATCATTTTTGCTTTATTATTTTCAATCAATTTAGGACATTTGTAACTCATAGTTTCATAGAGTTGCATATTTGGCATACCATCATCGATGTCATCGTTGTGTTCCTCTATTCGAAAATGATCGAACCTTTGTGGGGCACCAAAGAACTTCTACGCTTCTATTTTATTGTCACCATTCCAAATGCATTATTTGCCACATGTATCTATTTTCTTTTTTATGGTTTTACATTTAAAGAGGAATATTTGTTCGAAAGACCAATCTATGGTTTAGCTGCATTTATCGGTGCTTATTCGGTTGTTATTAAACAAATTATGCCTGATACTGTTCTGGCAACAACACCTTTCTTTAAACTTAAACAAGATCAAGTACCATTGCTGATCATACTCATCTCCATTGGACTTTGGTTTGCACATGCCGTTCCAATTCATTTCTTAATTATGCTAAGCTTTGGAATTGTTATTAGTTGGACATATTTAAGGTGAGATTCGTATAGAGGAATTCTCTTGTAAATATCTTTGATGCGTCACTTAGATTCTTTCAAAATCATCAAAACGGAACGAAAGGTGATATGTCAGCAACGTTTTCCTTTGCAAGGCAACTATAAATCAACTCTTTTTCGACAAAATCTATTCAATCTATTGTTTCAGCTTCTTCCCTTCACCTATCGCTCCGATTATTAGTATACTTGCCAACACGATCTTCGGACTTTTTGTTCAATTGAAATTGTGTAAACCATTCGTTAAAAAATACAACGTTGCTTCATCATCCGGTCTGACAATTACAATTCCAGGTCCTGATGCAGCTGATGCTGACAGGCGAAGGTTAGTCCATCGAAAGAGTAAAAATGCAGTACTCATCGCTAGAAACACGTACCATCAGAATGTGTTCCTTGACACTTGTGGCCTCTGACATGAATGCGAATCTATGACGAATAGAGATAATAAACTAAACTACGAAATTTTCATTTCAGACAAAAAGCCTTGAAAGCTTTAAATGATCGCATGAAAGCCAAAGAAACTGTCAATGAATCGTGGCCCGATCTCGATGAACCCAGCCAAAGTCCATTTATCGATCCGGCCCAAAATTCGTCGATTACTATCGACATGAGCAATTTAGATGAGCCCACATCAGGTGCAACTAAAGAAGATCTAAATCAACCTTTCTTTGACACTGAACAACAACAGCAACAATCATCATGATAGAAATAAAGACACTTTCTCTTTCGTAGTCTCATTTACTCACAGCCAAGATATAAACTCAATTTCATAAACATTTGATTTTATTCGTACTTTTTGTCTTGTATATTTTCTTTTTCTCTGGCGAAAATGTCCATTGAACACTGAAATTCATACATTTATTAATGGAATTTTACCATAATATTTTAGATGATAGGCACGTCCGTTTCTTTTTTTTTCTCTGTTGCTGCTATGAACAATGAAAATATCTTGAAATTTTATCTCTATTAGACGATTAGTTCTTTGGAATGTATTTCATGTGATTGCATAGATAAAGACCGAATCGCGCACTTCGATTATCTAATTAACGGATTCTATACATTGCATAGCATCACGTTCTTCTCATTCTTGTTGGTTTTTTCCTTAATTGAATTGAAATCGTCAGCACCAGGCAGTTCGATTTCTTCTCCAAGAAAAAACGATTAGATTTGGTCTAGTCACTTTTAAGTGCAAACTTTTCTCCTTCACGTGATTCTACGTCATTAGATGATCATCCTCATCATCATAGACGCATAAAAGAAGAAAAGACATCTATTTGAGGGTATTACAAGAGCAATTCTTCATCTTATAATTGTACTACTCAGATTGGCTCGTTGTTCAAAGTTCATCAGACAATATTAAAAAAAAAGGGAGGAAAAAGTTTTGAGAAAAAAAAGACGCTAAGACATACGCATCCACTCACCATTCAGGTGGAAGAGAGAGAGAGAGAGAAAGATTGTACACATTTTCCATTCGCTCTTTACCGTTCTTTCGTGCTATACTCTCTCTCGCTTTCTCTTCTTTCTCTCTTTCTCTCTCTCTCTCTCTACCAATATATAGGAGAAGGGATCGAGCATGTAAGCGTTAATCATCGCATTCACATTTCGTCGTCGACTGAACACACAGCGGTAAGTCTATGCGTACAATCATAATGTTCATCAGACAATATTGTTATTTCTTCATCGCACTCAATGTCTTCAACGTATTTTTTTTTCTAGGTTAATTTTGTTAAAAGTATTTTTACAACCATGCCAAGTGCATCGCTCATAAGTGATTTTCAACGCTCATCATCGAATTCGTCTTTGTCATCGTCGCTTTTACTTGCTGCTTGCCAACAGCAATCATATGATATCAATGATTTGTCTTACTGCTTTGATCAACAACAAAAATTATCTTCGCCACCTACACCACCCTCGTTATTATCCTCAGCAACATACGATTCAATTGGAAAGAAGAGTCAAAATATGACCGAATGTGTCCCGGTGCCTAGTTCGGAACATGTTGCTGAAATTGTTGGCCGACAAGGTAGGAATAGAACAAATAAACATTTCGTATTGATATATGATTTTGGTTTTATTTAGGTTGTAAAATAAAAGCATTACGTACGAAAACAAATACGTATATCAAAACTCCTGTTCGTGGTGATCAGCCTGTTTTCATCATAACAGGCCGAAAAGAGGATGTTTATCTAGCTAAGAAGGAAATTCTTTCCGCAGCTGAACATTTCTCTCAAATCCGTGCGGGTAAGAAGAAAGACTGCTGTTCAATATCAATTTGACTTTCTTTTCTTTTTAGCTCGAAAACAAAACAGTGCGAGTACTTCATCCAATAGTAGTACAAGCAGCGGAAGTAACACAAATTTACATTACAATAGTTTGATCTATCCATCAACAAACGTTCAACAAATCACCATTCAAGTCCGTGTACCCTACCGTGTTGTTGGTCTAGTTGTTGGACCCAAAGGTGCAACGATAAAACGCATTCAACAAACAACCAATACTTACATCGTCACACCAGGTCGTGATAAAGAGCCTGTATTTGAAATAGCTGGTTTACCGGAAAATGTTGAAGCCGCTAAGGCAGAAATCGAAAGTCATATTGCTGTTCGAACAGGTCAAACATCAGATATGGATGAAAATGAATTTGATAAAGAATTATATCCAATCACCGATATCATCGATACCAATCAGCAATGTTCGAAATGGATAAAATTAAATAATGCTTCATCATCATCAACAACAAATGCAAGCATAACGACAGGAACAACAAAATTTTCTCATCATTTATCATTACCCTTTCCTCAAGATGATAAAATCAAATCAACTTATCGAAGTGTTTCACAATCATCATTTTTCTCTTCATTCAATGATCCATTAGATTTCAATTCCTCATTTGAGCAAATTTCCGATGAAAACTTAGATTCCGTCTGGCCGAATTTCAATTTTATATCAATGAAAACATCCATGGGTTTTGCTTAATATAGATNAAAGAGTAAATGAATTTTGTTTTCTAATGAGCTTTCATTCTTTAACTTCTTCCTCAATGCACACATACGTATATACACTCGATTTGCTAATGATGATGAATTTTCTGCTTGCAGAAGTGATGACCACATGAATCAATCTGCTGCTGCATCAGAAATTGAGTTTTGTTTTTCGATTATTCCATTCTATCAACAAGAAACGATGATTAAGGAAAAGTTCTGCATCCATGTCTGTCTGTCTGTCTAATAATTGCTGACAATCTGCGTCTGCCAATAATTTTCATGTGAACTGAGTCGAATGTATACGAAGTGATATACGTACTTCTCATTATCATTAATGTGAATGTCGAAATGAACATGCGTGTGTGTTCAGATAATTTCTTTTTATTCCTTGTTGAACTGTCTATGATATTAATGATAGACAAGCATAGCGAAGCAGCTGTTATGGTTCAATTTAGATTTTCAAACTAGACACACCCTATTCTTCATTCAATGATTGAGCATGACATTTGAATTCAATAGTGGCCACATACACACGCATATGTATATCTTTAGAAAAAATATAGTCTTAGTTATGTAACATTTTCAGATAGAATCATGAGAAGAATAAATTATATGGCGACTGATCGGTAATAATAATAATACTACTACTTTATACAAAGAAGAATCCTGAATTTTATTCTTGTCGATGTGAATGAAACATGCTGAATTGTTCATATGAAGAAGCAAATGCTTTGCAATGATCTCAACATCCATAAAATATCTCGATTTGATTACATGCAAACATAAAACTTGAGAACAATCATTATTTACTTTCTTTCCCTTTTTTTTCAATGAATAAGATATTGAAGTTATAAAGATAGACCGCAAATGTACATAGATTGGACTGAAGAGTGAATTCATAGAAGATATGTGATTGTCATGAAAAAAAGAAATAAAAAAAAAAGAACGTGAAGAAGTAATCTCGTTTGAGTCAATTAAACTTCGATGTTTCTGCTTTTTATCACGAGAGCAAATGGATATTTTCTCGATTACATACTCAAGTTGATTTGAACAAAAAAGCTTTCCTTTTGAACTCGATTGAAAACGTGCTAATTGCTCATGAACGTGTGAACCATAGATGTTGAATATGAAAAGAACGTAACTTCACTTTCTTTCTTTCTTTCTTAACGAAAGTGGGTTTGGTCAATACGGTAGAACAACTTGCAATAGATAAAGGAAAACAAACGAATACAAAAAGGTGTTTTTCCCATGATGATGCGTAGCGAAAGTTGAATATGTCATTTGTTTCTGCATCATAGGTCGAAAGGGATGAGTTGGATTAACGTGATAATTACTGATATGTTGCATTGATTTGATCATGAGCATCAGACATGCGTGAAATGTACGATTGAACAAGAATTTAACAAGGGAATTTATGATAAAGCACGTCAATCTTTGATCTTTCAAATGCCTATCTCGAATTAATTTACAGCGTGTTTAATTGTTGAACAAATGAGAGAAATATTATCAAGTGTAGCGCACTCAATTGAGGAAATTACGGACCCTCTTCCGGAATCTATTTATGAAAAAAAAGGTATATAAAAAAAGACAAAATGAGAACGTTTATTTATAATCTCTGTGAAATTTTCCAGAGAACATCTCTTCGATAGTGTGCAGCTTTTTGTGTAAGGGTTTGAAAAATCCCAGGTCACGATTTGAGTCAATTTTCGGTTCAGCAGCAAGAATTTCTTCTAGTGACATCTTGATAGATGTTAACACTTTACCAAAATCGAACAATAAAGCATAAATTTGTCCTCGTGACAAATTGTTCTCTGAATGCAAAACTTTTTCTGAACCATGTCGAAAATAATCTGTTACATAACTATTCAAATAATAACTCGCATTTGTATGATCATGCGCATCGATATCAACGAATGGAACAATACGTGGTGATAGATCGAGATTATAAGCAAGGTCCCATGAAGCGACTGTTGGATTATAATTTGATATGTATTGCTGATGAGTTAGACCAGATGGACCAACGAATGGGGATATAGATGGGTTTTGCGACTGTTGCGAGTGATGATGATGAAGATTGTATTCGAATGTTCCGTTATCATAGTCAGATGATGGAAGAAATTCGATGCTTGACAATGGTAAGATGCATTCTTGATTGGTATTCAATGAGCGCATATACTTGTTAACATTTTCAATGTATGATCCATAGATATCTTTTACTAAGCAATTGTATGATTGAATACGTTGACGGATATCAGCTGAAAGTGATCGAAGTGTATGTGTTGGATTGCGCGATGTTTGTCGATTTGTTGTAGAAGTTTCATTCGAATGTTGACGAACCGTCAATCTATTCAAAGAGGAGAGAAAATGCATAAAATTTCAGCAGAAATAAAAGTTGTAGACTTACGAAGGCATGTTTGTAAACAGCTGAGCTAAAAGATTGACAATTTCTTCTTCGTCATGCACTTGGTGAAATAGTTGTGTATCTAACAGATGAATAAATAGAATATCCGCTGGCTCGACATGATAGAGATGCTTTAGGAATCCAGCCAGACCAATTAAATCACCTTGTTCGTTAATTAAATTCAAACGATAGAGAAAGTCGAGCGTGTGTAAACAATGAAAACGATTTCGCATAGCGAATATTTCTTGTGCATGGGATGTTTGACCACTGAAAGGACATTGAAGAGCAACGAGAGATCGATTGTTAGCATCTTTTTTATCTTCAGCGTTTGAATATAAATGGAGTAGACGCATAAGGAATGTCACACTGATTGGATTACGTGTTTGAATATCAGGAATCGCTGAAATAGTTAAATGGCGAATCTTGGGGATGGGAATATCGATGAAAATGATGTTTCCTTGTACATCGAAACCACGACGGCCAGCACGACCGGATGACTGTCGATACTGCAAGGCATCGAGTTGAATAGAATCTTTGATGAAAGCGACAGTTTTCGTTGGCATGTGAACACCCAAAGCTACAAAAGGCAAAAATTCAAACAGATCCTAAAAAGGTCTCCTCTTCTTCATTGTACGTACCAAGTGTCCATGTGGAAAAGACTATTTGAACGTATCGATGTCGAAACAAACCTTCCACAGATAAACGAGTTCGATTATTCAATTGCTCATGATGATAGGCAACACCACGCTTCATATATCGAATTAATTTCGGATTACTTGTTGATACTCGTTCCGTTAATTCTTCGACAAGGTCTCGATCGCAATGAAATCGATTCGCTAATGTACCTTCCTCGACAACTCCATCCAATAGCTCTTGTTCAAGGCCCGATAAACGAAATTGAAGTTGATCTTCTTCTTCCATTTTTTTCAGCTCATCTGGCTTGTCACCTTGATCTTCGTCATCGTTTCCACGTTTACTCGCACTTTTACTCGCTTGTTTTGCTTTAGCTGTTTTTTGCACCTTCTCAATAAGTGCACGACGTTTCTCCAAAGCTTCGATTTGATGTTTGTATTTTGTTTGCCGTAATTCCTTTTCTAATTCTTCGAAATATACAGCAACACATTCGGACAGTTCTTCACACAATGCTCGACTATCAGTGAAAACGATACATGGAAGAAGACTCTTCTCCTTCAATGTTAAGACAAACTCTCCGATTAATGATGAAATAGGTTTCACTTCAGGATATGAGATTTGATTCGATGTTGTGGGATTAAGCGATGTAGATATAGAATCAATGGTTGAAGCTTGTTTCGTATCAATCAATTGTCGAAATTGTCTACAGACGAGTTGTGAATATTCATTGCAGCGATTTCGTTCAGCAATCCAGCCAGGAGAAAAGTGTTCCGTCAATGTGGGAACTGGTTCTGCTTGAACATTGGTCTGTTGTACCGCATCAGTCAGCCGAAGAGTTTCACATGGTGAGAGAGAAAAATCGTCGGGTAAACCTCGGGTTGTCAGCTGTTTGGCATTCATAAGACTAACCGGATGCAATGGATAGAGTTGCCGATTCGAGTAAAGGTATTTATTCAAATCAGCTAGACGTTCATGGTGGGAAATGTAACATACTGGAAGAGGTTTAGTAGTGTTGAATAATTTTGCTCGCTTTTCTTCGACATATGTGATCCATTCTCTTAGGACTTCACCATTATTGACTGTTGCAGATAGACCGATCATCGGACAATTGATGAGTAGCATAGTTCGTTCCCAAACATCGGAATTCGTATCGTCAGACATACAATGAATTTCATCGAAAATACAATACCGAATTTTTTGACATCTTCGTTGATAACTCGCAGAAAGGAGAAGCATTTCGAGACTTTCAGGAATTGTGATTAGAATTCGGCACGCTTGTGTATTCATACGAAACTCTTTCGTAAATATACCAAAGACAGGACCAAACTTCATTTGAATAGTTCCTAAAATCATAGCAATTCATGCATTGCATGCGTTCATTAACACTACTCATCATGCTTACCTGCTACTTGATTGATCAATGCTTTCGTTGGCGCTACATACACGCAGAGACCAGTGGTATCATCCTTGTCTTTGAGAACCTTGCCCATCGCATAATACGATGCATAAGTCTTACCTAGAATTAATCATTAAGAAAGCTTTTTGTTTGATTAATTAAGTGTGTACAAACCGGAAGCAGTCGGTGCAACGATGATGATCGATTGCTGTTTATCAACTGCATCTAAAAACTTCACTTGCCATGGGTCCGGTATAAAATCCGGTAATCTTTGATCGGGCTCGCCTTGTTCACGTCGTGGCAATCGGCTATTGATCTTTTCCATTTGAAATCGATACCATTTTTCTGCTTCTAATGGACTCTCATTCACTAATTCTTCCATGAACTTCTTATTTACATCAAATGCATTAGCAAGGTTTTCTAAATGTGTCATTTCACACAATGTTGCGAAGAAGCCAATTTGCAATAATTCAAAATGTGATCTTTCTTCATTTGTTAGATTCGTTTTCTTCCTAAACGTACGTAAGAATTTTCGCTGTAGATCGAATTTCTTCTTCAAAATTTCCAGACGTTTGGTCGTAGTTTCGAAATTCTCTAAACTTCCATCAATTAAATTGATGGCACCAACGTAGTCATCGCTTTTGAATTGTTTCAATTGTGCTTCGACATTCTTAACTTTTTCAGCTTCGTCGTCCGTACGCTTATCTAGTAATCTTTTCGTATTTTGTTCGATGATTTTCTCGGCTTTTGTCGGTTGAGCTTTTTTCGGTTGGTTCTTATGTTGCTGTTTCTTCTTCCCAGCTGACGCGGCAGCCTCTGCTCGATCAGTGGTATTTTCGATTTGCTGTTGTGCAGGTGTTGAAGCAGTTGGAAGAATGATACGATATTGATGATCTCTGACATCGCGCGTAGCCAACGATTTACCATATAAATCGAAATAATCGTATCTAGAAAAGAATCGAGTTATTGATAAAATTTAGAAATGCGAAATTCTTTACAGTTTTTGTACATGTTTAGTTCGAAATCGATGATTAGTTGATTTGCTATGTGCACTGTCATTATCACGTATACGATCGATTTCGTCACCAGTCTATGAAAACGAAAATAGGCAAATGAAAATGTTCTTTGACAATAATCGACTTACTTCTTTGTACGTTTCCCAAGAGTGTTTACCTGAAAAAGGAAATTCTTTAGAAAATATGCTCGTGTCTAGTCAAGATCCTTTACCTCGACATTGTAGTATATATCTATCCTCTGCCGGAATCAAATCGAATGCTACAGTGTTACCATTCAAAGCGGATAGTGGTTTAAGATACGCATCGACAAATGGATTTGAGATTTTCAGAACTCTTTGCTTAACCGAAGTTTTCGTCTGCTTGTCATTGATTGGTTGAACAGAGAAATTGATATAATTCGATTGAACTAATTGATTGATTGTATCTTGAAAGAGAGTTTCACTGAATGGAATGCGCAAGATTTCTAGGGATCGTTGAAGAATTTGATTTGTTCTTGAGTCGAGTCGTGCAGTCGCTGATTGATGAATGTGATAGAGGGTAAAAAGGAAGAGACGACCATCGAAAAGATCAGCAATTTTCGATTGGGAACATTTTGATGTACATGCAGACAGATTGAATGCCAAGCGTTGTTGAAATTCACGAATAGATTGAGAAAATCTCGTATGAGTTTCGATCGATGGGATAGACAATGGTAAATGTCGATCGAGTAGAGAAAGACGAATGAGAAGTGCGACGTGGAGAATTAATAGCGGATTGAGTGATGAAAGAAATGATTCCTGGTTCGTTTTCTCGTTGAGGTCAATGATTGTTTGCAAATACAAATAGAGTCGAACATCATCTTCGCATAAATTTTCAAGTTCCTGTCGTTTTTGTTCTCCGGTGTAAGTATTGATGTTAATTTCAAACGACGTTATCGCCATGACTGTATCAAATAATTTCTTTGGACAATCCCGATCAAACTGAATTTGAAAACATTTCACGCTTGTTTCTGTTAATATGAATTTGTTCATTAAATAAAGTTGACATTGCACAGCATACTGATGATAGTTGCCGAAACAATGATAGATACAAAGTAATTTTGCTAAAACATCTTTCGAAAAGAGACTATCATTCTCTCGATCAAATGTTGACATGTCATGGTAGAATACAAATAAGGGTCTTTCTTCACGAATGAATTGCAAGTAATCACGATCATCATACCAAGAAACGAACCGTTTGATTTTGATTTTTCCTATTTTTTCCACATTTTCCGAAAGATGAGCGATTAAACATGCGCGAAGTAGATTAAGTATTGGACTATCTTCACGATAACAGTGATAATGGCATTCGAAAAAGACTAGAGTGTAATTGCACTTGTGCGATTGTTGAAAGAGCGTATGAAGGAATCGTTCGATGAGAAATATCAAATGCAATGTATTCCCGAACGATGAGTTTAGATGGATGTTTGTATGATGCGCCATAGATAAGAGCAGTGAATCACCATCGATTAGATATTGAGCTGTGTCACGAAATTCTTGACGAACATCAAGAAAAGCAGCTTGACGAGGATAGAGAATATCAAGATGCTTGGACAGGAAATTCGTGGTATTGATTTCATTGGTATCGCTTGATAAGAGCGATTGAATTGTTGCTAAGATAGGTTGATAGGATAGACGAGTCATTAAAGATAGTTTTTCAGTTAACTGTTCCTGTTCATTCGGTGTTTTCGCTCCTTCGAAGAGATGAGTAGCAATTTGTTGTAAAACGACCAGGCCAATTTTTTCAATGTCGCTTCTTCGATACTGTTCGAGTGAATCATAGTAAAGACTAATAAAATGTGGATATTTTTGTTGACAATAATGTAAGAGACGAAGCAATCGTTGGCATTGACGAACAGTATCGACATAAAAATCCGTTGCTTTATTCGATGAATAACTCTGAAAAGTAAAATATGCAATCGATAATCAAAACAATTCAATATAATTTATAGTTACATTTCCATTCGATGAAGATTTGTTTTGATTATTATTTTGTTTTTCGTCAGAATCATCATCATCATCATCGTCATCTTCTTCAGATGAAGACGTCATTGTTAATTCTTTAGAATTCTGCCCGTTATCGACATGGCTTGATGTAGATACACTGGCAAACCGATGCACCTGTTGTATTGTACGTAAAACCGTTTGTTCCCAGTCCTTAAGATAACGTACATGGAATAAATCGGGAGATTTCGAAATATTCTCATAAAACATCATCTCGGACGTTGTTTCCGTATCCAGTAAATAGTGAAGAAAAGTTTCTATTTGGTTGTTCATTTTGACAGTTGACAAAATGACTTTCGACCGAGCCTATATATATGTATTTAGTGTATGGGTAAAAAAACCCGGTCAAACATTAATCTTTTCCACGCGCAGAACGCAAGAAAAAAAAAGCCTAAGTCATAACAATAATTTCGTAATGACATGACTCATACTGGTTAGGTAATAACTGGAGTACATGCATTTTTGTTCGGTTGGTGCAGAGAGAATTACAGACAAGATGATGAAATTTCTATTGAGTAAGTAGCGGACTAAAAGAAAATAAAAATTCAAAACTTCTTTTTTCACAATTCTCAACTCTCAACAATAATATGTTTACTAGTTTAAAAACATAACATATCAGTAGAATGATTTGTTCTGTCTTCATTGTCATAAGATCCATTCAATTATTGTTGGTCATTCTTCAGTCTTTTCTTGAGAAACGAGTTTTGACTAAAAATGTTCAATCTTACTTTAAACCGAAGTATGTTTCATGTACTCCAGATCAACACACACTACACTATATGCAATCTTGAATGAGCATGACGATAAACATTAGCACAACATAGATTTTCAGCAGAAATTAGACGTAAAAGCTCCTATTAGAAAGAGTTTTACACTTGAAGAACACGTGTGGGAAAATACCAAGTTGACATAGCAATGATGACTATGGTTTCTGACATCTTCTGATGTTTATATGACCAATTTTTTTACGAATAGATAGTCTTTCTAAACAGCGTTATTTGAGTTCCAGGTTGCTTGAAACTCACATGTTATTTTGCAAGTAATTTTTATCTGAGAAAACTGATTCAGATTTGAATCATTTTATTTCTTTGTCTAAATTGCAATGAAATCTCCTATCACAATGTGCTTTTCCGTAAAAAAAATGAAGAAACTACATATATACGAGGAATATCTATCCTCAACGTAAAAGTTCAAATATTTGAATTAAAGTACGTCGTGAAAATAATGAAGTGACAATCATGAATAGCACTGCAAATATCACATAAAATATATAAAAACACAATGCTGTGTATCTTTTTGGTGTTAACAGAATAGTCACATGAGCAGTTTGACTTTCTAAAACCATATAACAAATGAAATCATATCGACTTTCATGACAACCTACCGCTATCTAACAGAAGTACAACATATCCAATTCGATTCACACCCATTCGATATGAACATGTGGGAACTGATATTTCATAGATGAGATTCTTCTGACCTAAATCTATCGTATAGAACGGCCGTGTCAAGTATTCTTCAGCAAGAATTGTATTCTTCATTGATATACGATCATACATTGTTATGGAAAACTAATAACAAAGAGTATCTGATTGTACATAAGAAAAGATCGTAATCTTTACATACATGGTGACTGTCACCTTTAAGGATAAGATTTGGTTCCAGATCATTCATAAACGGTTTAACAAAATTGGCCGTACGTCTCACGATCGGCCAATGATTTAATACAATACGAAATATCGCTGTCATCGGATGAGTATGTATTTGTTCCATGATCAGATCACGTTTTCCATTCGTGTATGAATCGAACATGTCGATATCTAACTAAAACATATTCAGAACAATATATGGAAAAAAGCTTATCGAATAAATGAAATTACTTTTAAAAATTGTATGTCATTCTGATGATAGAGTGCAACATTTCGACCGAAAAAGTTTCGAAAGCGTTGTCTTAACATTGGTTGCTTATCGCCATAATACTCGCCGCCCACATCATTATCACCCGACACGATAATATAACGTTGTTCATGATTTTTATAATCAAATATGGAATCAAATCGTTCGAAATATCGTTTGAATTCATCATCTGACGCTGATAAACCTTCGTCGAATATGTCACCAAGAAACGCAACCCAATGTGGGTTAATATAAGCGTTAACTTGTGCGAACGTTTTTCTAATATACCTAAAAACAACACAGTGGTCTTGTGCATGAATACTGAACAACATACCGATCAGCATCTGTTCGAGTGATAAAGCCAAAGATACCTTCATCTTTTTCGCCAATTAATTGAGGATCGGCAACAAGTAGAAGCTTCTCCACCGTAGGTCTATAATAAAAACAATATTCAAGTTTCTGATTAAATTGTTTAGTCAAACATGAATAGAATTCAATCGGTCTCTTCTTACTTTTTCGCGATTTCTTCAATATTCGGCCAACGTAGTCGTGCCACTTGATAGGCTAAACTTTCATTGATAAAAATGACAATTAAACCCAAAATAATTACTATCCCAAGAGGTTTCAATTTCCATCGTTTGAATCTGATTAAAACAAACGATGTGTATTCGGTACAAATGTCATTATTTCTCACTTGGTGTACCAAACTGATTGAATATACAACCTACGAAGTCGAAGTCTCCATGCTGTGTGCACTTGACTCATCTTATCGAATTAAACTTTCATGTAGAAATCATTGTGAAAAATTTATCTGTAAAAAGATCATATCTTCGAGTTTAATAAAAGAGCAAACAAATATATACTTATATAAATAGAAAATAATTCAAACAAACGAGAAATATATTAAATTACAATGAAACAAAATGACAGGCAAAACAGTCTCGACTTTCGTTTAGTCACTGGTATTCTTCTCATAGATCTTTTTCATACGTTTGATTGCATCGTACAAATCATGTGGAAATGTCGATATTGTGTCATTGAGTCGCAATGATATACTATACATTTCTTTATAATCATCATAAAGTAATTTCTTATTACTTGTTATTTTCAATATTTTCACGATCTCTTTGAGAAATGTTTGGATACGTCCGTTTAATATTGCAAGAAGACGCTGTGCTTCTTGTGCGAACATTTCGTTGTAGTCATCCGGATCTGGACTGGTACGATGTTGATCGATAATACCGACTGTTTCTTCACATCGAAAGGAGAAGTTTAAACCTTGTTGGGAAAATTTTAATCTTGAGGGGTTATCTGTTGCATCTAGAAATATTTCCTAGATAGATTTCGAACGAACGAAAATCAACTTACTCTGAAGTTCGAAATCGGCCAGTGCGACTTCTTCAATCAATAATCGTAAATATTCAAGTGGATTGTCATGCGGTGAAAATAATTTCAACGCTTTATCATAATGTAACGAAGCTAGAGAACGTAAATGCTTTCGACGAACTTTATTATCCTAAAAGTAAAATCGAATCAAACAGATGAAGACTAAGGTGATGGAAAAACGTACTTCAGTGCGAAAAGCATTGTGCAATAATGATGCTAATCGATGATGGATTGTACCTGCTCGATATTTCGCTAATGAATATCGATCAGAATACGGGTGATTAAGTTCAACATCAAGGTACTTCAATGCGCGTGTCATACATTCAATAACTTCTTTCTCGACCTGGAACAAACAAACAAACAAATGAAATGATTGGCGACATCAGACAGAACTACACTTACATCTTCTTGTGACATTGTTGTCAATGGTGCATGATCTTGTAAAGATGTGGCCATAGCGAAGTAACTATTCGATAACTCCCATGATAATGTTCGATAAACTTCGAATAGTTCAGTGCGATTTTCAACTAATTTTAAACCTCGTAGATAGTAATCGAATGCTTTATGATAACTTTGTCGTTCTTCTTGAGAGAATTCATCCCGGCTACCATCGATGATTGGCGCATAGAATTGTGCATGATATCTCATCAGACGACCAAGATTGGAATTTAATAGTGCAACATTGGAAATGTCATGAATCTTTTCAAATGCTTGTATACCAGCATCGAAACTTTCAAAACTTTTTCGAAATAGTTCTTTGATTTCCTGAAAGACATTTTTTTTGTCTTGACATGGAATTGCAAACGAATATTTGCTTACTTTGGTTCCATCTTGATCGCAAGTTTTTATCGCTTGAGCACATCGATTCATCCAATACACTCCCATTTCATTTCTTACGTTGCCCAAACGTTTCATTAGAACACGAAGTCGTTCTTTTTCATACTCGCCAAGGTGACGAACGACATTGATCGCATATTCATACGCATTCGCACTCGCACAAAGATTATGCTCAACGACCGGTGTCAATTCAAATACCCAGGAAAATTCTACAGATCAGAAACGGAAATTCATCATAAAAAATCCAGAGAATCAAACATACCAGATGAATTTTCATCGATACCAATTTCATCGATCGTATTTTGAATTTCGATGTCAATTTCATTGGTAACTTGATATTGTTCACGAAATTTTTCAATCTCTTCCGTTGACAGTACATGTGATATCATTAAACGACAATCACCTGCAACACTCATTATATTGGATAACAATTTTCGACATTCAACATGACTATTATTTAATTCGACTGATTGAAGTTTCAATTCTGCACTGTGACAGTTTAACGATAGACGGAGATATCGTAAACAAGAGCCGTAGTTTTTTTCTCGTTCGTATCGATGCACAAGTGCAAAATAAGCAGACGCTGCTTTGTGTAAAATAATTGCCTTCAAACGTCGATCGCTTGTTAGGTGATTTTGGTTATCGATTAGGAATTTTGTGCCATATCGCCTTGGCTGATTAGGTAAAGGAATAACCACTTTGGATTTGTTTGCGCTGTTATGACTTGCGGGTTCAGGTCCATCAGAATTTGCTGTTGACGATTGAGAACGACGATGAATTGCATTGCTATGTATTGCCTATCAACGTAAACAACATAACTTCGTATGTAAACTTTTTATAGATCGTCTCACCGCTACTAAGTATTTCAATGCTTCACGAGCTCGTCCGTCAAGATTACCATGTATCGGATTTAGTCGTGGCACATCAGGATTCTTTCGATATCGATGTTGTTGCGGTTGTATCAATGTTTTAATATCGACACAGGCACAAGTCACTGATTCCTTATCGCTATCAAACGATAACTAGAAGAAAAATTAAATCGAATACACGACGAACTAGAGAGAATCGTGTCTTACATCATCTTTGAAAGCTTCCGATTCGAATGTTGTCTCATTTCCATTGAAATGCCAACTTTGTTCACCTATGTTATCATCAATAAACAGATCCGACATCATGTATGCAGCTGCACAGTAATATTCCGGATACTTTTCTGGATCAAGCATGTCAAGACAATGTTTAAGTAATGTACGAATCGTTCCCGATTCTTTCAAACGCGTTTCATAATCTGACTTCAATACCAGATTATGTGCCATCTTATATAATAAACTAGCAACTGGCACTGTATAAGGATTATCATCGCGATCTGTTTCGCATAGACTTGTTAAATCATACAATTTGACAATATCATCATCAGGACCTGGAAAAACACATATAAACGTGAAGATTCTCATCGAATTCAAATGATTTACCTTTGAATAACCAATATGTGTGTCCTTCTTTGGTGGCATTTGCTTTCAGAAAAGATAGAAGATTGGTCGCTAAATCACGAATGACACTTGGTGGAAATTGACATCCTTCACGGTATGGTATATCTTCCGTCTTGATGATTTCATACGATTGAACAATACCATCAACGTGATAACACATAGCTAATTCAGGAACATTACACATTAAATTATCCAACCAACAATCAATGCCAGTTAGAACATTGATGGGTTTATTCATATCTCTAAATGAACGAAAGATTTCGAACGAAGAATTGTTGGAATTGTTTTACCTTAATCGAAGACTGACAGCTGGATGTTGTTCATCACCGAAGATAGGTAGATCGGATCCGATTAACATTTTCATGTTTTCAAATGTCCAATTGACCGTTCTTTGAAATGGTGACGATGTAAAATTCGTATTCTTATTTTCGTTATTTTCATCTTCGATGTTATTGTTTGCATTGACAATTTCTTTGATTTGTTGAAGAAGTGCTGCCGCCGTGGGTGTTTCTGTGGATGACGATTCACCATTGTTGGAATTGGAACGCATTAGTTGTGGTAATTCAACGCTATAGATAGAAAGATTGAACGAAAAGCTCGCTTCTTGAGAAAGAATACCTTTGACAAAGAAATTTAATAAGACGATCTTTGCGTATTAATTCATCGCGTGTTTTGTTTTTCTTATAAAAATGTTTAACTGAAATATTTCGTAGAATTGTATCAAGGAAAAAATCGCGAAACCACGTCCATTCATTCTAAAAGTAAAACAAATCTCAACGAACATTGGGATTTATTAATCTGGCAGTTGCCATACATTTTCTAAGCGTAGTAAATGAGAATGAACATCGAATTCATCGAGAAGTATCGTTCGGCCTAGACGATGGACAATCATGGAAATTTGACTGTGTTTGTTAAACGGAACTTTGAGTAGTTTCTTGATATGCTATTGTCGAAAGAAAAGAAGAACAGGTAATGATGTTTATTTGGAATAGTGACAAAGCGTACCTCTGCATCCGATATCACATCAACTTCCCCTAAACTATCAGTATGTGCATTTGCTGAATGAAAACTGGAAAAGGAAAGAAGAGCATTGATATTTTGTGGTATATTCACTATTACCTGCCGAATATATCATCATGATTCGTTCGTTGTTGAAGCCAATATGAAAGTAACAAGGCAAGTTCATTGTTCCAGACAGGTTTTTGATCGAGGTCTAAATATTACATAGATTGTTCAATACGGTTCTCGAATGCGGGAGAATGTCACTCGTTTTACCTGTATCTTTATCCAAAAAGTTACATTTTATGTATGGTACAGTGCTCGGCGGAGTAACCGAAACAAGACTTGATGATGAAGGTTGAGACATGATGCAATCAATAGTCTGAAGGAAAGGAAATTTCAAAGAGAAAGTTCGTTCGTTTTCTCGAAGATGCGAAAGACTGAGAGACAGACAAGAGACGAAACGTATATAAATAAATATGATTCGTACACGTCAAAGAGAAGACCAATTAAAATTCTGCCTAGATGTCGTCCGATGTATTATTCTAGGAAGAGAAACTTTTATTGACTTCATAAACATATTTCACCGAAAAAACTACACCATATGACGTCAAAATTGAAAGTAGCTTTGATACAATTTCTTGGCTCAACTTCGAAACAACAAAATATCAAACGAGCCTGCGATTTAATTCGACAAGCAGCATCAAACGGAGCACGTTTAATTGTTCTTCCTGAAATCTGGAATAGTCCATATGGTGTCAAATACTTCGCTCAGTATGCTGAATCCATACCGAATGGTGAAACAGTCGAGGCTCTTAGTGCATGTGCACGACAAGCCAACATCTATCTTGTCGGTGGTTCTATACCTGAACGTGAAGGGGATAAACTTTACAATACATCGACTATTTTTGATCCCAATGGCGAATTATTAGGAAAGTTTCGTAAAATACATTTATTTGATATTGATATCCCCGGCAAAATAACTTTCAAGGAAAGTGATGCGTTGGCTCCTGGTCAACAGTTGTTTACATTTGATATTGATCAGAAGTATCGTGTTGGTCTTGCTATTTGCTATGATTTACGTTTTCCATTATTAGCATCGCTATATTCCAGTCGACAATGTCATCTTTTGCTTTATCCTGGTGCATTTAATATGACCACAGGTCCAGCGCATTGGGAATTATTGTTACGTGCACGTGCATTGGATAACCAAATGTATGTGGCTGGTGTTAGTCCAGCACACGATGACCAAGCAGATTACAAATCTTGGGGGCACACAACTTTAGTTGATCCATGGGGAACAGTTGTTAGTAAATGTGAACTGAACGAAGAAATTATCTACGGTGATATTGATGTTGAACACTTAAACACAATACGGAAACAACTACCGTATCTATCACAACAAAGAATTGATATCTATACATTGAGTGAAAAGAAGAATGACAACTGAAAATTTTAATTCGTATGAAAGGTCAAACATCCAAAATGTTTATTTTAGATTTCTACTGGATCTATCTCTTCCCTTTTTGATTAAAGTTAAAGATTTTCGTCTTTCGCTGCATAAGCTTCTTTTAGCTGTTTTGATTATCGTTGATTGCATAAGACTTCACGAATATATTAAAAATCATTCGTTTCATTCTAGATATACATATATGGCTAACGGAGAGGATTCTAATGCTGAACTAAATAAAATATCTGACAGCGAGAAGGAGAATACCGTTTTAGATCCACCAATCCCCGGCGGTGAGACGCAGTCGGAACCAAACGAGGAATCGTCAGACGAAGGTATATGAACTGTTACATAACAAGACTCTATTTCTAATTCGAAGAAATATAGACTCAGCAAATAATAACGATACTATGGGTATGTTAAGTTACTCTTCGCCGAGTATCTCATCGGCTACTTATATTTGCTAAGTCCTTGCTTTGTCATCATTTGAAATATCCGCTCTGAATACTTATGTAAACTTTTTTCAATAAACACATGAAACTCAACGTGATAAGAACTAAGAATAAGAGAAAGTTTTTGAGCACTGTGTGTCTGATCGCTTGTGTTGCACATCGTCTCACGCATTTCAATAACGTAACTTCAATTTATTCTATAAATTTGATTGTATTTCGCTTTAGGATGCACAACATCAACAAAAGCAAAAGATGCCATGGATACAGAAAGTATTGATAGAGAATTACTTGTTTTGTGTTGACCGTCTATTTCTATCTTCTTTTATTGAACAGATCAACCTGTAGAAAATTCAAATCAAAGAAAAATCGACGACTATTTCTCACCACAAGGAAAGAAGGGTCCGACTAACAGAAAGTCGTCACCGATGGTAAAAAAATGACGTATTCTACTTTTGACATTGATCTCTATTGGATCTTTTTAGCAAATGGATGTTGACAGCGATGGAGACCACGCTCGTAATAGACCACAATCAAGTGGTTCTCGGCGAAAGTTTAGTGATGATGATGATGATGAATCTAGCAAACGATCGTCTAGTCGTGGCACACGTGCGTCCCGTCCATTATCTCCAATTCGCATGAAATTTGAAGATTCTGACGATGATGAAGATTCACGTTTTGTTTCATATTCCAAACAAGATATATTAGAATATCGTAATCATTATCCACGCGCAAAATCCAATAAGGCATTAAAAGATAATGTCCAGTTTTATAAAAATTCAATGCCTTCGTATCCAGATGGAGATTATATTGATAATATTCATAAACAGTGGCGTGACGATTACCGAAAATTAGAATTCCATCATGGTTTTATTCAATGGTTATTTCCCTTACAAGAACAAGGACTCAATTGGTCAGCACAACCATTGCAAAAGCATGAAATTGAAGCAATAAAGAGCGACCCTAAAGCATTAAAACGACTTCTCGAATCCTACAGAATGATGTAAGATTGCCATAGGGATTATTTTCTTTGTCAATGATTATTCGATATTTTCAGGCTCGGATTCTATGGTTTTGAATTAGTTGATGAACAATCAGGTCAAATACGTCGTTTGAGAGGTGATAATTACAAATCACGTTTTCGTAATCTTAACACATCCTCACATAATTATCTTCGCATAACTGTAAGTGTGGTATTTGTGAAGATTAACATAGATTTTCAAGTCTTTTTCTTATAGCGCATATTAAAATGTTTGGGCGAATTCGATTATGAACATTTAAAATTTCCCTTTCTCGAAAGAGTTCTCTATGAAAGTATTATTGAAAATACGTTACCGAATTGTCTCCGATCGTGCAAAGATTATTGGATCGAAACCTTACGCGATCAAGGCGAACGACGTGCTATTCGTATGTATGCAAGAGAATTAATAGAGTATCGAAATAAAGGAGTATCACCACCAAAATGTCATCGTGCTCAGCGACCTGCACCAAAATCACCAATGAACAAATCTAGCGGAGCGTCGTCCCGACCAAGAGGAGGTTCCGCTGGTAATCTGAACAGCTAGAACTACATTATCTATGACATGAACTCATTTTTTCGTTCGTAAATAAAAAATATATCATCGACTGTAAAATATAATATTTAATTAAGAAAACAAATTAGTAAATAATGTTAAGAGAAAACAAACAAATGATTTTTTGCGAACATTCTAACTATCTACTGAAACACACCTTCATACATGTTTAATGACACGATAAGAAAGAAAACAAACAAAGAAAAATTCTGAACAAACTGCAAACAGATCAGCTGATATGGATACGAATGGTTGTTTTGTTTTCCAAAAAAAAAACCTTTTATGACTAAAAATATTTTCGTTTCGACTTATGTCAGAATTAGAGTTCACGGCTCGCTAAATAAAAGAAACGAACAGCTTTTCGATCGGAAATTACACAATCATTTCACTCACTTTCAACCGAAACAGTACATGATCTTTCGACTTTGCCCAATGCATTGCTAGCAACACATGTATAGCTGCCTTGATCATTGTTTTGTAATGATTGAATTTGAAGCCATGATGTTAAAACGTGAGCATTTGGTCCACCACGAACCAATGTAGAAATACGATCATCATCAGCTAAAATAGATGGTTTCGAGACACGTCCATTTCAATTGTTATTTATTTACTTGGATAAACAATTTGCTTGCCATTTGGTGCTGTATAAACCCACTCAACGACCGGTAATGGAACACCAGCAGCTTCACATGTGAGAAACACATTACTTCCGGTTTTATTCGAAACACTCACGGGTGGTAATGTTATTTCGGGTGCTAAAGAAAATCAACATTAAAACATATATTATCTCCTAATTGTACATACCTGAATCACATGGTTTACGTTTGAAAACTTTAATAAGCGGTTTCTGTTCGATTTTAGCAAGCCGACTTGATTCCATTAAATGACAATAGTTACGATAAGTTTTGCCATCCGAACTTTGTAAAGAAATTCGTAGAAAACTAGGTTTCAATTAATGATCATTTGAACTTACCCACACATTTCTACTTGATCATTACATTCACATCGAGCTTCACGTGGTGCACCGCGAGTATCCGCACGAATTCTAAATATCAAATCTATGTATTACTTCACTTAGAAACATTCGTTTCGAATTTGTTCATTAAGATACTTCAAAACCGAATAAAAATGATATCCTTTTGTTTCAATCGATAGTTATGTATATCTTACTTGCACTGAAGATTTTCACCACATGCTTCATACTGTTTGCTCGCTGGGATATCGGGGTGATTGCATAGTTCACTCTATATGTGAAATAATTATGATTCAACGTTTTTCACGAAATGTCTCTACTAACTTCACGTTGAGCGCAAACTTGACAACAACCACAACGATCGAGTGTTAATCCGGCGAGGCATTCTTTATCCGAGGTCTAAAATGAAAACCCCAAAAATATTATTAATTCGATTGGAAAACAAGAAAATCTGCATCCTACCAATGGGCATTTGCTCGGATCGCAGGGTTCACATGGTTTGGTCTGTTGAGCAAGAATGGCTGAATAGACAAACGTTAAAGTAAGCAATGTAAAGAGACATCGAGTAGCCATCGTCTTCTAGTGTTGTAAAAATAAAATGGTAGATATGTTGTTTGCTCTTTCTTCGTTCTTTCTCACTATCGTTGCTTGAGATATTATTTATGTCCGTTTGCGGTTATACAGGCGAGCAGCGCCGACGACGACGACGACGATATATTGACAAGTCCCTTACTAACATAGGGGAAGAGAGAGGGAGAGAAGAGAAAGCTAGTACAAGCAACTAGCGTACAGTTAGATATACAGAGAAGAGAAAAAAATACCAAGCGACATATGGTTGTATTACTACACATCTTCCAGATCTATTCCAATCTAGCATATCTATGTTTACTTATCAATCTGACCAAGGAAACTAGCGTCCTTCTTTTCTACGTTTTCTTTCCTATAGAAAAATTTGCGAGATATACAATTAATTCTTTTATCTATAGACATTTGATGGTACTGTCTTATTCCTATTGCATAAACTCTACTCCTACTCCTTTTTCTCTCTCTCTCTTTCTCGCTGTTGATATTCTCATGTACACATACACATATATATTTGCTTGCATTCAGATTATATAATAGACATATATCAGAGCAGACAGGAAGGAGATTGTGCGATGCATATGCACCAAAGAAAATGGATAGCAACGTCGATCTTGATGTTGTCCTTCAATCATTTACAGAAAACGAAGGCTAATATGATGTTGTTTAACCGGAATTGTATTCATTAAAATAGCAAAGGTCACATTCTTCTACTCGTATCCAAGAACTTCGAAAGTATTCAATGCGATTTTTAACGGTGGATTATTTTGATTCTTTCGCCTTAGCAGAACGTTCATTAAATGTTTAATTATATAAAACCTGCGTTGGATAATTGCTTTGAGCGGCATCACCTACGCATGAACTGGAGATGAATCCACAGTTTTCATATTTATCAAAGTCATCAGCTTCATCGACTTTTGTTCATAGCAACTTTGTTAACCATCGTAATTAGACAGAAAGTATAAAAGTGGATACATCTACTAATTCAACGCTTGCAAGTATTTACTCACTTTCCTTCTCCATAGTTTTACTATAAATTATGCAAATAGAATATTTATATATTTATAATTTTGCAGTGAAACTTCCGTTTTGAATAGCTAATCCAGGAAAAAGTCATGAAACTCCTGCTATAGACTATATCATAACTATGAGCCATTTTATAATCATGAATGTTAGAGATACGTGAACAAGGTATATATATATAAACTATAATTATTCAGCTATGAATTTAAAAGGTCAGTGTTTTGAATTAGCATATACTAATTCACCGACAAACAGAAGTACTCTGCTTATTCTTCCAGGTAAAGAGTAATTCGTTCTAAACTTAACGGAATTAGTTAAACAGTGTGTTTTACATGAAATTTTCTTGAATGGCAAGATAACTTAGTCGTGATCGAGCAGGATAGACTTACTCGTTTTTACATGTCGCTGTCTGCTGTCAAGGACTTGAACAGAGAATAGTCACGAGAACTCTGACGCCATAAACAATATTTATGCTCATAATCGTTGCCTAAGCGGTTTTCGTTTATATATAATCCTTATTTAACGTTAATTGAGGATTTATTTTATTTTTTATCTGATGTATAAAAAAGACGTACATGAAGGGAAAGCACATTAGTTTCCTTTAGATCTAACCTCTGGTTGAGCTTCGTTCTTAAAGCACACATCGATGTAGGCTGACTTTCGCATTCCTTTGCCAATAATCATCACAAAACCTGATCTTTCTAGGTCTTAATTAGCATAGTGAATTTTTATTCGAGTTGTGCGAGATACATAGTTAATCAAGAGTTTTTATCGACCGCCTGGGAGAGGGAAATATTGTGCCACATATTTGATGAGAATATTTCACAAGTTTCGATTGAATACTCGCCTAAGGACTACTCACTTGTATCTATAGAGTTATTTAACCTTTGAGTTCATCATTTCATCAAACAAAGTTACAAGTTTATGACTATCATTTCATTCGTAATTGAGTTATGAATTACCTTTGTTACCGGAGTTTCGATCGGTCAGTTTTGCTTTGAATGCTCTGTGGAAATGTTCTTCGAATAAACTGATTAGAGTAGATTATATATTGATATAGAAAAAAACGCCTAATTGACAATTAAAATCGAGATATCGAATAGAAACAAAAACGCTATCTCTTCTCCTACGTTCATTAAATATTTCATATTAGGAAAAATTACTCTAGTGGGAAATCATCCAACATGTATGAGTGTTAGAAAAAAACGAGTCATCCTTCAATTCTTGATAAGTTCATTGAATAAAAATATGGAGACGAGTCTTGCGAGGAAAAAAACGTGAAACTCATTTTCATCGTTTACCAATATGTCAAAATCTCACTTTATCGCATCAATGATTACATAGTTTTGAATTAATACTACATATCTATATATATACGGTAAGATGACAACGACACAGCATTCTATTAAACAGAATAATAGATCCGCATATATTAGCAATTAGTTTTCACAAAGTTTTGCTCTTTGTAATGTCTTGTGGAATAGAAGATATATCATTTCTTTTCTTTTATTAAGATGTCAACTACGTATATGGTTTCGTTCGGCCTTCTAATTTCATTGCTCGTCATTCTCTCGATTTCATCAATCACTCGTCCAGCTTGTGCTGTTTCCCATTTTAATCGCGAGAACCCAAATTATGATAGCAGCGAAGATAAGGATATTCGATTGATGATTTATCCTAAATACATGAATTTACCACGTCTTCAACGCTCATCTATCTATGGTCCTCGCACCATTCGTAATTCCTGGTTTCGTGCATCGACTTATCAACATATGAAGCCCAGTGGTTCAATCGATGAAAAACCTGCTGGAGATAATCTTTTACGATGGGGATGACTTTGATTAACGTTTAAAGGAAATATTCAATTTTTCTCTTGCTTTTTAATAAACATAAGTGACATCCAGATTGAGTCCATGTCGTGTAAGAAGGAACACGAAATTTAATAAAGAGTATATATATTTAGTCGTATATCGAAATAATGAACATATGTCATCTCAATCAATTTTGAGTTGCTCCATCACATCAACCCCCACACACTAAGCTATACTCTATTTATATGTGTATATATAATTAGAAATTAGCGTCACTATGCATGGAATAGTATTTAGTAATTGGGGGTAACAATGAATATCTATTGTACAGCAATCTTATTTCTTGCCACTTTCATGCAATTGAGTATGAGAAGAGTAACATCTTCGCCATTGGAACGCCATGCAATCGATCATAAACCAAAGAACGAAGAAACTGAGAATATCAAACAGAATCTTGTTCCATGGATATTACGACGCAATCCACCTCTATGCGATTACCGGTTACAATTTCGGCCACTCCCACTAACAACAGCTCTTTGTGGATACGGTTAGTATTGCTTCTATTCTTTCAAAGCGATCGTCGCAGCATCCTGATTTGTTTAGGACACTACGGTAAGAGTGAACAAGTAAACCATGTACATCCATTCAAATACGGTTAAGATGGGTTGGTCAATCTTTTTCCTACAAGTCGTACGAAAATAAAAATGTAGCCAAAGACTTTATTTAAATAAACAAAGACGATTCTGTCTAGTATAAATTCAATGTTGACATCAACGTTCTGAGCAGATTCTCTCGAAATCTTTGAATATTTATTCATATCTCGATTATTCGAATGCTTTCAATTTCAATATGGGTCCACTGAAAAACAAAACGAATTAAAATCTATTAAACATCAACAAAAGTTAAATAAAGAAAAAGCTGAAAGCAAAACAGAACAAAAGAAAATGTTTATCTAGGATTAAGTATATCTAAAGGAATCTTTTCATCTCGAGAGATTTTGCCGGATTTTCTATGTATAACAATGGAGATACATAGCAAAGAAAAAGGAAATCGAACAAGAAAGAACATAAATAGCCACTAAATCAGGAGAAACGAAAGTATACAAATGATTTCAGGGACGTTTGTTTTTCTTCGTAAGCATATACATACACACATACATGTATAGAAGCACTGACAAACAAAAAAAAACAAGAATGTGAGTACAACATTTGCTGAAATGAATCAGAAAAAAAGAAACAAGAAAATATGTTTTTTAGCGATCAGATCATTTCGAGATGTTGTTTTGTAGTTTTTCAAGATTGGGTATTCGGCGTTGAAGACTTCATTCGATTTGTTGATAAATCAATAGATGAGGATGCTGTGGATGATGAAGAAGCTGAAAACGGAAAGAGACGTTTTCGTGTATGAAATGGCAAATAATCCGATGGAAACTTACCTGATTTACTATGGCTGTTATTTCCACCAGCGGGTAAAGCAAATGGCCCGATGTAGTTCGGATAATTTGCATAAGAATATTCATTTCCATTCGTTGTTGGTTGTTGGGTCTGACCGTTCGGTAAGCGAGAGAGAATGTTTCTTTCGGACAGATTCAATCGCTGAGACACGGGTGGTAATCGTGCTAATGTTGCTGGCAATTTATTGATTTCTTGTTTCATATCACTTAACAATTCTTCCAATTGCGTTAATACTACAGAGAAACAAGAAGTGATAAGAATGAAAACGAAGTTAATCGAATTGAATCGTACCTTTGTTTAAAACCGCATTAGCCGGTTTGTTTCCAGCTAATGATTCTTTGGATAAATGTTGATGACATTCAGCTAAGCATTCGACTTCGCTGAAGCGTTGAGATAATGTCAATGCCGGATTCGTTTGTTCCATAGCTAGACCTAAGAATGCTGCTCGACGTAATTGTTCTTCGATAACGAGTGCTTGTTCTAAGAGTTTAAAACGACGTGCTAAAAATTTGTTTTTCATTTCTAAAAAGTTTCCTTTGGCCATCTCGGTTTTGAATGGTTCATTGATGATTGTGAATTTCGGATCGATCTGTATATCTTGCCAACGTGAATAACCGTGTGCAACAACACCTGCTAATAACCAGTAATCATGACGACGATGCCAAATATCATTTTCTTGATTTGGTTTTAATGCACGTTGTTCGTTTAACCATAGGGAATGAAGTTCAGTGAAACCACCATCAGCAATATTGAACATAAAGGTGTAATCTTTCAATTTTTCACTGCGAACATGTTGAGATTTACGATTACTACTGGAGGGTTTACTCGATTCATTCGTTGAAGCATTAGTTATTTCCGGTTTTTCATCTACAAAAGTAGTGACAATGGTGACATGAAACAAAATTCTTTTCCAAACTTCTACTTACCATTTGTTACTTTTTCATTAGTTGCTTTGCTTTCTTCATTATCTTTCATTTCAACATCATCACTTATCTCATTTTTATTATTAATTAAATCACTTAAACTCATCGATTCACCAATTAAATTACTACTTGATCCACCAGCCATAGCTTCATTCAACGGCGTTCCACTTGCTGTTTGTTCGTTTGAGTCCGTTCCTTGGATGTTTGTCGCTGAATCATTGGATGCCATACTAGTATCACTTGTTGTTTTTGCTGTTGTTGATTGTTGTTTGTTCTGATTTGTGTCATCGGTGTTATCCATCGCGTTGTTCTGTGGCATCTGTCCAGGTATTGACCATACGCCGTTGATAGTCTCGAATTCCAGAACTTTCTTTCGAATCAATGACATTATGCCAATACGTGATAGAACGTGGTGTCGAGATAGACCTTCTCGCGGCACGCCATCGGAAAAGGTTTCACTATTATCCGCGACATTTTCGCATAGATGTTTCATGAATAAGGAAACATAAGCACGAAATTCTTTTTCGGATTTGCAGCGCAAATCTCGAACTAACCATTGAGATTTAAACGCATCCGGTGGTGGTATACCGAAACGCATGATAGCATTCAGAAATGCTTTACGTTGTCGTGGATTGAAACCTAAGATTTCGATATTTGAACCTGATTTTGATATCAATGGTGGTAACGGACGGTCACGTCCAGTTTTACGTCGACGATCAGGTGTCTCGTCGAAATCGACATCTTCGTCTTCGCCAACGGCTGATTTTGCGTCGTATTCGCTGGCAATATCTGAATTATGTTCATTCCAGTTATCCTCATTAGTTGGTACAGCATAGTTGAGTTGACGTCGTATTCGTTTGCCTTTTCCATAAGCATGGCTTTCTAATTCTCGGTCCTGTTCGTATTGAACACGTAGAAGTTTCTCCCAATAGAATGGATCGAGATTTTCATCGATTGTTGGATTAGGTGGCTCTCGTAGGTCTTCTTCTTCATCGTCTTCATTTGTTTCTCGTGTACCATATGATGCAACTTTGAAACTTGAAAGATATTCATTTAATCCATCTTCTTTCTCTTGAATGCCTTCTTGTGAACGATCAAGTAATTTTTCGATAGCTGCATCGTCGTAATGAATTTTAGCACCACCACCTTCACCACCCTCACCGTTGCCCACAACTTCTTCATCGTCTTTAAATAAGTCTTCGGTGCCGAAACGTAAGATGTCATCTAATTCTTTTTTACTCATATTCGTTCCGCGACCAACGCCAGGTCGAACGACTAAATGTGTTAACATCATTTTCTTTTTCGCAACTTGAGTAATACGTTCTTCGACAGAATCACGAGTAACAAAACGATAGATCATTACTTTGTTCTGTTGACCAATACGATGAGCACGGGAAAGAGCCTAGAACATAAGAAAAGTCAGATGTATATGTCCGAAGCAGCATCTGATGATCTCAGTGATCTGTAAACGTTATTTGGCGGAACGAGTTATGAATTTAGCTCGCACAGGTTTTAAACGTCTGTGAAAAGTTTCCTGTTTCCTAATTTATTTGTAAAACTCAATAACAGTTATATAATTTGCAACTATTATCGAGCCCGATTAGGACGAGATGAATATATATTATTAGAATTCATTCTTTCCTCCTTTCTTACTTGAATATCATTGTGTGGATTCCAATCGCTATCGTAGATAATAACTGTATCAGCTGTAGCTAAATTTATACCCAAACCACCAGAGCGTGTGGAAAGTAGAAAACAAAATTGTTCAGCACCAGGTGCATTAAAACGATCAATAGCATCTTGTCTTTCAGAACCAGCTGTCTTGCCGTCCATGCGTTCGTATTTATAACCTAGATATTCGAGGAAATCTTCGAGAATATCCAGCATTCGAGTCATTTGCGAAAAGATCAATACACGGTGTCCTTGTTCTTTTAATTTCTTTAGCATTTTGGCTAATAGATCCAATTTTCCACTAGCTTTGATCAATGCTGTGCCTTCATAAGCTAAATTAGGAGTACGTGGCGCTTCGAAATGTCCAGCTGGTAATAAATACGGATGATTTGAACACTTCTTCAATTCCATGACAATGTTTAATAGGGAAACTTGTGCACCACCACCTTTGACATTTAGAGCATCGAAATTTTTTGTTAATATCGCTCGGTAATATTTCTTTTGTACAGGACTTAGTTCGACTCGAACGATGAATTCCGATTTCGACGGCATGTTTTTCAATACATCTGCTTTCAAACGACGCAGCATGTGTGAGCCGAGTATGTCGTGTAATTTTGCCACTTGTTCATCTTTTGCTAAGTCACTGAATTCTCGAAGGAAACCGTCCATATCACTGAATTTATCAGGTTTTAAAAAGTTAAGCAGATGATAAAGTTCTTCGAGATTATTTTGCAACGGTGTACCAGTCAGAAGAACCTTATATCCGATGCTGAATTCAAATAGTGTTCGAAAGAATTTCGATTGATTATTTTTTAATCGATGTGCTTCGTCAATAACTAAGACAGCCCAGTCGACCGATGAAAGTGTTGCTGAATCAACGCTAACTAATTCGTAAGAAGTGAGTAATGCATGAAATTTCACTTTGGCACCACTGCGTACACGGCTTGCACGTGGGCCAGCACGGATAGCATCATCTGAAACGAATAACTTTCTCGTCGAAATCGATTTCGTCAATGTCAAAATTACCTTCGAAGGAGAACTCATGTTTACGAATAATGGATCTTGCCTCTTTATCCCCAGTGTATGTAACAACGTACATATCTGGCGCCCAGAATTCGAATTCTCGTTCCCAATTGATAATTGTTGCTAGTGGTGCACTGATAAGAAAAGGTCCTCGTGAGAGTCCTTCTTTGAGTAGTGCTTGTAAGAAGACAATCGTTTGAATGGTTTTTCCTAGACCCATTTCATCAGCAAGAATAACATCGGTTTTTTGTGAAAAAGAAAATCGCAGCCAATTTAAGCCTTCTAATTGATATGGATGAAGTGTACCACCAGTTGCATCAATGAAATCAGGTTGCTTTTCATAACGTTTGCGTGGCGGTGGATATTTTCCTGAACGTTCAGATTCATCGCCTGAATCGCCATTCCAGTCAGTTGATCGAGTTTCTTCAAGTTCTCGATTCGAACGGCGAGTCACTTTCGATGAGCTCGCTTTTTTCTTCTTCTTTTCATCAGCATCAGCACCATTTCTGAATAGAATATGAACAAGTAAATGACGCTTGTTTTCTTTATCGGCTTACCTTAATTTCCAATAGTTATCAATATGTTGTTGCCAATTGTCAATCAAATCTGTGTAGTCACCGTCTTTCTCCACTTCCCATGTCGCTTGTTCATAGCCTAATTCTCTCCATTTGACCAGATAGTACATCGGCGTTCCTTTTTCTTTCTGATGATTTAATATACGATGTACACAGAGCCATTCTGGTCGAATACCGTTTTTATAGTATCTTTGTTCAAGCTTTGGATTGTAATAACGTCGTGATACTTCATCGTCAACGTCTTCACCTTCACCTTCACCATCCATATCAATGGTCGGCTGTGGTTGCTTAGCATCACCTATCTTTTTAATATAGCTTCGCCATAAAGCTGACTGATGAACTTCCACCTGTAATTCAGGCAACCACTCGCAAGCCCAGTACGACAAACCGTCGTATTTAACAAATAATTCTCTTGTTTTGAATGGACCACGTGTAGTACCTGGTGGTAGATTGGGATCTATTAGTGGAACAAGACGTTGTGTAACATCAGCGCCGGTTTCTGCTCCTTCAGCTGGCGGAACTGCATCGATAGCAGTTGTTGTTGTTATAGTTCGCTTTTCGATGATTGTTGTCGTAGTTGTAGCTGATTCACCATTCTCATCGGCTTTGATAGTTTCGGATGTTGTCGTATTTGTTGTTACGGACGAATGAGAATCTGGATGAGTTACCCAACGCCACGTAATAATCTTTTTCACCACATTCGGTGGTGGTTCAATCTTAAAACAAAATATTATGATAAGACGTTTCCAGTTAGAGGTACTCACAGTGCATCGTGGACAGAACCAATCATCTTCAGGAATAACTGTCATTGGCGGTATGAGACAATGCATATGATATGAAGATGGACATCGATCACAACATAATAATTCCCCACCGTCACGACAAACTCGACAGTATTCCATATGATTGTCCTCTTCTTCTTTCGCTTGCCGAGCAGCCGCAGAAGCTGCTGCTTGTCTCGATTGGATCGTAATGCCGTTTTTCGTACATTCTGGACATGACCAATCTCCTTCGGGTGCTTGCTCAAGCTCAGGATCAAGACAAACAAGATGATAAGCTTTCGGACAAGTATCACAAAGAATAATTTCTCCACCTTGCTGACAAACTTCACAATAATCCTGATGGTCAGTTTCATAACCAGCTTGTTCAAGTGGAACATTTGTCATTTCTTCTGCAGTTGTTTGCTGTCGACGATTATTTAATCGGGCGATGCGTTTTGGTGGTTTAGGTGGTTTTTTGACACGTTTCTTTTTCGGTACTTCCTCTTCTTCATTCATTTCGCTTTGAACAAGCATGGCTTCGAATTCAGCATCCGACTCATTCGATGGATCGTCATCATCACGTCGTTTACGTTTTCGTGCTCGACTGGATTTTTTTACTGGTTTGATTTCGTCTTCATCGTTATTCAACGATGAATTCATCTGTTCTTTGGCTGCCAATGTCGCTACTTGGTCTTTGTGCAATTTGATTTTGACTGGAAGTACTTTTTTATTTGTATTTGCATTTTTGCGCGATGATGAACTGGCCACTGCTGGACTATTATCGTCGTCATCTTGTTGATCATTGTTATCATCGGGATCAACTTCGTCTTGTATAACTGCTCGACGACGACGAGAACGACTTGACGATGGTGTAGATGTTGCCATCGAACGTGATTCATCAGTTTCCATATGATCATTTCCTTCAAAGTCGTTATGCGAGTCAGTCAATGTGTTATTCGATATGGTTTGTGAACTCTTCTTTTCTAGAAATTCACGCCAATAGGCAGCCATCAACGTCATCATTTTTTGCGTGGCTAATCTCGGATAGCGGCTATTGAGGATTGGACGTATGTTTTGAGAATATAGTTTGAAAGTTGATAAGTTAACATAGTCATTATCGGTATATTTGATCGATTCGTATTCAATGCCGAGCTCTTCGCAAACATCTCGGGCAGATTTCTGATCCTAGTTAATCGTAAAATTCTTTTAGATAAACAAAACAAAGCGAATGAAAACGCCCTACTTTCGATTTTTTAGTTGTAGTATCTTCATTTGAAGTCATCGCATTCGTCTCATCAGACATAGTGATAATCAATCTTATCCGCTTCTGTTTATTAGTTGACTATCATCTAAAGTAATTTTTAGAGAAATGAAAATAATCAACAAAAACAAAAGTACAACACCACCCACACACGAAAAATTTGTCCTCCCATCTTGCTTTTTTTTCCGTTCTTTCCTCTATACTGCCGTCTGTTTATTAATGATGATGAGTTAACTGACATTAATTGAACTCCTTCTATCGTGGCAGAAATACTACTAGCCAAAGATGTCATCAGTAAAGCGCGACATGTCGACGATTTTTCTCGATGCATGTAGCGACAGTTGGACATACAATTTAATACGTCCAATGAATGTTTGACATGACAATCGCAATAGATAGCGCTCGAATACTAGTTAAGATATTGATTTTAATTTGGAGAAAAGTCTAGAGAAAGTATTTTTTGTTATCTTACGTCATATCTCATTTGAATCATTCGAACGTGTTTTCATTCGACCGTTGTTTAATTATTAGAGATATTCAAAAAGAAATATGTTAACGCCTAAATGCATGCACTTCACTACTCTATCGACCCTTAGTTATATTTGTATCATGGTAATGATAAAAAATCTAATAGAAACAGAAGAGAGAAGAAAGAAAGAAAGATTAACAATACCTATTAGAAATTTGTTACTGCTACATGCCCGAAAGCTGTTTATCACCTAGAACAGCAAACTATGCGAAAGAATGTGCATTTGAAATTTTTGGCAAGGAATCAGACCGAATTCTCTCAATGACTTATCGTACGAACAATCAGAATTGCGTTCTACGATGGTCAAACTTGAAAGCAATTGAATTTCAACATTTGATTGCAATCATGCAAGTGAAAATGATTTTTTTCTCGAAAGTTACTTTACTTTGCGCTTTCATTAATTATTCATGAACTCTGAAATCGGATTCTCTTTTGAATTACAAGAGCTTTGTAAAGAAACTTTTGTTTCTTTGTTTGCGGATCAAACTACTGAAGCTTACCATAGATAATTTCATTTTTTCATTTGCCTTTTGATCTCATCCCTTTCAAATAATCTCTCATGAGAAAGGTGTTTCAGTTTGCTTTGATAAAACCTTTGAAATCAAAATTCTGTACGTAGCACTTGTGTCGTCGTATGTCATCGCTAGAGTAGTGGTTCAAACAACTATTAACAAAAGAATCATTTGATAAAGTTCGGATATCTTACGGCATATGTGAGAAGCAAACGAAACTATCGTTAGCAAGGACAGGAGATAAACTGCACTTGATCAGAGTATAATACCATTCTCATTCGACTTATCTATCCTTCAATATATTTGAATTGTTTTCTAGAAGGTCTGCTCTGAGTACCATATTGACAGTCGCAGATGCAATGATAACGTGATCCTTCAGTATACTGTTTCGAACATTCCACTATCGTTGTCATGTTCTTTTTTTTTATTTCCGTCAGAGACAACCCAACAGAACGGAGTCATTTAGCCTGACCGAAACTAAATACATATTCGCGTTCTTTGACAGTTACCAAGAACGACATAATTTAAATAGTTTTTCTTTCTATTAGTCATCTGAAACTGACTGACAGAAGTAGAAGATAAATAATTCCTTCAGTGGCATGCCACATTAGTTTACTTCTATAGATTATATGCACTATTAATCATCATTAATGCAGATGCTCATCATCGGAGTTACTACTCTGAGGTTCTTCGATATGAGTATGATCCAGTACTCTCTGAACAGGGAAATTGTTGGCTTCCTCAACAAATAATTTGAAACGCACTGCTAATGTACTTGTTGCTCTCATAGATCACTGCCAATACGCATCAATGTCAAAAATGTTTGCTTCTGCAAACTATTTCCGTTTCAGATATCAAGTCAATTGACATTTTTCATTTGAGTCTTGTGTCATCTTTGGTCTATGGGTGCATGAGTTATCAAGCTGACCTTAATCGAGACTTTTATTAATGTGCAGTGATAGAAACATCACAATATGTTCATTCATTCGTCCTTCCTAGCAAGATGAGGAATATCTATTAACAAAAATTTTTAGGCTGAAAACATCTATTAGACAGTACTCTCCATTCGATCAAGGGCTTCGTCTTGATCGCCTCCTTGAGAATTAATTAGTTTTTGTTTTTGTGATAGTTCAATGTAACTATTTCCGGTTGACATTGTTGTTGAGGTTATATCGAGACAGTTTTCTTGATGATTATCATCGATAGTTGTTGCCTGCTGCGATTGTTGGTATTGTTTTTCCAAATCGGTTTTCGTGATTCGCCGATGATTTGTACCGTTCGTTGTTGAACGTGCAAATTTGAAGTATTTTCGAAATGGTGTTTGCTGAAGAATCTCGCTAATCACTTGATAGACTTCTTGACGGAATTTCTTTCCCGTTAGAAAATAAATATAGAATTCCAGAACTGTGTCGATCAGTGTTAGCATACGCAGAATCAGGTAAACGTTCGAAGTTTTGATATCTTCGCTAAAACCGGGACGGTTGATACGATAACTGGATTTCACATAAACATAAGTACTTGCGATGCTATTGGTCGTTAGAAACACACAGCTGGTTGTTAAAGTAATCGTTGTTTCATAACTAACATCCTTCTTTGTTATGTGTGCTGGTCTCGGAGTTGATGCGTCTGAAGATGGAACATCCTTCGATGAAGATAATTGTTTGCGCTCACGAATCGAATTGATTTGAGTTAAACGGTCAGGTGATGGGCTTTTTAGTACGCGAACGATAATAATGATGTTGGTTAAAGCGACAATCCCAAACGGAATCAATGATGTGACAATAAAGTTAACTACTGGAGCATTGTATGATAATTCTCCCATGGATTGAAAGCCACCATAAGAAAAATAGCCCATTTGCCGTCCAAATATAATATTACAATAGGTAAATGTACTATTTTTATAGTCAGTATTTGTAGTATCTACAAGATCAGGATAATAGAAAAGATGCCAATTGTACAAAACGCCACATAACATCATTAGTAGGATAATCGCAGAAACATGACGAGGTGTGGGTTGTGGTAAGAATCTTGAATGTACAATCGTGCAAAGACGTATGACACCAGCAAGGATGACGAAGCCGACTGACCAGGAGACGAAGATATCGCTGCTCCGGGATAGGATGCATATAACTCTTGATGCATTCAATTGTTCGTCTTGAACGAATAGTTTAGTTTCGAATATAAATGCCCAGAGCAAAGGAACAAAGTCGAAGATTGTCTTCAATAGTAATAATAAACCAGTCGATGTACCCCGAAGCTAAAACAAGAAAAGAGAATCATTTATCTCGATCAAGAAGAGAAAGAAAGTAGGTTCAGACCGGTTTTCGTAGAAAGATAATACAATTGAAGACTTTGCCAAACAAACCAAATGTGATGAGAACAATAGATATGGTTTGAACTATTTGTGCGTATCTAATAAAGCGAAGAATAGTTCTTGTCAATCATATTTACATTGTGAATGAATCTTATTCTTTCGCTGTTCAGTTTCGTGAGAAGGGGCAAATCTTTTGATTACAATTGTACTTAGTTTTCATTATCATCAAGTAAGAAAATCGTCTCTCGTTAGTCATTAGAATTGAATGTCGTGCGACAGCTGTAATAGTATTATGTCCGATCGCGTGTTTATGCGCATATAAATGATCTAGATATGTTTCTATCAAAAACAAATTCCATTGAAACAAAAGATTTGTCTTAGTTCTTCTTTAGCTTAATGTTTATTCGATCTAATTCGTATATGATTAAGTCAATACTCAAATATCTTGATATCATTCCCCGTTGGTTTCCTTCTGTTTCTGCTTTTTTTCATCGCCTAGACCGTTTTATGTGAGAAACATTTGTGACCTGAGAAAATATGTTGTTTATGTATCAGTGCGATTCGAGGTGTCAGATGTATATTTCTCAATCACTAAGCCTACGTCAATCTCTACCGAACATATAAATACATAAGTGAAAAATCCAATCTCTGTTAATACATTTATCAATCGTCAAACAAATCTAAACAATAGCTTTCTCCCCTTTTATTCCCATAAGACGATCTAATCTGATTGATGATCAATATTTTATTTTATATATACTTCTCTGCTGTGTTTTGAAGAAAGATTGTTTGTCTTTGAGAGCATTGGTTTATACATCCAATATCATACAAATCGTTTCCAACGCGTGCGCCACTTGTATTCGCATTTTGACATGATGCAAGACAACGAACAATATCCTCACTCATTTAGTCAATCAAGTTCATCGTAGAAGAAAATGCCGAGTAATAATCTAGAAAACGAAACGTAGCAGCATGAGAATATTTAGATCTAAACTTCTAAAGAAGGATAAAGCAAAACCAAATCTGAAGATTTTACTTTTCATAAAAGAAGATTTATCTCTATGACGTATGCATACTTATTAATAATCGTGTTTCAAATCCAACAATTCTTCTTTTTCTCCTTTCTCTCTCTTGTGCTCTCTACAAATGGATAAAAAGGAAACATTGACTTACAAGAAACAAACAAGACTATGAAAGAGAAAGAGAAGAGAGCAAAAGAAGAAGAAATCGTTCTCGAATGTAGGGCTTTCATTTACCCCATAATCATAATGACAAAAATCAATATAATCTGTTGTTAAAGATCAGTTGTAACTAATTTGTTAACTAGCACGTTTCAAAGCTAATTTTGACGTAGTGACAAACGCTAATGCAAAGATGACTATAATGATTGATGTCGATTTTTGGGCAACAATGCACTCGGTGAGAGTCTATGGTACTACTATTTTAACGAATCTCTTTTTTGTATATGAAAAAGTAGAAAGAGAAAACGGAAATACGTTTGAATAACTTTTCCAGAGTTGTTGGTAGTTAACAGCAAGATCTTTCAGTAAGTTTTGTTATTATTTCTAACATATCGCTGGTAAACAACAATAGTACTGACGATAAAGAAGAAAAATGACTTCTTCCTATTACTGACTGATTATAAAGTCATGTCAATGTTAGAAGAAATGCTTACAACGTGTGAAGAGAGATCACTAATACACATATAAAGATGTCAGACACAAGTCACTTTCGATCTAACCTGATTAAACACAAAATGATTCAATTATCCATCATCAACATATTTGCCTATAGAAACAGAATAATCAACAAATTCATTTTCACTCACTTAGAACTCTAGTAAGAAGAAACTCAGACGATCTTGTTTTTCTCTCGGATCTTCTAATCATATTCTTAGATCTGATCTTGAAAAGTATCTGTCATTTTCAAAATATGCTCTTATGTCGGCTGAGATTTTGGTTCAGTTTCTATGAACAAATGCAACATTCACTACATAAACCATCAGAAAAACAAGCGAGATGTCATGTGTCATTGATTGAAGATTCGTCTGATAAAGAAGAAGTTGATTAGTCTCGTGAAGCATACTAAACTATTTTTCCTGAAGGATGAAAAGAAGAGCTGTTCATACATATTCATACGATCAACTTCGACAACAATGATGAAGAACTACCTGCGCCAGTTCTACTTGATCCTGGAAGTTCAATCAGGAAAGATTTGCCTGAGACAAACTAGAATATCAAAATACATCGCAGGCGTTTGCTTTTCGTCGTACTATCTAGTAAGTAAATCAATGTTGCAGACGCAGAGAGGAAGATAGAGAGAGAAAAGCTTCGGATGAATGACTTGTTTTCTCTTCTTTTATCTTCGGTGGAAAAAGTTTTTTTTTTTATAATTAATGAAAACTCACCTTCTCAAACTATTTTTGATGAATAGATTATGTTAAGCTTTGTGTAATCTCACTGATTCTCTGCTCTTCTGAACAGAAACATTTATAATATAATCTGTGCTTTTCCTGTTTTATTATGATTCGAGAAAATGAAAAGGAAATTCTATTAATAATGGTTTTTTCTTTTTTCGTAGGAGAAGTTTCTCACTTCATTCACAAAGAAAAACCAATTGTCTAATGTAACCGAGTGAAGACACTTATAATCAGTCGTTTATCAAGGTCTTCTGTTTCTTCATTTTGTTTAATCTATTCTCTTACAAGTCTAACTCGAGAATAAGGGAGCAGTAAATCTCAATAAAAGATTCCCTTCACTATTTTGGTTAAGTGCATTCTATCGCAGTCGTGTATAGTCCTACAAACAACAGTGACTAGGAAGAAAAGAGAGAAGAGAGGGAGAGAGGAAAAAATGTCGCATTTTTCTATCTCTGCATAGAATTGTTTTCGGTCGTCATCTATTATAATTATTACTATTGTTGTATTGCCGTGAGAGAATCTCTCTGTCTTGTTTCTAATAATAGGGTAAACAGATAATAATTCATCATTATTTCAATTGTTGATAATCGTTGCATGAAAAGAAGCCGTTGAATACAATGGAATATATTCAGATTTATGTTTTATTCAAATAAATATTGTTGATTGATGTGTGCACGAATACGACATAAAAACGTCAATTACAAAACAAGGTTGACTAGAATTTTCGTTAAGTCTGAGCGAGAAAAGATATACAGAAATAAGAATTGAGAGAAAAAGAAAAGAGAACGAAAGAAAGATTCTAATCCGTAGATGAGTACTGTTCATTGTCAGTTGACGATGAAACTGAAAATACGCAGATCGCATTCACAATTAAGCCCACACCTAAACGCATGATAAATAGGATTTTGATGATGATAGACAGAGAATCTCACTCGAATTGTACAATCCCAAGAGCCAGTCCCAAGTGCGGTACCATCCGGCGACACTTTCAATGAACTCACACGATTTTCATGTCCATATAATGTTGCTACTCGTGATCCTTTCAACGTATCCCAAACGTTAACGCAGTAATCACTGTAACCGCCAAAGAGAAGTCGTCCTACATGCAATTAAGAAATGTAGTTATAACCGAATAGAATATTCATTGAACCTCTGTTTACCACTCAACGAAAAATCGACCGCATTGCACGAGAAAATAATTGATTCTTTTTTAAATATAGCTACTTGTCGATCAGCTCGTAAATCGAATAAACGACACTAGTCGAACGAAAAAACAAAAGAATGGTAATGTGGAGAAAAACAAATCTATTTTCTTCTTTTCATTACGGTGGCATCATCTGATGCTGAAACAAATGCGTCGCCACTGGGATAGAATCGAACGGCATTCACGTCTGATTCATGACCTTCGAATGTCTGAACATAGGCACCAGTTCGAATATCCCAGACCATTGCTATATGATCAGAGCTCTACAAAAACAGACAATAAAAACAAAAGAAAGGCATATAAACATTCACATTACTCCTGATACGAAAATATTTCCGGCCTCAGATGGCGATATATCAATACCCATGACATCAGCTTGGTGGCCTTGGAATGTTTGAATGGCGACGCTACTTTCAATATCCCATAATTTCGCTGTGCTATCGCCACTTGCTGTTAAAAGCTAAAATAGAACATAGGTTGACATTTTTCTTTTCAAAACTTCTCCGGGGATGTCTGGGTCAAACATATAAGTTGCTACATCAAAAACTTGAGGGTGCATAACATCATCTATGTGAAACGTTTCGACAACGATTACCTGCTGATCTGAATGCATGAATTTGCATGATGATATGTAGTTCGCATGTGTTGCCACCACCTTCTTGTGTTTATTGGAGTCATCATCAGCCGATAGTGGATACAATGTTAATTTATTATCCAGTCCTCTACAAATTCAATCAGATAGTGACCTAGTTCTGTCTAAGACATTCTATTCTTGATGAAGTTTACCCGCAAGCAACCGTAGTTGCTGAAGGAGAATAGGCACAAGCTAATACCCATGTCGTTGGCATCGTAATGGCATGCTACAAGGAAAATGATCAGCAAAAAGCAACTTTTGAATTTTTGATATGCACTTCTTTATTCGTTGTGAATGCGTCCCAGACAATCAATTTGCCGTCTTGAGATGTACTAACCATGTGTCGTTTGTCATTGGACCAATCTAATGCTAAAACTTTGCCTTGATGACCTTTTAAAATTCGTCGTGATTTGGTCGCAAACGGCGGTAGAGCATCAAGTTTTTCAGCAATGGTCGTTACTAAGACGGAATTAACATAAGAACAAATTAAAAATAATTAACAAGGTAATTATTTACATTCCATATCATTAAATTTCGCTCGCTCTTCTTCGAGCCGAGACTTTAATGAATCGGCTTCACGAACAAGATCATCAATTGATTCAGTTGCGTTACGTTCAATAACCATGGCCATGATTTGTGAAGAATAATCTAATGAGAAGAAAAACAACTGATCTTCTTCACGATTCCATACTTTATTCTATGGAATCTGACAGCGAACCGACATAAGCGTTGTCAAGTATGGCGATAACAACATGCAATAGAGAACAGAATAGAATCGAATCAACTATTCATTCTATCTATCCACTATGGACAAGCCACAGATTATTTTACACAGCCAAAAATCAGTCAATTATACTGTATTCGATGTGAAATGGATTCCAACATCGGCTAAATTCATCTCTCTAGGCAATCATGCACGTGGAACAGGTGCTTTGGATATATTTGAAATTACACATGGCGATATTGCTGTCGTTTCACAAGTAAACAAAACGAAGGCGACAGCAAATCTGAGTTCAAATTGTCATGTTTATTTAGTATGAAAAACCGTCAGCTTTCAAATGTGGAACGTTTGGAGCATCACCAACACGTGAAAAACGACATTTAGCGACGGGAAATTTCGATGGTTATATTCAAGTTTGGTAAAACAAGCGTACGAATGTAATTTTATTCTTACTACTATCACATATTTCTAGGGATTTAGAAAAAATTGAAAGTCCGATTTATTCGGTCAAAGGTCATAAAGAAATCATCAATGCAATCGATGCTGTCGGTGGATTAGGAATTGGTCAAGGTGCACCAGAAATTGCGACTGCTAGCCGAGATGGTAAGATATTCATTGATCGATTTTTGTATGCGCGAATATTTTAATAGGAAGTGTCCATATCTGGGATACAAGACAAGCACATGCGGCTGTCGCTAGTATGGAACCAGCCGAAGGTGAAACCAAACGTGATTGTTGGGCAGTTTGTTTTGGCAATGCGTTCAGTTCCAGTGAACGTGTTGTCTGCGCTGGTTATGATAATGGGGATGTAAAATTATTCGACTTGAGATCGATGTCTCTTCGATGGGAAACAAATATAAAAAATGGAGTACAGTTATTAATGATTCGAAAAAGAAACCACTATTTTTTGACTGATTTAGGTATGTTGCTTAGAGTTTGATCGAAAAGACATCGAAATGAATAAATTGGTTGCAACAACGTTGGAAAGTAAAATTCATGTATTCGATATGAGAACACAACACCAAGAAAAGGGTTTTGCATCTGTAGTAGAAAAAGTAAATCACTCGAATTGAAATTTTTGTTCTAATCGTTTGTATCTTCAAGGCTCATAACTCGACTGTCTGGATTGGTCGACATTTACCACAAAATCGCGATGTATTCATGACATGTGGTGGTTCAGGATCTTACTATCTATGGAAATAGTGCGTAGAAACTATTCAGATCTCAACATGAGTCTCTTTTTTCTATTTAGTAATTATCCAGAGAAACGAACAATGACTGAAACTGATAAAACGGAAGTTGGTGTTGCGGGTACACTGACACTGCTACAGAATATTGGCTTATCCAGTCAACCGGCGAGCGCATTCGATTGGAGTTTAGATAAGACAGGTTTAGCTTGCACATCAGCATTTGACCAAACTGTTCGTGTGTTGATCACGACTAAACTCAACTCTATTTAATCGTGTATCTTCTGTGTATTTTCGCCTTATTACGCTTTATTACTTTCTCACGTATGATGAACATCACCTTCTCTTCTGGTTGTTTTCATTTATTCACATGGTTAGTTTTTATAATGTTTTCCGTTTTTTTTTTGTTTTATTTCAAACGAGACAAAAGAAAAAGAACGAATAAAGAAAAAGAGAAAAACAAAACGAAAATCCTTAGTTGTTTTACGCGATTCTGATCAATCTTATTACCAATATGTAGAATTAGAATAAAATCTTCTCAGTCATAGAATGAAGATGGTTAAACATATACACATGAAATCGGACACAAAAGAAAACACACGCACACTCATACATATATATAGAAATCATATGAGCGAGTTTAATACTGTCTACGGATGATGGCAGACAATAAAATAAACAGATACACAGCAAGAAAAGAAAAAGAAAAGTTAAAACATAACACCGGAAAGAAAAACAAAGTCTTTTTTTCTAGTTTGAATGATAGAGATGAATACAAGAACAACGTCAGTAAAAGAAACAAGGCTTTATTCTCAAATGCAAGACAAGAAAGATGAAGTTTAGGAAAATGGGAAACGAAAGAAAAAGAAACAAGAAACAAAACTCGTCTATTGTTGTCTAGAATCACCAGTTGCTGATGACTGATTTGTTTGTTCGTCTACTGTTGGTTTGTTTTGTTGACGTTGAGTATCACCGGCTGCATTTGATTCTTCGTTTTTACCTTCTTCACTGTTATTTTGTTGATCATCCTGAGGCTGTTGATTTTCTTTGTTGCCTCCTAGAGAAACAAGGAAAAAAGAGCGATCAGGATAACTTCATCTATATATGTATTTACCTCGTTGACGGAAGCGTCCTCGACCACGTCCACCACGGCCGCGACCTTCAAAGTACAAAACGACAGTTAACATTCATCGTTGCTTTTGAACAAACTTACCACGACCGCGAAATCCTCGTCCACCGTAACCGTAGTAATTTCCATAGTAATATGGTGTCATACCATATGGATCAAGATAGCCTAATAGAAACTCGAAGTTGAGGAATGAGAAGTATATTGAGCATGTATTTTACCTGGTTCTATGAAGTAACCACCAGTGGAATAACCACCGCGGCGATTTCGGCCACGTCGTGTGAAGTGTGTTTGTGATTGATCGACATTGCCATTATCTTGATTATCTTGTTGATTATCATTGTTTGCACCGCCTTCTTTGTTGTTAGTTCGACTGCGTCGACGATTTCTTGGTGCTAGACGACGAGCGACTTTGATAACCATTTTACGAACAACACTTTTCACTATGGCTTCGTCATCTTTTGGTTTTGGAGGTTGTCCTGAATAGATACAAATCTCAAAATGTGTGCAAAGCAAGATCTTGTAAGTTACATACGTTCTTCATTTTCTGCTCCACTATGACTAGCATTTGTATTGCGACGTCGCCTATGAACGGAAAATAAAGAAATGACGAACGACACAGATTAGTCTGGTAGACTTGCCGACGATCAGATCGTTTGCTTTGTTGACGGCCAGATCCTTTATTTTCATCTTGCTGTTGATCATCAGTGGCAGCGCTAGAGATTAACCGTTTAGTATGTCAAATTTAACACCGACGCGAACAAATGTTTTACCCATCATGTTGCTGTTCGGCACCAGAATTTTCGTCATTATTCTGTCTACGACGTTGTCGACGATTGGAATTTCGTCGTCGTCTGTTATTATTTTCACTATTTCCACCATGTTGTTGTTGATCAGTATTATTTTCATCTTGATTATTATTATCAGCACTATAACGAAAGGAACAGAGTAAGCTTAATCAAACTGTCTTTCGAGTAGAAAAAAAGCAAACTTTTCGTCATTTGGATCTTGTCTTCGTGCTGAACCACGAGGTCGACCACGGCCGCGGCCACGGCCACGGCCACGTCGAGAACCTCGAAAATTGCGTACTGGAAAATCATTCAAAACGTCTTGTTCTGAGTAATCACCGCCCGATGGGCCGAACCCACGCCGATGCATTGGTGGACCGTAGTATCCTGTTGTAATCGAGCAATGTTAGTTTCTTTTTCAAATACGGAATACTCGATACCTACCGCCTGATTGTGGTGGTCCATAGTTTCCTCCTTGTCCATTCATATAATTTGAATAAGGTGAGTAAGCTCCACCGAAATTGCCATAAAATGGTCTACCACGCATGAAGCGTCCTCGGCCTATATTCAAAAGAATATCCTTGAATCAAACAATCAGTAACAACAGTCTACGCTTGTTTACCTCGGCCACGTCGAAAACCACCTCTCCGTCCACCGTATCCACGACCTATAAAGCAATAAACTGATAATGAACTTTGCTTTCGATGTTTCATACCACGAAAATTGTTCATGTAATCATTATCTTGGTTGTTATTATCATCAGAATTATTTGATCGTTGTGTGTCATCGTCATTCGATTGACGATTTTCGTCTTCACCTAGATCTTGATTTTGACGTCCACTACCTATCAGAAAATCAATTTATGCACATGCCCGAGAAAACAGAAGAGTTCGTACCACCCGGTCGTTTACGATAGAAATGTCGTGCACGGTGCTGATAGGGCTGTTGAGGGTGTTGTACTGGCCCTCGGCTGTCATCATCCGCTTGAGCATCAGGATTTCGTTGACTATACATGGAATATATCTAGAATAGAGTTGCTTGAAGAATATTTTTCTGCTTCTATCAAGACAAAGGAACATGATTATAGCAAAAAATGTTTGGCGCGATAAATCGAGTCGTGCGTAGATTGTCTGGTGAATATGTACGCGTGCGAACAAATGAAAGGAAAACATATATAGATCTTGGTTGCCTCCACTTGTCCATATTAAGCGAACCGGTTATATAACGAGGGATGACTATATATATATATATATATATATATATATTTTCCTTCTTTCTTCGTTTCTACAAGTGTTCAGAGAAAAACGTGGACGGGAGAAATGGATAAATACGGATTTTTCTTATGCGTCCCGTCATGTATCTGTCGATGTATCGTTCTTTATATGTGTATCTGTCGGTGGAGAAAAAGAAGAGAAGAAAAGGAAAAGAATCGATGAAATCCGATATTCTGCTCTTTGACTGTTGTTTATAGTTAGGAATGATAAACCGATATTCAAAGAAAACAAAAGATCGTCTTTTAGAAATTTTATGTTCATTAACAAGCCAAACATAAACATGAGAAACTTTAAAAGAAAACAAACACAGCACCGGTATGTATAGTAAACAAATACGAAGTGCAAATGATCGTGTCAAACCGGTTCAGGACCAATAATTTTAGACATATATGGTCCATCAAGCTCATAACCCAGTTTACGATAGTAGTTTCTTGTTCCAACACCTGATATAACACTTATTTTCCACGAACCGTGCTCTTCCAAAGCGATTCGTTCTGCTTCTTCCATTAACAACATACCATAACCCTATAAGTAGAAGAATTCATTGCAAAAGAGACTGTCAGATTTCAGAAATATTTCGTTTTTCATACTTGATGCTGGAATTTTGATGGATCTTTCGCATGTACAGGCACGACACTACCGTACACATGTAATTCTCTAACAATCGAAACTTGTCCTCGTTTCAATTCAGGACGGAACGTTTCGTTGGTACATTTTCTTAAACGTAATAGTCCAATCAAAATATCCTGTTCAGGATCTTCGTACGCTAAGAATGTTTCCCATCCGTCATTGGCAACGTAGTCTCGTCGGATGAGCTCAACTTGTTCAGGTTTGATTCTATTATGAATCTCTTGTATACCGACTTCACGTGTGCGAACATCCCGACATTCCAAATTCAGGTCACGCATACGCGCAAGAGCATGTTCACGTAAGTTACCATGCTCGACACCGGATGTTACTAATGGCATTGGTATGTCACGTTGAACACGATAAACACGAGTCCATGGAGGAACAAGTGCGAGAATACGAGCAACTAAATCAACAAGCACTGAGGGAGAATAACTTGCGTAACGATTGGTTCGCCATAATTCATATAGACCTTAAGTAACAGCAAAGTGATGGAAGAATTCATTAATAATACAATGAAAGTTTACCAGTGCCTCGAATGACAAGTGTAGGATAGAGTTTTAAACCATCTGGACGAAACTCGGGATTTTCGAAAAATTCCTTAATAGAGTTCGAGATGAACGAAACATGAAAAATAGATGATCATAGAAATTACTTTGAATTGAGCAAGATCACGTTCGAGATCAACGTTCGGTAGATTAGGCATCATATGTGAAACAACTTTGAATCCAGAATCTTTCGCCATTCGAAATGATTCAGTCACTGCTTTAACTGTATGTCCTCTGAAAATTATAAGATCATGAAAGAGATGCTCGGTGAAGTAGAATAAAAAAAAACAAACCTATTCGTATCTCTGGCAACATCTTCATAAACACTCTGAACACCAACTTCAAGACGTGTGCATCCGTATGCTAACATATCACTGTAAAATCAACAAATGAACAACTATACTTTCAAACGACTGTCATTTCGTACCTTAGATGAACTTTGAGGCAATAATCTGGTCGAGTTTCAATTGTAATACCAATGCATTTCGTTTTACTACATTCGGAATATCTATTCAAAGTTCAAAACGCATATTTTCTTCATCGAAAATGTTCAGAAAACGCCTTACTTAACAGCTTCGGTTACATTACTACTCGTATGACCTGAACAAGCATCATGCAAACTACGAATAAAGTAGTCTCTATACGTTTCTGGTAACGACATGAATGTTCCACCCATGACTATGAATTCTATTTTGTCAATATTATGTCCGAGTTGTTTTAACTAAAAATATTCAATTGATCTCCTTGAACACAAACTATAACTATTTCGTACTTGTTCCAGTCGATGCTTAGTTTGTAGATACGGATTATATCTAGCTCGGATTGCACGCATTGATGTCGGCTAGAAAGAAAAAGCAAGATGAAACTTTCTTCGACGTTTCTCGAAAAACATACTTCATATCCAGTATAGGACTGTGTTGAATACTCAAAATCCGAATCTGGTCCGCCAGGACAATACACACAAATATTACCAGTCATAGCAATATGTGGACATCGATGTGGTTTGCACATGACAGCGACGACAACAATCTATTTATGGATAAAATTGTAAAGAACGATCGTAAATTCAATATTGAATTGTTCTTACGCCACTAGCTGTCCTGACAGGTTTTGCTTTGATTTTCGGCAGAAGAATCTTCTTGTGTGATTCTGGTATTGCAGCAATAATATCAACTAAACGCGGTTGTAAACTGAGTCCATATTTAGCTGATGCTTTACATTTAACTCTAACAGAAACGGCATGGTTTTGTTTTTATTTCATACGAGACTTACTTGTTCAAATCGATTTCCTTTCCTTGCTCATTAGCTTCAATTAATTGTTTGACAACATCAGATATGGTCGTTAACATCAACTCATGTGTTGATGTCGCTTTGCCTAGAACAGATCAACGAATTCGTATTCGATTCGGACGGGATTTTCCAGCTACCTTTGTGCTTGCCCATTCTAGATTCGTTGACTGAATTTTATGAGAGATAATCACTATATTTTTTAGAATATTTGTTTATTTGTTGGGAAAGTGCACCTATGAATTTGATTGGTCAGAATTGATGTCAACGTCAATATTCGGATGTAAAATAAAATGTAATGAAAGTGCAAAATTTGTGAAAATTATGCAAGATGATTTCTAAAAATCTGATGAAATTCAGCTAACGAATCATTGATGGATAGTTATCGACCAATCAGAAGTCATGTGATGCGTCATCAAATTCTGACAAAAGGAAAACAGAATTGAATGTGATCAAGGTGGGGTTTTTTTCAACTATACGATTGTAAATATTTGAAAAAGAATCGAATCGCTTAATCTCAATGAGTGAAACGCATTTACCGATAACCGGAATTTGCTTAGTTGCGAAACCAAGCAACGTTCCCACAGGTTATCATTGTATCCGAAAAGGTAAATAAAAGATTTGTTAAACATCATTCAAAACTGAATACAATTCTAAAAGAAATACTATAATGAAACATCTCTATTAAAAATCACTGAAAATAAAACGAACTCGATTGCGAGACGGTTTACATTGATCGTGAAGTTATTCGCAGTACGGATTCGATTTGTTGTATTTCTTCTACTTGTATTCACATTTTTCGCATTTAAACTCACAGATTATTCGAAACTGTTAACTCTGATTACTGTCTTTTAGCTTTTGATGACACAAATCGCGATGCTGATCTTATGCAAGATTCGCTACTTGAACGTAAAGATCGTTTTCTTTGTATAACACGTGCATGGCCATTAACAGACATGCGTACACTCGGTAGCGATTGTGCACGTGTTCTTGAAGACGTGAAAATTATCAATGAACGTGATAATCCGCCCGCAAATTATACAGGTTTGACATATACATCCGACACACGTGAGAAAGGGACGGTGAAAAAGTTAATCTGTGTCAAAATAGTCGAGAGACAAGGAGGCATGAAATGTATATGTGATATTATTTTTCTTTATCGTACAAAACGTCCACCTCAATTCTATACTCTCATTGGCGACATCAATGGTTTGCAAATGTGTGTGAAAGAAGGAACTGTTCCAGCTCTACGTCCTGCACCAACTGTACCATCTCAAGTTCAGTCGAATCTCTATCCGAACCCAACAGTTGATCAACCATTTCAAGCAGCGCAGCAATCGGCACCATACCCAACGAATGACTATTCGAATACGAATACACTTACGAAGAAAAGTGATGAAAAAGAAATTCTGGATTGTATCCCATTTCAAATCAATCCGAAATATTTGGATGCAATGAGAAAAACCGGCAGCGGAAATGATTTATCCACTTTCGAAACATTTCGAATTTTATCATCCTACGAAATCGAGCAACATTTTAACTATGATTTTCATATCGAACGATCATCTCTTTGAAATTAATCTCATTCAACATTAGAATTCAGTCATATGGAACACATATTATCAATCTTGGGTTTTCTCATGTTCAAAACATATACTATTTGTATTATTCATTCTTGTCTTGTTTCTTTTCAAAAATATATATGTAAACAAAACCTCACTTCATTTCATCTGCTTTCCTAAGCATTATTTTTCAATTTCCGACTCATTTTATTCGAAGATATTCTGTCGAACATAATTAACTTCCGAAATACAAGTGTAAACAATTTATTTTTAGTATTTTCTTCACAATAAGGCAGTTTTCTTTGCCTACTTGAGTTTTGGCGCTTGAATGAATCATCAACAAACTCGATCCTACTGTCTGCTAATATGCTTTCATCGATACTAAATAACGTTGTAGTCGATCAGCATATTCACTTGCCCATGAGCTCAGTTCCGGTGCAGTTGATTCAACTAATTGATCAATCGTTTTGAAAATATTTTTCAATTTAGCATCATCCATAAGATAATTCTTCATTTCAATCGGAAATGGCATTGGCAACTGATTATTTTGTTCCTTGTAGATGATAGCATGACGCGTAATATAGAGAATTACCGATGATAATAATCGAATATTCAACCATTGTGTACGATTGAGTTGACCACGTATTAATCGGTATTTGACGGGCTTCAACAGTAGAGTTTTAATCAATCCACGATAGATGAATACTGAAATGACAAGAAATTTCGTCGTGAAATGATCTAATTGTTTGAAACCACGTTCTCTCATTTTAGCGTAACTTAATGATAAAAGGTGCTTTTCGATCGACCAAAAGTAACCCGTTGGATATTGTTCAAGTGAACAGTCGAGTAAGTAGATGAAAACAGATTCTCTACTACTCGTACCGATAAGACCATCTTTTGGTATGAGATTTGTTATTTGATCGAGAATGACTTGAACACAATGAAATAGAATTGTTTGATCGAGTAGTTGTGTTGAGTTTCTAACAACATGGGATAGAGTTTGATAGATCGAACAGTTCGGATCGAGATAAACACGATGCACAACAGTTAAGAGTTCCAGAAATCGAATGCGATGATAATCATATTCGTAATAATTCGCGTTCTTCTTTGCTATACGTAACTTTCTTTTCAGCATAAAATAGAAGATGAAAATCATTCCATAAATTTTCCATCGTTGCTTATAATTGAATCGTCTTTTCAAGTAAGGTTTCTGCGAATAGTATAATTCATAATTCAGCTGTAAATGATAATCTTGCTGAGCAGAAGGAATTGTAGATGGTTGGTATCTTGTTGAAGTCAAATTTTGATGACAACTGCTGCAATAGAATGATGCTTGTCTATCAGCTATGGTTCTAACCGATTTCGCTTGCATTTGGCTATTCGAACTTGTCGAATGTTGAATAGTTATTCTTGGTAACGGTCGTAATGGTCTGTATTTTGCTGTTAGACAATATACATCAGATGCTAATAGATGTTGCCTATGCGCTCGTTTGGTTACAAGTTCTTGTACCGCCAATCTTTCAATTTCAGTATCAATATCGAACGAGTGTATAGATTTGTTGCCGAGATGAGTAGTCATACTTATTATGTTTCACTGTATGTCGTTTCTTTCTTTTCTTTTGCAACAAAAAAACTAAATTTCACATTCCTGCTGTTCTCATTAAAACACCGAGGCAATAGACAGAAGAAAAATAATAATAATGAGAAGTCCTTCAAAGCACACGAAACAAACAATACAAGACAACAATCTGTGAAGACAAATATTGATAATTTCTTCGTAATTAAACATGTGGAAAAGGATTCATGAGACTTTGAAGAAATGGATCGCGTATTAAACCTTGAATGAATTCTTCTTTTGATATACATTGATCTTCATTCACATCGAGATTTTTCATAATCGTATCCGCACATTGATTATATGAGAATTTGTGCGCTTTTTCCTCGCTCATTCCTAATAATTCGAACATGGCATGTAGAATAAAGAGAATTTCGGCTCGATCAATTGAACTATTGCGATCAATATCGTAAACATTGAATGCGTAACGAAGTTTATCTTCTAGTGGTGCTTCAGTTGTTGAAACATAGGCCACAAGAAACTGAAAAAAAACAAAACATTTTGGTAATTAATCTTTGTTAGGAACAGAGAAATTTTCTTGAGATATTCACAAGAGTCCTCCTTAGCAAATTTCAAGTAGGTTTTTTTCTTTCTAAGAACAAAAAACATCGACAGAACGACCTTCTTAAGCATGTGATATATATTTGATTGACGGAGAAATTCCATCAATCAAACCTGGGTACTAAAACTAATGAAATTTCTTGTTTTGTACTGTGGAAAAAGGAAGGAGGAACTTGCCTCGGAAAAAGTAATGCCATGGTCGCCGTTTAGATCAAAAGCACGAAAAATATTTTCACTGAGAAGTTTCACATTTTCATTTGGACGAAGTTCTTGGTAAAATTTACAAAACTGCTCTTTAGTCATAGTCGTCGAACCAGGATCGCAGTTTTGATGAAAACGTTGTTGCCAAGCAAGAATATCATCGCGCTTCAATTGAGTGTGCTTACCAATTACTGCGTACACATAATCATCGATTTTAGCTTGATTTGAACCCATTTGCAAAATACCGATTTGTTGCTTAACCTAACTGTTAACTTTATGTCGTCTCCGTTGATTCTGTTCTTGTTTTGCTCGTCTGATGAATAATCTGCGTATATATACACACGGCTAGGTCTTTTTCTTCTCTTTTCTCTCTCTCTTGCTCGCTCCTCGGTGATACGAGACAAATACAGAGAAGAGAGAAAAAGTAATTGAGATTTCTGTGCCTGCTCAAAAGTATTCTATCTGATCTAGTTCTTCAAGAAGAAGCTCTCTCTCTCTCAGGAACTTTTCTTGGAGCATGAAAACAACAGACAAGTTTAGATTGGTTTGTTTCTGTATTTTCATCTACTATCGAGACTTTCGAAGTCGAAGGATAATTGAGAAGAACGCAGTCACCGTACGAAATTAAAGACATCGACCTGGTGTTTACATTGCTATCTTGATTGTGCCAAGACATATGATTCAAGAAAGCAGAAATCTTCATCAGATAAATATATCTGCGAGAATAAAACAAGAAAACATGTTTATTTATGGAAACAGAAAACGGCGAATGTTTTGTTGATACATTCAATGAATATCGGCAAGCGTTAGATTCGTCTTTTGAATGTTATCTTCGTTGGTCAAGATGGTATCGTTTAATCGTTGAATGAGATGCTGACGATGGTCGGCAGGTTGTTTAAGAGCGATGAAGAATCCGCCGTTGATTCGAAAACGTATGACAAATTTGAGAATCAACTCATCCAATGCGTCATTCTTTTTCGTTCTATAAAGACAAAATCTCTTTTATAGATAAACATCGACGGATCAGAAAAAAAAGCAAATAATTACGAGGGATATTTATTACACAATTTATCGAGTATATCGAAACATTGCACCGGATTGAGTGAGTCAAGTTTTGACGACAGTTCAGCGAAATTAATATCAATGATCTCATTATCAGCTAATCGATTGCACTCAGCGACATTTTCTTCATTCATGGCGGTTAAACCTCTCGCGATACCTAATTCCATTGAATTACTAAATCAAACGGCAAGTTCATCTTACTACACTTACTCCCTGAACAATATGGGCACAAGCATTTCCCCGAGTTATTCACCTGATGATTGCGTTCGCACATTTGTTTTTCTTGTTGCTTTTAAGTCAAAAGAAAACAATGAAAGTAAAACCTCTTGTTTTTCACCTGTGCATGCTCTCTCGAAGTACTCGATAAGAAAAAAAATAATCAAGTTTTCTTTGCTTAATCTCATAATCGTTAAACGCGAATGTTTGTCTAAAAAGCAGAAATTCGATAACTTATTCATTAATCTTTAATCAAAAACTAGTATTTATATATTTATTACTTTTTTCTCTGCATATTCTCATTATTAGTCTCGTCTCTAGATGGCATAATATATCAGATCGAAGAATGAGAAAGACTTTCTGCTTGGCTTTTGTTTTTCTTTTTTGTATATGTATAAAACAGACATATATATTTATGAACATGAAGAAGAGCGAACGATTTGTTTCCATGTTGAAGACTAGAGTTTATGTAAGTTCACACCTCGTGCAGTTGATATGGCTAGCATATTCTGATCGAAGATTGTTGCGCAGAACGGAGGTGGATTGTATGCGGTAGATGATTTGATTTTACCATCTTTAGTGATGTGAAAGATTCGGGAAGTATTTCGATCCACCACTAGCCATTCATTGTGAGTGATTAGACAACAACGCGTACGGATATTTTGACTATAAGGAATATTTAATCGAACGGACCAAAGTCGATCTAATGTCGCTGCTGATCTCATTTCGATGTGAATCGTTTTCTCCGAGGGATTTTTAATCATCATACATATTCTTCCATTACTATAAACAATTCCGTTAATGACTTCATCACGTGTACAAGTATCTGGTGATTGCCATTGTTTGATCAGTTCAATTGTGGGCGATAAGCTGAATTCCATTATCGACGACCCCCAAACTTTTGTCGATAAGAATAGAGATGTTTCAGATGTTGTGCACGACAGCCATTTACTTTTCTGTAGCGTTTGAATGTTTTCAATGGCCATCGTGTCTTCGTCGACAAGAAAAACATCACTACCGTTAATAACAATGAAACGATTCAATGCCACTGACCAGCACATATCATATATGGTTCCATAGATCCACGAGTTGTGTTTGACGATGTTTAATTCTCGATCGACGAGACAAAGATTCGGTTCTTGATGAATTAATAGGTAACGTTCATTACATGCTAACGGTGCCCAATTTTCGCGCGGATAGTTAATTGATTTCGCTGGCGTTGTCAATGATGATAAATCGAAACGATTACTATCTGAATCTTCTATTTGGATTAAACTATCGTCGAGAACCAAGGATTTGGTTTCTACACGAACTGACGTTTGCTCAATTTTACTCATCTCTTGTTCAAGATCGCGTACGGTAGATTTTAAAGCATCGATGTCTCGATGTGTTGCTTCTTGTTCTTGAATTAATTCCGATAATTTCGTACGCATTTGACTGATTTCTTGCCGTTGCTTCTCGGTTTTCTTTGCCACGTATCGTTCGAGTTCGCGGCATTTCTGATCAAAGAAATGATCAATTGTTTTGTGACAATCGCCGCGCCACTTCTCCAATTTCTGACGTGAATCGCTGCTCGAATTCTTCAGATTGAGCGATTTCAACCGATCACCAAGCGCATTGATCTCATCCGATAGAGGATTCAATTGCGAATTCAACGATGAATCATGTTCACGCATATGTTCACGACAAAAGTTTTGATTACATCCATAACATAAAGTTCGCGATATTCGTCGACACGATTGGATTGCGCATGGTTGAGACATTGCTTGTTGATTCAAATCGAAAAATTGCTACCTTTTTTCTTATAGGCAATTGTTTGAAAGACATTTCGAAAGAGAGAAAAACAACAGAACTTTTTTCGTACTCGATAAATAAACTCAACTGTTTGTTTGAAGAGAAAGGCAACCGTTGCTCTACACTCTCAAGTGAGCAGGGTGAAAGTGCACTTGTGAATGAAATATGAAAAAACAATGTTTAGAAAGAGAGAGAGAAAAATTCAGTTTGGGCGGAGAATGAAATGCTAGACTTTGTTTGTGCAAAATCGGAAAACAAAAATAAAGGCATCTAGCCGTGATTTGACAACAAATTATCAACAGCTGGAATTTCTCGAAAAGAACGTGTGTTTTTCTTTCTTGCATTCACTTTTACATTCAGAAGACTTTGAAAATGTTCTGATTGATATGCTCGAGAAATAAAAAAAAATGATGTTTGTTTAAAGCGGAGACCTGACGTTTACCTCAATTTGACTTATTTTGATTTTCAGAACATTTTATTGAGTTCACCTATACGATGACTATTTTTCGGAAGTACTCAACTATCATCTTCTGTCATTACACCGAAGCTTTCAATTGCAATTTGATGAATGTCATCGGATGACATTTGCGATCTATCCCAGAGGTATCTCATTCGAGGAGAAAACAATCAGTTATTGTTTGTTATCAGTCAAACTAGCTAGAGGCGAAAGAAACACAATGTTAACAGATTAAGGCCATATTCGTCTAGCAATCAATCATGACGTGAATGTCTTTGATGTTTTCGAAAAAAAAGAAACCTATGAAAAACTTTCTTCTGTTTTCTCTCTTCGCTGAATAAACTTCAAGTACCAGTAAACAACGTAGAATGAAATCGGGTAGAATACTAGATTCGTGTTGATACAATGGGTGCGTTGATAAGTTGTCATTGCGCAAATACAGTGAAACTATATATCTGCCGATAAATGCGAAATATTTATTCAATGTTACTGATAAGTTTGGTTCGATTTGTAGGGATTGATAGAAAAATGTTAGCAAATGTTCTTTCTCTAATAGCAATCTTTGAGTAGGTATTTGTTTATGAAATCGTTCGGCTAAAATTTATGCAACTGAACAGCTGATTTTGTTGAAACAGCTAATATATTGTTTCCCATTTTCATTGCACAGCATGGTGTTGGATGATATTCACATATAGCTTTCATTTTGCCATCATTCGTGATATGTATAAGTTTTGAATTGGCATGATCAGCAACAAGCCATTCATCTCGGTTGATCAAACAGAATCGGTATGCTTGTTTTTCACTATAAATTATTTCTAATGCCATCGACCAGATTCGAGTCAATGTCGTTGCTGCTCGTAGTTCCAATCGAGCAAATCTCTGCTGATCATTGCTAATCATAATCGCTAGTTTATCATTGTTGTAGAATATTCCATCAATAGCTTCCTCTCTCGAACATGTATCCGGAGATTCCCATCTTTTAATAAACGACATCGAACGTAAAAGATTAAATTCAACAATGGATGAACTATAAACTTTTGTCGAGAGATACAGCGTCGTCGATGAGCACGTACAGGAAAACCATTCTTGATAAGGAATCGAACGGACTTTACATATGACCATTGTGTTGCTTTCTAACACAAAAACTTCGTGTTCAGTGATTATAATAAACTGTTTGAGAACAGACGAGTAACACATGTCGTAAATCGGTCCAAATTTCCATGGTGCAAGTTTTAATGTTGCCAATGATTCATCGGTGACTACTAACGAATCTTGACGATGTAATAACAACACTTGATTATCAGTCGCCAATGGTGTATAGCTTTTCCCACTTCGTTCAATTGCTCGATGGACAGATAGAATATTTGTGAGATTGAAAACTTGTTCGTAGTTGATTGTATTTTTATCAATGACTAATGGGTTCGTTTGAAGGTGAAAATCGTTTTGTGTGAGTCGATCAATGTCACGTTGAAGTGATTGGATTTTGAATGTTAATAAATGTATTAATTCGTGTGTTGTATCTTGCTCGTTCATAGACGTTATGATTCTCGTTCGAATTTCCAGTAGTTCTTCTTCATGTTGTTTCATCTGTTCCATTGCATACGCGTCTAACTCTTGAATTTTTTCCGTAAAATAAGCATCAACGGCAAGATGCGCCTTTTGTCGCCATTCTTCTAATTGTTGGAACGATTTTTGCAAGATAACCATTTTATCCAAACCTTTCAGTTGATCTTGTATTTGATTAACTTGATCAATCAATGGATTTAGTTGTAAATGAGTAGCGAGAGAGTGTTGGAACATGTGTTCGCGACAGAAATTTGATTTACAACCATGGCAGAGTGCATGTGGAACGCGTTCACATGCTTCGAATGAGCACTTGTTCGACATGGCGATGAAAAATTTGGAAACAAATATCTGTTTTCTAAAAAACGCAAAAGCAGTTTGCTGATTGATTCGTCAACAATTATCGATCGACGTAATGCACATGGCTTTTACTTTTTTTCGTTGTCGATGCAAACAAATTCTGTAGAAAGAAGAAAAGTTTTGAGAAGAGAGTTTATTTTCGGGTGGAAAACTCGGTAGATTTCGACTATAGTATCTGCAGATCGAGACATCAACTTTTAATCTTCATACAGTCGACAATTGAACAGTACAAATGTTTCTTTTGCAGAGTTATTCTGCGGCGCTGTCAGATGTCGCACATGGGCAGTAGACGTCATCATATTCCAATCAAAATTCTCGACATAATTTCAATTCTATTCTTAAAAAATCTATTTTTTGATCATTTTATTCTCATCCATTGTATATTGACTGAATCTGTCATCGGATACTTTCTTGAAACTACGCAACAGTAGCTAAAAGTGGCTGCTCGAATGGCTTCTTACGGATCGATTGATTTTGTTAATTTATGCACTTATCTGTCAACATTCCTGTTCTTATTTTCAGATAATATTCCACCATGGCTAGTACGAAGATGTTCACGAAGAATCATCATTCGTCCAATACATCTTATTTTCAACAGCAGCAGCAAGCAGCACCGTCATCGACAGCGAATTCGAATTTCGACGAAGAAACGACATTGACACAAGAGATGCATGTTAAAATGGCAAAAAAGATCGCTCAATTAACTAAAGTATGTATTTGACAAGTGAACTTCGTCGTTTGTTATCTTTGTCTTATCTATTATTTGCAAATATGAGAAGGAGAAACGAAACAAGAGAGTGAGAGAGAAAGAAAAAGCACCATGTCTTTGACAAACAATATACACTGTGTAATAAAAACACGAATTTTGTGTCAAGAGCAAAATTGTTCGTCAAATGTGAACGATTAAACATCGGCACCCGTTTCGGTGGATATTGAATTTACTGGAACGTTCGTTGATGTCGTCGTCGTCGTCGTCTTCGATGTCTGTCCGCCTGGTAGAATTGCAGTGTTCGGTGCCAGAATTTTACGTAGAAATTCATCTCGAAGGCAACCTTGAACAAATTCATTTCGAAGAACAACATCTACACAGAAAAACAAACGAAAATGAGTTTTTTCGCTTATCTATCAACGACAATAACTGACCATCTTTCTCCTTATTCAAACGTTGCATAATCAAATCAACACGTTTATCGGGTGATTTATCACCACTACGGTCTTCTTCATTAGCTAAATCGTACATAGCTTCGATGATTTTTGTCATATCTTTTCGATTAATTCGGCCGTCTTTATTTTGATCTGAAATGAGAAAGCAAATCATCAGCGCAACTCAGGTCACTTCATCGCATCTGTTACCATAAATGTCAAATGCCATTTTCAGTTTTTCTTCGAGATTTCCATGTTGAGACACTCCGACAGCAAGTCTACAACGAAACTGTATTATTCATGCGATCGATGAGAAATCACTTACAAAAATTCCGTAAAATCAATCCAATTATTATTGTCCGTATCGAATGCTTTGAATACAAAATTACAATATTTATCCGCTTTCCCTTCGGGATAGAATTTCTACGAAAAATAGAACAAGAAAATGTTCAGTTTCATTCAATTGTCTACATACCTTATAGACGTTTAGAAATTGTTTCTTATCGAGTTTACCCGACGGACAATCTTTGAGAAAACCTGTGTGCCATGCTTGAATCTCTTCTTCAGTATATTGAGTATTTAATTTTAATTCTTTAATATCATCATCGCTTAATATCGTAGGATCTTTTTTTCCTTTACCACCAGCTTTATTTCCCATGCTTGTTTATTAAAAAGAAATTTTTATCTAAAAAATACGCTTTTTGTCTTTTCTCCCTGTTTTTTCGTCTCCTTTTCTCGTTTACAAAGAAGAAAACGCACATGTACACTGGATTAGTGAGTATAGGCATAAGATAAACAAACAAGACATACGTTTTGGAAGTTTCAATTTCTTATTTTTTCAAATCGGACGTTTGTTAGGACGTCAAATTGTGTGCAAGTCATTTACAGGCTGAAATGGCTATGCATAAAGTGTGCGACAAAAAAAATGATTACATGGAGAGTCTCGTGCGCAACACATGAAGACGAAGAAAAGAAAAGAGCGTAGAAGAAGCGCACACATATACACGGAAAGAGGGACAGAGAGAAGAGAAAAAAAGAAACAAGCGAGCGAGCACGTAACGAACAAGTAAAAAGAGAAATGTTGAAACCTTGTACATGTATTCAGCGTGGCAATAGTTGTGTTCTATGTATATGAAGACTGTGCTTTGGTATGCGAGAGATTGTACGTTGTACATATGTATTGCGCTCTGTTCTATTCTTACTTCGTTTTTCTTCTCCCTTTACAGCAGCAATGGATGAACATATCATAAGAATAAAAATAAGACGAATCAAAACGAAAAAAAAAACATTACTTCCTCTTGCATATCGATCGAGAAAGATTATGTGTCAATATAAGGATTTTTTACTCGTTTTCTTTCTTCTTCTTGTTGTTTCATATCAAATAGCTTGACCTTCTTGAGAATACTGATCATACTTGAGTAAAAAAGATGCTGCCCTTTTCATTTCTTAGCTATTCTTCCCAGAGTCAGTTACACTAACAAAAAATGTTGTTATACTTCGTATAAACATTATATATAACAATGTACATTATGTTTTTCTTCTCTTTCAATCGTACTCAAGTATTTATTTGATCGGTATTTGCATTAACACGTCATCAATAGTTGAAGGCTCGAGTATTAACCATTCCAGTTCGAGACATCCTTTCTGACGAGTTGATAATTATCAAACATAGTCGTTAGGACGAGGACAATCAAACTGACACGAGCTAGTATGATAATTATCGATTTTATTTGATGTATAGAACATCCTAATCGAATTACATCCTACATGGAATTTCTTCGATGTTTGACATTGGCGACTATATGAAGAACTATTCGTAAATGATAATGATTTTCGGAAGGAAATTGAGAGAAAACAGGTGTTTGTCTTCGTGTATCTGTCAATATAACTCATATGGAGATGATGTCGGAGTCAAAAACTGATCGGATTACAAGGTTTAATTAGTTTCATCTCACATTAATACATGTTTCGCTCGAATTGAACAACAATGGCGACGAATTTCTTCTATTTAGGTGATCTATACATTGAATACGAAAGTTGACGAACATGAAACTTATGTATCGAATTTAAAACAAGCGTTTGAACAGGAAAAAGCCGCTTTGGCAACAAACGCTTCAGCTCGCATCGATGATTTACTTCAACGTGTCGAGAAACTTTCTTCAATTAAAACAACACAGAATTCTCTGTATGAAAACAAGATTCATATGCTTGAATCCGAGAGGTAATTGCTTTCCTTGATCTCTTGCACGCTTCCATATGAATATTCTTCTAGACAAAATCAAGCTAACGAACTCCTGCGTGTTCAACAGTCAGCAGTTGAACATGAACACGAATTAGCGGAAGATTTCCGAGCAAAAATTTCTACACTCAAACAAGAGATAAATCGTATAAAACAGATCTACGATGATCAGTTAACAAATCTGAAATGTGGACACAAACAAGCATTAGATCAACTTCACGAGAAACATCAGCTGGAAGTGGAGAAATTAAAAGTTGAAATGAAACATCTATTCGATGTGGAAAGCGAAGCTCAGACGAAGTTCTTTTCTCAAACTATTGAAGATCTTAAACGCGAACATAATGATCTGCTGACGAAACAACGAGATCAACAATTGACACAGAATGAATTAGGACAGGAGTATATGAAGGAGAAGCAACAATTAGAAAAACGAATTCAGATGTTCGAAGACCAAATCGAGCAGATTCAAAGTAAATTTCAATTAGAATTTACTGAGCAAAAGCATCAATTGGAAACAAAAATGAACGATTACACAAAACTACAAAGTGAATTCGACGAATACAAGTTGCATTATAAAACGAATTCAAGCAATCTTACCGAAATCCACGAACAAGTAACTAATGACGACGACTCATCGAAATCAACTCGCGTTTTTTTCATTTTCTTTCTAGTTCATTAAACAAAAAGATGAATGTGAACAATTGAAGCAAAAATTAGACAAAACCTATGGCGAGATGAACTCAGTCAAGGAGAAACTTCATAAACAATCAACTGAATTGGATGAGAAATCAAGTAAGGCCTACTGAACCTTTGCAATCCGAATGCATAGAGATATGTCAAGAACAGACACAGGATAAGATCGTCTTATTCTATCAGATTAACTGACAAAACTGAGCTATATTTTGAATTGTAGAAGTAAAGAACTAAACACGCTCGAAGCTACTTTGCTTACTTGATTATACACACATAAGTACGCAAACAAACACTTGAATCATATCCGGAAGGACATAGGAGACTTTCGAGGATAACTCTAATGAAACACTAAAGCATATTCATGTTGGGTTTGCCATTGTAGAATTGATTAAAGAGAAAGAAGCGTTCGGTCGTCAATTAGAAGGAGATTTAACAAGTTGTCGGAAAGAGCTACAACTAGCATCAGATCGTTTACGGCACATGCAGGAAGATCAACACACACAACTGACACAATCGGAATCAACAACAAACTATCTTGAACGACGGATACACGAATTGGATAAAGTAGAATTTTGCTCTTGTTATGATTAACCCTCAGTCGACTTTTCAATTAGACAATCCATGAATTGACATTAGAAAAGCAGCAGATAATGGTTAAATACGATCGGGAACTAACAGACCTGCGTGAAACTTATGAAAATCAAGTGGAATTATGCAAGAAGGAAATGCAAAACGAACTTCATCGTCTAACTGAACATCAGCAACAGTTAATAACTGACGAACAGACGCGAGGACGAACAAATTTACAAGCAAAAGAACAAGTACAAGAGAGATTTGTCGAATTGACTGAATCCTTCATTTTTCTTTTGTTCATTAGGAACTTCGTCAACAATTCGAAACGGAGAAAAATGATCTTCTCGCTCAATGGAAAGCGGAAATCAATCTAAATAAATCTGAACAGAATGAGATTAATCAACAATTGAATCAAATCAAAGATTCGTATATGAAACAAGTAATTCGATTTAGTCCTTCTTACAGTATCGAAACAAGCTCTTCTTCCTTCAATTAGATCGATCAATTGAAAGCACGTTTAGAAGATACTGAAAATAAATTTTCGAATATTGATAAAGAACTTGCCGAAAGTCAAGTATCGAATAAAGAATACAAGAAACAAATTGACAAACTTCAAGCCGATCTCGAAAAGCAATTGAAAAGCGCACAACAATTTCAAGTACGTATGAATTCTTGGTCAGAAGACAAACCTGACTGAATAATTTCCCTTTAGATAGAATGCGATCATTTGAAAAAACACTGTAAAGAATTGGAAATACATTCGACCACAGAGTTGAAAGATAAAATCGATAAGTTAGCCATGGAATTAAACGATAAATGGTCAAAGAAATTGAAGTATGAAACGTGTGATCTCCGTTTTGTTGACTTTGAATTGTTCATTTATGTAGAACGGATTGCGAGAAGATTCGTAAAGAAATAACTCAACAAAAAGATGAAGAAAAACAGAAGGCATTAGAAGAGTTACAACGACAAAAGCAAAACGAATTATTATCCACACAGAATCGAATTGAAGAACTCGAACAACAAGTGAATAATTAAACACTAAAAAAAACGACTTTGTTCCAAAAATCAAGTTCATTATAGATTTACCAGATGAAGAATGAAGCGTTGACTGAGCAGCAAAAGTCGAAAGAAGACGCTTTGGTTGCATTACAAAATGCCAATGAAGATAAACGTCGTGCGATCAATGAGTTTCAAATGCGTATACAAGATCTGACAACACAAATTCAACGACTAGAAGCGAAGACCAAAGAAGATTCCCTCGAACAGAAACTGCAATTGGAAAAAGAACATCTCGTAAAATCAATCAAATCTTTCCTCTGTTCGACTCACAAAAGAAAATCTCCGTCGTTCTGTTTCAGAATCAAATCAATGAATTGAAGAATCGTCAATTGGAAGATATTCGAGGACAACAATTGGCTTACAATACACATTTGGAAACAGTACGTGCTGACCACGAACGTGTATTGACGTTAGAAATTGAAAAAATTAACGTTCAGCACCAGTCGAATCTCGGTGGGTGAACCGTTTGGAAACGAAATATTCTGATATATGCATTCGAATATGTAGATCAACAACGAAAAGAATTGGCTAAATTACATTCGAGTGAATTAGAGGAGAAAGAACGAGGTCATGTCAAGGAATTAGCAGCTGTGCGTTTACAACTGGATCGGGCGTTGGAAATCGCGAAAATCAAGGTGGAACATCAGATATTTAATGTATTTTCATATGTTTCAGAAAATCGTTTATTTTTAGGAACGTGAAGCTGACTTACGTATTGAAGATTTGACAAGTGATCTTACTACGAAAAAAAATCGTATCGATAGTTGTCTACGAGATATACGTGAGCTGGAAAGTCAAATAGAACAGTTGCATAGCGAAGCAAATTTACGTAGTAAAGAACTTCAACGTGTTCGAAATGAAGTTCAAAAAGAAATGAAGTATATTATCACTAAATTCTATTTTCGATCACACGTTTTTCTATTTAGACACCGGGAAGAGAAATTACGCAACCAGAACGATGAGAAAATTCGTGACCTTATCAAAGCACATGAAACTGAAGAGAAACAACTGTTAGAAGAATTCACCAAAGCGCACGATCTACTCAAAGCACGCATAACAGAACTTCAAATGAAGTAAAACCTTTGAACAAATGTCCTATCAGTGAACTATACTTTCATTTTTTCAATAGTTATAACGAAGCGGAAGAACGCTATCGTAGGCGTGAATCTCGTGCTGAAGATCTCGAGTTAATCTCGACACTTCAGCAAACGATTGCTTCATATCAAGAACAACTGAAAAAGATTCATGTAAATCGGCAAATACGTGTATATTGAAAGTTGAAAGATTCGTTTTCTTTTGTTTAGGACGAAAAGAAACTTCTTCAGATGGAATTAGTCAATCGAGAGACGAACTTTAACAAAGTTTTCACTAACGCTCCATCTTCCAGTGTGGGTGTTCTCAATCCTTTAGCATTTAATACAAAATTTGTAAGTTCCATACTCTCTCCAATCCATACCTTTGCATTTGTTAATTTCCTGCAGGTGCCACGTAGTTCTGACGGAAGTGTACCATCCCGTCTAAAATCTCAATCACCTCGTCCAACTAAACTCGAGCCATTAGTTCCGAACGGCGAAGCTCCACCTGATTTGACATTGAAATCGAATAAGCCGTTATTACCTAAGCGTTTCGTGAAATAGAAATTTACATTACGTTGCCAAATAAACTCAACGTTTCTCCATGGTTTTATGTAAAGTTTTCTTTGCCTTTATTTCTGTTTTCGAAAAGCAAAATATCCGTTATTGTAAATGTTATTTTACAATAAAAAAAAGATATATTTCTTATGAATGTAGTTGTCGCTGTCGAATGCGGATCATTATATCTTCACATGCACGAGCAATGTCCTTCAAAAAAGATAAATAAAACAAAACACAAACGCATTCGTACTAATCGCCTAGTCAACTCACATCATTATCCGAATGGAAACGCTTGATTTGATAGAGGAGATTTGCATCGATTTTAGTTGAAATCATTTCATCAATTGCATCATCTAAACAATTTCGATAAATATTATTAAGAAACGATGATTTTCTTACCATAAGGTGACATTGACTTCAACAAAGTGATAATTCCACGTGCAATGTCCGTGTGATTTTTAAATTGATCGAAAATTTTGTTTAAGGTTTGCATTGAATCGAGAAGTTCTCCATCGTCCGTACGACTGCATAGAAAACGCATAACACATCGTTCTACAACAACAAATCAAATAGTCTTCCGGCAGTATTCGAGCAATAAATTACCATCGAGTTTGAATAACTCAGATAAAACCGCCAATCCTAAAAGTGACTTTATCATTGACATGGATGATCCCTATACGCAATACGAACCCGCTTTAACTGCATTACGATTGCTATAGTGTTTTCGTAGACCAATCGAAAAACAACGCACTAAATTGAATTGTACTAAATGCTCAATTGTTGATTCTAAGAAGGAAGAGATGAATTTTGCATTCGAAGGAGAAATGGAGATTTACTTTCGAATATGAATGGTAAAAATGCGAAGCACACTTTCGTGAAGAGATCGACGTTATTCGGATGTTTTTGTAGAATATTTAACAGAGTGCTTAGAAGTGAGATTTGATTATCACGAAGATCTTTACCTACAACGAATTGATTGAATAGTGATAATGTTCGTTTCACTTACTAATTGAATCTTTGGCCATGAGCCAGATGAGTGTACAACACTTTGCACTGATATCACCATGATTTGTATGTTTTGTCATTACTTGTACTAAATTCGAATTGAGTCGCGCATTGTTTACAAGTTTTGCATCTAAAAGATTTCGATTCGAACTGAGAAAATATCATTTCGATTTACTATGCGTTGCAAGTTTGATAAGAACATCAGCAATTTTTTCGGTTAAATGCTCATCATTCTCAAAGATCTAAAGTATCAAATCAAGTACGAGTACAATCATCGAATGGAATCATGTAAATCATACAAGTATGAACTTTGCCGTCAATGCTACCACTTCTGCGGTAATTATTGTTTCATTGTGGATGATCTTTTTGAGAAGTTCAAGTGTTTCTTCGACGATGATGGAGTTGGACAGAAAGTGTTCTACAACAGGAAGAATATCTCCTTGGAAGCTATTGGCTAATGCTGATAAATCAATCTAGATTAAAAATAGGACAAAAACAGAGACAATTGCTGTCGATAAAATGGAGAGCAATTGGAAACTACCGATTTCGATTGATTGCATAGTTTGAGGGCGTGTTCAATCCGACTTTCTGCATTACGATGTTGTTTTAAATAATTTATGTAATATTCTAGTTTTTCATTTTTTGCTAAACCTATTAGAAAAACATTTAGTTTAGCAAATCCTTGGCTTTAGAGCAAGTGTAAACCGTTATACCATCACGAGCCCACTTTTTATCGCGCTCAGCTGGGTATTTGACTTGATCAGAATCGATGTTGTGCATACTTTCAATGACATAATCATCACGTCGTAGATCTCTGGAGAAAAGAGGCAATCAACTGACGAATTTCAATGATTTAACTTACACTTCAGTCAAACGTTTCTGTCGATTGGGATGCATCATGTTTTCGATCAATGCTGCGATTACTTTATGTGTCTGAAGGTCGAACAAACAATAAAAATCTCATCAAAATCCATATTGATTTACTTTGCGTAGAGTTTGCAAAGTTTGCGACAACGTATTCGAATCATGACGTGCACAAATACATAATTGTAACGTTTCTTCATCCTACACATAGAAATCTCAGGTATACACACAAAAGATCTAGTTCTATACTTACATTCAACATATCACAGGTAATCATATCCAAAAGTACATGACCATACGAATAGATATCCGATTGAATTGTGTACTCTCCTGATTGGAAGATTTCCGGAGCTGTATATGACAATGCACCTAAACGAAAGATTTGATTGTATTCAGAATATTCTCTCAGTTGACAACAAAAATTAGCAAATAGCAAAATGCAATCGTTTTCTCTGCTCTGTCCGTCTGTCTTACTATGACATTTCATACAACTATCTTCATCAATTATAAAACCTAAATCTGATCTAAGAGAACGAGTTCTATTCTAATCGATTTCAATACACATACGACGAGGTAATCGTGTTCGCATACGAACATCGTATGCGACTGATGGTGGAATCATATCGCCGACAACCAATGAACAGTTTTCAGCATGGCTTTCACCGCGTAAATAAATCGAATCTGGTTTTAAATTTCTGCAAAATATCGAAGAAAGCATTCGAAATCGAATATTTCTTAATTCTGTTTACCGGTGAATGATTTTTTGATTCCATAAATACATCAATCCATCTAAGATTTGTGCACTCCACTTATCGATTAACTTGGAAAACAACGAGAGAATTTCTTGCTGATGAATGTTACTACTTAATTATCTTACTTGATTATTCAACGGAATCTTGTCCTGTCGCAACTTTCGTAAATATTTGTCGAGATTTCCCATTGGAAAATATTCCGATACCAGGTTGATGTATGTTGCACTGATCTAAAATTCAATCGTTTCAACTAAACTTCAAAACATCAATATCTCAAATACTTTATGTTCAACCGATGTGAATATATCGGCATATGCTGCTACTTTTTCAGTTGATAACTTCATTAACGGTAAGTACTTAATTATAACAGAAGTAAAGTGCAATTTTACGAAATTAAGCATAAAACAACATCGTACTTACTTCTTGATACGCTACCGCTGCTGTTGTCATATCCATTAATTCCATCTACAGAAAAAAAGTGACTTACACGAATGTAAGCAGATCAACTAGCAGACTTTGGATAGTATATAAGATTCATCAGAATCCTTTCGGTGGACAATGATGCGTTCGGCAAGTGTATCCAAGCCAAGGTTTTCATCGATCTTAACAGTAGTGTCACTTATAACTATGGAAGTCTTTTCATATTGAATACTTACCGTATATTTCTCCATGGGAAAGGGATTTCTGTCTGTACGACTTCGAAACTATAACAGATTGATTCTTAGCCGCCATTGATAACCAAGAAACTTTAGTTACAACCTCCGTATAATTCCTCAATAAATCTCATGATTTCAATCATTATATTTCAAAGGAGACGTGCTTATTCTAATCATGAACTGTCCTATTCAAAAATCAATACACTCTTTCCTCACATGCGACATCTACTAAATCAAATTCATCGTTTGATTGTTTTGGTAGAACGTATTAGCCAGTCAAAGAAAAGCTCTGGTAAATCTTGGAAAACTAAAGTCTCAGTACTTACCTAATATAATCAAAAGATAGATTACTCCCGATGACTGAAGAAGATTTATCAGCGTTGGTCACTTCGATTGACGAGAATGATATTGAAATAATTTCATCAAATGGTGCAGATTTCACTGATCAATTGCATTTCATGCACGATCATTTCGCACCCACTAGTCGACAAATGGAAGCTTCGTTGGCACCAACGATTTCAATGATAAACACAACAACTGGAAGTTCACAACATGAAGATTTGGAGGTTTCAGTTATTCGATGTTTTGTACTAGTTGAAATTTGTTTTTAACAGGAATTCGAAGATGAAACATTCATGGAACGAATTTATGGTTTAACCGAAATGTTTCCAGATTGGTTGCATCGATTTGCTCACAAATCTTATCAATATTCAAAATATGCCGGTGCTTTTATGAAAAAGTCCATTTGGTTTTGTAGTTCATCCTTTCTTGTCTTAATCCTTCCAATTCTTGTTCAAATGGAATTTTCACAAGTTGCAGATATGCAAGCAGCACAGACACGAGAAGTAAACGTACAATGAATATTTCGAATTCGATCTTTCTTTTTTCTTTTCCTTGTTGATTAGATTCTTCTTGGACCATCCGCTCAAATCGGTTCACAAAGTGTTCTTGGCCTAAAATAAGTTCCCTGTGATATATACATATGCAAAACGTTCTCGTTCTCTTTTGCTTTTCCATGGGTTTCTACTTGCGTGTTGTACAGCCCTTCTGCCGATTTTCTAGTTGTTGTTTACTTTTCCTTCTCACGAATCGAACTTTCCGTGTGTTTCTTTTAACTTTCGTGACAAATCCTCGAGAACAGAACCTTAACTGATGCATTTTCGTCTTTCAATCGCTTATTTTCTAAACATAAAGAAAAAAAAACCTAATCCTCAATAACAAAATCAAAAGAAGACACTCGTGTTATTCTTTGGATAATATTTGTTATGATTGTAATTGTAGATTTGAAAATCAAAAGTTTAACAACAACGAAATAATCATGATGGATCTCGAAGTAAGATGTCGACTTTTCTCAATTAACTTTTTTGTTTGAATCAATCATCACTTTGTAGTATCCCCCATATGGAGGTGGTTCAGCGCAATCAACATCAAATCAACAAGGTTGGCTCATATGTTTTGCTGAAACTCATCCTTGTCGTATTTGTTGATAGATTTCGATCATTACTATGGAGGATCGTATGGTGGTGGTGCCAGCATTAGTCGACGGGAAATTATCGAACATTTCGCCGATTTCCGTCGAGCCATTCACGAAGGACCTGTTTCATTGGTTCAACATTACTATAATTCCAAGTAATACTTCCATTTGTTATTGATTTAATCTACATTTTGTTTGATTAGTTATGAAACCATGATACAGAACTACAATACAGATTGGCCATCGGCTGAAGCATTGAAGGAACACGTTGGAGGTTTGTTTTGCTACTGAATTGAGCATTTTTTCCAATAGACTATTTCTTTGCAATACAGATGATCAATTGTTTCTGACGTTATACAAGGAAATGTATTTCCGACATATTTACGCATCAAAACCCGTAAGAGCATCATGTTCTTATTCATATATTCATCTATATCCTTCTACAGGGTGGTGTTTCGCTCGAGGAACGACAAGAATCTTACATGAATTACATTGATCTATTCAATTTGGTTCTAGCAAAAGATCATCCGTTGAAAATTGAATTGCCCGATCAATGGCTGTGGGATATCATTGAAGAATTCATCTATCAATTTCAATCATTTTGCAATTTCCGTACGAAATTAGCCAAACGATCTGATGATGATATCGAACAATTGAAACGAAATATGAAAATTTGGAATGTTCACGCTGTACTTAACGTCATGCACAGTCTCGTCGATAAATCGCGCATCGTTGAACAACTAGAAGCAGTAAAGAAAGGAGGTAATACATTTTCATTGAAATGTTGAAAGAAATTGTTGGTTATCGCCTCTCTCCATAGTACCTTTTCATTCTGGTGGTGATTCTTTCTGTCAAACAAATCTTTACAAAATGTTTGGCTACTTCAGTTTAATTGGTTTATTGAAATTACATACCTTAACAAGTGATTATTATATGGCGTTGAAAACGATCGAATGCATCGATTTAGACGTGACAAAACAAGTAAAACTTACATGAACATGCTGCAAATTTAATCAGAACGATTGCCTTGATTTCAGAATGATGTTTGTCAAGTCTTTCACTGTATCGTTGCGACAAACTATCATGCAGGTTTCTGTTACACAATGATGAGGAACTACGAAGACGCTATTCGTGTCTTTGTTGATACATTAATCTATGTTCAACGCAGTAAACCAATAATGGTTGCTCAAACATTTCAAAATGATGCCGTAAGTGACCTGTGCATTGATCGAACGTGAGAAGTCAAGTTGATTTGTGTAGGTTAACAAAACAGCTGACCAAATGATGACCTTATTAGCTATTTGCTTGACATTGAATCCAATGCGTATCGATGAAACAATTTATTTACACTTAAAAGAGAAATTTATAGATAAATTGCCCAAACCATTACTTTCAGTTGGGTATGTCTTGCTTTTCTTCTCATTTCATCGTTATTTATAGCTTTCGTTGGATTTAGAGCCGATGGAAAATTACCATTTCGAGATAATTTCGCATACGGTAAGTATTTCATAGAGTATCAATAGGAAACCATCAGTTTCAGATGGGCACTTATGCTCGTATTTGAATTTCGGTTTCCCACAGGAAAAATTATGGGCGCAGATGATATTATTCATACGCATTAAAACTTAAAATATCCTTTCATACGATTATTAATTATCCTGATGTGAAATAATAGTTTTCTCGAGGGCAAAATATTCGGATAGTTTTATGTTTATAGCAGCAATTCTTTCCTTCATAAAGTACTTTGTTATATTTAACAAAGCACGTGAAGCTATTCGACTTAAGTTCATGTTTCTGTTTTTATTTGCGATAATGAGAAAAATGTGTCACGCCAAAAGACGACATCGTCAGTGAATTCATTGATACTATTTATATCGTAGCTTGTCCAAAATTCATTAGTCCTGCGCCGACAATCTTTGAACAACGTAACGATTCACAATGGGCTGTAAGAGTTTCAATCAGATCTTTAGAGAGCAAGCAAATCACCATTATCATTTCAGGAACCATTCAATAGACAAATTGAAGTTTTCACGGAAGAACTTCAAGAACAAGCATACATTCCCGATGTTCGAAGGTAATTTACAAAGTCTATCGATTCAATTCGATCTTATACTTTTCATAGCTATTTGAAATTGTATACGACCATGAGTATTGATAAGTTAGCAACATTCATGGAAAAGGTAACATCAAATGACAATTCTCCGCTAGAATTCAACATTCTCTGTCTAGACTCCGCAAGAAGTTAAGCCATTATTATTAACATTCAAAGTAAGTCGGAAGATTCCGGTAATTTTGATAAACAATGCTTTATTTAGCATAAATTAAGTGGCACGGACACAGCAAACAAAACTGAAGAAGATTTTCAATCCTCTGCTGATATCGATTTTTATGTTGATAAAGTAAAATACATTCGAACTGCATTCACTTTGACTTTTCATATTCTACTAGAATATCATCTACATCGCTGACACGAAGATTACTCGACGTTATAGTGACTATCTTGTTAAGCAAATCCTCAAATACGAAGAGGTAAGCTTTGAAAAAGCAACTTGTACACAACTGAAGCATTACTGTATTAGTCAATAATCAAATAAGAAAATATTTGATGTTATAACTTTCAATAGAGTATTTGAAACTAATCAAAGTTAAATACAGAACTTTGTCTATATGAAATGATTAGTTACGAAGGCGAAAACAACATCGAGTAATTGCCGGTTGAAGTTTAGTTTGATTTGTAGCATCCGGAATGGAAATCAGTTTCTTTTCGTCACTCGTGATTATTATTATATTCTTTCTTTTTAGTTAACACGATCACTCAGTGAAGGTCTCAATATACGTCATGCCGGTAACAAATAGAGAAGCACGTCAACGAGAAGAACAAGAAATTATATCACTCATCATACATTTCTCGCCTTGTTGTTATTATTCTAATTATTTTATTTCTTCACTAGAAAAAAAACCAAACATATCTATCTGCGTATATGATGATGAGCAATGAAATAAAAACGTGAATTAGAAAAAAAAACAAGTCAAAATGTATCTTGTTGACTGTCGGAATGATTTCATTAAGAGAAAGTAATTAGCGGAAAGCATTTGCTTAATTACATTTATATACCTGTTAAAATATTTATTTCAATTGGATTCTCTTGTCTATTTTGCGCACATACACACATTTATCAGGAAGGGCGGATAATAAAATTCCGTCGGTTGATTTAAAAAAAGAAAGGAGAGAAAACGACTTGGCATAATTCCCATTTTGACATGACAACGTTGAAGGAAGAAAAAAGAAACTGCGTGAGTTTGTAAATATCGTGATTTTTCGACGGTGCGTCATCGGTAAAAGAATCAACAAGGTATAGAGTGCAAAGTAAAGAAGAAGAGAAAAAAAAATGGAGAGAAAGAAAAACATACGTCTGGCGACGAACATCTAGTTCAAAAGGAGAAAAAAGAAATATATGGTTCGATGTCTTCCTCGTTATTGATTGGTCGTGCACATTTATTCATGTATAAGGCAAAGAAAGAAAAGCATGAATAATAGTTGGCACAGCTGATGATGAGACCATAATAAGTAAAACAAAATGCAAAACGTTGTTTTTTGTCAATTGATGTATTCTATGCCTATACGATCAGTTTATATCAATGTTTCTTCATCATCTTTTATTTCTACATATTGATATCGATCATCATCATCAAATTTAGATACGGTGTATACATTTGCTCTACTTGAATATCTACCGACACATATTTCATATAAATATATATTTACAACAAAATATTCCAACTATTTGTCTTTGTTATCATAATGAATTGCTGTTCCACCTGATTTAAGAAACGAAAAAGAAGAGGAGAATAAACATACATACGCAACAGACACAAACATTTCTTCCAATTTTCATCGTTTCGACGACAACGACGAAACATAACAGTCAGGTAAAAAGAGAGTAGAAACAACCTCAAAGAAGCTCTCTATTTATTATTCGCGATACTGCGACAAACCACGAATAACGAAATATTGATTTGTTTTTCTCTTATTCTAGAGCATCATGTTACGACTACTATTATCAGCGATTTGTATCTCAATTTGTGTAAGATCGAATTGATGATTTAACTAATCAATTTCTCTTTTAATTGGATAGATCGAATCTACTTCATCGAAGTGTATTTGGTACGAAGGTATCCGTGATGGATTCAATCAAGCTTATCCCAACGGTGAACCCAGACCTTTACCATTAGAAGATATGAGTTTATTAAATGAAATGTGTCCACATATTGTCACACGAGAAGGTAGAATTTGATTTCAAATCGATCGTCATACGTTTTTGCTTTCAAGGTGTTTCGCCGAATTTATGTTGTGAACGTAAACAGCTAGCAGAGATGCAGAAATTTAAATATATTATTGACAATCTAATTGGTCGATGTCCTTCATGCTATTTTAATTTCTTACGAATATTTTGCGAAATGTCATGTAATCCTGATCAAGATCAGTTTATTTGGCCGTTAGAATATGCAGATATCGTTCGACCTACTGAGCAAGTAGGTTCAAGAAAAGACGACAATGATGACGGTGCTCGACACGAATGGGCTCTAGCGGATTATGTCGACCCCGAAGAAGAAGACGAAGAAGAAAAAGTGACACCCAAAGCGGTTGTCAAAGCACCCGAAACAGTTCGGGTCATAACAAAAATCCGTTATTTCATATCCGAACAGCAAGCCAATGATTTTATTGCTTCTTGCTGGTAACCATCACCGAAATTTGTCTTATCAATTCTCTTTTTCTCTTTACAGGAGTGTTCGTATTAACTTTCAATATGCAGTCGATGTTCTCTGTGGATCTTTAAATCGAGCTTGTGATGTGAAGAAATTATTTCAATACATAGGCTTGCAGAATACTCAATCACCTATCAAAATCGATTTCGTTTTCGTTAACAACACTTATCATGATCGCGAACTTCAACGGACATTTCAACCATCGAATGCAACGATGTTTGCATGTGATCAACCAGTTATCTTACCACATGCATCTCGACAAAAGTGCACTTGTATGGATTGTAATGCGATGTGTCCGAAGATTCCGGAGATCAAGTCGAAACATTTAATCTCGACAAATGCATCGTTGGTTGAGAGAGTGAAAGGAAAATTATATAGTCTTCCTCGTATTACCGTTATTGCCATCGGAATCTATGCTATCTTCGTGCTTACGTTCATATTTTCCAATATTTTGTTATCTCTTTGGAATTTCACAAGTCAGAAGAAGAAAGAATTCTTGAAAAGTAAGTGTATTTGAATTGAAGAAGATTGTTTTTATTGATTTGTTCATGTTAGATATTCGAAGTGAGAAACCTGTCGAAGGCGAAGATGAAAAAATGAATGCGAACAGTGCTCAACAAAGTGAAGATGAAGCTGAATTAGAAATATCGCTTAGTGGAGGACGACCTGGATGTTTCGATCGACTCGGAGTCATTATTGACGATACACTACATCGAATATTTACAGTGTACGTGCGAAAACGATTTCAACTATCAATCATTGTGTAAACTATTCTTATTGCTTTAGTATCGGCCAATTTTGTGCGTATAATCCAAAATATACAATCATACCGGTGATGGTGATTTTGTTTTTGCTATGTTTTGGTAGCCGATACTATACAGTTACAACTGATCCAGTTGATCTGTGGGTTGCATCTAATTCTCGTGCACGATTAGAAAAAGCTTATTTTGATGAAAAATTCGGGTAGGGATAGATTTTAGATTTTCTTTTGGAAACTCCTCATCCATTTAATTAGACCATTTTATCGTATTGCACATCTGATACTTGTGCCAAAAGTTAAGAAAAATGTTACACTTCGATACAAAACACCATTGGAAGCCGAAGAAAAGTATACGTTTGGGCCTGTTTTCGAACGCAATTTTCTCCTTGATGCATTGCGTCTGCAATTATTCGTAGAAAACTTCAATGTTACAACAGAATTGGGTAAAACAATCCATTTAAATGATACCTGTTACAAACCACTCGAGCCTGATAACAATCATTGTGCTGTATTCTCTTTATTTCAATACCATCAAAATAATCTCACTTTTCTTCTCAACGAACCGCTTTATCCATCACAATATCTCGAATGTATGCAAGCACCGTTAACACAACAAACGAAATCATTCCATCAGACATGTATGGGTAAATTCGGTGGTCCTATTGATCCATACATGGTACTCGGTGCATTTCCGACACACGATGGTGTACCGGACTATGCTAAAGCTCAAGCTCTGATCATAACAATTACGATTAACAATCAACGTAAGACAAACGAAAATGACAATCAACAATTGAAAAATGCACTTTTGTGGGAAAAATATTTCTTGGAATACATGACGACATACCGTTCGAAATGGTTTGATGTCAAATACCGTGCAGAAAGATCAATTGAAGATGAAATCGAACGAGAATCAAAATCAGATATCAAAACAGTGCTTATATCGTATTTAATTATGTTCTTATACATAGCTATAGCATTGGGTCGTATAAGAAATTTTCGATATCTTTTGGTGGATATGAAAGTCTCATTAGGTATTGCTGGCGTTGCATTGGTTACGCTTAGTGTTTGGGCAAGTGTGGGAATTTTCTCCTATATGAGAATACCAACGACATTGATTATATTTGAAGTTATTCCATTTCTTGTTTTGGCTGTCGGTGTTGGTAAGTGAATAAGTTTCGTGTAGATAGGCTATAAGATTTCATATTTAAAAAAGAATATGTCTTTTGAGATAATTACAATAAACAGAGAAGGTTAGAGGATAGGATTTTATCAAAACTTAGATGAGTTAAGAAATAATGGAGAGTGTTTATTATACCTTAAGGTTTATTTAGTGTAGAAAAGAATAGAAGATCAACCTTGAAAGATGGCATAGTTACGCTTTACTTATAAATATATATATATATATATATGAACGTGAGATTTATAACATTGTTGCGAAAGACAAAGTTTTCTTTGCAATAAAATGTTTAATGACAAATATCAACTGATCGAGAAAATAGAATCGATTTGTGATAAACTAAAATCTTCTTTGTCTATTAGATAATATATTCATTTTGACTCAATCAATTCAACGTGATCAACGTAATCCTGATGAAGATGTTGAAACTCAAATTGGTCGTATTGTCGGTCGTGTTGGTCCGGCAATGTTACTAACATCTGTATCCGAAAGTATCGCATTTTTTCTTGGTGCATTAACACCGATGCCTGCCGTTCGTTTATTCAGTTTGTATGCAGCTGTATCTGTACTTATTGATTTTCTTCTTCAAATAACAGTCTTTGTTACATTCATAACACTCGATCATAAACGAACGCTTGAAAATCGTGTTGATGTTCTCTGTTGTCTACAAATATCTCGTGAACCAAATGAACAAGAAGAATCCGGTATATTCCCGAAATTGAAATGGTTTCGTCGAAAATCCGTTGATGAAACAGAACCGGAAATTGTTATTACACAACAAACACCTTCAACGCCAAGAAAATCGAATGCAGGCAGTATTCTTCGGCAAGCATCAGCTATAGAACCGTGTGAAGAACATCTCATGGAAATGGATGGATTCTTATTTGGTATATTCAAACATTACTATGCGCCATTCATTATGAATCAGCATGTGCGACCAACGGTCATTTTCTTGTTTTTTACTTGGCTTGCAGCAAGTGTCGCGCTTTTGCCGTTTGTTAAAGTTGGTCTAGAGCAAAACATCACTATGCCAAAGGATTCGTACATGATTGATTATTTTTCTGCTTTGAAAGAATATTTCGCTGTTGGACCACCTGTCTATTTCGTCATTAAGCCAGGTAAATCAACGAAACTTCCTAAAGACGATTGATTGGATTTTGTTATTTTATTGTAGGAATAAATTACGGAAACATCAATGCAAGTAATATGATTTGTTCTAGCTCAGGCTGTTCATCACAATCCATGGCCAACCAATTAGGTATCGCATCGTTGCGTCCAACTGAAACTCGCATTGCCCAAATAGGCACAACATGGTTAGATGATTATTATGATTGGTTACGTCATCGTGGTTCAACACCATGCTGTCGCTTACATAATAATACTGGTCAATTTTGTTCAACAAACGCTGCATCGGGTAGCAAATGTCATCCTTGTACAAGCAGTACAACGCGTGAAAGTTTGACAGAAAGCGAATTTCGTCAATTTTTGCCATACTTTCTCAAAGACAATCCAAATTTTAAATGCGCTAAAGGTGGTCATGCTGCCCATGGAAACAGTGTGGCACTATTTGGAAAGAACAAATCAGTGGAAGCAAGTCTTATCATGGGTTATCATAGTGTATTAATCACTTCAAATGATTTCATCGAAGCAATGCAACAAGCGTATATCCTAACCGATAATATTACGAAAACCTTAAAATCGTCCGGTTACAACGTTGAAGTTTTTCCGTACAGGTATGAAAAAAGAAAGATTCTTATGATTGGTTTCATTCCGTTTCCCTTTCTTCTAGCATCTTCTATGTCTTCTACGAACAATATCTAACTATTTGGCACGATGTTTTCATGAATTTGACAATATCAGCTGCAGCTATCTTTGTGGTGGCGTTTGTATTGCTTGGCTTCGACATTATTTCTGCATTCATAATCACATTAACCATCGCTATGTAAGTTCATCTATAGAAAAAAGAAACACATTCATCTTTTGATTCTTTGATTACATAGGATCACTTGTGATATGATTGCTATGATGTATATATGGAATATTGAAATGAATGCTATTTCGTTAGTTAATCTCGTCATGTCAGTTGGTATATCACTTGAGTTTTGCGCTCATATATGTCGTGATTTTATCCTATCAGCCAAAGGTTCACGTTTGAAACGTGCCGAACAAGCACTCGCCTATATGGGCAGTTCGGTACGTTAAATTGTGACGAAAGAAATAATGGCATTGTTCGAGATTTTCTTTTCTAGGTCTTCAGTGGTATCACTTTAACTAAAATTGGCGGTATCGTAGTACTCGGCTTCTCACATTCCCAACTTTTCCACATATTCTATTTTCGAATGTTTATCTGTATCGTTTCATTTGGTGCCGCACATGGCTTGATCTTCTTACCTGTTCTTCTCAGTTATATTGGTAAGAAAGGTGTTCAAAGACAGCAATTTCTGGATGTTATGCACTTGTCGATTTAGGTCCCAGCCCAAATGATATTCGCAGAACTCGAATACAGCATAAACGATCGTCAAAAATAACAGTTCCTTTACAAACAAAGCCGTCATCAACTGAAATATCTTAGATTAGGCATTTGTCTCAGTAAGGATGATCTGTTTGTAACTTACACATACATCAAATCTCATTCTGCTATCCGAGAGAATCTCTAAACCGGTCCATTCTTTCTTTTGTTGCTATTCTAGTACGTATATTTTTTTCTCCTCTACTGTCCCATGTCCGTCTCGCCGTCCATTTTGGTCTATGTACAGTTCCTGTTTTTTTTCCCATTTTCTTTGTGATTTCTCTTTTTTTTTGGCCTTCACATGTCAAAAACATCGGAAAACGAATAGGAAATTTTTTTATATGAGTCTTTGTCAGTTGTGTTTTTTTCGAAAAAGCAAGAAATATGTTTGTATCTAATCACCATCCAATGACATGTATGTCAATGACAAGTCAGATGATGATATTTTCTCCGCTTTCTATGTATGATCGTAATCGCTTTTTTTCTCTCAAAGCTTTCCTCTAGCGACCCATTTTATTTTCCGTTTGTTTATAGTCGATTTATGTTATTTATTTGTCTTTGTTCTTTTTACTCTGCCAGAAACACAAAACACACTCGCTCTCTTCGTGATCCGTTTGTTTTATCTCATTTTTTTCAACTTTTTTGTTGTTATTTATTTTCTGTTCACATTGCGGACATTTGATTTCAAAAATGTATACATCAACATTACCTGAATGATTGCTATCGCGACAAAATCGAAAAGATATCGAGGACCGACGGGTCATGTTTACAGGTACATACATTACTATTACTTCGATTAATTATTCAGATTGATATGCATAATAGACGATTTTATTATTCCGCAATGGATAATTTCTTTTCCTTCTTCAATTAAGCAACGTGTACACTTCACTATTATCAAGCACAGAGAGAAAAAAACACATAAAAATGAAAACTGACATACAAAGTTTTTTGATTAAATTCTTAAAAAAAACAAAAATCGTTCTGCTTTTTGAAATATGAGAACAGATTTACATATTTTTATATACAAAATAGAGGATGAAACCTACTCACTGATGATCGATATCGGTTACAATCAATGGTTTATTCAGATAGAGTTTATTACTTTGATCAGCATCATAAACCGGATGAGTTTTATAATGATCGATCAATTCGTAGAGAGATTTAAACAAACGTTTGCCAATAAGATATCGATTTCCATCGTTGGACAATTCGATGCGAAAATGACGAATCACATCGACATCATCACGAATACTTAACGAATAATTTCCAATCTAAAAGAAATCACATACACATTTCTATTGAAATATTTGTCAACGTACTCGCCGTTCACTGTCTCGTATAAGGAAATCTCCCTTTTCATTTCCATATACTCTTAAATATCTTTCCGCTTCATCACGACTTAATAAACCATAATACCAACATTGATTTCTATATGGAGATTGATTCAATGTTAAATTTTGTAATGTTTCATTGATAATCGGCGACGACGGATAAATTCGATGCTGTAATAAGGTCGAAGGGCAATTCAATTTTTGTTCATCGTTCAAATTACTACATGTATCAAGTCTTCCATCTGAATGCGCAAATTTCGATGGTTTAATAACAAATGCATAATCATCATTCGATTTCGGAATATGTAATGGGTGGGAATTGTGACGCATTTGCTGGTGATTTTCATTTACATTCGAATTAGCGCTACTCGACGACGAAAGGCCATTGGAGGAGGAAGACGATGGGCAATTAAATTGATTATTGATTTGATTTAACAAACTGAGAGAGTTTAAACTATCTGTGGTTTTCTAAAAACGAACAAATGTGTTTTTCGAGGAAAATTTTGCGTTTAAAATTCTTTACTTCGATAAGATAATTCGATGGATACCATCCGCGTTGTTTTTCATATTGTACCAACCACCATCCGTCTGCTTTCTTCTGTAAAACATTCACCCATAAGCCAACATTCAGGCTGATTTCGTCTTCACTGAAATATCCAAATCAGATTTTGAGAATTTCGAGAAGAAAACGAAAACATGTCACTTTACCTTTCAGCATCATAACGAAATTTCACAAGCGCGGAGGAAATGAACCGATCGTTCGAACAAACGTTACTTAGGACTTGCTTTTTACCAAGACGCTTCGATATTATTTTATCCAATAGAGAACGTTTTTCACGTCGTGCGAAATTTGATGGAATGTATCTACGAAATTCAAATCAGAATAAGATTCTATCTCTACATAGATTACGTGTGCGCAAAAGATTTGCATAACAACATCGAATGTCTATTGGATATATACATATATATATTTATATGAAAGATGAAAGATGAGACAGTTGTGTACACTTTCAAAATGACAGAAAGATGAACTCTTTAAGTTACTGTTATATGATCAAGGATAATCAGTCGTTCTTTGTTTCCCTGCTGAATAGTATTGATCATTCGATTAACTAATTATTCGTTGACGACAAATGAAACAAGGGATTTCTCTCACTCTATTTCGATACATATGGATCCGACCAATTTGATCGCGTTCTCTCGGAATAAAATGCAAACTGTTTCATCCTTGAATAGCCTTACCCTGTATCATCCGAATCGACACGTTTTACTTTCCACCAGAGACATGTGTCATCAAGTAAGACAAGACGTTCATTTTTACTAATCGTTAATTCATGACTTTCTTGTGCATTGTAATTAAATTTTGCAATTACAATCTCGCCAGCATCTAATTGCAGAGCAAAGAGAAAAAAAGTGACAACGATCAGTCGGCATTAATTAATTCAACTTACTAATACTACTATTATTTTCTTGCATATTGCTTGAAATATCGACGGCATTCGATCTACAATAAATATCAAGTGTAGACGTCGCGTTTCTTCTCCATAAACGTATATGTATCGAGAAGAAACAGAGCGAGAATGAAAGAGGAGAGAAAAAAAAAGAAACTGGCACTGTCAGTTTACTTTTTATATATAAAATCGATTTTTCCTCTTATCTACATTGACGAAAAAACGAATGAAGATTTTTCTTTTTCAAATACTCTTCAACAATCAAGAAAAAAAATAACATCTAATATACGCTCCGTTTATAGTCTAATGGATGATGTCACTCAAAAAAAAACCGAGTTGGTTTGACGGGTGCCCAGGCTGCTTCTTGCCCCCCTTCATATATACATACAAAGAAGCGATGCAGTTGCGTGCCGATGCACTGTCGTTCGTTTTTTTTCTCTATTTGCCTTGATACAATGTACAATGGATCAAATTTTTCCTCTCTTCCCTTAATCGAATGTTCATATGAGAAAAAACGAAAAGAAAAACCTTGACAAAACACTCAGGATAGTTGACTATCGCAAGTCATAAAGAAGTTTTATAAATACGCAAGGAATACAAAAGAAAGAATTTATGAATTCTTGTGAAATGATAATAAGATATTGAGAAGAGAAGATTGAACGTGTAAATACAAAGAGTTTGATCTTTATCATATTGAATAATGAAAAAGAAAACCCATGTGTCCTATTACTATTATCATCTTCATGATGAAGACATATAATTATAATGAAAATACGGGTGAGAATGAGGAAGAAAGCGAAAACAAATAGATAAAAACGACGAGACATCTCAGTAACTATTTGAACAAGTCTGTTGTCTTTGTCTTTCTCTCTTTCTATAGCTACACATATATTTATAGAGCGATAATTGTAATGTGAAAATGCATGATCTCTCATGAGAGCACCTTACTGACTAAATATAAAGATCTATTTGTAGACATCAAGCACAACTTAACTTACATGCTACTATCTTCTTGTCGTTGACAAGATAGATAAAAACACATGAATGGACAAAAATAACAATAGGAGAAAAGTATCAGGCGAATAAAACTGTACGACTTGTCAACAATTGATTCACTTCAATTATATTATCTGTCTTATCAAAATAAACGATAATAACAAAAGGAGACAACGACAAATATCAATGTTTATTTCATCGAACTAACAGACAAAAACCGGATCTCAATGTCTCCTTATATCGAGAAAATCTTCTGCACAATCATTAAAAGTGACAGTTGGAGAATACAGAATGTCAATGGAAAAAAAAAGTAAACAAGAGACAGCAATTTAGAAGAATGCTTACCAGATTTGATGAGTTTTTCCTCGACCTCGATTAATCCAATTAGTACAAGCTGATAGAAATAACAAAAACATTTGATATCTGTTCCGGTGCTGTAGAAGGAAGAAATAAACACATTACCCTATTCAATAGAACATACGAATACAGGGTCAAATAGATATGTGTTACCAGCAATTCGATCTTTCATGTTGCTTGTAGCGACAGATGGATTGATGTTTTCATTGGCAGATTTTGTTGATCAATTAAAAAACGACGAAATTAAAAATAGAGTAGAGTTCTTTGTCTATTCGGACGGCTACTATTTATTATTTATTCTTAGAACATTTCCATTCTTCGATTTACATTACCTTCAACATGTCAGCATCGAATACTCCAAGGTAAATTAACTAATCCGTCATAATTACGTTCGTAGAGATGAGTAATTATCTTGTTTATCTAGTCGTATACGTCATACACCGAAAACAACTCGATCATACGATTCGAGTGACGGTGGAACGCCAAGTCCGGCACGTTTTCGATCGAAACGAAATTGTAACAATGAAACCAACGAAAAGTAAGAAGGGAAAAACAAGATTAGTGGTCCAAAGAAAACATCGCTTCCTAGCTCACAACGACGGAATAAATATCATCCGTATCAAGCACCCGCGTGTTTTGATGAGAATGCTAACGATCAATTCCACGACGAAAATCATCGGTAAACGAAGGCAATATGATAGTGTTTTCTTTCCAATGGCTGCCATTCGTAATTTAGATTACCAAGTAAACCATCAACACCGAGCAATCGACCTAATAAATTGAATCTTAGAAATGATGACAAACCAAGAACACCAAAGCCAAGGTGATAATGACGTTTTGTTTTGGTTTTCTCACGAAAGACTGTTTGCTTCAGTTTTGAAGAAGAACAACAAGAACTTCAAAAATCCTTGTCGAAAGATTGGTGTGACAAGATGGATAATGAAGAGGCAGAGGAAAAAAAATTACACAGGTAGATTTTCATCAGCAGTACGTTACTTTTCCTCAACGATATCTTTTATACGTTTAGTTTTATACTTTATCTGAAACAATTTTCTGTTCATGCAAATAAAACAACAGAAGAGATTCTTAGCTCAATCGAATGTTGTCCGAAAGGTCAGCTAAATTAGATTTAGGAAACCTTTTTCATCTTGACTTTTCCTTCTAGAACTTCTACGACGTCAGAAGGAGATCAGTAAAGGCAAACTGTCGAAAGCGTATGAAGCGTATCTATCAGCTGTTCCTCGGTAAATATTCACAATGATATTTTTCGCCTGAAAATTGATTTTCTTCTTTTTTTCTTGCAGAAAATCTCGCATGCGACAACATCCACGTACACCATGCAAATATGCGAAAATGTCTCGACGTGGATTCGATGGTGCGATCAAAGCCTGGCGTCGAAAACTGCATGAATTCGGTGCAGATAAGTATGTATTATGCAGTGAAATACGTTCAAAGAACGATCATAGTAGTTATACACATACTGGTGCCAAGCTGGCAACTATAATTAACATGATCTGTTTCTATTAGGTAATGGTAGTGTGTTTGAGATAATGGAAACTGTAAATAATTCTATTTTCGGACTGGTAGTTAAATGATTGGATGAGATTGAGAGTGTTTTGGGTTTCAAAGAATTGTGGACAGCTTTCACATTTAACGTGACCCTCGAATAAATCATTCCGGATGCCTTCACGGAACATCCAAAGCCATCTGTTAGTTATATTGGAAATGCTGTATTTGGTTGGATTTATGCTGTTGGAATCTGAATATTTCGCCTGTTTAGAACAAAAGAGAATGGTGGTCATGATGACGATTCGATTTCATTGTCATCCTCATCACAACGTAGTGATGGCTGTTCAACGCCGTCATCTGCATCGATGAGCATGGATGATATCGATGAAAACTTCTTACCAGATTTGTATGATTTTGAAGAATCACTCGTCGTTCAGTCTAACAACGATCAAGACATTGAACTCAAGTTTGGTGCAATTATTGATGCCGATTCGATGGACACTATTGTTAATAATATGGATTCGCGTTCGGCGATGGCATTTGATTAATGATGAAATAATGGTAGAGGAAAAGCGTGAACGGAAATAAAAGAAAGAATATCAATGAACATGATGATTATTTTGTTACCTGCTATTTTCATATATTTACTCTTGTTCATTCGCATCGAATGGTAAATCAAGTCTTTAACGTCGTCAGATTCTTTTTCTCCATTTGTTCCCAAATATATATATTTTTGTGTCTATCTGATATACGTACGTTGTTTGGAATGTTCTTTTCTTTATATTTGTGTGCTGATATTTGCCTTTGTATATTTTTCTTCCCTGTCTCTTTCATTTAGCTGGTAGATATTGAAAAAAACAAAGAGAAAAAAAAATCAAGATCAGCGATGCTTATCTGCATTGACTTATGAGATCCATATATCCTTTCACGAAAATATCAACTACTTTTTTCTCGTTTGATTTGCAGATTGAATTGCCAAAAGAATGATCCATAGTCTTTTTATCATTAATGGAGCTGGGTAAATATTAAAGCTTGACTAGTCCATCACGTTTTTGTCTGCTTTCCATAATAGGGATGTGTTTATGGAGAAGCATTGGAAAACAGTGGTCGGAAAATCAATCTGCGACTATTTTTTTGAAGCACAATCTAAGGTTATTATACGATAATCCTTGAATTCAGATTTTAAAAAAACAACGTGTGTTCTGTTAGTGTGCTAATTCTGAAGATGTTCCACCAGTGATTGCTACACCACATCATTATTTAGTGAACATATTTCGTAATAATCTTTATTTCGTCGCTGTACTCACCAATGAAGGTCAGTTGTTTTAAATAGTTAAAACGATTCTGAACAAGTTTCGAACATTTTAGTTGCGCCATTGTTCGTCATTGAATTTCTTCATCGAATAATGGACGTATTCGAGTACTATTTCGGAGAATGCACAGAAACATCATTAAAAGATAACTATGTCGTAGTTTATGAAGTAGGAGTAGCTCAATCGAACTGATTTCGTAATACATATATTTTAGTTACTGGATGAAATGCTGGATTCAGGATTGCCATTGGCAACTGAAACGAATATTTTGGAAGAGTTGATCAAACGACCAAATATTATTCTCAAGATGACAAAACTTATTACTGGAGATGATACAAAGTACGTCATATGGATTAAATGTAAAACTCTTTTTTCTTTTAGAATTCTTAACTAAAGACATAGGAGCGATAAAAAGGAACAATATAAGCTTAAATATCTTCTTCTAGCTTTGGTAATACACTTCCATCTAGTCAGTTATCAAATATACCATGGCGTCGTATGGGTATTAGATATACGAATAATGAAGCATATTTCGATTTGATCGAAGAAATAGACGCGATTATTGATCGAAATGGAGTTACAGTCATGTGCGAAATTCAGGGATATGTAAGTGAATTGAATCGATGGTTGTTGTTTACGTGTGACAAGAGAAAAGTATATCTTACATTTTGGTTTAAATCATAATCAAAAGTTGGGAGATATTGGTTTGAAAACTAATTGCTGTCTATTCTTAAAACTGTAGTGTGGCTATCTCGGGAGAGGGTGCGAAAAATCTATCTCGTGGAATGGAATCAGGTATAACATGGCGTACAGGAAGAATTGTACATCGTTCAACAAATGAAATTTTAATTGATATTATCGAAACGCTCGATGCAATTATTGACCAACGAGGAACGATCATTAGTGCTGAGGTCAACGGAGTGGTACGAGTATAGCTACGCGCTAGATAGTTAGTTGAGATTTGACCGAAAAAAAAACCGAATAGTTTGATTTGCTATGATTAAATTTGAAAATTTTCTCAACAATTTGAAATCTATTTTCTGCGTTTTTTCCCCAGATTGATTGCTGTATCAAGCTTAGTGGAAATCCAGATTTGACCTTGTCGTTTGTCAATCCTCGGCTACTAGATGATGTCAGTTTTCATCCATGTGTACGATTGAAAAAATGGGAGGTATGATAGATTGATTAACATGACGAAAATGAAGTTAATTGAGTTGTTGCTATTTAGAGCGAACGTGTTTTGTCATTTATTCCACCGGATGGAAACTTTCGTTTAATTTCCTATCATATTGGTTCACAAAAGTAAGTTTTCCATGATGATTATTTATTTAGTTTACCATATTTTTTCTGTGTCAACAGATGTCAATCTGAGTAAGTTAATTGTCAATGCATGACAAGAATGTGTGAAGGTCTTTCCTCGTAGAGGAGCAACCTTGTGCTTTATATGAACTTGTTTACATATTGATAGCTCATATAAAGACAGCCAATATAGTTTTACTTCTGTAGATAATCCCCGTAGAAACATATTATTTAATTTCACTAAAACCCTTTTACTTTTTCTATATTTACATTTGTCTGTGATAAGATATATTGGAATTTTGTTCAAAATGTTTGAATTAGACGACATTGGATCCCATCTTAGAAATCCTCTTATGTTTAAATAAGTCAAACATACGGATTTTCAAGCTGATGATTAATAAGAAAGAGAGCCACCTATTCTGTACTGAATACTCCCTATTCTTCCTTATACATAGTGATACCTTCACCCTGTTAAGAAATTTTTATTAAAGGAAGGAAACTATCTTTTTTAGTGCAATATCAATTCCCATCTATGTTAAACACAACATTCAATTTCGCGAAGGTAGCAGTGGTCGATTTGAACTAACTGTTGGTCCTAAACAAACAATGGGTAAAACTGTAAGTTCCACTTCATAATTTGCTTTGTCCGACACTCTCTTCTTTTGCTTCCATAGCTTGAAGCCGTAGTCATTGAATGTTCAATGCCAAAGAGCGTACTCAATTGTACTTTGACACCAACACAAGGTAAATGTACATTTGATCCAGTGAAGAAGATTCTTGTTTGGGATATTGGCAAAATCGAAAGCAAAACACAAGCTGCAGCTCGTTTACCATCTTTACGTGGCAATATTGTGTTAAGTACTGGTCAACCGCTGCCAGAATCCAATCCCGTCTTGAATGTTCGTTTTACATTAAATCAAATCGCAATATCAGGCATCCGTGTACAACGAGTAGATATGCACGGAGAAAAATATAAGCCATTCAAAGGTGTTAAGTATATCACAACAGTCAAAAACGGTCGTTTTCAGATTCGTACATAGACTTTTAAAAACAAATGATTTTCCGAATTCTATTTTTGTGTGCAATAGAAACAAAACAAAACTGTAATGATTGTCGTTCCGTATTTTATGATTTGATATTTTTTTTGTGTATTGATATTGTCTTCTAGTTTCAATTCCTGATTAAACGAAAACGCAAACACTCCAGAAACGAATCGAATGTGTGTTTTTCTTTTCTTATAGATCATTATTCAAAACAATGGGTAAACGCGGTCGAAAACCAATTAAAAGCGATTCGAACACACGATTAGAGAAAAGTCGTGAGAGCGCTCGCCAATGTCGTCACCGCAAGAAACTTCGCTATGAGTATTTAGAAGAGCTCGTTACCGATCGAGAAAAAGCGATTGTTCAACTTCAACAAGAACTCGAGCGTTTGCGAACAATTTGTCAATATTTAGATCAGAACGGTACAAATAACGAAATCCGACAAGAATTGGCACAGTGGAAGGACGATCCTGATGTGATCAATTTAATGAAATAAGCACGACATGCTCGAGCGAAAATATCAAACTCATGTACCTCTTTTTTTCGTCTATACCTTTTTTTTTGTCATGTAAACTTATCCGGTTCGATGTTTTTCTTTTGTCAAACAGTGAATTTGTCTATGTGTGCAACCGCTGCACGAACAGTATTTGGAAAATAAATTAATTGCGCATCTTTATTTTCAGATTTTTATATTCCACCGTCATCATGGTGCGAAAGTTACGTTTTCACGAACGAAAACTGCTGAAGAAGGTCGATTTTATCAATTGGGAAGTTGATAAAAACATTCATGAAGTGACTGTCATGCGTAAGTTTCATGTCCAAAAACGCGAAGATTACACAAAGTACAACGACTTATCTCGTCGTATACGTGACCTCGCACGGAAAATCAAAGAATTAGATCCCAATGATCCATTTCGCCTTGAAGCAACGCGAACTTTGTTAGAAAAATTGTAAGTAGAAAATCATGAGAAAACTCGATGTGATCCTTTTCATTTCCAAGGCATTCAACCGGCTTGATTCCAACGAAAGAAAATCTCGAATTAGTAGATAAAATCACTGCCAGCCGATTCTGTCGACGTCGTTTACCCGTGATAATGACGCGCAATCATATGGCACAACATTTACCAGCAGCTGTTAAATTTATTGAACAAGGACATATTAGAATTGGACCTGACATTGTCAGTGACCCTGCATTTCTCGTCACAAGGTAAGCGTCTGCGAAAGCGAATCTCCTCAATCTAAATTCATCTGATTTAATTTAGAAACACAGAAGACTTCATCTCTTGGACCGATAATTCCGCTATACGCAGACAATTGTTGGACTATCAGGACATGGTAAGAGAAAACCTGCAATAAGTCAACCCATGTGATCAATTCATTTGTTTGTTTGTTTTAGGAAACAGAAATTGTTTGAATTCACTGTCTTGTTATAACTGTTGTTGTTTTAAAAATAAAATGAAAAGACGAAAACTTCGAATACGAGGTTACCTCGTTCTTGCCAATCGGCATCCAGTTCTTCATGTCAAAACCTTACGTTAGTTTTATTGATCAAACAAAAACACAGAATGAAACATCGATATATATATTCCAATTAATCGGATTCAATCTTGTTACGGTAGTTTTCCTCAAACCTTATACATTTGTTTTCTGAATACTCAATACGAAATTTTATCTGTTCGACAAAGAAATCATTGAGCAAAAGGCACAGATTCGAATTCAAAAATGATTGCATAATGACGAAGTAATTTATTTGAATAGAAATTTACAATGCTGTCAATATTTTTTCATAAAATATTTACCAAATTCAATTGAGACATCGTATTCAACGTTAAGATAAATGATCAGGCATATTCGAGTCCTTCCGATTATAAATCGACAATAGATTTCATAGCTGTCTCCTCATCCAATTGGTTCAAACATTCTTTTTTAATTCTCTGACAACAACTACTCCACATTGTCGCCATTCCTATGTGCATATCTCATACAATGCAAAGTTTCAATTAAATGTGTAACATGCCAGTGATAATGATTGACAGAACATGCTTACAATATCTTAATAATGTTTGTTCTCAAATATAATTTCATTGAAAATGAGCCGTATGCATACAATTGTAGAAACTAATAATGTTCAGAGAAGAAAGCGTTTTTTTAGAGATTATTGAATAATGAACAGATGGCATTGTGTGTTCATCTCGATTTTGTTTCCTCGTCACACTCTTATTCTTGTTGTTCATATCGATATCTGATTAAGGTGCATACTGATATATGGATATATTCATTCACCCTCTACAGAACGGGAAAAGCAAATATTGACTGACGCCAAGAAACCTTCATTTAGGTATCGATTACTTTTTTCTTCTGAAGGCCCNTGTTTCATTGATAATCGGCGACGACGGATAAATTCGATGCTGTAATAAGGTCGAAGGGCAATTCAATTTTTGTTCATCGTTCAAATTACTACATGTATCAAGTCTTCCATCTGAATGCGCAAATTTCGATGGTTTAATAACAAATGCATAATCATCATTCGATTTCGGAATATGTAATGGGTGGGAATTGTGCTGTATTTGCTGGTGATTTTCAATTACATTCGAATTTGCGCTACTCGACGACGAAAGACCGTTGGAGGAGGAAGACGATGGGCAATTAAATTGATTATTGATTTGATTTAACAAACTGAGAGAGTTTAAACTGTCCGTGGTTTTCTAAAAACGAACAAATGTGTTTTTCGAGGAAAATTTTGTGTTTCGAATTCTTTACTTCAATGAGATAATTCGATGGATACCATCCACGTTGTTTTTCGTATTGTACCAACCACCATCCGTCCGCTTTCTTCTGTAAAACATTCACCCATAAGCCAACATTCAGGCTGATTTCATCTTCACTGGAAATATCCAAATCAGCATTTGAAAATTTCGAGAAGAAAAAGAAAGCATGTCACTTTACCTTTCAGCATCATAACGAAATTTCACAAGCGCGGAGGAAATGAACCGATCGTTCGAACAAACGTTATTTAAGACTTGCTTTTTACCAAGACGCTTCGATATTATTTTATCCAATAAAGAACGTTTTTCACGTCGTGCAAAATTTGATGGAATGTATCTACGAAATTCAAATCAGAATAAGATTCTATCTCTACATAGATTACGTGCGCGCAAAAGATTTGCATAACAACATCGAATGTCTATTGGATATATATATATTTATATTTATATGAAAGATGAAAGATGAGACAGTTGTGTACTCTTTCAAAATGACAGAAAGATGAACTCTTTAAGTTACTGTTATATGATCAAGGATAATCAGTCGTTCTTTGTTTCCCAACTGAATAGTATGATCATTCGATTAGCTAATTGTTCGCTGACGACAAATGAAGCAAGGGATTTCTCTCACTCGATTTTGACACATATTGATTCGACCTATCCGATCGCGTTCTCCCGGAATAAAATGCTAATTGTCTCATCCTTGAATAGTCTTACCCTGTATCATCCGAATCGACACGTTTTACTTTCCACCACAGACATGTGTCATCAAGTAAGAGAAGACGTTCATTTTTACTAATCGTTAATTCATGACTTTCTTGTGCATTGTAATTAAATTTTGCAATTACGATCTCGCCAGCATCTAATTGCAGAGCAAAGAGAAAACGCGACAACAATCAGTCAGCATTAATTAATTCGACTTACTAATACTACTATTATTTTCTTGCATATTGCTTGAAATATCGACGGCATTCGATCTACAATAAATATCAAGTGTAGACGTCGCATTTCTTCTCCATAAACGTATGTGTATCGAGGAGAAACAGAGCGAGAATGAAAGAGGAGAGAAAAAGAAAGAAACTGGCACTGTCAGTTTACTTTTTATATATAAAATCGATTTTTCCTCTTATCTGCATTGACGAAAAAACGAATTAAGATTTTTTTTCAAATACTCTTCAACAATCAAGAAAAAAATAACATCTAATATACGCTCCGTTTATAGTCTAATGGATGATGTCACTCAAAAAAAACCCGAATTGGTTTGACGGGTGCCCAGGCTGCTTCTTCTCTCCCTTCATATATACATACAAAGAAGCGATGCACTGTCGTTCGTTTTTTTTTCTATTTGCCTTGATACAATGTACAATGGATCAAATTTTTCCTCTCTTCCCTTAATCGAATGTTCATATGAGAAAAAACGAAAAGAAAAACCTTGACAAAACACTCAGGACAGTTGACTATCGCAAGTCATAAAGAAGTTTTATAAATACGCGAGGAATACGAAAGAAAGAATTTATGAATTCTTGTGAAAAGATAATAAGATATTGAGAAGAGAAGTTTGAACATGTGGATAGGGAGAGTTTGATCTTCATCGTATTGAAGTAATGAAAAAGAAAACGCATGTGTCCTTTTACTACTATCATCTTCATGATGAAAATATATAATTATAATGAAAATACGGGTGAGAATGAGGAAGAAAGCGAAAACAAATAGATAAAAACGACGAGACATCTCAGTAACTATTTGAACAAGTCTGTTGTCTCTGTCTTCCTCTCTTTCTATACACATATATTTATAGAGTGATAATTGTAATGTGAAAATGCATGATCTCTCTCATGAGAGCACCTTACTGACTAGATATAAAGATCTATTTGTGGGCATCAAGCACAACTTAACTTACATGCTACTGTCTTCTTGTCGTTGACAAGATAGATAAAAATACATGAATGGACAAAAATAACAATAGGAGAAAAGTATCAGGCGAATAAAACTGTATGACTTGTCAACAATTGATTCACTTCAATTGTATTATCTGTCTTATCAAAATAAACGATAATAACAAAGGGGGACAATGACAAATATCAATGTTTATTTCATCGAACTAGAAGACAAAAACCGGATCTCAATGTCTCCTTATATCGAGAAAATCTTATGCACAATCATTAAAAGTGACAGTTGGAGGGTACAGAATGTCAATGGAAAAAAAAAGTAAACAAGAGACACAGCAATTTAGAAGAATACTTACCAGATTTGATGAGTTTTTCCTCGACCTCGATTAATCCAATTAGTACAAGCTGATAGAAATAACAAAAACATTTGATATCTTTTCCGGTACTGTAGAAGGAAGGAATAAACACATTGCCCTATTCAATAGAACATACGAATACAGGGTCAAATAGATATGTGTTACCAACAACTCAGTCTTTCACGTTGCTTGTAGCGACAGATGGGCTGATGTTTTCATTGGCAGCTTTTGTTGAGCAATTAAAAAACGACGAAATTAAAAATAGAGTAGAGTTCTTTGTCTATTCGGACGGCTACTATTTATTATTTATTCTTAGAACATTTCCATTCTTCGATTTACATTACCTTCAACATGTCAGCATCGAATACTCCAAGGTAAATTAACTAATCCGTCATAATTACGTTCGTAGAGATGAGTAATTATCTTGTTTATCTAGTCGTATACGTCATACACCNTCTTATTCTTGTTGTTCATATCGATATCTGATTAAGGTGCATACTGATATATGGATATATTCATTCACCCTCTACAGAACGGGAAAAGCAAATATTGACTGACGCCAAGAAACCTTCATTTAGGTATCGATTACTTTTTTCTTCTGAAGGCCCGTGATCCGATTACAGCAAGCTCTTGAATAAATTTCTTTTTTGTTCTAACAAGCAAGAAAAAAAAAGAATCGATGTTAAAATAAGTCCTAACGGAAATGGAATGAATTTGCTTTGGCCCGGGTTTTTTTTTCGTATTTACTCGTGATGTCAGTAAGAGGAAATCGAATGTAAATTTTAATCATCTTCTTCCATCTTATTCTATGTTAACGAACGCAATTGATCGATCATCAATCGAATGCGCGACAACGGAACTAACCATAGACATCATTCGAATGTTTGCTCTGAACAAACGTCTCCGTTTGGTCTCTTATTCTTTTCTCGTCACGATCCGAAATTGATGTATGATGATGAGGTGTGACCAGAGTTTGTTCTTTGCTCATTTTTAATGAAGAAAACTTCTTCATCTCTTCTAAAATTGACGAGAGAAAAAAGCCCATCTGTTGGTTGTTTTTACCAGCAAAAAAACTAATAGCAAGTCAATAGAGAAGAAGAGTTAATCCTTCTTCGTTTTCCAAGGCGGAACAATGTTAATCAAAAGAAGATTGCTTGATCTTTTGTTTGAATGAAGCTTCGGCTGCTCAATTCATTTTTGACCTTGCTTCTACACGTACACACTTCTTCAAGTATATTTGTCAAAGCTATGTATTGAATAAAGAAGAGAGAAAACGAAGAATTTATGTTAAGCTTTGAGAGTCAACACTAAACTAAGTAGAATATACACATAACACTCAGCCGAACATAAGAGCTGATTGTCGTTCGTCGTCAAGTGATCAAATGTGATAAAAGCATTTGTGAGAAAGAGAGAGAGAGAACGAGATTGAAAAGAAACGGCGATGTCTTAACAAATTATCATTTTAGTAAATCCGTTTTTTCTGTTTCATACATCCGCCTCTTTTGGTATTTTCACAGTTTGTAGCGAAAAAGGAAATGGATTAATGTTTGTTATTCATTTGATGATCAAACGTGAGATTGAATTCGAAAGAGAAGTGCATCATTTTCTTCCGAAAGGAAAAGAAAAACTTGTTTGTTCTCACTCAGAGAAGGAAAAGGCAAAACGACTCATCATCGATGATTGCATTAACTTGCAGACACACCTGTGTGAAATGGCAAGCGAAAAATCAAAAGTTGTGTTCTTCCTTTGATCCAATGGAATATTATTCTTAGGTTTTGACATATCATCGTAAGACGACAACAAAACAAGAAGGATATATCACAGAATGATTTGCTCGNGAAAAGAAAAACTTGTTTGTTCTCACTCAGAGAAGGAAAAGGCAAAACGACTCATCATCGATGATTGCATTAACTTGCAGACACACCTGTGTGAAATGGCAAGCGAAAAATCAAAAGTTGTGTTCTTCCTTTGATCCAATGGAATATTATTCTTAGGTTTTGACATATCATCGTAAGACGACAACAAAACAAGAAGGATATATCACAGAATGATTTGCTCGGCTTATTTAAGAGCTAGATTCATTTGAACAACAAAGATTTCACTCACTTTTCATTCGATTTTAATGTCGGCAATTGATTATAAGCCGTGTCACGTACAATGAATCCTTAGAATCGACTTCTTCAGAGCCACTAATGAAGTCACTCGTTCAACTTCATTTAATGGCACGAATATCTCCATGAAATATTCGTTTTTTTCTCTTTCTCTTTCTCCCTCTCTCCTTTACTTTTCATTGTCTCTTTCGTCGAAGCTTGTATGTCTCTATTCAGGTTCTCGAATTACTTTTTTTGTTCGTATATTTACCTTGGGCAACCGTACATAATTTTTTCTCCTTTTCCTTTCACTAACATATTGTACAAGAGAAGTAAGTACATTTAAAGTTGATTAGTGAAATTTCGTTTAACTCTTCTTCTCTATTACTTAATAAACATTCCCTACTTGACTATGTTGACATACTCGTTCTTGATGACAAAATCTTTTGGAATAACTTTGTCTTCTCGACAGACATGACTCACGAAGTTTTTCTTATTTGTGTATATAGACATATATTCTCTCGTTCTCTTCACTTAAATTTACTTTTTTTTGAAAATGAGAATCAGTCTGAAGAGAAAGAACGCCGATGAGAGAGAAGGAGAACAGAATAATGAAGAGCTATATCGTGTATATCCTACAACAACAACAACAACAACAACATCGAGAATTATATGAGACAGGCTCACTTTCGAACAAACATTCGTCTAAAACATCGTGTCAGTTAGCATGCACGATGAACTTGATGTGAATTTGATCGATCGATCAAGCAACGAAAGAATAAGAATAAGAATGAAAACATCTTCGACAGGTGAGAGAGTTACCATATCTCTAACGATGTGCTAAGATTTTATTCTGAAATTTTCTTTCCTTCGATCACACCTTCTTGATTATCATCATTTCTATTTTCAATGTTTTGATAATCCAACAGAAATACAAATTTCAGACGTGATTATTCAAGGTATTCAAAGCTTCTTCCTCAATTTACATACAGATATAGAAAACGGAAGTGCAACAACACATGCAGTCCATCCCTTTCCCTTCTTTTTTGCTAACCTAGCTAGATATATAGACACACACACGTCAGGGCGGGATTAGCGACGATGACTACTACCTTTGTATTTGCTCAATTTGCACACGTACATTGTGAAAGAATGAGTGACCAGTAGAACGAAGCTTCTATACATTCTTGTTAGATATGGCAAACATCGAAGGTATCACGCTCTATCACTATCAAGGAAATGTTTATAGAAAGGATTTATTCGTTTACATGCAAATCATCAGGGTCATTCATTCTTTCCTTCTCTCTCTCTCACTCTCCTGAATGACCTGAAAAAGAACTCAAACTTTATCGTCGAAGATCAGCTTAGGCCAGAGAAACAAAGCAGGAAAAATAGTTGAATAGTTTGATTATCCGTTTTGACAGACTACATAGATAAAATGCGAACGAGAGAAGCTTAGAGATAATATAAAACAAACAAATCTATCGTTATCACAGTTACTCGACATATTGAAGAAGTCGATATTTATTGCCACTTCCACATTTCATTCTATCAAGTATATAATAAATTAATTTTGTTCGACTTCAAGTATGATCACGTTCTATTCAATCAATCTGATGACATCCTCTAACACCTACTCATCATGCTAGGTTCCTTTCCCAGAGAAAGAAAAAGGGACCAAATAACCTTCAAGGCTCGATTTTCTCTTGTTCTTTACGTTCTCGGTCTGGAAAGGAATGACGGAACGTGAAAATTCCGTTGATAAAGATGTGTGCGTGTGTTAAGATACATTATCATTTGATTCGTTTATTGTTGGCAGGAAACGAACGCGATTGGCCAATGTAAAATCAACATTACGATTGGTTGAAGGTCGTGGAGAGAAGCAGAAAAAAACTTGCGAGAAGGCTTCTTCTCTCTTTCAAATTAATAATTGCAATATATGACTATTTTTTTCTGCAGTCGCTCGATCGAGAAGAAGTAAAAGTTTTTTTCCTCTTTCTCTCTCTCTCTCCTTTTTTTTTCTCTCTCTCTGTCTCTGTCTTTCTCGTTTGCGATAAAGAGATGTAAAATCTACAGGAGAAGAAGAAGGAGCCAATATTATTCTAGCAAGCAGCAATCAGCAACGACGACGCGCGAAGCAAATATTGTTTCCATTTATTTGTAACGCACAAACATATCCACGCGCGTGTACACGCACGTATCGTACACATATAAAAGATTTTTTTCAAGAAGTTGAATAAAAAAAAGTATGTGTGCCTATTCGATTATAAGTACATATTAGCAAACCTAATATAAATAAGTTTTTTTTTTATTGATAAATGAACATAGACAGTTGATTTAAATAAAAACAAAAATAAACATCAGTTTTTCTTTTCATTTATTTACAGTTTCATGTCATCATCACCGAAAACATCGGGGAATTATCAAACAAATTGTTGCTATCAACCATCGCCCTATGGAAACAACCCAGCCGGGCAATATTCTCTTGCTCCACCGCCGCCGCATCATCATCAACAACTAGTCAATACGAATGGTCAAACACTATCACCAACATCTTTATCTATGGTTTATAACAATGGCCAGCAACCGCCCACATCGTCGTCATCACCTTCTTCTTACGGAACGCCGTCATCGTTGAATGTACTTCATACACTTTCACCAACACGTTATCAAAATCAACAAATCAATGAAAAAGTCAATAACAGTTCGACAACAGTTATAACCAATGGACAAGTACAATCGATGCCAGTTAATAATGTAACAAATAGCGCTGCAGCCTTAGCTGCTGCAACAGCCTATCGAAGAAACTTTAACGCATGTGCAAAACCACCATATAGGTATGAGTTCTTTCGTCCAACATTCATCGAGCCTAAATCATGTCTTTCTTTTTTTCCAAAAAAAATCAGTTATATATCATTGATTACAATGGCAATACAATTATCGGCAAATCGTATGTGTACATTGTCTGAAATCTATCAATTTATAATGGATTCATTTCCATATTACCGTCAAAATCAACAACGATGGCAAAATTCGATTCGTCATTCATTAAGTTTTAATGATTGTTTTGTTAAAGTACCGCGAAGTCCTGATCGGTAAAATTCAATCGTCTAACACAGAAAAGGAAACGTTTGATCTCCCTTCTAGGCCAGGGAAAGGTTCGTACTGGACATTACATCAAGATGCAACAAATATGTTCGAAAATGGTTGTTACCTTCGGCGACAGAAGCGTTTTAAATGTAAGAATTCCATTCGTTTCAACAAACTAAGATTTATTTCTGTATGATTATAGCATTTGTAGGTGTAGGTAGCAAACGTGATATGAACTGTCGTATACCGCACGAACGAGATTCGAATAATAATAATCGACGTAATGGAATGAATAATAGTCTGGATAAGTCAACAGCATCAACAGGTAGTGGACAACGAAGTCCACTTTCATCGCCATCGGATAAATCATGTGATGAGCAACTAATGTTGATGCAACAGCAACAGCAGCAACAACAACAACAACAACAACAGCAGCACCAAAGATCCATGTATATGCAACATCATCAACAACAAACCTTATCAGGTAAATAAGATAGTCGATTTCTAGTTTCGAAAAGAATTATTCTAATTCTTGTTTGATTCAAAAGCATCAGAATCTCCGGACTCACGTAATTTACAACATTCATCATCAACATCCAATGCAGCTGTCGGTGTTAAACAACTCAAACAGGAACAGTGCGAATTTAATCAAATGCCATTCGATCCTCATACATTCACCAGCTATTCACCATTTGCTATCAACACACTCATCATGCATCAAGGTTTTGGTGATAATCCAGCAGCATTAAATGCCTACTATGCATCGCAATTACCACAAACTGCCTTTGTACCATCGTCATCAACTGACTACTACCATCATTCGGCAATGTATGCACCACAACAGACTGCATTGTAGAAAATTTCAATAGAAAAAAAACCATCCATGAAGAAAACTCTTTTAATTGTGTTCTGTTTCGTTTTCTTTCTTCGTTATGTCTACCTGTAGATATTTGACATACACACACACATTCCGTCATAAACCTCCCTGCATTGTCGCTTGACTTAATTTCTTTTTTCTTGATCTATATCGCTTCTTTTCTTTTTCTTGCTGCATACTTACCCTATTCAATCATGCCTTTTCGGTTCATTCTTGCTGTTCCCGATTCACAACATATAATACAGAGAATTCTATTTTGTATTTGTTCTTGATCTTTATATTGAAAAAAGAAATTTTTGTCATGTCCGTTGTTTCTTTCTCTCTCTCTCTCTCTTTTCTGTTTCGTCTAAATACCGATGGAATGTACAATCGCATGAGATATGAATTTTATTATATACTTAAATGTTTTGTTAAATAAATTATTTGACAAATGATATGCATAGAGATTCGATGGAAATGCTTTTAGCACATCTAAATGCGGAAGTTGATCAAGTACGAAGATGTCTTGAATGTATTGATGAAATCAGTACGACTGATTCGGTCTAAACTTTGATCTGAGATCAAGAAAAGTCAACAGAGATTGGCTTAGGAGTAAAAAGTTATGACAGGTGAATAGAAAAACGAAGAATTGAAATTAAAAATACTGAGAGGATAATATTCGAAAGTGTTTTTTGCAATTACGATAGTACAGTGTACAGATCGTTTGATGCCTTCGCTTACTCCCGTGACGATATTCAAGAAAGAGTTAGTTACGCTATTAATTTCATATTTTACATAACCACTTGTCAAAGTACGAAATAGTTACATTAATAACGAAAAAGCAGAAAAAAGTAAACACTTCGTCTTACAAAAAAAGCATAACTTGCTGTTTTCAAATGTACGTAGATTCAAATATCTAACAAAACAAAATGAAGAAATTTACACACAATGAAGAAAAAAACTTCAATTATATGCAAATATTCCATCGTTGTTGTTCATTTTTTCATCTGATTTCAAAAGATAGGTTAAATAGCACAAAAAAACATAACCAAGGAAAAGAAAATGTAAAATCTAGACTCAAACAACGGGAAACTGTAGAACGAAAAGAAACAGAATATCACATTGTTATATTACGTTGAATGGGCGGTATAGTTGATTGCCATCGGAATTGTTCGAGATGTTTTTTTTCATGAGACCAGTAGCCAAACTTCTTCTGTTCGAGATAGGCAATCATAGCACGTTTCTTCTGATGATATTCTTTGGCTGTTTGTTTAAGATTATAATAGCTCATATCCGAGGTGACCGGTTGAATTTTTAAACGTTGACATACATGACGATATTCACTTAAGAGAACAACTTTGGATACTAGACTTGTACCCCTAGGAAATGAACAGGATAATAGAATAAATGTTGACTTTCTCATCTTGTACATACCCGGTGACAGGTCGACCACTACGTGCGTCAATAAGTTCGCCTTGAAATGAGCTGGACCATGCATAACTATAATCGCAGTCAAATTCTTGTGGTTGAGCAAGTGGATATTTGACACGACCTGATGTACAAAGATATATGTTTAAGTTTTGATGAGAAATCTATCGTTTTACCAATCATAGGGTGATGTACTCGTACAGGATCACTTGCTTTCTCCAATCGACAACAGACAGCTCTTGAAGTGTGAGACTGTTTGAAACCACTCACTATAAAAGTAGAATTAATGCAATGATATTATAAAGTGAAATTCGAAAACTAAATACAAAATGTGATTGAAGAAAGTTTTATTGGTTCGATGAGATTAGAGAGGAGTGCACCTTGAACACCGAGTACATTCCATTTCAGAATTTTATCGCTACATGCCATAATAGCAAAACGTTGAACAGCTGAAAGAAAGATGGAATAAAAACACAAGTGACTTTTTTCGGTTACTTAATTAAACTTACGATCAGCATCAATTGTTTCCATACCAACTGATAGTTTATATCGAAGATGACCGTGTTCTGGATGTTCATAAATTGGAGCATGACCAGCAGCTCTCATTTGTACAAGATCATAAGGAGCCATAGGCCCTAAACTTATTACTGATACGGCTACTGAAAAATAACTATCGACTACATACCATCACAATCCGTTGGTAAAAATTCTCGTCCATCACCGCTAGGCGCACCGGAGATCAGCAAATGAACAGAAACATGACTTTTCATTTGAGTTTTCGTTGAATCTCTTTCGCTAGTCTCCAATATCGATCGAATAGCATTTCCATTAGCATAATTGATCAAGTCTCCGTATAGATACCTTTGTGTAACATCAGAGAATACAATAACACACTCTGGAAACTTACTGTAAGAATGCTCGTCGTGCAAGAGATAGAGCATGACAGTCGAGTAATGATTCACCCATCTCACTGACACTGTCCGGTTCTGGACATCGACTGCCGATACCAAATGCAACAACACGTCCAGCATCACGTTGTGCTATGAAATGATCGAATCAGTTATATGCCTCTTGAAATCATTTACTTATGGAAATCTACTTTTCTTTACGACGAAAGCGGCATAAAATCGATTATGGATGGTATCGAACATCTCTGAATGATCATTCGCTCGATTATGTTTAATAAAATCTGCTACTGTATTCGATATTTCTTCATATTCGGTCAATGCTACCATTGGTTTACTTGTTATAATCTACAATTTCTAAAGTAAGACATCAAGTGTTTTCTCTGTGTTTGATATTTACGTGGGATGGTTGTTTTTTCATGAGAGCTTCTAACGCTCGTTGAGCTGCGCGTCGTCTCGCGTCGATAGCTGTATAAGCATAGACATCCGAGATCTTCGTGTCTTCATTGTCCAGAATTACCCATGATCGATATCTAAACAAATAACGAAGCGAATTGTACAGTCAAGGAAGCAACCAGTTCCCGATGTTACAATTTTCTTTGATCCGGATTGTTCGGATTAGGTTCACAAACATTAGTTTTGATGTCGATTGGAAGCATATTCGCTTTGCAATATTCTTGTAAATTCGTAATCGGATTTTCAATCTGTGATGTCAAGCCTGCATTCACACCGAAGGTGCTCATCGGCGTAGTTGCAGAATATTGATTTATTGATGATGGAGGTCGACCAGATAAAACAGAATCTCGACCATACATCGTTATAGGTAATTCTTGATTGTTGTTCGAAAGAGAATATGGATTATTGAGTGTGGATGCTCGTGATAGGGCACGATCGGTATTAGCACGTTGGAGAGCATGTGCCACACCTTTGGATTTCAATAACTCGTGATCACTGAATAAAAATGTATGATGGTTTAGTTTGCGAAGAAGGAATTGAGGGATGAAAAGCTATATTTACGTTGCAAGAACATTCAATTTTTGTGTTAATTCTTCGACATTGGTAGATGTGTAAAGGTGTTCAGGATTATTCGATCCGTTTTCAACAATTTTATGGCCGTGTCGATCGATTTTTACATCGGACATTCCTAGACTGATTATTTGTGTTTTCATGAACAAAAAAGAAAAATATTTACCTGCAAATTTCGTATCGAAAGCTTCTTCATCAAGATCAAGAAGAGCGGCGAACGCACGTCGTGCACCTGCAATTTTTGCTTCTTTCTTACTTCGTCCTGTACCCTACCGAAAAACCAAACAGAGCCTTTCAAGTATATACGTATCGAATAGATCTCCTTTCGACGTACTTGAGGAAATTGTACATCGTCGATGGTTGCATAGTTTGCGTAGCGATATCCCGAACCTGTTTCTGTGTATACAATGGTTTTCTTAGTCATAGAACAGTATTCATTAAGACACTGAACGGGATTCTTTTTTCCACGTAATAAATCTTCGATAATATCTGGTGCGATGCGTTTTATTTGACCGCCGATGCGCGAATTTGAACGAACTCTTTAGCAGAAAATAAAATACATTTATCAGTCAATATTTTTAAACTTCAAAAATAAAAAATATTCTTACGAAGCTTGGTCTTGAAACGATTCAGCATAGGAAGGCCCACCTGGCAAACGCTGCACTGCAAACGTGAAGCGATTGTCACTCATCGTAATAGAACAAATCTACAATAAACTGTGAATGCGTAGTTATAAAGTATGCAATCTTCGTTCAATATTCTTGTCGATTATAGAAGATGAAACTTTTCAATCCAACGTATCCGTTTACGTATATATTCATCACGATCAATTCACTTCCAAGGCATACGCTAAATCAATAGACGTCAGAGCAGCCAACGGTGCTCTACGGTAATTGTTAAAAAATGCGGTTATCTTAGAAATCATTGCACAGACTTGAATTGACCTTCTAAACTACTGAATAACACTATCGTCTTGGCTTCTTGCATTCCTTAGATTTCTATTTATTGATGTTATTTTTAAACAGCATAAGATACAATCTCCTGAAGTAAACGTTGGCTTGAAAAAGTTCCGAAGAACTTATTTGACCAAATCATAAATCCCCGAAGATAAGCAACATTTCTTTATTGAAAAACAGTTATTCTAAAACGGTTGCGAAGTGGTGAATATCAAGCCATCAAACTGTTCATTGTAAACTAAGACAAAAACGAGCATTTTCCGAGTATTATTCATCTGAAATCGATCAGATCATTGGTTAGAAAATGTTGATCATTTGATGACCGAACCGAACCGACCGAATTTATACCCGTTCCACATATCGGTTTGTTGAAAACTATGGATCGATAAGTAGTTAACGCCCTCTATCATCGAGTTTCTTATCAAATCGATTTTTCGCTTTCATAATATTCATTTTTTCACTCTGACATTCGCACACAAGTCAAAATTTTATTTTATCTCACATAAAATATTTTGCTTACGCAAAGATAATCATGTCACGTAAAAGCCAATGGAAAATTAAGTCCTACGCATCAAACCACGTTAGCACATTCATTATATCCGTCTAGAGTGCATCCAACTCGAACTAAGTCTTCATTGATCATGAATTTAGTTACACCTAAACAACGTAAAGAATGGTTAGACCGTGCTGAAGATTACGCTGATTATGTAAACATACGATTTTGCACTTTTAACGAAATATATTCCATCAGTTTGTTTTTCGTCTACGTAGTTTATTCAGCGTACAAAATATGTTCTACCGCATGCGGCACGACTCTGCCTGGTTTCCACGTTTATCGAAGATGGTATTCGAATGTGGATGCAATGGGGTGATCAACGAGATTACATTATGAAAAGTTGGAATGTTGGCTGGTTTTTGGGAACATTGTTCGTGATCACTAACCTATTTGGTCAACTTGTTCCATGTGGAATGATCTTATTGAGAAAAAAGACCGATCTTGCATGTGGAATACTTGTTTTCATTATTACTTTTCAAGTAAGTCAGATCGAAAGAGAACCACTTGATCATATGCTTACATCAACGCATACGTATGATCGTATCATAATTGATGCAGTCAGAAAGAATAGGAACAGCTTTTGCTGTTATCTGCCATCTGTCAACACCACCTTCAGTTGTGATTACTATTGAAAGAGTGCTTGACTACATCATTGTTCTGAAAGAAAAAGGAAATTAAACGAGATGGAAGAAAATAATTCGCTTGAAAAGATTCATGGGTTTCCTAGGAATTACGCATATGTATTGCAGTCTCGTAATAATGTCGAAGGTCAATGTCATAGTTTTATCCTTTTACTTTGTTTCTATTATGTAAACATGTTGTTATTTTCTTGTATTTTTGTAGTCCATTGCATATCGGATTATACTGGAACCTCGTTTCTTGCTTAGGTAATGCATCACATACTCTAATTCCATTCTCTTTTAGACACTCGGTTATCAAACTTTATGGAGTTTTCGTAATTTTCTAAAGTGAGATTTTCAAAAAAACGAATGTCGATTTAATCGCGCGGAGAACTAATCATGAAATTTGCTACTAAATCATTCAAAATCATTTCCATATTCTCATCGAATTTTCTTTGCCTAGATCCTGTTCGTTAGTTGGCGGCTTATTATTATTAATGGTCGAGAATCGTAAAGAAGCACGTAGTCTATTCGCTGGTGTGCCGACAATGCATAGTAATGCTCCAAAAAATTACATGCAATTAGCTGGCCGAATGTTATTAGTAATTATGTTCTTAACCATCGTTCGCTACGAGTTATCATTTACGTCCATCATTCAAAATCTTATTGGAGGAGTCTGTATGTTGTTGGTTGCCGTTGGCTTCAAAACCAAACTGTCCGCATTATCTCTTGTGGTTTATTTAACATTTGTTAATTTCTATTCGAACGCTTTCTGGCTCGTACCAAACCACCGTGCATTACACGATTTTTTGAAGTACGACTTCTTTCAAACAATGTCCGTTATTGGTGGATTGCTTTACGTCGTTGCGCTTGGTCCAGGCGGTGTATCACTCGATGCACGAAAAAAGGAATGGTAAAATCTATATTGATCTAGATAAATCAAAGTAGTTCCTCTACTTTCTTTATTCAATGTTTCATGTTATTTGCCTTCAAAACAACAACAGTGTATTTAACTGATGTCTACCCTTCGTTGTGCACTCATTTCTATTGTGTGTATTGTCGTCTTTGTTGTTGTCATTATAAAAATTTTATCATTTTATTGTGAAATCACGCGTATTTATATTTTATGAAAGAGAACAAAATAAATGTCGTCAATAAATTCATTTTCGAAACTAAGTCTTTTTTGTTCGATTACTGTAGATATTGTTAACAATGGAGAATACATCAAATTTGAATAATTTGGTATGATGATTAGGAAATGTTTGAATTGTGCAATTCTTACAATCTCTAGTTCGATTTAATCTGGTAAACATCACATTCTATTCATTTAGGATTTGGGTAACAATCAAGGAGCAACTGTACCACTTCCATCAACATCAGCGGAAGACTATGTGAACGATGTAAAATATTTTATTCTCTCTCTCTTTTTCTCGGCGAAATGAATCAGTGACTGTTTTTGCATCTAGCCTGTACTTGAAGAACAATGGGCAATGAAAGCATTTCAACATGCAGAGACATACTTCAACGTAATGAATTGTTGAATCGATTGGTTTAGATGAATTTCTGTCGTTCGATTTAGTTGCTTTCTACAATTGATCCACGACAATTTCGATTGACTCGTCATGATGATCAGATCTATTCGCGTTTTCGTGAAGTATTCCCAAAACTTAAAATAGACGTTCTCGATGAGAATGAACTCAAATCAGCGGAAGGCAAACAAGTAAACGTTCACATGTGATTTGCTCGTGAAGTTGTCTTCTATCTTTTTAGCAATGGAGAACATTCTGTGAAGAATTTCGAGAGTTGGTTGACGATTATAACTATGGTACATTGGTACGGACTGATGCACAAGGAGAATATTCAAGCGAAAATACCATTCTCGGTAAGTTCGGATTCAGTTTCGATAAGAGTAAGTTGAATTTTTTTGCAAATTTAGTGGTGCGAGTTCAATTCTATGCAATTGAAATCGCCCGTAACCGTGAAGGTTTCAATGATTCGATTCGGAATATATTTGGTAGAAAGAAATGATGCTCAAATATATTTTGATATGTTTATCAGTTCTTTGTTTGTTCTTTGAAATAAAACGAACCGATTGTCGATAAAAAGAACTGATATCACCATTTTCTACCTTTATTTTTCAGTTAATCATGACGAGATGGGATCAGTTGCATGAACGATACTTCAGCTATCTTGCTATTTTGTCTTTCGACAAAGCCAAAGAACTTTTAGTATGTTAGAAATTCAAATAATCCTATCGAAGCTTGTTTTGTCACTTAGGATAAAGAAGGCGGCCGAATGAGCAGTGATTTTCTTCCCTATTTGCAAATGTTAGTGCAATATGAACGCAGCTATCACAATTTCGGTTTTATTGTTGGACCAAAGGGAAATTTGAGTAACGTTCGACGTGACGTAAGTTAATCTCCATGGAACTTAACTAAGAAGTTTGCGTATTTCTTGAATAGAAATCTCTTAGTCAATGTTATTCCGACCTTCATATGTCATTAATTGAAGTTCAAGTGAGACTAGCAGTGAAAGAAAAGGAAACGTGTTTGAATGATTGTCTTCTTCTAGACAAACGGCAAATCCAATATTTCTACACAAGCATCGGCTGACGAAGTCAAAGAAATAAATTATATCGAACAACTAACAGCTGGTTTGATCACATTCTTCAGTATTCGAACAAGTCTAATGAAATTGTATTGTGAACATCAGTCGGTTTTGAATCTTATTTCATTGTTTGTCTATTTCTCATCAGATATGAACAAATATCTACTGCAGTCCGACGTAATGAACATAACGTTCGACTCGAAGGTTATCTTGACGAAGCAACGAGCATATCTCAACTTGATATGTCTGCATTGAACATCCCTGTTCTTCACTCACTTCGTCGATTATTAAAGTAAAGGAAATCGAGTTCGTTCTACTTTGAAACTCTCTTTCTTTCTCAAAAACGAACTTTTAGACATGAAATCGATTGCTTATTGTTATTAATTCAATCGTATGTATATATTTGTGAATATCAATATATGGATGGAATATCCTCATTGCATCATATGCATTGCGTATTGAGCAATTGGAATGAAAACATTGAAAATCAACAGAACGCCAATCACCGGTTTACATTGTCAAGTTCCAGCGCATTGAGTTTTTTCAAATCATCAACGAAGCCAGCACTTTACACGTTCTTTTTGAAATTTCACGAGTTATTAGTAGCCAAAGTATTCATTTCGCACATCGATTGTTTATTTAAATGAAACAGTTTTGTTTTTCTTCAGTTCACGCTCTATTTTACGGATATTCTGTTAGAATACGGCGGACCAGAAGCAAAAACGCCGATGAGTAAAACTAATCCAGAATTTTCTACGCGCATAGCACAATTCTCTCGACGTTCGAATGTCGAATGGATCACACTGATATTACATACAAAGACGCAACGTACATGCTCCAGTCAATTTCAACCAATCAGTAAACGAAACTTCAACAACTGTCTTTGTATTCTGTAATTGCAATCTTAGATAATAATAATTCTCTGGCATCGGCAACAAGCGGAGACGATAGTGCGTATCGAATTATATTCGGCTATCCGTCGAAGTTACATTCGGTTTGTAGTATATTAGAATCAGTGATGTGAAATTGTTTTCTTCCGTTGTCTAGACTGACGACATTGCTCAACAGATTCTTAAAAAAGTGGAAATTAATACTGAAACACTTATCAACGGAGAAAAAATGTTTTACAATGGCGATGCGGTATGTATCCTTTCGCGTTATCTACATTAAAGAAAGCCCAGCCGCTACAGAAGCACTCCGTTCCTGTTCCTGACTTAAATTACTCGATCAATAGTGTTATGATAACATGTCAGGTTTTCTTTGAAAAACATCTGTAGCAATAGTTAACCATCCTGAGAACTACTTTCCGGACATGACATACTATTGAAAGATTACAGTGAACCTTCCTGTTCTTAGGTAGCATGTAGAAAGTACGTAGCTGTCTTTTATATTCATATTGCAATCAAAATACGACGAATACGAAACGATGATGACTGTGAAGTTAAGATGACTCTTCTTTATCACCGTGACAAAATGATCAGGACCATGGGATAATTGATTTTTGAGTAATAAACCATAAGTTATTTTCGAGAAAGGTCATCTCACCTTTCTTAACTCTACTCGTGAGACATTCCAATCAAAAACTAAGCATTCACACTGATACGTCTATACTTGACGGATGAATAAACACCTCTATTGACATGTGTCTATAAGGTGTCTTGATTTTCGAATAAATAAATATAATCACTGTCCTTCACATATGAATAGGACGAAAAATATATGTGATCAGTAATAGTACAATGGGTATAGCAAACGAGTCGGATACGAAAAATCGATGACAAAATGATTTATCTATTTTCTTTCTATTTCAGAATCAATTAAAGACATATTTCCTGCAGAATATCGATCCAAGAATAACTCTCGCACTTGTTTTTGCGTCTCATCGCCAAGAGCGTGATACAACTATAACAAATTTTCTCAGTGAATTGCTGGATTTATTGCGCGGTTCACGGCAATTACTGTATTTTAAAACTGCGCCAAAATAAATAAATAGAAATGATTCACATTTTTGTGTTTGTCTTTATTTTTTGATATCTACAGACTTCGCATTGACAAAAAAAGTAGCGAGATACTAGAGTTGAGCAGAAAAACAAGAAGAAAACAATGAGATTAATTAGGAATGAGAAGAAACGGTGTGTAGAAGTGATGTTTTTCTATAAGCAGATCAGCTAAACGTGCTAGTTGTTCCCGTAAATGTAGAATGTCGCTGTAACGATTGGGTTGAACGCCAGGAAATGTTCCATTCTCATATTGATGTAAATTTTGTCGATAAATGTGTTCGAGTTGAAGCAAATCTCTTTGATCGACTACTTGGTTTGTTTGATCTAAAAGAAAAACATAGACGTTATAAACAAAACAATATTGTTTGCATATCGCTTACCATATTGAATAACAAGTAAAATTGATAACAATGTTACTTCCGTTTCTGTCAGTTGTAAACTAACGAGTTGAGTTAAGACTTTAAAAAATTCTTCGACAATGCCATGTGAAATCGAAGAAAGGTAGTTAACTTGTTGATAATCCATTAGACGTTGTAGGCATGTGTTATACGAGAAAAATTTTCCATTGCTATACTTGGTTGTTAAGAAGTAACATACGATTAAGAGAATGTATCTTGGCCAGTAAGTGTTGAGAATGTATTGATTGAGATTTTTATCTAACAATGAATAGAATGATAAAGAACGGTACCATGTCATGAACGAGTCGATTAACAAATGCGAGGTCTTTTTAATGAGATCATCTGTCAGAGGAACATGACAATGAAGCAAAGGTTTCAAATGATCAAATAATGTATCAATGGTGGAGAGTTGAGCAAAATGATCAGCAACACTAATGTTTGAGTTGATTGACAAGGATTGATTGAGTTTACTTTCAATATTTGCTTTGAGTTCAGCATCGGACATGATCAGTTCTTGGAGTTCTATGGTTTTTACTGATAAATTACTTTGTTCGGAATGCTGTTCACTGTGTATTATTTCCTTATTATACTAAAAACGCAGACGAATGTTCTTTTAGATATTGAAATCGATCATCAGAGGAAACTTACTTTATATAATTGTGCAACATTCGCAGGCGTTCGTCCGCCGGGTGTTCGATCGAAGCGAACAGCGGCTATAACCATACCTTTTGCTAAACACTTGGTAAACCGACAGTATTGACAACGGTTACGTTGAGATTTATCGATAATACACGAACCATTACCAATACAACGGTATTTTTTCTTGTTTTGCACTGTACGTTTGAAAAAACCTGTGAAAACAAGTGATAAAGGATAACGATCTTGAAAACAACGACAAATATACCTTTGCAACCTTCACACGTTGCCAAACCATAATGAATCCCTGTTGCACGGTCATGACATACTCCACATTGCATATATGGTCGTCTTTGATCACGTGCAGATTTCATACTATTATCCGTCGAATAGTAATCTTGTGCGTCCTGAAAGATTCTCTCGATTAATCGAACTCTTCTCTGAAAGACAAATGTTTTACCTTTGGTTGAAATTGATTTAATGATCGAACGATTTCATCTTCTCGTTTTTGAAGCTCGTCAATGTCTGGTGTTAGCAAATGCTTTTGTCGTTTTTGATGCGCTGACTTTGATGTATCGATATGATAATAATCTTCAAAATGAGGATCAACATCCAATTCAGGTGTTGTCGATTGGGATGTCCACTCATCGGAGCCAGCAGTATCACCTTGATCGTCATTTTCTTGTACTGACTGAGTCGTTCGATGATGTTTAAGTTTGAATTTTTTGAACAGATCATCTTCATTGTTAGACAACATTACCGACGACACAGGTGATGATGATCGTGATGCGCACATATCTTTGATAGTTATATTTCTTCTCTGAAACGATGTTATGCAAATAACGATAATCGTTATAGAGCGAACAGGTATATATACGTTTTTGTAATCAAATCTTAATAAATATTTTCAGGTAGACAGTAAAACAAACCGTAGATAGGTTGACAGTGATTGATAATATTCGATCCCAAGATCAATTAGTCATGAAAAAGCTAAATACTATCCGTGGAATAATGACTGTGTCAGTATGTAACGCGCGTTTAGTTTTTGCTTGTTCTGCTCTTACCGAGAACGGTCGATAGCTATATATATTGCGGTACACTCTTTATTTTTCTTTGCCAAGATATTAGTTTATTGCATTGGAGAGGTCGAGAAAACTCGATAAAAAAAATGTCATAAAGAAAAGAAAAAAAACGAAGCGCATTACACGTGTACTCATTAGATACTAGAATATTCACATGAAACACGTATTGACGCGTATCGTTGGAGGACAAGTACTTTTTTACCGATAGCTTATGTAGTCTGGATTGAAAACAAATTTTAATCGAAATTTAGTCGTTGAAAAAAAACCAGTTAAGTGTGTTCGAGTAAAGCTCGATGACACAATCCATATTCGTAATTTGTCTACTGTGTCAGAGCATACGAACAAAAAAAAACAGCACGATTACTTTTCCCATTTAAAAACATTTCGTTGATTTATTACTCAATCAAAGCTTTTATTAAAACTATCTATACGCGTTCGCCACACAGATGGCCAGTCATCGATAAAAAGAAATTTCCCGGTCGATACAGCAGGCTAGGTCGAGTCACCCTGCTTTATTCGTTTTTCTGTTTGATTAAACAGAGTGTTTTTTATTAGAGCATTATCAATACTTACATGCATCTATTAACAATATCGTTTAACAATGTCAAAGCTTTTCCCCGCAACGATTCCGCAAAAGTATGATGCGTAAAAAAGCATCACGCTCTTGCTCCCTTTCGTCTTGACATTCTTGGAAGACGATTGTAAAATTGCAAGGAAAGGAAAAGAAAACCGAGTTCTTTTGGTTTATTAATAATATATGCACTTCTCGTGATGAATAACAATGATGAAATGGGTGCACTTGTTTTGTCTGCTGCACATCCGCGGTCACTATCACACTGACCCTTTACCACGTAGGAATTTTCGATTGAAAAGATCCTTTCGAGCGTCGGAAATCTCACGTAAATCGTGCCACTTATTCGAAGATCTTCAAAATCATATGTCATGACTGTGTACTTAACATTCGCAATCTATGACTCTTTCTATAAATAAAGCTACTTAAAAATTCGTTTGTTGGAAGAGAAAAAAATAGTACGTAAAAGCATATGCGCATCGTCAAAATGCGGATATCGAATAATGGGAACAAGTTATTCATTTAAGAGAATGGATAGTGAGTAGCACACGGAAGTGTTTTTGTTATTATACAATATTTAACTGTTGGTAACTTCTCGGAAGATCGAGCACATCGTTTTTGTTGTCCTGGAATCATTTTTCTATGCTCAGCAGATTTTTCATTAAAAAAAGATGAGTTCTTTTCATGGCCTCCAGCGCACAGTGGAATACAATCGGAACATGTCGATTTGGACTCGTGCATGGAAAGAGTTTTACCGACGATTCCGTTCAGAAAATAGTATGAGAGCCAGGAATAGTGATAAACTTAGAAGGAAGAGGCAAAATATTTTAGTCATAGTATCAAATGACCAGATGTTTCTCATTTTACTTCCCTAGCATATTTAAACTGATTTTGATGTTCTTATGGATTATATCTTCTTTTGTTAATCTGCTGTTAGTGCAAATAATTGAGATATTCGTTTTGACCATTGCACAAAGTTATAAATCGAAGGAGTATATGAGTAATTTCAGGTCTATGTGTTACTCAATGATGTGCAAGTCAACATTGAACAAACCTCTCGTTCTATAATTATATTTGGGAGTGGCGCCGTCTATTTATTTATTTATTTTTCTCTCACTGGCATGGTAATTTCAGTCAATCATCATTCGCTGAGACAACTCACTACACTACTAATTAATAAATTTATCCGTTTTCTCGTAATTTATGTTGATATTATAAGTTCATTTTTCGGACAAAATATCGTAACAAAGAGTACCTGCTTCGTTGAGGATGGTTCGCAAAAACAGTTTTAATTAAGTCAACTAAAAGATGAAACATTGATAAGTGTTCTGTGACATGATGATGCTCAAGTTTATGTTTCACTATTCGATGTAGACGCATACTCTACTGTTACTGTTCTAATTACAATAAATCATGACTCTAGAATTGCTTAGCGTCTCCAATGGTACCAGTGATTTATATTACCTATCCTAAGGCAGTGTTCAGATCCTCTCGCCATACAATAAACTTGAAAATCCAGTCAAACAATATACATTCTAAGAATGACAAATGACGGCAAAATACCAAATACTGTCTTCCTATTAAACTATTGTATATATATTCTGAGTCAGAGTAGACATAGCCTCCGATGGTGTCATATAGACTTCAAGAATATTGTTTGTTTAACATTAAATACAAAGTTATCAATCATCTTATGAAGATAAATCACAATATTTCTGTTTTCTTCTTTCTTCTGTCTCTATGTTTGATTAAACATTCCTGCTACTTTTCTCGGTGTCACCTTGCCACCGATACTATGAATTCAATAACGCACTACTTACTTTTGTTGGTACAGAAGTACCTAGACATTCTGCAAGAACAGACGAATTATAAATATAGTTGTCTTACGTGTTATAGTGACATAATGCATATGTATAATTAAAAGTTAGAATGAAAATGAGATAAATACAGTTTTTTCGGTCAAGTGAAGAATAGAAAAGAACGCCCATGAAATCAACTACGCTTCAAATAATTGATGACATTGAGACAATTAAAGAGTAGTTGGAATATGTTAAATGAATTGATTTTATTTCAATGATTAAAAGGCGGACAGATGATCAGGGATGTTTATTTAAGTTCTTAGACTTTGATTAATAAAAATACAAAATAAGCAAGATAATTTTCATCTTGATGAACTATTGAATTGGGTAAAGTAAGCAGCCGTTGGTTGATTTGTATAAACAACGCGATCCAGGTATGCCTTGAGATTTCGTTGTTCATTGGATAAACGTTGATTATCATGATAAAGATCTTGCTGATAACCATGTCGTTCGCGTTCAAGTTGTTTTTCGGCAATCATACCGGCTTTCGCTTCAGCTACACGGCGTTGATCCCATTCTTGATCACGTTGTCGTTCTTCTTCTTCACGCCGCTGAAAATTAAACACATGAATTTTCTTCGATAAACAACGGACATTATTTACTTTTTTCTCTTCAAGTTGCGATTGTTGTTCTTGGCGTATACGACGTATTTGATCTTCATTCATACCTTTCCATCGATCTGGAACAACACGATGTGGGCCGAATTGACTGATGGCCTGGTCAGGATTTTCCGATAGTAGGTCACTTGTAACCATATTCGTCATTTCAGCATAATTATCGTAGTCTTCCTGACGTTTCTTCAGGGCGCGACGTTCTTGAGCTTCTCGAAACTAAAATAAGCAATCGATCTTTTCCTCGTTCTTGTTTTAGGTAAAATAGTAATTATCATTAGGCTTGAAGTTATGAGAAATAGAAATTATCATTATAATCCCATCGCCCTCTTCCAACTGCATTCGTGATTACCAGTCAGCGTTACGATGTTCGTGACGCAGAAAAACGAGAAGACTTTTTTAATCAATAACTGACAGCAGACAAGGTGACTTTAACATTTCAGAATACATTTCCAACTACACATGTTACGTGCAATCTATTCTCTTTATTCATGCGGGATATTTCACGTAAGTGTAACAGTCGCTAACGGAAAAAGTAAATGAAGTATTTCGTTTTTCTTTTTGTAAAGTAGGTTATTAAGTGTTTATGCTTGATTGTAAGAATCTAACTAATAACATTCGATCCTTTGGGCGAAATAGAATTATTGATGAACTTAAATCTGAGCTAGGATCTTTAGACTTCGTAAACCTCGCCTCCCTCGATCTATGGGTTTCCACATATGATCTAATGTATGCCAATTGCCATCGTCGAAATCAGTCTGCTTTCTTTAGAGTACTCGTGCTCGATCTCAAGATGGCAATCAGATGGTACGAAGATAAACTTTGATGACTGATTGTTAGTCGACAGTCAGTTCAATACTGTTTTCATCACATATGTTCGAGAAAAAAGAAATCTAGAAGAAGGTTTCTCTCTAGAATCGACATAAGACACAATAGTAGATCACTTTATGTCAGTTTGTCTGCACGCCCTTTATTGTTAACAGGAAAACAATCAACGTTTCTGCTCCCACTCACTATTAACTTCATACAGAGTAAGTAAAACGACAAAAAACAGCTAGTCATCAAAATGTCGTATTTGTTACTGGCTCTGATTTTGTCAGAATATTCCTACGAGACAGCGAACATCAGTATTAGACAGATTGCTGTCATACGATCTGTAAGTAAATACATAATATGATTATTTTCCGGCATCCGTTACAGAATACTATGTCGATGAGTGGAACTCGTTTTAATGAACAAGACATGTGCTGACGTGTGCCTGACTTCTATTTGAATAGTAATCTCGTTCTAATAGATTTTGTTTTTTCTTGTAGTGAGAAAATAAGGTAACTATTTTGAAGTTCGCCAGGAAAAAACTTCTTTAATTTCTAGAACTTACTAATGCATCGTTATAGTTTCGAACTGATTTGTTAATATCCCGTCGACATTGTTCTTCTGCACGCTGTAGTGCCATAGCGCGCTGGTCTAATTCTATTTGTTTAGCGTGGAACAATTGATCAGCAGCGTGTTGCTGTTGTTCCGCACGACGCAGATCTTCTTGTTGTAAACGCGACCATTCACGTAGTTGTTCCTTTTGGTATTGATTACGTGCACGGGCATTAAGATCTTCACCTTGAAATTTCTGTAAACTAGCTACACCACAGCGTGGATCATCGTCAGATACACGCGCTGGGACATCTTTTCTCAAATAATCAGGGTCATTCAAATCCCATTCACCTAAGAGTTGTAAAATCGAATGAAAAACATGAATCTCAAAGACTATCCGTTTCTTACGTTGAGCGTTTGGTTGTTGGTGCAAAGCACGGAATTCATTGAGTGCGCGATTGTTTTCCCGTTCATCATATTCTTGACGACGTTGAAGTAATTGAGCAATTGTATCGTTTCGAATGGCATCTTTAGCTGTTAAGATTAAACCAGAATTTATTTTCTTCACTCTGTAATAAGAAATTTTTTACCGAAAGCTGCTGCGCGTTTTTCTTCTAATTCTTCCATCCATTTTCGATCTTGTATTTGCTGATCCAATGTATTTTTATCGATCTATTAGGCGTAGACACGAATAAGCAAAGTTCTAGGCAGTAGAAAACTAAGTCATATTCAAACCCCGATTTGACGATATTTCGAATTGAATATTCGACCTTGCCGTTCTTGTTCTGCGCGACGACGTCGTTCAATCGCAGCTTTCTCTTTCAGATCGATGGGAAGATCGAGTTTATACATATCTGTCTCCGGATATAAGAATGAAAGAATGTTGTGTATATTAAAAACTTTCTTCTCCTTCAAACACAACAAAATATGTTCACCATTGATGTTTCATATCACCATGGTAATGAATAGAGAAAGAAAAATGTGTGACTCGACGAAAGTCTTCGTCTTTTTCTTGATATCTACAGCGACCTCTGTTATCAATACTTGAAAAACTACGACTATTGTTTCAAAATTTAGGGAAAAAAAGCAATTTTCATTTCTTGTCAAATTATTTCGAGTTATAACCGATGCAGTGTAAGACAACGCGCGTGCTTCGCTTAATGTATGTATGCCTAGTGTAAGCCATGATAATTGAATTTCGCACATGCTGCAATGATCTAATGGAATGGATAATAGTAGTCTAGAATTGAATATAAAGTAAAATAAGTGTGACTAGTATGATAAGTAATTTATATTCGAGTTTCTTTTCAGAATATTAATAGCATAATTCAGTAAATGCGTCGAATAATAAATGAAGGATGAACGATATGCAAAGTCTGATAATCTACTATATCTATCGAGGTATGCGTAGAATTCCTCTTTTCTTTCTACTTGACCTGAGTTCAATAGGACTACTATGTAAGAAAGGATAGAATGGATTCAAATGTCCATAAATATAATTTGCATTTACGAATATAAGTTATTCTGTATTTGACAAAGAAATATCTTCCTATAGGAAAAAGAAAAAAAAACTCTAGGATAACTGAAATGTTAATTTTTCTCCAGTCAGGACTGCCGAAAGATGAAAGTACTTGACGAATACACGCCCCTGGTGAATGTTCCATTTCCTCTTTGCTTTTCGCTTAATACTTGAATAGGAACTTCTCGTGAGCTTCGTGGGTAATGAAGTATTATTGTCGCAAATGAAATCATGCTCCAATTTTAGGGAACTGTTCTGTCTGAGATCTCGAAAGTAATAGAGTACGACGATTTCAGGCGAGTACATTCGAATCGTAGTATGTTGTCCTGAGAAAACCTTTCATGTAAAATCTGTCATAGTTTTGTCGCCATGTGAGATTATTTTTTGTTTTCATTAGATCCCTTTCAAATATTGATCTGGCGTGTCATACGGTACAAAACTGTTGTTTTTGTAAGAACATAGTGTTAAATACTAATGAGATCTTGTCTTTCATTTATTTGAGATTTCGACTTATACAGACATGTCCGATCATTCATAAATAAAGACGTCGTAAAAAACAGACGTGATTGATCTAATCTGGATGTTAGAATGTGCTGAAACCTTCTTGTAATGAATTAGATAGTCCCTCGTTCTCTAGTTGTACATGATACGTTCGTCAACATTCAATCGTTTCCACTCGAAGGAAACCTCTGTTCTACGCATCTGTAAAATCCGAGCGTTTTCCTAATAATTACATTGATATTTCGGAGAAAAAAGAAAGAGTATCCGTACGACAATATGTTCGATTGATTAATAGAGAGGAGAAAAATCAATACTTGAAAACTGTTGTAACATCACATATTATTGATTCTATTTGATTGAGAATCTAGTGCGAGAAAGAAAACAAAACCGAACACGGAAATGAAACTACTTGAAAAATGTCACGACGCACATATTCGTACGATTGCTTCTTATACACACAAAAAAGAGCGAAGAATAGGAGAAGATCCATATCGAACAATTTCTTTGTATATCTATATCTATATATATATATCAACAAACTTGGCCGATTTTTCTCTTTATTTATTGGAAATGAACTCTCTCCCTTCTTTCTTGTCCTGAGTATGTCCTCATAGTTAATGATGTTTTCTTCCTCTTGTTCTCCTTGTAGGAATGATTTGATTCATAGCAAATAGACGACGATGTATCGATACACAATCTTTCTTTTCGTTTTAGTATAAATTATAGATCAATATCCTTTTAAATTCGATTAATTACCATTGAAAATTCTTATCTAAACAAACCGGTTTCTTCTCTTTCAAAAACAACGACACGTCTCGATCAAAGCAAAACAAAAAAGCAATGTCAGATTTTTGCAAGTATTATTGTCCCGATTTAATAAGAGTATCCGTTCAATCGATTATCAATTGCAGTCATAAAAGATGTAACAACGCTTATAGCATCGAATAACTCAATTTCTCGGGTGCATCCCGTTTGAGTCGTTCTTTTCGTTACTATTGTCATTCTTTACTTCTAACATCTTCTTCATACATCCATCAACAGTATGTTGTCTATCAAAATCGAATTAATCATTCAAATGATCTTGTATTATCTGTCAGGTAAAGCGAAAGAATTAATTCAAAGAAAATTTTTCACAAACAAATTTGTCTTAGGAATATCGATGTGTGATGTGGAAATGAATTTGACGCGAGTTTTGTTGAATCCTATTGTTTATGATAAATCGGTACGGCCTGCACGTATTCATACAGATGTGACAAATATTTCGTTTGACTTATCGCTTGCTCAATTGATTGATGTGGATGAAAAAAATCAGATTATCACGACGAACCAATGGCTAACTATGGTATTATGTCCTATCTTCTCATCAAAACATTTCTTGACTCGATTTTCTGCATGTATAGAGTTGGTTTGATCCAAAATTAACTTGGAATCCATCCGAATGGGACAATGTTAGTCTACTTCATATCAAATATGACAAAGTTTGGCTTCCTGATATTGTTCTCTACAATGTAAGTGATGACTTCTCGCACATCGGATGAACTGATTTTATTTAGAATGCTGATAATCTCGCATCATTGAGTCAAATATCAACGAATGTTATGGTATCTGCCAATGGTACTGTAACCTGGCTATCAACGGGTATTTTCCGAAGTTCGTGTGCTGTTGATGTTCGTTATTTTCCGTTCGGTAAGAAAGAAAAATGAAAGATGTTTGTTTAATTGATGAATAACTAGATGAACAAAATTGTTCGCTAAAATTTGCATCGTGGACGTACGATAGTGCTCGTATTGATTTGTCACAGAAAACTAATATTGGAGATTTGAGCAATTTCATGGCCAATTCTGGTAAATGATTTGTTGCATCAGCCGTGTTTAGTATGGTTGTCTTTCTATATTTAGAATGGGAAATTGTTAAATTGCACGTGAAGAAAAATGTTGTCACATATTCTTGTTGTATGTTCAGAAATTTCAATGATAAGCCTATACTTTGTAAATGAATAGGTCCCGAGAGTTTTCCTGACTTAACTTATATTGTACAAATGCGCCGTCGACCGTTGTTTTACGTGTTCAACATGATTCTTCCGTGTTTTCTCATAACAACTGTTGCCTTTCTCGGATTTTGTGTACCATCCGACAGTGGTGAGTACTACTTATTCAACAACTAAGATAAGTTTGTAAAGTACTATATGATTGTCATTAGGTGAAAAAGTGTCAATTGGTGTGACTACTCTTCTTTCCATGACTGTATTCCTCATGCTTGTTACCGATAGCATGCCACCGAATTCTGAATCTTTACCTTTGATCGGTATGTTCATCTTTTGCACTGGTGACAAACTTTCCAGTCTAGAAACTTTGTCTCTATTTAGGTATTTATTATTTTTCTGCGATTATTATTGTTAGTATAGCAACGGCCATGTCAGTTGCATCTCTAAATCTTTACCATCATGGTAAAACTCATCTGAGATCAGTTCCCAAATGGATTGCTCTTCTATTTTTTATCATCGTCCCTAAATTGCTCTTTATGAATATTGAACTACCAAGAAATTGGCAAGATCGCCGTGATAGTATTGTCAAATTCATGGTAAGAAAATGCTGCTACGTCATGCTTTTGCGCATCATTTACTTCTAGTCATCGTCACCATATCCCTTAAGATCAAAGACACGGAAGAAACATATCAAAACATTTAACAAAGCAGCAATGAACAAATATGAGTATACAAATTCAACAACAAGCGTACCAAATGGTAAAATGACGTTATATGAAGATCGAATCGAACACGAGCCAACAACCGCAACAACATCGTTAACATATTCCGAGAATCTCCATTCCTGCGAATTTTTTGCACCTCCACCTTTGATACTTCGTTCCTATACATCGTATCAATCACCCACAAACGCTTCAACGAAACAAAAACAGAAACAGTCGGAAAAAGAAAATCCCAATCACGTATCGGAATCCAGCAGTAAATCGACAAGTAGTTTCAATTCATCTGCTGATTATGTTCATCGGCTGGTCGAACAAAATGAACGTCGATATGAAAAACAAGAACATCATGCATCTATTGCATACGAGTGGCAGATTCTCAGTCGCGTTGTTGATCGTTTGCTTGTTTTTGTATTTTTTATTAGTAACATTCTTGTTTTTTATATTATTTTTCGTCAGGCGCCACTTTTAAGATTAAAATGAATAAAGACAAAACGTTCGGATTACAAACAAATGCTTTCAAAAAGAATCTTTCGTTGCAATGATCAAGGCCAAGTAGGATTCTTTTGATCAACTATGAAACATCTCTGTTTCCTTCGATAAGGCGAATATGACGTCATCAGGTGAATAAATATAGCTCATGATTCGAAAGAAAACAAGATGCAACGTCGTATGAGCATATATGAAACATCTTTTGTTCGAAATTGAATCAACGGACGAGAAATTTCACTGCTTTCTTTTTATATCTCTGACAATGAACTTCTTTCGTATGATCATGAATTATTAATTAAACTGTTCTTCGCGTCTAGATTAGATTGGCAAAGTAGCCAAATACATGAAGATTCGTTCTATCCGAATGAGAAAACGTAAGTTCGAAAAGAACAAGTCGAGAATGGTACGTGGTTACCATCTGCTCGTTGAAATTAATATGAACGGGATGTCAAAAACTTTTAACTAATGAATATTTCACTATTTTTTTTGTCGCAGGTATGAAAAGCGCTCGTTTAACAGTTCAATGATTATTATTCATATGCAGATGTGATATTTTGTGTGAGTAGGAAGCTCTTCCGGTGTCACACTCGAGGATATATTTAGTTTTAATTATATCGAAAGTTAATTTGAACCTGAGTGCTAAAAACCGTACGATGATTAATCAGAAGATAATGTACTTGAATTTTATTTCAATGATAATAAATAAAGTCATTTATCAGCCAATATCGACCGAAGATTAGATCATGTAAAATAAATGGATAATCAGATTTGTCTTGTCACAAATAATATTCCATATAGCCTTCATTAGACAATCAAATATTGTTACACATCCTTTTTTTTTATTAACATCACGTTGTCTAATCGAGAATTTCGTTGTTAGAGAGAAAATGATCACAAGATAGACAAGACAGTTAATACATTCGTCTAGTTCCATACACTCTACGAGCTGCATTCATCATATGTGGTTAACCAAGTGGATAATTGACTAATACGATATCGCTTTTCTTTGATATATCCGTAAAAGGTATCAATTTGACAACTTATCGGATTAAAGACATACGGAAATAATCATTTACACGTGTATGTCTCGTCCGTTGTTCTCAAGTAATGAACCAGATGTTCACATTTCCATTAGCATTCAAAGCAACAACTTCATCAGTGTTTGTGCGAGCAAATGTACCAGAAACTAGATTTATTCTGGTCTCCAAGGTAATCTTCTTATGCGTGTCTACATAGGTAACTATGTTTATTAATTAATCGAGTCCAATTATTCATTTATCAGTATGTCAAAAGCATGTACTAATATGATTGTATTGTATTTTCAGATATGCTACTCTCTATGGTTGTTCCTCGAAGATTAGGAACACAAAAGGTTCATGATCTTAATTAAATACAGTCCTTTCTCGATAGTACTTTGTCCTTTATATATTAGAATAGACTGCAAATGAAAGCTGATCCATATCGGTTAGTTGAAGATCAAAGTATTCATACGACCAGACTATTTTCAACTTCGATGAATATACTTCTTTAGTGCTTCATCCGACTTTTAATTAACAAGGACAAAAAAGATGAAGTTCAACAACTTGTTTTTTTAGCAAAGTATAATATACATTCTTGAAATATATATATAAGATAGATAGATAGATAGATACACTACGTACTACAATTAACAACAAAACAAGGAAAGACAAGACGGAATGAGTCACAGGGAAAATAAAAATCAGATTGTATTCGTTTTTTCTCCTCTTCACAAAAAACGAGATCACTATGTTCGATAAGACATTCAAGAAAAACAGTCGATATCTAATGTTCAGTTGGAGTATCACCTTCAATCGTTGATTGAGTTGCTCGAATAGGATTTGTTCGCTCAAGTGCATACTCAGTAATTCGACTATTACTTGATCCGTTAGCTATACTTATTTGTGTTTGAAGAAGAAACGGTCGAATTTCGTGCGATGACAATGGTCCGCTAATTCCTCGGTTAATGCCATGTTTGGGTTTATAGCGTTTGTGTAGAAGCTTCTTAATTTCCCGACGAAAGATCGACGAGGATGCGAAACAAAAGACGAATGATGCTGCATAATAAGTATTAATTAGACATTGGAATATTGCAACTTTAATCATAAATGATTTGTGTATACTCGGTGTCTCAACTCCAAGTTCAGGGTCAAACAAAAGCGCAATGAATATTTGCGCAGGTGCGACCATGGCTAAGAAACCGATATTTGACGTTAACAACATCGTTGTCACTCGGCGTGTTCGACTCTTCGATCGCGATTTCAGATGTTCGTTATTCGTCGGATTGAGAAATGACTTTTTGATGATAAATATATTCAAAATTAATGTTAATATGCACGGCTAAAACAACCCGAGTCAACAAAACATTCTATGGGAAATCCTTTCTTTTACTTACAACAATGATGATTGTTACTAACTCCTGCCAAGCATTTGTCGATGCAAAGAATCGCTGAGCAGGATTTTCACTATTCTTGTGAAAAATACAAGCAAGAAATAATGTTTTGTTACTCAACGGCACTTGTTCACCGGTAAAGAGAAGATAATGTAAGTTTGTTATTAGCAATAGTAAACTAGTAATGATAATCGTATGGGATACGGTACGTTGATCTCTTGCTGGTGTGCGTCGGATGATTTTCGATTGTCGAAAACGATCGAATGCCACGATGACGAGAAACCACGAAGCCATACCCCGTATCCATTGTGCAATGAACACATTGACACGACACCAACCAAGATCGAACAAACTCCGGAAATGAATTCCATAACCGACTGAGAGTAGCATATTCATTGTATTTGTTAACAAAACGCCGATATTTAATAGAGTGCAAACAGCCATGAATTGACATGTCGTATATTTACGTAATTTCGCACGGAGAAGTGTGATGGCTGTTAACAGATTTCCGCAAGTACCAGCAATGATTAGAAAAAGAAAATAATCATGATAGACAATTCGGTTAATTAGGATTAAAGTTGAAAAATCTTCATTATATTTCGAGCTAAAGGAAAGCAAAAAAAAAGATTTTGAAAAGAAAACGTCTCGCGTTCTTTTAATACGTACTTGTTCATTTTTTGAAAATTTCAGTCTTATTATAAATGAATTAGATAATAATGAGAATTATTTATCTACAATCGATAGTGTTAGTTGATTAGACGAAATAACATCTCATCGGGAATGATAGTAATGTAAACGATTGAAAATTCAAAATACACGGTTACTTCATTACGGAAACAGTTTCGGTTTTCTTGTATGTAATTTGATCTCTAAGAAGTCAGTTTCTTTAGTCAAGTCACCTATCATCTTTTCTCATTTTCTAATAATAGGTAGAAGAAAAATAAGAAGAAGAGGAGAAATGAAATTAAACGTAGGCAGTACAACATGCAAGAAGATCAATAGAGATGTGTTAGCTGGAAAAGATGAGAGAAAAAGAAAGATTTTCTCGCCCATGTTCATCCTTTTCTTTTCTTTCATTGCCAAACTAATGAGTTACAGAATATTCTTTACCTGACTTTGGTCTTTTTTCCCCATGATAAGATTCTCCTTTCTGATTACAACAACACTAAACGATATCTAAAATGCCAATCTACTGCTCTAGTACTATAGATACATTCTCACGATTAATCCAGCTATTTACATTGTCGAGGAAACTAGGTCAATTAATGAATGTGTTTGTTGGTTAACAATCTATTAATCATTAATGTCGTTTTGTCTTTGAATCCATACCTGGTTTTGTGTGTGTGAAATCGTGTGAGAAACAATAGCAATCAGGTGTATGATCTTACTTCTTCCTTTCGTTTTCTGGGCGATTGACTCTTTTGTTGATATTCATGTTCGCTTTTTCATCTAGTTAAATTGTTTGAATGAAAATTAATGGTTTGGACATGAAAACAAGGAGAATATTCATTAGTTAATAAATATTGTGTTACCTTGAAACAGACTACACCAACGATTTCAATGCGGTCAATGTGATAAGAGTAAAACAGATGGAAGAAATACTCACGCGAGCGAACATATTCGTTTCCTTTTCACGAATGATGGAATATCAAAAGAGAAAACGAACAATTGTGACAGATGCATACCGCGCTTGACGCACTTTCCTCCAGTCAGAAGATGAGTTATGTGTCAATATAGCTAATTGGAACGAAAACAACTAAGTAATATTTGAGAAGCAAAAACAAACGATTCTAATGGATCCGAGATCAATTATCGAACATTGATAGGAATATGCTCAATCATATAGTTAAATAATCTCAGAGAAGTCATATCCTTGGGCAGAACATCTCAGCTCGGCTATGTTTGTATAGTGATGGTGGCAAAAAATGTTCTTAGGTCAAATAGTCTTTCACTCTACAAACTTGTCTTGCTTCTAACCAATTTAAGTTTTATATATGATTTCCTGTCTAATTGTAATCTATGTCATTTGTCTTTGGCATACTGGCAAAACACAAGCGTTTCGCCCTGACAGAACTAAGGTTATGCTTACTTGTTCTATAACTTTTTGTCAGAAAAATGGGAATGCATGTCTGTCGGAAGTACTGGTTGTTCGAAATGGATAATACAATGAAATGTTCCTCGCTGAGGACAAGACAATGACGGCAATGTTACGCATAGAAGTGCGAAATCAACGGAAAGAGCACGATCGAGTATGCATGTCAACTAATCGTGACGAAAACCTCGAGAAAACATTCATCGTCATACGCATATGGACAAAAAATAAAATCGCATTCTCTGAACCAAGAAGATGTTCATTAAGTATTAATTATCTTACTGACTAGCCGTTCGAAGGAAAACGTTGAACGAGTTAAAAATAAACAATTTAGATCTATTATGATTATCTCCTATACATACGATTAGGCAATTAGCTACATGCAATGTAAAGATTAGTTTCCGTCGTTTTCCTACTTCGAAATGCGTACACACTTAGTCACCGATAAGCCGAGAGCTCTCATCATGAAATGGACACACGCTTAACATTTTGATCAATAGGTAAAGTAAGACGGCAGTAAATGCGTAAGTTTAATAAGAGAAAAGAAAAGTTTACGACTGACGGCTTTTTTTCTACTCTCGTTTTTTGTGTCTTCTCTTCTATCATATAAGAAAAACAAAAGAAGGATATTTGGAAAAATAGCAAACGCAGATCTATGACGTTGACAAGTCGAAGAAAAAAATAGAAAACGATAGAGCTTTTTGTTCTTCATTTTCAGTTAATTAATTATATATATATACTCAGAATACGTCAGTATTTTACCTCATGGATAAATGATGATCTCAGGGAGTCGAGCTATTTGTCTCAAAGAAATTAAAACTGAACTCAAATTTGATAATTAAAGGATAATACAATAGCATATCAAATAAAAACCAGTCTGAAAGCGCAATTTTTCGAGATCAATCCTCATTGTTCTTTGGCAACAATTACATTTGAACATATCTGTTCGGTTTGTCAAGAAAATATAGTAGGTAGAAATAATTAATTACTAAGAGTAGTCATTATATATGATTACAAAGACGAGATGCTTTGTCTCATTGAACTTTTGGAGAATTGAGAGATTTCTTAGTTAGTAATTTCCTGAATAAATATATGTCACTAACAAGAAAACATTAAACTATTTTATCTATAGAATGTTTTGCGCACTTTCAAAAGCATTATGTTCTATAATTATCAATCCTTTTCAATAAAAAAAAACACACTTTCTTCAAATCACTTATCATGAAAATAGCTTCGTTATTGTTTCACCTTAAGGCTTCAGTTGCGTATTACTTTGATAAAAGTAGCAGCATCGTTAGACTCACCATCTTATATAGACAACAAAAGGGAAGCTTAGAATAATAATCTAAACGATATTTGTTTATTAACGTTCATAGAAAAAGACGAACGAAGAAGAAAGAGCTTTATTAAAGTCAGGAATGTCTTCAAGGAATAACAGTCTGTATAGACCGTTCTTCGTCAAAGTACTTGATGCATCTTCAAAAAACTAACTCACGAAACTTACGACGATACTCACTAGTTAATGAGTCTGTCATAACAAGTAACCACGGCAGATTTAATATTTATATTTATGCGCGAGAGTACAAAGAATTTAAGGTAATCCGAATAAGACTTCGACGATAAACTTATATAACCTATGTTTATGCTCTAATTAATATCCTTACAGATTAGCATAGTGTTTCTACTAGTAGGCGGAAATGCTTCAATCGAGACAGCTTGATGGTTGAGTAGCACAGAGGTAAAATTTGATTGACTACAGTCAACCGGTTGGAGTAGTATTCCAGGAACTAATGACCCTAATATAAGACCCATGAGTATGTTTGCCAAAACTCTTGATTCTATCACCCAATAACCCAACGGTTACGCTTCTCCCACTGATTCATGACTTCATTCTTGATATGCATTGATAATAGACATTCAAAACAACGTTTACATCTGTTTTATTTTTTTTGTTTTTTTTCCTGGAGAGCAGTGTTGTTCAAGCGCAATCATTGTTTTCGCCTACGCTCTCAATCTGTTTTCAAGTTATTATTTATGTTCGTTGTTCATTAAAGGCTAGTAACTTATGATTTATTCAGTTTTACTTACTATAAATTACAGCGCGGTTATTTCAAAGTAAAATGCATGTCGTGTTCTTCGGTTCGACATCTTACCGTTGTGTTTTAATTAAAACATGCAAATAAATATCGATTGGAACCTTCGATCGTTGTGGTTCTTGTCTGTTGCTGACTTAATCTTTCTCGGCAGACAACTATTGTGTGAAGAAGTCAATCCAAAGATGAAAGAAAGACTAATAATACAAGCGGATGTTTATTCACAAGATTAGTCAATGTGAATTGCATGAAAAATCAATCCGTCAATGAGCAAATTGTGTTGTTCGATTTAACTGCCAAGAACAACATCAAAACAATATTGACTTGACAAAAAAGATGCTGAACTTCTATCCCGTGCATATTCTGCCAACAATCTACTTTTGCGGGTCATTATTTCTACAGAATTCATATGAGCGAGTCTTCCATGGTTAATAAGTTTCACTGTTCACGACAGTGAAGAGCACACCGGAAATGACATATCGCAGGCGTGGATAATGTACCTCACTAACGAGATGTTACATCATTCGAATGTAGGCACGGCACATCCAGCAGGAGTGCAAGTACATCTCCAAAGCGCTGGATATATGATCCTAATCAGTGAAGAACTCGGAGACATATTTGCGGTTCCATGGCCTCGGCAACCATTATTTCAAATCTCTCGCAGTGCGAAAAAATCATTAAATAAAATGATTTTATTCATATAAAAGAAAAGAAAAAGTTCATCGTTCATCAACAACAACAGACGTATGCGCATCATATCGATGTAGCATAATTAAACGAAATCTAGAACATGTTAATAGTTAGTAGTTTCTCCTTTGGCTAAAGTAAAAGACACATGATCGATCGTTCGCGTCAAGACGATGATTCTGACACTGTCTTCTGTCGTTTACATAATTCGTCAACTGATGCAGTAAGTTCACTTAATAATTCTTCGATTTGCTGTTCATTTCTACGAAAGAAAATTCACAATGATAGCAAAAAATATAGACAGAATAGAAATGCTCTACCGTAGATCGTCACCATCATCATCATCGTCGCGTTTGCGCTTGTTATCTTCCGGAGGTTTCATCGGAGAGATTGCTTCGATCATATGTCCAACTAATGGACTCGTCATTGGCGACAATGGCGTCGACGGATTGCTCGTTGGCATATCAGCTAATAAGAAGTCTGCTTGGTCATTTTGATATTGTGTGGTTGGTGAATGCGCGTCATCGGATTTATTCAGATTTGATTCGGCATTTGATGAATTGCATGAAATAGAATTGCCACGTTGCTTTCGATGACGAAAAGCGTGATCAATTAATTTTTCTTCGCATGTTTCATCTAAACGCCAAAAACTTCCTTTACCAGACTCGTTTTCTTTTCGAGCCAAACGGATGAAATAACGATTCAGACTGAGATTGTGTCGAATGGAATTCTAGAACATGAACATTGAACGAATGTTTCATTCACCTATTCGAGACACTTACTTGCCAACCACGATTATTTGCTTCATAGTATGGATATTGCGCTGATATGAAATTATAAATTTGACTTAGCGTCATTTGTTTATCAGGTGCAGATAGAATTGCTTGAACTATTAACTGTGCGTATGAAAATGGAGGTTTCGCACCATTTTTGGAACTATTGTTATCGTGGTCTTGTTGGCTCACATCCAACCCTGATGATGGAAGTCGTTGAATGATAGGAGAACTAAAATGAAGAGTTGAATTTTCTGGACATGAAGAATTCGATTTGCTTTATACCTCACTAATGGATGGTTTTCATTTATATCACTGTTAATATTCTTCGGACTCGTCGAGCACGATGAAATGGAAGAACTAACATGTTGAAAAGAGAAATTCAATAATAATGAGCTGTTAGAATTGGAAAAAGGATTTTACCCGATCAATAAATTGTTCGAGGCGATATTCACAGTTGTTGGATTTTCATAGTGTGTTTTCACTTGTCCATTACTTCTAACCGTTGGTAGTAACGATGAAGTTGAACTTGGTATGTTAAGACTTAACGGGAGCAGATTATTGTTATTTGTTTCATGACTAACTGTTCGTTGCGGATGCTGATTGACAGCGACCAGAATCACCTGTTGTTGCGGTGTTACATTTGGAACTGATTGAAGTAATAATGACGATGTGGAAGATGGATTAGTGATATCAATAGGAATTGATGTTGCTGATGATGTTGACAAGCGTTGCTGTTGCTGCTGTACTGCATCTGTAGAGACGTGACGTGAAATACTTTCAGGCGACGTGCGATTAATGGTATTACTACTAGTTGCTGTATTGTTATTATTAGTTAATGATGAAAAGGAAATACACATGTCAGTGCTTGGAAATCGAAATGTGCATCTAGAAAATTGAAAATAGATTTAGAATAAAAAAGGTAAAACGACGAAGAATATGTTCAATCTTACTGCTTAGGTAGAAGAGTGACTGACGAATCTTTTGTGTAATTATTGTTGATAAAAATACCATTCTTGCTAAGACATCTCAATTGAAAATCGGTTCCATTGAGAAGTATCAATTCAAAGTGAGAACGGGACACAACAGATCCTGAACCTAAGACCAAAGTACCCGTATCGATAAATATTCTGCTTAACGCAAATTTTTATTCACTTACCCATATTTACATCAACATCATGATGGTTCGTTTTCTTCCCAACTACTGTTTTCTCTTGCCAGATATCGTATGTTCCAAATTGAGCTGACTCAAGTCGACCGAATGGTAGACTCACGGATTCATTTCCATTGATACTTGTCGTGGGTGTTGTTGTATTTGACATATTGAAATGGCCGAATGTAAAATACTGTTCACAAGAAGATGGCTGCAAAGGCAATATCGTCTAGGCTTGTCTTAGTTGGAGAGTTACTGTATAAGCATGTGTCTGACACATTGGCACGCGAGGGAAAAAATATGGAGAATAGAGGTGAAGCGAAATGTGATGGTAGTCGTGAAGCAGCGGCAACCAAAAATGCTTTCTTTCTGTTCTTTCTTTTTTTTCTTCTCCTCTCTTGTAAGATTGATCGTCAATGCAGTCAGAAGAAGGAAAAGAAAGAAGAAAAAAAAAGATGAAGACGACGACGACGATGATGGTAGTAGTAGCAATCGTAGTAGAGCACTCCGCTGTAGCCGCGTGTTAAGGACGATGGTAAGAATATCGACGACAAAGAACTGCCGCTGCTCGATGATGTTGTTGACATACAGCATGTTCTTTTTCACGACATGTTGGTATTGCATACAACCATTGGCCATTATAGTAAAAAAAAAAGAAGAAGAGAAAGAAAAAGAAAAAGAACAGCTCGTTCTTTCTCATTTTGTTTCATTCTTTTTTTGTTCGAACATTGCGCACAAAGCAAATCACGTACAGATATATAATGAATGGTTAGAAACAAAAAAGAAGAAAAAAAAACTTTAATAGCTTTTGGTTTTCTTGTATCGCAACGAGTCGGATAACATTTGAAAAAACGATGATGTAAATAGACTATGGTTATAGCAGAAAAAAAGGGAAGAGTCCTAGATTTGTTGTGCACTGCTTGATATACGAGCGGAGACATCACTACTATCTATGACATTGATTTATTGAATATTTTGAGTGATTAAAACGGCAATGAGTTATCATTCGTAGATGTCACCGTAGATACGCAAAAAAAACGGATTGTAACAAGTGAAGAATCATCTCGTATTATTTTGTTTATACTAGACTATAAAATCATATGATATGTTGCCATTTTCGACTAGACTCCTTGAAATGCGTAACAAATAACCATATAGATTGTGACACATGTACATCGATAATTACTTTATTATTATTTGTTTTTATGCCGAGGCATCATTGATTTTTCGGTATTCAGAGCTAAGAAGTATATGTGAGGTGAACAACACTGGTTAGTTATAGATTGTGCAACTTACACTTGACCTTTCGCTTTATTCTATGCAAGAAAACTGAACTGAAAACAAGATAACAGACAAAACACAAATCGAGAATTGAAATAACTCATTATGCAACTCGAGACAATATTATGAAGCATTGTTGGTATTCTTGGCGTTTTTTTGGTATTCGAACATCGCTTCTAAGATTGTCCAGAGACTGGAACCTTCTGGATAAGCATTGTCAACTAAGTTCACCAAAAAGTAAGTATCGGCAATATTTTCAATGATTGCGTGTGAACGCGACTCTGGTTCATACAATTTACCCCAACGCTCAGTCCATAGACTGAAAGCTTCATCCTAGAATGTACGAGTGTAGGTAAGATGTACGAATCACCTTCGGGATTACCTTCCAGATCATGAAGCTGACGGAATCAACAACAGTTGGTTGAATGATTTCTCGACCTGTGAAAACACCCCATGTAACAGCGATTGGCTGTTCATCATCGATGTTGGTTTCATTGACTTTACCCTAAACAAAAACTAATTAGAATTAAAACGCGAATAAATCAAGGAGATCTTACCGATTTATTCACAAAATGGTAATTAACATTGGGAAAACTTTTTAATACATGTCGTAGTGCTGGAATGTTATCGGCGCTCGTGAAAAATTCCAAATAAGCCTAGACACAACACGGATATATTTCTGATAGAGAAAAAAACTTCATATTTCACTAACCTTTTGATACACATAACCATCGAGTGTACCCCAGCCGACAATAGGATCAGAACTTGGCTTTCCATTTACAGCTGGTTGAGAATTGATTGTTAATACTCCACGTCGATTTATTTCGACTAAATTCGTTTGAATCAATGAGGTTTCCGACGATAACTCCTCGTCTGTCCATGGAAAATGACGGATAACTTTACCAATTTGATTCTTTTCTCCACTGATGTAACATGCAAACATACGCCAAACGTCTTCTTCACAAGTTAACTCTCGTCCCCATTCATCAAGCAATTCATCTCGCGACGCATCGAGTTTCATGTAAAATAAGTGATAATCAGTCAGCATACCAAACGACGGTGCAGATGATAAACCCCAACGTCCGTTAGGAAACTCATTCCAGTTCGATGTTCGATGAACATACGATTTCGGTCGTATACTCCAAAAGATAGGCCGAACGTTCTCCTTTGAACGTGAAAAGTTACTTGAAGTTTTCTTCCATGGTAAAGCACGCATTGGTTGTTCTTCTAACCAAAGGCCGAGCTTTTTCAAGACTTCGATCGTCGCAAATTCTCGATTCAATGTATAGAAATGCAAACCATGAACTTTACCAGATTCAAGCAAATCACGACACAGATCCAAACATGTTTGAACACCAAAATGTCGAATAGCTTCGTCGTTGTCTTTGATAGGTTCGATACAAGCAAGGATTTCTTTTGGTACATCAAGTTTAGCCAAACGAACGATATTACGAAGACTGGCATAACCCTAAAATCATCAAGATCATCTTATTTCACCGATTTTCAGCAGATAGAACCCATTTACTTGAATCGGAAATATGCCAGGAATGATTGGACATGTAATACCTATAGCTCGACAGTCAGATTCGAATTTGATGAATGTTTCGGCTTGGAAGAAAAGTTGCGTGATGACAAAATCTGCACCGTGATCAACTTTTTCTTTCAAATAGCCAAGATCTTCTTCGTACGATACGGAATCGGGGTGACCTTGCGGATAACCTGAAAGCAATTCAACAAAGCATTTCTTCATCTATCAAACAGTGCTCTGATTTCTATTACCAGCAACACAAATAACGAAATAGTCTCCGAAATGTTGTCGAATGAATTTAACTAAATCAAGTCCATATCGAAAATCGCTCTTATTCGGATCCCATTCTTCACCGACCGGCGGATCTAAAAATAAAAGCAAATTCAATCGATTATCTAAGTCAAATTTCCATCTACCTCCACGTAACGCTAACAGATTTCTAATTCCAAAATCTTTCGCTTTGTTAAGATAACTTAACATAGCTTCTTTCTTAGCACCATAGCATGTAATATGTAACATGGTGTCAATACCACAATAGTTCAGCATTGTATTAGCGATCATCATGGAACTTGTTTCTTTATCACTCGCTGGATCACCTGCTGGATGCCAGGTTATGTCACAAAATAACGGTTGGCCAGCAGCCATTCGATCGAAACTAGATGTAACAGGATGAAGTTGGAAAAATCATTTACAATAGAAGAACGTTTACCATCCGATAAGATTTGCTGCACCGCTTGGTGTACGTGGTGGAAAAAATTCCAGCGAATACCAACGATCATTGTTTTCTATACGTTTCTCGATCTTCTCTGTTAAACTTACATATCTAGTCGATTGAAGACAGCAACCTTTGGCGGCGACATTTGTACCTTCACTTTCGGCGCGTTTCAAAACCTGTGTAAGGTGTCTTGTTTCGTGGTGCGTTTCATGATGATGCATATTGTGACTGTTTGGAACGGTCTGATTTTCAGAATTGCCTAGCGTCATATACGGCTAGTAGAATGAAAATAGTGAAGTGTGCCTTGATTCGATCGATAAATATTGAAAGAACGAGAGGAAGAGAGATAGATAGAGGTATGCCAACCTATGTGGGTCTATTTATTGAAGACAGTTATCATACATTAACTGCGTGATATGATAATAATCTAAAAAAAGTGGATTGAGAGAGTCAGTTGAAAATCGAAAAAAACAACCTTGTTCACAACGAGTACATTCCTTCTCTATGAATGTGTTTTATCGATAAATTTTGATAAATGGATAAGAATTATACCCATTCATAAATCGAAAAAAAGAATCTTATTTCAATGGAGGTCGCTACGAAACATTCGGATATTTTCATATTATTTTTCTTATAGAACACAGATGAGAAAACGAGCTGAAGGTATCATACTCTTAACAGATGGAGCCTCCATTTAGAGATTAGAACAATATTTTAAGCCAGGGATACTCAAAGGGAGAGCGAGAAAAAAAACATGTTGGTACTGGTTGCTCTGTAGGTGTGAGAAGGGAATACTGTAGAGTATTTTGTGTTACAAAAGTTACACTTCAGTTTGATGAATAATCCTGTAGAAAGTACAGGTCATACACGTCCGCGTGTTACGCTTTTGTCGTTATCACTGGGATATATGATGGTAATAGATAGCTTTTGGACCTTATCAGATTGTACTTTAAGCTTTGAAAAAACTGATCGGACTGATAGAAAATTTATCACGAGAAAAAACGTCTTCAGAAAACAAATAGCCGCTTGTTTAAAATCAGTACTGTAATGAAATCACAGCTCAGACGGTAATTCTAAGATTCATCAGTAGACGCTTTTTTTTTCGATGATTTCCAATTGTTAGATTCGAACATTGGACGGACATCTATCTCTCTAGCTTTTCTCCTTCTTCTCAGCCCATTCATTCAAAATGTTTCTCTATGATGCTCGAGTAAATTTTATTTCAAAGCTTATGTTGAAATATCTACTACATCTTGTTCATCGGTCACATCACGAAACAAAACATTGAAAACTTGATTATAGAAGTTCGGGTAGAAAGTGCAAGCACGATGGCAATCCGGTGTAAAGTTGATTTCTAACAGTTTCGGTTGTACTTGATTATCAACGATTTCGAGCATTAAGTCAGCTGCGTACAAAGCTCGAGATGACGGACACCCAACAATACCCATGGGTGGTTGTTCATGACTTGCACAATGAAATATTTCTCTGAACATCTGAAATATACGTTGCTCGACCACCGACCATGCTTGTTCGCTTTGGCCATGTTGTTCGTTATACATGGAAATAAATGTTTGACAATTCATTTGTCGAAGAAATGCATTCGGGCGATAGTTCATTACAGTAAAATGTGTTTCGTAATCATCGAGTTCTTTCAGTGTAAATGCTTTATTAGCGAAACGAAGCCAAAAGATTTTATGAATATATAATTTTAACGGACGAATGCTTCGTAGAAGTAAAACATAGCGAACGTCAAATTTCACTCCATTACCTTCAATTTCGGGAATTTTTAATAGAACCGGTGACGAAACATATTTGCATGCAATTTTCGGACCGGACTCAGGAAGACGAATGATCATATCTAATGAATTCGTTACTGACATATCAATCGAACGTGTTAAATTAATTGGTTTGACAATCCATGTATTATCAAGACGTTGATCTTCGCGATACTAATTTCGAAAGAGAAACAAAAATAAAATCATTCGATGGAAAATGACAAAAGAATACTTGAAAGTAAACAGCAAATTGTGCTAATTCATATGTCAGATTGAATGTTGTAGCTAACCATGGTGGACTTCCTTGACAATCAATATATGGATCATTCTGTGAAGATTTTGAGCTAAAAGAAACGTCTTCTGTAAACGTGTGAAGTGAATAGTCGGTGTATTACTTACTCATATAAAGATTTCCATCGTCGCGCTACCAGTGCTAGTAATTCTTTGTTCGTAACGATATTTTCCAATGGAAATTGATTGATCAACTTCTTTCCCAATGTGTCGGAACGAAAATCTTGCATTTGAGTCATTAGAAATAGAATATCAGCTTGATTAGGACTATCAACCAATTGATAATGTGAATCGTTCAAATGTTCTTTAACTAAATCATGATCAGTATAGACTTTCCAAATACGATTCAAATCGACAGTTGATGATTCGTACTGAACTGATGTTTCGTCATATAAATCATTCTTATGGCATTTTTCATAGATCTCACGACTGTTTTCAAGTTTCTTATTGAATAAGTCAGGATTCGTTTCGATGGTTAGATTTCGAAGAAAATCTTTTCGATGATTCAAATTTCGCCAGGGTAACAATCGAATATTTCGTTCGAGTGTGTCCGTATTGTCATAGACAAAATTTCGAAAAATTTCCGAATACGGTTCATCAATACGAACGATCGGATAGAATATCGAGAACATTGTTTGTGTAGGTCCGAAGAAAAATGACGTGCAACATACATTGGTATTCGTACTCGAATGGCGTATAGATGAACCCAATTCATCCATAATATACCTATTAAACAAAGAATCTCAACAAAAATCAAAGCTCCGCTTGAACATACCAATAAGGCTCGTATGCTTCTTCGCAATCCTCTTGAGGATTAATTTGTGTTGATGTCAATGTATATGTTTGATTGTATTTCCACATACGTTGCAGAATGACTTCGATTCCATCTTCGTTCGTTTCCGTATCGACATTCATTAATGATGCCATACGCTCGTATAAGTTCGGTATGTTTTGAAGATTGCTTCGCGCATCTTTGATCCGATACGTCCAGGCATGATCAATAAGAAATATTGCGTTTTCATCGGTATTCGGATCGAGAACAACATTTTCTAATGTTGACACATAGTATCGCCGTTCGGCATTGAATGCGCCTTCTTCAATTTCATCATCATCATCATCGACCGGACATAGTTGAAAATACGATCCACTATCGAAGATTTCATTTTTCATTTTTTCATACAAACGTCGATAGAAATGTTTCGGAATATTATTCAACACGAGTTGAAATTCGTGCGTTCGAAGAAAGTCTTCATAATCGCTATCATCCGCCATGATCTACAACGAAGTCATTTTCAATATAGATAGAATCATCTGAACTCTGCTTTGTTTACAACACAGATAAGCCTGGAAGTGAGAATCATATGAAGCAAAAAACAAATATTGAAATATTTCCAAAGTATACACGCGCATAGAATTTCCGATAATAGTATATATAAAAAAAACAAAACAAAAGAGAAAAAATTCAGAAAACAAAACGAAATAAAAAGCAGCGTGTATATAACTGACTTTTGTAGTACAAATTGAACAGAATAAGACGAAAAAGCAAACTTTTGTTTGTAAGATTATTAATAACAGAAGAATGAGCTGAAAGAAGAAAGAAAAAACTATTATTAGATTTTGTTTGCTGTGTACATACTCTTCAACAAACTGTACGAAAGAAAGAAAGAAGGAAATGAAAAATTTAGAATAGTAGATCAGTTGTGGTGGACATAGAACTCCATTGGATATTGTTTGCCATGTCGAACATGGGTTTCTGAGGATATTTTAGAATTGAATGGTTAGATAGCGCTTTTGTCGAAATATCTGAAGAAGAGACGAGCTTTTGTCGAGCTAATATTGTATAGGAATGTGTAGGAGACAAAATATCTGACGATTTCGAGGTAGGATACGATCCATGTTGAGTACCAAGTTCATATTGATCGAGATGAGTTGGACGAAATGTATGCAAAGTACCTCAAATGAAAAATAAACCTTCGGTATATTTGGGCCAATTAGAAAGTCAACGTACCCTTGGGTTTCATTGATTTCTCTTCAAAATTACTTGTATTAAATTTAGCATTAATACGTGCCAATCGTTCGAGTTCATCATCATTTGTATAACTATCTATCTTTGTATGTGCTTGTTCTTGTTTATCATTCATTTTGCTACTTATATGATTATGTACAGTATTACTATCGCCAATGCTACCATTGGATTCATCGTCGTCATCATGGGCATCGTTTTCATCATCGGAAACAGTGCTGCCGAGTTCTGCTATGACAAATTCGTATGAAGGATATTCAAATGTATCTACATTATCAACAAATTGCACTCGAGCGTCCTATGAGTAAATAAAAAGAAAATACGATATTAGTAATAAATCTAAACTGTACCTTTTTTGTTCCTGAGAAAATTGATGATTTATTTAATTTGACATTCCCACCGACGATATCAGGTGCACGCAAGACATCAGCTGATGACAATGTCGATGATTGATCATGTTTCATTTTGGTCTGTGATGTGAATGATGATGACGATGGTGGTGGTGGTGGTGGGAGAATGTAACTCGGCAATGACGATTTTGTGTGTCCGTTAACTCGATTTCCACCAAAGAAAGTAACTGCTTTAGCTGTATTGATTACTGCACGTGATATGGATATCAGCAATGGATTAGAATTCACTTCCAGATGTACATCGTTTCTTTCTTCGTGGACTACGCGGACTGGTTGATGAACGATAGGTTTTGACACTGTATTTGTCGATGATGGATGAGAGTGAATTGGAGGCTTTTTAACAGAAGTGGAATGTTCATTTGATTTTTGTGTATTCGTACGATTGAATAATGCGAGGCGGCTTTTGAAATCTAATGGTTGACTATCGACAATTTCTGACGATGGCGTCGATGGTAATAAGAGATTGGGACGACGTTGTTCAGTTAAATTTGTTGAATTTTCGTCAGAAATCACGACAGTCAAAGGAATTTGTTCTTGCGCGGGTAGATTACGAGTCGAAGTCAATACTTTTTTGTCTTTTGTCAAAGCTTGATGAACAGTTTCATGATGTCCTTGTTCAGGTGAATTCTTGTTTGTATCTGTCGGTGGTGTATGTGAAATGACAAGATCGGGATAGGATGCTGGGACAGGTAATGATAGAGTTGTGGATGTTAGTAGAGCGACGGGTGCAGAAATTGTCGCTCGTCGCTGCCGTAAGGTCGTTTCATTAGGAGAGATACTACGTGAGCGTGTTGGAGTAGAATGTTCACGATGTTGGCTACCCATACGTGAACCACCAGGTGTTGATGTGTTGAATAATTTATCGCCGTCATAACGGCTTAAACGTATTTGCCGTTCGAACATATTCTTCACTGTAGTAACCGTACCTAAAACGAGCACAATCATTGTGATACAGAGAAAAAACATAGATGAGTTAGTAGATCAATCAACCTGGTTTCGGTGTTTCATCTTCATGTATGTCTGTATAAGGTTGTTTATGTGTCGATCCTTTTTGTCCCGAATGTAGTTTTTCAATGTTCGCATCGTCAGCATGCGAGCTTTCTTCCGTTGTTGTTGTTTCCACAATAATCACATCTTGTTTGGGTTGTAAATATAATGTAAATTGTTCATTATTTAAAACCTGTCCAGGAATCGAACTTATTGTATGATGATTCGCGAGATTATCTTGACTTCTTGAAAGACGCGCTGTGTGTCTCAACGATGAATATGTCGATTTAGTTTGAAGAAGATTTTCGTTTGATGACGATGGTTTGGACAACGTATGTCGTCCATTAGACGAAGCGTGATTCAGTAGAAGCGATTCGTTCACTTTATCGAGAAAGCGTTGTTTCATTGAATTGACCACACCATGTGGGACCTGATCGTTAGTTTGTTCGTTTTCATGAATTTTGTTCATTGATAAACGATTTTGTTTTGTTTGTGAAATGTTTCCATGCGTACGACGCGGCGAATTATTCGAATAATAAGATGAATGAGGATGATGATGATGATTATTGATCAATGATGGGACAAGGACAGACATGATGAATGAATGAATGAATACACACCTATATAAACATAATCTAAAAAGAGACGAAAATAATACTCGTAAGATACATGAAGATTGAGAAAATATTTTGTTTTATTTCGATATTTCAACTCGAAGTCGTTCGATATAATCATTTTCGGTTTCTGTGTTCGTTGTTGGTGTTATACGTAAGACTTTGTCACGTTGTCGGTGGCCATGGATGATCTCTAACTGACTCGAAGGAACTTTCAAGATGCCTTTGAGGAAATCGATCAATTCGTGATTTGCCTTGCCGTCTTGAGCATCGGCAGCGATATCCATACGTATTTGATTGTTCGCATCGATTTCACGTATGGCATTCGTTTTCGCATTTGGTCGTACATGAATATGGAGTAGAAGATTAGTTGTTGTACGAGCAATTGTTTTTTTTGACATCTAAAACGAAGGTAAAAGGACAAAAGAAGAAGAAGAAGAAGAAGAAAAAGAAAAATTAATGATAGTCAAAGGCAAAAGTGAACGTCCTTTCTTGTTCTTTACTTAAACTTGACAAATATACTATAGTTAATCTCCAAGTAATCATTATCAACAACATCATTGAGAAAGTATCCCACTCTTCTCCTTTCGAGTAAACAATTTGAAACCCGTTAAACATGTATATGTGTACATACAGACTCATTCACTAAACAATCATATACGTACATACGCCTTTGTTCATTTTGTTTCTTCAATGTGATTGCGACATCACTTTGCCTTAGTTTCGTTTTTTTTCAATCATATGTGTCCATACATCACTTCATATTACACACTTCAACCATACGCAAGAAGAAAAAAAGAAAATGCCGGAACAGAATAGTACTTTTTCTTCTGTTGAAGAAAGGAGAGAAAGTTCATTTCCACTCAACAATGGATGGTGTGATTGAAAGTAAGATGAAGAAAGAGAATAGTAAGAACTATACGTCACCTCCGGTCGCTATTCTACTGGTCATGTCACTAGTCGAAAGTAGACAAGAAAAAAACGACCTATGCACATATACTCGTTTATTTGTCTTTGTACATATGTGTGCCTTTCGCTTTTTCGTATTGTAGACTGTCGTCAAACAACGATCTAAATCAGAACAAGATGTCTCATTTATGCATGTCTTTCGCCTTCGTTTTTTCATTCATTCATCCATTCATTCGTATTAGTCTGTATTAGCGATAAAACGAATTTCTCTCCCCCTATTACAATAATATACTGATTCAAAGATCAGATCGAAGGAGAACGAATGAATGAATGGAGGAAAACGATACGAATCTCCTGGTATGAATGGTATCTTCTATTCATAGTTAAAATCTATGAAAATCGAAATAATTTAACTAATTTTACATTCTATGTTATCATTGAAGTTTCGCTGAACATGGGCACTGTTGTTTGATGATGCATGTTGTTGTTGTTGTTGTTTGATATTCGATTGATTTTCAATAGCGGATGAGAGACTAGTTGAATTTGATGAGCATGCTTTTGTTTTACCATGACGCAAGTCCTCCATTGAAGATGAAGTTTTAGTATTGTTGGGAACTAACGAAGACGACGACGAAAAAGAAGAACGACGATGACGGTAGTGATGATATGTTGATTTTGGTCTATGTCGATGATTATTTTCAAAATCAACACGAACGACTGGAGTCGAAGAAATATTCGAAGAACGAATTAAATGACTTTGTGCATATATTTGCCGTGCATCATCAGTCCATTTTTTGATAAAGTCATGACGAAATTGTTTTACTTGTCGATGATCTAATCGAATTTCATCGCTTGCCGCATTTCCTTTCCGTTGCTGCTGTAACATGTTGGATTTGATCGACGAATGATGACGATTTATATGTCTAGGCAGTTTACCATTGTGTTTATTATTATTAGTACTGTTAATATCATTTGAATTACTAATAAATGAAAAAAATAGAACATTTTCATTATAGGTCGATTAGATGTTTTTCTTTCCTTCACCAACAATCGCAAACGAAGTACTCAAACGTAAAACGTCTAATTATTTCTAGTCTCGTGAACAATAGTCAATATTTTGCATATCGTCTCTTTTCTACATGAACAAATCTTCAATGAACAATTAAAACGAGAAATAAAAAAACATTTCGAGGTTGTTCACCGAGCAGAGCATGAGAAGAGTGTTCTAATGATATCGTGTGACTTTACCTTTCTTTCAGACTTCTTTCGGATTGAGTTGTGGGTAATGTATTCGTTTGTACAGACAGTTTCTCGTGATTTGATTCAAGTTTCTGCTGACTAGCAGCAGCAATCATCGCCGTCATGTCTTGACGACGTTGTTGAGATGTGCGATTGGTATTTCGACCAGTGTAAAGCGCTTCGTTCGTTCGGTTCTTCGGAACTCGAGCGGCGGACGGTTTTTGTTGCAGAGGAGTTGTCGAATTCGTTTGCGATACCTTCTGCTCTTGTAAAGCTTTCTGTTGTTCGGCAGCAGCGATTTTCTCGTCGATTTCGGCCTTTTGTGCTAAACGTTCCTGGTTTTGAAGAAAATCAAACAAATTTTCATTTCAATCAATTTTCTTACCAATCGACTGAGAACAATGGACAAGACAGTCATAACGTCAGTAATCGGTGCAGCAAATAACACCGTGTCTTTCATTGTACTTGCACATTCTAAACTACAGATGAGTAGTTTCAAATCATGTTCCAATTGCGAGAAAATGATTGAGATCTCTCGGAAGTCTCGTAGATCACGCCGTGCAATCATTTTGTCAGATCTGACAGCTTCGTCGAATTCTTGAATTTTTCGTTGTAATTTTTGAAATTTCACTTTTGTCTTGGGTTCAAGCACCAATGGTGCATTGGGATATCGAAGTCGACAAACACGTAACTCATTCAGCGTTGCACGAGCACGAAGACATGCATTTCGTAATAACTTATTAAACATCATCAAGTCAAAATTTAAAGAAAATCGAAGACTACATTCCGGTAAACAAGCATCATCACTAATTAATCCAATCTTTTGATTTCGTAGTGTCAGGAGTTTTTGTACACGCAGTGCATCCATGATATTCAAGCCGAATTCGAGTAATTTCAATGTAGCTTCGATGAGTTGATTGATAAGGTCTTCAGCTTTGGAACAAGCCATTTAGAAAGAAAGAAAGCGAGCAAATGATGAAGAAGAGACAAACAAATAAGAACAGAGTTATTGTTTGAATAGATTTCTATGTTTGAATCGAATCGTGATTGAAAAAGACGAATGATTTATCATTAATATTCTGTTGCTGTGGAAGAATTTGTTTTGAAAATAAAAAATAATAGAATTAAATAAGCAGTTTTCCAACCTATTGCGCGCCATCGATTATTGAAATCTGAAAGAGAACAAGGAAATGCATCGTATGTTCTGGGATAAATCGGAAGACAATCGATCACGTAGCTATTGATAAACGCAGTCCTTTTCATGTCGTGACAGTGATGAGAATTACTATAATCAAAAGGGATTTTATGAATAGAAGAATGAAGCAAGGGAATATCGATGCCCTTCATTTTCAGCAATCATTTAATAAACTATTGAAGGTTAGCATGTAATTGCCATAGCGCCGCATCGATCAAGAAATATATATCAAATGCGAAGAAAAACCGTTTATTAATGCATAGAACAACAAATAAAACGAAGCCAACAGATAATATAAGAACAAAAAGAAACAAAGAAAAGTACCCAAACCAGAAGAGAAAAAGACACAAGATAAATACAATCATTCTTAGTTTTGCAATGGATGCTTCCTGAAAATGAATGTATATGTGCATATCTTGAGCGTTGAGCTGAGGAATGTTTTGTTGTCGTTTTTTGATAAGCTACCGACGCATGGTTCATTGACAAAAGGAGAAGAAAGAAACCTGAAGTGCTGAATTAAAGAATGTGCAAAAAACGAAATAACAGATCACCGTTGTATGTTTGGCAAGATTTATTAGTTTTTAGATAACGAAAAATATGTTCTTTTGTTGTGTGTACTTTTTTGCAACTGAAATGAAAGAGTTGAGAACAGCTAATAACTACGGAAAGAAGTTTCAAACGAAGTTAGACACCGTTTAAAAAATTCTAACTGTTCATCGGAGTAAAAAACAGACGCAAACAAGTCAGTTGCATGTTGTCGCTTGGATTACTAGGAAAAAAAAGGAGAGAAAATATGAAGCGAATGGTTCGAGAGAAGATATTTACAATTGGAAGTTATTCTTTTCCGTGTTTAGTCGATTCACCTTCACTGGTGATACGTTTTCGGCCTTTTTGAGGTGCGTTTGATGTAATATCATGATTAAGAATTTTCTTTTCTTCTAATTGTTTAAGAAGCGTTGGTAATTGATCATAAACATTAGGAACATCGAGTTGAATATCATCGATATCGTCAAACAAACGTAACATGCCAGTTTTAAGTTGATCATAAGTAATCACAGCTGATTTGGTCAAAGTTTCAAGCAGACTTATCGTTAATTGTTGACCACTAGAAAAGCGAAGCGTTCATAAGAAACCCAATCATCACATGTTTATTGTACGTACCGTTCAGTATTTTTCTCGAAACAAAAATCTATGAGTTCATAGACAAATTCGTGAAAAAAGTGTGGAACATTCAATTCTTTCAAACACCGAATTGTTTCATCAGAATCACCACTATCATAATATTCATGAATAATGACATTCATTCTATCAGCTAATTCTCGTACAGGTCGAAATCCACCTGAAAGAAATATTCCATATCGTTTTCAACTATAACTTTCATCTGTTCTACGTACTTGATTGAGCATTCCAAACATTATTCAGAAAATAAAAGTCACCTATCGAAACCAGTGTTTCGGCTTTATCCAACGCTGCCTGCATTTTCGCACATTTCACATTGCCTTTATACTGATCGAAGTATTTTCCACCAGTATTGTCAATACACTTATCAGCAACGGAACGTGCAATGAATTTACCTGGAAAGGAAAGATCAATGAATCTCTCACGATTAAACTACGAACAGTTTACACACTCACCGAGATCGCTCGAACATTCCGGATTATCAAGTGATAAATCATTCAATGATTCCAACAACGAATTAAAACCACTAATATAATCATTCGGACGTAAAATAATGCCATTAAGATCATGTAACAAACGTGAAATTAGTTCTCTATGAACATTCGATTTTTCCAATGACATTGTCACAATATAAGAAATCAATTCGCCACCGCCCTGTTGTTTAAAATCGAATTTGCGTAAGCATTGAGCAACATCATTCGCATCACCATTGACAAAGTATTCATCGATCAACGGTTTTACATCTTTCTCCATGCTTTCAATCAATTCTAATTTAGTAGATTTACTCTCTGACGGTGGGTTCTGCGATTCAGCAAGATGTTTCGCTTTCGCTTGATTATATTGTAAATCAGCCAAATCATCTTCATCTAAATCTTCGTTATATTCTTCAAGTAATTCAGAACCTAATGCACCCCAGGTATATCCACCGCCGCCACCGCCTTTCTTTGCTAGACCACGGCCTTTACCTAAATTTTCAATGGTCGAATCAATCTCATCATGGAAATCAGATAGAACAAACCTTGTCTTGATTTTCGATTATACTTCTTGGAGATCTTGGCATTCTTTTGTAATAAATGTCCATGAACATCTGTTGGTGAACCGACAACTTGAGTCCCGGAATTGGAACCTGAATTTCGACGTATTGGAACACGTTTTCGTTCTGCATTTGCATCAACACTGGCATTGTTATTAGTCGATGTTTTTCTGTCATCATCTCGTGATGAACCTAATTGAGCAATTAAAGCATCTACCTCGGCTTTTTCAGCGGTCGATGAACTCATTTGATTTTGTTGAAAAGAAACACCGGAAATAATGAACACAACGTTTGAAATTTGATTAAACAGTAGAAATATTTGCCTAAAGATTATAAATAATGCGTAGTAATCTAAAAAACAAGGCAAAGAATCCAATCGTTTTGTCCCTCTGAAATACACTTGACTCCATTCGTTGAATTTGAATGCGTAATAGAATAAAGTAAAAATAAATAAATAAACATAACTATTCCTTCTGTGTATCTATGTATACGTTTTACGTTTTACACCGTCGTCGTCGATTGACTCGAATATGTACTAGCGAATGATAGGATTTATACCGGACAAGTGGAAGAATTGATTTGAATACATATTCCGAGCTAAATACATGTGAATTTATCAGAAAAAGTGAAGAAAAATTTTATTTCTCACAAAGGATTGTAAATGTTTCCTCAACGACGTCGTTTACTTGAAAATTAGATGGCGTTATCGATCAGTTACTACCAATAGATGACGTCACTTGACTCGATTAACAAATTTGACTTTCATCTTCAACTAGACATTTCACTATAGAATATCAATGTTTTTAACGATACACTTCAACTTTCATATAACCTTTTTATCTAAATCTTTTCTTACACCACGCTTGACTCACAATAAGAGAGGATGACATTGATGCCATATAAGCACATTATCGGATTTAGTTTGCGATGATCCGAATGCAGATGTTCCGACTGGATTTCCAATCAATCAAAGCTGTTCAGCGATTGTCTTATTCAAATGCAAGACCGAACAATTGTGAAATCTCTATCGATGTGTAAACCATATCGTTCTTCGCTATATTAATAAAATTCATTATATAAATAGCACGTTTTTATTCTTTTCGACAATTACAAAATGATTTGCGTCGTTTAAGATGAATATAGGGAGAGAGCACTTCCCTACTCAATACGAGATTCATTCTTTGCAATGAAAACATCGATAGAGTAGATTGCATCAAAAGTTCTTGGTAATATTCATCATTTTATTAATAATACAAGAAATCCCAGTCTTCATATTCGAAATACAATGTTAACACTAGCGACTTGTTTCATTAAGAAACTATATTATTCATAGATTTATTAGCAGAGTATATATATATATTCGGACTGAATTTGAGGAATGGATAGTCAATATCATGTATAAACACGAATTGATACTTTTAATCTTGTGAACAATTAGATGTTAATACTTTTGACATTTACTCGACGATTTTCATTAGATATTCATGTCATGTTCTTTAGTAGAACTGACGATTGTTTATTATCACTAACAGTTATTTATCAAAACAACGAAGTTTGTATAACTTTCTTTTACAAGGCTACAATACTGACATGTAAGTCTCAAAGTTGAACTTTAGATATGTTCGTTCTAATGCAACGAAAAATATCAAAAGTAACATTGATAAATGAGACTGACTTATTTACAAAAAGCAATTTTTTAATTAGAGGAAATCTACAGTTGTGACTAAATTTGATAAAAACCAAAGTTAGTGAAAAAAAAAAAGAAACCTCTATTTTTTTCTCTATTTGTTCTTTCCTATTCACTGGCTGGGCGATGTTTTTATCGCTAATGCTTTCATAATAAATAGAGCAGGTACTTGCATTTTTTTTTCTTATAGTCGATTACAAGGCATTGATCAACAGACGCGTTCGTCGCACCAGATGTGATATTCACATAATGAATGAGTACCGAAGAGTCTATTGAGAGAAAATTTTCGACTTTTTTAAAATACATTGCATGTGTGTGAATATTTTCCACCTATAATCCGCCTATTTCTTTTGTGCTTCGCTATTGAATTACCGAGATTTTCAGGTCAATTGAAACGACTAACAATCGTAGTACAACTGTAAACAGGTGATATGTAGTGCATTTACTTTTCTTCGTAAAATGTAAAGCGGAAACGTCTCTCAGGCACATGTAACGTTTAAATAGGGAAAAAAATTTTCTCAATGTCGTTTTTTCTGTTAACCGACGATAGAAAATTACTCCGTCATTTTTCTCTTCAATGCCAATGTTTAGAAATACATATACTCGAAGCTAGTAATAATAGTTTGTTAGTGTGTTTCATATGTAGAGGAATGTCCGACTTGTGTTGAACAGAAAATTCTTTTCGTCACTTATTATTACAAACATCGTATCGCATTTCATCTTACTTTAAAGAACATTTGGCTCAATTCCAATCGATTTATCATAGTTATTGACAAAGTAAGCTCGCCAAGTAAACATGATTCTATATTGTTTTAATCATGACAGCGATTATTCAATCGACTGAAGACGAGATTATGCAAAAGATGTCGAAGAAAAAGAACAACGATGTTACCCTTGTCATGTGCTGATTGATAAGATATGCGAGGATTGGTAGAAGATATACTCATATTGTTCATAGGCCAACCAGTATTATTGCAGTTCTGTTTCTTTTTGCTTGCGTCCTAATGATAGCTTCGACACTAGAAGAAAAAGACTCGTTTTTCTCGGATAATCTAACGCATATACATGATGTACAAATATCATCCAGCGCTCTTTCATCTGGTCCTTTAATGAAAGAAAACAGAGATAAAACAGTTTGCGACCGGCTTAAAACATCCATTTTTCTTTCCTTTATGTTTTTTTTCTCCCTCGTACGTGTAGACTGAAAATCTCAAGCTTTTAACGTCTTCACTATAAAATTCGACGATCGTAATGCACGGTGTTCGAAACTAGTAATGACTATGACTGAAAAAGATTTCTATTTCTGTCTCATCTGACATGTCTCTGTTCTGTGTAGTAGTTAAACGTTTGCTTAACAACTTTTCATGTTTGTCACGAGTAAACACATATGATAAGACACGAAAAGAAGAAGCGGTTAGGTATATAAGCGAGAGATGAATATATATAGTTAAATGTTCTTTAAATAAAAAGGAAAGAAATTTGCGTTCTTTCCTTGAGCTTTGTTGTTCTTCAAAAAACGCGCATTGAAATAAATAAAAAAGTTTCTTTTTTTTTCTTATTCGAGTGATTTCTTTTTACTCAAACAAGTCGTCACTAGGATGCTGTGAAGCGAAGTGAGAAATGGTTAAAGTTTATTGAGATTTTTAGAGAGACAACAAACGCATGAGTTTCAGAAAACAGATAGAGCGTAATGTATACATTATTTTATTCTTAGCTTCTCATTGATTGTTCCACTAGCTCAGATAAAACTTGGTACCTCTATGGACGAATTTTTATTAAAAATATTATTTATATCTTGAAACTAATGACAAATATAGTCCGATAGTGATGCAGTGAACATGCGTGTATGTGAACTTGGCGTAGAATGATTGTTCATAGTGGAGAGATAAATACACGAAAATGTGATTTCGTCACGACACATATTTCTGTACGACAAAGATAGCTTTGCTTATTTTTCTAAACTTTCTTCGTCTTCATATACTGTGTCCTCGGTCTGCAAAGAATTTCGTTTGTGGTGATTCCACTAAGAGATATATTTTTAATCGTAAAACGCAAACAGCTTTGATAAGGTACAGAAGGACTAGGCTTACACAGACTGTATAAAGAATCCCACTCAAGGGGGGAAAAGCTGATATAAATCACGTCAAAATCATAGATAAATCCAAGGGAGAAAAAGCTGATTTAAATCACGCCAAAATCATAGATAAATCACTTTAAATCACATAAATCACATAAATCACAAAGTGCTTTTCCCCCTTGATCCCACTTATTGTTGTCATTATGACTGAGATACAAAATTTGCATAAGGACACTAAGTCATGTCATTGCGCTTGGACAATCCGGTGTGCAGTTAGCTATACTCGATCCTGTCTAGAACGTTGTTAGGATCAAAGAAGGGTAATAGTAGCGATGAGCTATCGAGGAACGACCGGTAGCAATTCCTCCTCATCAAAACCTTTTCCGCTCCATTTCTTAGAAGCACGTTATGAAAATAAGCGTTTTTTTTTTCGGCTTCTCCTGCTCATGTAATAGAAGATCTGATAATGCTCTCAATATCAACCTTCAGTTGAAAGTTCTTGTACCAATTTATATAAATATATGTATATAAGTACCATCATTTTCAGTATATTCATTGACTGATAGACAATTTATCAAGCCATTTATCTATTTACTAACGTATTTATTGTCCACGCATTATTTCATTAATAGTAAAAATGAATTCAATTCGTCGTCTATTTGTAAGTTTCATTTAATTGATTATTGACATGAATATAAACGTCTTTGGATAGATGAGATCAACGCGTAATACTAAATATCGGCTTCAAATGACCATTATGATTATCGTGATATCGCTCTTCGTATTGTTTGTGTATACACAACGACAAGAACCGGTTGAACACGAAGAACTCGCCGAAAAGCCAATATTTGTGCCGAAGAAAGCGAGAGCAGTTGAACACACACCAGTGGTCGAAACAGTCGTGTCTGACTCAACCAACTGTGCTTACAAAGTAGCCTGAGGATAGGAATCCATTGGAAATTATGCTTTCTTTCTCCTTAATTCAGAGTTGTCCGAAACTTGACGATGATGAACATGTTGTTAACGTACATGTGATATGTCACACACATTTAGATCCTGGATGGCTTAATTCAGTTGATGGATACTTTTTTGGCATTAATCATGACCGTGGCGCTAACAATGGTGGTCGTCCGCATCGTCATACTATGCCAAGCGTGTTAACGATATTTAATAATGTTATGGGTGCTCTATTAGAAAATGCCGATCGTCGTTTTGTTATGGTAGAAATGTCATTTATATGGCGATGGTGGAAACGATTAGATGAAGATTATAAAAGAATTATACGGAAATTAATGGACGAAGGTGAATAATTTGATGAAGAGATAATACTTGCTTTCGGAATTTCTTATTGATAATAATGATTGTTTAGGACGTATTGATATTGCTGGCGGCAGTTGGACATCGAATGACGAAGCTGTCAGTCATTATGCTGCAATGATTGATCAAAGTACACTGGGCTTCCGATTTATAAAAAATGAACTGCGCACCTGTTCTCAGCCTGCTGTTGCATGGCAATTGGATTTGTTCGGTCACGGAAGGGAAATCAATTCTTTGTTTGCGCACGTAGGTTAAACGAGATGTTCTGGTAATGGGAACTGAACAGATTTAAAAATTTTAGAAAGAAATTCATTTCGAATTAGTTTCTATTTCTATGCATTAGATGGGTTATGATGCTATTTTGTTCGGTCGGTTGGATTATCAAGAAAAAGAACAGCGAACGAATGAGAGAACTTTACAAATGGTTTGGAAAGTTAATGAAAATGCTCGTAAGTGAAAAAGCATATCAGCATACGAAATACATATTTAAATGCATTTACAGCGGAAAATGAACGATGGTTATTTACGGGAATTCTTCCAAATTTATATCATCCGCCTGAAACATTAGCGCTCAAATCAGATGTTGCTGGAAGTTTACTTGTAAGTAAACTCTATTCGATCATATTTTATTATTGACGTTCGTTTCGACTTTTTTTTTCTAGAGACCCTCGGATACAGACACTATGCAAGAATCGGCTAGTATCTATAGTAAACGTCTACTTGAAGAACTTAAAAAACAGGTAAAGGACTTATCGAAAAGATTTCATTGTAAACTAAAACAAAAAGGAATACTTTGTAGCACGAGAGATATCAATCGAAGAATATCGTTGTTGTCTATGGTGGTGATTTTGAATACGAAGATGCCACACAGTATTTTCAAAATGTCGATGCGATGATTTCGACGATTAATAGTATTGTAAGTGAGAAGATTAGAAAGAAAACAACGAACAAGTATCCATTCTATTTATGAATAAATTTAGCAAAATAAAACAGACAGCAAATATAAATTTAACGTACACTATTCATCGCCGACATGCTTTACATATGCTCTATCAAAAGAAAAACGTTCATGGCCGCCACGTGAAGGAGATTTTCTCTCATATGCACATCGCGCACATGCATTTTGGACGGGTTTTTACACTACAAGACCAGGAATTAAATTCTATGAACGCTCGTTAGGCGCTCTGTATCAAGTAAATTCTTCTCATTCTTTGGTATTGTCAATCTAATCAATATGATTCTCCTAGTCCCTTCGACAACTAAGTATCTATGCGGACCATGTGAATTTTAATGAATTATTTCAACTAGCAGAAGTAATGGGTCTATTACAACATCACGATACCATCACGTAAGTTTGAATACTACTGAATATGAACATTACACTTCGTTGTATCGATTTAGTGGAACTAGTCCAATGATTAATATCGCTGATGCTCTACAACGAATGCATCAAGCAGAAATGCTTGGACGAGTACGGATAAACTTGATAGTTAGACGGTTCTTGCTCATGTTAGATGTTCCCTTCAACTTAGAAAATGACTCTCTCATTGTATCAACATATTTTGACACCAACGGCAACAGCGAATTGGTCGGCACCATTGATTTTCTGTCAACTTAACGAAAGTTACTGTGACCCACTTTCTAAACTCGATAAAGTAAGGTACACAAACATTCGATTCGATTCAATACGTATTATTTTGGTCTCAGAAATTCTCTGCTATTATCTACAATCCTTCATCAGTAGCAAATCAAGTTTGGTTACGTATTCCAGTCGCAGATGATCAAGTAATGACTCTCGATACAAATACAGTCGAAAAGTCGTCCATAGATGCTCAAGAAATCGGCGTAAGATATCTTTTTTTCAGATTCATCACAAACTGGCGTTTGGATCTGTTTTGTAGACGATCAATCTATCGCCTCATTTGCTCGGCATACCGCTTGTTAGTAAACGTACTCAACTCCGAGAATTGATCGTCCGTGTCCAAGTACCACCATTAAGTCTCCAAGCTGTTCCTTTCTTGATAACAAGTAAATATCAGTCTTTGATGATGTTGTCAGGTCAATTCTGAAATCGGAAATGTCTTCGATCTGTCATTTTTTGTTTTCTTTTCGAAAGAGTCAAGTCAACAAGCTGACAAACCGACGCCTTCATCTACAGCTTGTTCCATTGAAAATCAAGTAATAACCTTGAATAAATCGTCGTTTCTCACATTCTGTAACTGATTTTCGTTTATTTTATAGAACTATGTTATAAAGGTTGATGGCAAAGGTTCCATTATTTCAATTAAAGTCAAATCTATCAGTAAAACACTTAGTTTCAAACAAACATTCGGACATTACACCAGTAATTCTCTTCTTGTACATTGTGTTTACTTAATGAAACACTTTACTTTTTATGAAAAAAGGTGCTAGTAGTGATCACATATCACATCAATCTAGTGGTTTGTACGTTTTTCGTCCAATTGGTACGGGTGGACCTCAATTAGTCGACATCAAAGAATTCTACTGCGTCAAAGTACGATCTGAATAATCATAGAGATCCTTCATGATATAGTACATTTTCTAGCGCAAAGGCTATGAAGAAATCGTTCAAATTTATCCACAATTTGTCAATCAATCAATTCGATTGTTGGATAATTCATCATCTATCGAATTTGAGTGGGTTACTGGTCGCTATCAAGCAAAGTAAATCAAGACGAAAAAGCCCTACGTTTAGAAAAACGCTCGTTTATTTTACAGTATGGAATTCGTCACGGCATATCAAAGCGATGATCTTGATAATGATGGCGTGTTCTACACAGATTCAAGTGGACGATCTTTAATGAAACGAAAGTATGATTACTTGTGTGAAAAATGAATGCACAGTCAACGTTCGTTCATTCTATTTAGACGTAATCAACGTGATGGATATAACTTCACACAAAGTGAAAACAGTGCTGGTAATTACTTTCCATTAGTTACTGGTATCCTATTGAGGGTAAGAAAACGAAATGAGATGTTGAGTTGTAAATATGGTTTTGCTACGAAAATTTTCAGGATAAAAAGAAAGATTTACAAATGAGTATAGTCACCGATAGAGCAGAAGGTGGTGGCAGCGTTCAAGATGGACAAATTGAAATCATGGTAAGTTAGAATCTCTTCTTTCACATAGAACAATGGACGAAATGAAAAATAGAATAAAAGTTATTCAGCTAGAGAATATCAATAATCATTTAGATTCATCGACGTGTCATAACTGACGACAGTTTGGGTGTGTCCGAAGTACGTGACCCATTTGATTATATATATTCAAATATTCATTTCGGTGCTTTATAGGTACTCAATGAGGTTGGCATCGACAATCAAGCCTTGGTTGTTCGAGGTAGAGAATATTTCTAAGAATATTTTCGATTGACCTGCATTTCTCGTTGTACACAGGACGTCACCTTGTGGCAATCACGAAGGTTGAAGAAGGCATGAAATTCTTTCGTGAACATGCTTTAAAGTCTGTTTGGAAACCAATCATTGCTTTTCGCAACGATTCCAACGATCAACCACTTGATTATAAAAGCGTTAGTATTCAGTATCAATTATAGCACTAAATCATATGATTTTTTCGTATTTCAGTGGTCACTATTGAAGACAGAACTACCGCCGCAAGTGAATATTTTAACTATAGAACCCATTGCTCAAGAGAAGAATGTGCTAACAGTTCTTTTCCGTGTTGAACATTTCTATGAGCCAAATGAACATTCCACATTATCAAAATCTGTAACATTGAATGTCAATGTAAGTGTTTCATGCGAAAAACGTTCCCTGCGAGTCAGAATTTACACTTTTCTTTATTAAAATAGAAAATTTTTAATAATCATAAAGTCCTTGATGCGAAAGAAATGACATTAGGTGGTAACATGTACAAGAGCCAAGCATTTCAACGACTCAAGTGGACGAGAGATGCAACACCTGGTCTGTCCTTTTGATTTCGATTCGACCAGCATGAATGTTCTCTTTTCTAGACGATAGTAAAGGCCGTGAAGAAACGCCGGCGTTTGATGGAGAAACGATTGAACTATATCCAATGCAGATACGGTCTTTTGTTATCAAACTAGAAAAACGTTGAATGTATAGTCTTCCTTTGACCAAAGTGATACTTATTGTATGATCTGTTGTTGGCTTTTAATAAGTTTGAATAAATTTTATCGTTTAATTTTTATTTTTGCTTTTCGTTTTCACACAAAGTGTTCTTCTGGAGAAAATAAACGGTTTTGACTCACAAAAACTGCTATATGTTTCGTAGAATTCGTAGATAAAATCAAATGCTATTCACTCTCCTTGTTTATTATTTGTTTCTTGTTTTCGTGAATAGTTGTAAGAAAAAGAAAACAAATAAATAGTTCGAATTACTGTTCAAATGAGATTGATGAATGATCACCGTCGCATTCTTTGTGCATACTCAAATCAATTTTAGGATTTCTTAAAAGCAATTTGACAATTTCCGTGTTTCCTTTCGAACAGCATCGATCCAAAGGAGTTTGTTTATATTTATCTGTGGCATTGATGTCAGCATCATGTTCGAGTAAGAGTTGTACTATCTGAAAGAGTACGAAAGTGTTTGACATAGTTATTAGTTGCTCTGTTTTACTTCGTAAAAGTTTTTCGAACATGCGTAGTGCAAGGGTCGAGCACCGGAGGAATTGGACTGTTCAATATCAACTTTATTGGTTTGCAAGAGCATGCGAACGATCTCAATATGACCTGTGGATACAGCAATCATCAATGGTGTCCAACCAAGCTGAAAGAAGAGGTAGATGTGTGCAATTTCTCTACTTTTGGTTCTTACTTCATCAGGAATATCTGGACGAACGTTACAGATCTCTAACAGATATTGCACGATATCTTTTGCTCCACTGGAACAAGCCCAATGAAGAATTGTTCGACCGTCCTATAATTCAATCGATTAGCAATTGACGTGTTTCAAAAATTGTATATGAAAGCACGTTCTTACTCGATCTTTTTGTTTCACACATGTTGGATCAGCTTCTATTTTTGCTTTTAGCTCATCGAACTTTTTGTCATATGCCAAACAACAAATCTCTAAATTCGATATATTCATTTCCATAGTTAATCTAAAGCACAAAAAATTCATCGTTAAGATAGAATACGTAGGAGTTTATGAAGATTTCTCTGGGCAAAATCCTTTTAGACATTTAGAATCTAATGATATTGAAAGCGTTTGTTCACTGAGTAGAATAAAACTATTAAGTAAATACTGGCGAAGAATTAGTGTCGAGTGTGTCGGCTTATCACTGTTGATTGTCGAGCGAAAAATCACAAAATAGGATTGATGCGTCGCCCCGAGGAACGTGTAGCGTTCGAATTGATCACGAACGAAAACGAATATCATTGACGAAGGATGTTCTTGAAGAAAATCGACAAAGTTCACCGTTATCGATACGTTGGAATTGTATTCAATCGATTTAATCAATGGTGATGCGGATGAGACTTCCAAACTAGGTGATTCTACCGGATGGATCTAAAACTAATTTATTTATGAGAGAAAAGTTCAATGCAATATCTTACTGATAAATAACCAAGTTTCACAATTGTATTTGCATTTTTTTCGTCACGAATTGAGACGTTAATTATAGATAGTTGTTCATTAGCCGTCAATCGATATGTTCTTCAGAAATAATAGGCATGTGTAATGCGAAAGGGAGGACTTTTTTTTGCATACTTTCGTTTCCAGTCACGAATCACAAGATCTTCTTCACTTTGATCTAATGGGATCAATTTTCCATCATCACATTCAAGTTCAAGCATCACGTCATCGCTTCCTTTGAAAACAATGATCGCCTCCCAACGTGATTTCATTGGAAGACAACATCGGAATAAACTAATATAAACAAAATTTACATCAATGGAATAAAATTAAGAAAAATCTACTTTAAATAGCCTTTGGCATCTCCATGAAGTTCGAGATATGATCCACCGAAGTAAGCGTCATCGTATTTGAGAGACCAAATATGTTCACTGGAACTGTTAGGAAGATACGATTGCAAACTAAGATTGTACCAAGAATTATTAGCGATTTCCTATATGGTTCATTGTAACGAGTTTTAAATAAACGATCCTCGTAGACTTACTAAGCCATGCAAGAAGAACTTTTCACCGCAACCATCAGAAAAATATGTTGTTAACGATTTTAAATGTAAAGTTCTTTGATTTGTATACGGCTCCAATAAAGTCCAAAATCTTGAATTTCCTCAAAGCATTATTCATTCGATTCATTTGACAAAACTTACTTTCGATCGTTTTCGATGAATTGCTTTGCATCAAGTGTTTCAAAAAGCCATCCTGGCGCAAAGATAGCTGTGCTTAAATCCATCTTGTGACTCAGAGATATCGCCTAAGAAGTCAAACAACTATGAAAAGAGATTCAAGTCTATAGCGACATCGTACTTCGCTTGTATTAAAACCACCGCCTCCGAAACATCCCCGGCCGAACACATCGATTCCGACGAAAACATCTCGGTAACGTTGACCAGCATTGATTTTGGATTGAAGAAGCATTTCTGATTTCCATGTATAGTTTAAAAAGATGCCATCACAAGCATTGAAAAATGATCTAAATCATTAGATTTTTATCCTGAAAGATACAGCGTAAACTATGAACTCGATTGCGCAATGTCTACGTTACTCATCAGAAAAGCATTTTCGATTACATCTTTCTCTTACTCATTCAATTCATTTAATTGATTTTGCCATTTCAAATCACCATTTTTGGTGACACTGTCGTACCAAAGAACGATACTATTTCGATCAATTTCCGAACAGGCTAGTTTAAGTTTGGAAACAAACGAAAGAAGACGTTCGATATGTTCTGGCTAATGATGAAGATCAATATCGATTACCTTCAATAATCAAACCAGCTTACCTCTATCGGATTTTCAATATTCAACAAATATCCATCAAAGCTATACCATTTCATTAATAAAACAAGCGCGTCAACCACTTGGTTAACCACGTGATCAGATGACAATAACTGTCGACATATTTCTTTTCCTTTATCAAATTCCGTTATAAATGTTCCTAAAAATTACAATTCGAAACAAATGAATATCTCAGAAACGAACTACCAAGGATTTGAACACCATTTTTATGCGCACAATCGATCCAAACCACAGGTGGTATAGTCACGAGTTCATGCGCGAAATAAACAAACATATCAATGAGATGCCAACGAAAAAATCGATAACAAGATTCATCAGTTTGACAACCTTGCGTATGTCTACAATTGAATGCACATATCCTGCTTTGAAAGTCACATCGACGTACTTATCTTCTAAATATCCACCTTTCATGTCATGACAGAGTAAAATCTTCTGTCTTGGTGATGTATAACGTGAAACAAGCTGAGAACATTTCAACCGACTTGTCAGACATGATGATGATAGATTGAAAAGATCAGAAAGAGTTCTAATAGGTGAACAAACTGTGGACCTTTCCTTCAATGACATCTAAAATAATAGACTAACGTGTTGTGATTTTTGATTATTGCGAGGCTCTTTTTACGAGTATTTCATGATTGGCAATCGAAAGAGATGAAATGAATTCTTTGTATTCTTTCTATGAAATCATTGATACAGAATATGAGAAGAGACATATTACAAAAAAAGAAGAAAGCCGAACAGATGACTAGGATTTATTGTCTAATTTTCGTCGTTTCACTGACGTAGTCGTTGTCGTCGTTGCCGCAGCTGACGATGATGCCGGTGCTGGTGGTGGTAAAACTGAATTTCCATTTTCAAATCGATCGACAAAGGTTTTCTTCTCCGTATATAATTGTTCATGTTTGTGAATACAATTAACTAATGATTTAATGGTTGACGTTGATAACGGAATATTCATTGGATGATCGTCGATTGTTAATCGATCTTGTAAATCATCTTGATCAAGTTTATTCTCTGGATTGTTAGTCGCGTGATTTTCCAACAGAATTTGTAAATGTTGTAAAATATACTTCAGTCCATTTTCATTTGCCATCTTGATCGTACCGATTTTATAATCAACTTTCTGTTTTGTCGGATCATTCTCTCGTTGTATCCACTTTTGTAAAATACGTTCGAGATGACGCCAGAAGATATCGTGATGTTGTTCATGCCATAGAAGACAAAGTTTCTCGGAAAAATTCTTTGTCAATTCATGAGCGAACAGACAACAAACAAGACCGTAAGTTGGAAGTTTGTTTTTCAGTATGTCAAAGACATTTGCCAATGCGATCGTGTTACGATAGGTTGTATAGTGAACTGATTTCGCTAAGCGTTGCTCACCAATGACCGATTTCGTTTGATTGAGAAGATGTTCGATGATGTTTGTGAATAATTGTTCGTACTCGTCTTGAACGAAATCGTGCGCACCGAGTAATTTCCAAAAATCTTCTTGTTCGGTTTGAGAGAATAATAATGTTTGATCGACAATCGAATAGAGTTTGTGTGAATTGAATAATTGTAAACGGTTTTTGAGAATATCCAAGATAAATTGTTTGGTTTCGAATGGGTTGATTGTGTGTAAAAGTAGACGGATTAATTTGATATTATTGAAGACTTTTTTCGGATAGAGTCGATAGATATACGAATAGAGATAAAGGAATGTTTCGGTATCATCCTGTTCACATTGGGCTAAGATTTCATGAATGAAATCAATAAAATCTTGATCATAAGTGGGCACTTTTGCTGGTGGAATGGCCAATCTATATGAGAGCAAGGAGTTTTGTTTTTCAATCGCTATCAAGCAAAGGAATAACTTACTTTCTGTAACTACTACTCAATTTAATGATTTCCCTGGCAAATTTATCGAAAATTTCTCCTGCTAGTTTCATATCATCGATATCAATGGAGAGATAATATAGAAATATGTATGCTAATTCTGGTTGAAAGAAGTACATCGCTTGAGTCAGTTTGATATAAACATCCTGATTTTGTGAATTATCTTTGATACAGCGAAACAAGCTATAAATCGGCAGTTTTTGTATCGATCGTTTTAATTTCTGGTTTGGTATGTTACGAAAGTCGCTTTCTAACATAGAATTATTCTTATTCGCCTGGGATGTTCTCAGCGAAGGCAGCAGACGACTTTGAAATGAATCACGTAACAACCAAAGACAAAGGAGCGCGTGGACGATTGTGTGTTCGTCGAATATGGTTAATAAACGTGATTGAAATTTATCACTTGCCCTTTCGAATTTGATCATTGCATAGGAGCTGACCGGTCCAGCTGGCTCGCAGGGTTCGATTTGAAAAACCAACGGACGCTTATCACTTAACGATTGAGCAAGTTGTTTACATATTTGTGTTAACAAAGATGTCTTATTTCGATTGGTTGCAACGGAATAGGATACAGCTAATTGCTGAAGATTTTCATTGATAAACGAACGAAATCGTTCGAATGGAAACGTCTTTCGACATATATTTGTATTATAAATATCTGCAGATGCTTGTGTTTCATCGTTAATCATCAAAATATCATCATCATCGTCGTCGTCGTAATCGGGATTGAAGTTTTTCTGCGCATTCAATTGAGGGTCATATTCATCATCATCTTCATCATCGGAAAATCTCGGTGCTGCAGTCGTATTGGCAGACATAATCATAATGTCACCGGATTCTTCGTCGTTACCTGCTGGCATTGCAGCATTTGGATTAATATCATCATTAACAATTATCACTTCATCATTGTTGGACAGAATACCTAAATTCAATTGAAACAGATGTCGTCGTCTTCTTCTTCTCTCAAGAAGATCTTGTCTTACTTGTCGTTGGCGGTGACAATGTCAACGTAAAGAAACTTGTCAATAAACGCTGATATGTATCTCGGTCGTGTGTAAACATTTGTAACAGTTGTTGTGAATTAAGAATCGGTATTCGTTGAAATAATTCCAGAAATAATCTCGCGACATTTTGTTGGAGAAAGGCTTTCAACGACGAAATCAGAGTTTCCGACGTATGTAGCAGAAACAGTAACATGTGTTTTGCATAATAGTATGAAACAGTTAGGAGATGATATCCCACAATCGCGGAATTCATTTGCACATCGTACTCATTTGTCATCGGTTGACAATTGCTCATATCGAACAAGAACCAGTCATAGTAAATCGCTAAGCGACATTGAACAAGTTGTTCATTGATCTGTATCAATAGCGGTGATGGCGAGGAAACAACTGCCGCTGCATTCATGGCTGTTTGACTCGCTGAGATAATTGATTGTTGTAGTGTTTGTTGATAATTATACAATTGTGTGAGTAACCAAGAGATAAACGTCCAACGAGCGACTCGATTGGGTGCCATTGGATTTCGACAGATAACACAAACATATCGAATGATGTGTGAGCATAAATAGATGGAATCAGGTTGTTGTTTGAAATTCAAATATTGATTTTGAAACCAATCGAAGTAGTATTTTTCTTGACTGTTTGCTTGACACGTATCCAAGAGGTAACGAAGATGTTTCTCCAGATTGAATGATAATGGCAGCGCGAGATATTTCGGTTCAGTTTGTAAAGCAAGAATTTTTGGTAGAAAATCATTTGATACGGTCGAGGAGAGATGTTTAAGAAACGCATCGACTTCACGAACATGTCCTAATTGTATTAGTAGACGAATAGCATCACGACCAAGGCAGTGAAGATTGTCGCGTGTTAGATTCAATACAAACTCAATCTGCCGTTGTTGTTGACCTTTTCGGCGAAGGTAAATTGGAAAAATCGAAAGAAATGTATAAATTGTTAATAATTTCATTTCCGGATAAGTTTTCAAAAATAATTGATGAATAGAAAGTAATTCAATGATTGTATCACATAAATCTATACATTGTTGATGTGGGTTGATCTGTCGCAAGAACACGTAATAAAGACGATCGATTCCATCGATATTCGCTGCAAAGGTTTCACGGAGGAACCATAGTAATTGTTGACGAACATGGTCGTAGATTCGATGCCAGTTCTTGGTTATCAAAGCTTCGAGAATGGCAATACTCGATGCGAGATTTGTACCGTTGAGAGCGAGAAGATCTTGGAAACATTTCGCTTTGTTATTGATATCCGTGAGTATTCCATAGAGCAGAGCATGAGATATATGTTCTTTCGACTTTTTATTGGTTTGACCAATTTGAACAAGAATGTTTGAGTCGATTGTATAACGGTTCTGTTGGATAGCTGCAAAGCATGACTCTAAGTAGGCATCATTGGGATCTTTCAGTTCAATTTGAGTGTATTGAATGAGTTTTGATTCTGGTGCGGTTAGTTTTATATTATTTGTTGCCATAGGTTTCACTGAAAATTTAACTAATTAAATATACAAAGGGAAAGACTGCATTGAAAAACACTATGTGTCAAGAATCGGATCTAGAAGAAGTAAGTAGAGAGAGAGAATTTGATGAATGATGAAAATTATATGGTCTACGATAAAACATCAATGGGTGAAATGAAACACAGAGGGCAGTATCGTATGATTATTGAATGAACTTCACGCTTGCGTTTGTAAAAGAGAAATTTTCTTCAATCTTCGTCTTGTTTATTGGAACAGAAGATAAGTTGAAGGAAGTGACTTCCCATACAATATACACAAGAATTTGTATACATAACAAACAAATGCTTTTTTTTTATTGAACGAAAGATTAATTAAGGTGCTCGAAGGTTAGATGCAAGTGTAGGTTCGGCAGTCCAACTTTGTTCTACAGTCATTTTAACACGTTTTTCATATTCGCGTCGATTGGTTTGATAGAGATTGGCCGCTTCCGAATTCGCCGGCGATGAAACATTGGGTTCATCGAGTAACGACTAAAGGCACAAAGAAACTCGATCGATTTTTGTTCAATATTTCTGAAGATAGTCTACTTGAATTGAAGTGAGGATTGCTGATACATCGTACGTTGGTGACCAACGATTTTGAAGAATATCAAGACAAATACCACCGTCAGCGTAGACTATTGTCAAAAAGGCAAACAATGAGTGGGGAAACGATTAAGAAAAAGCATTTTACCATTTGGATGAAACATTTTCGATGTAAATCGAACAGATGGTGGCTTATTTGGATAAGATTCTGTGAATTCTATAAAAAATATCATAAACATAGACATTCAAAACAGTTTCACGCAGCGCATCTTCTAGTCTAGCCTTGAGTTTACTTCTGAAAAGGGCAAAGATGTAAGTTACTAATCTATCCAGATACTCGATGATTAGATCGTATCAAGAGAGAATTCTAATCTAATAAATCATATTCGATTAGTTGTCATTTGTAGATAAATAGCGGATATTTTCGACTGAATTACGTCTCCTTGTCTTAGTACATACCTAATAGTAATCGAAATGTTCCGTCTTCGAATGGTGTATCATTTGGTCTAGAAGGTAAGACATTGATTACTTATGACATGACAAGATTTAGTACAAACCCAAGAATAAAAGCGTGCCAGATAAGGATATTATCATCCGAAGGTACAGCAGCGATACCAGCTGGTGGATCTTTTTGTAATCTCGAAGGAAAGAACGAACTTGAAATTGAATTCATTCAAATATTTTACATACTGTTTAAAGTCTCGCATTAAACGTAGACGAGATGGAGTTGACATTCTGGTGTGTTCCTATCTCAATGAAAATCTATCTAAAAAAAATACCGATTGTCAGATTCTCTTTCTTATTACAAACTAAAACATTCAATTAGACTCTTCCTCGGATTTTATGATGCCTAAATACAAAAACAAAGCACATCGATTTCAATCCGAGATATTATCCAATCAACAAACCATTCATATTTCGCATCTTTCAGCCAACGTTGAAATACAGGTGTTAAATAATTGCCGAGAATAATTTGCATCGGATGATAGATCAACAATGGTATCGTTATAGAAGTGTTCTCAGGAAAGATCGTTTGTAGAATAGGCATTCCTACAAACATGGAACAATTACAGGAAATGTGTTTGTAACAAGGTACCTGTTGTCAGAGATTTTTGACTGCCACAGAACACGATCGCAATAGTATCACTTGGACGAATGTGAAGCCTTCGACAAGCGAAAAACAGGAGACCGGTTAAAAATATCTGGATACTAAAAACTAAAACCAACAACTCTAAGTGATCACAATGGAACGACTATTCACTTGTCAAGAGCAAAATCAGCAAATTAACAAATGTTAAACTCATCGAGCCACTTTGTTTAAATGTTTGACAAAATGTTGTATAGATATTGATTAACAATATCCAACTACATAGACAAGAATCAATGTATATCGAATGAAAAAGTCTAATCTTATTACTTATTGATTGTATTGGAGTACGGTATCGTTCGGTTGACAACCAGTGGAAAATAGATACGTAAGAATTGCCCAATCGCGATCGGTACTAAAATAGTCGTTGAAAGTGATATTAACACATGAATAAATGATTGTGAATGACTTGTCAACGTTCCACCAAGCTATTGATGAGAAAAAGAAAGCGAATTCAATTAGATCGAATATGTGAAATGAATCTTCGTAATACCGAACCATGATATAAAGAAGAACAGGCGTGAGCAGAGTGCCTAATAAGCTGCCAATCGTTGAATTTAACATAGCGATTGCCTGGAATAACAAAACAAACAATTATTTTTTCCTTTCTCTCGTTTTTGCTTTACTTCATTTCCACCGATAGCTCGAACAACAAAAGCTGCTGTAGAAACCGGAGATGGTAATGTTCCCAAAGCTTTTATTCTGAAAATAGTCAACAATCACTGCGTAGAAGATGAGGAAAAGCGCAAAAATTCTACCCCATCGCAAGTTGATACTGATATGTCAATAGTCGATAGATTGTCGATAAAATGAGAAATAGAATTGGACAAATGCAAAATGAGAAGACTTGAATCGACAAATGAATTCGATATTGAAGCATAGTTTGATATAATTCCTATCGATTCAAATGATGATCTGTTAGTTTAAATAAAATATTCATTTGTTTTTCTTCTCACTTCACTTCGTATAGAACAACCATTGAGCAAGAAAATAATCATTGTTCCTAAGAATTTGATAGTTGAGTCAGGTTTCAATGGACCTAGAGATGAATGTTTCAATTATTGATATGCATTTGATTAGTTTTACTAAGTAATGACCTTCTTTTGAACCCAATTCGGGATAAATAAAAGCTAATAGAATTGAAAGAAAAATGCCATATAGAAACCAATATTTTGACAAGTGCGCTTTTCGATTAAGGACAAACATATGTTTCTATATGTATCTAAAGAATCCAATGATCCAAGACAATCAGTAAAGATCGTATGGTTAAAAAGACATTTATTTTACTAATTCATTTATTCTTAAAAAGAACCTTGCGTTGTTTGTCAGAAAAAGTCTCATTTCCAATCATCTCTCGTTTTGATGCTCTCATGAGAGATAGAGCGAACGCGAGAGGAAAAGGATCAGCAGTCGAGAATTCAATATAATGAAAAAGAAAAGACAGAGGCAATAAGAGATCGACGACTGTTTAGTAATTCGGACCTGCGGACGTTTCCGCATATATATATTTGCGTCGAACTTTTTCTTCCTCTCTCATTCTTCTTTCTCGCTTTCTTTTCTTCATCTAGCCAAGAAAGAAGAGAAAGACACTGATGTAATCAAATTGACTCAAGCGCTCCTTTCGCTATGCCTAGTACGTTTTTCTTCTCTTTTTTTTCTTCGTTTGTCACGCACTTCTAGAGGAAATGGATCGAGTGTCTATGGTTAGTCCGATTGTTATTGAAATACATCATAAAGACATTTCACTATCGGATTCTTTCCAAGAGAGAACACATGTAAACATTGATGAGACTGGGTTTCAAAGTGAAAAGTAATATTAAGTAAGAGATAATGCAAGCAGATGTAACACAGAATAGTTATTCTCTTTGAGTCCTTTTTTCTCTTTTTAGGTTCAGTCATCAATAATGTCGTAGAGTTTCTCTGACAACGACGTGTGCACACATACACACGCGCAGACATTTCGAAGTAAAGAATGCAAAGAACCATCAACAAAAGGAACGAGATCGTGTAGAAAAAAGAGAGAGAAAGAAAGAGAGTTATTTTATGAATCAAAAAAAAAAGAATGTTTCTTTTCCTATATAACAAATAAGTGTTCATTCGTCATTACTTGTCGTTTTTCTCTTCCTTCTAGACAAAAAAAAATGTCTGATGAAAGCAACAATCACTCGTCATTCGATTTACTAATTCGGGCATTCTATCAAGATGATCGAACACAATTCGATATTGAACTCAATCATCTATTAGATTTATCTCGTACGCAAGACATGCGTCTATGTACACAAATCATTCTTCAAGCGTATAAACAAAAGGAATACGCTTTTCTCGAAGAATTGCTCGACAGAGAAGTTGTCTACAGTGGTATACCCAATCTAACGTCATTGCATGCTGCATCAGGTTATGCACTCTCACGTCTAGTTAAATATCTCCTTGACGAACGAAAAGCAGATCCAAATCAAACATGTACATTTGTTAAAAATGATCAACTATCGGGTATAATTATATCCCTGAAAGAACCAAATCGAACACAAGTCATCTCGAATTTCTCTTTAGGTATTACTCCGTTACATTTCGCTTGTGGAATCGGACCAGAACATCTCGTCGATGAAACAACTGATACAGTCAAATATTTATTAGCATCCGGTGCGAATGTTAATTTAGTCACATCACGTCAAGATACAGCTTTACATTGGGCATCGAAATTTTCGAACGAACAGATCGTTCAATTACTACTTAAATGTCAAGCAAATGTTAATGCAGTCAATAGTCTTCAATATACACCTCTATGCGGTAAAGTGAGAAGCGCGTGCTCTTTTTCGGACAAGATTGTCTATTGTTTAGAAGCGTGTTTCTATGGGAACCTTGAAATTGTGAAAATTCTTGTCGAATATGGATCTAATGTAAATGGGAATCAAAATAACGAACGGTCTCCAGGTAAATTTCTTTCTCATGAGATCTACCTACAAGGAAAAGCTATTCGAGAAAATCGATTATTCATAAATTTCATAGAGAAAAAAATAAACAGCGAAGTCATTTGTGCGTACGTCAAGTCAAGGTCAGAGTTTTGTACTAAGCTCAAATAAGAAAAGAGGAACAATCAAACCTGCTATGTCTGTCTGTATAGTTAGATTCATTATCATTTTTGTCCGCCAGGAAATTTGTTAGTTATTAAATATTAATGAGACAAATTTACATATCAATTAATCTGAAAAAAATAAATAGAAGAAGTTATTCATTTCAATTTGAATAGATAACTAAATTTTTATCTTCCATTGATTCTTGTCATTGAGTAGGAAAGAAAAATGATCGTTAATTTCTTTTTCTCTCGATTATATAAGAAGTACTTTGTAGATGGGGGAAAAACGTGCTTCCTGTTATAAAGTTTATCAATTCCGGAATAGAGTCGTTGTCTTGTCTGATCGCGAGCAAACTTTCTGACATGTGTGTAATATGTTCTAGTTCATCTTGTCTGTCGGGGTTTACTAAGTGAACATGATGCACGTCGTACGAGTCCAATGAATGAGATAATTGTCAAAAAACTCGAAGAGCGTCTTGAAATTGTCAAATATTTGTATTCACACGGTGCAGCCATCGACACATTTGATCGTGATGGTCTCACGCCGTTCATGTACGCATGCTCAAGTGGAAATTATCCATTGGCTAAATACTTACTTGATGAACAACAAAGTAAAGATGATGCATCAACATCGAGAATAATTAATGAGCGATCAAACACAGGTGAATCATGTCTAATGTACGCTGTTGAGTCAGGTAACTTAGATATCGTTACACTCTTATGTAATCATGGAGCTAAACTTGATGATCAAAAAAATCCATCTTATGTAACTGCTGCTGCATTCTATGGACATAAAGATATACTTAAAAAACTAATTGAACTCGGACTTGATATCAATGAGTTCGGTATGATATGAAAACGAGAGATTTGTTCATTTGTTATCATCGATATTATCTTTTAGATCAAAACGATGAAGGCGTCATATTCAATCCAATCTATGCTTGTTGCCATTGTGGATCAGTAGAATGTCTACAATTATTACTTGAGGCGAACGCAAGAATTGATTGGAAAACAAGTCAAGGTAATTTGATTATCTTCTTCTCTTGTTTAACTAGAAATTAATCTTTATCTATTTACCCTCTAGGAACGAATCCACTGCACGCTGCCTGCTATTCCGATAAAAGTTCCGTGCAACTCGTTGAACTTCTCTGTCAATATGGACAGTTCGATTTGAATGAAAGTACGAATTCGGGTGAAACACCTCTACTAATGGCTATTGAACAGAATGATTACGATCTAGTTGATTATTTATTACGACAAGGTGCTTTTCCTGATCGATGTAATCACGACGAATGCTATCCTATTCATCTCGTTTGTTTCAATGGACAAGCCAATATCCTCTACCTTCTACTAGCATTCAATGCGATTATTGAACAGTCAAACGAAAACTATCCACATCCATTAGTGATCACAACTTATAAACGTGATCTAGTTTGCTCGAAGTTACTCATCGAATCGCCGAAATGTTCCGATCAAGTCGTTCGGGAGGTCTTAATCGAATCGATAGAAAATGGTTTCGACGAATTAATCGGTGAAATTATCCATATTCGACCGCATCTTATTCCAGACGATCTCAAAGAGAAAATGACCGATACACTTCTAGCGCTCGAACAGCTCAATATCGATTCATCTGCTTAAGACTTTCTTACAGTCAACGAAAATCACAAAGAAAACAGTGAAAACAGATTTTCAAATTCTATTTTTTTTCGTTTTGTTTTCTTCACAAAAAAAAGATCATCTCTCTATATATATGCGTGTATGTGTATGTATTAAAAGATGTTCAAGCATCAAACAAACAAACAGTGAAAGAAAGAAAAAGCAACAAACAAGAGGTTTTTCCCTTTCAAAACAAACAAAATATATGTATAATGTAAACAGAATGAAATAACGAAAGAGAATAAATAATAAATTTCCTTTTTATCATAGGCAAGAACATATGAAATGTTAATATTAATTATCCATAAATATACAGAGGGAGAGAGGAAGATGAAGAAGAGAATCTATCGCGTTGTCTTCCATCACTGTAAAGGATAAGAGTAAAAGAAAGAGAGAGAGAGAAAGTTTCGATCATTTGTTTTCGGTCTGACTAGGTGAAAATGCGTACGCGATAGAAACGATGAAACAGGATCTTTTTAAATCGAACCCAAGTGCCAAACAATAAGATACGAAATATTTCGATTGCTCACACTCGACTCATCTAATTTCTCAGTTGTTGAATCACCAATACGAAAGTCGATATAACCATCTCCACCACTTACAACAAGAATATCGCCAAACGCTAACGCAGACGAATCAGTTGTGTTTAATGTGGATGTGGAAGGAATCGATTCAGATGGCGATTCGTCATCGTGAAGCAATTTCGATGGTGGTTGACCAGGGACAGCGACAAAGAATTTCACCGCATCCCGATAACCATGAAAAGATAATTGTGCATTATTCATACTGCAGTACGGAATATAACTGGTCGGCGATGATGCTTGTTCGTAAACACGGACGACTGAACCAGGTTTACTTGCGTTTGTAGTCGGTTGAGCTGTTGTTGTATCTGGAAGAGAACGAAAATTTTTCACGTCGGATATTTCAATCAGTCCGATGAAGATACTTACTATCGGCAAGTGGAACAGAAATGATTATTCCATTGCCCGTTCCGATCCATAGACGGCGACAGGCAATCGTCAACGCACTGATATGGACAAAATATAGGCCAGCCTTTTCTGTTGCTAAGAAAGACGACAAACATTTAATGAAGTGAATACTTCGTTCGAAAAACGCCAAACCAACCTATCATCTTTTCGACATATGGTTGAACATCAACATCTTGCAAATGTTGATACGTCTGCGCATGATACAATTGCAATGTACTTGATAAACGAATCGATAGCCAAACGCCATCGCCTGACCATGTCATATGTTGAACTGAATGTTCTGGTCGCGAATGAACGTCAAATTGTTTCTAGACGAGTGTAATGTATGTAGTTTGAAAAAGATTTCATTTCGAACATACTCGAACTTCCAGTGTTTGTGCATCGATAACATAAATTCGATTAGCAACACCGCACCAAATTGATTCGTCTACATTGATCATACATCGCACAGATTCTCGACTTTTACCCGTCACAATCAAGTGAAGATTATTTAACTCCCATGTTCCATCTGTAATATGATGTGTTCAACAGTAAGAACTCAGTTTTTTCTGATAAAGAATTGCATGCTCACCTGTATTACGATGGAAAACAACAATTTTTTCATTCGCAAGCGATACAAAAACTCGTCCATGAACATGCCTGTAAAAGTATTCGCTCGAAGTCTCATTTTGAAGACAACGTATAGCTTACACAATACTGTAGATTGCGTGACGAAGCCAAACTTTTTCAATTGTTTTCCTATGTTCACTCGTAGCTGAATGGATGTACAACCAACCATCACCTGTGCCCAGCCAAACTGTCGGATACTTCGTTGAGCCATTTAGTGTATTTTCTTGCGCAGCTAAACGAAATGAGTTGCATGATGTTAGGTTTTGTAGAAAAACTCGTTTCGAGCAGCGGAAAAGGAGCATTACTATCAACATGACGACCAACACCTCGCCATGATAGAAACGTTCTCGAACGAGAACGCACTTCTTTCTCATGCAATCTTTTCTGTTCTATCAAGAAAGAATACCACGCGAAAACACAGTCGAAATTATATACATACGCTGTTGAGCGGAATTTTGCGCAGTTGAAAATGTTTCAGCACCGCTAAGTCGACCTAAGACAGTATTGTATATCAACATCCATTCTTGAAATTGAACTAGGAAAACTTACTTCCACCAGTTGTTAACGACGCGATTGTGCACGGAGAAACTTTCACATCTAGGAGAACAGTTTCGACTGAAAGAATAATAACCAACTAGATCAAATCTTACCACTCGCAGATGCTGTGTCTGCTTCAAATAAAGTCCATTTCGAATCATTTATCGGTGAATAATCTGCACTCGATGGTCCTGTCGACATATACTGATTTTCATATGAAACAGACGATGATCGGTTCGATTACCTGGTACACTACCCATTGCATAGACTATTGCATTTCCAAGTGTGAATGTATCAATAATTTTCTCTGCTTTATTTGAATCAATGATCGTTATCATTGCTGTATCATTCGATTTTGCAGCAATCCACACGATTGATGATAATTTCAAACATTGATCATCAACCATTTGATAGTAGGATTCAATCAATTGTTTATTCAGTTGATCCACAGACGTTTCATTCGATGTTGCTGCTAATTCATCGAGAGATGAAGGTGAACCACTTAGATCAATGCCGACAGCACACCAGATCTAAAGATGAAAGTCGAAATTACCATAGCTGTTTGTAACAGAAAAAATGAATGTTTACTTGTGTCGTGTCATTCGTATTAAAAATCGGCCGACAGTAAACAGGAACAGGAACATTCACTTGAACTTTTCCATTGATTTCTGACAATTTCAACTGATTTTTTGACGACAAACTCCAACCATAAGCTTGTAGACGATTATCATCATTGATCAATATCGAACTACCACGACGTGCGGAAGACGATTGTTTTGGAGTATCGACAACGACGGCACTACATCACCAGAAAAGAGACATCTAATATTGAAACAGATCAAATCAAACCTCTCTGAAATTGATCGATCCAATGGGAGAGACTCATCTGTTGCTACATGTTCATGTCGACTGCTGATCGCTGAAATACGATCATTTGTTGAACTACTCTTCAATGTGGATGATGGCGAGAGATTCGTTGTTGCGATACGTTTCGGTGGTACTTCTTTGACACCAGTACCAAACAAGCCAGAAAAGCTAAATAATAAAAGAAATACAACTTTTTTGTTGGATGAGGAAAGAAAACATGATAAATGTCATTGCTTATTCGTTTGTTTCTCTTACAACTCGGTGATTTGTGTTGTACTCTCTCTCAAGTCATTCTGTATCGCACCGGCATGAGTGCTAATAATATTTTTCGGTAACCAGTCGTTACTAAATGCCCGCCATATAGATTTGGAAGCTGTTTTCACCGAATTCACTGATGGTGTCGATGGCGAACTTGTTTGCGCTGCCTGTCGAGAGTAAATTTTTGTTTGCGTACCTTTGCTTTTCATAAGAATTTTCTATAAGGAGAAAGTTCGAATACACAATTGATCTTGCTTGCAGCATTAATTCGTTTATTTCATGCATAAGTTAGTAAATATGCAAGAGAACGAAAAATGTACCGACCGAATAGATAGAATGCGAGAAGAGAGGTACAACACAAATGACCCGACTTGTTCGCAATCGCTTCTGTTACTTACAGTTTCCAAAACGTCGTTCGTTTTTTGTTCTGCGAATGATCAAATGATGTATCATGTATTGCAGTCATGCTCGCTGATGTATGCATTTGTTCCTGCTTCGACGCACGTAATGCATCGTGCCAATGGATAGCTTCTTCGAGTTCGAATAGCCGTTGTTTGTATTGATTACGTTCGAGAAGAACACGTTGCATTTCAACTCGGGTAAAACGCTTTCTATCTGCCGTCGGTACATCTTCCTGAGAAAACGTAAGAGATGAGAACAAATATTCATGGCAAAACATAGAAACCAAAGAGCATGAGCATCGAGCGAATCTTGTTTTCATTTTCAAAAGTTCAACTTACACCCCACAAAAGCTCAAAGATCTATAGTTATTTTAAATATATACATGCAATGTCAGAGATATTAGACGACGGATTTTAATGATGAAGTCGATGAATGTAACTTACTTCCTCTTCTTTCTTCTTTTTCTCAAGTTCTTCACGTGTTTTACGAAGTTCTTCTTCAACTTCGTTGATTCTAAATGTTCCAATGTCCCTTAATTTAGTTTTTCTTTCTACAAATATCTATTTACCTTGTTTGTAATCGACCTTTCACTGATTGTAATGACCCCACTTCTTCACGTAACATTTCTTGTTCACTAGAAATGCAAATACCATCGTATTTATCCATGCCAAATCTCCATCTTACTTTGATAATTCTTCAATTCGAACTAGTAGATCATCTTTCAGCACATTCAATGCATTTCTAAGTAAATCAAGTAAGAAGTTATGTATTTCTCGGAATTCAATGCATTCATACTTGGTTTCCAAAAGTTCATTGTTTTCTTTGATTAAATTCGACACTTCTTTCGTCATACCTAAACGATTTAATCATACGAGTGAGAACGAAGATGCAAGCTTAAGAATTCGACATCAAGAAAACAATAACGTTAGTGACAAATCTTTCAAAGCATTAATGAAAAACTGAACACATAAGAAGTTTCCTATATCCCACTGAACAACATGAAAAATCTCACCATAGAAACTTTGTCGAACTGAATAAGAATTAAATGAAATTGACGATCAGACAATCTTTTGATTTACTTACCGAATAGATCTGCGGATGCATCCACGTCGGATATATCGATATTATCATTTCGTGTCTCTTTATAGAAAGCTTCGGAGTTCTTTCTAAACAATCGAAATAAGATAATTAGTTTTGTAATTTTAATGAGTTATGTTCGACTTACGCATCGTCCACTGAGATCTCTTCGTCATCATCGCTCGCTGCAACGTCTATGCAAGAAACAAAAATACATTATTCATGAACACAAATGACAAAAAAATGCCATTAACATGCGCATGCAAAATACAATGTTCTCGTTTCGTTCTTCTTAGCGATTTGATTCTTAAATCACCTGTAGGATTGTTTGCCGGCTCGAATTCATCTTCATTATCGAAGAATTGTCGTTCATCGAACGGTTCCGATAGAAGATTGAGACTTCGTAGTTTCGAGAATATTCCTACATAGCATGCAACATAGACAATACATAACAAACAAAACAGAAATTGATTAAAGTAAAACAGAAAAATGAAGATCAAACAGTGGAATCTATTTGACGAAACATGATGCACACGAAAGCAAAAGCACGAGCAGCGGAAATGTTCTGTTAAAACGGGGAAAATAAGTAACAAAAAGGTCCTCGATTGAATTAATGTCCCTTCCCTCATGCATGTGTTTACTGATTCGCACGTGGTTTGAAAACAAAGCTGCATTATTGCCAGTCGAAATGAAACTGCCAAGACATGCTCCTACGACTCAATGCTCGTGTCTTTCTTTCTCTCTTACCGCGTGTGTACTTTTCAATGTAAGATTCATCGAAATCTAGATTAAACAAGACAATCTCAATAGATAGTTCCACATCGGATCGAATCATATTCTTCTACTATTTTACAAGACGAGCACAATTAAGCGGACAATATGAATTTTACAACAGCTAGCCGACCTGATGCATATTCTTCTAAAGATACTTCGTCGGACTTTTTGTCCGAATTGACATTGGATATCCTGGATTTCGTTTTGGATAATTTCGCTGAAAAAATATTGATATGCATTACAAATCATGCAAGTGTCACAGACAGATATATCGATGTCTTTCTCGGATATCATTCATTATCTACGATGATTATCAATTTACTTACATCTATTCGACCAATGATCTGTCCAACCAAAATAAGAAAATATGTTTGAATATGAGGTACTCTCGTTTTCTTGTATTCATTTAGAAGGGAGGGGTGGAAAGAGAGAGAGAGAGGGAGAGAAAGCGTGTGTATGTGTGACATAACGTACCTGTATTTACAGCTGCATCAGTACTACTAGTCATTGTTTCAGTTTGAGTTTGTGCACCATCTGCTGCTTCAAGTTCAGAACGAAAATTAGCACCAATATTGGGTTGTTTATAAGATCTATCATCAGACAGTTCTCGAAGATATTCAATACAAATGGATAAATATCTTACGGGAAGGAAATATCAGCACGTGTAGGAGTTATCTCATCATTGATTGAGTCATTGGGACTTAATTGCTTTTTATCCGTTGATTGTGATTGTGAAGTTAATGGTAATTGTAGATTACCACTACAAAATAAGATTGTCACTTATTCAAAAATGAAATTAGCTTTAAAGATCTCCTTCAGTCCGAATTATGAAAATTATGTTTGCCCTAAGACGAAAATCTCTTGTCAAATAAAACTACAAAGTAACATTTTAGTGCATGTCTAATAGCATACATCGAATCTTTTTTTTAGTTCGAATTCGAAATGTAACAGTAGTGAACAGGTTATGTAATCGTTTCTTGACCTTCAAGAAAGGTTATATTTCAACTATCACTGAAAGCTTTTCTTAATTGAATTTGATTGTTTGATTTCGTTCATTGCTCTTTTTTGTTAAGAAAAATTCAACTAGACTAACCGTGAACGGGAAGCACTATTTGTTGAAGATAACTGATCTACTCGATCGGTTCCATACAAAATTTTGGTTCTCTCCATATAATCACAATGCGCTTTGAATAACTAAAGAAATTGTCGTTAGAAGATATCATGATTCTTTGTTTTTCTCTCAGTTATACTTCACAATAACGTTCATGTAAGCGTTTGTATTCCGTTTTCATCTCATTTTCTTTCTCTTCAAGACGTGCCACATGATCAGCAGCATTTCTTGCTTTAATTTCGAAGATTTTCACAATCGATTCAAGACTTTGCAATTTCTCATCATTTTCACGTTTGGTTTCTTCAAGATTATCTTCCACTTGTAGATATCGCTAAAAGTATATACATATAAACAACAAATCGAACTCAAATGAACAAGAAAATTACTTGTTGGTATTCTTTATGAAACCCTTTTTCACGTTCATATTGTTGAAATAACTGTTCATTTTGCTCTTTTAATGATTCGAGTTCTAATTTACTAACTTCACGTTCGTGTAATGCACTATCCAATGATTCTAAAACATTACAAATCAAATCGATGACGTGTTCGAAAACGATGCCACAAACCTAATGTCGAAATCATCACAGGCATAAGATCTTTCACGCTATTTTCACCGAAATTCTTTATAATACGTTCCAGTTCATTATAAACATTACTGGCCAATGTTGTGACAGTTTCGGATAGCAATGCATGACTTTCTTCACTTGCTGCTGATGAAGATAATTCATGTTCGTTAGACGCATTTTCATCGGATACTTTCAATGGTCTTCGGTTCGGTGATAATAACGGTTTAGGAGTTGTTGATTCGGAAGACATTGTTCTGTTCGTCTTTTGTTAAAGAAATCTTCTTTTCATCTAAGAGCAAATAAACAAATAGAAAAGGAATCAATGATTTCCACGCATTTGATATGAAAATTGATCCGATCTATTCAATCCCATTATTTGATGATTTGACCCCGCATGCGCATAATAAATGAATCACTGGCATGGATTCCGATTGTTATTGGAGATTTCGATGACAGATGTGATTTTTGAAAAAATAAAATTCGCCTACAGAAAACTCATATGAACGGAAAAAAAGCGGAAAAGAAAGTGATTTTGACAAGAGAACATATTCTCGATAGATGGCGCTCATCGCTGCTCTGATTTCATATTGGATCAATATCTGATGACCTTCAACGAAAATCATGTCATTATATCGGGATTTATCTGAAGACGAATCGATTAGTCTGTTAAAATAGATTCAGTTCTTTTGTATTCTAAAATGCAACTTGAATATTATCTGTTAGAGGATTGCACACCGCTGTTGATGATTATTATTATCATTGACATTCGTAGTTGATGACTGTGCGTGATGACTTTTAGATGGATATGATTTAGCTGAGACAGCCTTGAATAGAATGCTTGATGTTGAGTCATTATTAACAAATTCTACAATGGTTTTTGCATAATTTTCACGCCAAATATAAGACCAAATTTCCAGTTGAACGGCATCAGCCAAAACCTCGAGTTCAGTTTGAACAAGTTCTTAGATGGAAAGAAAACCTTTTTGGAGATGAATTATGATCGTTTGTTTTTACTTTGAAGTACAACAGTGTTAGGCATACAGTTAGCACAAATGTTGATAATTGTATAACAACTCCAAGCAACTAATTTAGAATGTTCGTTCATATCATTAACAGTACGACCTGCGTGTGGCATGGATGTTTTCATTATTTCAAATAACTTTGGTATAATACCATGTTCATGCAACTAAACAATCGAATAGAGTAGAACTAGGAATAAATTAACGATTACATTCATTTGAAAACTGAGATTGTCGATAGCAGTTTCTGCAATGGCAATCATAGCAGCCAAGCGCATCCGCGAGTCTTGGTGTGATAGTGCCCGAATGAATAATTTCGAATAGAGTTTCATAGAATTTTTCACTTGTGTATGAGCTGCACTAGCATTGCAAAAAACTATCTGCCTTTTCTAATGAAATAAGGAGCACATGCATATACCACAGCAAAGTGAATGGCCCATGGTAACAATCGCCTGGATTTTCTCTTCAAGGGTGAATTGACCATCTTCATCTTGAATGATTTTCGATAGCGAAAGGAGAACCGCTCGAGCTTGGTCGTCCATGGATTCATAAACATTGAGAATTAAATCATGAATTTCGTTGATCTCCTCTTCAGAATTCGGTTTTCTCCGTCGAAGATCAAACCATTCGAACCAAGAATTCTTCTATACACTCAATCGAGTATGTCGATAACAATCTAATCGCATACCTTTTCATACGATTTAAACACCTTGATACTACTAGTGTTGTGCAAAAAATTTAAACTCATCTCAGTCGATTAAATAGAAAATCAATCTCATTAGTATCGTGTCCACTGAAACGACAAACAGAATCTGTCTGTCTGATTAATTGTAATGACGATATACTTCGCATAGATGTCCTTTCCATACAGAATTACTCTCGTCGATTGTAATTTTACTTTTAAGGTCTGTTGCTAGACAACATCAGCTGTAAATGTTTGTAGACGAATAACCAGTTATAGGAAAAAACATCTTAATTCAGCTCGTGCCCGACGAACAGAACTCTTCAAAATTTTTCGTGTTGCTAATAGAGAAAAAATGATGTCTACAGAAAACTACGAATTCGATCCGAGTTATCGCGGTCAAACAGGAACGAGTATAGGAGTGTCAACTGTTGGCTTCCGTTCCAATAAATACAATCCGAATGAATGGCATGAAAATAACTATGCCAAATATTATCAAGCATTTAATGATCGAGATGGAGCAGAAAAACAGCGTTGGCAGGCAACACGAACTGAAAACGAGACATTAGCACTCTCTCATCAAACGCAAGCGTTATCAACCAAAAAATTACAGCAGCGGTATGTGTTCTCTTTCTCGAAAGACTTGTTATTCGACTGTTTGCTCTTGTGTAATTAGTTTGCATGATGTCAACTTTTGGAAATTCGAACTGAATCGAATGATCGAAGATGTTCGAAATGAAACCGACCTATTGGTAGCACAAAAGAAACGTTTAACAAATGCCTTAGATGCCACCGAAGCTCCGCTTCACATTGCCACAGAATCGCTGGCCAACCGCGATCGTCGATATGGTGAAGATCGTGTTTACGATGGAGTCGAAGTTGCACTTATGAAAGAAGTTGAAATTATTAATAATGTACAAAATCTTCTGCGACAAACAATCATGACTGCTGAACAACAAATCAGGTAGCATAGGAATATCAACTGATTTCAATCAGTTTGTTTCTTTTCATCTCTTAGAGCAAATCGTAATGCGAAACAAAATCTCGAAATGGATTGGAGTAACAAATACGAAGCCTCCATTGCCGATGCCAAAGCAACCAATCGTCGAAATGAAGATGTTGATATCATGTTCTATCCAGGTGTTGCTCGACACTATGATAAGTAAGTTTGAAAACATCGTCGTCGTCCTCATTCGTTCCATTTATTCAGTCAATCAACACCGGAATCTTGGGCACAAAACTCTCACGATAATATTGTCAATGGTCAAAATCAACTGATGGCTTCAATTCAATTACGTTCGTTAATCGACAGTATACTTGTTGATACAGCACGCGATATGCGTGAACAAGCGGATGTTGTCGAAACAGAATTCGGCAAACGCATTGCAGAAGTATCAGATGCATTGCAAAAGATGACGTACAACATGCGCGAAGTATGATATAAAGAAATATTCGGATATTTTGAAGAGATGTTCTTTAAATTCTTATGTAGACACTGAAAGCTATTGCTGAAAATGAGAAGAAGATCGATATGTTACGAGCATCGATTCGTGCTAAAGAAGCACCATTGAAAGTAGCTCAAACTCGTTTGAATGATCGACGTGCTCGACCAGGTATTGAGTCTTGTCATGATCCAGCTCAAGATCAGTATGTGAATTCTTTTGCTTTTATTAAAAATCTTCGTCCTCTCTTTTTCTTCAAGCATAATTGGCGAAGTCTATCAAATATCACAATCTATTGATAGTTTAACTGGCGAATTACGTGAAACCGAAGAAAATTTGAAGAAGCTTCGAGATGATCATCAAGTTCTTGTCAAAGAGATCGAAATGAAAAAGAATACTCTCTACATTGATCAACAAAAAACCATGCCAGTACGTATGCGTTATCCAACTACTCAACGTTTACTTGGTTATAATGCCTAATCCAATAGACTTCGTCTTTATCTCCTTTTTCTTTTAAAACAATAAACAATTTACAACTCGATATGTAAACATTCTATTTCCTTCGATCATATTCTACATGTTTACGTATTGATCGTTCATTATACTGATAATCATTTATTTTTATTATCCTCTCTATCGATACTGAATAAAACTTGATTGGTAATATTGTCTTGAATTAGTTTGAACTTGAGAAAAGTAGATACATATGTATACTTTACTGCACATTTCTTGAGGATGATTATGAGAATGAAACTTCCACACTCTCGCTCTGGTGCCGAAATCCATAGAAATCATAATCGAATCTTCACCATCACTTTGTAAGGCAATAGTATACTTGAGAATTCTAACGTATGTAGTTTCGATACAAGAACAAAACAATAAAGAACATATGCGATGTCCGTCACGCTTCGCGTACTCTTTCTAACAAATGTCACGAATGTGATTACTAATCATATGTGTATATCATGTCTTCTACTTACTTGGCGACGGACATGTACACAAAGTGTTGATCGAGCAATGCGAGTTTTGATAGTAAGACAATCGTGTGTATAAGCGAATGATTGATCTTTTACTTCGGTGCATCGAAAACAATGTTCATGAATAAACAAAATCGAACAAGATGTTATCACTTGGTGCAATGTATACCAACGAATTCTACAAGATGTATCAAACTATTTTATTCCTTGATTATTTGTACAATCATACTTTACCTGTTCTATGACAAAAGTTCGTCGAATCTTTTCAAAACGCTGACGAAACCATTGCTATCATTATCAATACTTACTAACAATACTCGTAATATAGGATCGGAAATTTTCGAAGAATGGATCAGATCTGCAGCAACTAACGAAAATTCCACTCATCTAGATATTCGCAGACTTTCTTATCCATACTATCCACGTTTTCCTATTCTGAGTTATACTCAGGATATAACAAAGTTAGACAGTGCATCGAAGCTAATATTACTGGGAAATGGATTTTTTGAGAATCCGTCATGGGACTTGATTTCAAAGGAGAGATCATCAAGTAACTCATTCGATTGCTGAAAAACTCAAATGTTGTTTTTTCTTCTCTTTTCTCAGTGGAAACACTTTGGTGTCCATACTTAACCAAGTATTGTTCGATAACAGATGACAAAAGTTTCTTTTCCGACGCCGATGCTGTTGTTTATCATGGTCGCGATCCAATTGATTTAAAAGAAGCCAACAAATATCGTCAATCTCATCAACGCTTTGTATTTGCTCTTTGGGAATCTCCTGCACATACAGATAGCCTGAAGCCTTATAACGCATTTTTCAATTGGACAATGACCTATCGATTATCATCCGATATTGTAGCTTCTTACTATGCGAATACGTATTTTCATTCATCAAGTGATTACCATCAGCTTTTAGTACGTGAAAATGCAACGAAAGATCTTCATTTAACTTTCGACACAGCAGATCATCAACCTTCAGATGCGGTTTTACAAGCGAAAAAATTAGGTACAGTAGTAGCATTGATATCGAATCAAGGTGGATCGAGTCGACGGCTAACTTTTATTAAGCATTTGAAAAATTACATTGATGTGACCGTCTATGGAAAACATACAATACCCTGTCCGAAGAAAGGCGATTGTGTCAAATTTCTTGCACAAAATTATTATTTTTATCTCAGCTTTGAAAATAGCTTGTGCCAAGATTATACAAGTGTGTAGGAAACATGACAACTACGTTGTTGATTGTATCACATATTTGACTTGTTTAGCGGAAAAATTCTTTGGCATACTTCGTCATCCGATTGTACCAGTTGTTCGTGGTTTCTCCAATTATTCGACTTTCATTCCGCCGTCAGGTTTTATCGACGTCAATGATTTTCCAGATGTGATCTCTTTAGCTCGATATTTGAATGAAACTCGCGACAATAGAGAAAAGTATTTGTCATATTTTTCTTGGAAGCAAGATTATGTTTGGAATCAAGGCAGTCTTTTCACTTCATTCTGTGATCTTTGCATACGTTTACATTTAGACCATAAACCAAAAGTTATCGAAGACATTCACTCCTGGTGGCATGACAATATGTGTAGAATCCCACAGCGAATTACATTGCCTAAAAAATCACCGAAGTGAAATTCACTTCGAGTCTGTTATTGTTGTTTGTATTGTAATTGCGAAGTTTTTGACTGTCACTGAAAGAAACTCGATATCACTGACCTTTATATAATGAAGGTCTTCAACTCAACCATTAAGTTACATTTGTTCCTTGATTACAAATGCTATCCAAACATATTTCGTACCGAATATGTCGATGTGAGTTTGATAAAACTCTACAAATCAGACTCAAACCAAACTTTAGCCGACGGCAGCTTTATCAACAACTCTGTTTGACGTTGTTTTCAAACAGATTTTAGTGTATCGGATGTAAAACGAACATACTTGATCTGTAAGACAATAGCTGAATCTTCACACACTTATCCTGTATGTGCATCAATTAGGATTCAATCGTTAGTTTCCGATCGTGTACTAGTGCCATCTGTTATAGAAGAATTATCCGTTTTTGAATGTCAATCATACTACTGACATTTTTCATAGTATTGTACGATACTTGTTCGATTCTCGTGGCGAGCCATTAATTGGTAATGTTTCCATGTGTATCACTACGTGCTTGTCGTTCTCCGCGAAGAATTTTAATTCAGCGAATATTTCTGCGTTCGACGGCATCGACAGCTGATCGAAGTTCTTTGTCATCATATCGATCAGCTTCACATTTTTCGTTGAAAGTCGCGCGATTCTTATTTTTGAAACGGCGTATCAATAATCAGACTGGATCAACAAGATTTGTTCCCATATCAACCCATGCTCATTATTCCAAAAGTGAAACGCCTGACGATTTGCATGAACTAGCGCGAAGTTTCCTATTTTCACTGGAACCAGGTAACTTGTTTTTCCTACAAATAAAACTAAAAAACAAATCGTACGTTGAAGAGCATCGCAAAATTCTTGAAAAACAGTTGAGTAACGTCGAGACATCTTTGCCGACAAATTCCATGAGAAAAACGAACATTACCACTGTGCTTCCGTCTCAACTTGCTGTCGGTAAACAGGACGAGATCTCATTTGACATTGTCGTCTGATAGAGAGAATGTTTATAGTATTTTTGGAAACCGGTCTTCCATATATTGGCTTTGGTTTTGTTGATAATTTTGTTATGCTTGTTGCCGTAAGATGAGATGTATACTGATTTGTAAATATTTAGTTATATTTAGGGAGAAACGATCGAGACGTTCTTCGGTGCTGCACTATGCCTTTCAACGATGGCAGGTAACTGAATACGAAAGCATTTCAGATACAGTCAATACTCGATTTTACAAATAGCTGCTGGTCTTGGAAACGCTATTAGTGATGTATTAGGCATCGGGTGAGTACTGATTGAACACGGTAAGAGGTAATAACACAACTTTGAAAGGTTTTAGCCTTGCAGATCGCATTGAACGAACGTGCGGACGCTTTCTAGCTGTATTTGGAATTAGTGCGCCACAATTAACAGCAGCTCAATGGAGAACACGGACTGTGCATTCAACACAATTAATGGTAAGAGATAATTTCTACCTTTTGGTCATATTCACATCTTTCGCTATATATTGTAACTAGTCCAAAGTGATTTGTATCTTTTTGGGTAAGTTCAACCGCTAAGTTTGGTCAAATCTCTTAGTGTTTATTCTTTGCTGCCAACATAGGATGTGTATTAGGTAAGATTTTATCGTTGTTAATCATCTATTTGACGAAATGACATGTTTATTAGGCATGTGTCCATTACTCTTTCGCGATACATCAACAAACAAATCTACAACGAAGAAAGAAGATTAATCGGAACATCATACGGATGTCGAGACTGTTTCGAACTGGTAGACATGATTTCATGTCATTTCAAATATATGTTATCTTAGTCAACACCTTAAAAATCACTTTCGACTAACTTCTATCCGCGCATTTCTATAGTTGACTGATATTTTTTGTATGTTACTTCTACGAACATGTTCATCCGATAAATCACATAAAAATATAAGTTAATAAACTTGATACGATGAAAGTCAAGTTGGACGTTAAACATTCCATATGATTTTTCGATGATTTAGTCAATATTTGATAACATTTGTGTAGAAATGTCTGTATTTGATGAATGTCTTCGTCATTAGCAAACATATTTTGGCATTTGAGCTTCAATGGTGCTAAACACTGCATATATTCATATGCATAATGGCATACTGTTCGGTTAAGTCTTGCCAACGGTTGACTCCAATGTCCGCATGAATCTATAACAAGCTTTTTCCGGCAATGATATTCGACAGCTATCGTCGTTCGATGTTTTTTTGATTTACGTTTACGAGGTTTCCGTGTGGTTGATCGTCGTGTACGTGGAAGTCGTCGTGGAATACGTATTTGATCGTAAAGGTTGTGACAACCATGCGACGTAGCTTGAGTTAGATATACTTTGAATGTTGATTTGAGTGTTTCTAAAAGTACGATAGGTACGAAGTTTGAATCATCAAGCGCACCAACAACATTTCGCTTAGTTACTCTGTCAATTCAAACATTCTTTTCTCGAAAGAAACAGCACACTTGTCAAAAAATGTGACAACATGTTTACATTAGTCTTGTTTTTTCACAATAGGGCACCTTTAAACGATCGGATTCATTTTCGAAGAATGGTTTTCGAAAATGTGCTTATTCTTACCTAAAGCAGGCCCATATTCTTGAACTTCTGTACAATTTTCCAAACGTCTATTGACACAATCAACATGTTTCTTGGCTTCGTAACAAAATTGCGCAACATTTACGTTGACTGTCACCGGTGGCAATGGACACTTGAAAATAAAATAGATTGAAAATCGTACAGAGAAAAAAAAACAATGTCTTTTCCAATACTTTATTATAGAAAAATATGTCACACGATCCATCAATGGTAACATCGATACTTATCAATAAAGCTAAGAAAGAAACTCGACTAAGAATCTTGTGCATACGTCGTTCATTGATCAAACAACAAAAGACAATCAATCAAATATTGTTTCATGTCTTGCGTCTTGTTTATACATAATCCTTGTCTTGTTTTCGTGTAAACATTGGTCAGTTTTCACTTTTTTTGCCTAATAGCATCTCCTATTCGCTATTATAATCACATTGCCTACCACCGTGATAGACATAAATGGATAAAAACAGAAAGAAGAAGAAGAAGAGAAAAAAAAACACCACCTACAAGTAGTCACGGAAAAAAGTAATGCATAGAATCGAGAGAAAAATATAAACCATGATTTAATGAATCGACTCTTTTTTTGACGCGAGAAACAATAATAGTAAAAAATCTGACAACCGTTCTGTTACTTTGCCGTACACACTCAACCTATTGGCAATGCCTACTGAGAAGATAATTCTTTTCTTCTTCACCTCAATGTACTTCGCGAATTCGCTTATCAATACGGACAAAATTGAGTATTTCAATCGAAAGCTTTGGTTTCACGATGGCAACATTCTCCATATAACTCAGCCAAACTTCTGGTCTGCGTTTCAACAGTATAGAAATGTGAACAGACAGTATGTGATTTGAGAAAAAAAGTTTTCCTTTTAACAACATGATTTTAATCAACTTAAAACAAAGGGTCATATACATATGATATTTTAGTAAAGTTTGCACGTTCATATTTACTGGTTCCCACATGTCATTAACGAAACGGCTTTTGAGAACATCATTATAGAGTTCTTTTTTCGACTTTTTTTAGTATCGATTGGCTTGATAATGAAATATCTTCGATAAATAATCAAATAAATACAATTAAACAACACATTCTTCTGCTCTCTCATACTCAACGCAAACCGTCTTCGGTGAATGTCAGTTCTCTAAATGTTACATTCTTATCTCTAAACAATAAAACATCGTCTCCTTCTCCCTCACCAATCAAAATTGTTCGAAATCAACGAAACATTCAGATTATCAAACTTCTCTCTACTGAATCATTATTCGACGACTATCGGGAAGACTTAATAGAAATCTACGAAATCGTTTTGAAAACAACGATTGAATGTATTGCGATTGTAGTGGAAAAGCATTCAGTAGAAAAATATCTTTTTATCAAATTATCCAATGGTACAATCGACTCGTATCAAATGATCAGAAGTAAATCACTACGAGAAACCTCCTGGCGAATGAATCAATCGTTATCAGTATGGAACAATGCTGATCGACGACTTGAGTATTATCGAAGATTTATTCAAGATAACAAAACAAATGTGATTATGCTTAGTGATCAACTAACTGAAATCAAAAGTACGTATTTCGATCGAGAAGAAAAGATTGGAAGCGATGTCAACGGAAATAGGAAATGAGTTATAGTCACACATGTGGCGTAATATGAGAAGGTTCGTACGTTTGATATACGTGCAGCCACAAGAATTTGATCACTAAGACAAAGATTTATTGTTGTTTGACAAGAAAATTGATAGGTTATCATATATATTTCAGGTCGTCCGAAATTGCAAAGTGCACATTTCTTCTACATGATGGAACAAATTCTTCGCGTCAAGTACCATACTGATCCATCTAGTCTTTCCTGTATATTAGAATCATTTTTCGATAGCATTTATAGTATGTATGACACTCGCATAAGCTCTATCGATATGTTAATTTCGTTTGTTCTCATTTTTTTCAAGCGTGTGATGGTCGATTAGTCTATCCTCATGAATTGCGACTTCTATCAAATGATAATTTATTCGTCTTTTATGCTGTGATGATGGATGTAAGTGGAATGGGAAGTGTGTTCGAGCGAAATCGATTTGCTTTTAGACAAAAGTTGATAAGCAAATTTATCCATTGAATAAAAACAATCGCATCAGACACGGTGACCAAATCTACTTTCTCTTCAACAATCATCCACAATTTCATTCATTATCGGCGTTATCTTGTCCGGAATGTATTCGCAATGAGAAAACCTTTCTTTTCGACATTAACCAAGAAATCATCGAGCGTCATGTTGATAAGTAAGACCTTTTCCTTTGACTGCGAAATGTTTGTCAACAAAATGACTTCATTTTAGTGGGATAGACGAAACTCCTCCAACATTTTCAGTTGAAGAAAATCTGTTACATACCAATATTCAAAACTTTATCGTGTACGCATTTGTGACTAGTATCGTTCTCTATGCTTTGTTCGGGATATTCTTAAGTCGGAGGCAGATCTTTCAGAGATTGTCGGGTAGAAAGCAGTCAACAACATCGCGACGTCATCGACAATTTTCAAGCATTAAAAAATTTTTATTCAAATAGCGAAAAGAAGAGAAAAAGAGCACAGATAATTTGGTTTAAATAGGAATACTAATTGTTTGAACTACGAATTATACTTTGGTTTGTTTTTATATATATTCATGTAACTGTGATAAGAAACACAAACAGATATATCTGTTCTATGAGCGGATACGAGACGAAGACGAGAGAACATATTATGAACGCACATTGCTCGTCGGTGCATGTCGTTCGACCAGCACATTATTATTTGGATAACGCGCCCGATTTGTACCACTTGATTGCCGTTTGTTGAAAGTCACATGTCGAGATTGACCAGTCGGTTTAGTGACACTAGTCGGCTAGAAAAGATGAATTATTTTCATTTAGAATTTCGAGAAACAGAAACATACACGAACAGTTCGTGCTTCTCCTGTGCGATAAATTGTACTTGGTAAAGATTCTTTATAAACGTGTGTCGGAAACGAATGATAATGTGACGAAGGTTTGGAACCGTTTTCTTGATTATTATCATCAGTCAGCGGTTCATCACTGCTGACTTCATCTAAATGTCAGACAAGAGAAACAATGAATTAAGATGTTCGAAGTAATGTAACCTTGAAATTATTTTTCTGTGGTTTCAAACGTAAGATTAAGTGAATTTCAATTGAAGTATTTGCTTTAGATTCATTTCGATAGTTTCTTTTTGGACACATAGTTATGCAATATAATGGCAAAGACAATACTAACAAAGGATTTCCTGATGTACACTGTTGTGTTCTCTGCGTACTATTCGCTCTGATAACTCATAAATCAAACTTTATCATCGATCTTACTATTTTCAGGTATTGTCTACTGATTTTATCAGGTAAACTTCGTTACGCAATCAGAGTTTGCTATCTCGATTTGAAAAACTTACGGTTACAACATCGCCGCTGTTCGTCTGCAATTGTGGTTGTCGCTGTTGTTTCTAATTCATTCTCATTTTTAAGCAAAACTGACATTGCTTCCATATTTAAGGCACAAACTCCGCGCATGAATGCTTTTTTCAAGGCTTCATCATGGTCGCCTTTATCAGCTTTGAGTCGCGCGATTTCCTCGTTGGCATTTAGTAACTGTAATTCTAATTGTTTATACTTCAGCTCATATTCGTTGCCTAATTCGATTAAAACATCCTTTGCTTTCTTTTCACATGCTGCTTCAAAACGCCTTTTCCATCCTTGTTCAACTAAATTCTTCCAATTGGTCATTGCTTTCTAAAAACATCGAAAATCAAGTCACTTTCTCCGTCCGCATTTCAACTCAAACATACACGTTTGATTTTATCATCGTAGAATCGCTTGGCGAGTGATAATGAATACTGTTGCCGTTGCTTTTCGATATGAGCTAAACGCCATTCGTAATAACGACGATAGGCGATCGTTTTCTGGTAGAGTAAATCTAATGCTTTGTTCAAATTTTTCTCTGTTTGATCTTTTTGATCAATCGTTTGTTCGTATTGTGTTAACATTTCACGCATGGTTTTAATATCTTGATTTAAACGAACATATTCCTTTGCTTGGCTAAAATCGAACGAACAGAGATGAGAAGTTTGATAGTGACGGACTTACGCTTGTTTTTCACGGAGAGCGCTTTCTTGCGCTTCTTCGAGGAATTGTAGTCGTAGTTTATCGAATTCGGTCTAGATAAGAAATTTCTACAAAGGAATTACGAACGGTTTGTTATATTACCATCAAATTCTTTTTTAAATCCAAATACCAATGATCCATTTTCTCAGTAATTGGCTTTGACTCTAAATTGTTCGACATGAATTCAGAGTAACGAAGTAAATGGTGAACCAGTGGATCGTCACAATCTCTTGGTGTCATTTGATTATCACCATTGTGCTGTTCATTTAATGAACTCGTGGATGTCGTTAGCAACTGTTGAAGAGATGGAATTTGAGATAATTGTTGTCGTTGAGTATCTAGGAGAAGAACTTGAAAATGAACTAGTTGACAATCGTGCTTTTGTTTACCGATGGCTGAAAGTGATCGATCAGTTCGATGTGTTTCTGGACTGCTCAGATCAATTAAATCTGTAACTTGATCGTCTAGATAGAACAGAAATGAATAGCAGCATGCTGATGTGAATGAAACAAATTGTGAAAGACGAACTTTTTTTCGCTGGTGGTCGTTGTCCAAGTCCAAGTGCTGTTTGATTCATAACCACTTTTGTTGAATAACCATCTGTAGAAACAACAATGGCTCGGCGTATCAAATCGTTGTATTCATTCTGAATGACAGTAAAATGGATTAATAGATTCCGGTCAATTTAGAGCTTTTTTCGTTTTAATAGCAAATCGAGACACACAAGAAGTGACTAATAAAGCGAGATAACTAGGTGAGGAATTACGAACAGCGTTAATATATCACACACTACAGCCAACCTGTAAGCGTGATGAAACGGAAGAGCCAGGTGAATCAGGTGGTAGTTCTGGTGGTCCGGACGTGACTGACATGATAGCTTTCCCTTTATCTTCTATTAAAAAATCATCTAAAAGGAATAACAAGAATACGAATGTGATCAGGCTTGAATATTTTCTATGTGAACGATCGACATTTGTTATATTCCATGAGTTTGTCGAAGAATTAGTCATTGTATAATCTCATCAAGGATACGAAGAGAAACCACAGAAAAAATCCAGACAATAGCAAGTCATTTATACTTGAACGTGCACCAACGACTACCATTGGTGGTTGCTAGGTTACTTGTACCATAAGAGCTCTCTTAATGGTTCAATCAATTCAAAAAGGACCAATCTTGTGTCATTTCGAGTGTTCAAGCAAGGAAGGACAGAATTATACAGGCAGTTGGTCAAGGAGACCGAGCTAATGAACTTATGGCAACATAGATGACATTAGTTGTCATTTATTGGTTTTTTTACGCAGTTGGATATCGATCGTTTAAATGCAATTCTCTTGCCTTTCAACATTTGACTGTATTACTACTATCCCATCCTCAAAATCTTTTCTGCGACTTTGATCTGTACTATATTTCTCCTGCGAATGCACTTTATTCACACGTGTTTTTGTCTTACAACTTCGTCTTTGCTCCTCCGCATTGAGAAAAGAATTGACTTTTGATAACCTTGGAAAGTTTATTGATAGTATTAGAAAAATTAGCACTGAAAAAGGGAACACTCAAAAGATTGAATATTAGTCGATAGAGGTTAGTTTAGTGGAACTAAGAGATTGACTTATTTCGGTCTAATCAAAGTCATACAGTTACCGCGTCCTTATACCAGTGAACAGAAGTTTATTTCGACTTGGTACAACTGCCTGTATACACAGCAGAATTGGTTTGCATTTGTGACGGTTTATCTTTGACCCAACATTTGCCGTTATTTACGTTAAATGTCCAGTGATCACAAGTGGGAAATAATTCGCATAATGCAGCACAAGCAGCAGCACTGACAACGTTTGCTGGATAAGCAGCATTTATATCACCACCATTCGAATCTTGGCCTTTAACAATGTTTGTACATCTGTTGTTCGTTGGTGCATCTGGAATAGAAAATACGATTGTTAATTCAATGATGATGAGAACAGTTTTATTATCGAGCTGAAAATACCTCGTTTTTGTTCAAATAAGTCTTGATCAAAATCGTCATCGGCAAAGTCTTGTCTGATTAACCGTGCATTGCTTTGGCTGATCACCATAAAGGCAAGAAGGGCAAAAGCCAGAATTGATGAATTCATTTTCGTGAATGCTAAATGGAAAAGAATATTGAATCTAAATAATAAATATAATCACACAATACTTTGCTATCAAATGGAGATAAACTATTGTATAAATGATACTTAGGATAGGTATTTATACACATTATATTGTGTGCGACAACCCGATACTGAGGGCAAAAAGGGGCCTGTTTGATGCAGTAGTATTTATGTTATGCCAACTCATACAAGGATGACTGTATATTTTGAATAGAAAAACAAAGAGTATTTTTTCGATCGCAAGGTTATATAGATAATTAGACGCTTATTGTGAAGAGAATAATATTTGTTATATTCATATGCATAAAGCTATGATATATTAGTAATCACTATTTATCTGTACTTGATTACTTTTTACTTACGTGCGAAAATACACCACGGTACATTTAAAAAAAGAATAGATCGAATCGTCCTAGACAGTGCAGTAATCGACAAAGAACAGTAATTCTGGGGGAGGATTACTGTTCGTTTTTTATTTTGCCGCATTCTGAAAGTTTTTTGAAGACGATAGCAATGTTCACTCTAATCGATTATACACGGAAATGTTGTAGTTATTTTATTGTTTCAAATACTTTCTAGGTTGAACATACTCATATGACGTGAAAGAGGATTCTACTGAATAATGTCGAAAGTAAAAATATCGAATTTAAAAAGATCGAAAATAAAAAATATCGAAGACGCCAATTATACAAACATCGAAAGATGAACAAGTTGAGAATGATTTCGTTTGAGAAAGGCATTGATCTTCACCCTCACCCTATCTGCACTCTCATTTTTGTTTTCGATGGTTTGATTTTCGATATTTTTGCTTTCGACATTTTAACATTTCGATCAATTTCAGGTTAACCAAAGCATGATGGGACGATTTTCATGTCCTTTTTTTTATTAGTGTTGAGTCGCAAAATTTCAGCCATGCTGATAACTTTGGTGCTCAGAATTTACAAGACAATGAATAGCCAATCCTTTCCATGTTCATAGGATTTAAGATTCAAATAAGGAAGGCTGAAATGTCATCAAAGAAAAGAAATTATCTAGATTAAACAAATCTATCATTTCATATATAATTCATTGAAGCTTGTTCGATAAATCGTTTTCTTTAGTTTTAAAATTTTAATCTTTTTTCCACTTGAAATGTAATTCATTGCTAAATCCTTTCGTCTGCGATCATTCAATTATCAACAGAGGTCGTTCGAGTCATGATCAAAAATTGAAGGAGGATGTTTAGCAACATCTCCACGAACTCATTGCCTTCGATTCCTTTTCTTGTCCTTTTGCCAATAATGGTATTGTTATTCCATTGAAGTTCCTCTTTCCTCCATGGCACTTGCAGTGCGATCAGTCGTATCATCATTAGATTCCTCTTCCAAAACTACTGAGTCCATATCCGTTCGTAATAAAGGATCTGCAAACACGAAATTTCTTATTGATTGGAACAGTCCAACAATAACAACAACAACCACATCAGCAATTTCGACTCAAGCAAAAGCAAAGAACGAAAATCTGCAAGACGCCTTTCGTCGTTTTCGTGAGCAGCGAATGGTATGTTGATGATTACATCGTCGTATGAGCGTCCGTAAGCCATCTTTACCTGACAGTATTAGCAAGTTTAGTTCTTCGAACTAATGCTGTTTGGTAAGATGACAGTTAGTTGCTCTGTATGAATGGAAATGTACTTACTCGGAGTATCTTGCGGTTGAGAGAAGTGTGTTTGAAACTCAGATGAACAATACTAGGAAAGTATTGCCTTTTTATACGAGAGGCATTGTTGACCAACAACTATCTCTTTTTCTTTCTCTCTCCCTCTTCCTGAGCGATAGCGAAAGGGCGTCATTTAAATGAATTATATATTGTCGAAGGATTATCATTGTTGGGCACGAGTCTGTCCGCCCTGTTTTAACGATTGGATCATTCACGTTCAATCTTTCGATCCTTGCTCTGTGCATACATATATATATATCTCTATCTAAACAGAATAAATAAAGGGCGAATGACACGTGTAATTAGTTTGCCAATTAGGTGATGAACATTTATTTGTATTTGCACATTTATACATAAGGATATCCTGTTGACAAAGATGTCACATCCGTATGCGGAAAGAAAATGTTGTATTGTATAATATTGATTGAAAAAATGGCTATTTGGTTAATAATTAGGATGAAATGCGCCTTCAGAACCGTTTGGAAGCACGGAAAAAGAGAAAAATTCGACGGTCGAATCCTCAACGAATGCGGCGTTTAAGGTTGAAATTTGTCGAACAAGCAAAGCGTTATTTAGGAGTACCATATGCAAAAAAATACTTCCAACCAGGAAGTAAGAAACAAAAGCACATTCGTTTCCATTTTCAACTCTTGTTCATACATTTCTAGCACCTGAATATGAATCGAAATTGTTTCTGGATTGCTGCGGTCTTGTTCGACGTGTCATGTACGACTTAGCGAAAGACTTTGGTTTCATGATCGGCCCATGGAACCAGTCTTACATGTTCGATACATTACCGAAGACAGTCACGCGTCTATCCGATGTCAAACCCGGCGATTTGGTGTTTATCTCAGCTACTTATTACAATCCGAAGAGTGAGTAAGTGAAGAGACAAATCGCATTAATCATTAAGCATTTTAAAACTCTAGTGAAAAAACAACGACATGATTTAACGCACGTAGAAATCATGCTGGGTGATGGAGAGAAAACGATCGGTGCACGATGGAACGATGGAAAAGTACAATATTTTGATAGTTATCAATTTGTTTCGAAAAGTTATCATTCTCAAGTTTATACCATCAAGTCGCTTGATCCATGGCTGAAAGGAATATGCAAAAGGTAAAGCGATGACATTCTTATAGTTTTACTTGAAATTAGGTCGGACTTATCATGTTCTTAATAGCTTTGTCTAAATGTCGGATTTAGCGGAATTAATCATTGATAAACATGTATTTTCTTCTACTTCACGTATCACACAAATGAGATATATGCATGAGATCGTTTTCTAATCATATCGGGTAACCGACATAAACACATGACTAAATTACATATGCTTCCGATGATATATATTCGAGATCGGTTAGTCGACTTTCTTCTAAGAATGGAGGTGTAGGTTTTCGGTTTGTTTTAGTTATTGTGCTGAGCATCCGTGGCGTTTACGAAAACGCATCAAAGTGAACAAGAAATCCATATTTTATTCACGAGATCAATCAAATGATAAACGCCGTCGCCGATCTCATAGTAAACGAACCTCCTGTGGCTCGATCTCATCAGTGAATTCTTCGACCAAGAAAACAGATAAGCATCAACGACGGAAGCGACGGAAAACGCGCTCGAGATCGCATAAACGGTCTCATTCCATCAAGGATTCACCTGAAACATTGATTGTCAATCCAGATGATGCACAACTGCCTCCATCGTCAACTATCGACATTGAATCGATCAGTGGAGATGACGACGATGATTCAATTGATATGATTGGCAATCAATTAACAGGTCTCACATGTCAAGATGATCAAGAATTATGTGACGATTCTGATTCGTTGGATGATGCTCTAGACGCCGAGCAATACGATGACGATGATATTGAAGCAAGTCTTGTAGCAACAAATGTTCAATGAATCTAGTTAGCCTTCATTTTCTGAAAATATCCGTTGATAAATATAGATATTTCTATATAATCTTTCATACTCGTGTATTTTTGAAGATAATCCGTATATTTTATCGATTTTTCTTTTGACTATAATAAAGATTTTTTTCATTATTAACAGTAACATGGAAGGTGCTCTTTGATCAAAATAAACTCATTAAGATTTTCCGTTTCAGTAAAGATGTCAAAGAGAAGATAAAAATTGTTTTCAAAACATTGTTTGCATACGCCGTTAATTGTGAGCTGAGATTTTTATGAAAGAATATGAGCCATTCTCAAGGTTGACCTATTTTGAATAGAAGGCAGATAAAACAAAAGAAAGAAAAAACGATGATATCATTAATTATTATTCTGTTCAAAATTCTCTATTCATAGACGATCTTGATTTAATAGATGATAAATATATAATTGTTAGACATTCTTAAACAAAAGTAATTATCTTAATGGTTGTATAAAAGAGGTCCGACTCTTTCTTTCTTCTTCTTCGACAAATTTTGGTTTTGTAATTTTCCCTTGAGAGATCTTTGTGTTAGCGTTTCCTTTTAAATCGGATCCGCCGAATACGAAAACACCCGTCCAAGCAAATTGTTTACTTTCAACGAGTGTAAGTGTCGCGCTTCGAGAAGACTTGTCATCTGATTCAATTACAAAAACAAAGAACGACATTCCGCACATATCTATCGCGATGTGATACAAACATAGTCTTCAGGATGTCGAACAGAAATACCAATAATCTAAGCAATCTTCTATTAAAGAGCTTCATGAGGGTTTCATATGATGATAAAGAGTACGACAAAATCTTTCTTCCGGTATATTCGTATATATATATGGAACCGGCGTACGAGAAAATAGGCAGATTTCTTATCATTATTAACTGACAAGTATTGTATACTACTGCTAGGTTCTTTTTGTCGAACTTTGCTACAGGATTAGTGGCTATGTGGGTATATATTGATTATGTAAAGAGACATATGATTGTGCGAGAAATTGCAACTTTATCGTTATCGTTAAATAACTTTCTTTCATATCTAATTAGATATTAACGGAAATAAAAAGTAGAAGAGAAAAAAAAAGAAATAAACTCCCGTTTTTTTTTAAGCATCGATAATATAAAAGGATACTCACACTTCCACTTTCTCGGTTTTTCTTCTTAACTCAACCTTGAATACAACTAGCATTCTTCGTTCATTGACGTCAGAAAAATTTACTACGTGCTCTATTAAGTTTTGTGTGAATATAGCACATAATGTAGTGTGTATCTTGTGCAAACATCCCATGACTATTTTATTAGTTTATGTCAACTAATTGCACATTTCATTCGAACACCTGACAAAAGTCATTTTTATCAGGTTAGTTGTCTACATGCTTCCTCTTCATTTTGTAGAAAGAAGAACAGAAAACTTTGACGATTATGTTAACAACAGCAACCCCAACGGCATCACCACCCGTGTTTCATCGATCGACAAGCAAACCGGATTTTGTTTTGTATGTATTTTTCTACTCGATGTATGTTTATTTACGCTGCTGAATGCTCTTTTGCTCTCGGTGAAATGACAGTTCGAGATATTGGGCAAGTCTTAAATAGCTTTTACGTTCGCCTTTATTTTCCTTTACATCACATTCTTACGAGCTGGGATGTTAACTATCAAGTAGCTACTTAAGCCAATACTGCTGACGGTGGATCATATTAGATGGAAGTCGTAACCATTTATCTATTCTTGTTGACTTTTCTTTTCTATTTTTCTCCGCTATCTTCTTTTCTCATTTTTTTTACGCTTTCATTGCTTCTGTGAGACACAGGATCAGACATTCCTTTCTTCGTTACGTTTTTAAACCGACGTCGATGCGTACCATCGTTGCAAATACTTACATTTACATTTACCATTGTCAGTCTTCTTACGCGATATAATTAGGCAGAAAATATCTCAGTTGTTTGTCATTCCTGCTTACATCTTCCATATTGATTCAATTGAGATCAAATTGTTTCGCACTCGCTTGCGTCTTACATTCATTGGCTCTAACCAGCTCTACACATATTTATAGAGCTCTATCTATGCAAATTTCCAGCAGGTAGTGAAATATTCTTTGCACTTGAATAGCGAACATGAATAACGACTCATTAATTTCACTCGTTTCCTGTTGTTTTTTTTTCAGGAAAAGTAGCTGTGGCGATTTGCAAAGTCGCTTGAAAGTTCGCAAGGTCCTCGGCGTTGGCGATATAACAGGTGCAACATGCAGTTCAAAGATTACTCAAATACTTGGCCAATCGGATCATTTGATCTTTAAATTACCTCCAAGACTTGCCACATGGTTATTATTAGTAACAACATTCTTCATTTGTTTTACTCTGATGGTAATTAAGGCTGAAACATGATGAAGTTGAAGAATTTACAAGAACTTTTTTGTAGGGTCTGCTCTGGCCATCTTATGCATGTCTTATCATACCCGGAGATTTACAATCAATTGTTCATTTAGCCACTTCATATGCTTGTATGTAGACATCTATTCGATTTTCATTGAAGTCAAATGAATCTTTTAGTTTTCGCAACAATACTTGGTTTGACTCTTCGATCGGGTGATAAAACATCGCTTCAACTTGTACTTTTGTCTCTTGCTCTATTCCACACATTATCCGTTTCAAGTAAATTAACATTTCTCTCCTTCGAAAATCATCGTATTCTGAAAATTCTTTTTAGCTGCTGTATATTTCCTGAAAACTACCGATGCTAAATTGAAATCAACAATATCAATCATTCTTCATCTTCTATGCCTTTCTATCAATGTACATTTTTATTACTCGCTCAATCGACCTAGTTCGTCGATAGCGCGTCACAACAGACTAAAAGCGTATTTTAATTCGATCATACCATATCCAACACAATTCACAAATGATTCCAATACAGAACAGGAATCCTCTTAAAAAAGAATCCATTCAATAAACGTCCCATACACTTTTTTCCAAAGGTTCCATTCATTCAAGCTTGTAACTACATCGTGCAAGATATAATACGACGTTTCTTCCGTTTTCTTTAGACATGAAAGTCGGCCGATGAAACGCTATTGTAGAAATATAAATATTGCAAACAAGAAAAAAGGAAGCATTCAAACTGAGATTGGTAGGCAAGCCGTGATGGAATATACAAGCACTTGAGAGAGATAAAAAATCAGCCATTTGAGACTGGAAATGTAATTTCTGGAGTTTAATTGAATTTTATAGGCTTAGTTGTTGTTTTTCTCTCTGGAGAACTTCGCACTTCTGTGAGAAGAAAATCCGCTCATATCAGACGTTTCTGTGTGAAAGAATGTCAGCTTTTGTTATTTCTAGACATTATAAACAGGTACTCATACAATATTCACCGGACAACTTTCAAAAATTCTCCTCGAAACACAAGTATTCTCATCTGATTTCTTTCCGGAATATTATATTAAGCAACTTGTCTATAGACATGTTTTCCACATCGAGAGACTATTATTTACTTAAGGAATAATCATTAATTTTATTATTATAGTAGAAGAGCGATGGTCGATAGGTTTTCGTACCGAATTCTCTTGTCATGATACTCATCCTATTCTAGTCTAACTATGATTGATAGCATCCTTGTTGAGATGTACAGAGTCCACATAGTAATGTTGAGAGGAATATTACTGGTTTATTTACTCAAAGAAAGCTAAGTTGATGGATGAGTTTTGCTAATTAGATGATATTCTGATGATGGTTTCGACGATATCGATAATTTGCTCATGTATATCATTGTTGACATAGTTCGAAACATTATGTATTGAAACGATTCGTTAGAATCGTGCGCAAATATTTATTCAGTTACAAGAAATCAGATACACGTAAAAATCTAAGAAACAAACCAAATCATAAAAGTAAACTTGCCAAACCTAGTTTAGTTTTTGATGAGCACGAGTATGGTTTGAAAGACAAACAAACACAATAGAAGCAGGCACAACAATGAAATCATACATGGAATAAAACACAAACGAAAAATTGGTTCTAACAACAACAACAACAAAAAAAAACAAACTTGAGCTAATCGAAGAGTACTTCTAGACGAGCACAACAAGAAACGGATAAAACAATGAAATTCGTTGTTAGTCATTCCAATTAAGAAGACATTTTATCGATATTTGAGAATTATTCGAAGAGTGTTGAAGATAGAATCGACGTACTTTCCAATTCAATGAAGACATGTCAGAGAAATGACTTGCCGTTGATGAATATATCGACAAAGAATCTTCGGAAAGATTTCGTCGTTCGGTTAACAATGTTAAGGGAATATCAACAGAACCGAGAAGACCTAAAAGTCAATTAGGACATCGATTGTTTTCTCAATTAGAAATTTCTTACGATCAGTTGTATATTTCGATCGATTATAAATCGAAAATTTAATTTTCTCTTTGTGAATATCACAAACAAAGAATCGAAATGCAACCTGCCATTGTACTTTCGATGTATCACAAAGAATAGGCGTTGTTTGACGTTGATTGTTGTTCATTTCAATGATACAATATGGATTATTACCTAAAAAGGATATTCACACAATCGGTGTGCAGTACTGATCCAATGAACTTACCGTTCTTGTGCACAGGTGATGATGGTAGATACATTGCATTGATTTCTCGAATGAACACTTTTCCAATTGGTCGACAATGGTCAGAATTCCAATCTAGATGGAACAGCGAACTTATAATCAACTGACAGTTCTGTTATTACTTGATTCTGGTGCACGAAACATCGATGTAACCACACGTCGTTGTCGACAAATGTGAATTGCATCTTGAATACTCTTTGTCCATAAAAATCTGCACAATACAATCGAACTTATCGAAAATCCCTTCAGAAATTCCACCAAACCTTTCATTAGTAGTACTGGCAAAGAGAGTTATTTGCCGTCCACGATAGTCAAATTGAAAACCAGTTGAATCGTTTTCGATCAACCGTAAATTTCGAATTTCATGTAACATAATTGGCTAAATATTCGATCTTTGATATCAATTACATTCTTTCTTCAAAAATCAAACTTACAGTTTTATATACGAACAAGTAGAGATGATCAGCATTCGGTGAATCGAACCAATCAATAGTCGATTGTTGTACTGAAAATTTTAAGAATACATCTCGTTGTTCTTGACGATGGTTGAACATCGTTCGATTCACCACTTGTAAAACTTTTGTAAACAACGGCCGTTTCAGACGTGCTAATAGAAGAAAATCATTAAATAACATAGCATACAGTAACTCATGTGCTGATTTTGACTAGAAATGAAAGAAAAGATCAACGATAAATATCAGCAGGCGTATTATACCAAATGTATAAGACTGTAATGAATCAATTTTCTCTGATCACCGAAATGTGTCAACGAATTGAATATAATGGTCTAAAGAGTGACGTACATTTTATTAATTAACGTTCGTGTTTTGTTCATACTTCATTGATCTTCGAACAGTCGACATGTTTTTGCAACCATTCAAATTTTGCTCGATTGATTTCTTCGTCAATAGCATTATTTATTGTTTCACGCAGCTCATTCGCTTTCTTCAACGAATCGTTCAAATCTTTGAATTCACAACTATCATTCGAGGCATTTTTCAATATCTATGAATAGATTGCTTCATTGTGTCTCCTATCGATTAATAATATGTTCATCATACTTGACTGATCAACACGGGATACTTTGCTATTCGTTGTAGTGGTAATGTTAGTATATTTGCATCACCCATCGTACCGATGCCATACGTTTGCTCTTTGGTTTGCTGATAAAGTTAAAAACGAATGATCAACTCCAAGGAGAACAAGCAACTCTGTATACTACCTGCATAAATGTACGAAATTTGGAACAAAGACGAAGCTGTTCACGAAAACATTTCATGGCGGTTGGATGAAACCGAAAGTAAACTTCATATTCAGCCGTCAAATCTGGTATCTATGTCATCGAGACAAAACGAAAATCGCAGCACATTTTCGTACCAGAACGAAACTCGATTAGGACTTACGAACTCGCATAGAATTTTGCCAATTGAGATCTGTTCACCATCAGTTTTCAAAGTTGTAATTAAGGCACTATGAAAACGGTATGCGAGATTAGGAATGGAAGATTGTATTTTACTTTGCGAGTTTTTCATGAGTGCGTGTTAAACTCGGCCAATTGAGAAAAAGAGCATCGATATGAGATGAGGGTAAAATATTATTGTTTAACAGGGGTGTTATATAAGTCTAAAAGAGACCTAAGTTTCTCTCGCTGATATTCAAGGAAAAGTTACTTTTAGAATGTTTTTCATATCATATACAAATCGTTGTTCTGATGAAATCAGTTCAATAATCGCAATGTTTTTCGGTATCATAGGCATAAGATTTTTCAACGATTCTGTCGAGATACTGTGTTCAATGTCGCTATTCTTTAAAATCGACTGTTCTCGCTCGATTGGTTCAGTTTTAATCATTGCACATGACGTTTCTTCTGCAAGAATATAAAAGACGCATGAAACAGTTCATACAAAGAAGCTTTACTTCGAAAAACATATTCTTGACTAATATAGTGAATGTTGAATCGGCGATATAGCATTGACGATGAAGAATTATGATTAAATGTTGCTAAATCATCGCCTGAAGTTTCATCATTCATAATTGATTGATATGAACGTGATGAGAGACGTGTCGATATCATCCTGTTAGAAAGATCTTTGTCGTTGAAACTTTCAAATTCTCAACTAAGTCGCGCTTATAGATGGCGCTCATTTGATTCAAATATTTCGTCTCAGTTGTGGTTATGACATGTCTGACAACAAGATAGGTAACATAATTTTCGATTTTCTTAACTAGAAAATGTATTTTAGAAAATTTAATTGACCTCGAATACTATTCGATTTCATTGGCTGATTTCTATCCAATGAAAATCCCTATTTTGTATTATATATTTTACCGTACCGTTTATTTTCAGATAACAACGTCGTTCAATTTTGAGTTTCTTTGTGTATAAGATAAACAAATGCCGTCAACTTGATGACAAGTTGGAAAAAGCACACTTTCATGTTTATTTTCAGTTACCGATAGTTTATATCCCGGTCAAGTTATACGATAGAATCCAATCATTCTCCATGGAATGTAGCTAACATTCTAGAAATGAACTGTCATGTCATTCGACTATATACAATTTGCACTCAACGAATATTCTCATTTACTTTTTCGCTTCTAGATTCAGTCGCCGCTTGAGTTCTTCTCAATGCAACCACCATGTGCTCTTTGCAGCACATTAGTACCAATATTAGAAAAATGTAAATCACTATGAACAATGAATTCTCTTGATGAATTGATATTTTATATTTAGATTCTTCATTAGAATTAATTGAAGCGATCGATCTTCAGAAGGAAGATATTTGCACATTCGTTCTATTTGTTACAAATTGGCCTCAAAAGTAAGTCACACGTTCTCAGCAATAGACAGCATGAGACTTTGCACTGAGTAATTGCGTAATCCAAAAGGTGTACCATGATTGATCACATGAAAATCACTGGGAATTTGAAGATCTATGCATACAAGTTCTTTCTTTTAGTCGATGTGCATGTTTGTGTCGTGATGCGATAACAATTGAACGTTTTTCCTCTCTCGTTGAATGGTTACTACTCTACATAATCAATCTGCTACAAACATTTATCACAACTGATAATCCGTCCGATGATGATTTTCTTAATCAATCAAACGAATCTGATTCATCAACACAAATCTGTAGTATTCTGACCACGACTGATCAAGAACAACAACGTCAATATCGGCAATGGTCATTGGAAGAAAAGGAACGCTTGTTACTATGCGTAGCTCGTTGTTTTACATTGAATTTGCCGATCTATACAACTGCACATCGTAATCCATCATTAGCGCATCATGTTGCATACTATCAGATGCAACATGCATCCGCGGATTTCAAAACATTTCTATCGTCATATTGTCATTTGAATTTATCATCGAATAATGCTAGCGGAAATAATGATTCCCATCATGTATCACTATATTTATATAGACATATATGTTCATTTTGTGAAAACCGTGGTCTCATCGTCATACGGCAGGTGTTCGATTCGGCGAAAAATACTCGAATGTTACCCTTATCAATAGCACACACACTATTTCTTATTCTAACAAACTTACGTCAGCATCTAAACATAGGTAAGTCACTCGGCGAAGGAACTGAAATGACCTATATGCTGAACTTTTGTCCTTATCAATTAGATATTATCAAGAACTTTCTTCTACCTATTCGACCGCATGCTATACGTTATATGTGTCTATTGTCTGATAATGAGTTGCGTTTATGTGGACAAAAGAATACCAATGATCTGCTATATGCTTCACTCAAAGATTTATTTCTAACAACAACATTTCGTCAACGTTCGACGTCATCGAATAGTGTTCTATCACCTTACAATACAAAACATCATCATACAGTCCATTTTCAGCGTTATCATTTCGATCGTTTAATGTTAACCTTAGCATTGAAATACTTAACGTGTTCAACATTGACGATACGTTTGACTGGTTTATCGCATATCACTAATCAAATTCAACAATGTCTCGATTATACACAATACCGTCGGCATCAATCGATGGCAGCGGCCGCTGCTGCAGCTGCAGCTGCATCTTGCTGTTCACATAACAACACGACGACACAAGAGATTCTTACTGTCAGCGAATCCGATGGTGAAGATGAGGCAGCAGCAGCACAAAAGGTAACCAACGATACGTCATCATCATCTTCATCGGCTAGTTCAGCAGATGAAACAGATGAATATCCTACAGCGAACCATCATGAACGAAAATTGTGCAACTGGATCATTGAGAATAAAATCATTCATTATTTATTTGGACCGAATTTACATACAGAGTTATTGAAACAATGTTTAACTATATTAATCTTCTTAGCGTCAAATAATCGTCTAACAGTTGAACATATTGATCTAATTTGGTCATGCGTATCGTTGACGCATTGCAGTCGACATATATTGGATTTACTGATGAATTTAGGGCAAAAGAATTTAAATATAACTTTACTTAATCATCTACTACAACTAATTGGTCGAAGTGATCGATCACAATATACTGAATCAACATTAACATTAATCAGTATATTAACGAAATCCTATTGGAGTCAATTGATTCGTTCATCGAATACAATGATTCAAAATAAAAAGCAGCAAGAATTAGTTTTAAAACAGAAGTTTCAACGAAACTCTTTAAATATGCAAAATATTCTTCGTCAACAGAAAACTCTTAAACGGCAACCATCGTCACCATTGAAACGCATTGATAGAAACAAAAACGTGGCCATGATTCGACAGAGAGGTTAGTCAAACGTAAATTTCACTTTGTTTTCCTACCAAAGTTCTTCTTTAGGTCGATTACAACATAAAAATACACCACATTTGATTCGGCAAACATCTCCTTCCTCACCTCTGCCAATGTCACGTCCGATATCGGGAAAGAAGCCGGCAGCTCAACAACAACCATCAGAAAAGATCGGTGCTGCCGATGAAGACTCCGCGGAAGAAGTGATCATTGTTGAATCGCCTCAACAGCCATTAACTGAGCAGAACGTTTCGAAATTAATGGCGAATAAATGTAAAGAGTTAACTTCACAAAACCTTCTCAAGTCCAGTCCGACGTCGGCATACATCCTATGTGCAGAGAAGAAGAATGATGATTCAACAAATGCAAATGTCGCGACTGATGAGTGGTCTGATGATGAGGACGATGAGGACGATGATGAAAATAACGATGAACCTATGCGTAATGCAAGTGTTGTTGCACGTGGATCAGCACCATTTATTCGGAGAGGTTTGTAGACTAAAAGGCGATCGGAGTAGGAGATAATTGTTTGTCGACAATCTTCTTTAGCTGAGCCAACATCGAGTAATGATGATGACGATGATGATGAATCAGAAAATGAAGCGCGTATAATACCAAGAGAAGTTTTAATGGTAAAAAGCAGAAGTTTTCGTGGTCGGAATGTTTCAAGTTTTACATTTTAGCAACATCGTTCACGATTTCAACGTGGCGCACCTGCAAACCAAGATGAATCCGACGAAGACGAAACAGTCACGAATGTACACTCAAATATGAGTCAGGTATAGAATAAAGAACCACACTTTCTTTAAAGAAAAAGGTCTCTTTTCAGATGTATAAACCTGAAGATTTGTCTACGCCGACGAAGCGCCCTACTACAGGTTCAGGTTTTATCATAAATAGTTCGAAAAATATCGTTCTTCCCGATGATCAAATGGATATTGACGACGACGATGATGATGACGATCCAAATGAAATATCCGATGAAGATCTTCGGGGAATGGTTATACCATCGGTAGTGCAATCATCGTTAAAGCAACAAATGAATCAGAAAAGTAAACAACAGCAGCATATTGAAAAAGACGTTCGCCAACATCCCGATGATGGAGGAAATCGTAATGATCATGAGATGGATACTTCAAAAAAGCGATATTCAGAAAAGGTCTGGTGAAAGAAAAAGATTGAAAGAGTAGGAGGAAACGAACAAATATTTTCTCTTATTTCAGGTTTGCTCGCCTGAAAGTGCTGAAGATGCATCACAAGCTGGATCACTTCCATCAGAAATGGAAACCGAAATATATGATTGTAGAGAAGCGATGAGACCGAAGAAAAAGCGGTGAGAAAATACGCAGTTTTACTGTAAAAGAAACAAGTTCTTTTGCTTGTACAGGACTCGTCACAATACAGATGAGGGTGACGACGACGACGATGACGATGAAGAAGAGGAAGAGTGTGATTTCGGCTCGTCAGCATCCGACGTTCTTAGTGAAACAGGTTCAGTCAAAAATATGGATGATTTCGATGATATGAGTGAATCGGAACAACAGCATCAGCAACAACAACAACAACAGCAAACAACATGCGCACGTCGAATGCGTATTAACCATCCATTGTCTGACATGGTGTCTTCCACTGCCTCGGATCAGCAAACTCGAAAACGACTCGAAAGTGAACAAAATCTTGGTAGTCAAACATCTTCGTCGTCTTCGTCATCGTCCTCGGCTGAATCAACAAATGATTCAAGCACAACAGGTCATGTTGGCGCCATGGATGACGATGAAATCAATATCTCGAATTTATCTTCTCCAGGACAAACACTTCTTTGGGATCTATTACAAGACCAAACAACGGCGAACACTTTACACCTACCAGATACATTGCTAAATGAAACTGAGCGATTATTTAGTCAAGTTCTTAGTTCCATCGAAGATAAACGCATCCTATTACATTTCATCCGAGCATGTTTAGACAATTTGAAAAAGTCCTCGTCAAGTTTGATCTCATTACGTTTATTACCAAAACTGTTCCTCATCTTTCAACAACATCAACCACGGGCAAATACGAACATTTTCCTCGTATTCGAAGAAAAATATCACGTCTTGAGTGCATTTTTCAACGACCTAGAACAATTGACTAAGCGCGTACAGGCGAATCCATCTTTCGTGTCAATACACAATGAAATAACAGTTCGATTTCAATTTTTATCGTTCATCTTCTCCATATCAGCATCACCGAAAGAATTCAATCTAACGCAAAATCAAGCAGATAAATTGTGGGATTGCTTAACAATCATGACGGGTACCACAGGTACCAACCGTGAAGAACTCTATAATTGGTTATTAAGTCAATTGAAAAATCGTGATGGCGGTCATGCTCTTTCGTTAGAAACATTCAAACATTTACTTACAGAAAAGGTATGAGTTCAAACTTGGCGTCCTAGCTGAATTGAACAAATTTTCTCTTCTCTTTCTTTCAGCTTTTAATTCAAAAGCCCGAACACGTCTGTTGCCAACAGTTAAGTTTAATTCAAGAAATTCTTCAACAAAGCCGTTCAAATTGGGTTCATGTACTTCAACAACAGCAAACATCTCCAACAACCTGTCTTACTCAACAGTGCCATGATTTTCAAACATTCGAGTTCTTAATCTTGAACTATGTTAGTGACGTTGCCATGCGCGCGTTAGATCAAAATGTCAGTACACTAGCCGCTCAAACTCTGAATAGTTATCAAATTCAGAACGAAGATGGAAGTCTAGATCGAGAAGAACCGTTCATCGCTCGTTGCATGAACTGCTTAAACGAATGTATCAGTACTGTTCACGATCTTTCTTCCCTACGAACAATCAATCGTATCTCAGTGTTACTGCGTACACATTTAGAACTGTTTACACGTCGTTATTCATACGTCATGCGTTTGTATCAATACATTGCACAAACAAATAACAACAGTAATTCGAATCCATTATTTTCACCTGCGTCCCTTAAATCTCATATCAAGCAAATTGCATTGACTGATGAGCGAGATGCTAATTTAATTAAGCTGATTTGCAATGCACCGATGGCAAGTGGTGGAACAGAAAAATACATATTGAAAATGAATCCAAATGATCTCATAGGCGATTTAAGAGCGGAACTAACACGTTGGTATTGTACACTGAAACCGCCGATGACTAACGTTCTAGCCCAAACATTGTTAACTACCGAAAAAAATGAAGTACCGGTATCGAATCCTATAAGTTCATCGACATCGCCGACAACATCTTCGTTCGATCTACTACACATGTCTGCATTACCATCCATACGTGTTCTAGCCAATGGACAGGAACTCGATCGAGACATCGACGATAAAACACTGAACGAATGCAACATCAAAGAAAATCAAACAATATTAGTCAATGCGTCAACTCGAAATCGAACGAAAGATTTGTACACCATTGATGAACGTCTTTTGAAGAATTATATTCCACAAAAAATGCCTATGATGCTATTATTAAAATATATCGACCAGTTCTTTTCAATCCTTGCACAGTTACAAATCTTTATTGAAGCATCAACTGAAGTGAGTTCATCAAACTAAACTGCGTCTTCTCTCTATAGCCAGTTTGTTTTCTTTAGCATAGCGAAGCGCGTCTGGCTGTCAGTCGCCTATGGGAAATTCTTCTACTTATTCCAACACATACTGGCATCTTTCAAAACTTATCTCAGTTAAATGAATTCAATGATAATGAAAATAATAGCGAACAATGGGCCGCTTGTTTACAAGGTTCAGATCCATTTCGTTTCACCTATTCATTACAAATCATCGACATGCTCATCCGACGCATGCCAACATATAAAGATATGTTTGTTCGCAAAGGTGGCCTCAAATATTTATACGATTTATTTATTTTGAAATCATTTTTTACTGGACCTGTTGATCGCTCATGGTGTGCTGGACTACCTGAAGCGTTACTATATACATTGAAAATTCTTTGTTCTTGTTTATTAAAAATTCCAACGCTATCCGTACAATCTTCAACACCACAACAAGTGCCTCCACCCCCACCAGCATCTGCACCACCTGTAACCTTCTCAGCGGCGATCGACGAGCAACATTCGCCTCGAACACCAATCAATACACGGAAAAAAGTTAGTTGATATTCGACGAAAAAGCTCATCTATTTTTTATTATTTGTAGGCTCGGCGTGAAACAACAACGCCTGCACTTCTTGCTGCCTTGTCGTCATCTGATTTAACTACTATGGACATTCCATCATCCACACCGACGATTCAACAACAATCTCATTTTCATATCTGTGAATCCCATTGGGAAAATGTCGCATTGATTGATAAAGACGTTCTCTTGGATACTTTAGTCGACATTCAACTATCGATTGTTACGAAAAGTACGCGGCTGTGTTGTCCAGTAGTTTTATTACAGTTTGCAAATCGCACTGATCTATTACACACATCAATGGTACTATTCATTACCCTATGCCATTCCTATGACGATGTCCGCACGAAATTTATCGAGCATCCAAAGTTAAGTTTCTGGCTGAAAACATTACTATTAGATGCGTATGATTCGTTATTGAAACGAGAAGCTCTTTTTAATATCTATCGATTATCAATGGTGGCAAGCAACAACATTAGTAATAACTCATCAGGTATGACATCACTTCAATATTTTTATAGATAAAATAAAGATAAGAATAACCAGAACTTGTTGAAATAGAGTTTAAGATAGAATTTTGTTACTTATATCGCTCCTTTCTTTTCAGGAACAAGTGATGAGCTAAGTCTTCAACCTATAACAGACTTTCCTCCTCCTCCACCTATTCCAACTCAACGTAGTTGTCCCATCGATGAAGAAAAAGCTGCTCAAACGCTAACAATCTCAACATTAATCGAGCCATCCAATGATCCTCCAGCTGAACGTATTTGTCTTGTACCAATTCTCACCAATCTTCTCGAATTGATACCTTACGCTCTCAAATTCACATCATCATCATCATCTCAATCCAATCTTGAATCATCGAATTCTTCGCTTTCATCCATATCTCTTCAGCCATTACATATCCCACCGACTCTAATTACCAAATGTGATAATCATTCCCTGTTTCTCAATCAATCTTCTCATGAATATTTTCATTTACTGACTTCCATCATCGATCGAATGCACTATGATGAAATCAAACAAATCAAATTGAACCGTACGAAACTATGCAATCAAATGAATTCCAATCCGATCCTCTTCGATCATGAACTGATTGAAATCTTGATAAATTTCATTCATGAACATGTTCCATACGAAACTCAACGCGATAAATTGATTGAAGATGAAGTTCTCTACGGTTTACTTTGTCTATTAACATCAATCATCAAACAATATAATAATTCCTCTTTGAAGCAAATCAACGTCAACGATAATCCACATTATAAACAACTGACATTTCATCTAATCGATCGGGTATTTAAATATCTATTCGAGTTACCAACGAGCGAAAATCGATGTGTGCCGAAATGCAAATCGTTGTTAACACGTGCGAAGTCTTATGAATTTCTCAATGAATTAATAAAGATCAATCGTGAGAACTTCGTTGAACTACAGAAGAAACTTCTTCAACAGCACAATTCCATCGATCGTCAACAACCATACATATGGGATTATTGGCCACGTGATGATGGTCGATTCTATTCGGGATATGTTGGATTAACCAATCTTGGTGCGACATGTTACGCAGCCACAAGTATTCAGCATTTATACATGATACCTGAATTACGCACAGCAATACTGAACGCGAGTAAAACTGGTAAACACGATCTGATACTCTACGAATTGAAACGAATGTTTGCTTATCTGTTGGAAAGCGAGCGTCGTTCGTATAATCCAAAGAGTTTTTGCAAAGTTTACACAATGGATGGCTTGCAATCGTTGAACACAGGTGATCAAAAGGATATGACGGAATTCTTTACGGATTTGATAACGAAATTGGAGGAAATGTCCGATGATTTGAAGCAACTAGTTCGAGAATTATTCTGCGGCATCTTAACAAACATCGTTATTTCATTCGATTGCCCGCACATATCAAGAAAGTTGGAAGAATTTTATACTGTTCGTTGTCAAGTGGCTGACATGAAAGATGTGCACGAATCGCTGGCAGAATTAACAGTTAAAGACACACTCGAAGGTGATAATATGTATACATGTTCGAAATGTTCGAAGAAAGTTCGAGCAGAAAAACGTGTTTGTTTTCGAAAGTTACCGAAAATTCTCTGTTTAAACACTATGAGATATACGTTCAACATGGTCACGATGCAACGTGAAAAAGTCAATACATTATTTCAGTTTCCCATGCAGTTGGATATGAGCGGGTATATGGAAACGAATTTGATTGACAAGAATAAACAAATGGGCGACGATAATCATGAATATGACGATGACAAAGACAATGAAAAGTATGTCGAGTTGTGAACCGAAAAAAAAAGGAAAAGTTTGTTTTTGAAATTTCTTTTAGTTCAAATAGGAATACACCATCATCGCCATCGACTAGTAATGAATCTCATTTATTCGAATTAATCGGTGTAACTGTTCATACGGGTACCGCCGAAGGTGGCCACTATTATTCATTTATACGCGAACGTGTCAAACGTCCATTAGATAACAATCTTTTGGTCAATTCCGACTCATTATTAGATAATTCATCGCAATCCCAACAGCATCGATGGTATCTATTTAATGATGCAGAAGTGAAACAATTCGATCCATCGCAAATTGCCAATGAATGTTTTGGCGGTGAAATCACTTCTAAAGGCTACGATCAAGGTTCAGACCGTTTTCTTGACTTTCAATTCGAGAAAACTCATTCAGCATACATGTTATTCTACGAACGCATTGATACACCTTTACTTTCAACGGTAACCACCGCATCAAACTTGCCAACCTTACAATTAAAAGATCCAATACCTTATATCATACCAAAAGATATTTCCGATTGGATTTGGGAAGACAACCGACGTTTTGTTCGTGATCGACATCTCTATGATCATCATTACTTTACGTTCATGTGGACACTGTGTCATCATCAAGTCTCATCGAGTCTATTGGCCGTCAAAGAAAATGAGCAGAATGAACAAGCAGAAAACACAAACGCAACATCGGAATCCTATGATATGCTGCCTATTCAATTAGCAATCACCTTCGTTTTTGAAACTTATATACATGCCAAAGATAAGCCAACCATGGCCGGTTGGGTGGAATATTTATGTAAACAGTTTACAGCTTGTAAACCAGTGGCTGTGTGGTTTCTTGCACATATGACACAAGATGATACATGGTTGACTAAGGTCCTAGTGCGATGTCCGAATCATACGATTCGTCATATGTTCGCGCGTGTTCTTATTGATGTTTTACATAAAAGTCGTTTTCGGTAAGCATAACAGTCACATAGTTCTACAAAACGTGTTCAAATGATTCTCTGTATTTTAGTGATTCTTCGAATGAAGACTCATTTGTTGTTCAACAGTTCATTCATAAATACTTGTCGATCATTAGTGAAGGCGGTGCTCGTTTACCTATTCGATACATGTCGGAATACTTCGTTTTTCTTCACGATTTCGCTCGTAATGGCGTCGATGAATGTTATCTCTTACTCGATTGTCTATGTATTCAACAATTAATTACATTCTATATGTTACATCGAGGTCGACAACCGAAACAATCATCATCGAATAACAATAATTGCGATGACGGAAACACAAGTTCAGACGATGAAAATCAATCGAACACGAATCTGCTAATGGCAACAAGTGCCATCGATGATGATATTATTCCATTGAATACCATTCGTCTGCCAACGAACAATAACTTGAATCGGCCAGGTATATTCGAGAAGATGTTTCCATTGATTGGACTGCTATTAGAAACTGAACGTGCACGTACAAACTTGGATAATTTTGATTTTCACCTATTCATCGAAAATGACTTCGCGTTCATTCAACAACAAATTCTTGATAATATCAATCTAAAAGCGACAGCACACATAATTCAATTGATTTGTTATAAGAACGATGTTTGCGCAAATAAGATTGTCAATTTGTTGTGTCAATGGATCATGAATTCCAACAACGATATGAATAGTTTACAAGCATTATTCAAAGTCTTGACTTATCTTATTGAGCAGAATCCCAATAATGTCAACAATGAAACCAATGATCAACAACAAGTCGCTTCCATATTAGTACTCGATAAGAACTGGTGCGATTTCGCCGCGTTGATAGTTGCGCGTATCGGTAAACTGATCGATATATGTCCAACACAAGTTTTCGAATGGTTTAACAATGTCGTAACAAAATCCTCGATTATACATCGATGGATTTATAACAACATTCGACCATGGTTGAAGTCCTATTTGCTATATAACACATACACGAAAGTACGAACATTGATTGCACAGTTATTAGTGGCACTTGTGCCGTCGACAATATTTCGACAAACATATCGTACGGGAAAATATTTTTTGAATCTATCCAAACAACAACTAGCATCAGCTGCACAAGCAACAACAACGACAGCGACTCACGGAACGATCACATCATTACTTACATTCAATCAACAAGTAGGAGTTAGTTTTGCAACTGCATCAATAAACTTTCTTCTTTTTTTTTCCATCGTAATAGATGTCAACTGTTCCAAATACATCATCGTTCTCTTCCCTGTTCGATCATCAGCAGTTCGCTCAATATCCATCTGATTTCACTTCGGAAACTTACACAATCCTTCGAACGCTATTATCCTATCTCCTCGAACTTCTAGTTGAAATCGGCCATGATCAAAGTGAACTACACATGAACGATAATCAACAACGTTTAGTCCAATATTTATCTGTTTTAATACATTTTACTCGCTATTCATCAGAGAAAAGTCTCCTGACAGAAAATGAATATCTTCATTCTCTCTGTTCGTTAATCTCTCATCCAAAACTAATGGAAGATCATACTATTCATAATGGCAACAAATTATTAATCTTCATCTTTTTACAACAACTATTACATGAGAAAATCTTCTTAACGAATATTCTCAATTACGAACACGAATTCAAACAACAACTTCCAATGTGTTTAATTATTGTCGATCACGAAGATCAAGAATTGATCCTGTACAATCGATTATTTCTGTTCATTTACTACAATATTCTAAAACAATTCTGTCAGCATTCATGCGTATATGCGAAAGAATTAGCACCACACAAGAACATGTCCTGGGCATTGAAAAACGTTCTTCCTCACGTTCAACTCTATCCTGATGCGTGCGAGCAACTGTTAGGTATATGTAAAATCATTTGCCATATCAACCGAGAGAATCTTTCTCAAGAGGATCAACAAGTCATTAATGATTTTAAAAAGGAATTATATTTATTAATTTATCGTTTCAATGACATACGTTCAACGTGGACGATTATATTAGATTTAACACGTGATATGTGCGATCTACAAGCATCTCATGATGAGCGTTTGCAGATCTTGAGTCGTCGCGGTTTACCCATGTTAACGACCATATTTTTCACGATATTTAATTTGTATCACGAACAAAACCAAACGCAAATCTTGACCATACAGAGTGATTTAATTTATTTGATGAGCCTGATTGGAAATCTGCTCGATACAGCTGATACGCAAATAAAAAAACAACAAACGAATCCCGCGATCAATATGCGAAATATTGTCGGCGCGCAATGGAAGGAAAAAATGGAATTAGTCAGTAAATTGCTTCTTCTTTTGAACTCATACAATTCCAGCGAAATTCGACAACGTGCAGTGGATCTTTTAAAGAAAATTATCGTTCAATTGCCTATACAAGATTTAACACAAGTTGCCTTCAATATAAAAACAATACATGAGCAAGCTGCGGCGCAATCTCATCCACAACTTGGTCCATGTAAGATAAGATAAGAGATGTGAGTCATAGGAAATCTTCGTTCTTTTGTAGATTTTCCACGTCGAAAGCAGCCAACCAATAGTTCACAACAACAAGGTCAGTTTTTAATCAAAACATTCTTATTTTCGAAATGAGTCTCTTTCAGGCACGATCGAACGACTAGCGAATGTATCAATACATACTCCATTTCGTCCACATTTCGGCATGTATTTCAAAACTCAACTACTCGAAACATCCAAAGGTCGTGACTTGGAATTCGATCGTGCTGTTCATGCTTACTATTCACCATATCATATATTCATGGATTCTTTAGCACGTTGTGCATACAATCAAAATGCGCTCAACGGTTCCATATTAACTCTTGTCACACTTGTTGCTTGTGAAGGCGTCCAGAGCATGCACATTACCTTATTTGCTGAATTGTGCTTAGAAATCTCCAATCAATCGAAAACATCTGCACAAACACTAATCCACGATCTTATCCAAATATCGCCGTCGTACTATTTTCTTCATTTAATCGAAATTCTTCTTATTGATGAACGTATCGCGCTACATCAAGCTGACAATTACTCATTTCTCTACACGTATCTACCGATGATCTTAGCAATGAAGAAATCGTTGACGACAACGAATGATTCCATCCAAACTTTCATACAAGGTCTGGAACAGCTATTGCACAAAACATGTGAACATTGTTTACAATCGATTTACAACGAATCGCAAACGAATCTAGATTGGTTACAATCGTATAAAAAACTATCGAAATCGATAAATTACTCACACACACAAATCATCGGAGATGTCAAAGCATTAGAACTGTATCTGCATTGTCAATTGATCACCGATAAAAGTAAAATCCAAAGTGTCATTGAACAAAGCGTACGACTTATAGAACAACATTTACAATTGCCACTGCAAATCGATGACGAACAACAGGAAAGCGAGGCGACGACGATCGTTGATGATGAAAACAATCCAATAAAGAAACGACGATTGGACGATAGTAATTTAACGATTGATATCACGAACAATGATCCAAAACGTAAAACTATTATGGATGCTCTTCAAGTTTTACAAGTATTTCTGACAAATATGAATACTACTCCTAATGATGAGCCGGCCACGATTGAACAATAGTAGTAATGAATTTTCAAACTTTCTATACATTGTCTTTGTCTTTCATATCGAAATCTATAGAACTTCGTGCGTTGTTCAATGGCAATTGTCCTCAAGTTTTCTTTTTCTTTCGCTTTTCTTTTAGCAGCATTGCGTTGTATTAGGTTCAATCCAGCAAGAAGAGAAAAAGCCATTCACTTCATATATATTCTATACATATATATATATATATATATTTGTTGTTACTGTGCGTATTCCAGACTTTGGTTTTTTTTTCTTTTTCTTTTTGTGTCATTTCAACGAGAAGAAAGCAAACTCTTGATGATTTTCTATGTACATATATACACATATGAGGAAAAAAAAGAGAAAACAAACAAACTTTTCAAACTTATTTATAGATCATAATCTTGTGTGGTAATCATGGATTCGCAAAATTCTGTGGAAAGTAAGACTCGACTCTGTGTGGCACGCGCGTGCATTACTGCTGACTTTGTTTATCTTCTATTCAGCTTTGACTATTGCTTTGATCGATACACTCTCCGATAAAAATGATAAAGTACGCGATAGTGTGGCTCAATCGATAGTTGATACGGGAAAGAAACTACCTCAGCTAACTGTAACACTTTGTACGAATTATTTGAATAAACATCAAAAACTTCCTGAAACACATCGAGCTGCGATTCTACGTGTAATCGAACGCATCCTCAATTATCAACAGCAACAAGGACAAACAAATGAAGAGATACCATTTGACAACGAGACATTCCAATTGTTAACTCGTGTAGCAGCGAATGAGTTGACAATGCCAAAAGTTAGTCTTGATTGCTCGAAAAGAAGCACATCTGTTCTCGACGTTCATTTCAGGAAATCGTTCCTGTCTGGCAACAAGCCGCTTCTGATGTTCTTGTAGAAATTGGCAAATATGAGCCTGACCTCGTCTGTACTGCTATCTCGCCACATATGCCAGCTGGTCAATTGCCACAATTTTTCGTTCTACAAACTGTTGGCAGTTTAGCAGAAGCAAATCGTAAGTTACTTGTTCTTAGAAACAATAGAAGCACATTTCTACGTTTGACTACTTTCTACATCAAGCACGTGGAATGGTGCATCAACTTCGACCGATGTTCAGTCGTATATTACCGATGATGGGTATGGTGAAACAAGAAAACTATCGTTGGGTTTACACGGCTGTGCTCTTTAAATTCTGTCTGGCTCTGATTGATTTTCAAGCAAATGGTGATGAAACAGCACGAACGACATTCGCACCACAACAATTTGAGAATGATGCTTTCGCGGCATACGAAGTATTTCTAACATCTGCTTGGATTGGTTCGAAAGAACTGAAGGTAGGAAAGATGGGAAAATGAAGAAGAATTCGCTTCTAAGAATCTATACATATAGGTTCGAAATATTTGTGTTCAAGCTGTCGGTCGTCTAGTCCATTTATTTTCGCCATCAAAATTTACTGAACAATTTCCACGTTTAATGCAAAATGTGCTTGGATTTTATCGAAAAAATGTTGATCATTTATACGTCAGTGAAACGCTCAATTCTGTTGTACTTCTAGCCGACCAGTGGAATGTCGCACAATTGAAAGTATCTATGGATGCTGTCCTACGAGAAGTTCTAAATGAAGTAATACCACACTTCATCTACCTTGAGAAAAGTATTTTATTAAATTCTTTTCCAGATTCAAAACAATTATGAAGCCTTTGAAAATGCAAATGAACAAGCTGTTAAAAATCAAAATGAACTATTACGTACTTTACAAATCCTTGGTATGACATCATTCTAAGCATCGACGAACATCATCGAGATTCTCTATTTTACTTAGGGAAACATTCGCCGCAGACAATATGGCCGTGGTTATTACAACGCATGGAACAAGCTGGTTCCAATGATAAACTTCGTATCGTACTTCTTGTTATTTATCGTCATCTTGTCTATGCCTTTGGAAATGATGCGCCATCAACACCATTTGATTATAAATCATTGCTTGTGTCAAGTTTACGGCCAACGTTAAACACAGCAACATTGAAAGTACGAAGATACACAAACGAGTTTTGTTCTGGACCATCTTCGTTTGTTTAGATTACGAAATATCTATCGCAATTAATTGTGGCTATGGCTTGTCATGGCTATTTGCAACTGGAAGGACGACGATTTTTGATTGAATATATCGTGCGAAATTGTACGTATCCCATAAGTGGAACCGACGATAATCCTAAACCAGATGCCACTGTACCCACTGCTGATGTGAGAATGATGTGTCGCAACATTCTGAATGCGTTCAGTTCGACTATCGAAGGCATGGATGAAGTAAAGGATTGAGTTCTTGGATTTCGTAGAGATTTCGCGTTTTATTCAAGGTTTTATGGCCGTTACTGATGGAATTTCTCATTCCTGAAGTGTACACAGGTGCATTTGGAATAATCTGTAAAGCACTATCACAAGCTGGTCAACAGCAAATCGCAGCGAAGAAAGATACCTTTTGGATTGACTTTGATGTTCTTGTGAATATACCAAAACCAAACGAAATTATTACACGATGCTTCGTATGTGTTTATTGCAACAAAGAACTGCTTTTCTCGTATACAAACTTTGATTTCCGCTTCACTAGGTCCTACTCGGCGAACCGTTAGTTGAAGAAACACGGGGTATATCAATTCTGAATTTTCTTCGTACTGCTGTGACAGAGTTGAAAGCTGATCTACGAGAATTATGGGACAAAGTCATTCCACGTTTACTACAAAACTTAACTGGCAATGAAGACGACGAAAACAAGAAGTTCGATTCTTCAAATTGGCAAGATCTTATTCTTAAAGTATATTCTGATCTTTCGTTACTCTGATTAAAAACATTTCGCTTCTCTTGACAGTTCCTTTCGAAAACGCTCGATGTCGTTGAGCGTGAAGACTGGATCAGTGATGTAGGTGCCTGCTTTGTGAAACAATTACCATTGTATGCAAAATTAGAACGTGAGCGTGGCTTTGCTTATAAATGTATTGGTATCGTTCTACGCAAGTCGAAAATTAACGAATTCGTCAGTCGGACATTAGAATCAATGACAACGGTGATTAATTTTCAACATGAACATGAACGAAATGGCTGGGCAACAATGTTTGGCCTATGTTCAGCAACGCATCTTGATATAGTCTTACAACGACTCGATCTATATTTAAAAATCGCCGATTCGAAAGGCTCAGGTTCATCATCAGGTGGTGGTGGCGGTCTGTTCGGGTTTCTTGGTTCGAAAACAGAAACACATTCCGATTTGGCACGTGCGACAACTCTTCTCGCATACGCTTACGTTTCAATCTATGCATCGCTAGAATTAATTGTCTCTCGTATGGAAACTAGCATCCTTATTAGCGCCGTAAAAATTGCTCGAACGATCAAGGAAGAAACGGGCAAACTCATTGTAGCGAAGTCCTTTATTATTCTCGCACAATCAATGAATAGAGAACATTTGAAGACGGACTTTTCTTTTGCATCAAGAAATGATCTTATACAAGAAATGGTCAGTTATATCACACAGGATGCAGCTATCAAATTGCAACCAACAACATTCAATCAGTGTGTGAAAGCATGCCATGCATTGATGTATGAAAGAAAAAGATTTTCTTGTCAATTGATTCTCTACTATGTAATTTTAGCGTTCTTCAACCTGAACAAACATTGGCCGAAAAGTATCAATTGGCTCGAGCTGCTATACATTGGTATTGTTCAACAAAATTAGTCAGTATTCGAAAAGCTTCCTTTTCATCAGCTATGATCGGCTTTTATACTTTAGGATATAACACCGAATCAAAAAGAAGAAATCTCCGCATCACTCGGTGCATTGATCATCGAAATACTTAGTTTAGGAGAGTCACGCGAAACTTTCCCTAGTCTTATAAATGTAAGAGAAAGTCAACTTTTCGTTACAGGATCAATTATTTCATGAGGATTATTTAGTTACTCGAGCCTTTCTGTTTGTCGCTGCAAGGAAGTGAACGAGCACGTGCTTTTGATATTCTTAGTCAACTTATTCAATCCGACGCGATGAACAGATTAAAAGAACAAGTATATATTAACTATTTCAAACTACTGTCTAATTCTTCGTGTGATTTGCATAGAACTTAATCGATATTGGTGGTTTAATGGCTATTTGTCTTATGTACCTAACTGATACAGAGTCGACGGTTGAACTCGCAACAACTGCAAGCCTTACCAGATTATTACGACTTCAGTCACAGCTAGCGACAGGTAATAGTATTATTTTTTGTAGGTTAGGAATACTCATTAAAAATGTGTATGAATTGCAGGTATCGTCGAAAATTCCGGTAATGAAGAGAATATTGTTGACCAAGAGAAGGTAGCAAATGATGAAACCATACAAGTAAGATTGATTTGCTCTGATATATAAATAGTATCTATCGAAGATGTTTTATAAATAGCTTTCTAAAAACAGGAAATGTATCGATAATGATGGTCAGGTACTGTCTCATCGTATTGTACAATCGTTTTGTCTCGCAGAGAAAACAGCTTTTATTTGATAGTGTTCATGTCGTCTGCAGTCATGTGAAGCGATACTTACGTAGACAGTGTATTTATATACTTTACTCACATATAGGCTACTTTGCTTTTCGTTTAACTCAATCGATATTGAAAACAGTTTCCATGAATCTCTTTTCTGTTGCTTTTTATAGAGCTTATCGGGCAATCTTGAACCGCGTTGTCTCTTACCTTTTATTGAAAAAGCAACTGAAATCATTGCCGATACACGTGCTATTGGATCAGTGGTGGTATGCAATGTTCTATGTAAAATATTCGACTCACGACATGGTGAATTGGCCGAGCAAGTAATGTCAAGTATATTGTATTGCGCAGCATCGATAGAGATTATTTTGTTGCAGATCGATTACATCTTTAGTATTATGCTCAACAAATATAATCAGATAAGCAACGAAGATGTCCTACGAGCATTGCGAGCTGCTTTTAAACAACTGAGTTTATCTTGTTCAAGTCGTGTATTCAGTACATTGATGAATTTTGGTGTACCATTTACCAAGTAAGTTGTTCGAAGAAAACAGAGTATATCATCCGCGTATTTTCTATTGGAATAGAAATCTAGTAACTATTATTCATGATCTTGCTGACAATCGACCATTAACCGAAGCTGTTCTCGCACAAATTATGGAATGTTGGTCCCGTTCATTGCCCTTTGATGAAAAAGATTCACAACGATATGCAACTGCTCAGCCATTGATGGCGTTATATCTGCTAAACGAATGGCTGCAATCGGACCGTATATGTGATCTGGGTGAATATGCTTTCCCACGTTTGTTTGTGGCACTTTTTATTCGCATGGCGTCACATGTTGATACGCATCCACCACAAAATGTACCAACGTTGCGTCGTGTTACACCACCAAATGGTAGTTCTCGGCGTGATTCGGGAGCAAGCAGTGCGAACAATGCACCTTTAGTTAACACAGCAGGAGCGAATGCCAATGCAGGAAAGAAAACCTCATCACGTTTAAGTCTCTTCGATTCGAAATCATCACGTGGTGCTACGAAAGCAGCAACAACTGCTGAGCAACAACAAGCTAATACTGGACCATCGAGCAATGAATTGAAAAAGATCGAGCCATACCGTTTATCCAACGACTGTATGATGCATTTTCTTAAAGTTTATAATTGCCAAACAGAAGTGAATACCAGTGTACCTTGGGACAAAATGGCTAAATTCGATACAGCCGATTCGGCACTCGAGGCGCTCGCTCAAGGTTTGTCACGCTGTAATCATATACATCAGAAACAATTGAACATTATCATTGAATTACTGGGACAAGTATTAGATGGTCCTTATGATATTCAACGTATTTGCGTATCAGCATTTTTCGCTGAATTTATTCGATGTAATCCCGACGATAGCGATGATCAACGCTTTGTTCGCGAATTAATTCGCTACTTATTGGGACGTTTAGTTGATCATAATATATATGTCCGAAAATTTTGTTTACGTGGTCTTGGCTGGTGGCGACCAACCCGCGATAGTCAGGAAGACAAAGGCTTACCAACCACGATCCTCGCATCGTTAAGTAAGTAGTTTTCCAGACAAAGAAAACGGTAGATTACATTTTTGCAATTTGTTCACTTACATATTTAGTTTCTGGTCTCGATGATCGCGATGACAAGAACGATCTCCTCACATTAGAAGCTATGTGTTCCTTATCAAATGTAATCGCTGTCATGAACGAAGATGAAGTACGACCAATCCTAATGAATGTTCTGTTAAGAATTCGACCTTGTTTCGAAAAAGTAAAAAGATTCGTCTTTGTATTTATGCTCATACAAGAATATTCGCTTCTCGATCTGTAGGAAGAAGCAAAGGTGCGTTCAGCAGCATTCACGCTATTCGGTAAAATGGCATCTGTATGTGAAGGAAATTCACGCGAAGCATTCGTCGAGCAAATCTTTTCATCCTTAGTCACTCTAACATTGCATCTGAATGATCCTGTTGAAACCGTACGTGAAAGTTGCAAAGTATGTTTTCAATCCATTGCACCATTACTTGATCAACCACTACTAGCCGACTTAATCAAAGAAAATCTTCAACCAAAGATGTCTCTTTCCTATTCGGAATTCATTGGTGATTTCTGCAAAATCCTAGTTGAGAAATATCCATACAAAATCAATTTTTTCATTATGAACTGTATCATATTCTTTAAAAATCCCGTACCAGAGTTGCGAGCCAACGCCGCAGTAGTCGCAGGTTATTTGATAGTTAATTTAACTGAAGAACAAATCAATAATCTATCGAAAGAACATATTCTAAATGGTAATTGATTTCATTTTATTTTCTTCACTCTAAAACAAAATGATTCTTGCTTTTCGTTTAGCATTTATCGTTCTATTGAAAGATTCTAATCCAGATGTACGTTGTCGCGTAGCTGAATCCATGCATTTCATGTATAAATTTTAATCAAACAATCACATCGACGCAATATATCTTCCTCTATGAAACTTTCCATGATTGTCTTTCATCTATAAGTAATTTTTTAATTGAATAATTTCATTGTATGAATGTGTGTATGCAAGTGAGTTATTTTCTTCTTTTCACTGGACATTTTCGATAGTTTGCAACATGTTCTCTATTTATGAATTCTTCTGACCATAACATATGCATTGTAATTGTTTCCAAAGAATTATTTTAATAAATCTTTTTTTTTCCTTCAAACAAATCCATTGGTTTCGATTCTTTTCACATGAATATTATCGAGACGTGTTCTTGCCTTCTGTTCGTACTTATTTTAGATTTAATTTACTGTTGTGATGAGCTCGAGGTATCCAGGATTTGGTAGTAGACAGGATGACAATGAAAGTAAAGAAGACTTCGTCACTATTGGTACTCATTTCGATCCAGCCGAACCAACAAATAGTACATCCATTGTCGCTACGCTAGGTAAATATCGAAAACAATGATTGAGAGGATATTTGTATGTCTTTTCAGGCAGAAAAGCTTCGAAACTCGTGGATCTATCCTCGTCAACCTATGGTTATGATGGAAAACGTTTTCATGGTGCATTTACCGGTGGTTTTAATGCGGGTTTCTATAACACTGTGGGATCTGTTGAAGGTAAAGGAAATCTAAATCTGGAAGAGGAAACTATCTTTTTCTTGATAGGATGGAGACCAAGCGAATTCAAGTCATCACGAGCAGATCGTGCTGAGAAACGAAGCTACGAACCCGAAGATTTCATGGACAAAGGAGTAAGTGGCGTAGTTAAAATAAGAAATGCGAACGGAAAGATCATTTTAAACGATTTGGTAGGATTTCAGTGAACATGGTATCAATCCGAAGCAGATCAAAATTCGTAATACGTTCGATCACAATGAAGCTTTGACACGTAGTACGCATAAACAACCATCTGGAAGTTCAAATCAACGAAGTAATGAAGATATACTACGTGATATGATTCAAATAAAATCGTAAGTAACAATTGATTGATTTTCTTTCGTCTGATCGAAATTTATCTAGATTATCAATTGGAAAGAAGATTCTCATGAGTATGGGCTGGAAACCAGGCGAGGGTGTAGGTGCGAAGATGTTTCGAAAACAACGACAGAAGTTGAAATGGTCTTTAACGCAAGAAACACCCAAAGAATTACCACCGTCACCTCCACGTGCCGATCAACAAGAAACAAGCGGTGCAAAAGTTTATGGTGTAGCTATGCCACCACCATCTTTTCAACAAACACTAACGAAAACCTCCCGACTTGATGATGATGACGATGAGTATTTCGATAATCAAATTGTAAGTGTATTTTGTAGAGTATGTTCATTTCTCATAGTATTTGATCGCTTTCTTTAGTATGCGAATGTTAGTCTACCACCTTTGGACTATGAAGTTCATTTTCAATTACAAAAGCATGATCATCATGGTCTTGGCTATAAAGGATTAGAATCTCTGAATGCATTCACTCACACAAATTTATTTGTGCAGCCATCCGTTGAGAAACAGATTAACAATGTAAAAATTCGCGGCCAAGTACGTTCTCGCATTCGTTTATAGACTTGTTCTCGCAACAGTCTATTGCATTTTGCAGGCATTTGGCGTTGGTATGGATGAAGACGAAGACGATCGGGATCTTTTCGCGCAAGATGATCTCAAACAATATGATTACGAATTGACTTCGGGAAATGATAATACAACAGATATTATGCGACTGAAAACACAAGAGAATAGTTTCGAATTGAAGTTTGTTCGTTACGAATCTATGTCAATGCCAGTCTTTTATACAGCACCTCCAATACCTACAACTTTTAAAGTTGGACATCGTTTTCCTAAATCCGCTATGCCACTACCGCCTACTTCTATACCTTCATCGGTTGATAAGCTGAACCAGGAACCATCAAAACAGTCATCGATCCAACACGATGCCAACACACGTGGTCTTCTTCTTGGCGATCTCTCATTTTTGTCTCGACCGCCACCAAATGTAAATACTCCACCAGCTGTTGTTTCTCCACCAAAAGTAGAAGAGCAGACAAAGCCAGCGCCGGTACCAACGCCAGCCACATCACTTGAATGGGATATTGAAAAAGAACGTTCTGCGCATAGTACTCCTGTGCCAGTGAATAACGCCCGAACACAATTTCTCGATGCAGTTAAAAACCGTTTCACTTCATCTTCAGGTGGTCAAAATATCGTTGAACAGCAATCGATGGAAGAATCTCTCGCAGTAACTTGATTTCTGTGAAACTTTTCCTGCATTGAACTATATTCTGTTTTTCTTATAGAACGATTTGAAGCAAGCTGTTTCATTAAACCTTTATGGAGACTTAACTCGATCTGTCCGTGAATGGAAACCTAATCCACTGCTATGTAAACGTATGAACATTCCAAATCCATTTCCAGAGTAAGTTGATTCGTATAATAACAACACAACGTTCCTACGAGTTTTCTATTCGCAGTGATGCATATGAAGATACAAAAGAATCGAAGAAATCCCGACGACAATTGTGCTCGAATCTTTTCGAACATCTTTTTACAACATCAACGAATGACCCGATTCCACCTCCACCGTCGATTACTCTTTCGAACGACGTCATCCAGATGCCATTGCCACCATCATCAGCAGTAACACCATCAATTATTCTACCACCAAAGCCGCCTACACATAAACCAGAATCTGCTCCGATCGAATCATTCCAAGAGGTACAATGTTCAAACATCTAGTTAGATCAATTCTTCTCAAATGTATCTTGCTTTTTCTTTTGTCAGGAAGTGCGAGAACGACCACCTTTAGATTTCTTCTCAGCAATTTTTGATAATCAAGATTCGGAAGACGAAGATGCGGATGAACCAGACGTTGAAGAAAAAAAGACTGATGAGGGATCAAAACCTACGAATACCAAAAGTTCCATACAATTAGGTCCTTCAAACGCCACAATTCCTCCAGCATCTTTCAATCGGCAGCAAAGTCGCGATGACGACGATTCGGACAGTTCCGATTCTAGCATCGAAGAGATTGAAATTCCAGGTAGATCACAAGTTTACTATCTCAATTTGCTTAGAATCTGCTATATTTTTTTTCTCCAATGAATTAGGTAAACCATCCCTTGCTTATGGACCTGTCATTCCTACTAATCTGCCAAGTCGCAACACGTCAACCAGTGATAAAACAAGTAACTTATCTTCTTGACTATGCTCTTTTAAAAAAGTAATTATACCGTTGTTCTAGTATGGGACAAATTAGCTGATCCGAATGTCAAATTCGAAGAATTGAAACATAGAAAAAAGCAGAAGAAAAAGAAGAAACATCATAAAAAGGTTTGCTCTCAACCGTTCGTCTTACGCTCACTTCATAATTGATCGTTTCTTTTCTTTTTTAGAGTAAAAAGCATCATCATTGAACTTTTCGATGTTTTGTAAATAATTCATAGGGGAAAAGCCTAAATAAAACAAGATCTATAATTTCTTAATCTGATCAGTATGAATTCCTACTTATTCGATCACTTCATTGATTAGCACAAAAGTGCGCGTTTACTTTACCAAATCAAAGGAATGACAGGACAACAGGTCTCATACGAATGGTTTGATTCGAGGGACTCACTAACTAAACTCATCGAGAAGATTCCAAATCCATTTGAACGGCGACAGTTTGCGTTTCAAGTTTTGCCAGAAGAAAAAGATCCAATGAGTCGGGCAAAAGCCTATTCATTCATTATGCCAACATTGAAAACTCGCCTTCAACAATTACTAACAACACGTCTATGGGAATATCTGATGTTTTTGCTGTCTATTTGGTCATTTATTCCTCTACTACTTGAACATCAACTACCAGGATTGAGATTATTTTTTGAATTAACACACGAGATTAGCAAAGGTTTGTTCGATTTTTCCTTCATCTCACCTGTTCTCCTTGAACTTCTAGCGGCATTGTGTATCGAAGTAGTCTGTAAATTGTATATTGATTATCGTTGGTTTTTCTATGATTATTGGAATCTTTATGATTTAACCTGTGTCATCCTTAACTCTCCAGTGAGCACTTATTTCTCTCTAGTGAAAACATCTTTTCGGTCTTTATCAGTTCGTCTACAATCTCTTTCTACCTGTTCATCTGGGTGTCCCTCAAATGAACAGTGTTCAACGGCTTTTTCGTACATTGCATGCCATTCGTTTGATACGTATTCATTCGCTTCTGAGATTCGTCGTGGAAACGATTTTCATTGCTCTATCAAGCATTTACAATACCTTGTTATTAGAATTCGTCATTGTAACAGTTTTTGCTCTACTATCGATTGCATTCGAAGGTGATACATCGTTTTGGGATGCGAATATCAATGAACCCTATGAAAACTATACAGAAGCTCTCTATTCTTATTATATGTGCATCACATTGGAAGGTGTCAACGAAGTTGCGGAGGAAATCTTAAATCTCGATTCACCTCAATTCACAACAGTGATTGGCTTAATTTTTTACATCTTTGCTGCAATAGTCACCTATAGTGTAGGGCAACTTCTCGCAGGTAAAGAGCAGAAAATATATTGGAAAGTTTGATTGAAAATGAATCCATTCACCAGCTGTAATTGCCACACATCTCGGCAATGCGATGGATAAGATAACACGTGACAAATCTTCGATGAATCGAGATAAATACAGTACCAAACTAGTTGGTCTACGTCGTCCGACAATTAAAGAACGAGCCGAAGGTAAATGTCGGTGTACTACAAGCGAACAAGTGCATAATTTTTCTCAATTAAAACCTGATGATCTTGTATTGTTGATTGTACTTTTTCAAAATCTTGATAAGAATCTGCTGGAATACGATCGTCTTCTTCGCGATATCCATCAAATCGGTGAGTTTATCGCAGATTACAATCCGAGAACTTCTCGTCTGAATTCATCCGACAATCAGCAAATATTTCTTAAAAAAAATCGACTGAAGATACTGATGAACACGTTGAGTATGATCTTTTAAGCAAAGCTGAACTGTGTCAGAAAAACTGTTGTTTGTTTCAGACAAAATTCTGCATCATCTAACGAATCAGGACGAATTGTTGAGTCCCCTCGGTGAATTTCTCTCAAATGAGATTCACAAGACACATCACTATCAAGACGATATTCAGAAGATTTTCGCGAATATCGAAGATGAAATAACAAAAATTGAAAATATTCTTCGGAAATCATCTCCAAATACCGAACGAAATCAACGGCATCTTCTTATTATTGATCGGCTGAAGGAAAAATTTTATGAAAAAAATCATGCTTTCGATTGAATCAAGCACTATACAAAAACAAATAAAAATTGAACACGTTCACCTCGTTTTCCTCATTGAATCAATGGTGCATCTTCATCGTCATCATCTTCTAATAGACGTTCGACGGAGAACTCTTGAATATTCGATTCTCGACTACGGATTATTTTCACCAAACTGCTCACAACAAACATCTGAAACACATATCACATGCTAGTCATCCATTCGGAAAGGAATGAAAAGGAAAAACGACTTACAAGAAGAAATAACCAACTGAGACAAAAGTAAACCGCACCGAAAAACCACACTTTATAGAAAAATCGAAGGATTATACGGCCCATCACTGTCATTTGACATTGATCTTAACATAAAATAAACAATGTCGATCTCTCAAAGAAATAAAGATAAACCTCACCAGTGGTAACGTACTGCGTACAAGGTTTAACAACCATTGTCCCATCCTAAATATAAGCACACCAATAAACTTCAAACATCATGCAAGTCGATAACTACATACATGTTCTTTGACAGCGTAATGTTGATCACCATAAATTGAATACTGAGGAATAAGAAGATATACGAAGACGTTTATTGCAACGACAATGAACATCATAAATGAACAGAGCATTAAAATAGCTTGTGGTTTTGTTCGTCCACGAGAAAATCGATACATCTGTAAGAGAAAATTCCGCATTTAATTTAAATTTCGACGATGACCGACGTACTCGAACGCAGAAGTACCAAATACCAAGTTGTTGCAAACCAAACACAGACGTGAAGATGATATAGACTAGTAACAATGATAATACGATATAATTTGCCGGATAAACCTATTCAAACACAAATTAAAGGTGCATATTAATCCATCATGCGAGTACTTTCTTTATCTTACCTTTCCGGTCCAAGTCAAAACGATATCAATTGGATTCGGTAAGGTTTTATTCCCTTGAGCAAATATTTGTTTAAAATCGACGAAATGTATGCATTTATTAATGTTGCTCATTAGAAGTGAGACGAATATAAGCAGAGCTAATAGAAGTAGTAAAACGCCGAAGACAATTTGTGTTGGACGATAGATAAAACGACATTTGAAAAAGAAACTTCGACGAACAATTTTAATCGATTCTTCATTTCGACTCAAGACTAGTTCTTTTTGTTCGAGACCCTCTAGAAAGCAAAGTTCAATGGAACCCATGTGTTTTTCTTTCATTACGATTTATTCATACCTAATTTACGTTTCTCGCGTGATGGCATTGAAACATGTCGAGGATACTATTACAAAAAGTTAGCAGCTCGATTTCTATTTCCATGAATTTAGTTACTCGATCTTTTATCGCTTGTATTTGAGCCCGAATTCCAGCTCGTTGTTCTTCGATCGCCTCATGTTGTAATCGTGCACTTCTTTTTCCTCGAATAAGCGTTAATGGGCAAGCAATGGAACCATAACCCTGGAAATGAAGTCGATCTCGACTCGATCTGATTGGTATGTGAACAAAAACTCACTGTATAGACGGTTAGAAGAAAAAAACCAATGATACTTAATGTAAAAATTGCAAATGAAATTGAGTCTTGTATTCCTAATATATATCGTGTTTTGTTTAACATGAAGCATTACTGAACGTATTGTTTCGATCTTACTTGGACTGTCAAAATGATTGACTAAATATTTGACATTTTCCCATTCGCTAGTGGAATTGTCGGATGGCAGAGATGCCAATTGAGGAACAAATATACTAAACACAATAGAATAGTGACGTTTTGAGAGTCTGAGATCTTCGAAAGATCAGTACCCAAGCACAAGTAGAACAACGAGAAAGATTAAAAATCCAGTTGTCCATTTGATTGCCGAACAAATTCTCTATTGAAAGAAATGGTAATAAAAAACCATCGAGTTCAGTGAATTTTACCTTCGATATTTTCTCACCTTCCTCTTTCTCTTCATAGTAGAAGAAAAGGAATGGATTGACAAGAAATGCCATGCCAATGACAAGACCGTAGAGTACTAAAAAAAGCATTTCGTTCGAAATAGAATAACAATCCTAAGAAAATAATCTTACCGTAGTATCCAATTTCCACGTAGTGCTGAATATCATCCCTCGTTGTCTGATTTTGTGTCCAGTCCTACACGGCATTCTGTTAAATTTCCTCTGATGAACATCGTCTTATTTCATACTTTGAATGTTCCATCAGAATTTTTCATAAATGACACGAGAATAACATCCGTTGGCAATAAACTAGCCGTAAGTAAAGCAATAATCAACGAAATCGAACAGGTAATCGTAACAAGATAATCTCGTTTCCGCTTCTGTTGATATCGGGAAGTAAATATCAGCGAAAACAAGACGATTAACTATTCAGATGATTCGAATAAACAAAAAGAAGACTTATTCTCAATACGTACGATCGTCACAATAGCGAACGGTAGCCAACTACCCAATGATGCTAACACCAGCATTGTTTGTTCAATAAAACAAAGACGAGCAAATCTCTGAAAAGAAAAGAAGATTATATAAAGGAAAAGTATGTTCATAATAGATCGAACAATATCTTGATTACAATGTTAACTGATAATGACGAAGACAAAGCCTCGTCGAGACAAAAGATGTATAGACAAATTTCGTGAAATTAGTCAGATGAGTATCTATTTAAGACGTAAATAAACAGTGTCGTAGTTGGATCAATACGGATTGGAATATCTTTTTTTCATCATTGCATGTGTCAACTATATAAGTAAAGAAGAATAATCAGTTGTTCAATCATTTGATTGCATTTCTTTCATAAAAGTACTATGACGAACAATCATCGTGCTCTTCTTTATTTGTCTATGCTCTTCGTTTCGATGTTCTCTTCAACGATATCAGGAACGCCGAATTGTCCTGTCGAAGGTACAGATAATGAAACATGTGCTTTTTCGCAGATACGTAAACAGTAATTTGTTTTTCTAGCTGATCCAGCGTCGATTCTAAGCTGTGTTGCGATCGATGCCGTCGGATTAGTTCAAGCAACTAAAGGAAATCTACGAGTATTTTGTACGATGGCAGAACGATTTATGGAATGTGTTAAAACAAAGACGCGCGGTTGTCTGGGTGAAGAGGTACGCATTCGAATGAACGTTGTTTGTAACGATTAATTAATTCTGTGTATTTTAGTTTGTACGAGGATCTTTAACGGAATTAATTGAATTGTCACAGAAGTGTTGTGTCAATAACAATGAAAAAGTGCATGATGAATGCCCATTTGTTTGTGAGTGTTTTTTCTTGAAATGATTTTGCATCATAAGAAAAATCTTCTGTATGTCAGCACGACCACAATGTTTCTCCTTAAATGATACCGTTCAAACACCGACTGGTGACGAAATATTGATTGGGAATCTTCAAATAGGCCAAAAAGTCTTGGCTTTTGATTATAGCGATCAAATCATTCCAACAGAAATTATTGCTATGTTACATTATGATGACAAATCTCCAGGTAAATCAAAAGAAAAACCTTCACACCTCGCCCTCAACATTATTCTTTTCTTGTCTAGCGCTGTTCTACACATTCACAACGGATTCCGGCCATCAAGTGTCACTAACATCAGAACACTTGATTTACATAGGTAATCAAAATTACGTTCAAGCTCGTCATGTCGATTCGAAACTCCATCAACTATTTACTATTCAACAAAACGGTCAATTGGAAGCATCATCTATTCGTTCGATCGATGTGCAATTGAAACATGGATACGCAACACCAATTACTCAACACGGAACACTACTTGTCAATAGTATTAGTTCATCATGCTATGCATCTATTCATCATCATTCAATAGGACATTTGGCCATGGCACCTTTACGTTGGATTCATCAAACGAAGCAAATATTTGGTTTGATTAATAAGAACGAGACAAACGAAAATGGTATTCATTGGTACCCGAAAGCGTTGAATAACATCGTTCATACGTTTGTTCCTTTTCCTGGACTGTTCACAACTACAGCAGGCAAATTATAAAATGTACAAAAAACGTCAACAAAACAACGATCTATTTAGTTTCAAGAATTTTTTTCTCACATTAGAATATAATCCAAGTTAATCCATTGAAAAAGTGTAAAATAAGGAAAAAATGCAGATCTCACTCACTTGATGTACGTTTTGATTTCGTTTGAAATAAACGACGAACAAATATCTTGTAAAATGAGTATTCTTTTGCTTTGTTTTCTTTGACTCATGACTATATCTTTGAATTCGAATGGTAGAGAAGGTGATAAACAGGAACGAATGACAACAACTCATACGAACAACAGATGACAGTAATTCATAATCAGACGAACAAGAGAAAAATCCGATCGAGATTTTTAATTTTGATATATCCAAGATATGATCTGTCAATTAACAGATGAATGAACCAAAACATGTGCGAATGCTACTATACTTCGTCTAAGTACACTCATAATAACTTATATGTCAGATGTGGCTTTACGATAAGTGTAGTGCATAGTACGCTAAAGCATGGATGAGTGATTTTCGTTAGTAGAGAGAAAAAAGAAGAAACCGTTACATTGAAATCATACGTATATGTACACATATAGATATACTAACTGAATACGTATACCATTGACTGACATTGTACCATACGTGCAAAGAAAAGGCTCTTTTTCCAATTATGGTTAGTATATTTCGTTTATCCCAAAACCGTTCCCGAGAAGGACAAGACAATTTCTTTCTTTGGTCAATGGTTATTCTTCCATTTTTGGCGCAAGGTGCTTACATATTCGATGCGTTTTATTATATAACCCATCAAGAAGATAATAACGGCTACGAAGGTCTACTTTCAACAATTCTCATTGTATTTACATACCTTCGTTATTGTTCACCGATCGAATGTCGTTTGTCTCTCTGTGTATACTACATATTTTTATGTGTACTCAGTGAGACTGGCAGTATTGTGTACATGATAGCATTTATCATGAGACACGATCTGTTTTTCAGCGTTGTCTATGGTATGTGGAGTTTTATTGAAATTATCATGACAATCTTATTGATCTACTGTCGAGTTGTGATGAGATATCAAGTGAATTTTATTGTGGAAAATAAACATCTGTTTCATTTTATGTCACGATTAGAAATTATCCTAGCCATCTTCATTCCGTTTTTTATTAGTAAAAATTTTACAACATTAACTAAAGATTCCATTGCTTTCTTTTTACTCTTCGATTTCTTTTCCGATTCGTACTCACGCTTTCAAGGTATATGGATCAAATCAACTCTATATGTGTTCGTAGCAACTGTCACATTATCCGTTGCCGCCGAATGGCTATACTTTACCGAGAAATCTCATATGTACGAACAAATCTCAGCGGTTAGTGAATTAGTCTCAGCGGTATTATGCAATTTATTGATTATTTTACAATTCTTTCCTTATCATTTCATTCCGATTCACATCGAAAAGATAGCGCGAGAAGGTTTTATCTTCCAACAACGTCTTAGCACGGCTTTAATGAACAAAAAGGAAGAGCAACACATAGCACCGGAAAAATCCAATGAAAAGAAGGTCGCTACTATAGACTCATTTTGTTAAAAAAAAGGACATTTGAGATGATTGTTACTTCGGAATTAACTTGGCATTTTCAACTGGTTCGAATCGAATAAGATGCGGATTGTTTACTGGAATCAATATGATCGAACGGTAACATAATTGTTGTTCAAGAAAAAATCTATTGATTTAGAAGATATTTCACATTACGATTAAACAAATTGGTTTGAATGCATTTTTAATCAATCTTTTGAACTCGATTTTTTTTTCTCATAGGGGTGATGCAGCATTTCATTTCGAAAAACTATAGCTTAATCTATTTTTCTCTCATCTTTCATTTCTTTTCAATAAAGTGTCGCCGGAGAGCAATCAAACGAGTATATAGATGTCACTATGGCAAGATTGAATGTTGTCAAAGTAACCTGAGAAATCATGGAAGTATGTATGTGAGATATTCTTCTCTTTTCCTTTTTTTGCTACAGAGATGCGTAGTTCCAATCGAGATGAAAACGATTCGGATGCTTTCCGAAAAGGACTCGGATTCACGGACGAGACATTACCAATTATTTCTTGTAAAGAAGTTGTTCACAAGGATCCAATGTTCGTACTACATATCACTTTTCTTTCTGATTGTGATTTGTTTGCTTTGATTCGTTCTAGCCATTCAGTAAATGCAAGCGTTCAAACTAAGTTTGAAGTGAAATTAGAAGAAGTTGAATGTCAAAGTGTAAAACGTAAAGAACGCGAAGTAAGATTGGAGAAATTTCGTTAGTATTGATATGACTTTTGTTTTAAACAGGTTCAAGTTGATCTTGGAGAGAAATCAGCCAATGACGAGATTCAAATTGATATGGGACGATTTAATAAATTTCTTGGACGTGTTGAACCACTTGTTCAACACTATTTGGATGAGAATGCTGATCGTCCAAATATCTTACGTGCGTTTCATTGTCTCCATTAAGATGTTTATCAAGAATTCTGTGCTTTTCGTGTCTAGGACAGATTAAATTGCGACACTTTGGTGATGACAGTGCTCAAGAATTGTTTACATTAACCTATCCCGAAGTTCTTGTTGACAAAGAAATTCAAATTACTAGTTTATCATGGTCAGCCAATGGCTCATCGGTATTTGTTGGTTATGGCAGCACATCTCATGAGGGACTCTGTATGCACAAGGGAGCGGTATGCTCGTGGAATATCGAACGGTACAAAATTAATCCTAGCAAACCGGATATGACTGTTGAGACAACCAATTGTGTGACCGCACTCGCTTGTCATCCCGAAAGGCCAGGAATTGTAGCGGCTGGTCTTTATAATGGTTGGTATCCTGTTATTTCAATTAAGAAATGATCTGTTGATGTTTCTCTAGGTGAAATACTAGTTTGGGATTTTCGTGAACAAGATTCGTTGATTGCTCGTGTTCTCGAACGACAAGATCTACATCGAGATTCTATCACATCACTTCAATGGATTCGCGAACCGAAATTATCCAAAAAGAAGTTTATTGTAAGGTTATTCTTGCCATTGAACTTGCTTCAAATGTACTTGCGAATAGCTTGTCTCGACTAGTCAAGATGGTCGCATACTTCTGTGGAATCCATTGCCGAGTAAAAATAATTTGAAATTAAGCGATGCTTACTTTGTCTCGACAAAAATCAGCAGCAACAGTAAATCGTCAGGCAAACCAATAGGAGGTACGATGAAGTGAATAAAAATTTCGTTTAAACATTCAACATTGTCTAGTCAGCAGTATAACATTCAATCTCGAAGATTCAGAAACATTTATGTTTGGATGTGATTCAGGCCAATTGTACAAAGGTTCACTCAATTCAGTAACAGCTGTTCAATCACGTAAGATAAAATATCGACATCGATCGTAATAATTGCTTTAACGTACATATCTTCGTTGTTTTACAGGTGAAGAAGGTCTAGCTGAAATGACTGTTCAACCTAAGAATCCAATAACTATGAGTTATCAATCGCATGATAGTCCTATCTATTCGGTGAATTTTTCACCATTCAATCGACATTTGTTTCTTACAAGTGGTCATGATGGACAAGTTCGCATTTATTCACAACTATTTGTAAGTGAGATTTACTTCTATTTTCCACTAATCGGTGTCTCTATATAGCCAAACTATGGACGTTGTTTTGCCGCAGCACAAGGCGCAATCTTTTCTTGTCGCTGGTCGCCATCTCGTCCATTAGTTTTCGCAGCTGGAAGTGAACATGGCGGAACGTTGATCTATGACCTAGAACCACAAGAAGGAGCACCTACTGGCCTTATATCGTCAGTGCCCGTGCAAGAATTACCTTCATCAGATAAAGGATCATCAATTACTTGTTTAGAATTCAATTATAAAACGTAAAGCAAACAGAATTGTGTATAAAACCTGTTGGAAATAATTATTCGATTTACTTTTTATTTAGACCGAATATTTTAGCATGCGGAGATAGTGCTGGTGCAGTCATGATATGGAAATTAGCGGAACGATTCACTACAGCACAAAATGATGAAATGGAAAATTTACAGATCCTAGCTAAAAGTTTTGGTGATAGTTAAATATAAACATGTTTTTCTGTTATCGTATTTCTATGTAAAGACAAATATACGTATTAAATGAGAGTAGCCAGACTGATTGATAGATTATCTGTCTTGAGGAACAGATTAAGAAATTCAGATATATGTAAAGTATATTCAAGTAATCGAAGCTAACTGCTAAAAGGTTAGAATAAGTAAGCCTGAATCGTTGTACTTTCGACATTCTTTCATGAGACATCTAAACGTTGTATATGACCATCCTTTATTGCCAAAGCATAGGCACAAAAGAAGATCGGACAATTCTATGGACTATCCGAATTTCTCATTTGTTTTCGAAGAATTTCACTACATAGTAATCGCATATTTGCAGCAAAGATTGCGACTACTTTTTCCACAGATGAAAACATTTATTAAAAAGATTTCGAATTGTTTCACTCGGTCAAAGTACAAAGCTAGTCTTATGATTATGAGTATGTTATCATCTTCAATAGATTCAAACGTGTCCTATTCATGAGCCTCGCGATTTTCGTGTTGACGAAAGTAATTTTCTGCTTGTCGACGAAGATGTCGTTCATGATATAGATTTCTCAAGCGATGATCACTTGCTTCGTCATGTTTCAATTGCTAAAACCACAATTAATATTTCGAACTTTGCAATCAGATCGTTTAGTAAACATACATGTACAGCCAGTGAGTTGAACGTTCGTTTCTGTCCAAACTGTTTATCTTTATAATGCCCGCCATAGTTAACGAATGATGGCCGATTGTCAAAGTACTCATGATTACCAACCAAATCACATGACGCATACGGTGTTTGGATTGCTTTATAAACATTATACAAGACACGTTATATGCATCGATAGCAATAAAGAATAGAAGTATATACTAACCATATTTACTTTTTCTCTTCATGAAATTGTCCCAAGTGCAGTTATCTGCCATTCTATCTGACGATGTAGTTTTTGGTCGATTCGAAACTCGAGGGTAAACTGGTCTTGGTGGCAAACGGGAGCATCTCTGCTCGTATTTAATATTTGCTGCCAATGCATGTTGTCGACCAGCTTCTTTCAAACAGACATCACAAGGACGGTAGTGTGCCGATCGAACACGTTCACCTCGAACTTGAAATACGTATGGATCATCATATATTAAATGTGCGTAAGAGTGGGAACATTTGCAAGATTTATTCTGTTGATGAATAGGTCGTCTAGATGTAGTAGCGGCCATGTTTTAATAAATAGAAATCAAAGTAAAAACATCATTGCGAAAGACACATGAAAAACCACAAAAAGGTGTGATGTTCGTCATTTTCAAAGACGTTGACGTTTCTGTCAACAACCGGGAGAGGAGAACTGGAATTCTCAATGCCAACTCACACAGATGTCAGAATGTAACTATGATGTCGCATGTCGAGAGAGATGTGGTTTATTACCGTAAGTATTTCAATCAATGCCGATAGATTCAAATCGAGCAAAAGGAAAACATTAATCCAATCAAAATTGTGATTTGTCCTATTCATCCAGTAGGTTCATGGATTCCTAACTGATAAACTATTATGAGGCAAGCAAATCATGCAGATATTCCATCTATTTATTTGAGCAATCACAATAAAATGAAAGAGAAAATATAACTTCTTATGCTTTCGTCGGTGCATCAAACACCACATTTGCATGCTGAACAATTACATTCCATACAGTCACAACTTGGATCACAGTTCGATTTTCCTGCTACAAAATAAATGAGACGTTACTGTAGAGAGACAGAAAGTGATTTTGTTGTGTGCAGATACATACGACAACACGATTGGCAGTCGCATGTACACGAGCAATTGTCTTGGCATGCACAGGAAGCATCTTGGCAAGAGGTACCACATCCACATCCACATCCTCCAGCTAAAGAGAATGAGGCGATGATATACATTAAGGTGATAAGAAGGAGAAAGCAGAAGAGTGTTACCTTTGTGTTGTGAAGTTCCGGGCATAATGTTGAGTCGTGAGAAGATAAGTGGCGAAGTGAGCTGGAAGGTGATGTAATGTAATGGAGTGAGTGAGTGAGTGAATGAAGGTGGATAGCGTGACTTTTTATAGGTACGGAAACTGTATAGAAAAAGTGTTTTTGCGCGGGGGGTGCAGTTGTCGTCATTGAACGGCACCCCCGTCATCGATAGCCTTCACGATGACAATCGTGTGTTCTACCAGCATATTAGTGCACTTACGAAAGCCAGACATACTTATCACTTAATAAAGAGACCCTGTGCTCCGTGATGTACACGGCAAATGATCGAACAAAGAAGGGCAAAGGGAACCGAAAAACTAGAGAGCAAGGATATATTCTAGACGAGACGAACAAAAAAAACTTGGCTATTTCTTCATTTATTGGCCACATAATTTGTGTACATAAAATACATCATTTTATTGGTTTTTAGTTAGTGTATCAACATCGTTGTTGTTGCAAAAACAGTTTATTTTTTGCACGGATTATTGTCAATTACGACTCATTAGAAGAATGACATGCAACTAAACCTACAAGCCGTGACGGAAAAGATTGAAGGAAATCTCATCGTCTGATAGATAAATATCAAGGCTATCGATGACGGGGGTGCCGTTCAATGACTATAACTGCACCCCCGCGCAAAAACACTTTTTCTATACAGTTTCCGTACCTATAAAAAGTCACGCTATCCACCTTCATTCACTCACTCACTCACTCCATTATATTACATCACCTTCCAGCTCACTTCGCCACTTATCTTCTCACGACTCAACATCATGCCCGGAACTTCACAACACAAAGGTAATACTCTTCTGCTCTCTCCTTCTTGTCATCTTAATGTATATCATCGCCTCATTCTCTTTAGCTGGAGGATGTGGATGTGGTACCTCTTGCCAAGATGCTTCCTGTGCATGCCAAGACAATTGCTCGTGTACATGCGACTGCCAATCGTGTTGTCGTATGTATCTGCACACAACAAAATCACTTTCTGTCTCTCTACAGTAACGTCTCCTTTGTTTTGTAGCAGGAAAATCGAACTGTGATCCAAGTTGTGACTGTATGGAATGTAATTGTTTATCATGCAAATGTGCTGTTTGATGCACCGACGAAAATAAGCGACGTGATTTAGCCATATATCTGCGGAAGTTCAACTGCGTATTACCCTTGATTTTTTCTGTAATCCATAAAGTGTTGCTTTTTCTTGACCAAACTGCAGGAACAAATAAAGCTTCAGACTATATCCAAAGCGAATGCATGGACATATTATAGTCGGCTATTATGAGAATAGGTCAGCCTTTTTCTCTCTCTGGCTCTCAAGTGGATCACATCGTATTGCTCAGTAAAGGTGATCTGCTAATCTCTAGAACATTTCTTGATAACTATCAAAATGAATCACTTCTGGTTGTTTTCATATATCTATTTATCACTCAAACTTGAATGCCATTAGACGTATTTATCATGGTATATTCGGTATTAGTTAATTAACTGTAATCACTATGGTTAAGACATATAGTACGATCATTCAACTACCTACACATCTGATAATTTTCAGCACATTCTCCATTGGCAATTCCACCTTGGAACATTGTCACGGTTTGCATCCGTTCCGTAGGATTCTTTTTCGAAGTCAAGGAGATAATGCATTAAATATGACTAGACTAACGTAAACAGGATATTAATCAACACTAAATAGAACAGTCTGTCAAATGTATGATTGATACGATAGGAAACGAAGTTGTCATTTGTTTTATTACGACTAGAAAGTAATCAATCGAATGCAAATGCACACTCACACACACGTTATCGTTTATACAATGGTACAGCCTGTAAAAGTTCAACAGGAACAGGAAAAACAATTGTTGAATTGCGTTCGGCAGCAATTTGTGTTAGTGTTTGTAAATATCGTAGTTGCATAGCAATAGGTGACTCATTTATGATATCAGCTGCTTCTTTCAAACCGCGACTAGCTTTCATTTCACCTTCAGCAGCAATAATCTTTGCACGAGCATCTCGAGATGCTTCCGCTTCGGCTGCCATTGCCTTTTGTAATGCCACTGGAAGACGTACATCTTTAACTTCAACCCGTTCGACTTTAACACCCCAGGGATCTGTTGCTTCGTCGAGGGCAGTCTATAGAAAGCAACTATCGACATAAAATTATTTTTTTAGGAGATACTTCTACATGCCTGGATAACAGTATCGATCTTATCACGTTCAGCCAGAATTTCATGAAGTGTTTTTGTACCTAAAACCTATAATCAACAAACAAAGAAATATCTCTCGTGATAGATTTATGAAACTAAGCTATTGAAATACATTTCGAAGTGTAGTTGCCGCGAGGAGTTTCGTTGACTTGGCCGCATCTTCGACATTCGTTATTGAAATGACTGCATTGAATATTCGAAAATAAACGACAGCATCGACGGCTACGGTTACACTATCCCGTGTTAGAATTTCTTGCGGTGGCACATCAAACGTTACTGTTCGAAGATCGACTTTGCTGTATGTATCGATACATGGTAGAATGAAGAAGAGACCGGGCCCTAAATAGAATCGACATAGAATAGCTGAAATCCCTCAGTCATTTCGAGGTCATTGCAAATCTCTGTACTCTGAGTGTCGATTTCAACCATTGAATATCAATCTCCAGATGGTCGTCTTGGTTCTCAGTGTTAATTATCATCTTTCAGCTTAGATGACAATGAAATGACACGTCATTATTTTTATCGCTTACTTACCACGTGCTCCATCGGCGAGGATTCGGCCGAGTCGGAATATAACTGCCCGTTCGTATTCTTGCACAACCTAATCGTTAGATATGATGTACTTTTGTGGGTTTTTTACTTCGAAATTAATATACTTTCAGACAGAAACATAATGACAATGGAAATGTAATGACGACAAGAGCATAACTGAGAACAATAAGTATGCTAAAGAAATAACCTGATTGTTCAGCTTTGTCTTTAAGATCTAAATAGAGAGAAGAAGACAATTCATAAGTGTTATAGTCTTTTGGCTAGAAAGCCTCTCGTTATTTTCAGTACAATCTTTAACATAATCACAATAATCGAGCAGGGAGACGTTGTTTTTCTGTTCAAACTAATAAAAATGATTCAAGTGGAAAATTGTCAATTAGAGCTCTATTATTATCATCTAGATCTACAATCTAATATTGAATTCACTGAAAATATTAACAAACAAAAATTTTACCACGTCCATACGACTGACTGCGACTTGTCGGAGGCGAGTATTGATCTATACGAATTCGAGATGGTGATATGTGATGTGATCGGTGTGTTGTTGTTGGACGTTGTATTTCTGTATGAGTAGTCCGTCCTGAACTAGGATGAGCATCGCTTTCGTCATATCGATGTCTCATTATTCTGATGGATATAATTTTCTTCTTTTCTCTTACCAATTCATTTCTCGTCGGATCGTCATCAGATATTAGCAAAAAATGTCGTACATACGCTCTTTTCAGTGCGAATAATCTTGCGTTATAATTGGCGAAACGTGCACATTTTCTCTCTTATCGTATGAAGCATACGTCGAAGACATCATTTTTTTCTACGGTAGATCTTTCTTAGCCGTGCTCAACTACATATACGTAGAGAAATATATATACATAGAGAGAGACACGATTTGGTAGACATTAACAGAGTAAATGTCATTCGGGAACGAGTATATATATTACCATCGTATTATAATTATTAGATTGTTTCCTCTCTATCATGTCACAATTAAGGTACAGAAGAAACAATTAGCAAACAGTACAAGGGAGACAATTTTATACGAAGAATATGTTGGACAATATCTCTGCATATCTTTTCTGTCTGACAACTCGATTTTACCTTGGCATTAGCACAAATATAGTTTTATATGATGGAAACAAAGGGAAAACACGAGAAATTTAACATACCATCCGTGACTGGATGTACAAATAAACGAGGTGGAATGATAAATGAATATCGAGAAAGACGCCGAGCCACATTTCCATCCGTTCGTTGATTTCCCGGTATCATCGGAGTCAGATAATCTTCTGCTGACATTGAACCAAACTGTGTTCGATATACATCCGCACGATTTGATGCTCGCCGAACACCGTACTGAGCGGCATAAGTAAAACCACTCGTTGCTGCACCACCGTTGTCTGCATCGAGTGGAGCTGTATCCAGCATATTGTTCGACGATTAATATGGAATGTCACTTGAACGATTAATATTTTTCAAGTCGATATATAATTAGAATTCTAAACGACTATTAACACGTATGCTGCACTCTTGGTACTTTCGACACTAGTGAATTCGATCATCACCTGCTAGCCAGCGAGAGAACGATTACTTCCATTCAGAACTTCGTCTATCTATGTCAAAATAATAGTTTATGGTTCATTAGATCCCTAAATGCATTGGTTATTATTGACTGATACAAGTGACTATGAAAAACAAGAATAGAACAAGAAAATGCTTCACCGAGTGAACCTCCTCTCGACAACTTTCCCTCTTTATTTCATTATCTTTTTTCGCTGCTGGTACTTCTAATACAGATTAGCAGTCAACTTGTTACATTTGTCAAAAATTCTCATTAGAAGTTCGATCATATCTGTCCTTCTTCTGCCTATAGCGTGTCATGGAGAATGAAAATATAAAAACATGCTAATTTTATTGCCACCACCAACCAAGAGCTCGTTACAATCGTTCTAATCTGTTTCTTCATAAATGCAACTTTTCAGTGCAAAAAAGAAAGAAAAAAAGAACTAGAAGTATGTTGTCGATACTTGAATAGGAGTAACATGTGTAACAATCTAAAATCGGATTATTTATTCGTCGTTGTCATCGACTTCGTCGATTTCCTCTGTACTATTGATTTCAATACTTTCGCTTAACAAAGACATCGATTCAAAATCAAGACACAAGAGAAACTCATGCAAATGGATTTCTTTTCCTGAACGGCTACTTCACTGAACAACGAGATCTATAATGCGTATCATCAATACAAATTTTATTACGTCCATTGATTTAGAGCGAGAGAATAATAACAAAAAAAAATTGTCCTCTTCTCTTTCGCCAAGATAATTAAACGAACAAATTGGTGTCAGTCTCATCATATCAATTAATCAATCTTTAGATCAATTAAATCACCCATCACATCAATTTGAAAACAAATCAGTATAAATATTCCAATCGTCATTGCGAAATGATATTCACTAACATTCAGCAATGTCAACTATCATCTCATCACCAGTTGTTCATTCCAAAACACGCATGCGACCTTCGACACCTATTCGTCGTCGTTGTCTAGCACCACTTCAATGCAATTCAACGCGCACCATTAACATTCAACACGTCCTGCACAATCTTATTGATTCTCTCCGAGATTCAACAGATTCTTCAACACAATTATTAATACGGCTATACTATCACAAATCATCTCGACTCAACGATCAACCAGACAAACTGCTTCTGTTTCAACAAGAAATCTACTGTAGTCTGCGTCGACTTCATCCATCATTGATCAATCCTTCTTTGTTTGATCAAGAAAATCAATTGACAAAGACACCGCAACCGATCGTAACGAGTCGATCAGGACAAGCCACTATTCGAAAACTGCATTAAACGCTTTTTTTTTATTGTATTTTTATTAAGCAATTCGTTGTTTTATTTTCATGAGAATAAAAGAAATAGAAGAAACAAATGCTCTACTGCTTCGAAAAAAAGTTTCTCACCTACTTTTCTAAAGTCGAGAAAAGAAATATAAAAGAAAAACACGTTTGCATTGTTGGATCACAGTGGAGTTTCTTTCTTCCACACCGATTCTTATTATTCACCCTTCAGCAAAGATAAACTATCGTGAATATAAATTTCTATGGATGCAATATACACAAACATGTTTGACGTCGTTCGAATAAATGGAAAGAAGTTGAAATATAAACACGAGTAAAGACTGTTAAAATGCTTCTATCAGAGGTAATAGATGAAATCAATTTTTTTTGTCTTCTTAATCACTTCTCGTTTATCACAAGGGCACCAATGAGGCAACGGAGAAACCCGGGATCCATTTAGGTGATGAAGGGGAAGTGACTGAGCAATTGGATGATGGACAAATCGAGAACAGTAATGAAGAACGTGTTCGAAAGAGTTCGGTGGATACGAACAATATGAAGGACTTAAATTTACCGACGAGTTTGAAGTCAACGGTGTCGACGACGCGTGCAGATGCAAAACGTGTGCGAATAACTCATCCGCGTTCGTCAGCTTCGAATGTAAATGGCGCGACTGCCAAACGCGATCCGGTCATTGAATCGATTATTGAAGCACGAAAGTTTTCGGTTATTGACAATACGTACACACGTTTAGCACAATTAAATCGACCGCAACAACGTGCTACTCTCTTTGATATACGTCCTCCAACAACTGAATCGGAAACTAAGCGAAAAGAAAGGGTGGCAAGTTCTCACATTGAACACAAGGAACCGGAACCGACGATAATTGAGTATAGTCTCGATGGTTGGGATGAAGGTATAAACGAAGAGATTGAGAAAGGTATTGGAAAAGTACTTTTATGAATGAAAGAAAGAAAGAAAGACGAAAAAGGACATTGAATTCATAGATAATATTCCGCCGGCAGATAAAACATGTGTGCAACTATACGAGGAAAAATGTCGAAGTATGACTATTTGTCCATGTACAATTATCTTGCGAACTTTGAACACGACAAAAATCAATCTAACAAATTACGGACTTGGACCAAGAGGATGTGCACCATTGGCAGTTGGATTGCTTGTAAATAATTTTTTCTCGTAACATTAAACGAATAATTGGCTCTTCTGATGTTTATATTTAGCGTAATACCACTGTGTTGTCATTACTGTTAGGTGGTAACAACATTGGCAATGCTGGAATGACATATCTTTATCAAATCATCACTGAGAATGCGTACATTGAGGAATATGTATGTATGATGATGATGATGACTGTATTCGTTGGAATTCTTTGAATCAGTACATATCAGTCGACTTTGCTCTCTTATGCATCGTCATAGGCATATTTCTGTAGAATGCGTTACATGTTGACAATTTCGATAACATTTCACAAATAATCCGATGAATTCTATTTTTAGGATCTTTCATATAATGGCCTTGGTCCAAAAGGAAATGAAAAACTAGCCAAAGCAATAACCAGTTGCAGTCAATTGAAGTCATTGAATGTAGCAGGTTTGAAGTGTAATTTGTGCAAATAGGAAATCGTAGAAATCCTATTTGATATCTAGGAAATGAGTTAACGCCTACTGATTTACAATTGCTACTTGAAAAACTCGAAGTAGACTCTGTCTGTTTTCTTTTCTTTCGATATAATGAGCGAATTTTCATTTAGGATCATTCGCACCTGAAAAATCTCAATCTTAGTCATAATAATTTGGATGAGGAAGGTGGGGAGTTTCTTGCCAATTGGTTCGGTAGGATATTCTATTCAATCCATATCGATTTACTTTGATATACTTGTCGCTTAGCGGAAAATCACTCTCTGGTAAGCCTTGATGCTAGTTGGTGTAGCATACGTTTGAAAGGCGCGGTAGCTATGGCAAAAGCTATCGCTGAAAATAATCGACTCGAGATTCTTGATTTGTCGTATAACAGTTTCACAAATCAAACCGTTCCGTCGATTACGAACTCTCTGACCTCGAATTCGTCTCTATCAGAATTGAATTTACGCGGTAGTCATTTCATTAGTCGATACGATTCAGCAGTTAAAGAAAATCCTGACCTTATAACTACCGGTAAAAGCTGTCAGATCTATGATATGCTTGTCGCTGCAACAACCAATCAATCTCTAAAACTACTGCGAGTAAATCTGTTCTTTTTATAGAATCTTATTCGCCATAATCATTTCGTTCAAGTTAGGAGAAAATCACATTCATGAAAACTGTCTTATGATCATGTTGGAATCCTTGGCCGAAGTCGAAGATATTACACTCGAAGAATTGGACTTAACAGTATGTCCTAAACTATGTTCGAATTGTTCGTCATCTACTTTCCGTTTGTAGGGCATTATAACAAAACAGGATTTGATAAAGAAAGGTCAAGAATTATTTGCAAATCATCCACGATTAAAAGTTTATGTTGGACCTGTCAAACAAGTCATCGACACGTTTGCAAATAATCTTCTCAGTTTAATACGTGACTATCGTCATGAGAATGAAATCAGCGTATCAGATATGTTTATTCCAAATGATAATGCTGCAACACCGGCAACAAGTGTAACTTATGAGCAATTTCTCGATGTTTTACGCGAAGCAAAGATCCCTTTCCCAAAAGCGATGATTAATGACATTATGAAACATTTAGTAAGTCATAGTTTCTCGGGCAATCGCAATCTAAATCATATTTGTTTGCCTAGGGACAAACTAGCGAAGAAGGCACTATTTCCATCAAGTAAGTGTAGAAATTTCTAGTAGAATCTTTCGACTTAATATATCTCTTGCGTTATAGGACACTTCAGGGCTAGTTTGCTAATGAAAAGATTCTTAAATATTTTCATTTTCTACTATTTTGGTACTTTTAACATATTAATTAGTGTTTGATGCTGACGTCTGTGTATTCATTTGTTTACATCATTCAAGTAATTAGTTCGTTTAATCAGCATATTTTGACGATACCAGCAACCAATCCCGTTGTCGACTCTCTTTCACTGGCTTTCTAATTACAGACTTATTTTTGCTTATTACTCAATCGATATCTTTTTTTCCCTTTCTGTCATTCTTTCGATTTGTTTCATACAGCATACCTTCGACTATTTGTCATGCATTTTTCTTATGCTTTTCATATATATTTATCATAAACAGATGTGTATAGTTAAGATAGTGATTCGACTTTCTAACAACTTAATTAATATGTCTTGACGCGAAAAATCAATAAAACTGATCGGTGTTTAGATACCTCATGTTTATATTTGAGACGCATCTGATTGATAAGATTTATCATCGGCATATCTATATTGAAGTTTTAATGAAAGGTATACGTGCGCAATGGACAAGAGATGCGCAAACGACAGTATTTTATCAGTTTTTCTTCTCTGACGTCTTCGAACGATTTGCGTCGAAATCAGTTCTACTCTCTAAAAGTACTCGTATATATAGACCGTATATTTTTCGTTGAGGCAAGTTAGGAAACCATTAACGGTAAGTATATACATTCATTAACACTTCATTAAAGTAACCATAGAAAGTATTTTTAGTCTGGATGAAATCTGAAAATAGATTTGTTAGCTCTTGAATGTGCTCCTTGTGGGAGTACTGCTCATGAATGCAAACAGAATTCGGTTTGTTTTTTTTTCTACAAAAAACATCCAAAAGAATCTCTTGCCGAGCTGTTGTATATAAAACGAAGTGCGTCATATAATATTTGTACTTCTTAAAGAATGTTCTTTGCGCGTCATTCTGTTTGAGAAAAGGGAACTTTTCGTTACGTTCTCCTCTTGCCCTCTTTCCTTTTCGTGGTTCTTTTCGAATAGAAGTATGCTGCTTGATAACATTCACAGTGAGTAAAATGACAAATGCGATCTTTCTTAATCGATTCTTGTTTTTCTTTCGTTCGTTTCATGATTTAGAATATTTATTTTGCAATATCGAACGTAACGGAATACATTCCTATGACATGTTCTTAGTGTCGATCCTACCAGATTTTTCTTTGTTGATATTTTTCTATATGCACCGTCTTTTTATATCGTTACAAAGGTACGATGAAAGAAAAGAACAATCGTGACGCGATGTTACGAACGAAAACGGATCTTAATTTGTTGGTGACTAAAGTTGAAAGAATGGAAGAAAAAAAAACTTTTTTCCTTGCGATTTAAACATACTTATCTTTTCCGTTAGTAAAAAGAAACTCTCGACCGAACAAGAAAATTTTTTATTCTCTTTACTTTCATATATCATTTTATCGGTAGGACAAATGCGTCATAGTCTTCTTTTCGTTCCTAATGAATTTGATTCTTCGATTATAAAAGCAAAAGAACGAACGATAGACATGACCATCTATCCTCCGGCGATATAAACTATGCTTGGTATGAGAATTATTTCAATGATGTAGATACAATCTGTGCATACTCTCACCATATGTTCGTTTTTTTTCACAACTTTTTCCTCCTTCTTCTAAAAATGAACGAATTAAGAAAGACGTCATATGTATAGGCGGACAATATCATTTCGTTTCATTTCTCTTTTTAGAATCTATCTAAGCAAACACGTAAACATGAACGGGAATCATCAATGTAACAATGCCGTGTGCAATCCAAATCAGATATCGAAAAATCTTCCGTTAAAGAAACGTCGAGCATACCTTACGGGCTCATCAGCGACAAATGCAAACAGTGAACACGATGAAAACTATGCGAACTATTCATCGACAGCGATGAGACAGTAAATATTGTTTTTGTAACATGTTCCGTACAGAGGAAATACTCTCTTTTTTTCAAGATCCTATTCAACTGACGACTCTCTTCAAATTCATCTGCCATCTGTGGCTGTGCCAACGCCACCTTCATCTCCTCACATTGAACTGCTACGACAACACTATGCACATTTACTGGCCAATTCAACGAACTCCTCACCTCAGCATTTGTATCCACCGCCAACAACATATGAATGTGTTCTTGCACAAAAACTTCTCGCACAACAGTTTCTAGACGAGTATCGAACATCAATGGAACAACAACAACAGCAATATCAAAACCAGCAGTTTAGCTACACAGTTATGGAAGGTAAACGGAAAAAGCCCTTTCTTTCGCGTTCAACTCTTATTTTCTCTATGTAGATAAACAAAAAGAAGCAGATGTGACAATTGATGAACATTTTCGAAAATCTCTCGGCTACAATTACGATAAACCACACGGTGGATTTCTAACACCCGATACTTCATCGTCGAATAGTTCGCCTATTGAACGAACTCCAGGTAAGATGGAAATGAATATATTACCATTCAGTTTTTGTTTCTTGTGTATTCTATCTAGCTGATTCAATTGAAGAACATTTCGCTCGTTCACTCGGCAAATTTTGGCCATTACAAACTTCATTGCATGACGAGCATAGCGCATCAATGACCGAGTCGGTAGTTGACGACCATTTTGCTAAAGCTCTCGGGGCAACAACGTGGGAAAAGCTGAAAGAGAAATCTTGAAAAACTTTGAAATGTACGTGGGTGGGCGTGTGTGTGTATCTGTATTGATCTCTAGCGGCATTTTTTTCCTGTTTATTTGTTATACTATCTCTATTCTTTCTCTTCATATCTGATGGCACCCGGTGTCAATGTATACATGACGAATAAAGAGACTTTTTTGTCTGTCTATTTTTAAAAAACTTCAAACTCAATAAATAAATGAATAAGTTCGATTGATATTGTCAAAGATGTTCGCATAATGTTCTGATTATTACTGATTTGATGGCCGTTTAGCAGTATAGTTTCGTGTTGGTAATGAATGAAGAAAACATGGATCGGTCAGAAGACCAGGAGCTGGTCGGCCGCGAAAATCTGGTTGTCTAAGAGACGATTCACATAGATGATCACATTTGCCGAAATTTCTGTGAAATCGACGATGGACTACGTCTAGAAAAGATAAACCGATGAAAGAATTTATAAATATCATTGAAAATCTATTCTAAGATGTTTTGAAAACGTATCTCTACTTATCGAGTGCATTTTCTCTACGATTACTCTTGTTCTTATCTTATCCTTAATCTGAATATACTCGCACTGCATGACATTTATTTTCATTTGTTATCGATCTTTTTGATGTTCTGCAATGACACGCATTTTGAATATTGACTGACGATAGAAAAAACAAAATTTTGCTCGATTTACTGTACTTCCTATATTGATTAGTAAAATATTGCACGTGCACTTACCACTATCACAGCTGACCGGACTATGAATGCCATTAGGCGTCATCGTATTGAACGAAGGAAATACCGCTAGAATATTGTATGAATGCAATCATTGTTCAAACAATGGTGAAATACGTTGAATGCATGGTGCAATAGGTGTCGATGGCAGATTCATAGCGCAAGTGCGTGGTACGATAGGTGGGCGAGTTGACATAGAAACCGGTTGATTAACGGAAGGCATTGTTGATGTAGTGAATTCGTTTTTGATTTTTACGACACCTAAGAAATATGTAATACAAGTGCTTCGAGCGGAGTGAATGTAAATTTGAAGATGTTTTTTTAACCTTTTGCTATAATTTCAACATTCTGTGACATTGTTCCGTTCCATGTTTGCGAAAGGTAACTGTAAAAAGTCTATTTGCTAAGTGGACAAAGCACAAAAGACAACATACGGAACATGCTGATTAGAAAGATTCAGTTGTTTCTGATTCAGTGGACTGATCCTCAACGTGATTAGAACTTCGTCTCCATCGCCTGTCTAGAATGCTTTTCATTTTCATTCAAAATGTTGTACACATTTGATAGTTACTATGTGCAAATCAGAGCTTGGTAAATCTTTTACGAACATGTCATTTGAATGTGGCATGGGAATCGAAACAGTAGGAGCTCGTGATTTGTCATGATATACACGTGATGAATCAATTGAACTTTGAGTATCGATGCTAACGTCTGAATCATTTGAGATTGTTTCTCCGACTTTGTTCGACTTTTTAGTAGTAGTTGCATTCTCCATCTTTGTCTCATACTCGTTTTTCTTATACTACAAACGCACTCAATCAATAACAATCAAAAGCCATTTGCAAAATTACATCATCGCCCCCTGCTAAGAAAAGAATCGATCAATTAGAACGAATTAGTCACAAATAATCAACTTACATTCCTTCTCCTCCTCGGACTTTTTCTTTCTATAAACAGGCAAAAGTCACAAAATAACTTAGGAAATTCGAACAATTCACTTCGTTTTTTTCTTATTATTATTCGACACTTGAAGGTTTGCATTCAATGCTGGCAATAACTTCAACTGATTATTATTCATAAGTGAATGTGAACAATTTGTTTCCTCTCGAGCTAATTCAAAGAGTGAATCAGTCAACGTTTGATGATTATCCCGTTGCAGATACTCTGCAAAGAAATCTTTGAGAGCGAACGATGAACAGGCATTTGCCCCATTGATGCAATCCGATAAATGCAATTTCGTTTTCGATTGAGAAAATAAACAATCGGACAGCTGTGTCGATTGACAAGTATTTAGTTTTGAGATGCGATCCGTTGTTGATAGTGATACGATATTGTCATCACCTTTTCGAGATATGTTGACACAATATTGTCGAATATCATTGAACAACCGATCGGAAGTCTAAGATACAAAAGAAAGGACATTTGTCTCTCTTTTCGGCAATAGAAAGGTTAAAGGATTGGTTTTCCTAGAACAGATGTACTAGAAAACATTCCCTCCGATCCAGTAAGAGAAGAACAAATGAAAACATCGACTGATTATCGTTATAACCCTTCTTTTGCACTTAATAAATTCAATAAACAAGATCTTTTTTATCAAGGAAATTTTTTCGGATACGCACTTCAATGTGCGCTCGTACATTCGAGATAAATAAAACCAATTAGTATTGTTTATTTGCTTTAGAGGAATTAATCAATGTCATTTGTTCTCATTACCAAGTACAGATTTACTCTGCATACAAATCTTGTTGTTCGCATCCTTGAACAAAATCATTTGTCTTTCTTTCGTACCTTTTCACAAGAGATTTCCCTCGGCAATTCACAATTGGATTTGACCCAAGCAGTTGGGAACTGTTCCGTACTCATTGATGGACTAATTTATTTCGATAGGCGACGCATCTGGTTATCAACATATAAACGATCAATGGTTAATCAGACAAAAGAAAAAGAACTAAAGAGATAATTAACAGCAGTTTGTTTTTTTTGCGCAGAAATCCAAATGAGATATTTTCGTTTTGTGATGTAATTGGTGTTTTCATTTATTTAATGATAATGAGATCTTCAGAAGATAAAGTAGGAAGAAGAGAGAATAAAGAGTGAACGAGATATCTCGAACGCAAGAAAACTGACTTTAACTGTATGTTATATATGAATGTGTGTGTATGTATATGTATTTCCGAAGTCGATTGTTATTTCTATTGTGTCGAAAGTCACATCGAGTGTGCAGAAGAATGAAAAAGAAATGTTTAATATGTGTAAAGAATAGAGATTAGAAGAAAGGAATAAATAGAAGGAAAACATATTATCAGGGCGGGTGGGTAGGTAAGAAAAACACGACAGAGAGAACGAAAGAAAGAAAAAGACATGGATGATACATGTGCATGTATATGAATAAATGAAGACAATTGATTGATATGTGAATGAGAGAGAACGAAAATACCTATTGATGCTGTTTAGTTAAAAAAACGAGGATGAGAAAAGAAATGTACAATGGTCATGATAGTAAATTTTGTAATGATGTGGAGTTGTTCTGTGTTCTTCTATGCTTTTTACGGGAATGATTTTTGACAGACACTGTTTTACAAAAACGCGCACACAAACGGATAGAACTAGGAAAAAACGAAGAGAAAAGAGAGGTCATGGCTGCTAGACTAATGAGTAAGAACTAGAGAGCTTATACTTATGTGTATCACAGTCAGACGCTTCTTCATTTCGTCTTCGAATTAGTAATTTGTTCAGGCGTCTGAACATATTTCATTGTGATAACACATTATATAGAAACACACACATATAGAAAGTATAAATTACAAAGAGAAGAAACTTAGACATACACACACACAGAGCCACTCTATTTTATCAATCATTCATCAAGCTCGCCTACGCTACTTTCATCACCGTCCGATTGTTCCTCGTCATCGTCATCTGATGCTCCGGATATGTCATCATCATCCGATTCGTCTGGGTGGAAATCAACTGCACCATGTAAGATTTGTTGATGACCAATTGTAGATGATAAGAAACCACCGAGATCAGCTGGATGAGTATGAAAGTCGAAGCTTGCGGCACCAGCTCGTAAACCTGTCGGACTATGCTCTGTACTACTACCATAACCTAACTGCTCGTCTGTGTATATAAAACCTTCAGTTGGATTACCAAACAAAGGTTCACCAGTGATCCTGTATACAAAAAAAAAGAATACAATATAAATCATTGTTCTCTATAGCAATTATCATACCAAGGATTCATTAGACATTCAGCAGCTGTAGCACGAAGATTAACGTCATAGTGAAGCATTGGTTCGAGAAAGTGGGTGAATTCAATGGCTTCATATGGTGGCCATTTGTATTTTTCAGTTAAGACATGAAATAGATCCCATGGTTTTAATTGTTTGATATTACGTAATTGTCCTTGAAAAGAAAATTGACTCGATTGTGATTTCTTTTCGCTTGTCTTACCTCGCTTATTGAAAAACTCCTTTGAATATCGACCCGAATGAGCAATTTCAATCGGTATAGGTCCAAGTAATTCGATAATATGTGCAATATGATCTTCATCACGGCTGTAATCCTCTCCACTATGTGGTTCAAATAAATAATCTCCCGTTGCCAGTTCGAATGCCATGCAAGCCACACTCCATATATCAGCTGATGTGTCATAACCAGAGCCAAGAATAACCTCAAGTGATCGATATTGTCGCGTTTGAATGTCTTCGGTGAAATGTTGGTACTAAATAACAAAACGAAACATGTCGATTGGTTTTTGAATCGAACGAAACGTACTGTCCAACAAGCATTTCCTAAATCGGCTATTTTAACTTGAAGAATGTCTTCTGGAACTACTTCAACAACAGGATTCGGTGTTCGTTCAGCCATGGGTCGTGCTAAAAAATGAGAAGGCATTGAGGCTATGGTCGTATACAAAAGTTTGTTTATCAGTATCAACTAACGTCTGGATATTGTATCGACATCGTTGGATGTTGTTTGTTTGTCCGAATCACCTGAAATAGCAGCAGTGGCTGCCATCGCAGCTTGTTCATTAAGTTTTTGTTCAGTTTTTCCATTGGTTGACTTAATTTTTTGTTCTTTATCGTGACCATTACCTGGTCGAATAACTGAATTATCTGCATCACTGTCATCTGATTTTTTCTCTCTAGGAGAACTCGGATGGCCATTAGTTTTCTTTTCATCGGAAGGATTTTCAGAAATATCTACAGAAACTGAACTTGATACGAAGAAATTCTTTTTTTTTCGTTCCCTACCTGGCTTCGATTCCGTTGAGGGTGACGTGGGTTCGGCAAGAACCAGTTTATTCAAATTAATCTGATTGGGTGAACTTAATAAATTCTGTTTTTGTTTTTCAGCATCCTACGAAACAACACATTTGTCTCATCATATCGAGAAGAAAGGACTTTTGATATCTTACTTGAATTTGCTGTTGTGTCAGCTCAAGCATCTTTTGCTTTTGTTTTTCTTTTTTCTTCAGCTTTTTCTTTTTGTTTTTTGACATTGTCTTCGGATCAGGCCGGTTGACTATATGAGTCGTAGCGACTAGAATATCCAATCGATGCATGAATCGTTCTTTTCCAGTGGAAAACAACTGTCTTACCTGCAGACCCAACTGGTTTTATGCCAGGTTTATGCCATTCAGCAGCTTGATAAGCTAACGCACGTACATGCTCTTCATCCACACACATAAGTACATTTTCTGGTTTGATCTAGAACAAAGGAAAATGTTTCTATTTCCATCTTCTACAAATTCAACTCTGTCCTACATCCGTGTGAATAATCTGACATTTACGATGAAGATAATCAAGACCTTGAAGGACTTGTTTGGTAATTGTTTTGACATTTGGTATGGGTATACCGCGATAGTTTGAACGTATGATTAATTTTAGCAAATTATGTCCGAGTACTTCGAAAACCATGCAAACATGTGTGCCATTAACACCAGCGACTTTGAAATCATCGAGCAATTGCACACATTTGAGACGATAAGGATCTGATGGATCACTTTCACGAACATGTGTTAATAATTTGATTTCATCGAGTGCTGTTTCAGTGTAATGTTTAGCACTTTTAACAACTTTCATAGC